ACAACCATTTAAAGCTTCCTGAAACAGGGCTGCCTTCAGACGTCTATGAAAAATTATATAGCCATTTAACTTTATGACATCTCCTGGGAGGGCATTCCACAGGATGGGTGCGATTACCAAAAAGGCCTTCTGTCTGATTCCAGATTAAGGGTCTGGAAAGCAAGCCTTATGAGGAACAGTTGAAGGAACTGGGTTGTTTAGCCTGGAAAAGAGGAGAGTGAGAGGAGGTACGATAGACGTCTTCAAATATCTTAAGAGATGGAGCAAACTTGTTTTCTCCTGCTCTGGAGGGTAGGTGACAAACCAATGGCTTCAAGTTACAAGAAAGGAGATTCTGACTAAACATCAGGAAGAACATTTTGACAGGAAGAGCTGTTGGACAATGGAACTGTCTTCCTCGGGAGGTTGTGAACTCCTTCCTTGAAGCTGGATCTCTCTGACACCTTCTTACTAATCCCTGACGCCACCCCCACCATCTGCTGCCTGGAGCAACCACTGCACTTTCCCTAATGGTAGGGCTGGCCCTGTGGTTCAGATCTGGAATAACCACAGTGCTACAAAGTATCATACATTCTCTGGAACAATCCTTCCACCTCTGTGGTCTGGCTGGAGAAGATTGCTCAGGAAGGTGAGCAAAATGCTGAGTTTTAGCCGGGAGGAATGGCTGCCATTTCAGTTGCCCAGCTGGAAGGCGAGAGATCTGCCTACCTGTCATGGCCCGACAGCTGCCCTGATTCTGCCTCACCCCTATACCCTCGCCAGCCTGCAGCTCACCCACCTTAACCAACAGGTAGTTCTGTCCACAACTGCCTATGGGAGCCTCTCTTAGGGCACCCAAAATAGCAAGAAATGAAGCTGGAAGCAGCAGCACTGAAGAAAGAGCCACACTTAAGTTTTAAAAGACATATTAAGACCATATAGAGTTACGGTGGTACCTCGGGTTACATACACTTCAGGTCACATACACTTCAGGTTACAGACTCAGCTAACCCAGAAATAGTACCTCGGGTTAAAAACTTTGCTTCAGGATGAGAACAGAAATTGTGCTCCATCAGCACGGAGGCAGCAGGAGGCCCCATTAGCTAAAGTGGTGCTTCAGGTTAAGAACAGTTTCAGGTTAAGAACGGACCTCCGGAACGAATTAAGTACTTAACCTGAGGTACCACTGTACAGACCATGCGCTTAAAGCAGAGGTTTTATTGCTGCTATATTTATTGCAGGTTCTTTGGAATCCCTTGTGAGAAAACGAGGGTCAAAATATCATTCACTCAAATCAACGCACCAGACGGCTATTAAAAGTCATGGGATCCAGGAAGCTTTGAGGCCAAAACTGCATGCAATGCTGTGCCAGCTTCACCTTAATGTTTATACTGTACGTTATTATCGCTTCAGGCCTTCTGGCGCTAAAGACTGGTACTAGAATCAGGGATGAGGCCTGCCCAGCAGGTCCTGGTTCCAATCAGTAGTGCAGCGCCAAATTTAGAAGTGCGGGGTCAGAAGTGCCACACCCCATCTAAGATTATACAATCTTATAATTATATAATAGCAACAATAATTAGGGGTGTATTGCAAGATCAGATCTTCATGTGTTGCCTTTCAGCTGGCTCTATTACTTCCTGTGCACCTACAGAAAACTGGAATGCTCCAAAATCATGGATAGTCCTTCCGGATAGTCCGAAACTTCATTTCCCACAAAGTTCCATTCATTTTCCAGGGTTCCTAAACGCTTCGTTTTGGAGCTTACAGTGGCTCCCCTTTCATGTTGATTGGGCAGCTCTGGGGGAGAGGAACCCTGCTGCAGAAATAGTAATGGGTCTCTGACACCAGACCACTATACCACTGGTACCGTTTAATCCCATTTAATTTAATCCATTTAATTTAGAGCCTCTGGGGGTTTCGAACAATGGAGACGCAGAGTTTATGTGTTTTCAAGGAGAGAAAGAAGTTCTTCTGGTAACAACAGAGAATGGTGTTCATGATCACGATTGCTGGCATTTGTCAGCAGATCAGGAAGAGAAGTGCAGCAAAGCAAGTGTGCACAGAGGTATGGATGGGAAATAAATTCAGTTCGGATTTAATGAAAATTCACACTTTCTGAAACAATGGGATCGCCCACACTTCCATTTGTCCCATGCTTTCTAGGTACAAGTTTGAGATGTTTTTCTTTTGTCCTGCCTCTTTCCCTTGGAAAACCCGCTGTCTACTGCTGAATCGGAACAAATGTCCCTCAGGATTGACATTTGTTCTGATTCAAAAGTAATCAATGGGTGGCAGGATGAAAGAAAAACCTCACAAATTGGTGCCTAGAAAGTATGGTACAAACAAGTGTGGATGAGCCTAATATGCAAACTGAAACAGGTGTCCTCTGCACTTTGCACCTTGAAATCTCATGATGCAATTCTCCAGCCAAATAATGCGTGCAAATTTGTGTGATACGGGAAAGGATGAATTAAAATGTATAGATCTGCAAAAAATAACACATATAAATCCATTCTGCTATGGGAAAATGCTTGCCAAAACATGAATAACTGTCAGGCTTCGGGGAATCGTCTTCCTCCCCCGTGGCCGTAAATGAGCAGATCAGACGAAAGGGAATTCTTACCAATTAGTTTCTTTAATAAACACAGCGAAGGACAAAAGAAAGCATCTTCCCAGAATGGCGGTTTGGTCTGACAATATCAGACCAAACAGGAAATAGAATGTGTGTTTTAGGAAAAATTGCATTCATATTTGCTCATGAGGACTTCACCACAACAGATACAGAAATGCAGGGAATTTTTAAGACTGGAAGGGGGGAAATAAGCAACAGAGAAAATGAAATTGACAGATCTGTCCATCCCTACACAAAGGAAAACAAAAGCTCAGGGAGACCACCACTTGCTGTGTGGGGCAAAGGGATCTAGTGGCTCTCAGCAGATTGGATAGGAGCATGAGCAGGCTCCTCAGGCATCCTTGTCAGAGAGTAGGTCACTCACCCGCCACCTTTTTTGAGAGCCCACACCCTGAACTTTGGAGAGCAATTACAGTTGCTGCACTCGTTGCAATCAAGAGCTTTAAATTCCCCTTCTGAGGGAGTGCCAGCAGGAAGGCAGATTCTTGATGAGATGCCATGAAGCCTGGCCGGGCAAATGCCAGACAAAATTGCCAGTATGTTCCATCATTTTGCAATTTTCAACTGGACCACATTGCCAACTGCAAAGGTATACCAAGGAGAGCAAAAACCACATCAGTCTTCCAAAGCATCTTATATTTGCCCCTACAAAGTCTACAAAGTTGGGGGGGAATGGGTTCAGGCTTGGCTCTGGCAAAAAAAACCCCCACCTCCAATCCTCAGATAATAATTCACATGCTCAGAGAGAGAACAGGGAATGACAGTAAGGATGTGGGTGGCACTGAGCCTCTTGGACTTGCTGATAAGAGAGTTGGCTGTTCGAACCCCCATGACGGAGTGAGCTCCCATTGCTCCATCCCAGCTCCTGCCAACCTAGCAATTTGAAAGCATACCAGTGTAAGTAGATAAAAAGGTATCACTGCAGCGGGAAGGTAATCAGTGATTCCGTGCGCTCTGGCTTTTGTCACAGTGTCCCATTGCACCAGAAGTGGTTTAGTCATGCTGGCCACATGACCCAGAAAGCGGTCTGCAGACAAACACCGGCTCCCTCGGCCTGAAAGTGAGATGAGTGCCACACCCCATAGTCGCCTTTGACTGGACTTAACCGTCCAGGGCTCCTTTACCTTTTTACCTTTCTGGGGGTCAACAGTGGTATGGGCCTCAGCAACTGCCCAAAGATGCCTACCTCTGGTGCCAATCTTGCCAGTCCTCCCTTCCTGCTAGGCTTCTTCTTCCCACCACACACAGGATTTCATTCAAAAATAAATTTCAAAACAAAGGATTGTAAAAGACAAGGGCACATGATGCAGCCTCTGTTGATTTTCTATATTGCGAATCCAGAATGACGTGTTCCCATGCTTCCCTCAGTTTTTGCAAAGCATACTTTCACTAAGGTGTGATGGGTGCAGAAAATGTTTAGTCTCAGATCCACATGATGCATTAGTAATAACTAACTGAAGTTACACCGAGTTCAATGGCACTAAAGAGCGACTAACTTCCTCCGGATACAACTCAATTTACTGAAGCATATACTCTTCTGAGTCTTAAAGCCAAAATAGATATTGTTGTGAGGTGAGGTTTTTTTTGGAGGGGATTAGGACGTATGCCTGTGTCCCTTCTAACTCCTGAATTCAGCAAGGGCTAAAATCGAAACAGAGGATTCAGTTGCTGGAATAGCCAGGCCAACTTCTTGGTGAGTTTAGCTCCTAAGTGTGGGTCAGTATGGTAACAAAGGAAGCATAGGTGCCAACCCCCTAGGGCCCTGGGTGCCCGAGCACCCACAAAATTCCCCATGAAGGGGTCGGGCACCCACAGATTTCAGTGCCAGGGCCATGCACGCTTTATGGCACCCACAGTTGCAGGGCCAAGTTGGCACTCCTGAGAGGAAGTGGCTTTGACACAGGGGGCAAGGGGATGGGCCCTCTCCCTCACTCAGCTAGCTAGTAGAGTGAGAAGGGCAAGAACCAAAGTTATGTGTGCAAGAGCTGGGCGGGTGCCTGAGAGTGAGAGCTGTGCCTGATTTCTGCTGGAATCCAAGGCTGTGGCTATGGGAGAAGCAAGACCTTCTGGGTGTTAATGCTGTGAGCCGCTCCATCATAGGCTCAGGTTGTATATAGTTGTAAATAAACCATATATCTTAAAGACACCACCGTCTCCGCCGTGCCTCATTCCAAAGAAAGCAAATGCTGGGTAATCGCCTGGAATCCTGCACCACTCAGGAGACTGGGGTGGCGTGAAACACTATGATATCTGACGCATATGTTACCCTTGTATTGTTGTCGCTTTCAAAGGAATCTGCCTTATCCTGAGTCAGACCATCGAGGTCAGTATTGTCTGCACAAATAGCAGCTCTCCCGGTTTCAGGCATGAAACCTCACCCAAGCCTACCTGGAGATGCCAGGAACTGAACCTGGGACCTTCTGATTACTACGCAGATGCCCTGCTGCTGAGCTATAGCCCTTCTTCTAAATAAATAGCTAGAGGGAAAGGGGGAATAAGATGAGGGTGGGGAGATTTAATAATTTGCCCCCACCTTCTGCCTGCTATTTGCAGTACAAGAAAAGCTCCCATTGGTGAATAGCTGACATGGAGGTTTGGATTCCAGCTGGGACCACGGTGAGGTCAAGGCGTTAGAGAGCAGCCCCTGCTATGTTACAGCCCTGATCCAGCTTCTCCCCACCCCAACTGTTTAAAAACTCATTAATATTCCATTTTTAGCTCATGTTTCATATTCTCATTATTCTTTAATGCAAGAATCAAATTTACTCATTGATTAAAAAAAAATCCAAATAAAGCCAGCGGAGGTGATTATAATAACCTATAATTTTTAAAGTTGCACCAAGAGACATATTTATTTGAGGGGGGGGGAGTTCTTGATGTGATTTCAAAAAAGTTTATAATCTGCTATGCCTGCCCTGTAGGGTTTATTTAGTTTGGAAATGGTGAGTAATTAACCTTAGGGCACAGCCAACTGTATTTTAATTAAATCTGCCCTTTCTTGCTTGGGAGGGAAGGAGGGAAAGAAGTGTATGAACTTGCCAGCCTGGAGAACAGAGTCTTAGAAGTATGGAGGTGAAAGGGGTCGTCAGCTGGAGGAAGCCAGGTTGCAACCCTAAAGCGGTTAGTAACCAACCTGTACCTAACACAATCCAGACTGCAACATGCCAAGGGGAAAAGGCAGAGGCGCTGGCTGCTTCCAGACAACCTGCCTATTGAGCAGTCACCCTGCTTTCTTTGCAAGGAGGTTAGACATTGGCCATTTTTTGAGCATTCTGCTCAGTGGCATCTGACGGTGCCAGTGTGACCATGAGGCAAAGTGAGGTCTCCACCTCAGGCAGTAGATGCTGTGGTAGGCATAGGCAAACTCTGGCCCTCCAGATGTTTGGGACCACAGTTCCCATCGTCCCTGACCACTGGTCCTGTTAGCTAGGGATGATGGGAATTGTAGTCCCAAACATCTGGAGGGCCAGAGTTTGCCTATGCCTGTGCTGTGGGGTTGGCAGGCACTGTTCCCCCTGTGCCTTCTAACATGCATAGGATCGCAAAGCAGAAACAATTAATCATGGATAAATGCACCCAGAAGAAGAAGAAACTGTGGGGACCAACATGTGAATAAACCCCTTAAGTACCTACCACTTCTTTGGGTTTCAGGGGCTGATGGGAGTTGTAGTCCAGCAACATCAGGAGGGCCAAAAGTTTCCCATACATACTTTAAAGCCAACTCTGTGCATGTTCAGGGGTGCCTTTATGGGCACCACTTTCTACCCTGCTGTGAAATGTATCGGGCTGGCCCTGCTGACCATCTGAATATTAAGTATACTTTCTCCCTACGTTCCAATTTGTCATATTCGTATGCAAATTGATGAAGCAGTGGATCAGCTAGCACTAAGTCAATCCACTGAAATGTCTTTAATCAAGCTGGGTTGGTAAAACCTGTATGAGCTCGATAGAAGGATGGGGTGGTTTTAAAAAAAAAAAAACATTGACAGCAGAAAACCAGAATAAATTGACAGCCTGTTGTTCTCCGAAAGGCCAATTTAAAATCTTGTTCTGAGAATAAGCATTAGCAGGGAGGTGCTTTTCCGGTAGCATCTCTCAATTCTGGAGCTACCACAAGAAAAGTGAGGGAAACACAAACGACAACTTTCAGAGCCACGCTCCCTGTGGGCCAACTCCTTCCCACTCCCTTGCGCCTCCTTGCCTCGGTCTCCCTTTTCATCTCCCGTCTCAGCCAAAGCTACCTGACGCCAGGCTAGTCGGGGGTGTGATGCAGGACCTGGTCTCCCTGACAGAAGGCCAACAGGGTTCCTGCATTATTCATTGGCGCGGTGTGTCGAACTCTTCATAATTCATCAGTGTGTTAGTTACATTCAGGAGAAAGACACGTCTAAGAGGGCACAGAAAGGAGAAGCCTGGCAAAGATGACAGCGGCAAGAAAGTTGCCACAAGGGAGACTGGCTTGTTTTCTGCACTGTTACCAAAAGGCTATCTCCTCTCTCAGACAGAAAAGGACCTTCTGAGACCAAAGTTGGGAAGGCAAGTTACAGCCAGGGAGTGGGGAAAAGACATTTTCGCTACCTCAAGCATTCACACTGGCATATAACCCACCCCCCTTTCAAAAGAAGCGAATGCGGCCCTTGAGCTGATTGTGGCCCTCAGGTTCCTCGCCTCTGTTTTAAACACTGAGGTGCTGGTTCTGGATTCATTTATTTGTTATGGTTATTACATTTACACAGTGCTATTTTTCTAGAAAAACTCACCACAAACGCCTGCCTTGTTCTCTTATAATGGCAATGGTGCCCACCTGAGAGGTCCCAGAACTGAGTACCAGTGAGTTCTGGCTGAGAAAAAGCCCTGCATTTATACCCTACCTTTCTTCTGAGGAGCTCAAGGTTGGACACAGAGTTCTCTATTTCATCATCACATCAGCCCTGTGAGGTAGGCTAGGCTGAGAGATAGTGGCTGGTCCAAGGTCACCCAGCGAGCCCCATGGCAGAGTGGAGATTTGAGGCCTGGTCTCCCAGATCAAACCACTACACCCCCTGTCTCTCCTGGTCCTTATTTAGTCCATAAATGCAATGCTTTTGTACTTCTGAGAGGAACATTGCTGCACCCTAAAACAGAAGCCAGCACCTGCCTTATTGTAGCGCGCATCATGGATGTCCTCTTTACAGAAGTGGTCCAGAGCTTATTTGGGGAGCATAGGTAAAGGTAAAGGGACCCCTGACCATTAGGTCGAGTCGTGGCCGACTCTGGGGTTGCGGCACTCATCTCGCTTTACTGGCCAAGGGAGCCGGCGTACAGCTTCCGGGTCATGTGGCCAGCATGACTAAGCCGCTTCTGGCGAACCAGAGCAGCGCACGGAAACGCTGTTTACCTTCCCGCCAGAGCGGTACCTATTTATCTACTTGCACTTTGATGTGCTTTCGAACTGCTAGGTGGGCAGGAGCTGGGACCGAGCAACAGGAGCTCATCCCGTCATAGGGATTGGAACCGCCAACCTTCTTATTGGCAAGTCCTAGGCTCTGTGGTTTAACCCACAACGCCACCTGCGTCCCATTGGGGAGCATAGTTCTGTTCAAATTGACAGAGTTCTGGCATCTAGCTGTTACATGTTCGAGACTTGTAGGCGTAACAGCTTCTGTCTTTATGTGTGCACTGTGGAGAGGATGAGGATCTGGGATAATCTGCCCCCCCCACCCCCACCCCAGAAGGTTTCTCACTAGGTGACATGGTCCATGAATTGAGTATGGGTCCCCCACCCGCCTGGAGGAGAAGCTAGTTGGGCTCATTGTGGCACCATCACATTCCAGCCACGGAGGAGAGAGGTTGCCACAAGACCTAGCATTTCCCTCTTCAGACCTTCGCCCAAACTTTTCCAGGGACACAATGTCCCCATTTATTTATCATATTTAACAGGATTTCTACACTGCTAAATTAACAAAACCTCCAAACATCTAATATAAAATCTACCTTAAAATTACCAACAACAAAAAAAGCAGGTATCAGGAACAAGGGGTTATGGTCAGTTCACTTTTGCTCTGAGTAAACCCATTGAAATAAATGAGCCTAAGTTAGTCATGGTCAGTCACTTCAGTGGGCCTACTTTGAGCAAAGGTTAGTGGAATGCAACCTCTGTTGGGCTAAAAGTTTTCAAAAGAAAATTGGTAGGCTTAAAAATTACCTATTAAAATGCAGGTTGAATTTGCATGTATGGGAAGGCAAAACAAAAGGCAGAACAAAAATGTTTTTTTAGAAGGTGCCAAAAACCATGGAGCAAAGGCGCTTGCCTAATATCAATGGGCAGGGAGTTCCAGGGAAGAGATGTTGCCACACTGAAGAATCAATTCCTTTTATATGCGGAATGAACATCATGTGTACCTTGCAAAACTGCCAGTTCCCTTTAATTTGATTAACTTGATGTGCAAACAGGACTTAAGAGGAGGGTGTATCTGGGTTTTAAAATAAATAAATAAATAAATAGGCCACATATGAGAAAGGTCATCAATACCCAAACTCACCCCCCACCCCACCCAATTTGAGCTGTAATCTTGATTATTTAAATTATCCAGATCTTAGCTGCTTTGCTATTAATCAGGAAGTTCCCTGTTCAAAAAAGACACATCCTCTCAAGATAATCATCACCCCCTCAGCTGTGGGGAATTTATTAATGGGTCCCCAGTTGTGCAGATTTGTTTCAATAAGCATTAGCACCGATAAGATTATAGTTCTTTACACACAAGACATTTCTGTTTCCAAGTGTGTGTATTTAAGGACTTCCGGGTTCAGAGTCTCAAGAATGATTAAGGGAGTCATACCCTTCATGGCCAGTTTCCAGCCTAGAAGCAAATTGTATTGGAGACTTTACTCCTTTTTCTGAAAACACAGATCAAAGTTATGTTTTCCCTTACACTAATCATATATGATTTATTTAGCACGGTGTAATAAAATGTGAAAAAAGTAGTAACAACAGTAGTTTGTCATTGAATCTCTTTGAATGTCCACATCACAATTTGAAAGTCATCATAGCCAAAAAAAGGTGGCAAATGATCTGCTAGAAAATAATTCAGAAAATAATATTTCCATGGGTACATCATGGCCAAATCACCTTTTCCAGACATCCACAAATACAGACAGATACTCCTTGACCTGGATTCACACATTAGCAGCTAGGTCATGGCTATTAATTGTCCGAATGCCAACCATGGTTTAGCTACCAACATGAGTTTGACCAAACTGTGGGAGGCAGTGGAAGACAGGAGTGCCTGGCGTGCTCTGGTCCACGGGGTCACGAAGAGTCGGAGGTGACTAAACGACTAAACAACAACAACAACAACAACAAGTAAACTCAGTTTTGCACATTCCCGACTCCAGCACTCCCACCTGATATGCCAGTGGAACAGATCATCTGTTTATGTTTATATTTAATTGACTTACTGAAACCTATCAGTTGATTCTACTGTAAGTCACCCTGAGGCTGTGGCACAGGTGATTAAGGACTCCTTCAGATGACCTGTTTATTGAGCAGTCACCCTAATTTACTTGCACAGAGGTTACATTATAACTGGTCTGTACTGAACATTTGTTTGACTCCATTCGCAATAAGGTTATATAGGACAATGAGTATTCATATTGCGTTCATCCTGATTTGCTTGCGGGGTGTTTGAGAATCTTCCTATTAGTCATTCGCTCCTCCTACCCCTTTCCAGGGAATTCCCCTGTCACTTTCCTAACTGCAAATGTGTTCATTCCTATTTTTAAGTGGATTAGTTGTGCTACGGTGACAGAACGCTTTGATGCACTTTAATGGCACAAGCCTAAATTTCCCAGCTATGAGCTTGAACTCCTCCTGCAAAGCACTGACCGTCTCTGGAGGAAACTCAAGAAGTCAAATGAAGAAACAAATAACAAAATGGGGTGCAGTTGTGGGTGGAACAAGGAAGCACAGGCTTGGGAGCACTCTCACGCCCCTGCCGAAAGTGGAACTTTGCAGCTGTCACCATGAATCTCATCAGTGACTGCTCTATGTCAACAGCCACCTCAGTCACATTGCCACAGCACCCAATCACATGGCACACCACCTCCAGCATGAAAGAAACCCCAAAAGTCAGATGATAGGACACATGGTACAGGACTGCGTCTCTCTGGCTTAAGGTTGCGCACATTGAAACGCAATTGTGTGGCTTTGTGGGCTGACCTGCCTCCCACATCACTTACAGTGCTGGAAAACTGCAACAGGGACAGGCCGTTGTTGTTTTTGTTTCAGCAACATCCCTATGGAATGATTTGCCTGGGGAAATCGCGGTTTAGGATATTATCTTTTTCAGAAACCTTTCTCAGTTCTTCTTGACTCCCTGTTTCTAAGGTCTTCTGCTGGTTTTAAATTAGCTTTCTTTTGGAGACTTTAACCCAAGATTGAAGAATCTGTGACCTTCCATCTAGAAGAGGGGTGGGAACCAGAGATTGCTGGACACCAAACTCTCACCAGCCGCAGCCAGCATGCCCAATGGTCAGGCGTGCCAGGAGGCCCACAGGCTGCCTATCCCTGTTTTAACAGCGTGACGTGGTTTAAATGTTTGAGGGCTTGTCTGCTCTTTCGTCGCCACTTCCATGCCACTTAGCAGGAAAAACAATTTTAAAATGTTCTTCATTGGTATTTTATTATAAGTGAATGGTTGCATTGTTGTGCCAAATGAGTATAGACCGCCCCCTGGTGGTGGTGCCTGTGTAGTGCAGGATAGATATCAGATGTGTGAAAACCAAATAAAGGATAGATCAGGGTCAGGGCTGATCTGAAATGACGGATTGGGGCTCAAACTGTTGGGTGAGGGTATATCCCCAATTTTTACCAATATATATATTTTATGCCCACTTTGCCTCAGTACGTGCATTTTAGTACACATGCGGTAACTTGGTTGGCGAACAGAATTGCAAAATTCAGAGTTGTACGAATTTAAAGGATGGCTGTTTTGGTACTGAAAGGATGAATTAGGTAGGTTCACCTTTAAATGCAAACAATTGGAGTTCTCTCTCTGGCTCAGGCAAGGAGGGGGGAGTGCTTGGCTGGGCCTGGGGGCTGAGAACAGAGCTTGATGAATCCAGCTCAGCCAGAACAACCTTTGTTGTTCTGTTCCTGTACTCTTGAGATTTTAGTCTTTCCTCTTGAGAGACCTTGAAAAAGAGACTAAACCTGGCAGGAGCTTTGAGCTTTGAGTGTAGCTGAGCTTTGTTCCATGTTTAGATCAGAAGGCCTGACAAGTCTCCTAAGGCCTTTTGGAAAAGAATGGGGAGAGCCTCAACTTCAGCTAGAATTCATCACAGTACATATTGAAAGCTTGTTTTCAGGGCTAAAACATGAAGGTAGAACACTTCCGGTGCCCACAAGTAAGTATGAACCAACAGACAGAGATGTCAGAGAATTCCATCAGAAGCACAAATGGGTGTTGAAATTGCCACAATTCTGATTTTCACCCAAGGTCAGGGAGAGATCTCCCGCAAATAAATATGAGTAGTAATCATTGTGGCTGTGGGGTTTTTTGGGTCCATGAAAATTTCAAAAATAATTAAGGTTGTTTTCTGCATTGTTTTTGATATTTCCCTTCCGTTGAAATGCACCAAAGTGAATTACGTAATTAAATATGTTAGCTTCGGCCATTGTGGACAGCAAGACGAACAAAATAGGTTTTAGCAGGAAAATGTTATGAAAATTATGTATAGGTGGTATTTAACACCTTTTAAACTGGCCAAAATGTATAGAACAAAAAATGAATTTTGGAAATGTAAGGAAAAGGAAGGTACTTTTTACCATATGTGATGGACATGTAAAGGAGGTAAAAGCTTTCTGGGAAATGATATATAATAAGTTAAAGAAAATGTTTAAAAACACCTTTGTTAAAAAAAACCAGAAGCTTTTATGTTGGGTATAGTGGGTAGAGAGATACCGAGACAAGTTTTTTTTAAAAAAAATGTTATTATATGCAACAACTGCAGCAAGAATTTTGTTTGCCCAAAGATGGAAACAACAGGAGTTACCAACAAAAGAATAGTGGCAGATGAAGCTGATGGACTTTGCAGAACTGGCGAAACTGACAGGAAGAATCCAGAACCAGCGAGACCAAACATTCCAAAATTCTACCTATTAAGGTTGAGTAATATATTATTTTAGGTAATGACATAACAAGGATAAGAAACAAAGCGAAATGTAAAGATGTAAAGTTTAATTTTGTAAACCATCAGACGGGAGGGAGGGAAGTTGTTAGGCTCAGTTGAGCCAAAGAGATAAAATAAGAGGGTACAATGTTACGTAATGTGATTATATGTAAAACCAATAAAAATCATTTGTAAAAACAAAATAGGTTTTAGCAGGAGCCAAACTTATAGCGGCGCTGATTGTGATGAACACAGGGGAAAATGGAAATTGCCACCCCTTGACATCCCTACTGCCAACAGGTGAAGCTTATCCAAGAAGGGAGATCCAGGAATCTGAAATGATCTGTCAGTTGCTGTCTGTGGAAACACACAACTTTTTGTCCGTAAAGGAAAAGGTAACAACTTGAGCCAGGGTTCCTGGAAGTTGCCCTCTCCCCACATCGCCCTGCTTCCCATCCACCACGTAGAGTCCAAGTTAATCGCACATCCAACCCATGACTGAGTTTTTTATTAACCACCACTCCTAGAGGAGCTGCCCCAGAGAGTTTCTTGACTTTGCCTACTTGACTGCGGGAGAGTCAGAGCTTGAGGCACCATGGAGGAGGAATCGCCAGTCCTTGCGCCAGAGAGGGCGGCCATCAACAATCCAGCAGACATTTCCGTCATCTGCTTCTACTTCCTTGCGGTCATTGGAGTCGGTCTGTGGGTATGTATGTAGGGAGGGGGGTCTCCTCTCACGTAAACACGCTTCCCTCATCTAGGGGTTTCTTCCAGACTGCCTTTATTTTCAGGTGGGATTCTATCCCATCCTGGAAAATTCGGGTTGTGCAATTAGTTGATTGGGAGCTCCTGTGTAACAGACTTGTTTCTCCTCCCCTGAAACCAGACTTTTTGCAATAAGTCATGGGAAAATGCACCGGGAAATGAGTCTGTTTGATACACAACATCATCTAATCTCCCTGCAAACAGATCCCAATGAATGCTCGATAAACAGGCAGTCTGGAAGTGGCCTAGGAAAGAAAGGACTCAGTTCCTCACTTAGAAAACAAAGACACTGACTTGCTGTGGGGAAGGAATTGGAACCAGCATTTGAGGGTAAAATATGGAGCTGTCAGAGCCAAGCCAGGACAAAGAGCATACCATCACCTATTTTTCTGTTACTCAGCTCATTTCGTTGCATAGCTCAAGAGATTCCTGCATTGTAAGGGGTTGGACTAGATGGACTCCCTTCCAAATCTACAATTCTAAGATTCTATTATTCTAGCCCAAACACAACTCATCCACCCACCATCATCTCTCCATTTGAGTCTTCCATGTCTTCTCTCGGAGTATTTCAGGTTCGTCTATTCATTTTCAAGGCAACTTGGGTCCAGGGTCTCTTAAGGACAGCCTGATTCCATATATCCCTGGCCTGACCACTGAGATATTTGGGGAAGTCTCTGTTAGTGGCCCCCAATGCAACCGATACACGGCTTGTATCCACCAGAAGCCACACATTCAATATTGTGAATCAAATCGTATGGAAAGCCCCCCCCAGCTGAAATTAGACAGAACCACCACCACACCACACCCCCATTGAATGTCAAGCACTTGACAAAGACTTTTCCGTTCCAACAGGCATTTTAAGTTCACCTGTTTTGATAATAATTTTTCATTTATTTTAGCCACTGTGTGTTGGTGGGATGGGGATTGATTCTAATTGGTTTTATCCATCGTATACTTTTTAGAATTTTTTATGTAGACTGCTTAGAAATCCTGGAGATTAAGTGTCCTGTATAAATAGCATAAATAAAACAAATTTACAGAAAGGAGAATGAAAAGCAGCTGAAGTGTTAGATTCAAATGCACTCTAATGGTTCACTCAAAGGATTACTCAGTGGCAAAATGTCATTAATAATAACTATAAGCATGAAAAACACAGAATAAATTTGTGGGGGTGCTGGTCCATTAGGGCTGCTCCTCCAACTTTGGTTGGCTTTCAGCCAGCCCCCGCCAGACCACCTTCTTACTTGTAACCAGGCCGGGGGCGCATTGCCCGTCAGCTTCTTCCTCCTTGATCTTAGTGTTTCTCTTCTAGATGCCTTCAGGGAGGAGGTTGGGGAGCAAAACTAGACTCCACCTATCACTGGCTCTCAGTCCACCTCCTGTGGTCCTCCCTGCCTTCCACCCTTCCAGTCCCAATTGGGCAGAAGACACCAACTGATAAACTTGCCCGAAGGTTGGAGCAGATGTTTTCAGAAACACACCACACCCTTTTAAGTTTTGTTAAAGCAGCTGCACTGGCTGCCCATCTGCTTCCGAGCCGGAAACAAGATTCTTGTATTAATTTACAAAACAACTTCGGTCCAGGGTAGCTCAGAAACTACCTAAACCTTTCTTTCCCAGCTCAATCCTGAGATCATTCGCAGGAGCATCGGTGGTCATTCGCCGATTTTGCAAGGCTCATTTGCTGTTGAAACCTGATTGTCACCCCTGATTGACAGGTCGATGTGTCAACACATGGAATGGGACCAAGTCTCAAACCCATGAAAGGCCACTGTGAGCCTATATTGACACCTCTCAAAGATGCAACTAGAACTTCTTCTTTTTTAAAGCCTGATTAATATATCAAACTTCTCCCAAGGCACTGCAGATAAATACAAAGATTTAAACTAATCTGTGTATACCTAAACTGCAAGTTACTTGGATGTTATTAACTAAGTTATAAAAAAAGATGTGTTAAATTTAACTGGGGGCAGCCTGTTCCATTATGCCGCCTGAGGCGGCTACTTCAGTCTGCCTCATGTATGGCCCGGCCCTGCAAATGCAGTTGAGGAACCTAGAACCCAAACACTGCCTCAAGACTTTCCTTTGCTGTTCTCCTCTGCTACAGGGTTCCTCTGCCCCACATTCAAGCAGGGAGGCCTGTCACGCTAGGCATATTTTCTGCTTTTCTCCCCATCCTTGTCTCTTCTCTTTGATCCTAGGCCTGGTCCTTCCAAATGGGTTAATGATTGCAAAAAGCTACATCGGTCAGGAATGTACTAGCAAGCTGGTAATGAGGTGTAAAATTGAACAGATTAGCAATTGAACAATCTGTTCCCTAGAGGATGGGCTCTGTTCCCTCTGTGCTTGTCTCCTTTTGATGCAGCCAGGGCAAGAAATATGCCCCATATTATAACACACACACACCCCAAAATGGCTGAGCCTTTCCACAATGTCTACTCACACCACCTTTCCTCTCTCTCTTGGCTCACAGTCAATGTGCCGGACCAACAGGGGTACCGTCAGGGGATATTTCTTGGCTGGTAGGAACATGGTGTGGTGGCCGGTGAGTAACAGAAAATGGACAGGAACAAAGGAAGAGATGGGAGCCCTGGGGCTTGGGAACAGGGGGCAAAAAGGCCCAAATCAGAGAATGGGAAAGCTTTTTCAGACTGAGGGCCACATTCCCCTTTAAGGCAACTTTCTGGGGGCCGCAGGTCAAGTGCACAGGCAAAAATGGGCGAAGCCATGGATGTTTACCTTTGTACAGTAGGCTAGTTTCCAGACAGAGTCACACACGCCTCCCTCCCCACCATTCAGGGAAGCAAAAGGCATTACTAGAATTCAAGGACACATCCCAATGAAGGTGTGAAGCAAGGCTGCTTAGGGGTGTGGCCCCGGGGAGAGCCCCAAGGGCCGGAGAGCTGTATTTGACCCCCAGTCCTGAGGCTCGAAACACCTGCCCCAAATACTTCAGGTTGGGGAGAGGAATGGATAGGAATGAAATAAGATGATGAGAATGGGAGGGTGGGAAGATAGATCAGAAGACAGGGAAGTTCAGGAGCGAAGAGGAAAAATAGGGAGAAGCAAAAAGAAAGTGAGAAATAAATTAAGATGATGAACAGGCATGGCAGGGAGAGAATTAAAATATTTAGGACATTGGATGAAATTGGAGTTAGGAGGGAAGAGAGGGAAGAAGCACCAAGGCCAAGATGGTGGGTGGGCTTTGGTGTTTTGGTTGGTGGTGTGCGTGGGGAACGTCAAGAAGCTGCCCTATCCCTTCTTTGGTGGTTGGTGTGCCCACAGATCGGCGCCTCTCTCTTTGCCAGCAACATCGGCAGCGGTCATTTTGTGGGCTTGGCAGGCACTGGGGCAGCGACCGGCCTGGCCGTGGCGGGATTCGAGTGGAACGTAAGCAATGGGCTGCAGGCTCCATCTTTCTTTCTTGGGAAACACAGCGTGCGGGTGGGGAGGCAAGATGCTTTCATTCGGCGAACGGAAACTGCAAGCGGGACTGCTCAGATACACACTTGGATCGGGGCCTGCTGTCACCTGGGCAGCTTTCTGAGGGCCACCTGTGGGTGGGCCATAGTGGAAAGTGGGAGGGGCAACACACGCAAATTCTACCTTTGTACAGTAAGCTAGTTTCTACACATACGCACACTCCATCCTTCTCCCAGGCCGTCCAGAGGCAAGATCAGAGCGCAAGGGAACATTCCAGCCAAGCACAAGCACTCAAGGAGGGTGTGAAGCAGGGGGCAGTGAGTGGTTTGGCCTGGGAAGAGTTCTGAGGGCCAGACAGAGAGGTATTGAGGGCCACATCTGGCCCCCAAGCCTGAGGTTCACCACTTTTCCTATAGACATTCAACTGGTGTTGATTTTCCCAACTTGAAAAGGCAGCGATAGAGGAAACTTCACCCATTACATTTCTGCCTCTTATGTACATGTCAATGACATAGAAGCCCTATCAAAAAACAAGATTATTATTTTTTAAGTGAGAACTTGAGCCACCCTAACCCACTTCTCTCTTTCCTCCCAGGCTCTCTTCCTTGTCCTCCTCCTAGGATGGCTCTTCGTCCCGGTCTACCTCACAGCTGGGGTAATAAGAACACACGCTGCTCGCTTCTTTGTGACATTTTAAGTCTCTTCAAGGAACCCAGAGTAGCCCCATGGTTCTCCCTGACTCCAATTTTATCCTCACAACTGTACTGGGTGCGGAGGTGGGTTGGGCTGAGCGATGGGGACTGATCTGCAGTCACCCAGCTAGCATCATGGCTGCGCAGAAGTTTGAACTCAGGTCTCCCATGTCTAAATCCAACATTCTTAACTCCTTGGCTATGTCGAACAACGACTGGTGTGTGAAAACTGAGGACATGAGAAGAGGAAGATGCTGAGTGGGTTTGGGTGGCAAGAGAAAAGAGGATGGAAAACCAGGGTGCCTGTGGGCTTAGTAGGTTGGGAATGGAAGAGCAGAGCCAAAATATTGGATTCATCCCCGGGAGCATGCTAAGAAGCTAACCCTTGGAACAAGAAGCTCCCCTTTTTCCATATACAGCTGTGTGCCATTAATACCTATTTATTAGACCAGGTGTGGAGAACCTGGGACCTTCCAGATGTTGCTGAACTACAAGCCATTCAGCCCCAGCAAGCCCAGGAATCATGGGAGTTGTAGTTCAGCAACAATCTGGAGGGCCGAAGGTTCCCTGCACCTCTACTACACCAATAAGCTTCGGATTTAAGCAGAGTATTCATTTTAAATGTGCAGTTTTTAAAAATCAAATGTTAACAACAAGTTGACTTTAAATTTATCATCATAATGTGAGCTTTAAAAAAAAATCAACAATCACACACACAAATTACATGTCTAGAAAGGCTTGCCAAAGAAGAATAGCATTTTTAGCAGGCATCTAAAACAGTAGTGCAAAGTTGCCTGTCTAATGTCAATGGGCAGGGAGTTCCAGAGGTTAGGTGTTGCCCCTCTGAAAGAATAACTCCTTGCTAGTGCGGAGCAAACATTATGTGGCTCTTGCTTTAACACCATAAAAGACAGCAGTGACATCTCCCCTGCTGCTTCCTCCCCTTGCAGGTCATCACGATGCCACAGTACCTGAAGAAGCGCTTTGGAGGCCGACGTATCCGACTCTACCTCTCCGTCCTCTCCCTTTTCATGTATATCTTCACCAAGATCTCAGTAGGTCATTTCTCTGGGCATGAAGAACTGAGAGGTTGGGCAAGTGGGTGCAGGATTTCCAACAAGGGTTTGGCTGGTCCACTTCCACCTGAGGAGAGAAGGCCACTTTAATGGTGGACGGAAGCTGCTAGGCAAAGCCTGTCCCCTCACCCAGCCTCCTCTTGGAGAGGGAAGAACCCCTTTCCCAGTCTGATTTCTTTGGGGACCATTAGCCATGATCTATGGACTTGGGCTTTCTCCTTCTCACCTGGCAGGTGGACATGTTCTCTGGAGCCGTCTTCATCCAGCAAGCTTTGGGCTGGAATATTTATGTGGCCGTCATAGCCCTCCTGATCATAACCACCATTTACACAGTGACAGGTAACTGGAACGTTGAAGTGGTTATCAGAACAGGCTGGTGGCAGGGAATACAATAGAGAACCGGGTTGCCAACCAGCCATGAGAGAGAGGCAGCCTGACCTGTTCATGCCCCTTTAACCAAAGCAGAAACCAGCTTTTCAGACCATCAACCTGTTAACTGCTGCAAGTCAACGTGCTTGACAGGTACAGGGGCAAATGACACCTCATCCCCAGAGCCAAGCTATATTATACTAATAGCTTTCTTCTTCTTCTTCTTCTTCTTCTTCTTCAGTCACTTGTAGCCAAGTAAGATTGTCTTCCATGAACACAGTTTTAACAGTGAGTCCATGACTGTGGAGACCAATTCTGGATCCACACGTCCTTCCACAGTGGGGACATTGGTTTCCGGGCGGGAGTTGATCACGGTGTGGATTTGCCAAGCGTGCCTTCCTCTTAGCACGTTTCTCCTTTTTGTCCTGAGTTCAAGCATCTTCAAAGCCCATGATACTAATAGCACCCAGGGCTAGTCAAGGGTTTGTTTGTTTGCTTGTTTGCTTGCTTGCATCTGAGGCAGAAAATCCCACATGCGCCTCTCCCCATCCCAGGCAGCAAAGAGAAAATAAGAATGAATTAAATAATAAAATATTTGCTGCCATTTTGTGAAACTGCTGGCCTAACAGAAGGACAGGCAGTCATTTCTAGTTCATAAGATGGAAACCTCAGAGAGGTAGATAGGCAGGTCTGTGCGCATATGTGGAAGAGAGAGAGAATGGGAGAGGGAGAAAAGGGAAGCAGTGTGTGTGTGTATGTGAGAGGAGAAGAGTGTGTATGTATTGCAGTAAGTGACAGACAATATGAGAGTGAGAGAGACTGAGAGGCAAGCTCTCTCTCTCTCTCTCTCTCTCTCTCTCTCTCTCTCTCTCTCTCTCTCGTGTGTCTGTGTGTGTATCAGAGTAGAAATGCTGTGCCAAGCATGGTGTTACTCCTTGCATTAACCAAGTTAATTGCATACAATTTCCAAACAAAACATAGGCTAAGGGACCACCCACCAACCCACCCCCTGCTTAGAAATGGACTTTGCACTCTTTGTGCGTTTGAATCACAATGAGGGAGCCTCTTCTCACTGCATTATCTCCCCTTCCCTCCATTCCGGCACGTAGGCAATCTTACCCCTGGGAACATTACGCACATTTTCTGCCCTCAGATCTTCAAGCGCAGCCTTTTCTGAGTAAACTCCAGTTCCCCGCCCTCAGCTTCTATTTGTCCCAATAAGAAGAAATAAGCTCTATTTGGCTCCAAAAACTGCTTCCTGGGCTAATAGGAGCAGCTGAGGAGGAGGAAAGGGTTCAACCCCCTTTCCTCAAACTGGGGGACCCCACTTCTATGAGTCACTTTTAAAAAATAAGACACAGCAGCAAGGGCTAAGGGCCTAACTCTGGCTGAAAATATGCAAAGAAATGTACCTCAGACCGTGGGCAGAATGCCAGTAATGCATAACTGCTGCTTACAAACCCCACTGAGTGTTGTTGCTCTGGGCATTCAGGTGTTGTTTCCTTGAAGAGTTGAGGCATTCCTATTTTTCGAAAAATTAATAACAAACAGGCTAGGCTACCTGAAAATGGCAAACATCAATGGCACGTATAATAAAGCTACTGCTGATCCACAGATTAGGCACCCATTTTTCAAAGCACTGTCATTCCATGATGCTTCCACCTCATGGATGAAGTTGCCAATGTTTCTAGTTTTCTGTCCTGAAATCATTGGCTGCGATTGTTGTTAGAACGCGTTTTGTCATCTATACGTTAACCACTCCTTTGGGAGGGAGGGCAGGATATAAACTGAATGCATGTACAACTGAAGGGAAAGGCTCCTGGGCCTTTAAATACCTATGCAGCAGGCAGAGCTTCAACAGGCAAAGCTTGCCTCATCCTGAAGGAGAGCTCACCTGTTGAATTTCTGACTGACATTAAGGATCCCTGCCAGAAAAAAAGATAAGCAGCCTGACTAATGATGAGCAGGAAGAACAGGTCTGGTTATTCCTTTAATGCCCTTGAGAAACCCCAATCTGTTGCTGGTCTGTGTTATAGTGGTAGCATTTCGACAGAGCCTCTTGCGCACATACGGCTTTACAGAGTTTAAGAGGACAGGTCTTTGCCCTGAGGAGCTTACAGTCTAAAGTGCAGCTGGTGCCAAGTGAGATGGATCAACCAAATGACAAGATGATCCCCAGGATCCCAGTTCCAACTCTGCAGTTCTATGATTCTATTATTTAGTGCAGTAATACGGTTCCCTATGACCTGCGCATGGCCTTCTCCTGTCTTTCCTCCAGGTGGGTTGGCAGCGCTGATGTTCACAGACACAATCCAGTCATTCGTCATGATTGGTGGATCCTGTGTCCTGATGGGGTTTGGTGAGTAGGTCACTTCCCGTGGCAGACATGACACTGAGGCATGGGCACCATATTGGTAACAGAGGCAGTGGGGTGCAATGGTTAGAGTTTTGGACGAGGACCTGGAAGACCAGGGTCCAAGTCCTCGTTGGGTGACCTTGGGCCAGTCACTGTCTCTTGGCCGAACCTACCTCACAGGATTGTTGTGAAGATAAAATGGGGAGGAGGTGGAATCCATCCCGTATGCCACCTTGAGGTCCTTGAAGGTGGGACATTAAACAAATCAACAAACAAGCTTTTAATCAGTGCTAAAATGCTTTCCCCACTGTTTTTCAAAGAAATATATTAGATATTAATGAAATATTTTCTGAACTTAAAACACTGGAAAAAGTGGTGCTTAAATTAAAGTGATAAAGAGAGCTATAAAGCTAAAATGCTTTAAAAAAAATAAAACTCTGGTCGTCGCCATTTTAGCAATTTCCTCCACGTTCCCAATCTATATTTCTGATTCAAAACACTTCTTTTTTTACCAAAAGCACACACACAAAACCCATATCCGGGGTTGCGCTGGGGGCTTGGTGCTAAATAAATACTTTATTTTACTTATTTTTAAACTAGGACTATTCTTTTTGATGAGATAACTCAGCTGTGCATCTTCCACATTTCATCTCGGTATCCCTTGTACGACTCTGCTTTGAAAGTCTTGTTCTAAAAACAATCTTTATTCTTGTTCTAAAAACAATCTTTATTTGTGAATTATTTGTGGTGGAGAACGCCTGGGTTCTTTTGGGGTTGGAAGGAAAAGTCTGGGCAACCGTAGCAGATGTTTGGGGTGACATCATGAGTGAGTGTGCCATTTCCTGTCTTTAAATTGCCTCTATTCCGCTGCAGCCTTTAACGCAGTGGGAGGTTACCAGGCGGTGTTCGACAAGTACATGCAGGCCCTTCCCAGACGGACCCTCTCCCCGAACCCCGCTCTCTACAACATCTCAGCCTCCTGCTACCTGCCCCGCGAAGACTCCTTTCAGATGATGAGAGATGCCGTCGTCAGCGACATGCCCTGGCCGGCTGTTATCCTTGGCCTCTCCATCAATTCTCTCTGGTACTGGTGCACTGACCAGGTAAGGCAAGGGCGAGAGTATCTTTCTCTCTGCCTGGCTCTATCGCAGTCTCCTAATGCCTGCTTGCACAAGATCATACCCTTTTCCTCTGGATTTCAACACCCAGTTTCTGACTCGCTGCCTTTCTAATCTAAAAAGCCTCAAACGTTGTAACTTTTCTGCAACCAGCACTTGATCGTTTTGGTTGGCGTTTCCTGCACCTTTTCCAGCTTTGCGCTATTTGAGTTGCAAAGGCCAGAATTGTATATACAGCAGTGGTTCCTAACTGGGGGTCCGCGTAACCCACCCAGGGGGTCCCCATGGCACCATTCACGTAACAAAAACTACCATAGAGATATCACAACTTTCAAAAGTAGGGGGTCTGTGGCTTAGCGTTTGAAAAACAGAGGGTCTGCAGTACTTAGCCAATTGGAAAACACTGGTATTCAGTTTTTCCAAGTGCAGTTGCACCATAGATTTGTGCAAAGTGGGCTGGGGAACCTCCTGCTAGCCAATTAAAAAAAGGTCAGGCCACTTGTCAATTAGCTGACATCATCCTGATGGGCAGGGGATGTCAGATGACATGCTGCTGGGTTTGAGTTTGCTCAGTTTGGCTGTGTGGCACTGTTCCCTGCCCATCAGCTCTTAAGTGGGGATGTAGAGGTGTTAAATCCTGCAGGAAACCTACTGTGCATAGTCAATCCTTGCAAAAAGCAGAATTTATCCTGCTCCACCCCATCCGTCAGCTTTGACAGATGAGAGGGATGTAAACATTATTATTATTATTACTGTGGTTTTTGCTATAGAAAGGTGGGTGGTTTCACCCGTCTGCCAAGCACCTGACATCATGATGACATTTGTTGAATGACAGGTGAGGGATTCTCAGGGTGAAAGCCACCCCACCCCTGATGTAAAGGCATTAGCTAAATCATGGAAAAGATGACTGGCGGCAAAAGTTCCTGTTTTCATCCCGCACAGGTGATCGTGCAGAGGTGCCTTGCTGGGAAGAACCTCACCCATGTCAAAGCCGGCTGCATCCTTTGTGGCTACCTCAAACTGCTGCCCATGTTTCTTATGGTTATGCCTGGCATGATCAGCCGGATCCTGTATCCAGGTAAACACCTGGGGTGAGCTGGGGAGGCAGGTCAGAACTGGGGGAAGGAGGCCACGTCCTGATATTCCATGAAGGCAGAAAAAGTTTGGAGTGCTTTCCTGATCTCAGTGCAGGCCACTGGTGCCAGACCGCCGACGTACAACACAACCACAACCTTCAGTCTTGTCACCAGTGGCCTCAATAGAGCTGATGGGTTCCTGGGAACTCTAGTTTAAGGGTGCAGGGGATTGTGGCTCTGTGGGGGGTAAACTAAAGTTCCATGGTTCTTTGAGGGTAGGACGTAAGCACCTATTTAGACATTGGCTACCTACAACGTAAAAGCCAACACCTCTGGCCCATCACCCAGTAAGCGGCGCACACACAAAACATCAGTCCAGAATTGACGGCACCCCTGCAGTCTTCCCATGACACCTGCAGCTCCCCCCACAACTCACCGGTCCTTGGGCATGAGGTGGTTGTCTTTCCCTTCCTTGAAAAATACGCAGAGCTGAAACAAGGAAGTTGGAAGAGTGCCACGCCTTCCCCTTTCAGCTCTGGGGGCTTTTCCAGGCTCAGAATAAGTCTGCAGAATCAGACTTTCATCCAAATCCTTTGGAAAAGAGAAGTGGGTGTGCACACAATTTCTCACTTCCTGTCTCTCTGCAAGTGGGGAGAAGGGGTGGCCCCCACGACCCCTGTTCAAAGATCCAAATGTACTGACAGGCCAGTGACACCTGCAGTTATTTTAATCTGGGAGTTACACTGCGTCCCCTCTGCTTTCTCAGATGAAGTGGCTTGCGTCATCCCAGAGGAATGCAAACGGATCTGTGGCACGGAAGTTGGGTGCTCCAACATTGCGTACCCCAAACTGGTGGTGTCTCTCATGCCAAGTGGTAAGGAGTGGTGCTGTTAAGGGGAGGGCGGATTTTGCCTGACTTTCTTGCACGTGAAATCCTGAGTCCTTTGGAACCCACTGCGCTTGCCTTATTATGGATTCTGACCAGCTCCATCTGTGTCACCTGAGAGATGCTGAGCTCCAAGGAAGATGGATGTGCTTCCCTTCCCACTTCATTGTGTCTCCCCTCCGCAGGCCTCCGGGGTCTCATGCTGGCTGTGATGCTGGCGGCATTAATGAGCTCGCTGGCTTCCATCTTCAACAGCAGCGGTACCCTCTTCACCATGGACATCTACAACCGCCTGAGGCCGCAAGCCAGCGACAAGGAGCTCTTGATCGTGGGCAGGTGAGGAAGAGCGCTCGGTTGTGCCACCATAGCTGTCAGCGTTTCCCTTTTTTTAAAGGGAAATTCCCTTATTCCGAATAGGATTCCTTGCAAGAAAAGGAGAAAGTTGACAGCTATGTGCCCCACACCCATTGAGTACCACTTCATTTGTTAAGATAACTTAATGGAGCCCTGTAGCAGAAATGGGGAGCTCAGGACAGGTCCAGTTTGCCTCCATTCTGCTGTAGGGACATATTCGAAAATCCTAGAAACTGTCACGGAACAAATACACTTTTTACATTAGAAAAACTAGCAACAACCGCAGGCCAGATACGCCGACTGCCAAGATGGCTTTTGTAAAAATTCTTTTGGAAAACCAAACCAGGTGATGCCACAGCTCAAGGCAAGGACTTGCAGAAATCCCTCCCCAACTGCAACCAAGCACCGCTGGCTAAATGCCTTTGGTGGTGCCTCCATTGTCCTGCTCTCCCCAAGCGTTCTCACCTTGCTGTTGCTCCCCACAGAGTGTGGATCCTGCTCCTTGTGGGAGTGAGCATTGCGTGGATCCCAGTGGTGCAGGCGGCCCAGGGGGGGCAGCTCTTTGACTACATCCAGTCCGTCAGCAGCTACTTGGCCCCGCCGATCGCGGCCATCTTTCTCCTTGGGCTCTTTGTCAAAAGGGTTAACGAGCAGGTGAGTGACATTCAGGAAGGGGCCAGCATGGGAAAGTGACACTCAGCCAGTGGAGAGGAAAGCCAGGTGCCTGAGATAAAGGGAATTTAAGTGATAGGCAGTAGCCATTTTGGGATATGGAATTCAGGTGCTCGGGGGATGGGGAGACACTGGAATAGAAGATACAGAGAAGTCACTGCAAAGAAGCCTAACTCTCCATAAAGTATGCCACAGGTTTATTTTAGGATCCATCCTTGTTCAGGTTCTGCTGCAGACTCTCAATTTTAGGGTGTAGTACAGGAGACCAAAAAGAACAGGACAAGCAAATATTTGGGTTAGAAAGCATTCAAAGCAGCCAGACCTAGCCCAGCCCCTTGGCTCTGTTGTTGTTCATCCTTCTCTTTCACCCTGTTTGTCTCTCTCCCTCTTTAGGGTGCATTCTGGGGGCTGGTGGGGGGGCTAGCCATAGGCATGGCCCGGATGATCCCAGAATTTTTTTACGGGACAGGAAGTTGCCTCTTCCCCAGCACCTGCCCCCGCCTGATCTGTGGAGTCCACTATCTCTACTTTGCTTTCATCCTCTTCTGCCTCACGGCCACCATTGCGGTGGGTGTCTCTCTCTGCACCTCACCTATCCCTGAGAAACATGTGAGTATAGAGGCCGGGTGGGCAGAGGAATCCACGTGAACCTGGCACACGAACCTAAACTGGGGGCTATAGGGCGACAGTGCCTCACTGCCAAGACAACTGAGGGTTGCCACCTCCAAGACTGCAGCCTCGAAAAGCCCAACTCTAGTTTACAGTCTTTAAATGCATGGTGGGGGTGTAGCTCATTTTGGGGAAGGCAGGCCTAGTGGTATGAAAGACAAGCCACAGAAAAGTACAGTGGTACCTGGGATTAAGTACTTAATTTGTTCCAGAGGTCTGTTCTTAACCTGAAACTGTTCTTAACCTGAAGCACCACTTTAGCTAATGGGGCCTCCTGCTGCTGCCGTGCCGCTGGAGCACGATTTCTGTTCTCATCCTGAAGCAAAGTTCTTAACCTGAAGCACTATTTCTGGGTTAGCGGAGTCTGTAACCTGAAGTGTATGTAATCTGAAGTGTATGTAACCCAAGGTACCACTGTATATTTAAAGCACACACAAGAATCCTGGGAACTGTTGTTTTCCCCATCACAAAACTATAGTTCTCATCGCATTTAACAAACTATGGTATAACTACCAACCAGTTGACAGAGTGGGCCCCCTCCTCATTTGTTCTCTGGCACAGAGCCACTTCCTTTGGTCCCTTAATGGCCCATTACCCAGGCTATTGCCTCACTAGGAAGCTAGCCTGGCTACTCCAAGACTTAGAAGGGGGCCCAGGCATACAACCTACCTGTCTGCCAACGCATAACAATACTATATTTGCCCATCCTTTGTCAAGGGAAGGAGATGAAGGCTTGGGCAGGTGAGCAACGCAACCATGCACCTTGCGTCTAACCAAACCACCCGTCTTGCCACCCCAGCTGCATCGCCTGGTGTTCAGCCTCAGACACAGTAAAGAGGAGCGAGTTGATCTGGACACGGAGGAAGAGGAGGAAGCCAAACAAAGGGAGGCTGCCCGGCAGCGGCGCCGGGAACATGCAGAGATGGAAGCCGCCAGGAACGGGAGGCTGGAGCAGGCGCTGGAGGTGGAGGGTGAGGCAGAGAGGAGGCTTTGTGTTGCAAGGGTGGGAAGCCTTTCACACCCCGAGGGCCATATTCCCTCCTGGACAGCTTTCCGAGGGCCACATGCAGGGTCAGGTGCAAAAGTGGGAGGAGCAGCAAATGCAAATTTTACTTTTGTAAAGTAGGGCAGATACACACACTCACACACCTGTCTCGATCCCCCGTTCAGAGACATGAGTTCAAGGACACATTCCAGCCTGGCAAAAACAACTGAGTTTTGAGGCAAAGCCAGTGAGAGGCAAAGTCCTGGGGAAAGTTCCAAGGGCCAGTGAGAGGGGCTCATGGGGTATCAGGAGATGAGAGGCAGGCCATTCCACTTTTCCCCTCTTAACTATCCCTGCTGGAGGCCCCAAACCACTTATTACTTGGTGGCGTCATTTTCCTTCTGAGGTGGCCTCAGCCACGCAGCCTTGTAGGCCCTGACCATCCTCTGTTTCTTCCCCTCTCCGCACAGCTCCCAAAGCAGCGGCCTCCTCTGGCAGGCTGCGCCGGTGCCTCGGCTGGTTCTGTGGGATGGCGGCAGACAGCCAGGAGCAGCCGGAGCTGAGCCCAGAAGAGAAAGCTGAGGAGCTGCGGCGCCTGACAGACATCACTGAGCATCCAACATGGAGGCGCGTCGTCAACATCAACGCCGTCGTCATGATGGCCCTAGCGATATTTTTGTGGGGCTACTATGCCTGAGCGCCACTCAAGACGACAGCTCTCCATAAACCTCTTGACACCCTCTTGACACCAACCCCATCTGGGCATAACTTCAGCCTCTGAGGGACAGTGGCATCAACGAGTTGTCAGGGAACGAGCAGTCATCAACCAGCCAGCTAGGATCACCCAAGCCCACCAAAGACCAACCCTTGTAATCCAAGTCAGAGAGGGCATCGTAATGCAACACACGGAAGGAGAAGCTGAGACCTTTCAGGTGTTGTTGGACTCCAGTTCCCATCAGTCCCAACCAGCATGGCCAGGGATGATGTGCTTTGTAGTCTAACATCAGGGAAGGGTACTGGCTCCCCATCCGTGTTGTAGCAAGATGCCCCATTTTGAAGGCCCTTCTTAGTTCCTCTTTGCAATACCACTTACTGTATACTGCCTCTCTCCCACAGCCCTCACCTCAAAGGTATGAAGCCTGTGAGGAAAGACAAACCATCCAATGTTAGTGGCGTTGCAAAAAAATAAAATAAAATAATGGCACATTCTTCTTGGGGGCCCCACCGATTTGGCACCTGGGGTCCTCACCCCTTCGGGTCCCTAGAGCAAGACATTCTAGCTTCTTGTCCATGCTTCCACTTTTCTTAGGTCTGGTCATCCAAACCACACACTTTCTCCCAATGCTTTTCACCTTCATCACATTGGTGTGGCCCCTGGAATCCAAGCACCCCTCATGCCGTCATCACCATTTTCACCAAGGTCAGTGTAGCAGAGGTTGCTCAGTTCCTCCAGAGCCACGTGGAGGTCATGAGAGCCAGGCACAAGGGTACCTCCCTTATGACTTGGTTTGAGGGAGGCAATGCTGGCCTGCCCATTCCCCCCCCCCCGCCAGAAAGCCGCACATCCAACAGCACCAGCGTAGCATCCAGACCCTGTTTTGGAAAACAGAGAGGCCAAAGAACGGGGGAATAAATGTGACTGTGAAAATGGCCAATGTGCTTTTGGATGTTCTAGGCCGGAGGCAAATGGGGAACCGGAAGGAAAGCAAGTTCCCACTGTAACTTATTCTGTCAGGAATGGAGATGTGTCTGCCTGAATGTTCAATTTGACCAATACAGGCCTCAAAAATGCACAAGGAAGTTATCGGTACTGCAAAAGTACTACACGCACGTATATAAGATTTTCACACACAAAATGCAAAAGAAGAATCACTTTTAAACTTCATGTTAATAAAAAAAGGGTTTATTTTTGTGTTTCCCTCTCACCCTCAACAAATCAGGGAGGGAGCAGGTACCCTGCGCTCCCCTCCATTTTGGCATTAAAAACTCTGACAACCCCACGTGAGGCAAAGGCAGCACCTCTGGCATCACTGTGGCAACTGAGAGCCACTCTTTCCAAGGCTTTAGCAAGTCGTTATGTTAAACGTCTCCTGGAGTTAAAGGGTTTTCTTTTCAGGGATGGTCCAATCCATGCGCCACTCATCAGGGCCCAGAAGGTTCCGGTCTGTTACCCATCCTGCTGCTGTCAATCCTTGGAAGAGATGGGTGGGTCCAAAGTGAAAGGAAGGGAGTCTTGTTTAGCTATAGCTATACATTCAATTAATTCTCAACCTACACTTTCCTGCTCTCCCTCTCTGATACAGGACAATGCAGAAGAGTGAAATATAAGCAGGACTGAATGGTTTTTCAGGGCGGGGGGGAGTGAGGATTCTTGCAAGCAGAAACAGCATGAGAAATCATAAAAACTTCTGCAGTCTTTTTAAAGGAAAGCAAGTTTCCACTCCTTTGGATTAAGTCGAAAATCTGTGATGGGCAAAGCCTGATAAAAGTTCTGAGAAGATCTGAGCAGGGGTTCTAACAGGGGTGATTCCCTTTCCCCAGATCTAATTAATATACTAGTATACTAATCTTATTATTATGTACATCTAAACAAGCAGCTAGATGCAAGTCTATTAAATTTTCATAACTTACCTAATTTTCGTAACTTACACAGGTCATGGAAATGTAGCTTTGCTCGGTGCTGCATTCAGAATATTTATTTTTTGTTTTCTAAGTAAAGGTCAGCATCTATATCACGACCCCACTGTACCTGCCAGGAATTTGGGAAATATTTTGTCCAACAGCTGATGTGTTTCAGAAGTTGCAGTGCTGTCCTTATTCTCAGGTTCTGAATGATCCAAAAAAGAAAAAAAAGAAGGAAATCAGAGCATCCGCCCTGGGCAGAGCTACACCAAGAAAAGAGCACAGCATATTAAAATGGGTACATGGTTCGAACTTGAGCTCTAAGTATACGGTGGGCTATAAACGCAAATAAAATAAACTATCAAGGAGCAGCCCAATAGGAAGGGGGAAATCTCTCTCTTAAAAAAAAAAACACACGACGGAAAATAAGGACGGAAGCAGCTGTCTTTATGCTGCCTGACAACCCAGCGTCATCCATTTTGACAGGCGGTACAATGTCAGAGAGAAAGATCACCTTCCCAACCCTTTAAGTCATATCCTTTAAGCCTCGGGTGGACAGCTGTTTTAATTTTGTTTTATTAATACATTTCTATCTCTGCCCCCCCTTCTTCCAAGAAACATGTGGTCGTGTACGAGGTTCTCCTCCTCCTCAGTTTATCCTCATCTACAACCCTCTGAGAGAAGAACTGACCCAAAGTAGCCCTGTCAGCTTCCTTGTGGAGTGGGGACTTGAACCCTGCTCCCCCAGGTCCAGCACTCTAACCACTACACTACACCACCACGTACCCCTCTGCCTGATTTCAGACAGTCCTCAACCTGATTTCATGCAGGTGGCCCAAAGGGCAGAAATGGGGGAGGGCGGGAGGAAGTGGGCCGTGGAAAAAGAGACACAAGAAGGATGTCCCGCCCACTTTTAGCTCTGGGCCCACCTGCCACTCTCCACAGGAGCGGAGGGTAAGATTCTTCACCCGTCTTATAAGTGGAGATGCCAGAAATTGAAGGGGAAAGCTGTACTTGCTCCCCACTCCCCTTCCCTCCTGGTTCATCACCTTCACGAAGCCTACGCTGCAGATTCAGGAAAGACTCTTCCTCCAAGGCAGACGTTGTCCCGTCTTGGTACAGCAGGACTTCCAGGAGGAAGGCGTGAGTGCAGGCTTTAATTACATCCACGCTTCCTGCCAGTCGGTGTAGGAGAATGGAGACAGTCCCTGGGGATGGAGGGAGAGAGGTGGGGCAAGGTCATCATCATCGTTTTATTTGTATGCCACCTTTCCATAGTTTAAACCAGTGCTTTTTTCAGGGGGGGCGCAGGGGTACACATGCCCCTAAACATTTTGTGAATCTTTGTACTTTTGTCCATTTACTGTATTTATTTTTCCTTATTTGAACTATCAAATGGTGATTTTCTTGAGTCAAAATGAGAGTACCCCTAAACGTTTTTTTTAGGGGAAAAAACACTGGTTAAAACTGTGCTCAAGGTGGCTTCCAACGTGACGAGATTTACACCATTGCAAACCTAACCAAAGTAATAAACAATAAATAAAACACATTAAAAAGTACACAACCAAATTGAAACAATTTCAACATAAATAATAAGATCTGAAAATAAAGATACAGAAATCAATACCATCAACTAACAAAAAAAAAAGAACAACAACCCCAACTTAAACAATACCACAGCCTAGGAGTGTGTTCAGCAGTTTTTGTAGCTGGAGTCAGTCCTGTAAGGCCTGTAAGGCAGGCAGCAGGTTTTCCTGGACTCACAGCCAAAATGGTGCTCAGTATCTCACATGCTGAAACACCTTTCTACTAGGACCCCAAATCTGCCGCCAGAGGTTGCATCCAGACCAGCCTTTACTCTGGCAGAGAGTGAAGCCATCAACCGGGATTGGGAATTCAGGACCAATTTAAAAAACAGGTAACTTTAGTTCATGGTCCAAACTTCGCTGCCCCTTGAAATATCCATCTCTATTGTTATTGCTTCTGCTACTCCAGTTTACACCCCACCTTTCTACATTAATATATGCTCTGCGGCAGACTGTAAACAAAATACAACAATCTAGTAATTGGGGGGGGGATACAAAATAAAAAATGTGATGCAAAAAGGATATATGTATGAAATTAAAAAACAACAACCCAAACTCATTTGCAACCTCTCTCTTTCTCATGCCACATTGCTAGGAAACTTCACACATGCCTCAGGCTGCAATCCTAACCCCATTTACTTGGGAGTAAGCCCCACTGAATTCAATAGAGTAGACAAGATTAGTATTGCGCTCTTAATCGCCAGACACTTCATATATGCAACTTTCTCACCGACCCACCTGCTGCTCGGTTGAAGAAGATTAAGTGATTTGTGGCATTCCCTTCAAGGGCTTTCTGGAAATCTGCAACTCTGGTTGGAGTTGGAAGAGAAATTCATGAATGCCAAAAAGTGATGCAGGTGTACCATGGCCAGGATGGGAAATTCAATCTGAAAGACAAACCTCTGGGACTCCTCTGCACCCAGGAAGAATAAGTTTAGGCCCTGGGACCAAAGGCTGCATCTAGAAGCCTGCCTTTCATTAGAATAAATGTATGGGGGTTTTCGTACTTTTGAAATACATTACTTTAAAAATTCCTATAGACACCTTTTCCAGGTTATATTTACACACTGTCACTTGGCAACAATGCGGAAGTGATCGACCCCCACCCTCTGGCATGCCTTCCCCTCAAGAAATTTGTGACACTTTCAAAAGCCCGCTTATCCAAGCCTGTCCTGGACTCTTACATGTTTAATTCTCTGTTCTGTACACTACTCAGTTTCATTCGTGATATGTACCGTATTTTTCGTCCCATAGGACGCTCCGTCCCATAGGATGCACCTAGTTTTTTGGGGGGGAAATAAAGGAAAAAATGTTTTCCTTAATTTCCCCCCCAAAACCAGGTCGGGGAACAGCGGGATGGCGGCTCTGCACCTACCCGCTGTCCCCCGAGCTTGTGGGGCTGGCCGATGTCTGCCCAGTGCGCGGGGCGCTCTGCTTCAGGGCGCCCACGCGCCAGACAGCAGGCTGCTATCCGCAGCCTAGGGAGCCCTGCGGGAACTCCCGCGGGCTCCCCAGGCTTGCTGATAGCTTCCTGAAGCCTGGAGAGCAAGAGGGGTCGGTGCGCACCAACCCTTCTCCCTCTCCAAGCTTCAGCGAAAGCCTGTATTCGCCCCATAGGACGCACACAGATTTCCCCTTCATTTTTGGAGGGGGAAAAGTGTGTCCTATAGGGTGAAAAATATGGTACGTCTTTTGTTTTTAAACCAGTTTTCTAGGAAATCTTATTCGATTGTTATTGCTATTGCTTTCATCATTTTTAGAATCATAGAATCATAGAGTTGGAAGAGACCACAAGGGCCATCGAGTCCAACCCCCTGCCAAGCAGGAAACACCATCAGAGCACTCCTGACATATGGTTGTCAAGCCTCTGCTTAAAGACCTCCAAAGAAGGAGACTCCACCACACCACATGTCATGCACTTGGACATTTTTAGTTATAGTAAGTGCGTTGAAAACTTCACGAAGAAACGGCAAGCTTAGGAACAAATTATCTTCCAGAGAATGGAGGGTTAAAGGGGCACCAGATAGTTCTTACTCACCTGGAGGCCACAGTGTGGAGTGGTGTCCCAAGGTTCATCCTGAGCTCCTGCTGAAACCCTAGATATGGCGGGTGAAAAACCACTGGGTTTTTAAGGATGCAATCCTGAGGGCCTTTTGCTGAAGTCCCACCATGTTGGCGAAACCAAGGTAGGTCACCACTGTGACAGACACGCTGGCCAAACCTTCCCTGACCTTATACCCTTCAGATGTTTTAGACTATGGCTCTTATCTACAACTGGAGATGTCACTGAGGAGAGCTGAGCGAGTGATACAGAGAGACCTGGAGGGCTGCATTTGGTTCCCCATCTCTGACCTGGGGCATAATGTGACTGTCAGATTTATGATCTCCCTCTCCCACCAAAGGATGGGGTGGGGGAGAAGAAGAGGAGACGGATGGCACGAGCATGGCCAAAGCTCTCAGGCGGCACCACTCCTCCTTCCCCCTACACGCAAGCCCTTTGTTACCTGGCACCAGAGGCTCCTGAGGGTTGGCGAGAGCAGGTCCCAGCACTTTACCCTGCTGCAAAAAATGCCGCAAGACCAGGCGGAGCCGGGCACGGTTGAGGGTCTCCATGCAGACGGATCGTACCGCCCTATAATTGGCGTAGAGATGCAAGGCAGTGAAGAGGCCGTAGAGAGAATAAGTGAGGCTGAAGGGAAAGGAAGCAGACAAATCAGAGAAAAGACTCACCTAGGAAAGGACTGTCTTCTGTCCCTCAGTGGCCCCTGCCAAACACTTCCATTCCTTCTATCCTTGTAAAACCTGACTCTTCCACAGCCCACCTCCCTACCTACCATGCAGAGAGAGAGAGGCAGCATCCTTCCACTCACCGGAGATTGTCTGCTACAAGAGGAATGAGGAGAAGACTGAAGAAGAGGCCAGCTAGGTTCACCAGGGTCTCCTGGGTAAGCGAGAGAGGACGTCACCAGAAGGCAAATGGTAGGCCTCAGGCCTTGCACAGCCCTAACAAGAGTTGGCCAACGCATGCCTCATTCCATCCACGCCCCCTAGCACTCTCACCTGGCTTCCATCTTTGGCCGAAACATCGGCCATGTTGTCCCGCCGGGCCTGGTGCATGGTGAGGGCTGCCCGAGTGGCCCCTCCAGCAACTCCCACAATGCACTGGAGCAGAGAGAAAAATGGAGATGGAAGGAGAACACAAAGTTTGTGGGTCACACACAGACACAACTACATACTCCTCCAAACAAACAACAGAACACGACACCATGACCTCCTCAGTCAGTCTCAGCCTCAGTCAGTTTTATTGCACATAGCCAAAGGCTGCCGCAATGTACACAGAATTATTTGACAATTAAAAGAAAATATACTGAATTGATAAAAAAGACTTAAAACATTTATATTATTAAAACATTACGTACTCTAAACAGAGCTATAAAAGTACCCCAATGTACAAATAAAAACATTAAACAATAAAATTCATAAGCTAAAATCATCACATGGTCACTAATGTTAAAAACAAAATTAATACAGTGTGCAATTTATACTCAGAGTTTGGTGACAAAGATAGAGCATAGCCTGAGGTAGATAGATAGGATCAAATAAATTCATCTCCTTTACAGTTAATGGCTACCTTGGCTATATAATTTGCTCTAATTTTCCTAGCAGCAGTTGCAAAAAGTGCTACACGCCAGGTCACATACTTATCTGTGTCTGCGAGGAGATATAAAATCATGTCAAAGGGGTTCTGGCCAGGGGACCCTGTCATTATAGGTACTAAAAATCTTTTTCTTGCATCATTATATAAAGGACAGTGCAAGATATAATGCATAAGGTCCTCTACTTCAGAACATCCCCTAATACAGACACGTTCGTTTTTTGGTATGCCTCTGTGTCTCCCATCTCTATAAGCAGAGCTTATTGTATTTAGTCATAGCTCTGTAAAAGCTTTTCGAAGTTGTGCAAAGGTCAATTCATTAAAATAAGATATGTGTTCATTGGCCTCTCTAAGTTTAAAATACAATGGGGCGCATGTAGATGTGCACATAGAGTTTAGATCGTTTTTAGTTGCCACTGCCCTTATAGTTCGTTTAAAGATATTTTTCTGGGAATATAAGGGAAGTTCTTTAATCTCAGTCACTGAGAGGTCATATTTGCCCATCAGTTGGGCAGCATGATGTACCCAGTTTTTAAGGGTAATCCATTCGAAAGCTCAATCAGGCATTTTTTTGGTAGCCTAGTGTTGTCCATCTGTTGAACTCTAAACCAGTAACAGAGAATTATTTTATCTATTTGGCTCTCTATGCTCAACATGCGAGTTTCCAACCTGACCATGGCAGATTGCACGTCTTTGGGTAAACCTAAAAGAACTCTTAAAAAATAATTCTGTGGGGGTTCCAAACCCGAGACCTTTGAGGTACCCCAAACCTCTGCACTATATAAAATCTGGGCCATTGTTTTTGCTTTATACACAGATAGAGCTGGGTTGACCTAATTTCCACCTTTACAGGCAGCGAATTTCAGAATAGCTTTTGCTGATTTAAAGGCTTGCAATTTAATATTGGATAGCTGTGTATTCCAAGATGCCGTTTCTGAGTAAATCAATCCCAGGTATTTAAACGTATATACTTGGTTTATGATGTGTTCATCCAGGTGCCAAACATGCTTTTTAGAACGCTTCCCAAATACAATGACCTGCGTCTTATCATAGTTTATAGATAAAGCATTCCTCGTGCAATATGAACTTAATTTTGCAAGCAGCCGTCTCAGGCCCACCTGGGTTCTAGATATAAGTACTAGGTCATCAGCATACATTAAAACTGAGAGTTTTTTGGTCGAGAATTGTGACAGGGGCAAACTGTAGGCCCTCCAGTTCTTTAACCATGTCATTAATATAAAAATTGAACAGGAAAGGTGCCAAAATGCATCCCTGTTTGACTCCAGTAATGGTCTTAATTCTAGTGGCGAGATGGCCAGCCAGATCCACCTTTACTTGTATTGATGTGTCAGTATATAATGTTTTGATGAGAAATAATAGACGGAGGTCTATATTTATTATTATTATTTGTCTTTTCCAATTTTTGCCACAATGCATGTCTTGGGACCGTATCAAAAGCTGACTTTAGATCGATAAAAGCAACATATAATTTTTGCTTCAAATTATGGATGTATTTACATAGCAGAAAGTTCATCACAAAGCACTGGTCCAATGTGGATTTCTCTCTTTGGAAACCTGCCTGGACTTCAGATATCACCTTATTTGTATCTGCCCATTCTTCTAGTCTCCCAAGAAGGAGCCTGGCATATAGTTTGGAGGCTACATCTAACAAACTAATGGGTCTATAATTGGCAGGGTTTTTCTTATCACCCTTTTTATATATTGGGGCAATTATACTCAACTTCCACCCTTCAGGTATGCGACCTGAGCTGTTAATGTATGAAAACAATTTTGCAAAAATGGGAGACCAGAAATCAGATCTGATCTTATAGATCTCCATTGGGATCATGTCTTCTCCTGGAGCTTTATTAGCTAGTTGGCTTGCGATTAGCCTCTTAATCTGATTGGGCGTGACATCTGGCCATTCTGGCAGTTCTGATAACTGAGTGTAGTAAACTTGTGGGGGTGGGTCAGGACACGGGCCATATATTCCTGTAAAATATGTCACCCAATCCTTTCCTTGGACAGATGCTTCTAACGAGTAGCCCAGCCCATTTGTGCCTTGGGACCTCCTCAGCCCCCCGGGGTATCCACAACCCATCAGTAAAATTAGGATGAAAACGGACACCAAGCTTTGTCCCAATACTGGCTCACAGAAGCCTTAGGCCACATTTGCACCATACATTTAAAGCACTATCATACCAGGTTAAACTGTGGCTTCCCCCAAAGAATTCTGGGAGCTGTAGCTTGTTAAGGGTGTGGAGAATTCTTAAAAGACCCCTGATTTTCCTCCCAGAGTAGAATTCCCAGGGTGGTTTAACAGCCAATCCCCAGTGAACTCTGGGAATTGTAGTTCTGTGAGGGTAAACTACAGGTCCCAGAATTCTTTGGAGGAAGCCGCAATTGTTTAAAGTGGCACCATAGTCCTTTTAACATATTGTGTGAACGTGACCTTACAATAAATGTCTCACCCAGTTATAGCCACCAAGTTCCACTCCAGTTTCACATCTCAATTATCCCAGCATCTCACCAAGCCAACTCCCATCCCTCCTCATTTATTTATTTTTACCTTGAAGAAGCCACTGAGGCACACAATGAGAGTGAAGCATGCTGGGAATGCTGGGGCCAGGATCTCCATTAAGATGGCCATGTCATTCAGGACATCAGCAAAGAGCCTAAGAGGTGTGGTTTTTTGGGGGGGTATTAAATGTCAATCAAAGAGAAAACACTGACCCATCAAGTGTCTGTCTAAGCACAACACCCACAAGAAGGCAATTAACGACAACCTGGAATCTAAATATCCATACAATACAAACTTAAATAATGTGGGACTGGTGTTATAAAATCATTTTATATCACAAGTATAAACAATTACAAACAAACTCAGTAAAATAAACCCAAACACATTTTGCCTTTATTGTATTCCCCAGTAGTCAATAATATTCATACATATGTACACACAGAGAGAGGGGGGCATATATTTCAACGTATTTCAAACGCCATCAAACGCCACCAAAGTTGGAGCGATCAGTGAAATTAATAAGTAAACGCACACCAAATAAGGCTACTACTGGTCTTGTTTCTTATTATACTACGGACGGCGACATATGTGTGCCTGTAAACCAAAACTAGCACTCAAGCAAAGCCATAAACTGTCCTTCCAACTGGAACATATGTCTAAATGTGTCCTAGCTAATGAACCAACAGAAAGTACAGTTGGTGATAAAGTACTGGATTTGTACCCAATTTTAGACATGCAGCTAGAGAGGAGGACACCTATGAAGTTGGGGTCAAAACACCCCTCTTTACCTCCATTGCTTCGCATCGCAGTCCAGTTTGCTCCTGGAAGATAAAAAGGAAATGGGATAATGTGGGAAAGGAGGAGGACAGGGCCCCACAGAGATCAAACTCAGAAAACAGCTGGTGGTCAGAATGTCAGATTAGGACTGGGCAGAAGACCAAGGTTCAGACCCCCACTCAGCCACGAAGGCCCCCCTTGCAGCCTAGCCTACCTCATAAGATTGTTGTAGGGATAACATTGGGGCAGGGGGTGTAAAATCATGAGTGCCACCTTGAAGGAAAGGTGGGATAGCAATGGCTTCTAGCCATGATGGTTCTGTTCCATCTCCGCTGCCAGTGGCAGCATGTCTCTGTGTTCATGGGGGGTAGAAAATCTCAAGTGGGGAAAACTCTTTGTTGCCCTCAGGTCCTCCTTCTGGGCTCCCCATAGGCATCTGGTTGGCCACTGCATGAACAGGGGGTGGGACTAGATGGGGCTTTGGCCTGATCCAGCAATGCACAGGAATAAATAAAACATGAACAGTCCCGCGCTAGCACATTTCCTCCCCCCCACCCCCCACTAGCACCAACAACACAGGGCGGAAGCAGGACTCACCCCTTACTCCAGGCAAAGAGAATTCGGCCCAGCATCCCTGTCCCATCTGAAGAAGAAGGGATAGAGAGCACACATCAGTGGTTGCCACAAAGGGGCAACTGGTCCACATGAGACTGGAGGTTACAGGAAGCTGGCTCGCAACACAGTTTGAATCTGCAAGTTACAAGAGCTTCTTTTTGGAGTGGGGTAGAGACTATATTGCTGGCCAGATGAGGAATGAACTGGAAAAGGGAGAACAGTGCTGAGGGGGGTCACCTTAACCTGAGTGGTTCTGGGTTCAAATCAAGATGAACAGAGTTGGGGAAAGGCTCTGAGGGAGCAGTTTTACATGGCACATTCTCCCTCCCCCCCCCCCCGCTTGCCGAAACTTAGGCCACATTCAGCCATGGGCTCTATTGCATTAGTTGTACTGTTTATACTGTTAGCCCTTCTGTTTCTGATGTTCCTAAATGTTGTGGGGCAGTAAAGAGGGTTTGATTTTGTGGGCACCAGTAAATTAAGTGTTGTTTAAACGCTTACTGAGCATTTATTTAAAGTTCCAAGCAAGCACCTCGAGCTACTTTTAACTGTGGGAAAGGATCAGAAGAGGAAAAGTCACAGAGGATTAACCGAAGGGCAAGTCCCACCTTTCAGGATCCAGGTGACGGTGGCAGCCGTGACGGTTGAAGCCTCATCCCCGACTCCCACCCCTTTCAGCACAGCCTGGGTGGCCAGAGTCCCTGTGATGCTACTGGCAAAGGCCTGGGTTGGGGCAGGGAAAAGAGAGGGGGGCAGTTAGGTCAGAACAGAGGAGGGTTTTTGCCCCACTTAACCACCAGTTTGAGACCTTCCCTTGGGCCTTCGATATCCTATCCTGCCTCAAACCACAGTTTCATCCAAGCCAAAATACTTCCTTTAAAAAATACCCTCCACAGAACTGATGCCCTCACTTTTTCCAGCCTCTGATAATGAAGAGGGCGAGCAGGATGTTGGAAACCAATCACCCCACTGAAAAGCAGACCACCCCCACCCCTGCCCCACCAGGATGGAGAATAGAGCCTTCACCTGCACCGTGTCCCAAATCTGGTAGGCCAGGTAGTCTGAACTCACACTTTCAGGATAACCCTGGGGAAGGAAGACCAACTGCAGGAAAGAGAATAGAGGTTGTTGTCATTGTTTTTAAATTCACGACCACTGATACACATCCGTTTTGACTGTTGGAGTACTTCGGACTTGTTGCCACATGTTTCCCCTGTCAGCCCATCCCAAGAGAAGTGTGGCTGTAGGCTCAGCAGCCCCTCTTCGATTTTTTTAAGAGCATTGTTTTTGCGTCCCAGAGATACGTTGCCTTTTATGCCCACCCTTAAGGCCACACAGTATGTTTCAAGCGGTATGATACCCCTTTAACTGTCATGGCTTCCCCCAAGAATCCTATCCTGGGAACTGTAGTTTATTAGTGGTGCTGAGAGCTGCTACAAGATGCTTATTCCCCTCCCAGAGCTACAATAACCAGAGTTCGCTGGGAAGACGGTTTGCATGCTGAGCATTTTGAAAACATCTTTTAAGAGTCAGGGATGCTTTTCCTCTTCACCCTCCTTCCTGCCAAGACACAACCTGGCATAATACGCAGCACTCGCTCCCACTGACAGATAACACATCACCCCCAAATTCTGTCCTACATCTGTTCCCAACCAATTTCCCTTCTTCAGAAACACAAATCATGCAGCGTCCATGATGCATCTGGTATCACTTATCCCTTTCTGCTCCCACACCTGAGACACACACACACACACACACACACCAAGGCATCCTTCATCCCATCACTCCAGTATCTTCTTCCTAAACCACTATCACCAAACAGTCCTTCCATCCACTCTGCTAAATCTGTACTGCAAAAACACAAAGGGACAATGGACGTTTGTGTGTGTGTGTGTCCATATACAAACACACACTCTCTCTCTCTCATACACACACACACACACACAGAGAGAGAGAGAGAGAGAGAGAGAAATTTAATAAATAATTCGCATATACAACATTCAGGAGCCTTTTGGAAACACAAACCAACAGAAGCTGTTTTCTCACCATGAAGATCTCCCGCAGTGAACGGAATCCTTGATTTTGAGGTCCGTCCGGAATGCAGTCTAGCCTCCCATCAGGCAAGGCCCGGTAGTGCTGAGCACTGCGAGAGCCATAACTTTCCATACAAAGCGGCTGAACCCCCAAATTAGTCATATCTCAAGCAGCTCCTAAGCTGTTAAGGACACACAGTATTATTAATCAATTGTTAACTTTGCATTTGAGAAACAGAATCTGTGAATAGGAATGCATAGGTTAGGACATGAGAACCTCAGGTCCAAGGACTAGATGTGGCTCTCTAAGCCTTTCTACCTGGCCCTTGGGATTCTCCTCGGGGCAGCCATGCCTTCTCCTGACTGAGATGTGTCCTTAAACTCTGATAAGGGCTCCCCCTGCACTGTACATTTAAAGTAGTAGCATACCACGTTAAACAGTCATGGCTTTCCCAAAGGAATCCTAGTAACTGTAGTTTGCTAAGCATCCTGAGAGTAGTTAGGAGACCCCTTTTCCCCTCCAGAAATTCCTGGAAATTCCCAGTATTCTCTTTTGGCCTCTGCTTAAAACATTTTCGTTTAGGCAAGCCTACCAGACAACATGTAGACATTGATGTGCTCTAATCTTTTACTGCTGATTTTAATTATATTATAAATGCTACAGTTATTTGCTTTATCGCTGGCCTTATTGATAATGTTAATATTTCTTGTAAACTGCTTAAAGGTCGTATCAGAATCAAGCGGCATATAAATTTTGCTAAATAAAACCAGTAAATTACACTGCTTGCACAAAGTGCTCAAGACAGCTTGCCACTTTACTGACACAACTGATCTATCCCAAAAGCCCCAGCTAAGTCGTTTTCAGATGCTGGCTGCTTTAAAAACAAAACAAAACAGAAACCTTCCACATTTAAAGGCGTGTGAATCCTAGAACATTATAAGCAGAGGGAATCCCCAAGTATTCAGCACAGGCAAACCAACCCCCTTTTGCACCTAGCTCCTGGGCATACATACAGATATTATCACTTCAGCTCTAAGAATGTACGGGGGGCGCATCCGGAAGCCAGCTTTTCCCAGCAGTGATTGTTGACTGGCAGCTCTCACAGAAGCGCGCACGCCAATGCCTGCTGGCTCCCGGATCTCTCTCCGGGGCTTGGCATGGCACCGCCACCCCGAGCCCAGCCTAACCTTTGCAAGCCGCCGTCCAGGCGCCACCCGCTCAGCGCCCAGATCTATTCCGCCAAGTGGCAGGTCTCGGTTGCTCCAATCTGGGGAGGTTAGGGCTGCGGAGGATGCCGGGGGATATTTGCAAGGGACTATGGGGGCTGTAGTTTTGGGTGGGATTGAGCGCCTCTTCCTCTCCTTAACCTGTGTCCTCCTTCGTTATTAAGATACAGTACAGTATTTGCTTCTTAGGGAAGAAAAAGAAAATCCGGAGGGGTGGCTATATTAATCTGTTGCACCAGCAACAGCGGCGCAGTATCTTGCAGGTTGTGGAAACTCTTTTAACGAATGTCTTACGGCGTAGGATTTTGTGGACTAGGCTTACGATGCCAGCTGGCAAATTATGTAGATTAAAAGTTATACCGTAATTAATGCGCTCGGTAGCACAAGACTACTGTTAAATAAATAATAAAAGCCTTTTTTGGGGGGGGGGGGTAAATGCATATTTACACGCACTCCGAATACCCCATCTCCAGGTTCTTAAGTGAAGTCTTATCCGCGAAGGTATGGCTGCTTAAAACGCTTGCAGAGGTACACAGATTTGGCAGCAGCTTTTCCCAGCGTGGACTTGGAGAAAGCTCTGCAGGTGGAATTGCTGCCTGGCATGCAGCCGCCGAAGGCACAGGGGCTTTATGGGGGGGGGGGGAGAGAGAAAGGGGGCGCCTTCCGTTCTGTTGCGGGGCTGGAGCTGGTTCGTTCCCAGCTGACGCAGCAGTTCTTTACTGCGCGGGATTTAGCTGGAGAGAAACGGGGCGCAAAGGGGTGAAAACTCCACGCGAAAGGGAACCGTTTCCCCCTTTACGAAATAGGCAGCCACGTCCTCCGGGAAGCACCTCCAGCAATCCGTAAACGCCGAGGATCCAGGAGGAACGACGGGAGGAGTTGCAACCCCGGTTCCAAGGAGCTCTGGGAAATGTGGTCCTCCATCGTTGCAGTTGCTGTCATGACTGTCCATAAGAATTTCTGCTTCTCTCCGAGTTTATTGAATCCCTTTTAAAGCCATCTAAGTACACAGCCATCACCACCCCATGCCGTGGCAATAAATCCCACAATTATTAATTTTTAAAAAAAGAAGTGGAGAACGTTTATGCATACAATCTGCTGATCTCCATCTGAATTAGCAAGGTGCAATGGGGGATAACCGTTGGACAGTGTTCTTGAAGCTACTAACATGAGTTTGACCAAATTGCAGGAAACAGTGGAAGACAGGAGTGCCTGGCATGCTCTAGTCCATGGGGTCACGAAGAGTCAGACAAGACTAAACGACTAAACAACAACGAGCTACTTGATTTGTACCTGCCTTGCACATCACGTCACATCAAGAAGTCTTTCTTACCAAAATGGAGCCAGAGAATAATATTGAGAGGGGGAGCTGTATTTTCAATAGATGCAACTTGCTCTTGTCACTGAAGGTTGTATTATCTCTGGCAAGCAGGGTTGGGATAGGTAAAGGCACAGGGGAAACCAATATCCTAAAGTGATCCAGCTCTACACTTGAAACCAAGAAAAGTGACAGCTGGGAGCTACTTTCATTTTTGCATTATCTGAGTTTGACTTTGCTAAGCACACACATGGAAAATTTAAGATTTGTATATATAAGAAGTTGTTTTTGTGGATGGGATCTTAGAAACAGGATTCTCCAGGGACCAGAAAGTTGTGGTATCTAAAAAGCAACAACACAGCTCTGAGCTGCTTTGTGTTTTTGGCTAACATGTGACTTCAGCAGAAACTGCTGGCCCTCATCAGGGCCCCAGCACTCGACTTTGTTTTAACCTCTTCTTGATATATGAGGGGGCTGTGTGAGTTATACAACAACAACAACAACAAAAGGCAGCATAGAAATGCTGTAAAATACATACAAAGAATTCCTAAAGCCCTTCCATATTTGTACAATACTTGTAGCTACATACAGAATTTGAGATGGAGGCAAGCTTTCACTTCAAAAAGTTACTCTTCTTATTTCTGGCTGGCTTTTTCCAGTGCTAGTAAAAGCAACTGGTCCTTTTATCCTGCAGCTCAACTGGCCTAGTGAACTGCTAGGGAACAACCCATTCTTTCCCTGCACTGCTGATTCCTCTAGCCACTTGCACTGTGCTTTTCTTCTTTGGTGACAGTTCACATTACAGCTCTAAAATGTGTACCATTTGTTCCTGAGCCATGTCTGCTCAGTCCTGGTTAGACCCAGGTCATATTTATTCCCCCCCCCCCTAATCTTCACAACACTTTCCACTCAGCTCTCCTTCCTCAAGAGTGAGTCTGTTACTGCATTGGTCTTCAAACTGCTACATAAGGACCAGCTACTGGGTTGCAGCTTCATCTAAGGTGCGTCACAACCACAGCAGCACAACCACCATAGAAATATTATTACTCCTCAAACAAAGGTTTGTGTTAAAAGTGAGTCTGAATATGGAAAGATTAAAGTCTGCTGTGACTACGTTAACATGCACAGCCAGTCCATGGGGTTCATGCATGATTCCTTGTGTATCTCTGTCTCCTCAAACACTCCTCACCCCACAAAGCTAAGTTTTGCTCTGGTGGGGCTCAATGCAACCTCCAGGAATTACCCATAGCAAAAGCCTCCCCCCCCCACCCCCACAACCTCCAATCCTGCCCAGAACCCATCTCCAGAAGGCGGAACACAAGGTTCTAAGAACACAGGGATCTCGCAGGAGCAGATCATCTCCAACTTTTACTTCCAAAACACGGAAAACAATTATTAAAATAACTGAAGAATAAGAATCTCCGACAGGAAGCGTTTGATCTGCATGACTGCTGCCTGCAGACAGTGGTTGTCGTAAAAGTTTTCAAAATGGTAGAAGAAGAAAAAGATCCAAAGGCAATTTGGAGGGAGACCATTTGGGAAATGCTGAGAGGAGGAGGAGGAGCAGCAGCAGCAGCAGCAGAGAGGATTCCTCAGATCTAGGGAGGGGATCCAGTGAAACAGACCCAGGAAGTATACGGGCAAGGGGAGAGAAGAGAAAGTAAACCACTGAAAAGGAAACTCTGCAAAATATTTTAAATGCTTGGGAAGGGGTCCATGGACCAGAGCCAGAAAACTGGTGTGGGGGAGGAATGAGTCTTATGCGGACCCGAGGCAGGTTTTTGCTAGGTAAGCCACAGGATCCAGGCACCGTCTGTGAAAGGGACCCCCTTGGGCGGGAAATTGGACCCAGGTGTTCAGCTGATATAGATGCGGTGGAAGTCATTGGCGCCAAAGGCCGCGTTGCACTTGGGGCACTTCCGCTGGCGGGTGTCGTAGCGTGTCTTGACACAGTCAAAACAGAAGACGTGGAAGCATTTGGTGAGGACAGCATCCTTCTTGCGGGTATTGCAGCAGGGGCAGGTCAGCTTGGCCTGGAGATACGGGACAGATAATTCGTGTAAGATCCTTGACTTGGCTCTCCCCAACAAGGCTTGCCCTGGGTTGCCAACCAACCAACCTCCTCCTTTCTCCTCACCTTGTACTCCTTGATCTCCTCCTGCAAAATCTCATCAGCATCCGCGTACACCTCCACTTTGCGCTGTTTCTCTAGCTTGCGCCGCAAGCGTGATATGTCCTCCTGAGGAAGGGATGCAAGTCAATGAATCCCAAAGGTGGTTAGCAAGACGGAAGGTAACACTGGCATACCAAGAAATATTTATCAGCAGCCATGAGGGCTAGTAACTTGCTTTTTAAAAAATATAATTTTCAACCAAGAGGAGCATTAGAGCAGCTGACACACTTGCAGAGGAGAACAAGTTATCCTCTTTTCTCCTAGTACCTGGGCTCTTTTGAGGTTGAAAGATTCCTTCTCCTTGGCTGCTCGGTTCTCGGCCATACAGGTCTGGATCTCCTTCAGCTTACACTGAACGTGCTCCAGCTGCACCTTCAAGTCCTCTGCCAGCTGGGCAGCCTCCACTGCCTGCCAGAAGAAAAGCAGCAGAAGCCACCACCTCAGAATCTCCCAAGGACAATCAGACACAAGCTGCCCCAACAAAGGCACCCCATTCCTGGGGCTGTGAATACATAGCGCAATTGCACTGTGTGCACCCAAAAACTAGCAATGGGAAGAGAACGCAGTAGCTTGGGAATCTCTGCTTCTAGTTTCTAGCCCCCTAAGGCCATGGAGACCAACTGAGAGGGGATGGGCAATGCCTGGGGAAACTTCATAAGCAGAGGGGCTGGGGAGAGAGACGGAACAGGATTTCCAGATCTTGGGCTTGCAATTTCCCCCAACCCCAATTACTGACAAGACCAGAATATGTTATCTAAAATACAGGCAGAAAATATAACAAAGTTTCAAGATTGAAGAACTGAGCTTGTAAAAAGACTCACTGACCTAGAAAATAATTTTTATTTTTGGAGCACAAGTACCCACGGCCCTGATTGTCTCCCAGTTCAGCCCATGGCTCCTCCCAGCTCCCTCTCCTCACCTTCCGCTTGTTGAGTTCTAAGGCCTGGCTGCGCAAAGTGAGCTCCTTCTCCACTGTGCCCAGATTCCCCTGCAGAACACGCTCCTTCTCCTCCAGCTTCTGCACCACCAACAGCTGGGTGTCCACCTAGGCATGGAAACCAAAGCCACAGCCTTCAGGACATGGGGCAGAAGCCTCCCCTCAAGACCCTCCCCCCTTGTCTCAGGCTCCACAACTGTGTGAGGAGGTAGGGGGACAGGCTCTGCCTTACCTGGGACTTGAGGGCCAGCACCTGCTCAGCCAACTCGTCCTTCTCCTCCCGCAGCAGCTTGTGGATCTGATTGGACTTGATGCGCTCCGACATCAGCTTGAAGTTGGCGTCATCCTTCTCGCGCAGCTGCTGGTTCAGCCGCATGTTCTGCTCTTGCATGTCCTCAAAAGCCTGGCCCGTCACGTCCATTTCGGACAGGAGAGCCTCCTCCTCCTGCCCCAGCAGAGCAGACATAAGGAAGGGAACGAGATTGCTCAAGTTCTCCCTCCTTGCCCTTGCAGCTTCCCTTATTACTACACACACGGCTGGTAATTTTTTGGGGGTGCTGTCAATCCCCTGTTGGCATCAGGACATCAGGCGATTGAAAGGTGAGTGGTCCTGCCCACCTGCCATAGTTGCACTGCAGCTGTGCGGGGAAGTGGTGACCAAGGAGCCTTGAATCCTGCACCCATCAGCAAGGAGAATTCATGCGCATACTACTGCTCCCTGCAGAAAGCAGGAATGAACTGACATGGCTGACAGGTGAAGGTGGTTTTGGAAAAATGGCCTCGCAGGCCAAACCCTGGTGAGCCAGTGAGCCAGAATCTCCCCAACCCTGGTCTATAGATGGCTATAGATGGACTGAAACAAACATCAGGCCTATGGGAAGGCTTCCACCCTGCAGGACAACTTACACCTTGGCTCCTCCCACAGCCAAATACCTGCTTGGTGGCAGCCAGCTTCTTCTGCAGGTGTTCAATTTGCTCCTCGGCCAATTTGATCTTGCGCAAGGCATCCTCATCTGCCATTTTCTTGCTCTCTTTCTTTTCTTTCTCCTCCAACTCGCGGATCCTCACCCGCAGCTCCTCCACCTGCCAAGGGGACCGAGTAAAAGGGAACAGGGGTGACTCCTTATCCCTAGTCCCTCAACATGGTGCTGCCAAATCCATCTCCCAGCACTAAGGCAGGACAAGCCAAATTGCAAGCGTCACAATGTTATTCGCCCTCATTTTAAAAGCACAACCAACCAACCCCAAGCCCCTTTTTTGGGAACTATGATAGCTACTGTCCAGGCGCATCATTCACATCAACTTGCCCAGAATTAGCATGCCAATATGCTATACTGTCACTCAAATGTCTGCTATTGGGGGGCTTTTGGGTTATGTATTTTGTATTTTGATATAGTGATCTTCGGATGAAGGGCAGCATATAAACTTAATAAAAACCCTAGAGAGGACTCTGACTCACTCATACTTAAGTGTGAACTAGCAGAAGGGGCCAATGGGACCTGCACCAAAGCTTGACAGTGCCTAATGCTCATGTTCAGAGTGCCAGCCAGCCCTGCCCTTTTCCAGGGCACAACTTTCCACATCTCTCCAGACCACCCGGCATTCTCCTCCTACCCAGCATGCCCTGTCCTTGTCGGGCTGTTTGGGGACAGAGGGACTATTTTTGTACTTTCCGCCAAACTTTGGGGTTCCCCCCTCACCCAGCTTGCTGATATCTCCCAGCTCTGCGTGGATAGCGTCTCTTTAACTACAGAAGGATCCACACTTGAGAGAATTGAGATTGAGAGTAGCGCATTTGACCCAAGCAAAGAAGAGCTGGAATAAAAGGGGGGCAGAGGAAGTGCAATGTTCAGAAGGCAGCAGGCATCCGTGTGCAGGTGGGCCTCTCACCTCTGCCTTGGTCTTCTTCTCAGCGGCCATGAGCTGCACTTTGTCCCGCTGCTCCTTGGGTGCCGACTTATACATGTCCAAGAGTAGCTTCATCTCCTTCTGACTCTCCTGAGCCTTCCTGAGGAAGGAAACAGGATCAGCATGAAGTGGGGGGGGGGGGACCTTGCACCCCAGGGGTTATTGCTTTGAGACCTATGAGAAACTATGGGGGTGCAAAGGGAGGCTTCAAACTGTCTTACAAGGAACCTCTCAGTTGGGGGGTAACTATTTCAGTGAAGTTCTAGCTTACAGATATCTTTCTTACCTCCCCCTGGGTCCAAACACCAGAGTGAGGGGCCTACCACCAAGGCCTGCCTCCTGAAACCCTAAAATCTTGGCAAAGCATTTTCTGGGCCTCCAGCTCTTCAGCTGCAATACAGCCCTCCAGAGCCCAATCTCCCTCTCTGCTGAGTGCAGAGGTGCAGCTGCTCCCAGGAGCCAAACCACTGGCACAGATCCTCCAGGTTCACGGCCTTTCCTGAGGCCGTTGTGCCCTCCCCCACCCAGTGCTATCCCCCAAAAAAAACATCCTCTCCCCACTTCCCCACCCCCATTTTGAAATGGCACCATCTTCCACCTCCCTCACTTGAGTTCAGTCCGCAGCTGCTTGAGCAGATCGGAATCCTTTTTCTTGGGGTCCTCAGAGCCTCCGCCACCCTTCTGCTTCTCCCGATCCCGCGAGGAAGAGGACGAGGAGGAAGACGACGATGAGGAGGCCTCTTTGTCCCGGTCCCGGGATCTCTCGCGATCCCCGCTCCGTTCCCCACCGCTGCGCCCCTTGGACCGCTCAGGCTCCTTGGCGCGGGGTGGCGGGGGTGGCTGTGGGGCGAGGGGCTGTGGGGCAGGCGGCTCCTCTTCCTCCTTTTTCACCCCTTCATGGATCCCAAGAGGCTGGGGGGCAGCAGCCTCCTCCTTGGGCTCCTTCTTCATTTGCACCTCCTTGGGCTCTTTTTTCACATCGGGAGGCGCTGCTCCCTCTTCCTCTTTCATGGTGGAGGCCCCTGGGGGCCCCAGCAGCCCTGCGGGGTCCTCAGCCCCTGGTGTAGGAGGCGCTGCCGTGGAGCTGGAGGAAAAGCCGCTTTGCTGCAGCCGAACCTGAGCAAAGAACAAACGGACATGAGCTGCAGGGTAAGGTGGCCATCACAGCACCTGGAATTATGGAGCTCAAAGCAGGGGTGGCCAAAGGCCACTTGCAGTCCCCAGCAGACTGTCATATGGGTAGAAGGAGGAGAAATACAAAGAGAAGGGGGGGCAAAGAGAAGGGCCATAGCTGGGTGGTAGAGCATCTATTTTGCACACAGGAGCTCCCAGGTTCAATCCCCAGCATCTCCAGGTAGGGCTGAAAATGTTTCCTTTCTGAAAACAGGAAGGACGATATTGAGCAAGAGGGACCAATGGATTGGGCTCAGGGAAAGGCATCGTCCTCCGTTCCTGCGAGAGAAGGAGTGTCCTGGCCACTTGGGGCTCTGGCCCCATCCACCGCCAGCATGCAGCCCCCGAGAGATTCCTTTGGGGGGGTCATTCCCTGAAACCTCCCCCTCCTGCAACCCCACCTTGTTGATCTCCGCCTGCACTTCCCGGAGCTTCCGCTTGTACCGCTGCACGTCGCCCTTCAGCTGGTGGTTATGGTTCTGGAGGCTGCTGATCAGGTGGCGCATCTCTCGGTTAATGGGACCTCGGGTTCAAACGGAGGGAGGGGGGAAGAGAAGAGTGAGAATGAACAATTTGGGAGGCAGATGACTTCTGCACAGGGCAGACCTTAGAGCAGGGTTTCCCAAACTGTTCATGGACTACAATTTCCATCATCCCTGACCACTGGCCCTGCTAGTTAGGGATGATGTTCTTGTAGTCCAAGAACAGCTGGATCCCCAAGTTCTGGGAAACTCGCCTTAAGTGTATTAAAGGGAGAAAAATATTCATTTGGGGCCAAACCACGAATGCTCAATGGGAAGGAATGCAGCCTCACCTGCTTGCTCGTTGGCGGCCAAGTTCTGCTCAAATTCAATGCGCAGCATCTCATATTCTTTGCGCACCTGGGCCAGGGTGTCCTCCAGCTGGATCACCTCCGTCCGCAACTTCTTCTGCAGGTTCAGCTCATCACTCTGTTGCCAAGGAAGATGGGGAGGGGCAAGTAATATCAGCCGGGGGGGAGGGGGAGAACAGGGTGCAAGACCACTCTTTCTCCTTGGTAACTTTCGCAGTCTGACAAACAGTGGGGGGCATAAGCTCTTCCCACTGAAATGAACCTAAATCAAGGGTGCCCACTGATTTCAATGGCTAATTTTGGATGCCACCCAGGGCTTCATGAGATTATGCTATCAGGGTCTAAAAGGAAGGTCACCAGCGGCCACTAGCCATGACGGCTATGTCTTCCTCTACTGTTGGATGCCTCCGAGTGCCAGTTTCTTGGCATTGTGGGGAGAGTAGGGCTCTTGGCATTCAGGTTCTGCTTATGGGTTTCCCAGGGGCATCTGGCTGATCCAGCAGGGCCCTTGTGCTCTTCTATGAAACTGCAAAACTGCTTTCCTTACCATTCTATCTAATGCTACAAAGCAAAGAGGTACAGGAAAGGCTTAAGCACGCCTGCTGACTACCCTTTCAGGGGTTAGAGAGCAGGCGCACACACTTCACGGGCTCCCTCACCTCCATGTGCTCGATGTGGCGCAGGTGGCTGTTCTTGGTGGTGAGCAGAAGGGCTCGGGCCTCGTCCAGCTGCGTTTTCACCTGCAGGCTCTCGTTGTACAGCAGCGAGAACTGAGACTGCAGCACTTTGTACTCCAGTGTCTCTTTCACCGCCTCCTCAGGCAGGCTCCGTAGCGCCACCTGCAGGGGAAGGGCAGAGAACAGGTGCCTGGGGGAGGAGAGCCACGGTAGCTCTCCACGTCAACTGCCCCACGTCATCACCCCTGGGAGTGGTCTTGGTGGCTCTTTTAAAAGAAACATGCCCCATCCTGCATGTTCGGGTGTATTAAGTGTAATAGCAAGTGTACAAAAAAACCTACCAGCAGCAAATGGGTCAAAGGCTTAAGATACTCAGCCTGAGGCTTGTGCCTTTCTGCCTGATTGCTGAAAGGCTTCGGATGCTGCACGCACGAGTGTACATAAAGGAAGCATCTGACGTTGTTTGGACTGGTTTAGTTCTATTGACAAATGTTGGGGGAGGGGGAGTCATGGGAACATAGGAATCTGTCAAGAGCATTGGTCAATTTAGGTCAGCACTTTTGATTGACAGCGAACATTTCCAGCCTTAGCCGGAGATGCCAGGGATTGAACACATGTCCTTCTGAGCTACGAGCCTTCCCCAAAGTCAATCTGGAATTCTTTTGCCAGGAAGCAAAGAACACACAGGTCCTGCTTTCTGAACACGATGCATTCTCAGAAAATCGTTCATTAGGCAAGCGGGCATATAACAAGTTAATGGTTTTCATTATTTCCTATAGGAACATTTCTAATCCATGCTTTCTCACGCCACGCTTTCTGCCTGAAACTGCTGCAGCCAATCAGCAAAGGTAAAACAAAGGAAAAATAGATTTGTCCAATCTCTCTTGTTCCCCGATTTGTCCAATCGCTCTCATTTCCCGCCATGGTTTCGGCCTGAAACAGCAGCTGCTGACCAGCAAAACACAAACAAGTAAAGAACTGGACAAACTACAGCTGTCTGGACATCTGAGTCAGCCATTTGTGAATAATTCTTTGTGTTCAGATAAGTGAGATTTTGGATAACAAGTATTCTGATAGCAGAACCTGCGTGTAATGGACTGAGGTGCCAAGAAGAAGAAGAATATGAAATACTGAAGCACTATACTACACAGATGTAGAGAACCTGGAAATGCACAGAAAAAGAGCTCTTCAGAGACACCGCCTTCCCCCATCACTAGAAACATAAATAATATCCCTCTACACCCTGCACCTGCAAAAGTGGCTCTAAAGCAGATTCTCCAGAACCATCATTCCTGGTCATACTAGCATATTTTCAGCCTGCCACTAGAGGGCATTCTGCTTCCCTTCCCCAAATTCCACAGGAGGCTCTTCCTTACCTTGAGCTTCTCATTGGTCCTCACAGCCTGCTGCATTTCATGTTGCAGTTTCTCCAGCTCCGCCATGCGGCTGTTGGCAAGCTCTTGGTGCTCCTCCAGCTCCGCGTTCAGCATCTCAAACTACAAAAGCCCAGGCACAAAACTGAAGCAGGAAGATTCCGCAAAGAGAAGCACTTGGACCTGCAAGACTCCCATCCCAGCGCCGCTGACATCCCACCCCCCGGTTGTTTTTCTCCCGCTTACCTTCTGCATGCTAAGTGTGATCTGCCCACCCTGGAACCCGCCGGAACTGCCCGATGCGTAGTAGCCCGAGTTTAGCTGCCAAAGGAGTTAGAGAACAAAGTTCAGTGCCTTGTACGCTACAATGAACCATATTGGCCCATGGGCTGGGGGGGAACAGGGGGGCCCTGAAGGTCTTCGCTTGCCTGTTCCAGGGCCTCAGCCAGGTGCTTGTTCAGCTTCTGCTCCCGCTTGCGCAGCTTCTCGATATCCCACTGCAGGTCCTCGATGGTCGTCTCCATCTCCAGCACTTTGGTCTCGGAGGAGGTCACCTTGTCTTGCAGTTCCGTGTACTAAGCGAGCCAGAGGAGAAAAAGATGCAGACATGCCAGGCTTCAGAACGATTCTCTCCCACAAAGCGGCATTGGCTATGGGAAGCCCTGCCTGCACCCGCACTTTACTGACATCTGACAAGGAACCTACCTCCAAGGAGATCTTATGGTGCTTCTCTTGCAGCTGGGTGGTCAGGTCCTGCAAGTGCCGATTCTCCCTCATCAGGTCCTTGTTGAGAGACTTCACGGCTTCTTCCAGTTGGTCAAACTCCACTGGGGAAAGAAAGAGGCCCCTGAGAACCCAGGACGCCAACTCCCAGCCCCCGCTCCCAGCAACTTCCTCAGCTGGCTGCCACAGGCTATTTACAATTTTGCATTAAAACATCTTACGGTTCCTTCACTGCACAGGCATGAGAAGAACAGAAAACACCGTGCTGCTTCCAACACCTCTCTCCTCAAGGGACCAGAATTCTGCATCTCAACAATCTCCCTTTTCCATTAATTTAAAAAGTTATCTGGTTTCTCCACAGGTCCTATTTACCTCATGCAACACTTACGCCTCCATTTCTAACAAACCTTTTCTACTATCTATTCCACATGAATTCCAAATCATATTAGGGCTTTTCGGAAATGCCCCCTCTGCCCCCAACATAAACTGAACAAAATCAATTGATACCAAATAGAACATATTTTGGTTTGCTTTGCCCTTAAAGCAAGAGAACTGTTTAGGTCAGCATCTCAGACACAGGTAGGAACCAAACCTTTTAATACCAGGCTTTTACCATCTCAACAGGTTAATAATAATAATAATATACCCTTGAAAATGAATGAAGCACAGTTAATAATAATAATAGAACCATTCATGTCAGCATCAATAAAAGATCCCATGAGGTGACCCAACTGAACTCCAAAAGGACCTTTCCCCCAAAAAGCTGCCAAAGTAGACAGCTTTCTCCATAACTCTTGTTCTTGCTTTGTTGCTTTGCTAGCTCATTTCTATGGATTCTTTTTTTCTGTATTTTTGAAAATTTAATTTAAAATGTCATTTAAAAAAAAAAAACCTCCCTTTTCTAACTGATGCCTGGAAGTAAAAGTTATGTAAAGGATCCTGGGAATGCTGTCAAAATCTACCTCATAGGGTTGTTGTGGGGATTAAATGCTATAGGGCAGAACCATGTAGAACACCTGGAGCTCCTTAGAGAAAAATGCGGGAAATAAATGCGATAAATAAAATAATTATAATTATACGAATGCTTCAAAAGGTGCCTGCTCAGCCCAGCTCTGACAAGGGGCCTGGCCTCACCCCGGGCGTGGATCTTCTGGCAAAGTTCCTCGGTGCGCCGGTGGATCTTGTCAGAGAACTCCACGATGCGGGAGACGGCAGCTTTGGAGAACTCCATGCGCTCCTGGAGCTGCAGCTCAATCTCTTCGCTGCTGCTGCTGGCCAAGGTAGCCAAGAAGGAGAGGGCTGACTCGTTCAGCACAAGCCCCGCTCCGGCTTTCCACGGGGCGGGGGGAGTAACGGGGGACAGGACTGCCTCTGTGGGGACCAGAAGAACAGCAATGGTTACTGGCTCCGAGGACGGGAGCTGCATCTCCTCCCAGCATCCTGTATCGGAGAGAGCCGGGCTCACCTCTCCTCTCCAGCCCCTCCTGCCCCAGGAGAGCGGCATCCAACTCGGCTCCCGTCATCTCCAACTTGGGCTCCTCAAGAGGCTGGCCGCATTCTCCGTCACATCGCCTCAGCAGCACTTGCACGGTCTCATCTAGCTGTAGAAATTGGAGGGGGGAGGAGAGACGGCTTGAGAAGGACACAGGGAGAGAGAGGACATAGGGGATGCCACAGGCAGGGCTGGGTGAATACCAAAACTATCCAGCTTCCAGTTATCTCCATTTGGCTTGTGCTTGTCACAAGGAAGGTGACACAGGAGCAACACGGCAAAATATCGCTCCCCAACCACTTAGAAGCTCTGCTTAATGCCCTGCTGGTTTCCTAACGCTTCCACCAGCTGCTGAACTGATCATCAACCTCATCTTGTCAACCTTAAGGACTAGAAACTTAAGAAAAGGAAACGAGCGGCCAGGAAGGCACCCTGACCTGCTTCCAGTAGCGGTTGACAATCAGGAGAGTGGCATCGTCAGTGGCCTGCCTCTTCTCCAGCTTTTCTATGCGCTCACGCAGCTCGTCCTCAAAGGCCTGCCGCTGCTCCAGGCGCTCGGCTAATTTCTTGTTCTTGAACTGGAGCACCTTGAGGTCCATCTCCTCCTGAAATAAAACAGAACGTCAGAGTGTGAATCACAGAATGATCCTCGGCCGTTTCCATCAACAACCCCAAGTTCTGATGGTATTTCTATTAGATAGATAGATGATAGATAGATGAGAGAGAGAGAGAGAGAGAGAGATACACGCACACATCAACAGCACCCTAAAGAAAAATATGGTCCATCATCATTTACCCTAATGAGGCACAAAACTATAACTAGAATGAATTCCACACACCCCCTTTTTTAAATTGACCATTAATTCTAAAAGGGTGCAGATCAGTGGCAGAACACATGCTTTATTTGCAAAGGTCTCAGATTTGAACCCCAACATCTCCATGGAGGATTAGGAAGGACTCCCTGCTGAAAGCTGGTGCCCGACACTGCCAACAATACCAATCAACAATCTGAGTCAGTATAAGGCAGTTTTCTATTCTTTTGGTTAAAGATAGATAAATGTATTGCTGTACATACACTGATAGATAGCATATAGACAATAAAAGTAAGTATGAAGAGGATGTTGGGTGGAAGGATGTTATAAAGGAGTCAATATGACCTATTAAAGAGTGAGAAGGAATTTGCTGGCACTGGTAGGTGAACCTATGACCTTGCTCTTCATCAAGCCCCTGCCTATGATGTTACTTTTGCTCTCCCAATAAGGTTGTTGCATAGTTGCCCAACTGCAATTCCCCTTGATACGGTACTCAATTTCTACTCGTGTGCAAAGCTAAGGTGAGGGAAGGCCCCTATATAAACCTGAGTCATTTATAGGCCACAACTCTACTTTTCTGAGTTCCCAGCAGCTGCTGCTGTTCTGACCAAGTAACAACTGCCTTTGAAATCACAACTGGTGTTGTTAAAAGACAAAAATCTGCCACAGGGGCCCATGCCCCTGCTGAAAAGGTTCACATCAGGAAGCAAACCTGGAAGCTGCTGCTTAACATTTTCCTCTAAAAGTGATGGGGGAAGGTATTTCTAACTCCTAAATCTTAGCATCTAATTTTATGCCACCAGTCCTGCAGAGATATTTCAGATACCCAGCTACCAACATCCAGTTTCTAGGCAAAATTATAGGCATGGATTGTTTTTTTCTGGTCCCAACCTATATAATATTCTTTATTACAGAGTTGCCTATTTAAAAAGCCTGATCTGGAGCATACTTGCGCCCCCAAATTCCCAACATTTATTTCCAGAGGGTTTTTTTTTATTTTAAAAAATCAAAACAAATAATTGCCATGTAGAAAGAGTTCTCTTCTCACAGTGCCCAGCCAGATGCCCACGAGAAGCTCACAAGCAGGACCTGAGGGAAACAGTACTGTCAAGCTCAGGTTCCCCAGCAGTTGGTATTCAGTGCAAGCTGCCTCTGACAGTTGAGGCAGAACGCAGTCATAACTAGTGGCTGCTGACAGCCTTATCCTTCATGAATCTGTCCAACCCCCTTTCAAAGCTATCCAATTTGGCAGCCATCATGGCACCTTGCAGAAGCGAATTTCAGACTTTTACCACCACCACCGAGTACTTCTCCACCCTGCACTCAATCCCCTGGTCCTCACCGTGGAAGAGATGCCCCCCAGGCGGATGGGCTCAATCAGGGTAGTGGTAGTCTTCTCCTCCCTGTTGGATTTCTTCTCAGGGGGCCCAGAGCCTCCATCCCCGGCTGCCCGCTTGCTCGCAAGTCCCGACATGGTGACTCTGAGCAGCAGGCGAGAGCAGAGGAATCAGGCAGTCAGCCAACGGGGGCAGCGCTTCAGCTACAAAGGGAAAGGAAAAAAGAGAGGGTGAGTTGCAGTTGCCCATAAGTAGACTAGTGTGACATTAATCCTCCCATAGTCAAGACCAGGTACTGCTTCCCGTATCTGGTCAGAAATGCAGAAAGAAGGGGATCAGCTATGCTAAGCAAAACACAGAGGGCAAAAGGGGTGTGTGGTAGGTAAGGAAATGCAGTGACATTATCAAGGAATCATGGAAATTTTTATAAGAGGGCACAAAGGGGAACAAAAGTTGCAGATATGGCTGCTAACTCCCCCTCCCCCTGTGTGCTCTTTAAAGTTATATACCAGGCCAAAAACCAACAAGTGTCCCCTGGCACAGAGACAGTTAATGAGGAACAGGCACCTGCTGAACCACTGATGTCTATCTTGGTGCTGTACCAAGAGCTCTGCTGGGCGGAGAAGTGTTGACAAGCAGATATAAAGAAAGCATAGGCTTGGAGAAGAGGTAAGGCTTAGAAGAAGAAGAAAAAAGAGGAAGTCAAGTAAACTATGGGAAAATATTCTTAAATTGAGAGCTAACAAACCAAAATAAGGAGTGAAATAAGGGTGGGGGTAAAAATGGGAAGGAGGCAAACACTTCACGCCCTATTTTTAAATAGCTTTGCTCCTTCCCTCTGGCATGTTTTTCAGGTGCGAGGGGTGGGGGTCCCGTGTCCCTCCACCAGACGCTGCGGGACTCGCGACTCCCCTCAGACCCTCAGTCGTGGGGAGACACTGGGGGGTCGCAGTCCCAAGAGCCTCTGCAGGGCCAGCGGTTCCCCACCCGACCCCCGACCCCGCCAGGACCCCCTCACAGCCCTGACAATTCAAGGGAAGGATGAGGCCACCTTTCAAAGGGCAGCGTCGGAATACCCGCCAAGGCGGGCGAGGCTTGTTCTGGGGAAAGTTCAGTTAGGAACAATCCACATTGGCAAGGCGGGGGACCTCAATAAGGCGGGGGGGCGGGGAGAGCGGGGCGGGAGACGTGCAGGGAGCGTGCTGTGAGGGGGGGTCTGGTGTCGGGGGGATCTCCTCTCACACTCACCTGCCTGAGCGCCCCTCCCCCCGGCTGCGGCTTCCTCGTCCTTCTCCCCCCGCCCCCCATGCGTTACTCCGGCCGAGAAACGCCAGCGCGCCTACTGCGCATGCTCTCCCGCAACCATTCTCAAGGCCCAACCTTCGCCTCTTTGCCGAGTGCGCACGCGCAAACCCAACCTCAAGCTATTGGGCAAAGCGCGAACCAGGGCTGCGCTGGTTAACCTCACCGAGACGCCTTAACGGAAGCGCGCTCTGTGATTGGCTCATTCTTTATCGTAGACTTCCCATAGTTAGAGTGAGGCGCGCCGCAGGAGACCCTTGAATTGGAGATTTCGATCCAACATGTCAACTTGTGCTTCAGGTCCTTAACTTAAAATGCAAATTTTAATCCAGTAAGATTCTACTCGGCGCCCAACACTCAGGTCCCTAGAGGAATAAAAGCGCTTTTCTAGCTCTATGGCGTCCGAACAAAATTCACATATGTTATGATGTCGCCTTAATTTTTCTATCTCTACTGATACTCTCTGCCCCCCCCCACCGCCGGAACACTTCAAAGAGAACCTCTACAATTGGCTAAGCGCTTCGCCCTCAAGTGTTCCTCGTTCTTATTGGACGAATTTCGACGGAATTCCAATTGGCTGAAGCAGAGATTGCTATGGCAACGCGTGATTCCCCCAACCTTCTACACTCCGACAACCAGAGATGGGGTTGGAGGGCTTCCAGCAGGTGAAAGGGGCGGGGGGAATTCAATAATATTCACGTGCAGGCCAATATTTCCCATTTTCACTTCGAACATATTGCTGGGGAAAGGGGGGGGCGACACGAGGCAGAAACTCAACTGGGACAGCTTTTGGCGCAGTAGAAATGGTGGAAGGAAACGCTTCGCCCGCCAAGTGCCTGCCTGTCGTGCAGCTGTTGAAATCACAGGGGTGTCTGTCAGGATTGGGAAGCAATCCTAATACCAAAAATTGTCAACGTTTCATAGTAAATAATAGTTATCTACCAGTGGTAAGAATAATAATCCATGCTGAAGTATAAGTTGTGATGACATTTTGCATAAACCACCAACATAAATGAAAATCGATTACGGTAAATAAAAATGTTCTGTTCGATGGAAAAAAATTATCTTATTTGCAATTATAGCAATATGGCTTTCAGCTTTAAATTGTGTAACCAACACTATTCAAAGCACGCTCCAGCCAAGTAGAATTTGTTCCCATTGTGGCACGATAATCTGCCACCAAATCTCATTGAAATAACCAGTAGTAATAATAGTAGTACTAGTAAAACATGTCTCTCCTGTATCAGCCTCTATAGGCACTGTAACTCTCCAGTGGCTTGACTTCACCCCCAAAGGCACATTCTTCTATTGTCTCTTGAAACAGACAGATGTCAGCAATAGTAGTATACAATTTGGTCATACAACTGTGTAAGAAAAAATATTTGTAAATTGATCCCTAACACTCCTACTCAAAAATTATTTCTGTTTTTCAGCCTCAGCCTCATAAGGCAAAGATATGCATGTGGTGAGTAACTGCTTATGTGTATTAATTTAGAAGAAGCATTAATTGCCACATCCTACCCCAGAATCAGCTGTATTTTGGTGCATGGCCTGAAAATCCTTGAATTTTGGCATTGCTGCATGTTTGATGCCCATTATACCTAAGGCTGCTTGTGTACATTAAGAACATGAAGCTGTTTTTCAGGTTACTTGCTTTCCCTTGTTCTTCCTGTTCCAGGAAATATCTAGATGTTCACTCCATGGATTTAATCAACAAGGCTGGAACCACTGATGAACTGAAGAGGTGATGAGACTTTAAGACTAAGAAACATTAGCCATGTCAGTCTCTTACCAAAACAAACATCTAAGTAAGAGTTACTGCTGAATAAACACATAGAGAATCGGGCTGCATTCAGGATGTTCCAGATAATGGAACACATCCTAAATGCAGAGCGACAGAGGGTAAAGTCCTCTAAATTTTAAAGAACCAGCATTGGCTATACATATTTAACCAGACACTGTTTAAAGAGGTTACTAAGAATAGGTGGCTGGATATATCCAAGTCTGAAGAATCAAACTGGCAGTGAAATTTTAAAAACCTTGATCTACTCCCTCACTGTTCTCAGGTGCAGAGTCATCTTATTGCAGTTAGCTGTGCAAAATAAAGGCAGACGCCTACCAGTTAAAGGAAATAGTGATGATGGAAGAATTTTGTCATTCTCCCATCAAACAGGATTGTCTATAATCCTACCTCCCTATTTCCCTTCTTCTCTGCAGCCTCCTCTCCAGACTCTTGGATTTGCAAGATTTCGAAACAAACCCACGCTCCACTATCTTATTGGATCTGTACTTCTACACCATCCAGTTCTGCCGGGAGCAGGGCTTCAACAGGGAACAGACCTCAGCCTTCTTCTCAATTGTGAAGGATGTACACGAGGCCTGTGTAGGTAAGCAAATGGATGTCAGAAGAGAGAAGGGAGTTTTGTGAATGGAAAAGAAGAATGAGGGGGATGTGGGGAAATGTGACCGCAGAAGCCTCATTGGGAGCAACGTGGCATTATAAAGAGTAGGATACTGTCTTAAGTACACAGTTTCTTTAGGTTATTGTGGATGCCTGTTAGTGCTATAGTGATGCTGCCTTATCATAAGGCAAAGAGGTGAGACTAACACCCAGAGCCGGTCCTGTTGGCTGCCAGTTGGGGAACTGGGCTGTAGAAAAAGGGCTTGAGAAGAAGAACATGATGCTTCCACCTTCTTCTCCTATAGAAACACCACTGCCCAATGTGGAGGAATGCTACAACTACTTCTCTGAACTTGTTTTTTGCCACTCCATCCGGGTGAGTGTGTCCAGACAGGGCAAAAATGATAACACAACCGAGATGTCATCCCTCCCCAATATTCCTCTTTTCAGCACTGCGTATGTGGAAGGGAATGGCACCCCCCACACACACACACACAATCTTACCTATTTTTTCACACTTCTTTAGAGACCCCCCTTCAGCATTGATCTCTTCAATCAGAACCAGCTGGTGCGCCTAACAGACTACATGATCAACACCTACTTCCGCCACTACAAACTTTACAAATACGCTTTCACTCCACAGGTAAAAATTTGTCAGGGTTTGGGTGGATGGGAAGGAGCTCTCATGTCACCTTCCCATGCCATGGGAGGAAAGGGTTTGCAGGATCCTGGATGATTTATGTGTAGCACGAGGGATTAAACATGGACTCTGATGCTCCCATGGATTTTGGGGTGGGATCCAACATTGCCACTCAGCTTCCATCAGCGGAACAGGAAAGGAAGCAATTTCCAGCTATTCCAAAGGAGCAGCACAAGAGCTTCTGCTCTGGAGGATCCCCCAACCCTCTGGAGAAGGTATAGGGGGAGAAAATTGCTGAAGTTTGCTTCCTTCAAGTCTTACCATCAAGCTGAGCAACACTGCTGGATATGGCCCTTTATTTTTAAGAGCAAGGTACTTTGTGGATGCAGTGAAAATCATCAAAATGTGACCAGAAACTAGCCAGCCAGTGAAATCAGTGGATCACTCCTCAGCAGCCACATGCTCATACATACCGGTCCCAAATCCCCTCTCTTCCCTAGGTGCGATTGGACATATCATTCACTTACATTGGGATGCCTGAACCAGAGCCCAAATATGAAGGTAAGTGTGGGCAGGCCCAGATCCTCCCTCCCTCTGAGCACAACAGTGTAAGCTGACTGTCATTCACCTGTATTGACAAGGATGTTAAAGGGGTGAAAAAGAAATTGGCCAGTCCTTCTAAATGAGGACATCTCCCGGAGTAGGACAAGGGGAAGACAAAAGCTACATATAAATCTGTGGCAGAAGGTGGCTTTAAAGCAAGCATAGGCAAACTCAGCCCTCCAGATGTTTTGGGACTACAATTCCCATCATCCCTGACCACTGGTCCTGTTAGCTAGGGATCATGGGAGTTGTAGTCCCAAAACATCTGGAGGGCCGAGTTTGCCTATGCCTGCTTTAAAGTAACACACAGACCTAGTTATATAGGAAGCCATCTAAAAAATATGTGTTTATTATAGGAAGGCATCCTCTGCCAGATTAAATTGTCGGTCCAGTGTTTAGCCCAGTGTTTATTCTGACTGAGGATCTCAGGCAAAGCTACATCTTGCCCAGCTCTATGATCTTGAGAGCCTTTTAACTGGAAATAACGAAGGATTGAACCTGGGTTATGTTCTGTGTGAACAGCACACGTTTCACCCCTGAGAGATGAGTCTTCCCTCTTTGGGGCCGTGGCGCTCTTGCTTTGAATCAGTACTTGGTCCTCAAATGCTAAAATGTCACAATAGCCTCCCGCGTCTTGGGTCAGGTTGAAGTTTTTACAACTACCAAGAGGGTCCTACAGGCCCAAGAGAGTCTGTAGGAAAGGATACAATATCAAGAGTTGTTGCCCCCAATCCAACCCTTTCCCCCCAAAGGGTTTTTAACATCTCTTTCTTCTACAGAAGCAGCAACTGAGGACTCAGAGGCAGCTTTGTCACCTCTGCAGGAGGATATGGACGAGACAGCTATTGCTGAAGAAAGTAAGAGAGGGTGGCTCAGTGGCTGGGGCTAGTGTGTAGTGTCCAGAGTGAGCTAAAAAGTCCCCCAGCTCAGATTTCATCTTAGTCATGAGGTCTTGGGTGAACCTCCCTCACTCCCTCTCTCTGCCCTTGGTTCCTCATCTGCAATCTGGGGATAGTAATATTGCCCTACCTTACAGACTTGTTGTAAAATCTACTGAAGTTATGACCTTGCCTATCCATTGCACTAAGCCAAACTGTGGTTCCCAGGGAGGAGCTTGCAGCCAGTTTGCTCCTCCCCAGCCATGTTTTCGTTGCCACACCACACTGAACTAAGCCAGTTTGGAGTGGCATGGCATCCAAAACCAGGCGTGTGGTTGAGCTCTCGTCAGGCTATCCACAAGCTTTAACCAAGAACAAACTCATGGTTTGTCTGAAAAGAGCTTAACCAGAAACCTGGGTTTAGACAACACGCTAAGCCAGACATTGGCTTAGCTCAGCACATCATTGAAAGAGGCTGAGGCAGAGCAATGCGGCCCAGGCCAGTATGCGGTAAGTGCTTCAAATGCTGCAAAAGTGCTATTTAAACGGTGAGTAGTGTATTCTTTTTTGGTGTGGGGGGCACTCCCGAACCCCAGAGCGGTAGCCTAGAGGCGAGTGCTCTCTCCCGCTTATTCTGCCTCCTCCTAGGTCCCACCGCTGTGCTGCGAGAGTACATTGCAAACCAGCTCACCCAGGAGCTGACCATGCTGCGCCTTTCAGTAGATCAGCGCTTGAAGGCAACGGAGGACCAGTTTAACGCCAAGCTGCTCCAGCTGGAGAAGGGCCCGGGCAAGGGGGGTGCCAAGGGCAAGAAAAAATAAGCAGGTTGGGAGGAGAGAGAATTAACTTTTTAGATTAGAATGTTGAGAGGTTATCAGGGCCCACCCATTAAGTATCTCATTCCTCAAAAATTGTGGAAATGAGTAATAGTTAAATGGGGGGTGGCCAGATAGACCACACTTTTAAATGCCTTTTAGAAACCTGTTTTTCAAAAACTTTCTACAGAGAAACCTGTGATGTTGAGACATTAAAGAGCTTTCCAAACAATCGGTACCACTGTTGCACATCTTCTGTGTATCTCCAGGCTGTATCTCCTCTCTCTCAGCCTGCTGCATTCCCCATCCGAAGCACTCAAACCATTGTATAGAGTAGGTCTCCTCACACCCTACTAGCAGAGCTGCTACACTTTGGGGGCGCTGTCTGAATTGGGGATGTGCGAGTATCGCAGGCATCGTGCGTCCATGCCATCTCCCTCACTGGACCAGCTGCTGGAGTGAAACTGACACACTGCCTTTCTTCAGATTTTCTCTTGAGTCCCTTTGATTCCCACTCTGTCCCACTCTTCTCAAGCTGAACTCTTTTCCCGTAGGTGCACACCCCTTCCAGCAGCAACAGGATACCCCTCACCCCACCCCCAAAACATTGAACACCCCTTGGATTTTTCGCAAGAGAAATTCAACTCTCTGCCCTCTCCCAACTGAAAGGATACGGCCGCTTCTTAGGAAGCAAAGAAAGCCAAAGTCTGGCATCAGTTTTGGTCACATTCCATTTTATTCTAATTGTGACATCATGGATGTGGAAAGATGGCACAACCAGGTGGAAAATAAAATACAATATAATCTACAGAGAAGGGTCGGGCCCAATTCCTGCTAGCAGGGAAAGGGAACTCTGCAATTTCCAATCCCAATCCACCCCCTTCCTCCCTGGACCACCCATACTGGCTATAGGCAAGGATTGATCCCTCAGCAATGGTGAAGTTGGCTGCTTTGAGGGGCAAGAGGTAGCAGGTCCTCTTACTGTGGGAAGAGATGCAAGGACAAAAAGTCCTTCTTCTGGCAACACAGATAAGCCTCCCTAATCCATACACATCTAACAATTCAGATGCTCTGTATTCTTGCCCTACACAGATCTCAGGGCCCTTCCCAGGTATGTTAGGGGACCCTTAGTTTCTGACAGCCACAAACTCAGGAATTCTTTCCAGAAGGCAAAGAAGTCCTTGTTCCCCAGGAAATTGGACCCCCCTTCGCATGCAAGGATGAGGATACCTCCCCACAGGAGGTACTTGCCGTTCCCCCAAGAAGAGATGGAAGGTGGTGGGACAGTTCTTGAAGTGGCTCCTGCCTCCTTTCTTCGTTCAGGGACCCAGTGATTCCACAGTTGCACAGGGAGCAGCAACCGGGTGTTTAGTTGGGAGGGTCATCCACCGCAGACGCAGGGGCTTCCTCCCCCTCTGTGCTGAGCAAGACAAGCTGGATGGCCTTGGGGACGTTTTCAAAGAGGGCGGCCCGGTTCTGCTGCTCACCTTTCTTGACCCAGTGCCCATAGATGCGGAAGGCGCACGCGTCAATCAGCTTGCGCACCCCCTTGAGCGCATAGGGGTCGCACATGAGCATCTCCTTGGTGACCGGCCGTACCCGCCGGTAGTTGGAGACGATGCGGATAGAGGCCCGCACAGTCCATGCAAGAACCTATCGCGGGAAAGAGACAGGAATAGTGTCAATATGGGAAGTGAGACCTAGAAGGTTAGCAGGAGAGAACATCAGCACTTGCTGCGCCAGACTAAGACCCACCTGGTCCAGCATTCTTATTTATCAATTCATTTATTTAAATGATTGTAATCCACACTTTCATAAAGTATATCAAGGTGGCTTACAATGGACAGAGTATAATAAAATCAGTGTAGACATATCAGTAAAACATCAGTAGATACTGGTTGGTTAAAAAAAAAAGTTCCTATTGTGAAGAGTGGTCTAAACAGTAGTTTTCAGCAGACTGAAATAAGGCATTTTCCTGCCAAACCTCTTCCGGATAAGGAGTTCAGCAGGGCAGGGCCTAAAGGCACAGCCTCTAGTGAAGGCCAAATGAAACTCAGGGGCCTGGGCAACCTCCAGAGGTGTCCTGTTTGAGCAGAGCTTTCCAAACTGTGTGTCGCGAGTCATGACACGTTGGTTTGTCAGCTGCAGTGTGTAGGTGAGTCACACAAACGCTCCCCACACTCCTCCCGGGGCTGGAATGGGCTTAGTTTAACCTCCAGTTTGCTAGTAAAACTGAATTACTGTCACAACATGATGCATATCTTAAAAGTGTATCACCAACATGAAATGTTTGGAAAACACTGTTAAAGAGGATCTCCGTGATCAAGGGGGAGTTTAATGCATGAGACCATCCTGAACGTATTTTGCACCCAAGTTGTTTAGGGCTTTGTGAATTAACACAAGGACCGTGAACCTGGCCTGGTAGCAAATCAACCACTTCTCCAGTGTGGCTTCCCGGGTGCTTCTGGGAAGTCAACAAATGGAACATAAATGCAACAGCCCTCTCTCCTACTTCTGCTCCTCAGCAAGTAGTATTGAGAGGCATACTGCTACCTCTGATCCCATATCATAAAGCAATCATGACCACTACTTACTGATAGACACCCTCCATGAATCAGTGACAAAGGACTACGGAAGAAACAAGTGGAAAGATCCACAAAGTTTCAGGCGCATTACTAGAAAGCTATAAAGCACCAGCGTTGAAAGGAGATGATCAGATTGGGAAGGGGGATGCACACAAACTGACTAAGAAGCCCTAATTGATCCATCATACTGGTTTTGGTCAATTCACTGATTACATGAGGGGGGGGGATGGTATGAAGGAAAAAACGAACACATTGCTTTTAGAAAACGCTTGCACGTGTTGCAGCAGGAACCACCTTAGAATAAATGTTTCCTCCTGTGTGGGAAACATTTGCATGGCAAGAGGATCAAGAGACTTGCCCTGAATGCATGGTGCGGATTGAAGAGCCGGCGTTTACGGCCACCGTACTGCTGGAAGAAGGGGTGCTGCAGGGCCTGCTGAGCTGTCAACCGTTCTTCTGGATCCACCTGCAGCAGTCGTGAGATCTGCCAAACACACACACAGAGTTGGGCAAGAGACATTTGGGGGAGAGGGGCATATATCTGGCGCCCAATATAGAAGGCTGAGCAATTCAGGGGCAAATAATAATAATAATAATAATAATAATCTGTTTTCATCCCACCCTTCCTGCAAGAAGCTCAATACAGCATGAACGGTTCTCACACTGCAAGCTAAGTTAGGCTGGGAGATAGGGTCAAAGTCTTCCAATGAGTTTCGTGGCTAAATGGAGATTTGAACCAGGATCTCCTCCGGTCCTACTCTGATATTCTCTAACCAATACTTTATCACTTAGTTGTGAGTTTTTCCACAAACTCTCACTTCTCCAGCTCCCTCTGTCAGTCTACTTTGCCAAACACTTCATGTCACTAGCTGCCAATCAGGGCCTTCGTTCTTACAATGGAATCTTGTTTTTTAAACCTGCCAATTAGGGCAGAGGTGAAAGTACTGGAAGCCTCAGGCGATCATCTATTATCATGGGCAACAATCGCTGGGATCTCTTCTATCCCACTGTCGCCACAATTCAAGACATGAATCTTAAAGCTGAGAAAAGCAGAAAAAGAATGATTAATCCTGAGAATGTTGGTTCTCTTTCTAAAGGGAAAAACAAGTTTTTAGTTCTCAAGGTCTAGAAGTTACATTTTGAAACTATAGAAGCTGCTGAAATATGTGACGCTTGAACTGGGAAACAAATAGGATTTTATGAGGTAAAGGGCAGGGATCCCTGTGTTACTCTTTGGTCCTCCCCATAACAAGCAAAAACAGAATAGTGTAAAATATACAAAGAGGCTTGAATTGTGTAACACAGGTGTAAAGATACTGGATTTTTTAAAAGCAGAGATTAAATGTAAGAAGGTTGTTACAATAAAAGTATTTGATATAAAAATGGTTAATTGTGTGAAGAAGCAGGGAAACCCAGCATTTTGCTTCTGGCTGAAGTCAGAAAATATATAATGTATGTGGGTTCAGCTGGCAGTCTTGCCAGGAAGGAGCTAGTTTCAAAATACCAGATTTGGCTCCATACTAGCTAGGTTTACAGTTAATGGCAGTTAGCTGTGGACTCTACCTTTTATTAGGGTCAAGTGAATTGAAAAAGTCAAATGGCGATAGGTCCTTTCGTGGACATTCCGTTCGAATGATTGGTCCAATGAGGACTCGGAACTCCAGAAAGAACCCAATGATTGGCCAGAGGGAGTAAATATAAGGGCAGACACAGCATTCTTTGGGTGCAGTTGGTCAGGAGACCAGAGAGTCGGAAGGTGAGCTTAGAACCACGGAGACGGGCTGAGGGAGGCCAGCCAGAAGAGGTGTTTTTCAGGATGGTGTCTGACCAGAGTTGCCAGCAGCTGACAGTGGACCTCAGGAAGGAGAAAGACTTCAGAGGCAGCACCATCATGGCTGAGTCTTCAAGCACCAGACCAGAAGAGAGATTTCTGAAGAAAACTGAATCAAGCCAATCGGGGTGAGCAGGAGTCTCAAGAGATGGGAGTTCAGTCTGACTAACAGTTGAGACACCCTTAACTACCTTGTGCTCTTTCAGTAATACCCTGACCAGAGCAGCGGATAAATGGAGATCTGGCTATCAGGTCGACATAGCGATGAGAACTAGGACAATTATGTAGCAACCTCTTTTGAGCCAACACCAGACTTAAAGTACAAGTAACATATTTTAGCAATCATCAAACTATGTTATTAAATAAATACCTGCATTAAAGCTATGATTTTATATTAAATAAGCTTTAATGCCTATTTGTTTAACACAAGCCTCCAGCTCCATTTGTTCAATGCCTCTAATCCGCTACTCCATGTAGTAAAAGGTTAAAGCAACCAGCTGGAATTAAATAGTGGCAGCTATGAAGTAAAAAGTAGGTACACTGTATATAAACTGCATGAGACAGGGATCCTTTAGGATTTAATAAGGAATTGGTGGGAAGGCAAATCCCAGTTGGGCCCAGCCGGTAAGATCCTTCACAATACCACATTGCAGAACTCTTTTTTTTCTGGGCACAGATGTTTCCTAAAAGGAGATGTTGAATGTACATGTAGCTTGAGTTGTGTTACAAGAGATGGGATTTTCACCATCTTACCAGATCTTTGACTGTGTCGGACCGGTCATCCCACTCAGGTGAGCCAAACTGGTATCGCCCTTCCATGATCATCCGAAGCATCAGCATCTGCTTACGGTGCCAGAAAGGAGGAGAGCCAGCCAAGAGGGTGAAAAAGATGACTCCACAGGCCCAACTTCAGGGAAAGGAGGAGAGAGCTTTATTTCCTGCACCCTTTTCCCAAACACCAAAATTGGAGAACAGCAAAGCAGAAAGACTAAGGAATATTGGCCGAGGAAGCACCCTATACAATTTTTGGAATCTTGAAATATTTATTTATTTATTTATTTATTTATTTATTTATTACTACCATGCTTCATCCATGGGAAACAGTCAAAATATTGTTCCTCTTCAAAACAGCAACAACACAAAACCCAGTCCATATTTTGACTCAAGTATGTAAGCGCATGCAAAATCTTGTCAATGGGTGTAGCTGTTCTGCCAACTATAGAATATGATGGTAGAGTTCCAAGCTATTTTCAAATAGTGACTGTGTGGTGAGTAACAAGGGGACAGAGGGACAGAACATGGGGAGAGAACAACTGATTCCTCCCCTCCGATTTGCTCGGGCAAAAGAACAGGGAGCAGACACCTCTCTCTCAAAACAGGTATAAAGACCCAGCTGAGCTTTGGCTCTTGTCATGGAACTTCCTCCACCCCTCCTTCCCAAGAAACTATGCCTCCGCCAAGGGGAACAGGTGTTAGCTAGCTGTCACTTACAGGTCCACTTCCTTTCCATAACCAGGGTGGGTCTCGTCCATGGAGCATTTCAGGATCTCTGGGGCCAGGTAGCCAGGGGTCCCACACAGCTCTAAGAGGAAGGAGTTGGAAATTACAGAGATGCATAAGGTTTGGTGCCCAAGAATCTCAAATCAGGAGTCACTGCTAGCAGGAGCTGCGTAAGTCAGACCAGCCACCCTGCTCACAGCAGAATCACGGAATCTGTAGTGTTGGAAGGGGCCACAAGAGTCATCTAGTCCAACCCCCTGCAGTGCAGGAATATTTTGCCCAACGAGGGGCTTGAACCCATGACCTAGGGATTAAAAATCTCATGCTCTACTGACTGAGCTATCACTGAGCTGGTCTGCCCTACAGAGACCTGTACTCAGACTGGCCCATGCCCACCTCGCAGCTTCTCGCCTGGCTTCAAGTGGCAGGAAAAGCCAAAATCCGAGAGTTTGATGTTCAGCTGGTCATCCATGAGGATATTCTCGGGCTTGAGATCTCGATGGATGATATTATTGGCGTGAAGGTAGCTCACGGCGTCCAAGAGGGCTCGCATGATACACCTGAAAGAAGAGAGACACAAGCTGAAGGAGCCGCCACTTATCAGATCATCGCAGCTGGAGCCGGGCCAAGAGAGCTTCTGCCTCCCCAGATCCAGCAGAGGGGACGGCACATTACCTGGTCTCCTTCTCGCTGAGGGTCACCTTCTCTGTAAGGTAGTCAAAGAGCTCCCCGCGTCTCATCCTGTCAGGGGAATGTGAGACGGGGTAAATCCACATGCAATGGGGGTGGCATGGAGAAGAAGAAGAGTTTGGATTTGATATCCCACTTTATCACTACCCAAAGGAGTCTCAAAGCGGCTAACATTCTCCTTACCCTTCCTCCCCCACAACAAATGCTCTGTGAGGTGAGTGAGGCTGAGATACTTCAGAGAAGTGTGACTGGCCCAAGGTCACCCAGCAGCTGCATGTGGAGGAGCGGAGACGCGAACCCGGTTCCCCAGATTACGAGTCCACCGCTCTTAACCACTACACCACACTGGCTCTCCCCTTCCTACACACAATGTCTCACTAAAATACCTCTACTTATCTACACTGAAGAGGAATTTCAGAGGCACAGCAGCAAGCACACAGGCATTGTGGGTTTGAAAGCAACACCACTTCAGCCCGCAAAGGCCTGGAAGCCTAGCAGCAGAAATCCACTGCCTCTGTCAACTTCCCTTTTCAACAACTATTATGGCTCTTCCTCCCACCCAGCTGCCTCTCTGAGGGTGGCTTCACACATGACTTCTCAAAACCAGACTGATCGCCATCTTGGAAGAAGAGGGCCTGTAACATGCAGTGGGAAAGTATGTCTCTCTATTTTTCCTTTTAATCCCTCTTGGGAGGGTCAAGACCCACGACAGCTACAAGGGCGTTTCCCATCTTGGTGAGAACAGGGTGGGTCAGCAGCTCCTCTTTTCAATAGCTTGTTACTTACAAGTCAAACACCAGGAACATGAAGGCAGATGACTCATAGGAATCTATCAGAGTAACTAGAGAGGGAGAGAGAGAGAAGGAGGGGAAAGAGGGGGATTGGATTATACAGTTTGAGAGCTGATTGCTTCACCGACGTAAGATGGCAGGAAACAGCTCCAGCTCAGTGCCTAGAGACAGGCAGCTACAATGAAAGAGAGCATGGCCACAGTCTTATTGTGCTAACAGTGCTGTGTAGCTTTAGGAATGGGGGAATCTACTGCCCTCCAGCATGGCCAGTGGTAACAAATTATGAGAGTTAGAGTCCCCCAGCTTAAGGGAGGCAGTCACAGGTTAGACACTGCTGAAGTAGGCAGTGGGGGGGTGTATTCATCCCTTTCAGCAGTAGGGTAGGAGAGCTGGGGGGAAATCACATTTGGCAACCAATGTGCCCCTTTGGTTTCAGATGGTACATGGCTAGGCGAGTCTAAAAAACCCAGGACACAAATTTTCATGACCCTCTATCGGCTGTGGTGGCTCATTTACCATGACTCTGGTAACTCTGGAATGTATTCTGACCAAACTAAGATTCCTGATGTATATTTTGCTCTCGCTCTTCTGTCAATTGACCAAGTTGCCGCTCCCCAACAGACCTCCCTTTGCTCCTTTCAACTCCCCCTTCCCACTTTGCTACATGCCACACTCCCAGCAATCTGCTGCTCCCCACCCCAATGCAAACCCTAAACATGGTTTCCTCCATTCCGACAACAATTAAGGGCAGCGCAATTCTCATTACCAGTCCGCATAGCCAGCAGTCAAGGATGATGGAATTGGCAGCCCAATAACATCCAGAGTGTCACAGGTTCCCCACCCCTGATTTAGGAGTGTGCAGGATGAGACCACGCAATGATTAAGGAAGTAGAGATGGGCACAGATGTCAACATGGTGGTGTTGCTGTGAATGTTGAGATCATCAACATGGTGGAAGGCCTAGATGCTGGGGGGGGGCAGGGTTCATTTGGGGGCAACTATACAATATAAAATTACATTTGAGAAAATACTAGGGTTTCAGAAGGAGGCCCAAATATTGGGATGCACATTTGGGTTACAGAGATTCTGGGCTGGGTGGGTAGTCACTCACTGATGTAGGGGTGTCCGGAGACCTGGCGCAGGATTTCAATCTCTTTGCCTGTCGATAAGCGCACTTCCTCGAGCTGCTGTGGGGTCATGCGTTCCGGAGTAACCTCAATAATCTTCACTGCATACTCCTGGCCTGTTTGCTTGTGTATGCAGCGCCGGACCACGCTGCTGACACCCCTGCAGAGGAGCAGAGATGAACAAACAGCAAGAGAGACGTCAAGTTTCTAAAAAATATTGACTCCACGGTGGAGAAGAAATGTAGGACAGAGGTTGGAAAGCCATAAGTCCTCCAGATGTTCTGGACTACAATTCCCATCATCCCTTATGATTGGCCATGCTGGCTGCTGGGAGCTGAAGTCCAACAATATATGGACGGAAACAGTTTATCCACTTGTAGTGTAATGGGTCCCCATCCAAGCACATTATTCAATCCATGATTACCCCCCTTTCCTGACCCACTCCTCACCTGCCAATTACATCCTTAGGGTCATATTTCTGGTAGAACTCTTTGGCTCCAGCCCAGTCCGGAAGCTCATCTTCTAGACCCACGTCCCGGGTCATCCTATTGTAGATGTGGAATGCTCTGGATCAAGAGCTGAAAAGCAAAGGGTGATGGCAGCAGTGATATTTAGACAGCTGAATACTTCAAACACCAGCTACCCAAGAAGAGACATTTTGAAAGGTCAACATGGAAGGTGGAATGCAACACAGCAGTTGGAGAGCTAAGAAGGGCAGTAAACATAAGAGGCAATGGATGTCTGATGTCAGGGGAGGCAGGTAGAGACATGCCAATTACCATGCCACTTTCAGGGGAGTTGTGGAAGAGATAAAGGAGAATGACCCAGTCTTGGTCATCACTGGACAGTAACCATTGGTAGGGCATAGCTGACAATTTCAACAGACACATTTCAGCCATCAAGTGATCAAGGCCTCCGACACAAATCACAGGTTTCCTTTAGATCATCAAACTAGTCAAAATCAACAAGTTGGAGGACTGCAATGTGGCTGCATCAGATTTCCCCAAATAGGGAAGAAAAAGACCAAAAAGCCTGAATCAGCGCTCTGGCACAACCACAATGACAGGTTTATTGCTGCCTTGACCATATAACTACAGCAAGACTGCAGCGGGGAGTAGATTGCAGAACTGATCTAAGGGAGATTGCTCTTCAAATGTCAGGCATGAATGGTGCAGCTTATATCCTTTGTTTTCCATCTTCATACTGCAACAATTCTGATATTTCTTCCTCCAAGCAACTTGGACCAACATTTCAGCTGCCTTATAACCCTGTGCGGTTAAGCTATGCTAAACCCCACAGAGATTATGAACTCAGATCTCTCTGCAATACGGCTGCCATCCAAAATATCCTGACTGCCCCTGTGGAGTTTCATTTCAAACAAATATGCATAGGATTGCACTGTGTGTTCAATAGCCATCTACTACATCCCCATGACTCTCATATTTCTTTAGTCCTTCAAAATAGATCCTTACAACCGTGAGTTTGAAACAATACACTGCAATTACATCTCCTGGTTATCAATACAAATTAGGAAAATAAAAAGAGCCTTCTGGGTTGAACCAATGATCTGGCCATCATCCTGTTCTCATAGTGGCCAGCCGTATGCCTATGAGAAGGCAGCAAGCAGGACCTGAGCACATCCTGTGGTTTATAGCAGCTGGTTATCAGGATCTCACCACTTCTGATCATGGAAGCAGAGTATAGCCAAATAAGAACAGTTGAAGGGAACCTTTTTTCAGCCACATTCCCTTCTAGACAAGCTTCTGGGGGCTACATGCCCCATGCAGGGCTGGACAGGGGCAAACACAAAAGTGGGAGGGGCAACAAGTGTCAATATAACCTTTGAACATTAGGCTACTTCCTACACACACTCACACACCCCTCTCTACCCTCCGTTCAGGGAAGCAAAGAGTTCTAGGACACATTCCAGCCAGGCAAAACCATTCAAGGAGTGTGCAAAGCAGGGCCCATAAGGAGTGTGGCTGGGGAGAGTGCTGAGAGCCAGACAGAGAGGTTGGGAGGGCTAGAAGACCACATTCGGCCCCTGAGCATGAGGTTTCCCACCTCTGAATCAGAATAAACATGCACTGACAACAGGCTTGGCAGTTGATCCAGACTGTGCACAGGAGCATATCACAATCCCTATTAAACAATTACATCCCTACTAAACAATCCCTATTACATTATTTGGAGTGTATAATCCCTTCTACAAGATCAAACCCATAATACCCCTCATTCTTTCCCCATCCCAGGACTTCCCCTTCTAAAAACATCTGCAACACTGGACTACCTTGAAGGACTGGTGTAAGGATTACTAAGACAGCCCTTCGTTCATTATATAAATAACCAACGTTTAAACTATTATACTATAATCTATGCAGCGGCTGAGACAAGATACCCATGCTGTTTATCCTGAAAGTCCCCTTCCCAAGTCTCAATTCAGAGCCACGCAGAGGTGGGAAATGCACTCTGTTTACACTCAGAGGCACTCTGTCCGTAGATTTCAGAACCGTGGCCTAGCACTGTCAACAGGTTCCGGGGCTCATGAGAGCCCCGGGGTGAAATGAAGCCTTGCCTATCGGTCCAGCCCTTCCGAGTCGTCTCCCTCTCCTCTCTCCAGAGGGATTCCACACATCGCCCCGCCCCGCCCGCGCACGCGGAGGGACTCCCCGAGATCCTCACCCGGCAGCGCCGTTGCTTGGATGCGAGTGAATGACCCCCACCTGCAGCCGGCGACTCCCAGGCTCCGCCTCCTCTTCTTTCTGATTGGTCCGTCGCGTTCCAAAGGCGCGGCCGGGCAGTAGCGCCAATCGGCGAAAGGGGAAAACAGGGTGTGTCGAGACGGACGAAGGCCGGCATCCAGTGAGTGGACGGATGGAGAGGGAGCGCTGTCAGCGGCAGTAACCAATTAGCGCTAAGGTGAAGAAATATGAGGCGGGGATTAAAAGAGGAAGCGGCTGTTTCCGAACGGCAGCAGGGGAGGGGAGAATGCTCAGCCAATGAAGGGCGCCACGGAAGGGCGGGCAAAAGAAGCGCGTTATTGACAGGCGAGTTGACCCATCGGCTGCTCGTTTTGAGAAACAGCGCTGAGGGGAGGAGCTCAGAATCCGAAGGCTGGGGAAGACAGCGGCCAATCGCGATCGGAAGTGGGCGGGAGCAGAACATTGGGGTTATTCAGGGTTTCATAATCGTGATAGTAAAGGTCAGGATGAGGTCATAGCTACTACTTTCCCTCCTTCGGTTATTTGTTATGCAATTACACAATAAACGCCCCCCAAAACGAAAAATACACTAGGGTCTCTCTACGGAGCAGGAGTAATTTGTGCATTTTATTTCTATCTCCATAAACTGCTGCCCCTGCTCTCCTGGGTGGTCCTTTCGTGTCTTTCAGTTTGGGGCAAATCAGGAGTTTGACTGTGAACAAAATACGATGATGATAATGATGATGATTCCATCTTTCCTCCAAGGAGCTCGAGGCAGCACATATTTCCTGCCTACCTCCTCTTCCGCTCTTCACAACAGTCTTGTGAAGTGAGTTCTGGCTGACAGATAATGACCCGCCCAGGGTCACTCATCGCTCATCATGGATGAATAAGCATTTGTACCTGTGTCTCCCTGACCCATCATTTTAACCTCAACTTCACAGTTGGTCTTTGGGTTTCCTGCACCGAATAAATTGCTCCATCCCATGACATCCATAGGAAAAGAAAATTCCTCCAGTAGGACACCCAGTCACCCAGAGGCAGCTACACAAAGTGTAAAAGGATGCCTTGAGCCAAAAGGCTTTCCCTCTCTTGCATATGCGAAATCAAACTACATGGCCTCTCATCCACCCCAAATTTTGCCATGACAAAGATGTGATCTCTTAACATGCAGTAAGAATCGCTCACTCTCTTCTTAAGGTGGGAGGGAGGGGGTTATTGGTTGGTTGGTTTTTTTCTTGTTTTTATCATGTATTTTTAGGTTGCGAACCAACCTGAGATCTGTGGATGAAGAGTGGTATACAAATTTAATATAAACAAGTAAATAAGTAACACGTGCCTACTGCTCAGGTGCAGTTATATCTGTTGTCTGATCAGCATCTGCCAGTAGTGGTTATACAAGTGTTGTTATTAATGCTTTTTCATTAAAAGTGGTGTAGTGGTTAAGAGCGGTGGACTTGTAATCTGGGGAACTGGGTTCGCGTCTCCGCTCCTCCACATGCAGCTGCTGGGTGACCTTGGGCTAGTCACACTTCTTTGAAGTCTCTCAGCCCCACTCACCTCACAGAGTATTTGTTGTGGGGGAGGAAGGGAAAAGGAGATTGTTAGCTGCTTTGAGACTCCTTTGGGTAGTGATAAATAATGGGGATATCAAATCCAAACTCTTTTTCTTCTTCAGAGCAGCATCAAGCATTACAAGGCAACATAGGCTTGTGTGCAACACCATACAGTCAAACAACATGACTGCCCCTCAGTAATCCTGAGAGCTGTACTTTGTGAAGGGTGCTGGGCACTATGAGGGGTAAATTACAATTTCCTGGATTCTTGGGGGGGAAACTAACTGGTTAAAATGTATGCCATGTATGAGGCCGAAGTCGGCAATACAACTCACACAGCTGTTGTATATGTATCTTGTAGAAAGCTGCCACACTGCGGCCCTCAACTCTGTGCCACACCACAGAGTAACTTCATCACACAACTGCCCTCAAATACTTCTAATTCCAGATGCTAACCAGCAGCCTCTCCCTTGGAGCCTGCATGTAACAAGAAATCAGCGATTAAAATAGCTGTGAATGTTAACACCTTTCATCTCAGCTAAGGATGCTAAGCCTGACTGACCCCCTCCCCCAACCATTCTTGCCTCCAATTACATATGGCTGAAGGCCCTTCTCTGCATATTGTATGTTGCATTAATTTACCTTTTTAATTGTCTGTCCTGCTCCATAACAAGAAAACAACAAAGAGTATTGGAGTGGCACCTTAAAGACTTGGATTTCTCATAAATCTGCTGGTTTTTACAGCGTCACAAGGTGCTGCCGTTGTTTCCTCAGTTTGAAGCAGGGTGGGTTCATAAACTGACAAAGGCAATTTTGCTTCCTTTTACGTTAATGTTTAAATGAATGTTTACTCTCACAATGGGCTTGCCTGCACTTGGAGAATAACTGCATCTTAAACATGCTCAGCATCATGTTTCTGAGCGGGTCATTACCGGTGAGCGGATGTGAGTAAAAGGAAATAGGCATTGACATGATGGGGCAGACCCACACATTTAGAGCACATGTGGATCTGTCCCACAATGTCATTGCATTTTTAAATCAGATGACTTCCCACAAAGAACCATGGAATCCATAACTTGTTAAGGGTGCTAGGAATTCGTAACCACCTCCAACCACCAAGGCCAGACAGAGGCAGCAGCTGGAAGAAACTAAGTGGTGGTGCGGCAGCAGGATCTCCTGCCCCCTGTGGAGCTCGCTAGAAGTGGGTCGCTTCAGGTCACCTCATTGTTGCGCCGGCCATGGGGCTACAACTCCTATCATCCCTGACCAATGGCCATCCCAACTGGGGCTGATGATAGTTCACATCTGGCAGGGGGCACAACTATTCCTGCCACTAGATCCCAAGTCCAGTGTTTTATCTGTTTCTTCCAGCCCTACTCCTGTAATGGCCACCCAAGAGACAAGTGGAACAACAAAAAAAACAACCCACCCCCATTAAACCACTGTAGTGCAACTGTTTATTTGTATTTTTGCATATATAAGTGATGGGCAGAATAAAAATGCTTATTGAAAATAAATTAAATAAATAAAATATTGAAGCAAGAAACACAGCACAGTGCAGAAACTATGTTCCTGTGTTTCCAATATCCTTCGGTTCCAAGGGAGTGGATCCTAGCATCTATGCGCAGGAGCAAAACCTGAATCGGGACAGAGCACATACTTTGCCTCAAGAAGAACTCAGGCACATCCCAGATACACTAGAGCTTAAAGAAGAGGCACCTCCCAGCTCAGAGCAAAGGCCCCTCTAGTCCAGCATCCTGTATTCCACTGTAGCCATATATATTGTATCCTGGTGAGTCCATAGAAGCAGGCCGCGGAGATCCGATGTCTGCAGCAGAAGCTGTTCCATTTCTACAGCCTCTCATCTAGAACCTCCGCAAAGTAGGCTTTGACAAGAGTACACCAGACCAGGGTGCACATAACAAAGACCCACATAATACCCATTTCTGCTAAATCCAGCTGGGCAAGCATGTGGGAACCAGAGGAGAAGATGATCCTGGAAGTCCCAAGTCACATGTTCTTCAGGGTCATCATCATTCGGCTTGAGTTAAGAGGTAGGAAATGAGGTACACTGACACGGGCGCCAGAATGATGAGGGACACCCAGACACTGATACTTAGGACAGACAATCTCCGGGACCTCCGAGCCCAGTCAGCCGCTGATACCTGGGAACCAGCCTTTTGCTTCTCACTAGCCTGGATGGGACAAAACCAAGAGAGAGAACCTCATTATTGATGTCACTTATTTTAAAGATACAGCCTTACATTTTAGGTCTCCTCCTCTGGACTTACCTTTCTCAGCGTATCTTGATGATGTGTGTCAGGTCTAAATTTCTTTGCAACCTCTGATCTTAGTAGCCTTGAACCAGATTAAGGCTATGTAATTCTAAGCTTGTTGTATAATCTTAGAAGGGGCGTAGGGACGTGAAGGGGCATGGCGGTGACTCTCATTAAGGGACCCAGCACTTCTGGATTTGACTCCAAAGGGCCAACCTCCCAGGAACATCTGGCCTATGCCACAGAATGCCTGCCTTGCTGGGGAACTAGGGCTCTTTTCACAGTCCAGGTAGGGTGGCTCGGCTGTCAGACGGATGGCATGGCCCAGAACAACCCCCAACATCCCTTTCTGGTCGCACATTGCAGGGGAAGAAGATCAGTAGTGGTGGCAAGCCCTCTCAGGGAATCTCGTCCACCATCTCTGGCCTTGTTGAGGAATCCCAAGGGTTCTCTGGAGCAGACTCTCATTGCCAGATGGAACGCAACAATTGCCATGCCTTGGTTTCAGATTGCACATCTCCACAGAGCATTCGCTGCAGTTTCACCATGTGACAAGAATGTGTGGGAGCTTCAAAGGCAGTAAATATTGGCCTGGGTGGGGCAGTGAGGTGGCTCCTGCCCACGACTGCAATACTGTGCTCAGGAAACATCTCTCACACACACACCCCATTTAATATGTGGATCTATCGCTTTGTTTCATTGACATGACAACCCTGGATATACTACATCACTGGTTCTCAGTCACTTTTTACATCGCCTAACATAATATAACTTTGGCATGCCTTGAATTTTTGAGCTGCCCATTTGTCCTGTAACTGCCCATTTGTGGGTCCAGCTGCCCATTTTGTTTTTGTTTAAAAAGCACACTTGCAAGGACACAGGAGGCACAACTATAGTTATTTATCTGGAAAGGAAGGCAAGAGAATGGCAGAAGCTGTTAAGATCCCAAGGGATTTTCGTCTGATCAGTAAATACATTTGTAAAGGCACAAGGTGTTCTCTAACCAAAGTGTACTCACAGTGGACCTAGTGAACTTAATGGATCCAAGTTTGCCATGTTCACTAATTTAAATGGCTCTGCTCTGAGTATGATCAATATCGAACCCGCTTCCCCTCCCTAAGCGTCCAGGAATTCTTTCCCTAGAAACTGGTTCAAATATTGCACTGCATCCCTTGTCCCACCCACCCACATCCCTTGTCAAAGCAGCAGGTAACTCACCTTGATTGCATAGATCAGTGCTAGGACTCCGATGCAAGAGCAGCCACAGATGATGCTAAATATGGCCAGACTGCGTAGTCTGTGCTTATGAAAAGAAGGGGGCTTGGCAGGCATGTCCTTCTCCTGGATGTCTGCTGGGATCATCACGATGGTCTCTGCAGCATCCTGCTGAAGGGTCCCATTTTTGAGCTCCTGCTCTCCTTCCATAGCAACTGGAAAGTTGCTGAAGTGTGCTGGCAAGCCTGCTCTTTTCTCTCTGCTATTTCAATTATCGCCACGATCAGTGATGATCTGAGTCCACATTTGTGCTTCTAAATTCCAAGCCAGGAGCTTGAAATAGCTAGTGGAGAGTTCGATCTTAAGAGGGTCAGGTTCAAACCCCACCTCTTCTGTGAATTCTCTGTACAGCACTGAGAAAGTGACTTTCACTCTTGGCCTCAAGTTTCCTTTGTGTAAAATACCTGGGCGTATTATCGCCCTACCTCACCGCTGCGAAAGGAAACGTGGAATTTAAAGAAACATCTTTCACAAGCTGAGTGTTATAGAAATGATAAGGTAGCAACGCCCGAGAATTAATTCACCTGAAGCCAAAAGGGTGTGATCCTCTTTATGCCTAAATAAGTCCCAGTTCCTCAGTCTTCAGTACAGCTCCTCTGAAGGAAGAAATGTTGAGAATAATCCAACATCCGCAGGCTGGGAGCTCACTTCTCAGAAACACTTTTATACACACCTGGCAGCTCCCAGTTTGTTTGGTTATACCTTTTTTGGGCTGGGTCCCAGACTCAGTGAGGTCACTGTTGTTGGACCTGACTCAGGTATGCAGGTTGCAATTCCTCCTGAGATCATACTTTCCTCCCCTCTTTGTCTACAGGCTAGTGCTTCAGCTTAACTGGGTTGCGGTTCAGGGAAACCTAAGAGCAGGAATTTCAATTAATGCAAGCAATCTGGGGGCGGTCTCCTCAGCTGCTGAAGGGAGATCAGGCTGAAATGGCAAGGTAGGCAAAATTACCTGCTGGGAGCTGCCCAGAGTGGCTAGGGAAACCCAGCCAGATGGGCGGGGTATAAATAAATTTATGATGATGATGATGATCCACAGTCTCTGGGAAAGGGAGGGATGTAGTGGCACGAGTTAGCACTGTGGGTTCCTTCACCCCTAACGTTTACACCTATCACTAGATTTTTATGACTTTTAAGTGCTTCCAAAAAAGAAGAGAGGGGGCGATACAATATTGCATCCACATATTGGTTGTCTAGCCCCATTGACTTCAATTTTAGAGCTATATAGTGTGGGACACCCTTACTGTAGCCTTCACAGGTGTTTTTTCGGTCCCCCCCCAACTTTTATCCTAACAGAGATAGCAAAGCTGAATGGTGCCTCAGTAGCAAAATGGACTCTTTTTCAACTCTTCTTTGCCAGTCCTTCAGATGCCTCAGGTCTGAGGCCTAGCACATCATGCTCTGAGGCTCAAGTGAGCTCAGCCTCCAGTTCTGCTCTCATGTAAATATGGCTAAGAACCAAACTGCAGAACTCTAGAATGGTTGCACCTGCTGGTTTACACATGTAGGTTTTGAAATAACACAGGATTCTCATTTCACCGTAACTGAGAACTTTGCATTAACTTCCAAGTACAGGTTAAACTCTTGGATTCTGCAAGATTTCACATTTTGATCCCCTGAAGGCACTTTTTAGAAGACAAAAGGGGCGTAAGAAAAGAAAGGCTGACCCATCCAGCCCTCTCACTACCCCCTGCCAAAAGAACAAATGTTTCCTTTAAAAGTTGTTGTCTTGTAATTACAATTAAGCAACTGTAGCACAGAGGAATTACAGTGGAACTTCGGTTTTCAAACTTAACCCGTTCCGGAAGACTGTTCAGCTTCCGAAAAGTTCGAAAACCGAGGATCAATGGGCTGGCTGCAGTCAAGGGGAAAAAATGAAAAATGTGGATCAGAAGCTGTTCGGCTTCCAAAAATAGTTTGAAAACCAGAGCAGTTACTTTCAGGTTCAGGAGCCAAAACGTTCCAAAATGGAGGCATTTGGGAACCGAGACTTGACTGTATGTTTAAATTAAGGACTTGTTTTCTAGCATTACCTGTACCCATTTGGCCACTGCCAGGGTGGTTCTCATTTCTACAGCCACTCATATATTAGCCCCAAAGTGGGCTGTGTTTCAGAGGAATACAGCCGCTTGCTTTTTCACAAAACACTGTTGCATGGAAAAGCTACAGGTCAGAAGGCTGTTGTGAGAGGAATATGCCAAAAATGAATCAAGAGGTCTAAAAGGTGTTAACGGGAAGTCATATATTAACTGACTCATTGTTTACTCTTGGTTACTGTTGGCTTCGGAAGGTGTCATTCCTGATGCTGGCTACAAAAATGTGACCAAACTGGTCCCCCGTTGTTTGTGGCATTGCCTGGCAGTGGGAACTTTTGTGCAATTGCCCCGTGCCTCAGCTGAGGCGTGCCCTTGTTTAGACTTGCCTGGGCCCATTTCTGGCTCCTTGATAATCTATTCTTGCTCATGGTACTTTCCACATTATTAGATAAAAAACCTAGATATTGCAATAGCAAGGAACTAGCTCTTCTTCACCAACATGTGGAGGTAGTACAGGCCTCCCTATTAATCCCTGCTCCCTGAAAGGTATAAAACCAAGAGGCAGCGACTTCTCTCCCCCAGCGATCAAGAGACATTAAGAGTCAGAGGACACACTCCAGCCAGTCAGAGACTTAGGGGGTGCAAAGCAGAGTCAATGAGGGGTACAGTCCAAGGATTGTCCCACAGGCTTGGAGGACTGCATTTGGTCCCTATGCCCAAGTTTCCTGACCCCTATCAACACTGTTAGAGCCCAAAAAACATTCCTTTTGGTACGAATGCTCTTGCACCAAAGAGGATGCCTCACCCAGAGTACAAAATAAATAAGGATGGATGCCCTGTGAGGGGCGCGGGTGGTGCTGTGGTCTAAACCACCAAGCCTCTTGGGCTTGTCGAGCAGAAAGTTGGCAGTTTGAATCTGCCCAACAGGGTGAGCTCCCGTTGCTCTGTCCCAGCTTCTGCCAACCTAGCATTTTGAAAGCACAACAGAGCAAGAAAGAACCCCTGCAGCAGGAAGGTAAACAGTGTTTCCGTGCACTCTGGTTTACGTCACGGTGTTCCATTGTGCCAGAGGTTTAGTCATGCAGGCCACATGACACAGAAAGCTGTATGTGGACAAATGCCAGCTCCATAGCTGTCAACCTTCCCCCTTTTTTGCAGGAAATTCCCTTATTCCAGCGCTGCTTTCCGCTGCTATCCCGGATTGTTAGATATCCCGCAGACTGTCCCCGGGACAGGTGAGGCTGCTGATCCCTTATTTTCAAATCTGAAAGTTGACAGCTATGACCAGCTCCCTTGGCTTGAAGTGAGATGAGCACACACCCCAGTCGTCCTTGACTGGATTTAACCGTCCAGGGGTCCTTTAACTTTACCATACCTGCCCCTGTGAGTCATTGAACTTCTGCATATATGGATTTTAGAAAATGGTGTGCCCCACCTTGTCATCACTTGACAGTGGAGGAAGACTGGAGAGCTCTCACAGAGGAGCTGAAAGAGACCATCTAGAAGACCGTGCTGCTTTTGGCAGCCAACCTGCTCAGTGTGATTTTCCCCACCCTGGAAATTTTTTTAGTCCTGAGCCTCAGGTGTATAAAAGCAGGGATGTAGCCCTCCTAATGCTGTTTTTGTTGTATGTGTTGCTTGCCTCTAGCTCCTGTCAGCCTCTGCAAGCATGGCCAAGAGTCACACCTGACCACAGGTCCCCCATCCCTGAGGTAAAAGATAATCCCGTTCTCTCAAAAGCCAGTCATGGCACACAAGCTGGTTTTATACTAAATGGGAAGTTATCTTTTTGAATATAAGGGTGTGGGCAGAGGGAGGGGCTGTGAGAGCTTGAGGCTTGCTCATGCAACACAATGCAATGGTCTAATATTGTGCATGAACCAAGCACTGGATCTTCTAAGGCAGAGCTTTCCAAACTTTTCATGTTGGTGACACACTTTTAAGACATGCATCATTTCGCGACACAGTAATTCAGTTTTATTAGCAAACTGGAGGTTAAACTAACCCCTTTCCAGCCCCAGAAGCATTCAGACGACACATCCACACACTGCAGCCAACACACTAATGTGTTGTGACACAGAGTTTGGAAAGCTCTGTTCTAGGGCACTGGTGGGGCACCAGAAGTTCCTGGACTCCAGCTCCTATCAGCGCTAGTCAGGATGCTCAAGAGTCAGGGATGATGGAAACTGTAGACAGACATTGGGAGGTCCACAGGTACGCCATCCCTGCTCCTAGAAGACTGAAACAATCAGAAAAGGAAGCATGAAGTGTCTTCTTTTTTAAAAAAAGACTCTACAGACCCATTTGGTGTGCTGTTGGTTTTTCTTTTTTTAACACTTTATTCATAGCATTATTCTGAAGAAAGATTACATCGGTCTTCTGTACAAGTTCTGAACATGCTTCAGTAGGAAAAACAGCTCCATGGGAACACCTCCCCCTCCACCCCAACTGCACCCCCTTCCCCTAAACCAGAGAACTACTGCCACCCCTCAATCCCACTGCGGTGGGGGAGGGGAGGGAACGTTGTGCTCCCCTATACAAAATAACCTTTGCATAGATTATGTTCAAAAGAACCTATTTTACAATGAGAGCTGTACACAGAGAGGCAGGGAAGGGAAGAGGGATTTGATCCAACTCAGAAGCCCACAGAGTCCTCGGAGCAGTGAGGCTGCAATATACATCATTAAAAATAAGACCATCTCTCCTGGTGGCAATGCAAAACGTGAGGGCACAACCTTCCCCTTTTCACGGAGTCAACTCTGCTACCTCCTTGTGCCTCAAGAGGGCCCTAAGCTGTGAACGGAATAAACAGGGCGACAATCAAAAGGGAAAGCCAGAGAAGGGACCCAGCATTTGGTCACTGTCATTTAAAAACCAACCCAGAGGCATTAAAAAAGTAAGAGCTAATTGTGTTATAAATCAGGAGGGCATCCCCTGCGGGTTTCTTGAGGGGAAGGGGCAGAGGGAAAGGATGAAGAGCCCCAAAATGTGATTTTCATTTTAAAAAGGATGCAAGTGCCTAACGAAAGGCTGAACGGAGGCTTCCCAAAGTGGTACTGAACTTTGCGGGGGCCATTCAGTGGCAGCGGGAGCCCTGAAGCGTCACTCTGGGGGCCACACCTCTATGGGGCTGCTCCCCCACCCACTCCATGATCAGCAAGTAGCAGAATTAATTGGGAACAGTGCTGGCCCTGTCACTTCCCCCGCCAGGGAGCAGCTGAGCTACACATCCAGAGCTAGCCAACTTCTGCAGGAGTGTCCCTCACCCTGCTCTGAGACAAAGCATCCGGGAGGGAGCAGCCACGCCTGCTGCCCTCCTCCCCCTCCTCCTCCTTCAAGTAGTACTCTTAACAGTCAAGTCTGGAATGCAGGGAGCTGTGTGGGGACAGGTGAGCCCCATCGGCTGCCCTCCATGATAACGGGAGGATCGAGAGCAAGGGGTGGGGCGGGGCAGGGGGCTAAAACTGCTTACAGTATGTGCGAGGAAGAGCTGGCCATTGCCCACCCCCCACAGAGAAGTGACGGCAGAACTTCTCGCGCTGTGGTCACGTCTTGGGCTTGCGGCCTCTGTTACTTAGTGAAGAGGTAACCGGGGCGGCTGGAGAAGGAGCGCAGGAGGGAGATAGCACCCCAGAGCCGCCCCCCACTGAGGTGGGCACGGAAGCAGGGCCCGTTTTCCTGGTGGGGATGGGGGAGGAGGCCGGCTGGGTGCCGTCACTGGGCTTGGCTGCGCTACGGAGAATCCGGTCAGCCAGGCTCCCGGTGCGCCAACCCCGCCCTCGCCCCCTGCCCCGCCCACCGCCCGACTCATAGCACTGGCGCTTGGGCTGTTGGGAGCACTTGTTGCTGCTTGACTCCGAGGAGGACCTCAGGGAGGACTCGGACTCCCCACCCTCTTGCTCCGAGGTGGCCTGGGGAGCGGGTGACTGGCTGCTGTTGCTCACCCGGCTGCCCTTCAGGAAGCAGCGGCGTTTCCGTCGCTGAGTCTCGCGCTCCAGTGGTGGGACGAGGCTGCCGGGCCGGAGACGGGTGGAGCGGGCGGGGGTGTCCCCAGAAGGCTGCTCCCAAGCGCTGCTCTCTGCAGACGAAGCGCCCTCGGGAAGCGCCTGCTTTGGGACGGGCTGCGCTAAGCCCTCGCCACAAGACTCTGGCTTCTCCTCACGCTTGAGCAGAGCCAGCCTGGTGAGCGGCCGGGAGTCCTCGCCCTCCGAGGAGCTCTGACTGACGCCCGGCAACGACGGGCCCAGTTCATCCTTTCTCCTCCTCCGTCGCCGCTTGCGGACAGGGGGAGCCAGGGTCTCCTTCTTCTCGGTGCAGATCTCGTGGTCAGAGGGTGAGGTGGGAGGTGGCGCGGCCTCCACACGAGGGGAAGGTGGGTTCTTTGGGGGCCGACCCCTCTTCCGCTTGGGCGGAGACTCGGAAGTTGTGGAACTGAGGGCAGCTTGGGGCGAGGGGCGGGGTGGTCGGGGCAGAGAAGGCAGTGCTTGAATCTCTGGGGAGGCTTCTGCTGCAGAGACAGCTCTAGGGGGAGTAGGAAGGGGCTCACACGCTCCTGCGGAGAATTTGGAAACAGGCTTGGGGGGAGCGGCCAACAGTTCTCGTGCCTTAGGAGCTGGTTTGGAAACAGAGGTGGGTTTGGGATGCACAGGCATTCGGTTCCGCGCCTTGGGGGATACTTTTGAGATAGACGTTGTATTGGGATTGGGATGCAAGTCCAGCGATTCGTGAATCTTAGGTATTGCTTCTGCCACAGGGGTGGGCCTAGGGGACTTGTCCCGCTGCTCCTGCACATTAGGGAGTAGCTCTGTGACCAGAGGATTTGCAGAGGAGGCTGGCAGAACTTCAGAATGAGAAGGCTTTGGAGACACAGTGGGGGCCTCCCGTATCTTGGGGGGGCGGCCACGCCGTCGCTTTTCCACAGGAGAGTTGTTCTCACTACTCTCTGTTTTACCCTTGGGAGACTTGGTCTTGGGTGAGGTCGTCTGGGGCACCTTCTTGTTTAGCATCTTACTTTTGAGCTGGGTCTTGGGCACCTTCTTCTCGGAGGTCTTGCTTTGGGGCTGGGTCTCGGGCACCTTCTTCTCAGAGGTCTTGCTTTGGGGCTGGGTCTCGGGCACCTTCTTCTCAGAGGTCTTGCTTTGGGGCTGGGTCTCGGGCACCTTCTTCTCAGAGGTCTTGCTTTGGGGCTGGGTCTCGGGCACATTCTTCTCTGCGGTCTGACTCTGGGAGGTGGTCTCCTGGACAGGCTCTGGGAGGGGCTGCAGCAGCCCTGGACTCTGCTGCTCAGAGGACTTGTTCTTGGGGGGACGCCCCCGCTTGCGTTTCATAGGCTCAGCAGAAGGGCTAGCGTGCGTCTCTCCTCTTAGGCCACCATCTCTCTCCTTAGCTGCTGCCCGGCTCTCCAGCTCAATTCTCCGACGGGCAGGCAAGTCTCGCAGCAATGGCAACTCTTTGCCAGAAGGGGAGGAGGGCTCTGGCTCTGACATGCTCTGAGCTGAGCTGTTGCTGGGACTCACCACGGTGCTGTTGGCAGTATCCAACTTGCGCACACGATTACGGCGACGCCGAATCAGCTCTTTCTCCTCCACCACTGTGACCAGCCGCCCTGGCAGCTTGCGCAAAACTTTGGCAGCAGGGCCATCTTGGTCCTGACAGCTCTGCCGGATCTGCACGTCTGCACTGGTTCGACGGCGAGGGGTTTTAATCAGCGACAGACTCTCATCTGCAGATGGCGCTCCTGAGCAGACAGCAGTATCTGATGGACTCGCCTGTGAGGAGACAGCTGGCAGGCACGTGGCCTGAATTTCAGCCTCTTTGTTTTGGTGCTCCTCCCCATGAAGCTTCTTCCCAACAACCCCTTGATCCTGCTTGTGTGACTCCTTGGGGCTCTTGTTTTCACTGCTTGAGACCTCTGGTGTTGGCAATACAGTCTCTCCAGGTGCAAACTCAGACTCTGGTTCATCTAGGAGGCTTGAAGTGGGACATGGCAAGTCTTCTGCTCTGGGAACCTGCTCCAAACCATTTGGCTCCTTGACACAGGGCGGAGCTTCCAGTTGAACAAGGGAGCCAGCAGCTGGCATGGAGTGGTCCAGGGAAGGAAGCAGAGGCACCTCAATCTTAGGGGTCTCACTGTCCAACCTGGATGATGCACTAACTGTGGACTCCAGGGGGGTGGCCTCTGAGCTTCTAGAGGTGAATGTCTTAGATGCTGTTCTGTCAGGACCGTCGGAAGGTGCTGCCCCTTGAACAAGCTCAGGCCTGCGTGCCTCAAATACAGAGTTCAGTGACTCTTGTACCGCAGTACTGCAAGAGGTGTTCATGTCTGCTTCTTCCTCTGACCTTGGCAGGCTCTCCTTTTGCTCCCTCCATGGTAGGTCTACCTCACAAGCAGCCTCGGGTTGTTTCTCATTAGGTAGCTCCACAGCGGCAAGGAGACTCACTGCGCTTGGTGCCTTCTCTTTAGTTGCTGGGACCTCAAGGACAGCCTTCTCAGTGCTAGGTGGTGACGGCGTACTCAACAACTTCTCCTCAGCCACTAGCACATCTTGTGCCTGGAAGACTGGTACTTCTACATTTGGGACATTCTTGGAAACATGGGGTTCAGGGGCTGGTGGACTGAGCTGGGCACTTTCTTTCTCTTCCTGCTCTTTTAAAACTGTTTTTAAACTGGCCACCTCTCCATCAAGTGCCCGAGGAGGAGGCTGGAGGAGTTGTGCCTCATTTATTGGTACTTCTAACCTAGGAGGGCTGGATGGGAGTTTATCCAACTCACAGGGTTTCTCAGGCTTCTGCAGGCCTGGTCTCACCTCCTTCTCCAAGCCAGTATCTATTCTCTGGGGGCCACTTCGTGGCAACTTATCACCAGCAGGCTGGGTTTCTGTCCTTGGAGAGGTTCCTTTTAGCATCCTGTCCCCTGCAGCCCCTGAATCTGCCTTCTGTGGAGTAACTGGTAGCAACTTCTCCGCAGCAGACAAGGTCTCTGTCCTGTGGGGATTATTTCTCAAAACCCTGTCACCAGAAGCAGAAGCCTCAGTCCTGTGGGGAGCTGTTTTCGGCACCCTCTCCCCAGTCACTGGGGCCTTAGTCCAGGGCTCCTCTCGGCGGGCCAAAGTTCTGCGCGAGTGCAGGGCTGCCTGGGCAGGCTTCTCCTCCTGCACCAACTCCCTACGCACAGCAGCCCCTCGCGTGTGTTGAGCTACTTGGGGCAGGCTATCGTCTTCCTCATCCGTCACCATGTGGGAATGCCGGAGACTGGGTAGTCTTGCCTGGGGGGATTCCCCATCTCCACTCTCCCCATCCCGCAGCAGGAGGCGGGTGCTACGCAGCCTTTCACTCATGCGGGTGCCTGTCCTCTCGGAGGCTGTGCGGCTTGAACCCTTGGACTTCTTACTCTTCTTGCTGGTGCCTTCCTCAACGAGATAGCTCTCATCCTCATCCTCTGGCAGCTTGAAGACTACCTCATCCTTTGCCTGGTCAATATCTTTGCGGGCAGCTTCTACTTGTTCCTAAGGACAACAGAGAAGGGAGCTTAATAGACAGCCAAAGGGGAACTACTACTGATTTAACAAGTGATGCCAACCAGGCTTGGTCCATTCAGTGGCACCAGAGAGAGCGGGACTCTTAAGAGGCCTGAGACATCTTCTTCCCCGATAAGACTGAGTACACAACACCATAACTTCTAATAACAACCCACAGAAGCTCCTCCTACAAGTTTCTGAGCCTTGGTGTCATGACCATGAAAGATTGCTGTGCATTTGTCTTTAAAAAGTTGCCATCTGACTGAGGAGCTCACCAACTTCAAACTGGCAGATGCAACCAATCAGTCACAGAACATCCCTCCAGCTATGCTTGCCTGACAAGATACTATGCAGGGGGTGCTTCCAGTCAGGGGTAGGGAATTTACCTCTGCCTGCTTCAGCTCCTCCCGACTGATGTCCTCTAGAGATGCCTCCAGGAAGTTCATGGCGTAACGTTCAATAGGGGTGAGCTGCAAAGGGAAAAGGAACTTCAGAGGGGTATCTGAGGGAAACTGCAGGCCAAGTCAGTCAGAATAGGGGAAAACATGGAGAGCCAGGTTATCAGGGCAGCTGCAGCGGAGGGGTAGGAGGGAGATGGAATAGGAACTGAAGCTTCTAGAATGATTTTGGCTACCAAGTGTCTTGGAAAAGGAGGGCCTATAGTTCAATGGTAGAGTACGTGTCCTTCATGACTCAAATTCTATCATCTTCAGTTTAAAAAAATCTCTGCTTGAGATTTTGGAGAATTGCTGCCAATCAGAGTAGACAGCACTAGTAGACAGTCTGATTAAGGAAGCCTCAAACATGCACATACCATGGAGGAACAGAACCACCATTCCATCCCCATCTACTTTTGTCTAAAAGTTGATAAGCACTTGCACTTTCTAAAGGCGCACCAAGAAACTGTGTACCTGTTCCACCAGTGAGGCAATCTCCTGCTCAGCTTTAGACATCTCCTCTTCTTCTTCCCTGCTGGGCCGATCTTCTGTGTCCAAAGGGATGTTCTCATTGAACTCTGCCAGCTCAGCCACTTGCTCTGCTTTGGCCTGGGTAGCTGCCCGGATGTCTTCGGGGTCTTCTGCCTTGCACAGTGCCTGTGAGTTTACACAGATGTAAACAAGGACTCTCTTTGTTGGAGGGCCACCACTCTTATTTTCAATATGAAAGCTGAAAGCTTACCTGCTCCAGAATCTGTGTCTGCTTGGTGGCCATTGGGTCCTCTTCATCCTCCTGTGCTACAGCTGAGGCCTCCCCTTCTTTCTTGGCTGGCTCATCTAGGGGCATGTCAAACAGCTCCCGAATTGTTTGCTGAGGAGCACAGAAATAAACACATTACAAACAGACCTTACAGAAGTGAGCTCCTCATTCTCAGCATACACGTCAGAAACCCAGTTGCAGCAAACTAATTTGTCTGTAAAATGCCATGAGATTCTTGTTTTGCCGTTCTTGCAGCAGACCAACATGGCTACTCCCAAGGATGTCTCAGGATAATACAAGTGTTAAGGAACTCTTCATGAGGCTCAGCATCAAAACAGTGGCACTGCAAAGCCAACTGTCCGAAAGGCTATACAAAGCAGATTTCTGCAGGCAGGTCTTGACAGATCTGTGTAGTCACCTGTTTGAAATAGGCTGTCGTGAAGTTGCCACCCTCAATAGCCATATCTCCAAGCATCCTCTTCTGATTGGCCTTCTTCAGGATATTTTCCTCCACTGTCCTTTCACTGATCAACCTGTACAAAGCACCAGAGAGTTAACATTCAAGTTACTGCTAGCGTGTACAGCTTCTGTACGTTACTGTGCCACCCTATTACAAGTCTCTTTCAGGAAGTGTGTCCTGCAGTCTCTGCAATGGCTAAATAACAATTGTACCCTGCCCATCCGACCAGGTTGCCCTAGCCACTCTGGGCAGCTTCCAACAAATATCAAGAACTTCCCTATACAGGGCTGCCTTCAGGTGTCTTCTAAAAGTAGTATAGATGTCTATCACTTCCTAAAGAACACGTTTCATATGCAAAAAGGTCCAAGGTTTGGTCCCTGCTATCTCAGGGTAAGGCTGGGAAATATCTCTGGGAACCCTGAAGAACCACAGCTAGTCAGTGAAGATAATATTGAGCTAGTCTAGACTGACTGGGCACAATAATATTATAATAATTTTATTATTTATACCCCACACATCTGGCTGGGTTTCCACAGCCACTCTGGGCTGCTTAAAACATATCTAAAAACATCAGTCCTTAAAAACTTCCCTAAACAGGGCTGCCTTCAGATGTCTTTAAAAGTCAGATAGTTGTTTATTTCCTTGACATCTGATGGGAGGGTGTTCCACAGGGAGGGTGCCACTACTGAGAAGGCCCTTGGCCTGGTTCCCTGTAACCTCACTTCTCGCAGTGAGGCAACCAGCAAAAGACCTTCGGAGGACCTCAGTGTCCGGGTTGAGCGATGGGGGTGGAGACGCTCCTTCAGGTATACTGGGCTGAGGCTGTTTAGGGCTTTAAAGGTCAGCACCAACACTTTGAATTGTGCTCGGAAATGTACTGGGAGCCGGTGAAGTTCCTTTAAGACCGATATTATACGGTCCCGGTGGCCACTCCCAGTCACCAGTCTAGCTGTCACATTCTGGATTAGTTGTAGTTTCCAAGTCACATTCAAAGGTAGCCCCATGTAGAGAGCATTGCAGTAGTCCAAGCAGGAGATAACTAGAGCATGCACCACTCTGGCGAGACAGTCTGCGGGCAGGTAGGGTCTCAGCCTGTATACCAGATGGAGCTAGTAGACAGCTGCACTGGACACAGAATTGACTTGTGCCTCCATGAACAGCTATAAGTCTAAAATGACTTCCAGGCTGCACACTTAGTCTTTCAGGAGCAGTGTTAGACCCCCTGTATCCTAAGAACAGTACTTCTGTCTTGTCAGGATTCAACCTCAATCTGTTAGCCACCATCCATCTACCAACTGTCTCCAGACACTCACACAGGACCTTCACTGCCCTCACTGGTTCTGATTTGAAAGAGAGGTAGAGCTGGATATCATCTGCATACTGGTGGACACCCAGCTCAAACCCCCTTATGATCTCTTCCAGTGGCTTCATGTAGATGTTAAAAAACATGAGGGAGAGGACGGATCCCTGAGGCACCCCCACAAGTGAGAGCCCAGGGGTCCAAACACTCATCCCCCAACACCACTTTCTGGACACAGCCCAGGAGGAAGGAGCAGAACCACTGCATAACAGTGCTCCCAGCTCCTCTAGACGGTCCTGAAGGATGTCATGCTTGATGGTATCAAAGGCCGCCGAGAGATTCAGCAGAACTAGGAAACAGCTTTCACCTCTGTCCCTAAACCCACTGGACCATGATATGGCTTGAATCCCGATTGGAAGGTTTCAGTCCCATGATGAGGCTTGAATCCCGATTGGAAGGGATCCAAATGGTCCACATCCTCCAGGCGTGCTTGGAGTTGTTAGCAACCACCCGCTCAATCACCTTGCCCAAGAATGGAAGATTTGAGACTGGGCAATAGTTGGCCATATTGGCTGGGTCCAAAGATGAAGCGCCTCTTTCAGCAGGTCTGGGAAAGCTCCCTCAGAGAGGGAAGCATTCACCACCCCACAGAGCCCATCGCCCAGCCCTTCCTGCTTGTTTTTATAAGCCAGGATGGGCAAGGATCAAGGAGACAGGTGGTCAGTTTCACTTGTCCAAGCAGCTTGTCCACATCCTTGGAGGCAGCTTCCTATGCCAGCAGCACAAGGAGCCCAGCTAACCTGTAGATGTGAACATCACGCGTCTGCCCGATACGGTGGCAGCGATCTTGGGCCTGAGCATCCATGGTGGGGTTCCAGTCACTGTCATAGAACACCACAGTGTCGGCACCTGTCAGGTTTACTCCCACGCCACCACTGCGCGTTGACAAGATGAAACAGAAGATGCGCTTGTCTGCATTGAAGCGCTCCATCAGTGCCTGCCAGGATTAGAGAAAAATCTGGAGCCAAAGAGGAAAGAAACCCAAGACCCAAACTCCTGGTTTTACTTTTGAGCTTTGGGAAGTGTACATTGTTTACAAGCCAGAACTGTAAGGAAGCCAGACCAGTACACAATAATTCCCTTAATTCTGCAATCATAAAAACCAACTTCTATCTCCCGGATTACTCAAAAAGACACTACATAAAGAAGATGGGAGATTTCTTGACTTGCATGACTTTCTTTTCTCATGCCATCCTGTCCCTGCTCTTTCTATAATCCGTATTTGCCCAGGCATTTCCTCCTGTCATCACATTGCTCCTTGCCAATAATGACATAATTCTGGGGCAAAATGTAGACAGTAGTACCCAAATCTGGCAATTTCAGGTTTGAACCTTTGCAATCTTTGTACAAACCCCCCCCCCCCATTTCTTTTATCCACCTTTTGATATAATAATCATTAAGGCAGCTTACAGACTAAAATAATAAAAAACAAAGACACACACAAAAAATTCACTCAGCAGCCCCTTTTTTGTCTATCACATGGCAAAAGGCCATGAATGAGCTTCCTTTCATTTGCCCCAAATGCAGACTAGCATTCTCCTGGAGTTTCATGTTTTGATTTTTTTGCGATGCACACCTTGACAGACCCATTTGCCAAAGAAGCCTGGACCTCATGAGTTCTCTGAGCACTTTGTAAGTGGCCACAGGCTGTTACTGCCTACCTGCCGCTGCTCCACACGGGTGCTACCATCCAGCCGCAGGTAGATATGTCCATGATAATTGAGAAACTGCTCCAGCACATCCAACATGCGAGTCATCTGAGTGAAGATAAGGACCCGGTGGGCACCAGCCTTGAGCTGCCGCAGCAGAACATCCAAAGTCTGCAGTTTCCCTGGAGGGGAAAAAAGGGCCAGAAAGAAAAACTGAGCAAAGGGCAAAGAGTGCCCAGCAGGATAACTGAACACAGTTCGCCCTAGCAGCTTTAATGCACAGCACTCCACATTGCCCTGGCTCCTAATTGGCAGCATGCAGGCCCTGCCCGGCTACACGTACCACAGTCATATTGGATGAGGCGGAGGTCCGGGAACTGAGTCCGCATGTTGCAGACGATACGGTGCAGGCCACTTGCACAGGGCGAGAGCTCCTGTCTCAGGGTCTCCTTGAAGACAGCCTGCTGGAGCAGGAGTGATGGGGGCGGGTGAGAGGTATGCATGGTGATAGCAGGAGCCTCCACAGGAGGCATAACAAAGATGAACCTGCAGAGAGAGAAGGGAAAGCTGAGGACAACAAGGGGGATACCATGGCACCTCTGGAGAGCAGGGAGCAGGACTCTTGGGTTCCCTCGTAGCCTTCAAGCTGCAGCTCCCAGGAACACTTTTTTAAAAAAGGTTTTATATGCTTTATTGAAACTGATTTAATAACGAAACATTCTTATATATGGCATATCCAAGTATACAAATAACAATCTGTTCAATCTTATTCAGTCCATTTCACCATAGCTTCTTACTAAGATACTTAAGACTTCCTGTCACCCCACAGTGTAGTTACCAATTCTGCTATCGGTTGTACTTATAATTATTATTTTGTTCTTTTTATGTTATCTTATAGTTTATTACACCTTTTTGTACCCATTCTCGTTATTTGTTGTTATTTTACACGGAAATCATTCAAACGCTGCCACAGATGCCACACCACTATTTTATTTTTCTAAATGTTTCTTGAATGTGTCCCATTTTTCAATAAAGCTCTGCTTTGTATTGCCTCTCAGCCTGTTTGTCATTTGTGCCATTTCGGCAGATTCTAGTAATTTATTCTGCCAATCTAGTTTTGTTGGAACCTTCTCCCACTTCCAGTTCATTGCAATCAACATTCTTGCAGCAGCAGTTGCGTACAGGAAAATTTATTTTACATTTTTTACGTTTTCGCACCCTCTATTTTTTGCTGCCACCCCCCCCAAAGTTTTACCTTCCCACAAAAAGATGCTACCTCTCAATAATGTCTGTCAGTTCCTCAATTCGCTGCTGTGGCTTCAAGATAGCCTGGGTCAAGGTGTCTGCCCGCTGCCAGTGAGCCTCGAGGCGATGGGGGTCCTTTTGCACTTGTGCTGCATAACAGTGTACATAGCTAGCCCCCCTGTAGCCCTTGGGCTCCACTTCCTGGGCTGGGGCTGCTGCTGGCTCCTCTTCCTCCTCCTCCTCCCTCCAGTGAGGGGGAGCAGGGGGGAAAAGAGTACAAAAGTGTAGCACCTCAGTGCCGTAAATTGGCACAAGGTTGCAGTGTTGCTCATTGAGGCGGAAGAGCCGGTCGAGGCGCTCTTCCTTCTGCTTCTTCCGCTTCTCTTCAAGTGATTCCTGCAGGCCAAAAAGAGTGAAGCCAGTCAGGAAGAACAGAGGCCAGGGCCCTTCCCCCAAGCGGCGAGAACAGCCTCTAGGCCACCCTGCTCCTCGATCCCCCCCAGAGCCCAAGGCCTCCAGCAGGAACTCACCAGATAGAAGGGTGAGCGAGGTGGGGGAGGCGGCTGCCGCCTTGGCCGTGGGGCCAGAACGGAAGGGGGCGGGGGCGGCGTTGGGGTGGTGGAGCGCAACGTTAACATCTCTGGCTCCTCCTTGGGCACTGCGCTTGAGGCCGTCTGGGAAGTCATAGCTGGGGAGGTGTTGGCGGCAACAGTGACGGTGGCCGCTGGAGTGACCGCAAATGGAGCCGCTATCGGGGGTGTGGCAGCTGCAACTGAAAAAAGGGGAGACAGAAAGGGAATCAGAAGGGCTGCTGGGGAAAAGAGAAGAAACTAAACTCTACTAGAAGATGGTGCTTTGGCATTTCACGTTATCGTTTCCACCATTGCCAGACTCCCAAGATGGTGAGGAACTCTTCCCAACCCCACAGCCGTCTAAGATGCACGAATCGCTACGCAAGGTGCTGGGAAACATGCTTACCCAGCTGTTGCTCCAGACTGGGGCTTGGCGCCTGTACCATTCGCAGCATGGGTCTCACAAGGCCCTGCAGGGGAGCTGGTGTGGGCGCCCTAACTGGCACCAGTGGCTGAGCGGGCAACCTGACAGGCGGCACAGGAGTCATGGGGAGCGGGGCTCGTTGGGCCATGAGGGCCGCTGGGAGACCAGGCAGTGTGGCAGCAGTTGTTGCTGTAGCAGGGCGCAGAGATGGCTGCTGCGGGCCAGGGGACGGGGTCAGCAGGCCATCTCGAGGAGCCTGACGCACAACGATCTTCACCACACCAGAGCTGTTCACTGCTGATGAGGGCACTGTGGGGGCAACAGCAAAGAGAGAGGCTGCACTGCGGCTCTCCAACAGAGCGGTGTCATTTCTAATTATTCCTACCAGACATTTGTTTTATGCCAGTGCTGAAGGAGAAGCCTCAACATAGGACCAGGCCATGGCAATTCAGAGAAGGCTTGGGTGGTGGAGGGTTGGACCAATGTAGGGAGCAGGGCAGAAGGAAAGGGAAGTGGAAGGCGGCCAGGGTGGAGAAACAGATGCCATACGAGGGAGGATGAGAACAATATGCTGTTGGGGACACAGAAGGAAGGTTTACTGACCCAAAGGCAAAGTCACCCAGGCCCTCAACCCACAAAACCACATTGCCTTCCAAGGGTGGGAGGGCAACCCCCAGGAATCCAGATACTGACTAACCTTGGGTGGCAGCAATGGGGAGGCTGATAGTTGCTGTGGAAGCCACAGCTGGAGCAGCTGTGCTGGTAGCTGGGACAGGCAGGATGGTGGGAGGCTGGTGGCCTGGCACAGCCTGCACCCCAACTGGGGCCTGCCCAGTCTGCTGAGACATGGCCTGGATCAAAGCAACCTGTGCTGGCTGGCTGATGATGTGGTGCTGCCCCCCGGCCGACACCAGGTGAACTACATTCCCTAGATGGGACAGGAGGGAGAGACCATTAACTACACAGCTACCTGCCTTGCCTGCAGATGGTGGCCAAACTTCCAAGTGCATGTGTAAGCCCTCCTGCAGAGATCCCACCATAGAAACAGTGGGCCTCTATGTCAGGAAAGGCTCTGGAGATTCCTGTATCCCTCGGGTCACCGGATGCCCCACAAAGAGGCATCAGGAGCTTAGAGGGACCGCTCTGATAAAAGTATTTCTTCCACTGTTCCCATGTCCTACCAATTCTGGTATTACTACTTCTCTGCATATTCACATTGCAAGGTTTTTATTTTGCATCCAGATCTACGAGGAACATTTTTCAGGGCCATTTCAAAGGAGGACTCAGGCAATGGGAGTGGAACAGATTATCTGCTGCAGGAGCAAGCTGCGCCAGAGGGCAAGTGGAAAGCTCTCCCATGGAGACCCCGGCACATGGAAAACAAGCCAGTCAAGAGAGAGAACCCTCCCCCCAAAAGACAATCATTATGGAAGGCTCAATGAAGTCATACTGAGGCCCACCCTACCAACTACTTCCAGTAGCACAGTAGTCTAGGAACCGACACACTGTGCAGAGCTGCCCATCAGGCTCTGACAGGACACAGAGGAGAAAAGTGAGTTTGGGATAGTGGGGGGCTGGGGGGGTTACCTACTTGGCAGCTGTCGGGCTGGCTGAGGCATAGTGACCTGCCGGACCTGTGTACCCGTCAAGGTAAGCTTGTTGCCTTGGATTTGGAAGGTGAGGGGTTTGCTCCCTGGAGCACTCTGCAGGGGCCGGGTGGCCAGTGAGGCAAGCTGCCCAATGCTTACCACTTCGCCCGCTGCAGTGAAAGAAGATACTGGTTAGGCTTGGGAGATGATCAAACTGTGCTGCCTCCTTCCCAGCGGTCTCTCCATACTTACAGGGCAACCGTGCCTGCATATCCGGGGACAGCAGAAGCCTTTGCTGAAGGGCTCCAGCAGTTGCAAAGTTGTAGCCTGGCAAGGCGGGCACAGCGGAATGGATGTTCACAGGCTTCATCATGCCTCCTATGGCGCCTGTGCCCATGGTGCTGGTTGACTGCTGGGCTGTAGCAGCTGGACTCAAAGTGTTGGTGGGTGGCAGCTGCTGTCCAATGGGGGAAACACCCAAAGTGTTGATGGGCGGTGGCGGCTGCCCCACGGAGGACACACCCAAGGTGCTGATGGGCAGAGGTGGCTGCCCCATGGGAGGGACACCCAAGGGGCTGATGGGCTGGGTGTTGATGGGCTGCTGCTGTCCCAAGGACGTGATGGCTAAGGTGTTGATGGGCTGCTGCTGCCCCACAGGGGCTGGCAGTGCACCAGGTTTCAGCGAGGAAGATGCTGTGGTGGTGGGAGGAATAGGAGATGCCTGGAGGAGGGGTCGGGGAGCATTTGGGACCAGCTGAGCTGCAGTCATCGCCACAGGCAGGACTGTGGAGAAAGGGGAAAAGATTACAGATTTGTAGTGTCTCTTGGTCTAGCCCTGGTCTCATTTAAAAAGAAGAAAAGAAAGGAAGAAGCCATTGTTTTGTTCCCAGTGGCATAAAAGAAAACTTTTCTCACTATCTCTGCCTTTACTAACCCTTCCAAGCAATACCCTCTTCTCTGATGCAGGACTGAAATTGTTCCAACGCACAAAATGGGCACATTTCCCCCCTGCAACTTGCAAGGGCTACTAGCTTAAAAACCCCTTTTTTTGATAGTGAGAGATTTGGCACCCCAATACAGAATACTTGTATGCCAGAAAGGTAGATACGTTTCAGGCAGTAAAAATTCTTAGTACATCACTGTAGAGAAGAATTTGAGATGCCAGGGCTCACTTGAGAAAGTGAATTAGCTCCCAGCCCCCTTTCTTCCCTCCCCGTTACCACTGCTTTGGGATCTCTGAATCTTACCCTGTGGAGTAGAGGCCTGGCCTTGCAGCAGAGCAGCAGCTGTGTTGTTCTGGCTCAGCGTAGGCACTAGAGTCTGGGTCTGTGGTCTGATGGAAGGAGGCACTGGTATTGACATGGTCACTGGTGAGGAGGGCAAAGGGATGGGCATGGGGAGAGAGACTGCAACAGGGAGTGTGGGGGGCTGCACTGGTCCTGGCAAGAGTGGGCCCGGGTGTTGGATGGGGGCCAGAGCGGGCATCAGTGTCTCTGGAAGGACAGGGGCAATGGGCTTTTGCAGAGGGGTTGTGGGACGAGGGCTGTTCACCAGCACCACAGTTCGGTTCTCCGGCTTGGGCACTGGCTGCAGCATCCTGTGGGTAGAGAGACCGATTTAGAACTAACACACTGGAAATCCTCTTCTCACAAAATCTGTGTTCTCTACAGCAGAACCCCTGTTAGGCGAATCTCAAGCACAACTACTTTACTTTCTCTGCCTTAGCCAAAGGAATATTCCGAGTCAGGATCCTGGGAAGTCACTAAGGTGAGGGCTTTGCGGTTAGTCCGTATTCTGCCATGCAGCTGGGAAGAGGAAAACTTGATGTCAGCCTCTTCTCCGTGCTAGAAGGCTTCCTGCATTCTCCAGCATCGACAAATCCAAGGCCAAGATAAAATGCTCAATGCTGCTTTTCTAATACAAGCAGCAACAATATGGGGTGTGCAGACTTTGGACAGCAAAGAACAAAGATGGTTTTAATGTTTGATGTTTTGCTGTAGTTTTATAATTTATTGGAAGCAGCCCAGAGTGGCTGGAGCAACCCAGTCAGATGGGTGGCATATAAATAAATATCATCATCATCATCATTAATCCACTGCTGGAAGCTGCCCACTATTGAGAATGAGAAGAATCACAGGTACCTGTTAACTTTCATCTTGACAGGCTTGGGTCTGGGAGGAGGGTCTGGGGACTCAGCAATCTCTTCAATCAGTTTCCTTGTCACCTTCCACTTGGGCAGGAATGTGTCTGTCTCATAACGGGACACACGGCCCTCCAAGTTGATCAGATCAAAAATGCCCAAGTCCGCATGCTGTAAGGAGCAAGGCCCATATGCAGGAAATAAGCACAGTCCCAATTATAGGGTCTGGTTACCCTGGGTACTTACACATACCCCTTCTTGCCCCAAAGACAAATGATCTCTCGCCCAACCTGGAGCATCTAAATGGAGCATCTCCCTCTCCTACTAGACCAGAGAGAGAACAAACTTGCCTTGAAAGGGTCGTTATCAAGGGCATGGAGGATGAGGGAAGCTGTGTTGAAGCAGATGCCTTCTGTGATAAATGGCGAGTGGATTGGCCGTGGGTCAAAGAGGTTGGGGTGGTTGCAGACCTTGCGGAGCTGCATCAGGATGTTGATGACGCTCATGAAGTGCCCCGTTGCCAATGTCTCCTTGGTGCTGAAAGAGAAACCAACCACAGGGTGAGCCAGACTCAGAGGTGCCAAGCATCAGAATAGCAGACGCTGATGTTAAGGAGGAATAGCATAAAGGATGGCTTGTCCCGCATTGAATAACCAAAGCCAGAGAATAAAACACTGGGCTCATCCTCCAGAGCTCCTGCCCACCAGCCCTCTAAGATCCAGGCCACTGAGAGCCAAGCAATCCCTAGCGCAGCACCCCATCCCTCCCTCCCCCAACTAGCTTTCTGTACTTACGTAGCCTGGGCCATGAAGTCATCGTAGAGATAACGCTGGCGCTTGGAAAGCCGACACTTGATGACATGTTCGTATTTCTTTGGCATTTGCTTCTCTACATCCACTTTCACCCTCCGCAGCAGGAAGGGCCGCAGCACCTGGGGAGGTGGAGAGAATCAATTCCCATTCGCCTTCCAACCACGCCAGCTGCTCTCTGTACCCTCACCCCCACCCCGCTCACCTTGTGTAGCCTTTTCACCAGGTTCTCGTTGTACTCCTGGCTGCCCTCAATCATGCCCGTCAGTGGGTTGGAAAACCACTCCTTAAACTCGCGGTGGGACTGGAAGACATGGGGCATCAGGAAGTGCATGAGGGACCACAACTCCATCAGGCTGTTCTGGAGAGGAGTTCCGGTCAGAAGAAGCCGCCTCTGACTGGAAGAGGAATAATGACAGGACAGTGAGAACCTCGGAGAGGGAGGCGTTGCCCCACCCTGCGTCCCGATCTCAAGCCCACCACCACACACACCCTCACCTGTTGAAGTTTAGCAGAGACTGCCAACGCTGAGACTTGAAGTTCTTAATGTTCTGAGCCTCGTCCAAGATCAGATACTTCCAATTCTTGCGTCGAAAGGCCTGGTGGTCCTGCAGTACCAGCTTGTATGAGGTGATGCAGATATGAAAGGCATTGGGCTTGGTCCAACCCTGAGTACAGACAGTGAAGGCTTACAATTGTGACCAATAACGCAAGAGACACCAAGCTCAACAGCTGTAGACCTGCGGCAGGGAACTTCCAGCCCTCTCTGAGTTTCTTATTTTGATAGTTATTTAACAAAATTTATATACCACTTGATTGTTAAAAAACAACAACTTCTAAGCATTTCATAAAGATAAAAAACACATTAAAAATATTGATAGAAAGCACTTAGAAACAGATGTTTAAAAACATTCAAAAGAGATATAACACATGAAACATTCTACATGTCTGAATTGGCTTGGGTAAACAAAAATAATTTAAGCAGGTGCCAAAGAGTGTATAGTGGAGGGTCCTGCACTACTTATTTAAGAACAATACTGATCTAAGAACCCCTTATTTCAGCCTTAAATGCATTCCAGACTATTATCAGGTAATTTGGAGACTAAAAATAACTAAAATTCTTTAATATCTCTACTTAGGGTTTCCCTACCTTATGTTTCCTGGAGTACCAAAGAACTGAGCCACCAACATGTCTTAGTCAGAGAATCATAGAAAAGTAGAGCTGGAGGGGACCACAAGGATCATCTAGTCCAACTCCTTGCAGTGCAGGAATCTTTTCCCCAACATGGGGCTCGAACCCATGACCCTAAGGTTAGGAGTCTCCTGTTCTACCAACTGAGCTATAGAGGTGGGCTTCATATTCCTTTGTCGTGTGCCAGCAAAGAAATACGATAGCATGATTTGCCCATGTTACACCAACTGGTCCGTCCCCCCCGCCAAAATGAATAGACACACAAATATAGTTACATACAAATGCAAATCAATTCTGGAGTACAACTTGTGCCTCTTTTTACAATATGAGGTAATCTCTATCCCCTGGACTCATATGACACATACTATTTCAATACTTTCTTTCTGTGCCTTTGGGAAATTATGCTAGCTATATGTCTTCTATTGTGAGCCACATATGGACCAGAGACTGCATTACAATTACCCACAAGCATCATCTCAGTTTCCTTAAAACAAATCTCTTATTAGCACAGCGTGACCACCAAACCTAATTTAGCACCATACAGTACATGCTACCCAAAATAATGCTAATAATCTAGTTTCTCACTTTGTAAACTAGCCATCCTTTTTGATTTACTTAGAAACAGATGGTGGGGGAGGGAAATCTTTTAAATATTTTATCAAAGGACCCATAGAAGTCAGAATGTTTCCTGGAGGAAAACGATACCCAACATTACATTTTTTTCAACCACAAAGACACCTTTTTATGCTTATCTGGAGGTTTAAAATCATTTACATTGTGAGACACAAAACCCATCTCTGGTCCCAGCTGCAACGTCTGAGTTTTCTCACCTGCCGTTTTAGCTTACGCTCCTTCTGTGCCCCATAGTAGGTGAGGATCTTGAAACTGGGGCACCAGCGCTTGATTTCCATCTCCCAGTTCAGTATCACGCTGGTGGGAACGATGATCAGGTGGGGGCCCCAGCTGCCTACAGGAGCACACAAGCACAGCAGAGAAGCTTCCATGACTCTGGAGACCAAGGCTGCCTCTGTGCCTCACTCCTCAGCCACATGCCCTCCCCTGAGCAAATCCAGCTCTCTCCCCTCCAGAGCTTGCTCTCCATAGCCCATTTGTCCCCAGGATGGAGCTGTTAAAGCCAAGCTGCCAAAGGGAACAGTGACCACTAAAAGCACGGAGAGCATGAATTTTGTTACTCCACATCTTAGGAGGTTTAAGATGCCATCTGCTGCTTCTAGCAAGGAGCCCATCCTCACCCTCCGTTCTCTTCTCAAAGTTCCTGACCCACCCTTTTCGCAGGCCAGATGCGCCAGCAGCGAGATCGTCTGGATTGTTTTGCCAAGCCCCATCTCATCCGCCAGAATACCATTGAGTTTCTTCTCATACATGGTGACCAACCAGTCCAGACCAATGTGTTGGTATTCTCGCAGTGTCCCACGCAACAGATAGGGAATAGGCGTCTTAACCTACATGGGAGAAGGGCAATATAATTTGCCTGCTTTATTCCAGTGCAATCCCCTGCAGATTCCCTCTGACTCACCTGCGTAGTATCCAAAGTATAACCTTTGGGTTGCAGGCTCTCCGCTGCAGCTGCTATGTCAGTGATCTCCTTCTTGGGCCCTGGGGCTGGAGTCGAGTCATTGTCTCCCTCGCCACCACGATCCTCATCCTGCTTCAGAAGATACTCAACACCAAAGTCCTCCTCCTGGCTCACAGAGGCTTCTTCCTCCCCGCCTTCCATGGCATCCTCCTCTTCACTTTCATCCTGCTCACTCTCCACCTCTTCTGTGGAATCTGAAAGAAGTAGCAATGTCAGGACAAAAAGCAGCTGGGCAACTTACTGCTATCATCTTTAAATCAGTGCCTTACAAACTACACTGCTCTATACAAGAAATCATTTGTTACGTGCCACAAATGCCATCAAGACAAATGCAGCATGTTAAGTTGTTTTTGGGACAAACATTTCTTCAAAAACAAAGTCTGATCCCAAGACTGAGGCAAATACTTGAGGACACCTGCTAAGAATACCTTCGGCTATAAAGAGGAGATAATACAGTGGTACCTTGGTTTTCGAACAGCTTAGTTCACGAACAACTTGGAACCAGAATGCTGCAAAACTGGAAGTAGGTGTTCCAGTTTTCGAACTTTTTTTTTGGAAGCCGAACGTGCTCCATTTTGAGCCCTGTGTTTCCTGTTGCGCTAATTAGCGTCCCCCATTGTAATTCAAGCCTTCCATTTCCGTGTTTCCCGTTGCACTGCTACTTTGTGCCCCCCCATTGTAATTCAAGCCTTCCGTTTCCGATTGGAGTTCTGAGGTGATATATGGAGCTTATATTTGGCGCTTTTGTTTTTGCTATTTATTTTGTGTTTTCTGTTTTGAGGCTTTTTCAGTTAATTTGCTTTGGTGACTGTGTGGATCCCAGTTCAGCTACTGAATGATTGTGTAACTGCAGAAATGGATTAAAAAAAACCCCATCCAAACAATGACTATCATCAGTGCAGGTAAGATTTTTTTTTACTTTTAATTTTTATCATCTACAATACTGTTTTATTTATTTTATAGTACAGTGCATTGTTTATTGCTTTCATTTTATGGATCAATGGCCTCGTAAGATAGTAAAATTCATGTTAAATTGCTGTTTTAGGGGTTGTTTTTAAAAGTCTGGAACGGATTAATCTGTTTTACGTTACTTTCTATGGGGAAAACACGCCTTGGTTTTGGAACAGACTTCCGGAACGGATTAAGTTTGAGAATCAAGGTACCACTGTAATTACACACAAGATTCAATTACTTTCCAAATTTACAAGACCCATTCCCTTCCTTTTACCTGACTGGCTACTGCTGTCTTCTTCCTCTGACTCTTCCTCATACTCAGAAGTGCTGGGCTCCGAGGCCTCGGATGACGTGTCCGACTCCTCCATTTCAAAGTCTGAGGTATAGGCGCCAGCGTATTTCTGCAGCAACTCATCCATGGGTAACTCACCTGCCAAAGGGAAAGAAAGCACAAGATTATGCCCGAACACTAAGATAGATAGTTCTCTTCTCTGATCCCTGATCATATCTTGTTGAAGTGGCCCTCTGGTTCTGTAACTAGTTACAAATTAGAACAGAGGGTTCCATCTTGGAAACCCCAGCCTAGGTTTTGGGTTCAATGACTTGTTATCATTTCTGAGCTCACCAAACCTTGTCCATCAGTTCAAATCAGTCCCCTTTTAGACTTTTGTTGGCAATACTGCTTTATCTTCCCATGGTTGTGGAAAAAAATGGGAAATAGACATAGTGCAACCAATATAGGCCCAACTCAGTTCACCAACAAATAAGGTTGGTCTACTAAGTCAGATTACAGGTTCCAGGGGAACTGGAAACACTTGGGGTAGGGCAAGAAATACAAAACTGAGTTGGGGCAGGTGCTTACCCTGGCCCTACGTCCCTTTAAGAGCAGAAATTCTGGGAACGATGGTTCACAGACCTAGCAGACATTCGGAAACACAATTTAGTAATAAAGCGAATAGTGTTCAGGGCCCAGGGAATGAAAGTCCTGACCGCCATTTGCCACCCCAGCCACCATCTGCTTCCGAACCTTCCTTGGCCAGCTCATCCAGCTCCTGGCTGTGATCCACATCTCCTTCCAGCTTTTCTTCTGCATCTATTGTTTCCTCTTCATCTTCAGCTACAAGAGGAAGGACGCCCTGTGTTACTGCATGAAATGATTCCAGCGCTGGTCCCTGCCTCAAGTTTCCAACGTGCTCAGTCAACCGCAGACCCAAAATAACAGGCTCACCTTCCTCCTCATTGGCAGTGAACTCCTCATCCTCTTCATCAGGCTTCCAGGGTTTTTTATTCCTCTGAGTAACAGGCTTTGGCTTCTCCTGCCAAATATGAGAAAGGGCTTTCAGACCAAGATGGGAGGCCTTTAGCAGTGCATGTGCATGTCACAGAAAGCAGGACAGAAATTTGGCAACAAGTATTCTCAACTAACTTAATCTTTCCTGCTATCTACAGCTAGGCCCTTGCCTGTCCAGGCCCAGCCTGATCCATTGCCTGACTCTGTGTCCCTTTCCTACATGCTGGTGATGCCCATTGAAGTGTGACTGAATGATGGTCAGAATTCTGTAGCTGCATATTCTAAGTAGAGTTCCCTACGCATCTGAACCCAAGACTTGCCCATAAACCAGCAGCACACCTTTAACTTCTTGGAAGTCTGTTTTTCGTCCTGCTCCTCTTCCTCTTCACTGTCACCCTCCTCCTCTTCATCATTTTCAGAACTAGAGGCACAAGGGGGCACGCTGAAGGAGTTCTCCAAAATTTGGGGTGGCAGTGACTGCAGCAGCTCTTCTAGGGGCAGTTCACTCTCCTGCTTAAGCAACTCAATCTCCCGTTGCTGAGTCTCTGAATCATTCCCTTCCTGCTGCTCTTCTACTTCGATAGTCTCCTCATCATCCGACTCGTCATGGGGTTGAAAATCCCCATCTGCCAGAGAAGGAAGAGGGGAGTGGTCAGACACAACTCCTTGGGGCTTACACAGTCTCTCCTCAAAAGAAGCACACATTACAATTCTACCATGTTTGGTTGGGCAGGAGGAGGGAATGGGCATGGAAGTATCCCCCTGCAATTACATTCATAGGATATAAGCCATATAGGGGTACCTGTGTTGAGCCAGCCCTGGATGGGCTGGGGCTGGGCAGTTTCAGAGAAAAGGGTTGAGACTTTTAAGTTTCTGACCTTCATCCTCAGTGAGGTGACTGGGGTGTGGTGGGCTAGAGGCAGTAGAGCCCGCATGGGAGCCACCGGTCTTGCTGGGAACTGGAAAGGTCTCATTGAGGCTCTGGGTCAGTAGGTCCGAGTATTTCTCTGTCTGGCCCACTATGAAGTCTAGCTGCAGGTCCAAGGCTTTTTTCCGTTTCTCCTCCAGACGTGATTGTTGCTTGAATTGCACAACCTGAGGAAAAAAGAGTTTGGCGGGAAAGTCTCCAAGTTCATTCCTGCAGAATGTGCTGTGCTAGAACTTGCTCTTGAGTTAAAGGCAACATGGGCAAAGAGCTACTATCTTCTCAAAGTCTTCAGTAGCCCTGTGCACACAGTGCCACTCTTTTCTCTGCAACCTTAACCATGCAAATTTTTCAAAGCTGTTAAAAAGCACTTTGTTACTCATGTAAAAGCAAGAAACCCCAATTTAGTTACAGTGGTACCTCAGGTTACATATGCTTCAGGTTACATACGTTTCAAGTTACAGACTCCGCTAGCCCAGAAATAGTGCTTCAGGTTAAGAACTTTGCTTCAGGATAAGAACAGAAATCGGGCTCCGGCGGCGCGTCAGCAGCAGGAGGCCCCATTAGCTAAAGTGGTGCTTCAGGTTAAGAACAGTTTCAGGTTAAGAGCAGACCTCCGGAACGAATTAAGTACTTAACCCGAGGTACCACTGTATTTGGAACAGTAGCTCCAATTACAAGTAATAAAAGCAACTGATGTTTGAGACAGAGCAGAACAATTCATCTCACTGCTGTAGGAGAATAGACAAAAGCATAATTTGCCCCGCCTTTTTAATATGAATGCAGAAGTGAAGAATGAGTGAGAGTGGACAGAAATACATAACAAACATAACCTCCAACTAACTGCATGCTTTATGTGTTTGAAATTCTGGTTTGTTATACTTTACGTATTTTGTCTAAATGAAGTCATTCATATGTGTGTGTGTGTGTGTGTGTGTGTGTGTGTGTGTATGCATGTATGTATGTATGTATATGTGTGTATGTATACATATCCATATATATGTACACACACACACACCTACGTTTACCTATACGCATATATTAATTAGAGAAATTCCACCAACAAACTATGAAGGCAAGAGATTCACTCAACCCTTCTATGGATGAATCCACAGTATTTCTGATTAGGCAGAGTAGAGGCAACCAGCTCCAGACACCTGGCTCAAGGTGTGGCTCCTGTATTCAGGAGCAAGGCCTGCATGCTGCTTTTATGATGCCAGACAGGTTCCTCACGTACCTTCTCTACATTGCTCCAGAATTGCTTGACTTCTTTGGCGATGGACGAGGCAATACGGCGCAGCTTGGCCTGCTCCTCCCGTTTGGCTCGTTCTTCTTTTTGCTTCTGCTCTTCGTGGTGTCTGATCACCATGCGCACCACCTGCAAGCAACAAAGGAGAGAAGGATCATGTTAATAATCACAAGTCTTCACAGATTTCCACAGCTCTAAACAGTCCTTCCTAAATCTGGGTCGTAGGGAAGAGCTAGCTCCACTTCACTAAAGTGGATGGAAACCCTAGGGACACACATATTATATTGCTTTTCTGCAACAGCACAAGCCACAAACCTGAGGTGTTACAAAATTGCACGATTATGAAATGCCCTTAAACCCAGAGATTGGAATGCATGAGTGAAAACTGACTGAAAGAGATGGGTTAAATGTTTGGAGATTGGCAGCTTTTTCCATCAAACTCACCTTCCTCGCAACACCCCTCTTCCATCGGCGCTCTTGGGCAAAGTCAGCAGAGAGCCACTGCATCTCCTCGCAAAGATAATCCCAGTGTACTTTGGGTCGGACTGGCTCAGGCACCTTCGACAGCCGTTTCATGGACCAGAACCCTTCCTTCTTCATTTCTGCGATGCGGTTTTCAATCTCTGCCTCCTGGAATACATCCCCCAAGTCAGTTAGCCCAAAACACTGTATCCTTGTGAACTGCAGCTTGGAAGGACAAACTAAACAGAATGTTAACTTAGATTGTGTATGTTCATGCCCAACTCAAGAGGGCAGAAGGGGCCAAATGATCCCTGGACCATGTGTGGCTTACATGCTTGGCCTGCTCAGCAATCTCCGCGTGTGTCTTGTCCCACATGCTTGCAGGGTCCGGGGAGGTGTACATCCCGGGCGACACAAGGGCTCTGTTCTGTGTCTTGGGAACATCAAAACCTGGGTGACTGTCCAGCGAGGAGTCGTGGGTGAGATGTGGTGGTGAGATGCTGCCAGTTGAGGCAGGTGAGCCCGAGGAGGCTGGTGACACTGGGTTACTGCCTGTCATTCTGTCCGATGCAGTCTGAGATGAACAAGAGGAGACAAACGAGGGTAGAACATTATTATAGTGGCCTTAAAGGAACCCAACAGCTCTGGGGAGCTTGTCTAGGTAGAGCATCAGAGAAGAGCATCCCTTGTTCTGACTCTCACAGATGCTCTTTGTAGTACAATGATCATCCACATACTTCACTAAAGCAGTCAAAATTCATTCTGAAGACCCCTAATGAACTACAGTGCTTTGAAAAACTGTAATCCAGTAAGCGGCCTCAAAACACAGGGCCTTACACTGGGATTCCCCTCACCTCCAACTCTACCTGTGGTTGCAGCGCATGTTGCTGTTGGGGAGGACTGCTCTGCATTTTAGTTCTCTCTTGCTCTTTGCCTCTCGTCCCAACAGCTTCGTTTGCGGTTGTAGTGCTGGCTTCCTGCTCCAGTGCATGCTCGGAACCGGCCTCATTCTGGTCAGCCAGCCACTGGGACGAGCCGTCCAGCTCCTGGGTTCCTTGGCAGCCCAGCCTGCGCTCGGGACTGCCTGTCTCAGAATTATCTAGAGATTGATGAAGAGGAATCAGTCGCATTGTGATCAGAGCCAGACTGAATAGAACTGAAAAACACCCACTCAAGAACAAGCTAAAGGAAGATTTTCAGAGGAAGTGAAATTAAACGTCAAAATGACATTAGCATGCCCTCTGCCTACAATTTTACTTTCCTTTAACACAAAGTAAAGCACTAAAAATTAAAGAAGGAAAGTAATGCACCTTAAATGCAGCTATTAAATAAAGAGCATAAATGTAAACCAAACAGTTCCCAGCTGATCAAATCTCATTTCTCACTAGGTTTTTTTCAAAAAAGAAGCTGCGAGTATAAATATGATTTGATTAATGATTACAGTGAAGGGAGGAGGGGTTCTTTTTTCCTTTTTTGTTGCTGTTGCCAAAATCAGGGGAGCCCCAGAAAAATTTGCTTGGGAGCCGGATCAGGCCCCCCCAAACTGGGGGTTAGCCTCTCCCAATTTACGATATACAAGAGATCTGGTGGCAGAACCCAGTAGAAAATTAATATATCCAACACAGTAGCTATCAAAAACACAACAGCATTAGAAAATCTCCGTTGCCAAGTTTGTACACACAAGCAAACATTTTCTGTTACAGAATAAATGTTTGGGTAATGTGAAAAAATGTTTTCTCTCAAAGTTTGCATTTAAAACTTTAATATTTAGACACAAAAGATGTAAACCCTGCCTACAAGTAGAGGATTCCCCTATCTTCCTCCACTGGATACATATTCTACTGTTTAGTACTAAATGCCTAGACTTTCCAAAAATTTCCAGGGGAGCTATGAACAGATACTGTAAATTTTATTTCATTCCTTTGAGCTGCTTTTTATATCCCTCCATCATATCTCAACAAGCAAATTAAGTTTAGTTGTGGCCAAGCTAGATTCCAGTACATAATAAATTCTGGTGCATCAATATAGATGTTGGTGACAGAAAAAGCATTTTTAAAAGTAAATAAATCCAACACTGAGCTCAGAAAAACAGCCAAAGATTTAGATTTGCTTGATGTTCCTGCTTAAAACCCTGTTGCCAATTCCCCAATGGTATTCAGTTTCACCTGTACCTGCGTGAGCTGCGAACTCCTCTTGCTTGTCAGGCTGAACTTCCAGGGTTTCGCTTTCCTGGGGAATACTACACCTGAAAAAAGATGGAACCGTTAGTCCAGAGAACATTTTGTGTGTGCGCGCGTGTGGTAGATGCACAGCAACCTATTCCTTTAGGTAAGGATCATTCAAACTTGCTCTTGGGACCCTGAACGACTCTGCCAAAGGGTAGATCAAACCCTGTCTCTCTTTTATTGTTACGCAGACAGCATGGGAATAGCCGGCCCATGGGTTGCGGTGGAGAGTTTTACTGTACGCACCAGCTACCAAATTCAAGCCTATGAAAAGAGGCAGGAACCTGTTTGGGGTGCGGTTTGGTGAACCACTAGAATTATCTCACTTTCCCATCCACTTTATGGATTCTGAGTTGTCTAGCAGTATCCTTTTCACTCACTCCCATGCCTAGGTATCCAGAGCCCAAAATCTTCTCAGTATCTGGGGCAACCCGGCTAGATGAGTGGAGTATAAATAATAAATTATTTTTATTTTGCTTCCTATGTACCCACCTTTGCTTCAGAAGCGTCAATATTCTGCACGTCACCCTCATATCATTATCCCAGGGAAGTTTACTTCCCTTCTTGGCTTCATTCTTTTGAGAGAGATCTACAACCCATTCATCCTGCAAGCTGAGATTTTGCAACTCAACTCTATTGCTATAGCGTCCTATTAACTCTCTGCTTCTATAGCTCAATTTTGTCCCTAGCTCATAAATAACCCACTATCTCCCAAACCTTTTGTTCCTTCCCTCTCACTCCACACTTAACCCAGTTACCTTGTAATTCTACCTCCCTGGCCTGACCCTGCTGGCTCCATATCCTGCTTCAGCCTCTCAGCCAGCCCCTGCCCTTCTACTTCCAATCCTGACACAGCCTCACCCTCCACATGCTGTGCCAGCCTCAGCGCCCTCTGTTCAACCTGCCCCAGAATGGAACTAGTCTTAACAGAACTCAATGGAATAGTATCAATGGGACTTTCAGCCACCTTCACTCCTTTCACATGCAAACCAGCTGGGCCTTCGCCCCACATTGCCCGCCTCATGGCATTGTACCTTTTAATTGCAATTCCCATTACCCCATCCCGCCAATCTTTCAACTCTTGCTTTCCTGTTAACAGGCCTGGACTTCGTCTCTCTGCCATAGAGTCAGGACTGTCTGCTTTTGAGCCACGAACTGTTACAGAGAGTCGAGACACTGTCTGCTTAGATCCCAACACGTCCTTCAGCCAGTGTACGTTGGCTGATTGGCTTGTAAGCCCATACACCCTTCTTCCCATCCCAGACACTGGTGGCTCAGGACTTGGTCCTGCTGACTTTACTGCTCCCTGACCTGTCACCATCATGTTTATTCGTTCTTTTATTCCAGCCCGCAATGGCCCTAAAGCAAGTCCATGCCCGGACCCAAGGCCTGCAGTCCAACCAGAACCTGGTCGTATTGTCGAATAATCTTGTGTAAGTGGCCTACCAAGCCATGGCAAGTACATTCCTTCTGGATGTTGCCTTGCTCTGTCATCAACATCCTTGGCCAGTATCTCCAACTCCTTAACTATCTGTTCCTGCCTCAGTGGTTCTGCTGGGGTCTGATCAGATCCCTTTCCTGCCTCCTCCATCACAGGAACCTGCTGAAAGCTCTCTATCCTGTTATCTGCCTCAGAGAAACATGACATCCCTTCCCGTCCAATTCTGTACCCCATCATAACCACCGGCTCACCTACTTTAACCCTAATTGCACGAGACCTCAATTCAGCTGATCGTGTCTCCCTCTGATCTAATTCACCCTTTCCCAGTTGCGTACGAGCCTCCTTAATCATTCCCTTTTGCCGAGCCATTGCTGTTAAACTGGTCACAATCAACCCTGGAGCCCTGTGCTCCAGCACTCCACGACGGAATCCACATGAGCGTGTTGCCCCTTGATGTGGTACCAGTATTGGCCCTTGCCGTAATCCTGCCAACCCTGAAATTATTTTCCCCTTCAACTTGCGACGTTCCTCTTGACTTCCTATGGCAGTGCGCTGTGACAAATGTGATGACAGCACTGAGGAACCTGATTTATTCAATTCAGCCACCTTCAGGCTTGGTTCCACTTGACCTTGGGCCAGGTTCGTATCAGATGCCAACCAGGTGACTCTGGTATCTTCTTCACTTGGTTTTGCCCTTTGACTCAATATCCCCTCCCTGGAAGGCACGCCTGCCATCTCCTGAGTTGGTCCTCCCAACTGTTCTTCTAATTCTGGGCTCCAAACTAATGTCTTCTCCTGAGAGGGTACCTTTCTTCCCATAGTACCTTGATGCTGCTCAGTCAACGCAATCTCACCTACACTTGTAACCTCCACTACTGGTCCCTGAAATGGTTCCACCAGCACCTTAGTATCACTCTGATCCCTGAATAATGCCTCTCTTATTTCTCGAGATTCCTCCCTAGTAACCCTCTCAGTTGAACCCAACTGCTTGGCTTCTCCCTGATCAAGTCCTACTTGCTCTTTTGTCTCCCTTTGTTCTGGTTCTGCTAGCTCTCCAACTTTCTCCTGACTAGTTCCTAGTTTCACCTCTTCTCCAGGCCCCATCTCCTGACTTTGCACAAGTTCTTCCTCCGGGCCTCCAGTTTCTTCTTGTGCTCCAGCTACTCTCACTGGTGCTCCCACCGCCTCCTCCCTTCCTTCTTCCTGACCCACTGCACTCATCTTTTCTGTTTCCCTCTGAGCTGCTCCTATCACTTGCTCAGCCACATCAAGAGCCACGTGCATCATATCTTCCTTGACAGTCACCTCATCAGTCTCTACCTGACTTGTCACTACCAAACCCTCCCCCTCAATAAATGCTACATCTCTCTTTGAAGTTGCCACCTCTGCCTCCCTCTTATCTTCCCCTTCCTCCACTGTGGCTACCATACTGCCAATCTCACCCTGACTTATCCCAGCCAAATCCTCAACTTGCTTTTGATCTTCTACTGCTTCCACATCTTTCTCTGCAGCCACCTCTTCTGCCTGCTTTTCATCTATTCTTGGTGATCCCTGATCCAGCATTGATGCCATACTTTCTTTTTCAGTCTTACCCTCAACTTCTCCCTGACTTGCCACCACCAAATGCTCAGCCTTCTCCTCAGCTGCACCTGCCTCTCCCTCAGCAATCACCAACTCTGACCCCCTCAGATCTTCTTGTAGGACTTCAGCTTTGACTTGATCCATTGATGGTGCCACCTCCTCTGCTTCTCCCCTGCTTGACTTCACCAAGTCTTCAACTTCCCCCCAACCCTCTGATGATGCCAAATCTCCTTCCACAATCATGCTTTCAGCCTCTCTCTGATCTACTCCAGATACCCTGTCTTCCCTTTCAATTTCCTCACCAAGTCCCTCCTCACCTGGTCCAACTGTCATCTCCGCCTCCCTCTTACCCAAAACTGGTTCCTCCTCTCCAGTCAACACCTCAATTTCCCCCTGACCTAGTCCTACCAACTCCTCCTCACCCCTTGCTAATATTGCATCTTCCTCTGCAGTCACTTCCTCTAGCTCTCTCTCATTTACATCTGGCACCTTCTCAGTTTCCTCATAGTCAATTGCAGGTGCCACATCCTCTTCCTTTCCAGTGACCTCTAGGATCTCCCCTTGACCCAGTCCTGACAACTCCTCCATTTCTCCATGATTATCTGTTGATTCGCCTTCTTTGTCACTCTCTCCCACCTCCACCGACTCTGGCATCTTTTCAGCCTCCCCCACTGCCTCATCTTCCCTGACAGTTGCCTCAGCTTCCCTCTCTTCCAGTTCCATCAACTTTTCCTGTTCATCTCCCTTTTCAACCCTCTCTCCAGAATCTACATGGTCCTCTTCTACCAAATCCTCTTCTTTCCCGTGGTCCGGCCCTGCCAACTCCTCAGTCCAATTTCCCCCCATTTCTAGAACCATTTCACCCTCTCCAAGCAGTGTTTCTTCCTCATGAATAAATTCCTGAGTCTCCTGTTGATCCATTCCTTTTCCAGTCTTCCCCTCAGCTTCCCTCTCGTCTGGGCTCCCAAAAACACTGGTTTCCTCCTGATTTGGTTCTCTTGACTCTTCAACTTCTTCTTTCTCTCTATTTCTCTTAAGCTGAAGTTCCTCAAGAATCACTGTCTCCAACTCTTCTGCTTTTCTCAGATCTGGTTCAATAATTTCCTCAGCCTCTTCCCCAGACATTCCTAATGCCACTTCTCTTTTCAGTGCATCCTCAGCCACCCCCCTATCCAGTTCTGCTAAGGGTCCAAATGTATCCTGGTCTGGTTCCACCAACTCTCCAGTAGTTGGTGCTTCATGTTCTTTTTCAGCCTCCTCTTCTGCCTCTGAGTCTTTAGCCTCTCCCTGTCCCACACCTGTCTCTGGAAGCAATCCAGTTATCTTTCTCTCTGCCTCATTGGGAGGTCCTTCCACTGTGGTCTCTTCATTCACTACAGCTTCCTTTCCCTTCCTATCATCCTGAGCTTCAGCCTGCCCCTCCTCAGGCTCCATGACCACATTAACCTTTCACTTATTTCTGGTCTGGTTTCTTGCAAAACTTTGATGGTGCTAAGTAACTGCAACCTCCTCCCAACTTTTCAAGTATTATCACTAGCCACCCAAACCCTAGAGCAGTGCAACTGCTCAAGTCCCAGATGATACCCTAATACCCTTTGAACTTGCCACCCTTTCTCAGAACCCTTGCGCCCCACTAAAAATCAATCCTTGTACCCGCAATCCTGCATTTATTCATTCATTGCACCCTAATCACAAGCGATTCCCCCTCTGACGCCTAGTTTCTTTCTTTTTCAGCACAAGTTCGATGCCCTTTGATTTCCCCCCCACGCTTTAACCCCTTTGTCACCCTTTCCCTCCCACCTTTTCCCTTTGACCCCTTGACCCCGCCCCGGTTTCCCCCAAAACCCTCCCTCCCTCCCTCGCCCTCCCTCCCTAGTCCCCCGAGAATCCCCGCTCGCCCCTCCCCCACCCGCTGAGAAGTAGGCGGCCGTTGGTTGGTCGGTTTCGCGGCGCGCGAGGAAACGAGGTGACGGGGGGGGGAGGAGGGCGGTAGGTGAAGTAATAATAGGCCAGCATTGAGAGCGGCCGTTGGCTGGGTAAGCGCGTGCGGCTCCCACATTGGCTCCTTTCTCTTATTTCCCGCCCCACCACTCTCCATTAGTGCGCCCTCTATAGGTAGGGGAGGGAAATGACCGATGGAAGAGAGGAAGGTTCGGGGGAGGTAAAAGGCCGCGCGCGCGCACGACCACCGGCAACCAGGCACACGCGCGCGCTCTTATCTGTTTCCTCACTTTTCCCTCCCGACTCGAAGCAGAGACTTGCACCCCTCCAGGGAGGTGGGTGTGAGCGAGAGGAGTAGAGCCCCGGCCGGTCCGCCATCTTACCTGGGTGGGAGGGGGGAGGAGTGAGGAGGGAGGGGAGGCGCCTCCTGCCCCGCCTCCTCCTGCCGCCGCCTCAGCCCCAGCGCCGCCGCCTCGGCCGGAGAGAATCCGCCGCCATCCGCGGCCCCCAGGCCTCTCCCGCGCGACTTCTCCCTTTGCGCGGCCTTCGCCGGTGCTCCTCGGCACGTCGCCCACCCCTCCCACCCGGATGCTGATCCCTAACCAGGCCCCGCCGAGCCAGACCCGACCCGCCGCGGCAAAATGGCGGCCGCCACCACCAAGCGCCAGGGCCAGCCCCTCCCTCCTCCCACCGCTCCCTCCACCCGCCGGCCTCGGCGCTCAAGTCTCGCGAGAGCTCGGGTAACGCGAAGGAGGGTGTGCGTGCGTGGAGAAAGAGAAAAGAAACTCAAACCCAAAGTGTCTCACAGGCACGTCACGGGGGAGGACGGCGTCCCGGCGAGAGGCCGCGGGCCAAAAGAATTGCGGAAGACGGCGCTCTTCTCCCTCACAATCAGATAGAGCGGGATGCGGGACTGCGAGCCCGCGGGGCGAGGGAAAGGCCATCGCGAGTGAAGGGCATGCTGGGAAATGGAGTCCTGGGGGATGCTGGGGCTTGGAGTCTCCCTCTTTCGGACGGAGGGAGGGAGGACTCGATTTGTCTTTCCTCAAAAATTCTTCCAATTGTTCGCTGGGCGGGCTGGCGCGACTATTCGAAGGTGCTCAAAACAAGATGCACTTATGAATGAGAAGAGGCAGCTTTGGCTCGTGAAAACATGCACTTCCCCTAGGACTCGCAGATACTTCGGATGCGACTTTGAAAGTCAGGAAAGTTTCAATGAATATTGTTTACATGGGAGGGTCCTCGCACCGTCGCGCAAAACGAGGTTGACAAGACGTTGTTGACAACATTTCGAGCTCCTTTCAAAACTTCCAGTGCCCTGACTTTACAGGTGATAAATCTGCATTGGGAACTCCAGAGCTTCAATGAGTTCTGAGTTTGAAATCATGATTTCTCCAAAGGGAACAAATTCCAAATTTTGACGTTAGATGCAAAAGTGGGCCTGGCTAACTTGGCAAAGGAAGGGGGAAAAACTCATTGGCACTTAAAGCAAATATGAAAGTTATTTCAAAACCAGTATTTTCATTTTAGATGTAGCATAGACCTTTTCATGTTCATGTGGTTGAGGCTATTATCCTACACACACAGTTGGCAGTAAACCCTATTGAACTTAATAGATGTTACTTTTGAATAAACATTTTAGGTTCATGCTAAAGCCTTCAGCTACCTGCTTATAAACTCATTTTTAATTATGTTTTTTATTACTGCATTTATTGCTTTGATAACTATAAGTCATAGTTAATTTCTAAGTAAAATAAGGGGATGACGTTTACAAATATTTGCTCTTCTTCACTTCCATTCTGGATAGATGGTTCAGGATTGGGCCTGTCCAACAAATATAAAACAATGGGGACAGAGAGACTGTATAATGCAATGTCTACTTGACTTAATATGTGAGAGGCCTATATTCAAGTCCTACCTCTGCCATTGACTAATTGGCTGCAGTGGAAAAAACAAATACTAATGGCTAGCTAGGACATCCTCCCACTTATTCTGAGGATAAACCAAGTTAATGCTGCAGTCCTAAACACACAGGGATTTTTAGCAAAATTGTAGCTATATCGAGTACTAGCATCTTTGATCAAGCCAATTTGTTATTGTGAATATATGGCAACTTTTAATTTATTTAAACCACTATGCTGTGTAGCAGGAATAGCTAACCTGCAGCCCACAGGATGTATCCAGCCCCCTCCCCAAGATTCCTCTCTATTTGTCATTTTTAAACTGTAAAAAAAAAATTGTTAACTGCTTCCGTAGGTGCCACTGTTATAAGTGATAATGGGAGAGTGTGTGTGTCCGTCCGTCGTCGCCTCCCCCCCCCCCCGATATTAAAAAGGATGCATGAACCCATGGAAGTTTTGGACTTCTGGATTGGAGTGCAGCTTGGTAAGTTTGTGTGTGTGCTGTTAAAAAAAACCAGTTAAATATAAACTGATAACCATACAATGTTGCCTTACATTTAAGTCAAACTATAGGTCTAGCATGTGGGACGTGGGTGGCGCTTTGGGTTAAACCACAGAAGGTCGGCGGTTTGAATCCCCGCAACGGGGTGAGCTCTCATTGCTCCTGCCCACCTAACAGTTCGAAAGCACGTCAAAGTGTAAGTAGATAAATAGGTACCACTCCAGCGGGAAAGTAAACCGTGTTTCCGTGCGCTGCTCTGGTTCGCCAGAAGCGGCTTAGTCATGCTGGCCACATGACCCAGAAGCTGTACGCCGGCTCCCTCAGCCAATAAAGCGATATGAGCGCCGCAACCCCAGTGTCGGCCACAACTGGACCTAATGGTCAGGGGTCCCTTTACCTTTATAGGTCTAGCATGACCTAAAGCATTAGTTCTCTATCACTGCTGTATGTAGCTCCGCTTGTTGCAGACACAAATGCAAGCTTTGCTGATTGTATGCTGGAACTAGTTTCTTCTGTTTTTAAACAATTCATTAAAATGCCTTCATCTGTGACATGTTTCTTTCAGATAACTTTTATTTTCATCATAAAAGGAAAAAAGCCACACATTCCATGAATGACATCCAGTTCTGAAGGAACAAATGGAAACATATGTAGAAGAACTCCTGAGGATGTATTATGAGGACAACACCTCAGAAGGTTTTTACCAAGGGTTTATAAAATCATTTTCACTATACAATAAATTGTCATAGGATGGTATCCAATTTTAGTCACACTTAGAACAAGGTCAGTTAAATCAATAGACCTAACTTGGGACTAGGTTGAAATCTGTGTTGGGGGTCTAGAAATCTCAGTGGATATTCAACCCAGAAATAATTTTTATCTTTTGTTATCAACACCACTGAGTTTAAAGAGGATGTACAGTTTAAGATGCAATACTTACTTGGGAGTAAGTCCCATTGAATTAGGACTGTAGTATTAGCAGCTTCGGGGTGTTCGCATGGCAATTTTTAAAAAAACTGCAGCATTCCTATATGTGATAACTACTTTCCAAAGACAGCTATCATTTGGAAACCTCTTGCTTTAATTTTTTTCACAAGTATTACTTTTGAGACCAGAAATTATGTTATTGGGAATATTTTGGCAACATATTATGAAAGCATCAATATTTACTAAATAACCTACATGTTACAGTGCATATTCTGATTACAAAATATGGGAAGAGTCAGTTTGCCTACTCTGAAGGACTAGCTCCCATTTGACAAAGGTCAGTTAACAGTAAAAATCACTTGCTATAAACTACTACAGGGATTTTGTTTTTTGGACAATTGGGAACCTTTATTGATCTACCAGTTTTTTTAAAAAAAATCATACAAAACAGCTCATCAAGAATATTGGACATTAGAGATCCATCTCAGTCTTCTGGATAATTCTGTACCACCCCAAAGAGATCATGTATCTTTGTGTGTTAAAAATATAAAAATAAAACCATTTTAAAAAGCTGGGAGACACAATTCCAAATTAGATTGAAAACTGCAGGATTCCTGATTTCCTAAAAGCTTTTGCCACCCAATTCAATTTGTGAATTTGTAGACAGTGGAGTATAAAAGGCAAGAGTAAGGACTACTACACTTTTCCAATACTTCATGTTTCAGACCTGAGCCTCAGTCCAAACTGAACCAGGCATGTAGGTGGTTTTTTGTTTGTCTGTTTTTATGTATAAAAAATAAAAGTAACCTAGGATATAGCATTTGGCTAGTTGCACTCATTTCTGCAAAACTGATCCCTGCATCACCTCCTAGAACATGATAAAATCTCTAAATTTGTGGCTTGGCAGTGGAAAGAAAAGTTCATTCTTATTAAAGTGGTTTTAAAAGAGATTTTGGATTCCAGTCATTGTCGCTCCAGATTCTTTGCTCCCTCCTGGTTGGAGACAGCGACAAACATTTAGACTACTAGAAAGCAGAAAAGTACAAAGCAAACTTCACAGACAAGAAACTTTCAATTTTACCTACCTCTTCAGTCCTATTCTTATCAGAGAGATTAAAAAATTGCTGCAATGGAGAACTTTTGTGAAAATACAAGGAGTATAAACCAAATAATATATATGTCACTTATGTAATCATGGCCATTCAGTATTTAGTGAGATTTCCAAGGGATTGCAATGAACAAGATGTGGCTTTTGAATTGAGAATGGAGAAAAATAAGCGTGCAACCTGGTAGTAGTTCCGGGCCTGGCTCGTTTCTGGCTGTAATGCCACATATTTTATCACTTTCCCCCAGATTCTAGCAAAGCCCAAACAGCCTATGGCGTTAAGGTAGGGTTACCAGATGTCCCCATTTCCCGGGGACAGTCCCCGGATTTACAAATCAGCCCCCATACAAAATCCATTGAAGATGAAAAGTGTCTCCAGATTCATTGAAAAAAATCTGGTAACCTTATGTTAAGGAGTTGGAAGGGATGTGAAACAAAACTCCAGAATCAGAGATCTCAGGCTGGTGATAGCCAGGGGATTTCCCCAATGACAACAATTCCACACTGCCAATCTAGTTTTATAATATACCAGGACGGTACAAGATTTGGAAAAGTCTGCCCTTTCTGTGTACTTTCTCAACATTAGGAAGTGTTTGTGGCAGAGGTATCGAAGACTGACGACTACTGGTTTGAAAGCGGATTATGGACGGGTCCCTTGCCATAAGCAACCAGGCTACGAGCAGCATCAATGGCCTACTTCCTCCTCCACTCTCATTTGGCATGATTTATCATACTAGGGCAACTCATAATAATGAGAATCCAGCCTTTAGGGTAAAAAGAGAAATCCTTAGGGCTTTTGGTGCTGCTTAGAGCAACAATCAAATCTAGCTCAGTGTTCAATAGTTGCTAGCAAAGTGAGATACCACACTTGGGTGGGGAAACCTCTGGGTATGACTGGCAGGGGTTAGGGTTAGACCTGCCCAAATTTACCTTAGTGTCTTGGCATGGCTTATAGGAATGCAAAGTGAGAGGCACCAAAACATACTTTGTCCCAACTTCAAAGGAGTTACGAAGTCTGCTATGTAGGTATCTTGGACCATTTGATTTTGCCCAACTTCCTGACAGGTGTTAGCTTTTAAATGGGCATTTCTTAAGTTGCCCTCTGGGGTGTGGGATCATGCTTTGGAGAAAGGGCTTTGTCTGCTGGGCTCTAAGTCTAGGACTTGTGCAGGAAGGATTAAAGCTGGAGGCAAGAAAATGGAAAACCCACTTTCAATTTCAGGCAGCCACTTGCACTGGTTTATCACTCTGTCCCTAAAGCAAAAGGGTGAGGGACGAGGGAGACGAAAATGAGGCTTTCATTTCTCTTCCAAAGCAAAAACACTGTTGATGCTGCCTTCATGCCAAAGTGTTTCACCTCCTGTAAAACCACTGTAAAACCACAGTTGCTCTGGAGATGTGATGCTTTTGGGGGAATCTTGATCAAACAGTGTACAGTTTGGCTCCAAGTCTTGTTCCCTTTCATCTTTTAAAGGGCTACAAAAATTATACTTGTCCAGGGTGCCAGCCTCCCTTTCCCAGAACTCCAGTTTTAATCTAATAGTGTCCTGCTTCCAACAGATGGGGCTAAACACCCAAGATTCAAGTGAGAAAGATTGTAGAGGTCTTGTGCTTTCCCCTCCTCTTCCTCCTGCCCTCCTCCCCGCCTGCCATCCAAAGACACACACGCACACACCAAGGAATCCAGAAGCACCAGTTTGGGGTTTAATTAACCAACCTGGGGAAGAAAAGGGGCACTGGACAAGTGCATTGCACCCTCCTCACTGCACCTTTCCGATCAATTACAGAAGGAGGAAAGGGACCGGGAGGTGGAGAGGGTGCGGATACAGGTATAGAAAAGAGCAGTACAGTAAAAACAAGGGGAGCCGTGGGGGGAGGACAGGAGAAGAGGGAGAAGTCACTTTTAAAATCACAATCTCAAACCTTTTATAAATGTACAAAAAAACCTTTTCCCCCACCTGCTTGGGGCAGAATATATAAATATTTACACTGCCTGGCAGGGGGAGGTGCCCCAAGATACAGCCCTCCCCCTTCCCCTGAAAGCAGCTTTCCCATCAGTCCATTGAGGGAGAAGAACACGCCCCAGAGCCATTTCAGCCCAGCAGGAATACTGGAAGCAGACACAAAACCTGTTAGGAAGAGGGATCTGGGAAGAAACCGGGACCCCAAACCGGGGGCACACCAGCCCCTCGACTCCTGCCCTCCCTCCGCCACAAACACCTCTAAAACAGAGACATCACACCCCGTATCTCTTAAGCCCCAACCTGAGCTTGGAAGAGGTTCCAACTATTCATAGCTGAAGGAGGCGAAAGTCCTTCTGGGAGGGGTGGCTGGGTGCTCCTCCGGTTAAGGCAGCAGGAAGCTGCACTCTTATCCCTGCCTGACAGGAAGGGGATGGGGGGCTCGGTTTCTCTGCCCAGGGCTCACGTTGACCCCACCAGTCCACTGGAGACAAGGGAAGCTGCTTGATACAGGTGCACACATGTCCCAGAGCACCATTATCTGGAGTCCCGGTCCTTGTAGGCTGCCAGTTCCCGGATGTCAGGAGCACGGCGGGGGGAGCAGGGCCGAGCATTCGAAGCAGGGATGAGAGGCGGGGGGGCGCTCAGCAGTCCTACAGCGGCAGCAGCCGCGGCGGCAGCCGCAGCAGGGGTGGCTTTTGCCAGTAGCCCGTTTGGGTGGCGGGGATAGGCCATGAGGCTGGGGTGGGGTGGGGGCGCCAGGCCATATAACCGGGCCCGTTCATAGTCCTCGGCAGCAGTGGCGGCAGGCGACGGGGTCTCCAGGTAGCGGGGCAGGCGCTGTAGCGGGTGCAGCTCCAGCCCCCGGTGATAGGGCTCACGCCAGGCTTCGAGCGCAGCATAGGAGGCAGCTGAGGGCGGGGCAGCAACCAGGTATGGGGAGACGCTTCCGCCAGTTCCGGTCTGGGGTCTCTCAAACACAGCCAGCGTCCCCAGGGGGTGGGAAACATGCAGGGTGCTGTGGAAGGGAGGCCCCGTGCGCAGCGCCCCCTCGAAGCCCGTCAACTCAGGCTCCTCCTTGACCTTCACTTCCTTCTTCAGAGGCAGCTCTGGGTAAGGGGAGCGGGAGGCGTGGCCTGAACCTGCCGGGCTTCCGTAGCGATGCTCACGCTCTGCTGGGATGTGTGACCGGCCTGGGGGCTCCTCGTGAGCCAATGCTAGGTTCTTTGGGGTGGGAGTAGCTGGAGAGGCACGCAGTGGATGGCGCGAGAAGAGGGCATCTCTGAAACACATACACAGGCAAAAGAAAGTTTGTGTTGGGGGTAGGAAAAAGTCACTCTCCACAACCTGGTACTGTCAGCCAGCCTTATGCAGACCCGTTATTTGTCATACTGGGCTGGCCCAACTGCCTCTTACTCCACCCATACCTATGAGTCCCAAAGAACAGCAACTGCCCTCCCTCTCTTGAATACTGTGGAACCTCGGTTTTCGAGCATCTCAGAAGCAGAACAATTCAGAACCTGAACACCGAAAACCTGGAAGTAATTGCTTCCGTTTTTTAATGCACATCGGAAGTCGAACGGCTTCCACTGCATGTTTTTCCATATTTTCAATGGGTTTTGCAGACTGCCCATTGATCCTCGGTTTTCGAACGTTTCAGAAGTCGAACAGTCTTCTGGAATGGATTACGTTCAAAAACAGAGGTTCCACTGTATCGAACTCCATTCACTCTTCATCCAGGAATAGCCTTGACCCCCTTGTCATCACCTCTGTGTCCCGCCTCTTACCTGTCCTTTTCATCCTTGATCACTGGCCCTTCTGGCTTCTCGCTCTCCTTCTCGTGCTGGGTTCCTCCACGCTCAGCCCCATCTCCAGCCCCACCTTTGGGCCAGGCTGGGGCGGTGGGAAAGGAAGGGGGTGTGCGGTGTAAGCGGTTCCATGCCTCATGGGGGCTAGGGAAGGATGGAGCTCCGGGACTGTCCTTCTGCCCAAAGACAGCACTCGAGTCTGGGAGGGGAAAGAAGAAAGATTGGAACTGGCACATCAGAAAACACTGCTGTCCCCATGGCACCTTTGCAGCGGGGTCCTCAAAAGCCCCAGGCAGATGGGCTCAGCCAGGTAAGAAGTGTGGGGGCAACTAGGTCCCCAAGTTGGAATAAGAATATAAAAAGAGCCTGCTGGATCAAGCCAATGGCAAACCTAGTCCAGCATCCTGTTCTCACACTGGCCAACCAGACGCCTGTGGGAAACCAGCAAGCAGGAAGTGAGCACAAGACCACTCTCCCTTCTGTGGCTTCTAGCAACTGGTATTTAGAAGCATTACTGCCTCCGACTATGGAGGTAGAGCTTAGCCATCATGTCTAGAGCACTGATGAACACTGCACCATGGTGAAAAGAGCATAAATAAGAGCTCGTGCATGCACTCATTCAGAAATAGCCCCCTCCCAAATGCTGCTAGTGAATTGGGGGGGGGGAATGCATCACACATATGAATGATTTCTCACAACCAAAACTTTCTGCATGAAGGAAGCCAGCATACCAAGGACACAGGTTCTAACTTGGGCTTCTCCTAATGTTTGAGTTTCCTAAGGGCAGATTTTGTCTCTCTATTCCACTCCTGCCGCAACCCAGGTATTGCCCCATTTGCTTTTCTGAAAGTTTAGATCAGTCCTAACAGCTTCAAGTTTGCAAGGAAGAGGCGTAAAGCCTTAGCCTTGAAATGACAGCCAGGTGGGAGGCGCACCACAAATGGAGGCAAAGGGAGGAACTTCAAAAGCTTTGGCTCAATGGAAAAAGTCTTGAAACTTAGCCTCTGAGAGGGGACACAGAAATTGGCAGAAGGAAGAGGGTGGGATCCATAGCTCCTGGGTTTTCCTTCCAGCTCTGAGAGGGAAACAAAGGAATGTGGGTGAAACAAGGGGAGAGCAAAAAAAGCCCAAAACTTAGAACCCAGGATTTTCTGTCTCCAGTTCTTCATAATGGGGCTGCAAGGGCTGGGATGGGAAGCCAAGTTTCCTGGGTTACATCTCCTGCTGTAAGAGTAGAGGGTGGAGTAAGAGGAAAGGAAAGGAAAGAGTCCTGTGTTCAAATCCCTGTCTGTAAGTCAGCCTAGAGAACACCATTCTGGCCCCATTAATTACAGATTTTATGCCCCTAACCCCCAAACAATACTCACTGAAAGATGGGTTGCCCAGGCCCCCAAAAGCCCCATTGGAGAGCGCACCGAGGGAGGCAAAACTGGGGGGCCTGCCAAAGGGATCTGGAAAAGAGGCGAGCAGAGGAGTGAACAATCGTATGGAAGATGCTGGGTCCTGCCCCACCGGCCCTGGCATTCTGGTGCGCCAGCTCTTACCAATGTGGGGGCTGGGGCTGAGGAAGGAGCCATGAGGGGTGCCGGCAGGACCAAATGATGTGCCACTGCCTGGGTGGTGGATGGCACCTGCAGGACAGAAGCATGAAGAAAAGTTAATGGTCGAGATTCTGGGATTGACAAAAGGGGGTGCACCTCAAGGTTACTGACATGATTTAACATATTTATAGCCTGCCTTTTCCCTAAGTTGGGATCAAGGCAGCTTCGAACATTAAAAAATATCATTACAACATACTAAGTAGTAAAAACAAACTAGTTAAAAACAATAGTGAAAATCGATTAGAACCCATTTCAAACCAGCAGTTAAAATGCAGTTTGCCCTGACAGTGGCAAAGTGATCAGCATTGTCTGCACCTTAGCCTGTTTGAATGGGAACATCTTCGCCTGCTGGCAGAAGGATACAAAGAAGGAACCAAGCTAAATTCTCTTGGGAGGGAATTCCACAATACAGGAGCAGAAGAAAAGCTCTCCCTCACGTCACCACCAACTGTGCTTCTGATGTTGATGGGACTGAGAAGGTGCTCCCCTGAGGATCTCAACATCTGGGTTGGTTAATACAAGGAGATACAATCTTTCAGGTAGAGGATGCTGGGCTCCCAAAAACATAAGCTGGAGTTAGAGTCCCTTGTCACTACCAATAATCTAAGCAGCATGTCTTTTTTAGCTGCCTTGACGCAACCATATAAATGGCAGGGCACACCTGTTCACATTTCACAGGCAGGGCTACCTGGGGGGGGGGGGGAACCACCCTTGAAATCCTGCACACTGGGTCCCTCAAAAAGCTCACTATCATTACTGGCATAGTTCTAGGGGAGCCTCCAAGTACCATAGAAGGGAAAGAGTGTCCACAGAGTTTGCATGAGACCCAGAAATCTGGCAGGCTGGGTTATAGAGTGCCCTCAGCCTTTTAAGAATCAAGCGCCGAGGGCCTTCTGGCAGTTCCCTCGCTACGAGAAGTCAAGTTGCAGGGAACCAGGCAGAGGGCCTTCTCGGTAGTGGCACCCACCCTGTGGAACGCCCTCCCATCAGATGTCAAAGAGATAAACAACTACCTGACATTCAGAAGACATCTGAAGGCAGCCCTGTTCAGGGAAGCTTTTAATGTTTAACAGACCACTGTATTTTAATATTTTGTTGGAAGCCGCTCAGAGTGGCTGGGGGAACCCAGCCAGATGGGCGGGGTATAAATAATAACTTACTATTATTATTATTATTAAACTGCAGGATGGGGAGTAAGGCACTGACCTGAGGCTGTGAAGAGAGTGGCTGGGCGTGCCAGCTCCTGGCTGTGAGGCAGGCTGCCAAAGGCTCCCGTCCCAGGCAAACCGGCGAGAAGGTCGTTCCGGAAGTCCAATTTCTGGGGGTCACCCTGCACCAGCTGAGAGGAAATAAAGGATACAGAGGCCCCCCTTGAGCAACCAGGCCTGGCAGGCTATTCACAGCAGCCTCCACAGCCCACTCTTTGGCAGGGACACCTCCTGCTCCTGCCCAGCCCCAGGCTCTGGTCTTGCGGTTCCCGTTTACCCGCCTCCTATCCCAGACTCACAGACCCCGCCTTGCATCCAGGGTCCAGCACAGACATCAGAAGAGCAGAATGGGAGAGGCTTCTCCCGTTGCTTGCAGCGACCCTCTGGCGGCTACCAGCAGGAGCTGCGCCACACCCCGTCACTGTACGCAGGCGGAGGGGGGAGGTGGCGCAGGCCCACCCTACCTTCATCTTCTCCTGGTGCCGCAGGATCATATATGCTACACGGACGTGCATGGCGCACCACTTCCCGGGCTTCTACGAGAGAGGGGGGAACCATCAGCTCTGTACGTTATGTCCCTGCTGGGCCAGGCACAAGCTGCCCTACACCCTGACTTGAGCCCCTCTCCCCACCGCCGCCCCCTGTGGGGTCAGCCATCGCTAGTCCTTGCTACCCCGAGCAGCCACCCCACTGCACCGTGTCCAGGAGGGGTCCCAGGGTTACTCACTCTTAGCGTCGGCCTGAAGGGATCGGTGAGCTGAAAGGAGACAGAAAAGCCAAGTGGGGGGTTAGTCATCCTTTCCACACTGCCCCGCCCCCTATACAGATGGCACACTCACCTGAGTGCCTTTCTGGGACAAGGTAGGTGGGACAGCCCCCAGCCGGGATGGCAGGTCAGGGTTAGTGCTCTGGGGAAGAAACAGTGGGTCAGGAGGAGACAGGCTGCTGAGGAGAACGCTCCTCTCTCCACATTCAGATCCCTCTCCCAAGCACACAGAGAATCGTGCAATCCTCTTGGCAGAGGTCAGAAATCCATTCTTGCACTCCGCCTTCTCTGTTTTCCACATAGAATCCTGGCTCTCCAACCCAGCTATTGAGGAGCTCTGGCTCCCAGCCTCCCTGTCCACCTCAGGGCGAGGGGAGAATGCCACTCCATGCAGACCATGCAGGACACACACACACACACACACACACACACACACGCATGCTCTCCAAATCACGAGGGATGCTCCCCTCGGCCCCACTTCTTTCCCAGAGCCAGCAGATGAACCCAAGAGTCCAAGCACCTGCTCTTCATGCTCAAAAGCTTTGGGGCTCCACTTCTCCCCAGTAACCCTGGCTCCCCGCATCCCCATACTCTGCTCCCCCAACTCTTCACATAGATTCCCCAGGAGTCCTGGCCCTCCGCCCTCCCTGCTAAAAATCCACCAGGAGGTTGGAGAGGGGGAACCCAGGAGCCCTGAATTCTAGAACTTCCCCCCTTCCAAGATAAAAAGAACAGAAAAGCCCATTTGTCTACTATGTCTGGAGGCTTCACCTTAGGTTGGAACGCCCCCTGCAGGGAGCCAAAAGTCACAGCGGGAGGCAGGACCGGGGAGATCCCCGACACGGTTGGGGGGAAGGCGGCATAAAACTGGAAGAAGAAGAGAAAGCAATGGAAGCGCCACCCAGAGAAAACCAAGGCGGGAAGGGAAAGAAGGGGGGTGTTTGCTCCTTCCTCAGGACACGCAACTCTCAGAGCTTCCTTGGGTCCCCCTGCCAACAGGTCAACCCCCTGGGCGCTCCCTACTCCAAGAAGGCCGCACTTACATTGTGCCGCAGGAGCCCATCCATCTTGCCTGGGTATTTCTCATACTGCAAGAGAGAGGAAGAGAGAGGCACAAGCGAGAAGTGAGAAAACTCTGAGGAGAGAGTCCCATCCTGCACATCATCTCAGCTCTCACCGACAAACTCAGCCCTAGACTAGGGAGGGGATGCAGCCATGGTTCCCAATGCCCACCCTCCCTTTCTCCCAGCAATCTCACCAGGATTACACTCACCATGGCTGGACTGGCTGTGGGCACCATGCCTGGTGGGAAAGGGGTGAAGTGCTGGTGGGTGTGCTGGTGGGTGTGCTGGTGCTGGTGGTTGTGTTGGTGGAACTGGAAGGCCAGCGGGCGGATGGCGGCAGCCCCCATGTCGGCGCCGCCTTGGGCTGTGAGGAAGCGCGAACTCAGGTCTTGGCGGATTAGTTCTTGTTCTGGGGAGGTAGAAGAACAAGTCACCCAACAGCAAGTTGCTTGGGGTGCGGAGCCAGCAAGGAAAGGAAGCGAGCGTGGAAAAGATTCGACACTCACCCACCCCAAATCACCCCACCCGTACAACTCACTAGAGCCACACAGCCCTGCCCTACAGAAACTCCCAGTTTTTCTGGAAGTGCTTCTCTAGGCTAGACTCCAGATTTTTCCTTTTCTTGCCAAGGCTTTCTGCCAATAAGCATTGCACCTTCAAAGCCAGCACTGCTACACACAAATAAAACCCTTCGTATATCTGCCCTGGAAGTTATTTTCCTCCTCCCCTGCCCCAACTTCCAGCCTTTCCTTTCTGCTTCATGCTGCCCTTGTATAGCCACACATTTCTTTCTTCCCAGCCCCAACCGCCACCACCACGAGGGCTACAAAATTTTTTTTACACAGAGTTCTCTGGATTCTAAAGTTATCATAAAACATGAAAAATATGACAGTAACCTTCTATTTCCTTAGCCTATGCCCCACTTTCTCACCCCTTCTCATTTCTACATAGCCCCTGACCATCTTCCCCAAGATCGCAGATCACACTCAGCCACACCCCTCCCGCTAAGTCCCTCTTACCAGATATGGCAGCGGCTGCAGCTGGGTGCCCGGCAACTTGAAGCAGCGGGGGTGGCGGTGGGAGGCCAGGCGAGGGGGTGAACATGCCTGGGTGGTGGTGGGAAGGGGGCCGAAGGGTGGGCGGAAAGGCGTGGGGAGGCAGGGCCAGCGAGGGTGTGGAGGGCCGGTGAGGGAGCTGAGAGGAAGAGGGGGAGCATGGAGGGAGAATGGGCTTGGGGTGAGCTGCGCCGCGGCTGCACCTGAAAAAGGGAGAGAAAAATAAATTTGGAGTGGGGAAGTCAGGAGGAGACAGAGTAACGATGGAAGCCAGAAGAGCACAGAAGCACTGAAGAGAGCACTGAACTTGGACCCAGGAGGCTTGGGATCAAATCTCAGCTCAGCAATGGATTCAATTGGGGGGGAGTAGGGGGGCTTGAATACAAGGTTTGCCCAACCAGAAGTCCCTAGTCAGCAAAAAGGAAACAACAACAACAGGCCTCACTGGGCTGCTGCGAAGACAAGCCAGAGATAGAGGGTCTTCTATTCGAAGTAATCCTACATAAAGGATTACTCATTATGGGTGTTTAGGCTGCCAAGTTAAGCTGGGACACATCTGCACTTTAATATTGCCAAATCGATTATCTTCCAAGTGAGTGCAGTAATGTCAGTTGCAAAGAAAGAATAAAACATTTTCTGTAATAAAAAATGAGGACAAATGGCAACACTCAAGGAGAAAAAAAATGAGTAAGAGAAGGAGAGAAAATGTGGGGGGAGAGGTGAGTGCAGCCAACATGCACTGAGTAGTCACAAAATGGGGCCCAAGAAGTCCCAGTTCAAATCTTGCCTCTGCCAGAGGTGGCCTTTGGCAAGCATCTCTCTCTCCCCATCAGCTGCAGTCAACCCAGTTGCAATATGCAATATAGGGATGAATATAAGGATGCCAATACTGACCTACTTTATAGAGATGTAAATAGTGATTTGAAAATAAAAAACCCTTATGAGTGCTCTACAAAGTGTTATTATTATTAAGACACAAAGGATAGAAGGGAAACTGCTTGAAGGGAACAAGGAGGAGGAGGAGGACGAGTGACGGGTCAAAGGCAGGGGGAAGCAAAGGGAGAGGGGACAAAAAAAGGAGAGGAAGACAAGTAAGAGGGACATGAGAAAGCTTGAAACAGAGGGAAGAGGGAAAGCAAGAATGAGAATGAGAAACAGAGAAAGTGAACTGGGACTCACCCTGCGGTGCTGAGATCCAGCCCTACAGCGTATGGCGCTTGCGTCTGACTGGCAAAGGGCGGTACCTTCATGTGCAGCTGGCTCTGGGTGAGGTTGTGGGGGACGGCTCCCCCCTGAGGCATCGGAGGCAGCTGGCCTTTGGGTTGGGGTGTCCCGCGAACAGCATTAGGCGTCTGAGCCCTTGTCCTGGTGGGAGGTGGGGCGGGAGGACTGGGGGGCAAGGCCTGAGCTGGAGCGGGGGCTGCGGCTGCCTGAGAAGGGGGCTCCTTGGGCAGGAAAGGCACTAGCAGGGGGTCCCGGTCGGCCTCATAATTACGCTCCTGGCTCCGCTCCAGGCCAGAGACTTTAGGGATCACAGAGAGTTTGGCTTCACAGCTCCCATTTAATGCACCAATGGGTCCCGAGGCTGCTGGGGGCAGAAACAGAGAGAAAAAACAGCGGTTGAGAGTACCAGGTGAGTAGACTTTGAACTGTTGGTTCAATCCTTGCTGAGCCAAATCAGCCACATGTCCTGTTGTGCAGGAGAGGGGCTGTTTCACAATCTACTTCATAGTATCCTTTTGGGGGCAGAGGAAGGAACTATTCTTAAGCAATTGGACCCTAAAAACTCTAGGAAACAGCAAAGGGAGAAGAAAACACACCTGGAGAAGAGGCCCACCTGGTCACAGTACTTCAAGCACTTAGCATGAATAGATATTAGGTGTTGCTATTACTCAAAAAGCTTACATTAGCTTTCAAAAAGAGAAACGATCTAGTGCAGCTTATCTGCTCCCAGCACACCACAGGAAATGTGATGAGGCAGAGGAAAGGAAACTCAGTGAAAGTGACTCCTACCAGAATATCATGCTGTCTATTAAGAGTCTTTCTGGCACCTTGGTGTTTGGACAAGAGCACAATCTCAGTGATGCTAATAGGAATATGGCTGTGAATATACATTAAAGGAAGCTAGACTATTTGTCCATCTAGGCCAGTATTTTCTACTTTGACCAGCAGCCCCCACCCTGTGCACTCAAACCCACCTTTGCTGGTTGAGACAGTGAATGACTGTTCGAGGTCATCAACGGAGGCCTACAGAGACAAGAAAAACAGGCCACTCATTATTTAGTCAAGAGAAGAGAATTCGGCACAAAATAAGCACCATCTCAACTCGAAAAGCAGTCAGGAAGCTTCTGAAGGACACAAATGCTATTTCTTTCTGAAGCAAGCAATGGAAGTAGCTTGTCATGCAAATAAGGACAGATTTGCTACTTCTAGCCACTACTTCTATGGTTGGTGCAGAACACGGTTGCTTTCCTTCCAAAAGGAACAGGCCTCTGGGAAATTATTATGCTAGTGTTGACAAATGCTGGCCTCCTACACCCTTCCAGGTATAATTCAAGGTGCTCATTTTGACCTGCTGCCCTTGTATACCAAGATAGGTCACTATGTTCTGCAAAAGTGTCCCCTTGAAGTCCCTAACATATCAGAAGCTTGCTCCATGGTAACTCTCAGAGAGATATGGCAGCTGCTCACTATTTGTACTTTCTGGAAAGCAATTTATGACATTTGTTTTGACAAGCTTTTCCAGCCAGGTGAAAAGGTATTTATTCTATATTGGTTTTAAACATACCTTTTGTTGTTTTGTGTACAGGTTTCAAAGCTATTTTTAGTTGTTTTTATGTAAATTGTCTTAAGACTCATGTGGAAGACAAATCATTAATAAAATAAGATAAATAAAGGCCCAACGTCTGCACATTTTCCACAGCACCTTAACGCCACATGTGGTTCAAGTATTCACAACACCAACACTTGCGTGGGATGAGAAATATGGAGAATTGGTTCCCATGTGGCTCAGCATGAAGAAACGGGACTTTGGCGTTTTCCAAATTGCTGGGTCCATTTTGCAATATCTGCCCTGCCCCAAAACTCCCATACAAGTGTCAAGTGATGTGGCAGTCACAAGTGAAGCCTGGCAAATTACAGGACCAGGGTGAGGTCAATGCCTACCTGCTCCTCTGGGTCACTTTCTGTATCACACTGCAAAAGGAGAATGAAAGAAAGAAGGAAGTCCATCAGTACAGCCAATTGGAAATGCTCATCAGTGGCACACACACCCCCCACCACAATGCTGGTCAGCAGCAGGCTCTGCAGAAGACTTATAGTAGGATTTTATGGCATATGGAAAGACTGATATTCTGATACCCCAAACCCATGGACCACCCAAGGCCTCAGAAGGGAACAGAATCAAATGCAAAGAAATCATGCAGGCAGGCATCACTGCAAAGAAGCACGGCTGAATCCATCAGAGATTCAGGAAGAAGCCTTGGTGCTTTCTCACTCTCCAAGGGACCAGCATCTCCCATGGTTTAGCACCGGGTGGAGAGGAGTCGTTACAGATCTCCTGGAGGCCATTTACAACACACATACACACATACACACCCTTGCTCCAGTTCACAGGTGGGAAAGGATGCCACGGAAATAATGTTTGGGAAGCTAAAACAGTGCCCTGTGAAGCTGTGTGCAGCCAGGGCTCACCACTAACAAAAACTACAGCCCAAACCAAGAGAACAGGGGTGTGGGAGAGAATGCTTATACATTGCCCACTTACTATATATCCAGTTTCCAGGTAGGATTGGAGAGAAGGCTGGAAAAAGAAAATAAAGGTTGGCCGGGGGTGGGGGCAGAGAGAGGAAAATAAAGAAAGATAGATTAGACTCAGAAGGATAGGAGGCTGTTAATCCCAAAGATTAAAAAAAAATCCCAAAGATAAAAAATTAAGAGGAAGCATCCTTGTTTTGTCAGGAGAGTAATAAGATTTTAAGAGCAATACTGAAAATAAAAGAAAAATGTGTCCTCCTTAGAAACACATGCTGAGTATTCCACAAAGATGAGGAGATTCTGGCTGGCATGCTACACACAGACACAAATTGGCTGCATTCAAATGATCATCTCAGCTTAAAAAGCTGAGATATGAACGAGTCTCTTTCCTCCTCATGCAGTCACTTCACTCCTCCCTTTGTGCAAATGAACAAGACAGGAAGATCAGTTAACTATAATATCCCATGATGGCCAAACCAGGAAATTACAGTTAATAACTTCCAAAACAACTCAAGTATTAAACCAACTTTAAACCCTGGTTTCATAGTCTAGATTTTTCCGAAGCCATCGACCAGCATTTCCTAGTTCAGATGCAGCGTGAAACTATAGTTAGCCAATACTTCCTGGCTTGTTTTCCAGCTTGAGCAAAGGAAGAAGCCAGGCACCTGAATGCAGATGCACAGGACTCATTCATATCTCAGTTTATATGATTGTCCAAACATGCCCACTGCTCCACTATTTGCTCTAAATTTATTAGGCATTTTGAGGATGCCAAGAGCAATTTTGCTGGGCTGGGATTTGTCTCCCTCCTCAAATCAAATTATTAGTAATATTTCCAACCCTGTCGATGCAGCGTCATTGCTGATTGACCACAACTCATCTGCCATTTGGAGATTCAACAACACAACAGAAAGCCCTCTAATAAATAAACCACAAGCCCTCCTGTGGAGGGAGTCCCACTTTCTGAGGGCAACTTTGCTCCTGCTCTGTTGCTGTCAGCTAGCAGGCGTGCTGAGATTCAACCTGTCTCAGGGCAATACCCTAGTACTTGGAATCCTTTATTTTTAATCCTTTTCTACAGGAAAAATATGGTAATTTAACAGCAAAGGAAAGCTATGCTGCACAAGCTCAAATAAGCGCTGCTTTACAGATTTAGTGGCTTGGCCCAGACAGGATGCTATGTTCTGGTTCACATTAAGCTCTCTGTTTCCCTTATGTCCTGAATTCGCAATTAGTCTTAGTATTCAAGATCTGAAGAACGTTTTCATGTAATCTCATTGAATTCTAGCAGCTTTTCATTTTGCCTCTTGCTCAACCCATATTTTTAACATAATGCCATACTCAGAAAGAGAAAAAAAATTCACCAGACATACAGCACTATAGGCCAAGTTATTCAGCACTATAGAGTTTAGTTGCTGCTATAGGCCTGCCTTTTTGCACAACAAAACCTAGCAAATTTCAAGCATGTGTATAAAAAAAGAAGTTATTTGATAACAGAATCCTGTTGGTAACATGTCCTAGACCAGCCACAACCAATACTAATTGACGTCCATTCTCCCCCAACCCAACAAGTCACCCAATTAGCTGCCCAAGTGATTTAAACTTAAGCCTGCAAAATGAGGGGAGCATATAAAAGCAGGCTTGACAGCAGGCAACACAATAAAAAGCAGTTTCCAACCTCTTAGCCACGGGTCTCACCTCTTTGTGCCGCTTCTTGGTACGCTTCCTCACTGCTCTCTCCCGGCTGCAACCCTTCTCCGAGCTCCCATCCTCATCCTCAGGCTCAGAGTTGTTCCCCTCTCCCCGTTTTCTCTTTCCAGAATGCTTCATCCGAAGCTCCAGCCGCTCCGGGGTCTTCAAGGTAGCATCCTTCTGTGGGAAGGTGACAAGGCAGGTGTGCATTAAAACTATATTGAGCACAGAAAAGCTCAGGAATCCCTAAGCTAACCCCAGATGGATGTTGGGATGCATTTCAGCTCCCTAGAGGCAACTATAAAATAATGATGATGATAATAATAATAATAATAATAATAATAATAATAATAAAGTAATAGTAATAATAATAAATGGGAAGGTGGGAATAATTATCTGTGTTAATTACTTGATCATCTGTACCAGGCTGACTGGACTCAGAAAAAACATACACCCCTTCTTACATTAGTGTGCGGATATGGTAGAAATTTATACTTCTACACAAACACAAACCATGGAAAATTAAGAGATCAAAGTGTATATCCAGTATATCCAGAGTTGGTGTGGTGTATACTGGGCTTTGATCAAGAAGAGCTGAACTCCCATTTCTGCTCGGCTTTGGGTCAAGTCACTGCCTCTCACCCTTGTAACTGTATGAGAAGGGTTAATGGGAAGCTACGTACATCACCCTGAGTTCTTTGAAAGAAGGATGGGATAAAAATGTGACAAATTATAACCTTATGGTAAGCATTAAGAGAATAGAGCCAGACAGAGAGCCATAGTGTTGAACCAGCTCAGAGGGTCTCAGTTTAAATTTCTGCTCAGCTATAAAGCCTCACTGGTTGACCTTGGGCCCATCTCTCTTATTTAATTTTTTATTTAAAATATTTCCAGTCCACATTTAATCAAAGGTCAACCAGAACAGCAGCCAATGCAGAGATATAATATCTCAACACCTACTTCAGGCACTGCTACCCTAAAAATGACTGCATGAATAAATGTGTCTGCAGCTGATGATGAAACCCAAAAAGAGACAGTGCCACCCATCAATGAGAAGGAAGGGTATTCCACCAATGGAGTGTCACTGCAGAGAAGGTCTTCTCCAATCTTGCTTCATGAGAAGACTGCCCTTAAAGGCAACCCAGAAACTTCAAACACAGTGGGCAGATTACTGGCTGGAGTTCCATTTAGAGCTCGCACAATCCCTTTCTGAAAGCAGCTGCACTGGTTGCCAGTTCATTTTCGGAACCAATTCACGGTGCTCACGTTAATATTTAAAATCCTTAACTTAAGCCCCAAATATTGGAAAGACTGCCTCCTTCTCTACAGAATCTCTCAGATGTTAAGGTCAGGAGAGGGACCATCTTGGTAGTTCTACTACCCTCAGAAAGTGGTGGTGGTGGTGGTCCAGGAGAGAGCAACTTTTGAACTCTGGAATTTCTTCCCCACAAAGATGCATCTGGCAACTTCATTATATAGTTTTTGTCATAAGCTGAGGATGCACCTCTTTACCCTGACATTTAATACAGTTTCAAATGTTGTATTTTAAACTTCTGTGACCCATCCTGGGACTTCAGGGTGAAGGTCGGGGATATATCAAAATAATAACTGACTATGCCTGGCAACACACAACAACAAGGGTGTCCCTGAGGATCTTAGCCTGACCAGATGTGCAGGGTAAGATTATCTAATCTAATCAAATCTTATCTATCTATTTTTTTAAACAATTTATACACTGCTTAAGTACAATAGTCTCTAAGGGGGTCACAAAGATACACTACAAAATCAGATAAAACTATAAAATGAAACATCATTTAAAATAGTGTAGGGGGGTAGAACCAAGTATACCATGAGTTCCTTGGAAAAATGGTGAGATAAAAATGTAATTTAGTCAATGTTCTAACTCCAAACAAAATGAAGCTAGACATACCACACACCACTGTAACCAGCAGCAATTGATAAAATTTTCTGAAAAGCTCAGAAAACACACAACACTTGCCTCGCCTGGTCAGTTGCATCTGGAATGCTGCATTTGCACAGCACAGCCCAAGAAGTCTGTCTTGTCAACAGACATTCACCTGGCCACTACGTGAAATGAAAGTCACCTTCAGTGCATTGGGGAGAGCTGATAACTTAGGGAAGATCGGCTTAACTCAAGAGAGATGCCAACAAACAGGAAAGGCCTCCGAGCAAGATAAGAAGTTTGGGACTTTATCCAGAGAAAACAGCCAGTCTTGGGGTGGCAGAGTGTCAGACCAAGGCATGCTCTTCCACCCCTGTGATTTTCTGTGGCTGTGGAGTGAATAGTTCTTAGCAATGCACTGGATTCCTTTGGAGTTTGGCAAAGGCACCTGTGTTCACGCCCAGCTCCTCACCCAGTCCTGTCAAGCTGGAAAGGCAGGTGAAGCCAGTCCAGCCTGGAGCATTCCTGTGTTTAGCAGAGCCTCCTTTGCTGCTTCAGCAAGTGAAGCAGCTATGTTTTGCATGTCACCTGAGAGATACACATCAGCACCTACGGAAGTCACTTAATCCCACACCCACCAAGGTATGAAGAGTTTATTAGACCACATCACAATCCTAGAAATATTAATGAAAAAGGGACCATAACTTCAACACACTAAGAAACTCACAGCAAGACCACACTGATTGGAGCTTACTAAAGCCTCCTTTGCTTTATGTCTCATACTATACCTTTGCATATGTAAGGGGTACCTTATACTGAGGCAGACAATGGGATCATTTAGCCAGTACTACTAGGGATTTAACTCAAGTTTTTATATACAAATTACCAGCTCAGAGCTATGGTTGCTCCCTTTAGTCAATAACTATTTTATCTTATTTCAAGTGCTGAAGAATCCTCTGACAGCAGCTCATCTCCCCCTCTTTCTTCCTCCTCCAGTCTCTCACAAAAGGGTATTTCTTCTCACAACAATTTACCAGAAAACAGACCTGCTCCCCCCCCTTTCTCCCACATGCCAATCAGTTTAATTTGAGGGGTCCATGTGGTTCCCTATTTGAGATGATTGACAAGACAGGAGACCATCTTGCTCCCTTTTATATCACCACTGGCTTCTGCTTGTAGAACAAACTAAAGTTCAAACAACCAGTCTGCCTTTGTCCTGTGCTAGATGGCTTGAACACTACCAATCATAGCTTTAAGTTCTTCTGCTCTTATAAGGGACTTCTAGGGATCTCCCAAACAAGAGACCAATCAGGGACCCACATCTGTTTAATTTCAGCTATTATTTGAGAGCAACTCAGATTGTCCACTAGATCCATCACTGTCACTTGACTTTGGAATCCCATGCTGACAAAAGGGAGAGGGGAGAGGGCAGAGGGGAACAACAACCTGCTGCACTTAAAATATACTAGTATTTACATATGTTTTTACTCCTATTTTACTCCAGCACACCCCATCCTAGTGCAGTCTCAGAAGCAGGAGCCAGTGTCTTTTCTGAATTATGGGGACAAGAGAATCCAAGGTTCTCCCTCTTTCTTCTTCCTTTCTGTATCACAGCTCTAAGGGGGCCTGCAGAACTAAAATCACTCCCAGCCAACCTCAGCACCCAGACTGTACAAAGGCCCATGAGACCCCACAGATAGAGATTGGGACACCTCCTCACCTCAAGTGCCTCAAGGCTGACAAAGCTGGCAATGGCAAAGCCATCAATGAGATCCTCCTCCTCCTCTTCCTCCTCCTCATCGCGGCTGCAGGATGATCCAGAGGGTCTCTTCCGCCGCCGCAGGGGCCGCCGCCTTCGACGCTGCTGCTGCTGCAGGGAACGGCCTTTTCCAGGTGCCACAGGAGCAGGTGGGGAGGGGCCTTCACTGTCCGATCCTGAAGATGAAGATGACGAGAGGCCACGACGAGACCCATCCCCAGGACGGCCTCCCCGGCGGCGAGTGCAGCGGCTCTCACGGTCCCGCCGTGAGCAACGCCGCTGCCTCCGTGTTCGGCTACTGCTGCCTCCTCCCCCACTCCAGCATGGGGCAGGAGCTGCCGCTGTTCCTTCCATGGTTCCCCCCTTGAGGTACAGAGAATGTGTCGTGTTGTGTCCTGTGGATACTGCAGACACGCAAGGAGGTGGGGGGGGGGACACTCTTCACCCTTCCCCAGCCAGTTGCATTGCAGCTGCTCTCAACTGAGCCCTTGTTCTTCCACAGATGCCACTTGGAAAAGCAAGAACGAAACTCCTCTCTTCTTTTCCGTAAAAAAGGGGTTTTGTATTTCGTGGCCAAAACAAAAAATCCTTGGCCTTTACACCTTACAGTTGTCAGCAACCTTTCCTTGATTTACATTTAGAGAGCCTACTCAACACAAGAGGATCCTCTTTGCTCTGGGAAAGTCAAAGCAACTCTCCTTTCATTCAAGTTTAATTCCCTCTCAAATGACAGGGATGGCAGCTTCTGGTTTTTTCTGCTTGTTTTTGGTCTTTGTCTTAAAGGCAAGACCATTAAATTAAAAAGAATTAAATACTTTCAACATAGAACTCTAAGAAGCGGAAGGTGATCCAATAACTTTTTCTTCCTTTACATAAAATCAGCCGCTGCCAGCGCACAGAGATCTCTCTCTAACATAGAGCCTCCTGTTTGGGTGGGGAAGGAAATCTGTCAAAACACCCTCGCCTTGGACAAGGGTTTTACATCCCTCCAACTGCGACACAGTGTGCTTTTAAATATATATATATATATATTTGTTTGTTTGTAAAACCCAATTTTAAAACAAACCCCAGCGCATGGCAACTTTCTTGCAGGTTGAAGAAAGCCTTTGCTTTAAGTGCCTATCTGTGTGGGTTTTTTTTTCGGAGATGAACCACGAAACTGTCACTTTCGACTTTCCCTCAGGGGAATTGGGGGTTCGCCCCCGACGGAGCTGCCAGCCTGGGCAGCCTCCCCTTTAAGACTGCGGAGGTGGCTCCTGCCAACAATGGCAAGCGGCTTCCGCCCAGAGGGCAACTCACTTCCTCCGCTCGGCCGAGGGCTCCCCGCGAGGGAAGCGGCTCCGCGGGGCCATCTCTTCTTCCTCTTCTGCTTTCCCGGGAAGCGACACCTTCTTCCTCCTCCTCGCGAAGCTCGGTCCGTGAAGAAGAGGCCTCCCGTATTCCTCCCACAGGGTGTGACCTTGCCTTTAAGGGTCCGGATCTCTGTGTCTCAATTTCCCCTTTAAGAGTGTTCGATTTTGAGTCCGCCACACATTTCCTGCCAAAGCATGGCCTCCCCTTTAAGAATGTGGATTTAAAGTTCTCCCTTGTCAGGCACCGACTCTCCCAACGACCGGAATGAAAAGCCCTCCAAGCATTTCTCTTTCCTCCTTGTCAGCTTGCGCTGCCCTTTAAGGATCCAGCGTTCAAGGTCCTCCGGAGAAACCCGAATTTCACCTTTAAGGGCCACCCCTCCCTCTCAGCCACAATGAGGGCCCGAGAAGAACTCCCCTTTAAGAGGGCCGAGCTCCCTTTAAATCCATTGACAGGCGCTGGCGGTTGGGGGGGTTGTTGTCCTCCGGCTGAAAGTGCCCCCTCTTCTCGCGGGCCCCCCCCCAAGCTGTCCCTTTAAGAGCGCCGGCCGTTGAGGGGGCTTTTCAACTCACCCCACCTTTTCGCCTCCGTCCAGGCTCGCGGCAAGCGGCCCCGCGAGCCCCTGGCGCTGATTGGCTGCGAGGCTGGTACCCTCCGCTATCGTCGCGGCCCCCCCACAGCTGATTGGCCGAAGCGGTGAGGTGAGTAAGGATGGGGGAGGGGTGGCTGGCTGGCTGGCAGGGTCCGGCTGCAGGGAGGGAGGCGGGCTGGCGTGGCGCTCCCGTCCCCCTCGCGCCTGGGTGGGGGGCCCTTTCGGCTGGCCGTCCTTTGCCCCCTCCCCGCTCCGTCTCCGCGGCTGCCCCCCGACTGTCCCTCTCCCTCTAGCAGCCTCTGCCGGATCCCCTTCGTCTCTGCGCACGGCACGCAACTCCTCCCACAGCGTCATATCCCTCCGCCCTCTCCGTTGATGGGCCCATTTAAAAAATCCCTCCGCTGGAAAAAGAAAAGGAAATAGTCCCTTCGGTTAGCCTCTGTTTCCGCCCACCCGCCCCTTGGAGACTGTTCGAGGTGGAGGGTGTTCCCTTAAACCAACACCCCCGCCTTCAGAGTCACTTCCGTCCTCCGCAGGGTGACGTCATGGTTTCACGGAGACAAACGTGATGCAATGATGTCATACTTTCTTGGCATCAACCTCGCGCGGTGATGCTATAACGCCAGCGCGTGATGTCATAGGGCTCGGCGCCACACGCCCCTGCTGTAGCAGCCCCTTGCCATCCTCCCGCAATGGAACTGTTACTTTCCAAGCTCCCGCATAAAGTAGTACTTTTGAACCCTTCATTAGAGGACTGTCTGCGTTGCCTGGCAGAACTGCTCTGGGATTTTTTTACAGGGGTATCTCTCAGCCTTGATACTATTCCACTAGCAATAGCCCTGCACTGAATTTCAAAAGCATTTGTTAGAAAAAATTGTTATCCACTTTGGGCTGATGAAAGTAACTGAAACTATGTTGAATCAGATATGATCAATCCTTCTGCATTTTTTTTTCAGAATTCAATGTATTTATTTATAAAAGTTAAGACTTTGATCAAGGAATACATTCTACATTATTACTTTGACAAAAGTTTATATTGCACTGTGACTGTAAAGAATTAGAAGTGGGGGGGGGGTATTATCAACAACCTGATTTAGAGTTTAATGAAAAACTGGAGCTTGCTCAGAGGAAGACCTCCAGTACAGTGAAGGGGAAGGAGATCAAGTCCTATTAGAAAAATAGGTAGGTATGCAGAGGAGGGTTAGTTTAAGAGGAAACAGAGCAGCAACTTTTGAATTTTTGAATTGCTGTTACATAGCACAAATTCATCTCCTGTCATTCAGGGTAGATCCAAACTAACAGCTTCAAATTACAAGAAAGTGGATTTCAATTAAACATTATAAAGAACTTACTGATGATATGAGCTGTTTTAACCACAGTGGATGGAGCAGTCACAGATTTTGTCTATCAGCTGACTAAATGTGTTTTGAGGTCCCTTCTTTTATTTAGATGCATACTTATGTTTAGATAATCTAAGTCTTTGTGGTCCTTTTGCTTTATACCTTGAAGACCGAGTCACTGAACTCTGGAAGGACTTCGTTGTTGCAGTCTGTTGAGGTGCCCAAGGCCATGCATGTCTAAACTGATGTAGGATCAATTTCAGCTGATGTGGCCTGACGATGTGGGCAGGGTGCTTGCAGCAATGAGTCTAACTACCCTATGTGCTCTCTTGCTCCTCGCCCTCATTTGCTAATAAAAACTAGCAGAAAATATGTGAGTGGGCAGGTTCAGAATGTAGTTAATGCATGTCTGTTTAAGAGGGTGGTCTCCAGTGTTCTCAACAAGGCAAGGGCACCCTGGACCCTCTGATGCAGAGTAACTACCAACCAGTTGTGTATTATTAGTAAGGTGCCTAGAGGAGGTTGTAGCATAACAACTGCAGGCATTCCTCTCCCCAACACTAGAACTTGTGGATATCCAAAGAAACTGAATATTAAAACTTTATTCTCAGACCCTGCAGTCACTGAAGCCCTTATTTGTATGTCTTCTGCACAAGAGGTCCAGAGGGTGGCAACACAAGAATGGGCCTTTTTTACAGTGGTTCCCCATTTGTGGAATGCTCTCCTCAGGGAGGCTTGCTTGGCACCTTCATTACATGTGTTCAGGCAACAGGAAAAAACTTTCCTCTATAACCAGGCCTTTGGCCTTTTAACTATTTGTGGCCTTTTAGAAGTGGATGGGGTGTTTTTAATGTATTCTCTTTTCCTCTTGGTTTTAATGTATGTATGTAGGGTCTTCTGTCTGTTTGGTTGTAAGTTGCTTTGAGTTGCTCTGGGCAAGATAAAGCAATTAACAAAGTCACCAAACAATGATGATGATAGACAAATGGAAATAGTTATTCACACAGCACATAAACTATGGAATTCGCTGCCATAAGAGGAATTCAGTTTCCCATTATGAGACTGAATCAGCCTTGGTGGCCCCGATGGAGGACTTCTACTGAGAGCAAGGCACAGGGAGTATAACCATTCTCCTTCCCCTGAAGCTCTTGGTGGCTTTTTATATCATTGACCATGGCATTCTCCTGGACCAACTCTTGTGAGCTGGGTATCAGAGGCACTGCACTGCAGTGGTTCTGATCCTATCTGCAGGTTTAGGTCCAGAGAGTAGCAGTTGAAAAGATACTCATTGGTGCCACAGTGGTTTTACATTATGGTGCACCACAAGGCACCACTTTATCACCAGTGTCTTTTTACCATACATATAAAGTTGCTAGGAATTTTGGGACAGGATGTCATCAGTATGCCAACATTCCGCTCTACTTCTTTTATACATCTGATTCAGGTTAGGCTGTACACACCCTGGACCAGTGGGCTGAATAATCACAGTAAGACCAAGGACTATGGTTGAGTGGTTCCCAAGTCCAGGAGGCAAATTGTCTGTTCCAGACTCTCCCTTGGGTGGTTTGCATCTTGAAGGTGCTCCTGGATCCGTTTGGTCTCAATGGCCAGGAACTCCATCTATAAACCTTTGTCTGGGAGGACAATTCCTGGATTGGGATAGCTTGGCCACTGTGTGTCAGATGTTTGTAAGCTCAACATTATACAATACAGTGATGCATCCTAGGCAAGGCTTTGATTGGGTTTGGTCCAGCAGCTGGGACTACTAAGGGTGCCACATTCTGCTTGCCTTGTTTCTTCTACAAGAGGGCATTTAATGTGTCTGCACCTAGGTTCTGTAACTCCCTATTACCATGAAGCAAACACCACAAGTACTTTGTTTCAGATGCCCACTTAAGCCTCTTCTGCTTGCTTTTCCAATGCATTGTTCAGCCAATAATTTATTGCGTATCACCATCCAGATGTTGGCATAAGTTTTGTGTGCTCTTTTATGGGTATGTTCACAGCCCAGGTCCTTTGTATACTGTGCAATATTAAAACCTGTAAATTAATAAAAGCAGGCCGGACTGAGAGGAAGAGAAGTCTGAGATACACAGCGGAGCAAGGTTCGCGAAAAATGCAACCATCCCCACCCAGCAAAGCACCTGACGGCAAGGCCTGCCAGATGACCCTGTAGCAAAGGTAATAAAAAAATACTGAACAGAAGCAAAAGTACAGAATGAACGTAGCCAAACCTAAGCCTTGAAGAAAGAGTTTGTTTCATCCACAACAGTATGGAGGGAAGGTGTACCATGTTTATTTAACAAGTTTTATATAGCATCAAAACCTCTAAGCAGTTTACATAACTATAGACAGGGGGACCTTTCTCCTGATGCACATGTGGAGCAGCAGAACTTTTGTCAGGGCTACAGAGTCTTGCAAACTTTGACCAGAGCCTACTGTACTGGGATAAAAGCTGCTCAATAAATCCTAAGTAGTTAACTAACAAGAAAAGGCATTTTCCAGTAGACAAACGGACCAAAGAAAGGCCTGCGAGAGTGAATAGGATGGAAATGTCTCCACTCCCACGCAAAACCTGTTAATTTGATAAAATGAGATGTTACTGTTGCAATACTAACCATGAGGAATCAATCAGACACACTGTCTTTTCCTGTAACAAATGACAGAGTGAATTTCACCAATGTCAACTCTAGACTATGGTAGTTTTGAAGGTGAACGTACCACCTCAAAACAGATTTTAAACTGGGCATAGCTACTGAATTTGCACAAAATGCACGGCAGACTACACAAATCCACATATTTTGTTATTTGTTGTAGCCTCTTATACATGTACAATTTTAGTACAACCGGGTGCAGTTCGCTTGACTTCTTTCTTGCCATTTGATCCCGCATCACAACAACTTTGCTTTTTGCCATAGCCAATGCACCTACCACCATTCGTGGTAGAAGGCAACATTGGCTGGGGAAATTAATTTAGTGTGGCAATGATATATGATGCACTGCTTGCTATGGATTTTCATTTTGTGGTCGCTATGCCCTTGTTCCAAGGCAAAATTATCTATTGCGGTCTCCCTTAAAGCTGCATTCAGGGTCCCACCAAGGCCAGTTAAGGAGCAACTGGCAATATGTGGTTTTTTCCTCCCCCCAAGATACAAAGTTTATTAGAAATATAGATTAATAAAAAATGAAAACCAAAAACACATCATTCCTAACAAAACAGTTGATCCAAGCTAGGAACACCCAGAGGCCTTGATCCAGAGATGCAAAGGCATTCTCTCAGGATTCCCAGCCGCCCATCCACTGTCTGTGCTTAAACAGGTGGACACGTCCCCATTGCCCAGCCTATTGCTACATCGTCTCTTCTGCCACATCATCCCCTGTGCCATAACAAAAACCTGCTCCTGCTGATTCTTTCACACAGTCCCTTTTTTCTTTCTCCTTCCCATCCAACAGGCACGTCGGTTCTGCATTCCTATTTGGTTTGATGGCGGTGGCCGCTCCAGAAAAGGCAACTAGGCCCTCACTTGGCTAGGCCCATCCCTTGCTGGCCTAAGTCTCTCACAGAAGGCACAACAGCGCTGGGCACTAGGTGCTCCTCCCATGCGCGGCACTGGTGGTCTGACTGGGCACAGGAGGAAGAGTGCAGAGGGCGGGCAACTCTGGGGCACCACAAACATTCTTCCCCTTCCACTTGCGAGCCAAAGAGCCAAGCAAATGGGGACTTGTGCGGTGCCAGAGCAGGCAGCATGTTGGCTGGGCCAGGTGGCACAGATAGGCACCCAGGCACTATTTTCAAAGCAGCAGAGCTTGTGGCTCGGAGACTGATCAAGGGAGGAGGAGGAGGCAACAGGCACAGAAGGCTGGTTTGATGGGGAACTGGAGAATAAACAGCACCACAGGAGAAACTTGGAGTGGTATTGGTGACTTTGGTAGAGTTTTTTTTAAAAAAACAACAACACCACCAGCAACCTCTTTTGCTAGTTAAACAGAGGAAGTGGTCCTGGGCTCCTCGGGGTGCTGCCCTTCCCTCTAGCCTCTGCTCAGATCTCAGCATTCTTCTCCCTCAAACAGGGCATCCAGTTCAGCCAGCCGCTGCTGCAGCTTCTCCTCCAGCTCTGGACTCTGGGGCTTCTTTACCCTCCGCCCTCCTGCTGCCCTGCGACTCCTTCGGGAGTGGGCTTTGCGCTGCTTGCGAGGGAGGCCTCCCTCCTGGAATTCCATGGCCCGCTTCAGCTTGCGCTGGCTGGTGAAAATGAGCGCTCCGTTGCGTTCCAGAGGCACCTCAAAGATGGTCTCAAATGACCTGCAGGGGTAGAAAGGAAGAGGTGGGACACCAGGAAAAAAGAAGGAGACAACCTCTCAGACTCCACTAACCAAGTCTAGCAGTATAAAAAGCATAAACAAATGCAGACTAACTACAAAACTGCTGACATTTTGTAGCTGGAACGAACAATGCAACGGTTAAGGTCACCACGCTCTGCCATTATGCAGTCTGGTTTTAAGGCATGGGTCGAAATTGGGATGTTTAGGCAACATGTGGCACACAAAAAAAGCACCAAAGAGGTTTGGAGGGTGGAAGGAATGAGAAGTCACAGAACATGTCCTGGCACCTTCGTAGAGAACTCAAGACAACTCCCAGCCCAAGGTCCCCTTTGCATTCAGAGCTTTCGGCATTCACTGCTCATGTCAAGTATTTGCTCCATCCATCTTAAGAACTTGAAACTTCTAAATTAAAAGCAGCACTTCTCAGGAAAGTAGATAAAATTCTGAGGGCTGCAACAAGTATTAACAGGAGCAGAAAGATGGTGCAGCAGTGACCATGAAGTACAGCACGGGGACTGAGAGATTTATCAATTCCAAGGGCCATTGACAAAACATATCATAAGGTAGAGGACCACAGTTCATCCACTTATTTGCATATTGCTTTCAGGATACGGGGCAGATGTTAAAACTGTAAGTGGTTGGCATTTCACTTGTGTTCTATTTACCGCTGGTCCAGTCAGGCTACAAAAGAACAAGAGTTTGCAGTGAAATCCAGAGTGCTCTTTTGCTTGTTCCAATGGCACCAGTTTCTCTTGAAACTGCATTTCCCCGTTTCAGCTGAGGTTTTAAGGCAAACCACTTGGTGCTACAGGACCAGCAGGGCCATTTCATTTCTTAAGTTTGTACACCACCCTTCATCTCAGGGCGATCCACAACAAAAGTGGACCTTGACAGCTAGATGGGACAGCCCGCCTACCAATCACTTGACATGGTGACGGACAGGCAGGTTGTCCCACCTGCCTGTTAAATATGGCCCATCAGTTGCCGTCAAGTTAGGATCTGGCCCACTAGGTGAAAAAGGTTCTCTGACCCTGGTTTAGGTGCAGCGCTGGTCACCAAATGGGAGATCTTTAAAAGGGGATTATGAAGTTCATGGGTGATAAGGCTTATCAATGACGAGTAGGATCTCTAGGGACAGAGATAATATGCCTCTGACTACCAGCTGCCCAAGAATAGTGTTTACTTTTGGGATTGCCTTTCTCCATATCTGCCCACTCAACCACTTCAAGAAGAGGAACTTGCAGCAGCACCTACACATTGGAACCCCCTGCCTATTGACATCACACAGGTGCCTCGGCTGCACTTTTTCTGGCCCCTGCTTAAAGCATTTTTGTTTAGGCAAGCCTATCTAGACCTGTAGAAGCTACACGTGTTTACATTTGCCTTTGTTGATTTCAGTCAGTTTTGAATGTTTTTAAAACCCCTGTGTTTAAGTGTCTTTTATTGATAATGGGTAATTTAATTCATTTCCTTGCGGACTTTCCCGAAGGCAGCAGGTTAGACTAGATGAACCTTCAGTCTGGCCCAGCAGGGCTCTTATAAACCTATATGTCAAAGGCTCAGAAAATAGGGAGAGCTTGTACACTACTACTCTATGCCCCTGTCACCACCACTGCCCCATAACTATCCTCATCCCATTTTTGGGGGAGCAAACTATGCATGTTCACAAATATATTCAGACTGCAGGAGGTAGTGCTTATCGCTTGCGGATGCTGAAGTCAGAATCTGGGGTTGCTGGCTTGAAATGACAGAGGGGAAAGAGAGAGAAGGGTGTATGCACACAAAAGTAATGAATGCTGGTGTTTTAGAAAAGGACAGATGCCAGCAGACTTCCTCACCTCTTCTCTGTGGGTGTGCGGTAGTTCTTGTTGGTGTAGATCTCCTCCAGGCTGAACTCTTTCTTGTTCAACCTGACACAGGAAAGAAGATAATAGAATTCATCACCCAGAAATGGCCTTGGCCTACAATAAAATATGTGTGCGTGCGTGCGTGCGTGCGTGTAGATATAGATATAACTATATAGGAATACTCACTTAGCCCTGCTGGGCACCAGATTGCTTTCCCTGCTACCCCGCTTTGCTTCCATGCTCTGCCAGAAACTACCAGCTGACCTCTTAAGCTTGCAATTCAATCTGAATCAGGCCCAATGGTTTAGCCCACTGGGTTTTTATTGCTTTTATTGTCCAAGAGTACCAGAGTCAGCACACACACCACCACTCAAGTGGTCCCTGTCAAAGAGGCTCTGCATTTGTTTCAGTTGAAAGACAGATGATCAACTAACAAATCCTTAACATTGGTGGACAGCGCTAATTCTTGACTGGCAGGTTCAACTCAGCTAGCACTTTTAATTAAAAAAAAAACCAAAACCATTTACACCTTTCCTTAGGTGAGCCCCCTCTCGTACAGCACTCATCTGCCCCCAGGCTATAGAAGACCACATCCGCCTCCTTTCCAAGCACTGTGGAATCTGAATCCAGAGTTCCTAAACCACTGTCAGGCAGATTCACAAGCTACTCATCTCCATTCGCAGAAAGGCGCCCCCCATTCCACTCTAGCCCTCACCTGACAGGCCGGGGAAGCCCCATGGGAGTGAGATTTGCTTGCTGCTTGGACGGTGTCTTGCGGATCCTTATGGAGGACACCTTCCCTACGGTGTTGTCTTGGGATTCCTGCAGGTTTTAGGGCGGGTAAGAAGGATTTTGAAAGGCCACAATGGCAAAGCAAAATGGCCCTCGAACCGAGAGCAGGTACCACAGACCCCCATTCTTCACGGTGCAGCACCTCTAATTGAGAGGCTTGAGTCAAACAGCAACTGACCTTCATCTCAACTTCTGAAAGCATCATCTGCTCAGACGTGAGCAACTCTGAGTCGACCACGTCCAAGCCAATCCCAGACGCCCTCCGTCCACAATCGGGCGAGGGAGAGAGCTCCCTGCAGAGGACAGAGGAGAAACCAAGCATCGTGTATTAGAGTTAGACGTTGATGTTTCCCAGCTGACAGTTCTCCCTCTTCAGTGGAGGGGACTTTAAAAGAGGAAGGCAAACCAGTAAAGCAATGCCACACAGCACCGAGGGTGCAAAGCCTTTCTGCCTGTGAGCTGAACCAAAGGGGGAAGAGGCTCAGCCCATTTGCCTCCAGCACTAGTCAATGAATGGAAATGCCTTATGGAGAATCAGACCTCCAGTGCTTCTGGTCTGACATCATCTCCACTGCCTGGTTTTCAGGAAAGGGGCTTTCCCAAAACTGCCACTCAAGCTGTTGCCTGGAGGTGCAGGGGATAGAACAATAGATCTCTGACGTGCAGAGGATGTGCTTCAGCACTAGGACACAACTCCTCCACATACACACTAGATATTTCCTCTTCCGAATAGACCCCTTGAAGTAAATGAAATTAACTTGGATCCATTAACTTCATTAAGTCCACTCCAAGAAGGATTCAGCCTCTGAGGTTTTTTAAACAATCACCCTAGAATGGCACAAACAACCCCACAGTGCTTGCTTCTTTCTCCCTCTTGGTTTTGAATGGGAAAGGAGCAAACACTTACCTAACATGTCATTTGTGCCCTTTAATGGTGTTCAAAGGAACAGCTGTTAGACTCTTGAGGGATAACAAACAGCTTGCGGGGAGGAGAATATTTTTACCTGGAATGGACGGTGTCTGGTTCACGGCGGCAGGAAGGCACATGGGAGGCATAGGGGGAGCCATCGCAGTGGGGAACGTGCATGGAGGGACCCAGCAAGAAGTGTGCGGGGGGTGTGCTGAAAGGATACACCTCCTTGCGCAGGCAGGGCGGGGTGGGGCGGCCCAGCTCCCGGGACACTTCCAGGCTGCAGACGGTGTGGCGACGCTGTCGCAGCTGAGCAGATAGCGGAAGGGCCACGGGGGAGGCTTGCCACAAGCGGGCACCAGGGACGTCAGGGCAGGAGTAGCTGCGTCCGAGGCGGGGCTGAGGGGCCGGGTCCCCTTCGTTCAGGCGCCACTGGCGGATAGGGGGCCGCCCGCTCACCACTGCATCACCCATCTCCTCTTCCTCTTCTTCTTCCTCCTCTTCGTGGTGGCAGCTCCTCTTCCGGGGGCGTGGTTCCGAAATGGCGATTTTCACCTCGATGTTGACTCTCTGGCGGGGTGTTCTCGGCTGGGCTGCTTCCTGCTCCTCATTCCCTGGCGGGCAAGGGGGCAGGGACGGGGGCCCCTCGGTGGACTGCACGGCTGGCTTGGACGGGGTCAGGAAGATGTCAGCAAAGGCCTCCAGCTTGGAGCGCACGCTCTGGAAGACGGGGACCAGACCCCAGTGCCGGAAACGGGAGGCAGATGATGGACGCAAGAGAGCAGATGCTGAAGGCAGCCAGGATGGAGCTTCAGTGGACACATCTGGCAAGAAGGGAAAGGAACAACATTGTCACAAGAGGGCCAAAGGGAGCCTTCCCCAAACTGAGGTCATCCAGGCCTATGGGACTACAATTCCCATCATCCTTGCCCATTGGCCATGCTTGCTGGGGCTGGTGGGAGATGTCGTTCAGCAACATCTGAAGGGTCAAAGGTTTCCAGTCTCTGACTTAGAGTCAAGAGTTGTCATCCCCCAGCACACCGACACACACTTTGTGAAGGATACAGACATCTTCCTCTTCTGTTTACACCTGAGAATCTTCCTCTAGCTGCTTAGCTGTTGCCTTTCTTAGATTATTAACTGGTCTCAAGATTTCTGGAGAGTACTCTGGCCGGCTGATATTCAGCCCAGCTTGACTCTTGGCACTCCCATCTGGATGCCTGAGTCTGTGCCCGCTTCATCCAGCCCCACGAACACCTTGCCATGGGTGGGAGATGACTGATCATCCGGCCTGGATTCAGTCCAACATGGGAATTTTTCCTGCATTACCAAAGGGGTTTTCAGACTCCATGGGACCAGGGATGTTCCAGTGAAGTTACACACACACACAAAATACTTGCACACCCCTGAGATGCCACTTTGCAATGAAGGACAGACTTAACAGCACACAACACCTGAATCAAGAGTTTTCCCTACCTGTTTGATGACACTGGTCTTGTGGGTCTCGAGGGGTTTGGGTGTCCCCATTTGGAGATGATTGGCGAGGCAGCATCAGCTGATCACTCCTGATTAACCAGAGAAACACAGTGGGGCAGTGATAAAGCAGTCTCCTTAGCCCTTCTCCTCCCCGTGCTTTGAGACACACCCAGGGGGTCAAAGTTAGCATTTCTCCCAAAAGGAAAGAGACCATCACTTTACCCTCCAAGGGAGTTTGGGATCGCACAATAGGCACCAACTGTAACCCTTGAAGTGGATCAGTTCTCTTGCTGGGTGACTGGCACCGTCTTTAAAGGATGGGGGAGGCACAAGCAGTTCTGTGCCTTTGTTTAGGGGGGCACTCACCCACAGCGGGCTGAGGAGGTCTCCGGCTGCTCCTTGCCAGTGCCGGCAACCTGCCAGCAAGAAAAGACAGCTGAATAAAAATGTGGACTGAGCCACCACCCTCCAACTCCTTCAACAGGATTCTCCCTGTCCCTCCCAGCACTATCTGGTGAGGCTGCTTCCCAACCTTAACTAACCAGAGCTTGGCTCAAGGAACCAGCCTCCAAACTGGTGGCGAGGATTTGCTGATGAGCCGCTTCCAGCAGGGAGGTCTTTGTCCCCTCGCTCCCCTTTGCAAGGGAAACCCCCTTCTGAAGGCGCTGCCTCTTGGCATGCAGGCGCTCTGAAGCGCGACACCGTGGGGGGGACACCCTCTTGTCCCACAGTTGCCGGCGGGCGTGGTCCAACTTCTCTTGAGGCTCTCGATGGGATGGAGGGTAGCCCTTAGGGGGAGACGATCTGAGGGTAGGAAGGGTAAAAAAAAGGCAGAATGTTTTAAATCAAGTGCTCAGTCCCAAAGCTGTTCCACTCCTTCCGCCTCCCTGGGGCCTCTCCTCACCTGCACACTGGACTACTTTGTGTCTTTGTTGACCAGGAAACTCTGTCTTCATTCACAGCTGCTGACTGGGGGGGATTTGCACAGGGAGATGTGGCAGATCTTTGGGGATCCCCTTGTGGATCATTCTGGGCAAAGAGAGGCGCACACCAAGTTTCAAAGAGCTTAAGGATAATGAGGGACAGGGGCCTCCTTTCCCCTTTTTCCCCACCTTCCATGTGTATGTTTACTCAGGAATCAACTCATGGGGACAAGGCATCCTTCAGCGTCCTTAATCCAGGCGGCTTGACTCCTCCATCACAATGCAAGAGGTACACTATAGGTCACAATTCTCCTAGTCTGGTAGTGCAAAGCACCCTGGGAGCTGTAGTGCACAGTGGGAAAACCAGTGCTTTTTTTTTAGGAGGTTCTCAAGGGTATGCAGTACCAGAAACTCTTTTTTGTTCTTTTTAAAAAGTGTGGCACTTACTGTAACAACTTCATGGTGAGTACCGGCACCTATTTCTCTAGAGAGAGAAAAGCACTGGGGGAAACTATGGAACTGGGGCCTTGAGATCTGTTCAACGGGTTCTCCCACCTCAGAACCAGATTTCATACAGCCCATTAGGAATCCTCTCATGCCCCCTGCAACCCAGCCCCCACACTGTGGCATCCTCACAAGCATTTGGGCTGTTGAAAAGTCCTCCAGGTTGACAGCCAGCATCTTCCGCTGCTGCTTCTCCATGGGAGAGGCCACCCGCCACAAGGTCTCTCCCGCCGCGCCGCAAACTTCCCCGTTCTGCTCTGCCGTTCGGAGTGGCCCTTGCTGAAGTCGCTGCCTCTTGCTGGGTGACAGCTCGGCATCGCCACATGGAAGGGGGCATGCCCCCCCTGTCTCGAGGGGCTTCTGGAGCAGGGCTGAGGATTCCTCCTCCTCAGAGGAAGGCCTGGAAACATGGAAGGACACAGAGAGAACGTCACAGCGGTGACACAATTTCTGTCTCGCCTCTCCCACTCAGGACAGGGAGGAGAGTCACTCTTCACTCACCTGTAAATGAGGATTTTTCGCCGTCTGATCTGCCTCTCCAAGTGTGACATTAGCTGAGGGTTCCCCTCAGATGTTCGTTCAAGGAGGGGCCACTCCATGGCCTGTCTCAGAAGGGAGACACCCCACCCCTTCCTGGCATCAGGAAGGTGGCCGCCCCAGAACAGCCCACAGGGTCTTCATTCCTCACTTCTCTGCTTCAGAAAAGGAAAAAACCAGAATTAAAATGACTGCATTCCCATGGTCCCCAGATATAGTTCTGCCTTTTAAAGCCAAATGCTACTTTAATCCGGATTAACCTGGAATGTGTAACACCACACCCAGATTGTCAAAACCTTCTGCACGGATGACAAATCACAATTCTCTTTACTAGCTGGAGAAAACTTCGCATTTACTACCGAACTAAGCAAAGGATGGTTAAGAGGGCACTCCTCTTCTTGTCTACTCAGAAGTAGACCTCTCTCCCCTGGGTTCAATAGGACTTCCTCCCAGCTAAGCGTGTGTAAGCACTGAACCCTATGTGGGTCAGGGGAGTACACAGCCTGACTAAAAACCTCTTACCAATGCCACCCCCTCCTTTCTGAAGGACCAGCAGGCTCAAACATGCATCCCTCCAATGGTACTGAACAAGACACAGAGGCCAGCAGGAGAGCTTATTAGGTTTCCCCTCAGAGAAGGTAATTATAAATCATTAGGAGCCATGCAAATAGCACCTTAGCAACAACTAAAAAAACGCCCTTCCTTCACAGAGATTCTCCAGGGCTACAAGACTAGAAGCTCAGGTAGGAAGGGAAAACTTTTCAGTGGGAGACAATGTGTTGCTTCTGCAGATCCCTCCACCCAGGGAAATGGGCAAAACCAAGCAGGCACTTGCCAAATGGGGGACAGCAAATTAAAGGTGGGGGCTAGAAACAGAAGCACCACAAAGGTATGTACTACAGCAAGCAAGGCAGAAGGAAATCCAAGCTAGAAAACACACTCCACGGCTTTTAAAAGGGCTCAACAGGAAGGGGGAACATGTTGCCCTGCACTGGTGTTGGTCTACAGTACATAGACTTGTAGCTGGAAGGGACCATAGGCATCATCTAGTCTAACCTCCTGTGATGGAGGAATCTTTTTGCCCAACGTGGGGCTCAAACCCACAACCCTGAGATTAAGAGTCTCCTACTCTACCAACTGCCCTTGCTGGCAAGAGCTAATGGCAGTTGGGAGTCCAACATCATGTTCAGGGACATGGGTTGCCCAACTCTGCAACACAGATACACACTAAAGGCAGACCAACATTTTAGTGGATTTACATTTCCGCACATGACAGGAGCCTTGCTCAGACATTTGTCTTGTCTGTGACCTTCCTCACATTTGACATCTCATTAGGGATTATTCTCAAAAGTTACCCCTGGCAAGAAGAGGTCCAGCAAGACTGTGGGAGGAAGGGTAGGAAATGCCGAGTAGTGCCGGGTGATAAAACTCAAGCCAACAAAAGCGTCCCAAGTCATGGCAAGATGAAACAAATAAGAGGCAAGCAGCCAAGTGAGCAGAGGGTAGGTGATTTTGCTGGGGCTACTGCCAGTGGCAATATTAGGCTGTTTCAGACCATATTTTCTCAGTAGAGTCCTGGACTAACTAGCCTGGAACAGCTGCTCCCTTCAGCAAAGACACTGTGATCTCTGCCATCCAAATATTTTCCTCCCAGGAGTCGGTATTTTAATATTTATTAGGTATTAGCAGCATTTATGGGGGTTTTAAAAATCCACTTATCCAATTTCCTGTTTTGCAGCATAATTATTCCCTGGGTCTCCTTAACTATGGAAGAAGATTGGTGGGGGTGATACCACTGCCAAAGATGGCAGGCAAAGATGGGAGTTCTGTCCCTTGGACATAGAGGTACAGTGTAATCAACGATCCTCCTCAAAACTTGATCAGCAAAGATAACAAGGAATGCAAAAGTGCCATGGCTCTGAACAAGAAAGAAAGCTACTTCACTATCAGAGAATGAGGGTAAAGGATACCTTAACTGAAAAAGAAACTATAGGTCCCAGCTTGGTTCCAAAAACCTTAAAACTATCCAGAGAAGGACAAGACCTCCTGACTGAAATTAATCAAAGCATAGCTAAAATGCATGAGGATTTGCTTCAAAATGGGATGCAAAAATAAAACCATTAGCGGCTAGCATTGTTGATCTGACAGCCTAAATGGCAGATACCTGCAAGTGAGGCCATGAATATGGGCACTGAACATCAAAGCAGCCTGGACTGACTTCAAAGAGAACTGAACATTTCCCCTCAAAAGGGGTTTTATTGGGGTTTCAGACAAGTAGAAAGGTTAAAAGTCAATAGTCTTCAGAAGGGTTTTGGGTTTGATGGGGAAAATTTACTAAGCATACATGGAACTGTAAAAACTGAGGGAGGAATGCTGAAATACTACTGTAACTTATAATTTTTCAAACAATTTTTATCATAGCAGATGGTAATTAAAATTATATTACTAACATCACAGGGGTCTAGGCTCTCCAATGAAGGGTATTTGCAGAATTAAACCATAATAACCTGACTCTCTTTTTTGTATTACAGCAAATTCATTTAAAATAAATTAATTGCAATGTTTTTGCACCAAAAAAATGTTTTCATGAAAATTAAGCACTACTCTGTTACAAAACACATTAACTTGAAACAACTGACAAGAGGTATTAAAACAATTTTGAACTAAATCATTCTGTTCCATCTAAAACACGGAAAAGAAACACAAATGTGAAGAATTGCCAGAGATTTTGTAAAATTTTACCAGGGAAGAGTAGAAGTAGAAATGTCAGAAACTGGAAAAATAACTACAATGCAATTTGTATGCCCAAAACAACTAGCAAAAATGGATATACCAAAAGAATAGTTTTATTTGAGCTTCTGTATACCCTGTTTGGTTTATTATTATCGATTATTTGTATTGTGTATTATTTGAATTATGAAATAATACGAGCATGGGGCATCCAGAAAGTATAAAACAATGCATCTACATAAGAATATGAATCATTGCCAAAATATAATATTGACTGTCCTTGACTCTGCCTGCCACACTTGTCATCCCCTCATGCCACACCCTTTGATAACCACACACACAAACGCATATTAAAAACCTACGGAAGTGGAGACATCATCCCATCTGCTCCTGCCTCTCACCATCCCTGGCGATGGACCCTTGGTGCATACAAAAGGTGAGCATGTGCGGCATGTGGAAAAAGGGAAACCATAACCCAGGGTTGCACCTGACCCAATGATCCCTCCCAGAACTGGATTTCAGTGGCAATTCTAGGATGCTGGAGGAAAGGGGTCTGCCGTCTATTCAGGATCCCTCCCCCCCCCCCAAGTCCTGCTTCGCAGCCTAGGCTCACCCCACACACAGGTAAGCACGGGCACCGTCAGGCCCCTCTTTCTCTTGGGGGTCGCCTCCTAACTATCCCCAGCGCTTCAAGATCCGTCCCCTTTAGCTCTCCCGCCGATTCCTCCCTCACTGACCTAAAAGGGCCGGCTCCAGAGGAGGCGGCGGTGTGGGGAGGAAGAGCTTGCCTCCGATTACCTGTCGGCTCCTCATCCAGCCCCACCCCCACCCCCCGCGCCCGGTGCCCGGTGCTCTGCCCTAGGCAGGATCAGCACCGCTCCCTGGCGGGAGGAAAGGCAAGGCGAGTAGAGGCGGAGGCTGCTCCTCTTTCCTCCGAGGGAGAGCGGCAGCACCAGGCAGAGGAGGCGCCGGGTGGACAGTCCCTCCGCGCACCCCTGACAGCCGGGTGAGGTGTGGGGCTGGACGGTGCCCACCTCCGACTCCTCAGCCGCTTCCTCCAGATCCTTCCGCCCTTCTCCTCCCCACTCCACAAAAAACATCCAACTTCGTGGGGGTCCCCCCGCCCCAAATATCTGCCCCCCACATGGTGGCCTTTTGCTCCTTCCGCCCCCTCTCGATCCTCCCCACAAGTTGCCCCCTCCCCGCCTCCTCCTTCGCCCCGCAATCCGCCAGGCGCGCCCGACCCGACACCGGCCGGCCACCCCACCCGGGAGCGGCGCCCCCCTCGCCCGCCCCATCCAGGTCTCACCTCCGCCGCCGCCGCCCTCCCTTCCTCGGGCTTCTCGCCTGCCTCAGGCAAACAAACTGATAAGCACCCGCATCTCAATTTGAAAAAAATAAAATAAATAAAACTACTCCGCACGCTCGACCCCGCCTTTACCGCCTCCTCTCTCCAACTCACCAGCTCGCCCTCTTCCTCCTCCCCTCGCCCTTCTCCAAGCAGCCGCTGGACAGTACCCGAGCCGTCTCCACATGCAGCCCACCCAATGGCCATGCGTCTTGTTAATGGTCCCAACCAATAGGCGCGCGGTTTCTTTACCGGCGTCTGGTAGCTACAGCGCCGCCATCGCTGTTCAGGGCAACAACAAAAAAAGTTGGTCGTAGACTTTTTTGAGTTTGTGTTGCAAAAGGAAGCGGTGCGACCGCCTTCTTCGCTAAAAGGCGTCTGCGCCGTTGAAGTCAGCAGGCCCGCCATCTCAAGAAAGGGCAGGGAATGAGAAGAAAATAGGAAGGAAAACGTACAGGGCGGTAGCCATTTTGGGTGAGGGCAGAGTCTGGTTGGCGCCGTTTAAGACGCCGCCATTTGAGGGGAAGACCAGAAATTCAGGCTTTAAAGAAGCCGTGTTTCCATTTTCCAGTTGGATGCGATGGAATAAAGAATAGTAGTTTCCTTGGTTCCTTCCTTTAGGGAGGTCGTTTCGTCATACACGCGGTTTTTGAGGGAGATCTGTATTGTTAAAATTATAGAATTATAGAGCTGGAAGGGACCCCCAAGGGTCATCCAGTCCAACCCCCTGCAATGCAGGAATAAGTTCGTTGTAAGGCAGTGCAAAACAGCACACACACATAAAGACTAGTTTAATATGTTATTATTATTATTTATTAAATTTCTATACCACCCTTCATCCAAGGATCACATGGTGGTTTACAACATAAAAACACAAAAATACATAACATAGTAACAAACAAAATAATACTGCCTCCAACACACACAGTTTAAAGGGCTATATATTGTTTAACTAGCCAAAGGCCTAGGAGAAGAGGAATATCCGCCTGGAGGAAAAACACTTGTGTTCATTTTTTTAAAAAAATGTTGAGGTATGAAGTGTTCACCATCTTGCCAGTTCATTCCCTCCACACTCCTAGGCATGTCTGCTCAGAAGCAGGCTTCTGCGTCAAAGGAGGCCTCCAAGACAGAATGATCTTAGCCAAGGAATCAGACCCACCAGGATCTATGCATATTCCCCCTCATCTCTCTCTGAAAGTAGTAGTGATGGGTAAAGGTGCATTCCTTACCCCCATTTACCACATGGAATTCACCTAGACCTATTTCTGAGTAGACATGGTAGGGATTGCCAGCTTAGCTTGGGTTAGAAAACTCAGGGGGAGGAAACTGATTTTCTAGATCCATTTCAACCTGGGTTTCAGCCAGGTTTCGGCACAGACAGAAACTGCTTCCAACAGAAGCAGTTTCCAGGCCCCATTCAAAGTACTGGTTTTGACCTATAAAGCCTTAAATGGCTCCTGACCACAATACCTCAAGGACTGGCTCTCCCCATATGAACCACCCAGCAGCACCCTGCAATCATCCTCCAAGGCCCTTCTGTGTGTGCCTCCTCCAGAAGAAGGTAGTAATATGAGAATGGGCCCTTTCTACAGTGGCTCTGTGTTTGTGGAGTGCCCTCCCCAAGGTGGTTCGAATGGCACCTTCATTATATATACCTTTAGGTGCCAGGCGATGTCGGAGAAGGCAACCAGGCCTTGCACTGATTAATATCCTATACCCTTTTAAATGTGTTGGGGGGGGAGTTATTAGTTTGTGGTCTTCTTGTCGTTTTTGTAAAACATTTTGTGCTTCATCTTCCATTTTTATGTTTTGAACCACCCTGAGATTAAAGGATGAAGGGCGGTATACAAATTTCATAACTAAATAAGAATAATGATATCCCTTAGCAAATCTCTGCCCTACACTTGCCCTTTTCTTGGTCGAAGCCTTGCCCGAATGAAGGTACCATTCATTTCCCCCATGTGACCCCTTCCCAGACGTTGTTGGACTGCAATTCCCATCATCCCTTGCCATTGGCTATGATGGCTGAAGCTGATGGGAGTTGGAGTCTATCAGCATCTGGCGCGCACCGCGTTGGCTATACCGCTTTACCGGTTCTAAATGATAGCTGCCTCCGCCCTCCTTCATCTCTAGGATTCGCCCTCCCTCTGCTCTCAGGATCAGTGGGTTTTATTTCTACCCAGACCTTTTCTTTTAAATGTCACCCGCTTGGGGAAACTACGCCTCCCAGGATGCCGCGCAGAGCCAGCCCTCTTCCTCACCGCGCCTCGCGCTGCGTCGGCTGAGTGAGAAAGTGCGCGACAAGCGTGGCGCTCGTCCAGGCTGCCCCTCGCGCGCCTTGCGCCGCCCTCGGCTCGCTTGCTGCCCCTGCTATGGCGGCAGGGGCTCCCTCGGCTGTTCCTGCCCGCAGCCCCCCTCGGTGGCTCGGAGGCCCTGCTGACGGCTCCGTGTACCTCCTCCTGCCCGTCCCTGCTGGAAGTGCCCTGGTGCTAACACCAGGTGAGCATGTGGGGGGGGGGGTACGGACGGAGGGTTTGCTCGGAAACCGGGGCTAAATCTGACCCAGGGACCTGCCCTAGAATAGCATTTTTAGCCAGGTCTAAAGTCTGGATCTTGAAATGTCTGCCTATGTGTTAGAAAGTGGGAGATGGACTCGTGTTTGTTTGTGTGCGTGCAAGGGATAGATGAAATTGCAGCAGTAGGTTTCCTGAGTAACACTGCAAGCCTAACCCCATTTACCCGAAAGTAAGCACCACTGAATTCCATAGGCCTTAATTCTGGGTAGGCATGGTTAGGAGACTACGTACTGCAAACCCCACGAAAACCCTTAACACTGTTTTTCTCTTCATATGGATGCAGCCTACATATTTCTTAACCCAGGAGCTTCTTGGTTCTTGTGGTAGATATCACACTGTCTTCCTGTGCATTTTTTCTTCCCAAGATGTTTTTCAGAGGGTTTCCTCATCTTGCAGCGCTTAACCCAGGGATGGGGAAACTTGTGCCCCGCCAGATGTTATTGGACTCCGATCAGCCCAGCCAACATGGCCAATGGTCAAGGATAGTGGATGTTGTGGTCCAGTAGCATCTGGCGGGCCAAAAGCTTCTCCATTCCTGCCTTATTCTGCCTCACACTACCTAAGAGTCAGAGAAGAGTCTGTGCACAAACAGAACCATGGTGGAGAGTGGGTGCAAAATTGTGCCCGGGTTGACACCTGCCCCCCCCCCCCATCTGGCCACTGAATGTGTGTGGATTAGGTTCTGTTTCAAAACCAAGTGCTTAATTTGGTGATCAAGCCTCTTTTCTGTCTGCAGCAGATGGAGCAAATTCTGCCTGGATTCTGTCTCTCCCTGTAGAGAGCAAGAACAAAGTGGATAACCCACAGGAAGATGGTGCACAGCCACGTCCCATTTCCTCAAGTAGCTCCAGCGGGAGTGGAAATAAGGGACTACAGAAAGGAGGCTCTGCGAAAGACCAGCCGACTTTTTGTAAAGGGGACTTGAAGGACCCTATGTGGGCCTTGTGTGGCAAAACAAAATCCTACAAATGCCCCGACTGCGGGAAAAATTACCGCAGGAGCACAGACCTCTTGAGGCACCAGAGGACCCACACGGGAGAAAGGCCTTATCTGTGCCTGGACTGTGGGAAGAGCTTCAGTCGGAGTTCAATCCTCCTGGAGCACCAGAGAATCCATACAGGTGAGAAGCCATACAAATGCAGCCACTGTGGGCAAGGATTTAGCCAGAGCTCCAACTGTAAGCAGCATGAGAGGACTCATGGGAAGGAGAAAAGGAGCGACCCAATACACTGGGGATCAACTTGGCAAAGGACAGAGATTCAGAGGCGTGGGCCTAAACGCCTGAAAAGAATTGATGAAGCGGCAAGAGCTGAGCTTGGACTTGGATCTCAGTCTCCAGGGGGAAGTTCCTCATGGAGCTCAAAGATGGTGATGAAGTATCAGAAAAGCCATAGGATGGAGAAGCCCTACAGGTGCCCTGAGTGCGGGAAATGCTTTGCACGCAGCACGGATTTCATCCGGCACCACATTACCCACACAGGAGAAAAGCCCTACACATGTGTGAAATGTGGCAAGAGTTTTACGCGCAGCTCGGTCCTCATTGAGCACCAGCGAATCCACACGGGAGAGAGGCCCTACAAGTGTCGGCTGTGCGGAAAGGGCTTCAGTCAGAACTCTAACCGTAACCAGCACGAGACAATCCATCAGGCTAAGAAATCTCCTGACACTTCCTGAGTGGCAATGGAACTTGTTACTGGGGTGTGGGACTCACTAGAATCCACTTGGCTGGGGAAGAGGGCCTGAAGCGCAAGTCCAAGCGGGTGCAGATGTCCCAAGGCAAATTTGAAGCTACTGTTAGAATCCAAATGGAAAGTCCAAGGCTGCAAGTTTATGCCCACTTACTTGGGGGTAAGCCCCACTGAATTAAATGGGACTTACTTATGAGTAGACATGGGTATGATTGCAGCACTCAAGTGGTATAGGGGCTTATTTTTATATGAGGTGATTTGCCTCAGAAATCATGAGGAAAACACATGTATCTATGAAAAACCTTATTATTGACACTGAGAGGAAATAAATTAATTTTGTTATAAATTATAATATTCTTGTTAATTGTTCTGTGCACCCCAAATGTAAATTCCACTATGTTCAGTGGAATGAGTGCCAGATTTAGGGTGGTACAGGTGGGTCCCACACAGGGTGCCAAGCCAAGGGGGAGAAAAATTGAGAATATCCATAACTGAGAAGAATCATTTGGGGGTACCAAATTTTGGGGGTGGCCATATTACAAAGATTACCAAAATCCACCTCGGTGGAACTTACTTCTTCCATTCAGAAGTAAGTTACACCAGGTAAGTGGGCACAGGAGAGCTGCTTGTTAGAAAACCATTATAATTTAAATAAAAGAAAGAATACGGAAAAGGAAATAGTACCAGCAGGTGATCTTTTTCTTTCCCATATAGTGATCATTACTAATGACTGCTGGTACTTAACTCTGTTCTAAAAGATACTGAGAGTGTACAGCCTGATCATATTTCATACAATCTACAGAAAACTGCAAGAAAGTAGCTTGGGTTTCATCACTTCATGGTGGTTGTTTTTAGATTAGAGTAGTAGAAACATTTGCTTGATTAGTTTGGACAAAACTTGTCTTGCATTATACCATTTCCTGGCCAAACACACAATCACTGCAGCATTTTCTTTTCTTTTCCCATCAGTGAATTTGTTCTGTTATATTTGTACCCTCTTTCACTATATGTCTTGCTATTTTTTTCTTATTTTTTTTAATGAAAGCTAAATCTGCTTATCCCATGGTCCTGAAAATAAAAGTGCCTTTGAGGATGTGCATGCCACCCCAATCTCTGGGCAGTGTGAAATTACAGGGGTTCCAGGCGTTTCCTTCAGGAATGAGGCACAGTGGGGACTGTGGTGTCTTTATGACATATGGTTTATTTACACATATATACGACCTGAGCCTATGATGGAGGGGTGCACAGCATTAAAGCCCCAAGGAGGTCCTGCTTCTCCCACAGCCCACAGCCTTGGATTCCAGCATAAATCAGGCCTGGCTCTCGCTCTCTCTGCCCTTGCAGCCTGTAGTTTTTGCCTGCAGCTTCTAGCTCATATCCCTCAACTCTCAACTCTGGCCTTTTGCATTTCTAAGGAACAGACAGTTGAGGGAGGCAGGCCCACAATTTTTAGCGGGCCATCACCAGGCTGGCCTGGCTATTCCATGCTGGGTCCAGGCATTAGGAGGAGGTCCAAGCATTCAGACCACCCCCTCTCCTACCAAACTCCTAACACTACAAATATGAGGGTCATATCTGTTGCTCTCCCCACTTTTACCTCTTGCTGTGCTTACTTTTTGCCTCTGGCCCTGCCCATCATTGATATGTCGCCCCTACAAGGTTGCCCATGAAGTAATGCCATCAGTCCTCAGACTCATGCAAGTTCCCCACCCTGGTCTAGGTGGGGATAGGTTCAGATCCCCACCCTCATATGAAGCTGACTGGGTTACCCTGAGTCAGTCACTCAGCCTATTCCAACAACTCATAGGGCTGGTGAAGGATAAAATGGGCAGGGGGGTGGGGAGAATCTTCTATGGGTCCAGCCATTCCTGCATCCTCTCCTGCTAAGAGTTCCAGCTTCTATCACACACGGTAGTTGCCGCCAACCCCTTTTCTGACGACAGGCTTTTGTGCCATTTTAACAGCAGCACAACAGGCAGAAATCCAGCAGATGCTATTTTACCTCTTACTTCAGCCTATTATTATTATTATTATTATTTGGGGGAATACACACAATTTCTGTTGTTGAAGAGGGCTGTGTGTCATACACCTTGCCCCCCAAGCCCCTTTGTGACTACCCTGCTGATCTCCCCCCGGGCAGTGGAGTGTCCCGCTGTCCCTGCCCTCAGGCAGCGAAATGTCTTGGGCCGACCTTTGCTCCCAGGCATGTTCCCATGCACTACTCCCGTGTTAACAGTGCACCTTCCGGATTCGAACGGACGAGAGGCGATCGTTACTCTGCACATTCTCGGAAGCAGCATTCTCTCCCCGCCTCCCCCGTCCCTATTCCACGGCGCGGTTTCTGCAAGAGCTCGCTTGCCACGAGGAAACACGTTCCTCCGGGGTGGCCTCTTAGAAGCTCCGGATCAGAGGCTCCGAGCTTCTCCCTCTTCCTCCTCGCCCCCGCCCCTATTTCAAAACCCGAATATTCGTCGCTTGCAGGGCTGGAGAAGGGTGGGAGGGAGGTAGGGAGGAGGACTCCTGGGTCCACCCCCTACTCGCGTCTGGCAGGAACAGGCGCCGCTGCTGCAGTTGCCACTCTCCCTGTCTTGCAGACCTCTCCACCAATGAGCGAGAACGAGGGAAGGCAACGTTGGCGAATCTGCGAGGCGCACCGCCCCTCCGCCACCCTCCTCTCGACGTCTAACATTCTCCCCGTCCGTCCCCCCCGGCCCTCGGAGCTCCCCCTCCCCACTCAGCAGGGTCTCTTCTCGGGGAGGGAAGAGGCGCAAAAGCGCAGCCGGAGCCGATTCCGCCGCCCATCTCGAGGCGCTTGCCAAAGGGCGAGGAGCCTCCGGATCCCGTTGATCGGCTCTGCTAGCCACCTCTGCGCCCTCCTCCGCATCATCATCATCTTCATCATCACCCTCGGCAGCCCCACCATTCCTCCCCTGCTCCAGAGAGGCCCGGGTGAGTGGGGAGGGGAGCCAGCCTGGGTCGCAGGAAGCAGTCACTCCTTGGCTCAACTTCCTTCCCGGACTTGGTACTGGCCCCGGGTGGGGAATCCGTCTCCCCTTCCTTACCCAGCCCCTTATCCTGCTGCCAGCTACCCTAACTCTCCATAGGGACGTGGCGGAGAAAAAAGGGTGTCTACCACGTGCGTTGCCAGAAGCAGCTGTTGCTTGGAATAGAGAGAGGTGTGCATCACAACACAAACCCCCCCCCCTTGGATTTCTAAGACGTAATTAGGCTAAACTTACGGAGCTAGTGATATTAGCGAGCAGACACACGCCAAGACTGAGAGACAAAAGAGGTAAGTTTTAAGAGCCCGAGACTCCTGGGGGTTGCGGGGAAGGGTGGGTTTTATTTGAGGCCATGGCCTGCACAGGGATCCCTCTGCAGTTGTGATACCTACACATTAGTGCTGTGTGCTTCTGAGCATGTGAAGGGTGCATAAATAAGCCAGTCGTTCTCTATGAAGACAGCACTTTGCATCAGGGATTAGTGACAGGATTTCCAGACAGACTTGAGTCATACCATGGCCTCATCCATCTTCCCATACTATATTCAAACCAAGTGGACTCATCCATGTTCATTGGGGGCTGGGGGCAATAGGAAAATAGATCTAAATATCTCCTGAATCTAAGCTAGGTGGCTGGCCTCACAGGATAGTTGTGAGTCAAAAAAGCTGCACTGACTTGTAGGGGGTTTGATGGTCTACAAATAAGAGTTGTTTAAAGAGGACTTAATTTTCTAATAACTATGCTTAGGGTGGAGAGCCTTGGTCACTTACCTTTGTTTCTCCCTCAAAAGCCACTCACTTCCGCACTTAAATTAATGATGGATGAGGACAAGGAGGACATGAAAGAAGAGAAGTCAGAGGGGATTCCTATATCTGGCACACCAACCGAGGTCAAAGATGGGGGTGTGGTAAGTAACAGAGGCGCTTTGACACTGAATGTTTCCCCAGATGCCTCTGGGTTTAAAAGAAAGACTCCTTTGTGGAAAACAGACCAAACCATCATGTCCATTTCTGCTCAGACTGATATGACTTAAAGCAATCTCATGCTGGGTGATCAGCACCATGGGAAGATCTGGTGCCTTAAATATGTAAGGACCTAATTTGGTCACCTAATGGATTTGTTTGTTTGTGTATGTATTTGTTTTCCCATTCTGTACCTTCAGAAATTGGATGCAGACAGGCCATTGATGAAGAATGCGGGAACATCTCAGGGATCCTCAGAGATACGGCGGAAAGGGCTGCTGACTAGAGTAAAGAAGGAAAGGGAAAGAGCACAGGAGAGCAAGGTGTGGCTATACAAGATCTCCAGGGACAGACCTATGAGATTTTTTTGTTCGGAAGGAGGGTGGTGAGGTGGAAGGAAGGAAAAATCAGGACTAGAGGTATGTGTGTCTGTCCTGGGTGTACAGTGGTACCTCGCAAGACGAATGCCTCACAAGACGGAAAACTCGCAAAATGAAAGGGTTTTTGGTTTTTTGAGTTGCTTCGCAAGACGATTTTCCCTATGGGCTTGCTTTGCAAGATGGAAACGTCTTGCAAGTTTGTTTCCTTTTTCTTAAAACCGTTAATACAGTTGCGACTTGACTTCGAGGAGCAACTCATAGCACGCGGTGTGGTAGCCTTTTTTGAGGTTTTTGAAGACTTTTGTGATTTTTTAAGCTTTTCCAAAACTTTTCCAACACCGTGCTTCGCAAGACGAAAAAAAGTGCAAGACAAAAAAACTCGCGGAACGAATTAATTTCGTCTTGCGAGGCACCACTGTAATTTGCTTCCTACTAAATAATTCTGGGACAGAAAAGGCCCCATAAAAGACTGAGCCACACACAGATTGGAGGGAATAGGTTGGAAAAACCAGGATTCTGAGATCCAATGGGATGGACCAGGACTTCTTGGTTTGCAGGGAGTGTTTATTGATTGCCTTTCTATCCCATCCTTCTTCAAGAAGCTCAGGATGATGAACATGTTCCCTTTGCCCCCTCCCCATTTTATCCTCACAACAACCTTGTAAGGTCTGTTAGGCGAAGGGGTGGTGACAGCCTAAGAGCACCCAGCAAGTTTCATGGCCATGTGAGAATTGGAGCCTAGGCTTCCCTGATCCTAGTGTAGCATTCTGACCGCTATGCTATGCTGGCCACTTGTGTTCTGCCCTGTCCAGATTACACAGGGTTGGTTGGTGCATTATTGTGCCTGACTTAATAGAAAAACAATATAGTGTAGGGTTATAGTGTTGGATTAAGGGGTGGGAAGAGCAGGATCAGATATTCAAGCTTGATGCTGATCCGTGACCTTGGACCAGTCATATTTCATTCTCTCACACACATTCTCTCTCAAGCTAGCCTGTCTCACAGGGTTATTGTGAGGATAATGTGGGTGAGGGCTAGAACAGCTTATACTGCCTTGAGTTCCTTGGAAAAACTATGGAATAGAAATCTAATGAATAAAAATAACGTAAAATCTGCTCCCAGCTACTTTACCTCTTCTTTCAGCCTCTGCCACCTTCTCCAATGAAATGGACACGGCTTGCCACTTCATGCAAAACAGAAAAGGTGGCAACAGAGAAGGAGGAAGAGCCTCCAATTGTGGTGAAGATGCTTGAGATCCCAGTGGGTGACAACATGGTGAGTAATGAAAGCAAACCAATGACTAGATCTCAGGGCTACATCTGTGCAATGGTACCTCTGGTTACAAACTTAATTCATTCCGGAAGTCCGTTCTTAACCTGAAACTGTTCTTAACCTGAAGCACCACTTTAGCTAATGGGGCCTCCTACTGCCGGTGTGCCGCCAGCACACGATTTCTGTTCTCATCCTGAGATAAAGTTCTTAACCCAAGGTACTACTTCCAGGTTAGCGGAGTCTGTAACCCAAAGTGTTCGTAACTCGAGGTGTTTATAACCCAAGGTACCACTGTATAGCAGAAAAGGATACACTGTATAAAGTGCTCCTGCTTACATCCGCATCCCTTTCTAACGTATAATATTCTTCATTAGCATTGCCAGCCTTCCAACCAGCCTTTTTAAAAAGCAGCTTGATTTGGATTTTTATGGAGAAAATATGTCATTCGTCTCCTTACTTAAAGATTGCTGCCGCCACCGCCCTTCAGTTGATATTAGAACTGAATACAGATTTACAGATTGATAAAGCACTCCAGGCATTGTAGGTCTGTAGGGAATAGTGTTTTTCTAAGAACTGTCAGCACCATTAACAAACTACAGCTCCCAGGATTCTTTGGGGGAAGGCATGGCTATTTAAAGTGGCATGGTACCGCTTTAAATGTATGGTGTGAATGTGGCATAAATAACTTGCAGAAAACAGTCTTAAAAGGAGGTTGCATAACTTACTTACAAACTGCATAGTTGTCCCAAGGAGGATGATAAACATGACGGATAGGTGACAAATTTCAGTTCAGCGCCATCTTTGCTACTATACAAGATAATGGGGTTGGCAGAGAGAAGAGAATCCATCAATCAGGAGTTGCCATAGCACGCTGGATAAGATTTTCTTATGTACTCTGGAACATAACACACCAGCATGTATACTGAAGTGATTGGCCTGGTTATATTTTGTCCACAACTTGGAAAAGGGAATTTTAGAGGCGTGAATGTGAGTCATCTCTACTCCTGATAGGTGGAAGGAAACCAGTTGGGTATCCAAGACTTGGAACATGACAGAAATGGATGTTAAACAGTTTTGCCAGATACAAGCACTCTTTGCTCCAACTTTTCATCACAGTGATTTTTATCTATATCTATATCCCATGGAAAGTGTTGTCTGCTAATTTCTCAAGAATGAGCCACCACTAAATGAATAAGAGAATCCATTAGAGATAAAAACAAGATCTTGCCTGCAAGAGTATTGTTCTTCAACTTTTATAGGCAAAATCTGAATTATTTTGCTCTTTTCTCTTATTAAGAAACTAAGAATTGGAGAGCTGGAAAGGAACAAAGAGCAGTTGTGGCACACTATGGAATGGGCTACGTACTCACATTGTTGCTTTTTGCTAGTACAGTGGATAGTGTGAGAAAACTGCCGCACAGGAAGCTCAGTGGCCTACCTATAAGCAAAAAAACCCACACATTCTGCATGCTGAGTGCTACATATATGGTTATCATTTTCAGTATTCTTCTATAAGTTGCTTTCCTTTGGCAAAAGTCAGCACCGGTGGTGATTTCGATACTTTAAAAATGGCTGTTTGAGTTGGCTGCAGAGAACCCATCCTGTGAGGAGAAATTGACAAAGTGGTGTCTCCCCTGGCAACCATTTCTTACCTCCTTAGCCTTAGGCATGCACAACATTTGACTTGTTAGCCTTCTGTGATGACCCTTGGTGACCTCCTGGGACAGTAAAACACAGTAGGGCTGTCCAGGATCATATAGGTCACACTATACTGTTGATGAGATGTACTTGGTTTAGTGCAGGGGTCACCAGTGCAGCAGCTGCCAGTGTACCCACAGTACCTCCTATGGTGCCCACAAAAGGTCTCAGTAAATATCCCCTCAAAATCCACAGTGTATGAGACTGTTTGATCTTCCTGCTCAGTACCTCTTTGCATTTGTTCATTCTCTTCTGCACAATCCCATAACAGCCATTTTGTGATGGGCACCAATGGTACTTCTGCAGGATTCCAAATGTGCTCACTGCCTCCAAAAGGCTGGTAACCTCTGGTTCACATGGGCTCTGGTTCACATCTAGGCCTGTCTCAGCATTTGAGAACTATTTGACTCTAGAGGGATAAGATACGTGTAAAAATGCTCACTTTTTGCTGTTTTTGCCTTTTCTAGCCAGAGTGTTCATTCTCCCAGAATAGGTTAATAATGGAAGATGGCAGTGAGAAAGAACTGATAATTAGAAGAAGAGTGAAGAAGGAAAAAGATGAGGAAGAGAATCTGGAATTTGAAGTGGAGGTGAGGAGGGTTTCCGCAGGTGGGAAACCCGTGAGTGGAGATGAAGATGGGAAGGTGAGATGTTTTATTTGGGCGAGGGGAAAGAAGGACCAACTTTCAGGGGGGAAAAGGATTGCTTAACTCAGCCTTTGAAAAACTGGCCCCTCAAATGTTTTAGACTACAGCTCCCATCAGCCCTAGCCAGCACAGCTGGTTTGGAATTGTAGTCAAAAACATGTGGAGGGCACTACGTTTGCAACGGCTAGTGAAATCATTGTCTTGGCCAAACTTGCTCCATTTTGGTTCTACTGCCTTGCAGGACTTGCCATCTGAGGAAGAGATGAAGGCTGAGGTGGAGGAGCAGAAGGCTCAAGAATTCGAGTTGCAAAAAGTCACCATCCCGATAGATGGGATTTTGGTGAGTACTGGGGGTAGCATAGCCGAGGGAATGTCAGGAGAGCTTGGAGGAGAGACTTGTGGTAGATGGAGGTGGGGGGTGAGGTGGTTCTATTGTACTGTTTCCATGATCTTTGGGAATGTTGGGTTTCTCCTGTCAGAGGCCTGATCTGCAGTATACATTTAAAGCAGTATTGTACCACTTTAAACAGTCATGGTTTCCCTCAAAGAATCCTGGGAACTGGAATTTGCTATGAGTGCTGAGAGTTCCTAGGAGACCCCTGTTCCCTCACAAAGCTATAAATCTCAGAGCCATTCCCTCTTCCCAAGGAAATATAGGAATTGTAGCTGTATGATGGGAATATGGGTCTCCTAACAACTCTGGACACCCTTAACAATTTTCAGGATTCTTTGGCAGAAGCCATGCCTGTTTAAAGTGGTACGATACTGCTTTAAACATATGGCACTGATGGGGCCAGACTGCCAAGGCTGCATCCTGATGTTAGCCTTTTTTTGGTGAGTCTTGGCAGCTGTATGGCAGGGGGGACGATGATGAAAGAAGTGGTATTTGGCAATTCTTCTGGCATTGTACAGGACAACATCTTACTAATGTTAAGACCTTGTAAGTCACTGAAACTCAAGAGTGCAATGAAGGAATAGTAAAGAAAAAAAATGTCTACATGCTGAATCCAAGATTCACAAAAAAGGCTTGGCGTCAAGATGAAGCCTTAACAATATGGCCAGAGAACCAGCAAGGGAAAATTTGGCCACATGCCTCTTTTCTTATCACGCTGCTGTAGCATTGGGGCCACCACTAGTAGGGACCCTCTTTGTTGTTGTTGTTTAGTTGTGTCCGACTCTTCATGACCCCATGGACCAGAGCACGCCAGGCACTCCTGTCTTCCACTGCCTCCCGCAGTTTGGTCACACTCATGCTGGTAGCTTCGAGAACACTGTCCATCCATCTCATAATCTGTCGTCCCCTTCTCCTTGTGCCCTCCATCTTTCCCAAGGGACCCTCTTTAGCCTTGTCTAATCTCCTGCCATCCCCACTTCACTTGCACACAATATACACTCCCTTTACAAGTAGGTCAGGTTATATCATCGGCAGCCTGTTAAGCCAAAAGAGAGGCTTGCCAAGCATATATTAACTTTGACCTCTGGTTTTGACCAACTCTTAATACACTTTAGTTCCTGCTCTTATTAAAAGATGATTTCTAAAACTATGATACAGTACAAAGATGGACTCCTTCTTTAAAAAAAGAATGACTTGTTTATGTGGCAGTTTCCAGGCTAGCACGCCTCATATCTGTTCCCAGGGTGCCTTTTTTTACAGCAGGCTAAGCTGTCCTAATCATTTCCTCCATTCCTGTAGGTGCCCTCCTCCTCCTCACACCCCAATACCTGTAGCGTTTGTGGCAAGAGTTTTAGCCGTCGCTCAAACTTGGCCAAGCATCAGATCATCCACACGGGTGAGAAGCCTTACCGTTGCAATGACTGTGGCCGCAGCTTCAACCAGAGCTCAGCCCTCACCAAGCACCAGCGGACACACACTGGGGAGCGCCCTTACGTCTGCGGAGACTGTGGCAAGGCCTTCACGGCCAGCTCAAACCTCCTCCAGCACCGCCGTTTTCACACAGGAGAGCGGCCCTATCGGTGTGAGCTGTGTGGCAAGGCCTTCTCCCAGAGCTCCAACTACAACCTGCACCGCCGCAGCCACACTGGAGTCACACCTTATCAGTGCAATGTGTGTGGCAAACGCTTTACCGGGAGTTCCTGCCTTACTCGCCACCAGAGGACCCACACAGGGGAGAAGCCATACCAGTGCCAGGAATGTGGCAAACGCTTTTCTGGGAGCTCCACTCTGGCCAACCACCGGCGCACCCACACAGGTGAGAAGCCTTACGGCTGTGCTGAGTGTGGCAAGAGGTTCACCCACCACTCCAACCTAGTGGACCACTGGCGGGTGCACACAGGAGAGAAACCATATGTTTGCACCGAGTGCGGGAAGAGCTTTCGGCTTAGCTCCCACATCATTCGCCACCGCCGCACTCATGCCAATGCCCGCGGTGCTAGCCTGGCATATGACATCCTTGGCAGCGTCGATACAGCTGGCAGTGACGCCAGCATTAGTGCCCATCACGTCAGCCTCCTCTATGGAAACGCCAGCAGCACTGACGGTGGCAGCCCTCATGGGTCCGGTCACAATGCCCTGTGTGCCAATAGGAGCATCTCCAATGGCAACAATGATACCGATGGGGAAGAGGGCAGCCGGCTTCTCATCTGCAGCCAGTGTGGTAAAGGTTTCCACCTGGAGTCCGGCCTTCAAGAAGACTCCGTGCTGGGTGAGGGACCCTATACTTGTACTGAGTGTGGCACCAGCTGTTGGACGTAGCCGGACAGTGGTGTAGCTGAACAGCAAATCTTCCGTAGCCCTCCAGGATCTCTGGCTGGATCAGAAAGCAAAGCCCGAGTACAGGAGAGAGATTTATCTGTGACTAAATCAATAATGGACCAGAATGGAGAGGTGTATTTTGATCTCCATTTTTTTAATGGGTTTGGGGAAATGCTTGTATTAAACTAAGATTGGATCTGCTTCCATAGAATACTATGTTCACCTCCAAAGATCTGTTCCTGCTCTTGCTGTGAAGGAAAGGAGTAAATAATATTGCAGAGTATGTGCATGTGCACGCGTGTTTGTTTGTGGTGGCAATCTTGATTTCTAGGACAGAATGGGTTTCTAGTGCAGGGATGGGTAACCTTTGGCCCTCCAGATGTCACTGGACAACAGCTCCCATCATCCCTGACCACCGGCTGTGTTGATTGGAGCTGGTGGGAACTGGAGTCTTAACAACTGGAGGGTCAAAAGTTACCCATTCCTGCTATAGTGCCACAGGATGGCATTAGGAAGATACTAAGAACATACAAGGCTTGCTGGAACAGGCCTGTGACTTATCAAGTCCAGCATCCTGTTCGCACTTGCCTATGGGAAGCCCACAAGCAGGATGTGAGCTCATTAGACTTACCCTCCATACTCTGTATTCCCTCTAGCTTTCTCACCCAGTACTTTTGTTCTCTCCTCGCCTCTGCCTTGGAAAAAAGAAAATAGAAAATCACTTGTTGTCTTCTCTTTTAAAATGCTACTATTCAAAAGAATCAATTCCAGGATGCACCAAGAGCTTGAATAGATTTTCTTATCCCTATGTAATAAAGTTAAGGAAAATAATATCAGGTCAGCAGTCAAGGCTCTGATTGAAGAAAGGAAATCATTAACACTGGTGCACGTAGCAGTACAGTAGACACAAAAGCTTTGGATTTGTGTCACTAGCTCCCCCTTCTGGCAGGAAAAGAGACACTTGAAGGAATGAGGATGTATCCATTGTGGGAATGGATGCATAGAAGATGGTCTTGTTTTTTGTTTTCCTAAGGCAGAGGGTATGTGTGTGGAAAAACATATATATATGTTTAAGATCATTAGACTTCATAGACTCTTACTAGTATTTGTAGAACATCTAAACCAAAATTTGGTCCCTAAATAGACCTGGTCACTCCTGATTACTAGGAAAGGTTATGAGGACACTTTTTACACACCTGTGTCTTGAAACATAGAAGCCTACAGAGCAAGGCAAGCCACATACTTCAAGCAGCCTCAGACTGACAAAGCAAGTGTTCACAGTGAGCTTCATTTGTGCATATGAAATTTCTGCTTGGCCATTAATAGTGCATGGACAATCTTCAGGCAAATATTCAGCTTTGTAGGAGAGAGCAGTATCCCAGGAAAACACACACACTACTACCTTAATCAATCTCTTAACAGTGAGAAATATATTACCATCTTCCATGGTCTAGGGACTTAGGGTCTGGGCTGTATATGTTCTGTGCTAAAAGAAAAACTTTTCACCCAAAAAACACACACACTAACCTGAAATAAATCATGTTAAATGGAAGTGTAATCTTTTATCAATCTTAGAAGCAAGCCCCATTCAGTTCAATGGTGTTTTCTCCCAAGTGAGTGTAGGGCTAGAGCCTAAGCAACGTAGGAAATTGTCTCATAGCTTGCTCAGTATTGATGATATTGGTAGCAGTTTTCCATAGTTTCAGATTGAGGTCTGCCAGCCCTACCTGAAGATGTTGGATTGAATCTGGGATCTTCTGCATGCCAAGCATGTGCTCAACCACTGAACTATAGCCTTTTCCAAATCGCATAGAGCTTTGTAAAATTATTTATTCTGCTTCCCCCAAACCCACAAGCTACATGTAAGCATCTATTAGTACTGAAGTGCTAGCCTATGACCAGTGAAAGTTCTGATCAAGCCCAAATCTAGTTTCTGATCCCACCAGGCACTGATCCCATGTCTTCCAAATTTCTCTTTGCTGCCATGAGGGCTAGAAATGGATTGGTTTTCATGCTTTAAAGGAAATGTCAGCACTCTAAGAGTCTTTCAGTTCTGTAATATGAAGAGTGGACAAACATACTTCTTTTATTTCCCCCCTAAGATTATTGCTGACACACATGGCAGACAAAGGCATTGTGATGGAGTGACTTAGGAACACAACTTATTTATTTGTTGTGTGGGGGGGTTGGTTACATTTCTAACCTGTAGTCTTCAGTAAATAACGTTCTTGGGATGGCTTGGGAAAAAATATTTCAGCCAGATCTGAAAAACCAGTAATTGATGACGCATAAAAAATAATCAAGAGGGAAAGAATGGGTAAGAAATTTCACCATGGCTTAAAATACTTGGATTGTTGTTTGTTTGGCTTTTTAAAAAAATAAATAAACCTGGGACAAGGAAAAGGTATTTATTTGCCTGGCGCTGAACTGATAAACAACATAGGTGCTAGGTGAGCTTTCCAGATGAAGGGGTTTCAATGCCTGTGCCACCACCAAACAGGCACTCTCCCTGGCCATGATATATTTTATGTTGGACCGGGGGTAAACCCAGTAGAGAAGCTCAGAGGACAGCCTCAGTCTATTTGTGGACTGATCCAAGTGAAGATAGTCTAACAGGTATCTGTCTACTGAGCCATGTAGGGCTTTAAAGGTAAGTACCAATGCTTTTGACTAGACTCAGAAATAGACCATGAATCAGTGATATTTTTTTCAACACAAACATTAAATATAAACCCTGCAACACAAGGGGTACCCTGGCAACTGTGTTTTGAACAGCCTTTTCCAACTCTTCAAGTGCAATGCCACGTACAAATAAGCTCTATCATCCTAATTGTGCCTTTACTTGCTTCTAGCTTTATTACGACAATGCCAACAAAGGTGCCCAGCCTATTTCTGTGAATTTAACCCTTTAGAATGGAAAATCTAGGCAATTCTTGGGAGGAGGCCTTTCTGCTTTCGGTGGCCGCTGGGAAACATTGTGTGTTAAAGCATGCAGTGCAATGAATTAAAAACACCACCACAAAACTGCAGTTTAGTTCGAACAAAAACACAAAAGCATCACAGAATCTATGTTCAGGGTCCAACCTCTACCAAGTTCAAATTGTTATTGATCATAAAAGGTCACTGGGTGATTTTTGGTGTGTCACTGTCTCATGGCATAACCTACCTCACAAGGTTTTTGTGATGTTAAATGGAGGGAAAGAGCTGCTTAGAGGAACGAAAGGATAAAAATCTAAATAAAAAAATTAAAATGTAAAGGCTTGGGGCTAAAATCCCATATTCAATTATCAGAGGCTTATTTCTGTGTCCACAAATATTGGATTGCAGTGATAATTATTGCAGGGTTATAAACTGTATGTTAAGGATACTAACGTTTAAAAACTGACCCTTCATCCTTTGGCTTCAATAACAGCCTGATGGACCAAATTTAAGAAGTCAACATTTTTTTCCACCACCTTAGAAGGAGGCTGAAAAAGAGAAATGCCAGGAGAAACTTCCCCATTTTGGTATATTTTCCTACGCTTGGAATGGAGAGTGAGATACAGAAAATTTAGAAGCAAATTTAGCAGAATCAGGATTAGGTATTTCTTTGCTTAAATCAAAAATATGAAAGAAAAATCGCTGAATTCTCACATAAAAACAAAATACATAATGTATTTAGTATAATATATTTAATTAGCTGATCAATGTATTGTACATACATTGTAAAGATAGAAATTTGGGCAATCTTAGGGGTTAATACCAGCGAGATTTTTATATGCTAGACGAGACATGGAAGTAGCAGTAGGGGGGAAGGTGGTGCTAAGTGTACCTTCCTGTGCAGCATCCCCCCTCCCTGTTTGCCCCAAGCCGACAACAAAGCTTAGCTATGGAATCACAAAGTGCAAGAGCTGTCAACATGCATAGCCTGGTGAGTGATGGGAAGTCCAGAGCTGGGGTTATTCTATTTATTATTTGTAACATTTTTACTTTTCAAGTCTGTGAGTTTTGGGGCATCAGCAAAGCTGGGATATTGGGAGGTTGGGATTATTGGATATGAGATTTTGTCTGCTAGAAATAAAACGTTAGAAGTTTGCAAGCTGGAATAGCTGCAGGTTGGGTAGTTTCCTAGGTGGTGATTGCCGCTTCTCCTGGGAGAAATGTGGCCTCACAAAGGGATATTGCTTTGCTGTATGTAGTGAAGGAAGAAGGCTGCTGGTATAACTTGCCTTTGCCATAGCCTGACCCAGGTAAGCTGTCCATCTTAGTTGCTGGAAGTGTAGGATATGAAAAAGGATGAAATCCCTTTCTGAGGCTGTAGGCTAGTAGCATGAGCTAAATGGGAAATACTGGACTAGTAGTAAGAGTTGTTTTCTCGTGTTGTGGCAGAAGACCAGGGAGGGTCATGAGAATCTTTCACGTTAGACATGTCTCCCAGCCACAAGGTCTTTATTTGTTGTTTTAGAGTCTGCTAGGACCTGTCCCTTTCAGCCAAGGAAAAGCACACCATGTTACAGTTTAGGAATGTAGTTACAGAGACACCGAGAAGAGAATTAATAGACTCCTTTTCTCCAGGTAAGGGTTCTTTTCTTCTGTTAAGTACATCCTCCAGGTATCTGATGCCTGTATTCTTTAGCCTAAGCAGGACTGCCTTCTGATTGGGCGGTATGGCCTATAGTAATTGAGGGGGAAAATAGTAGCCAACATAACGCTTTTGCAGGGTTTTGTTGGGAAGATGATGTTTTCAGCTGGTCTTCATTTATTAATTTTTTTGCAAACGAAGGAGGATAAAGTAATTTCTAGCTTTCACAATTCTGGAAGCAAGCTTGAAAATGTTACAGTAATTACGAGCTAATGACGTGGAACCTAAAAATACCCTGAGAACTGCTTTTAGTTTATCCATGAGGAAATAGTTGTTAAGAATAAGTCATCTTGAGTCCCAATAAACTCTTACTCTTAATTTTTCTTTCCTTTGAACAGGGCATTTCTATCCGCAAACCTCTTGTAACTCCTGAGATGGATTGAGGGAAGGAACATAACAAAACAGGCTCTGAGGCAAGGAATAGCCTTCTAGCTTCAAGGAACTACAGAACAGCTCCAAGATCACTTGGTAAAATGGAGAAAGTGAGGTCTGATGGCAGGGGTAGCACACAGTGATTAAAACATCAGAAGTAGGTAACTGATATGGTAAGATCACTGTCAATACAGTAGGCTCAGGTCTTGACTGTCTCCCTTTAAAATATATATTATTAATTTGTTGGTTCTCAGAGGATGTAGCACTCCACACTGGTGTGGTAGGAGAGGATGGAAGTGTGGCAAGAAGATTCAAGGACAATCAAAGAAATATTTAAACATTTCAGTTTAGTATAGTATAGTATAGTATAGTATAGTATAGTATAGTATAGTATTAGTATCAAAATATTTTGAGGGGGATGTACAACCAGAAACATTATCCATGCCTCTCTTCAAGAGCATGGCTATTCTTCTGAACTGCTCCATGGCATACAACAGGGATTTTCAACTCTGGCAAATATGAAAGTTCAGAAAAGGGAAAGGCTTCTTTGTGTTGATGAGATGAGAGTTCATTTATCTCAGACTAGACCTAAGAGAAATGAAATTACCTGGCAAAAGTGAGCTCACGCTTCTCACTGAGTTTGTATACAAATTTAAGGTACATATGTAAGTAAGAGGCTCATTTATAATTGTATTTTGAGAATGATTCATGTTCTTATGTAGCTGCATTTTAAAAAACGTTTTGGATGCCCCATGATCATATTATAAAGTCGTCGTATTCTATGCTATAAATCAAGCACTGACAGGAGTTGTTTCCTTTTGTTTTCCAATGTATTTCTAAGCAATAAAAAAAAAATTGGCATGAGCAAATTTTTGTTTTAAAAGTGTGGCCCTGAGAAAAAAAGTTAAAGAAGCACTGTATTAATTATTATTAATAATCACCATCTCAACAGTTAAGACACTGCACAGTAACTATTATTAAAAGGAGCATCCCCAAGTTCAAGATGCTAGTTTTAACACTAGTCAGGAACAGGAAACTAGAAACCTGTGCTGCTTCCAGCACTCTTGAGGGTCTTCTGTACTTTTATCTCCCAAACCACATCCTAAGCACAGCTGCCAGCAGTGAAGGAGTATCAAGGATGAGTGGCTAGGAAGATGGAATAATCTGGGCAAGAGGTGGTAGCAGGATAAAAAGACGTGGGAATGATGAGTTAGTCCAGGCATAGGCAAACTCTGGCCCTCCAGATGTTTGGGACTACAGTTCCCATCATCCCTGACCACTGGTCCTGTTAGCTAGGGATGATGGGAATTGTAGTCCCAAACATCTGGAGGGCCGGAGTTTGCCTGTGGCTGAGTTAGTCCATAAATACAACTCAAGCATATTGTGCTGAGAATGAGACCCTGTGGAAGGGCCATATTTATTCAGAAGAGGGCCAGTTCAGGAGTCTTGTCTTACTGGCCTGCAGCAACTTTCATAATAGCTGTCATGGAGAGGCTTATCTAGCTCATCATACACTTTCTAGGTTGGAAACCACAATGAGGTGAGAAAATAAATTCACTGTGGTTGAGAAAGGCTCTTTACATATGCACTGGCCTAAGCTGCAGTAGTGCCCACATTCAGGACCCAAGGCCAATGCAGAAAGAACAGAGAGGAAGGAAGAAGATGAGGACTTGGTAAAAAATATATCTAAAGACTAACTGGCAGCAAATGATGCAGAATAGATGGAACTATGGTGGTTAAAAGACTTGTGGAAGCAGAATGTGAGGATTGATGGTCGTTGGGGATTGATGGTAGATGAATCAATGTGAATTTCTTCTTTCTACTAGGAAACAGAAAGATGGATACAGCTGAAAAACCTGCAAGCAAAAGGGAAGATGTAGTATCAGGAATAAAATCTCAGAGAAGTTTAGCAACCCCAGTAGCAAAGCATCGGAGAGTAGGCAGGGTAATCTGCGGTGTTTGTGGAAAGAGCTTTGTCAAGACCTGTGAACTGTTTGCCCACCAGCGGACCCACACAGGGGAGAAGCCATACGAGTGCTCAGATTGTGGCCGTTGCTTCTCTGTCCAATCCGCATTGGCCAGTCACCAGAGTATTCACACAGGAGAGAAGCCTTACAGATGTCAGGAGTGTGGCAAGAACTTCCGGCTGAAGAGCAACTTGACCCGCCACCAACGAGTTCATGATGGCATAAGACCATTCCGATGTGAATACTGCGGGACCACCTACAGCACCAAAGCTCACCTGGTCTGGCACCTGAACACCCATACAGGTGAGAAGCCATACAAATGTACTGAGTGCTGGAAGCGTTTTGGAGAGATCTCCTTGCTTGTAGAGCATCTTCTTTCACACCAGGTTGATGGTAGTGGTGGAAAAAATGGAACTGCCTCTGCAGGACGTTTAGGTAGTGGGAACCTTCACCGCTGCGACGATTGCGGCAAGAACTTCTGCCGGAGCACCACGTTAGCTGAACACCGTCGCATTCACACTGGTGAGCGTCCTTTTGCCTGTGAGGAGTGTGGCGAGCGGTTCATGCGACGGGCTCTCTACAATGAACATGTCCGCACTCACTCTGAAGAGGGCCCACCCAACCTGTGTGTAGCCTGTGGTAAATCTTTCACCAAGCGCTATTCCCTTCTCCAGCATCAGAGGTCACACACAGGAGAAAAGCCCTACCAGTGCCCCGATTGTCCAAAAAGCTTCATTGCCAGCTCTGCCTTGACACAGCACCGGCGGATACACACTGGAGAGACACCCTACCCATGTCCAGATTGTGGGCGCAGTTTTAGCCAGAAATCGGTGCTCACAACTCATCGGAGACTTCACACAGGCGAGAGGCCATACAAATGCCAGGAGTGTGGGAAAGGCTTTAGTCAGAGTTCAGCGCTGACTCAGCATCTCCGGACTCACACTGGTGAGTCCCCGTACAGCTGCCAAGAGTGTGGGAAAAGTTTTAGTGGTATGTCAGCTCTCAAGCGACACCACCTCACCCATACAGGGGAACGCCCCTTTCGCTGCGATGAATGTGGCAAAGGGTTCAAGCAGAGCTCCACGCTGGTCCAGCACCAGAGGATTCACACTCATGAGAAGCCTTATGCCTGTCTCCAGTGCAACAAAAACTACAGCCAACGGGCTGCTCTTGCCAAGCACCTGAGGACTCACACCAAGGAAGTCTTGCTTTCTGGCACATGCAGTGAGCCAATGGACATCAGGGTTTACACAGAGCCTTTTGTCCAACCCCAAGAAGAGGAGAACAATACAGAGAATGACATGGAGGAAGAAGCTGATGAGGTAGTGGTGCTCCCTCCAGGGACATGGGATGCTGAGGTAAAAGAAGAGTCAGAGCTTCAGTGGGAGAATGACATACCATTTGCAGAAACGGGGTCACTCTCATGGGTGAAAAAGGAAGAGTCAGATGAGGCCCAGGTAGAAAGGAGAGAACTATCAACAGTTTCTCTGCACATCAAAGAGGAACCAGATGACTGAAAGAATTGTGGGCACGATGTCAGGCTTTGTGGTTTTTTCAAACAAATGTGCCAGGGCTGTCCCAGAAACTCCCACATGTGACAAGGGGTTCTGTCTTGGAGGGAGAAAGATAAATCTAAACTTGGAGCACTGTAAGGATAGACCTCTGAAAAGAGTGCTATTGGAACTGAAACCTGCCTTGAACCATGTTTATCAACCCTCAAATCCTGCAGTCTAATACCAGAATTGTATAGCTTGGTTATGAATACTCAGTGGTGAGGAAAATGAATTCAGTATATCCTGAACAGCATTCTTCATTACCTGGGTTCATGCAGTGTCCCCTTGGCAGGGAGCAGATTCAGAAGAGGTTCCAGAGCAGAGCCTTAACTCAAAGAAATTATTGGCTGATCATATTCTGTGGGTCAGCTTGGGGAGTTTGTGGTCTTGAAAACCCACTTTAAAAAGAAAAAAAGTGTTTGGGTGCTCCAAAGTTGCACATGCAATTTGGAAGGTATAAAACTAGAATTGCAGGCAGCACTTGTAGTGGCCATGTAACCAATTAATATGAGGGGTAGATGGCATGGAGAGGAATGAGTATTCCCAGGTGATTGTGCTAAAATGTCTCTCTGCATTCACAATGTATTAAAGGCATGATGACAACAGTGGTGCTGCAGTCAATATTTTCCAGTAGCAATGTTAATACACTATGCCTCAATCTTTGCCCTAGGGCAGGATTAGGAACCTGCGGTGTCTCTAATGTTGTTGGACTACTCTCCCAGATCATTGGCTGTGCTGCCTGGGGCTGATGAGAGTTGATCCAACAACATCTGGAAGGCCACAGGTTCTCTATCCCTACCGTTGGGCCAGGTTATGAAAACCCCCTCCATGCATTGTGCTAGTTCATAGAGGAATAGTGCCATGTCACCTTGGAAATGGCTTGGGCAGTGTTCACATTGTCTGTTTTCTGACAGGACCCTTATCGATTATAGGATTAAATAAAGTTTACCGAAAGTTAACAAATAAATGCTGAAGAACTCTGGGCAATCCTACGGCAGAAAAGCTCAACAACTCTGGGCAATCTACCCACCTCATGCATGCGCCTCCTCCCTCCAATGACAATGGGTAGATCACTGCCAGGTTTTTTTATACTGTGAGTAGATCACAGTTGGACATGCCTGACATAAGCTATCAGTTGTAGTCCCACAGCAGAAAGTTGGCTTTTGCTTTGTTTTTTGTTGCCACAGGGAAAAGATACAGGAAACATTTCTTCATAGTGGTGTTAAAACCCTTGAAACATTGTTTGCACTCTTTTTACGAAACAGGAATTCTTTACCACTCATTTTGCTCTTTCTTGGGCTCAAGTTATGGCTCCTTCTCCACACATTTCTAATGGATGATGAAAGTGAGGTGGGTATCTTACAGAGTTTTCTGGAGGCTAGAAGGAGTTGCGGCTCTGAATTTAAGCAACATATATTATCTTCTGCTGAACTGGTCTGTCCTTGTCATACAGGAGGCAGCTCTTTAAAAGAAAATATATGTAGCATTATTTTATTAAAACCACCCTCAGGCCATGATTTCATTTACAACTTCACTGGCTTCTCTGACAGAAAAGTATCACTTATGCTTGAATTAATTTTTAAAAACCAAATAAAAAACTCAAGAGAACTTAACTTAGTCCTTTTAAAAATGCATTTATGGAAGAGTGTTTCCAATAGCAAGAGCCAATTTCATGGGGGGGGGGGGAATAGGGATAACGAACAATGAACCTAGATAACCTTGGTTCAACTCTTCACTCAATTGTAGACTCACTAGAGGCACAGTTTTTACAATCTTTCCATTTCAATTCCTCAGTCTGCAAGATGGGATCACTGATTGCCTACCCTACAGGGTTGTTGTGAGGACAACACTAACATTTGCAAAGAAAATTATGAACAGCGAGTTACTTTTCCTTTTTTTTTTTTAACATCTGAAAGCTAGAACTGTATTTGCATAACAGTGCAATAGCTCAAGACCACAATTTAGTGATGTTTACATAAGCAGTTACTTCACTTTAACAACAAATGAACAACTTTCCAAAGTATCTAGTAGATACACTGCAAAGGAAAGTGGATGGGAAAAAAGGAACTGTGAATCAGGATTAACAGATTCAATTCTCAAGGCTAGGAACTATTCTTTAAGCATTGTCTTCTTACACACACACACACACACCTCTTTATCTACAGTCATCAGCACCTGCCTAGGAAATGTAGCAATACGATATGCTATTAAATGGTCCTGTTTTGAAGGAAAATAACATCTTCCAGTTTCCCAAGTTACTTTCACCCTCCTTGGGGGAAATCTCATGAAAAGGCATCCCCCTGCCTACTTACATCTGACCGATTATGTATTTAGTGTTTCTATCCAATTTTTCAGATAATTAATGAGTTGCAGTCAAAGCTAGTCCGTTAATAGACCCATTGCACTAAGGGACATGATGATTAGGTTCATTCATTTCGATGTGTCTACTCTGAATAGAATTTAGTTGGATAAAACCCATTGTCTCACATAGTGACTTGCATCAGTTAAGAGTAAGAGAGGTGTCCTGCCATCAGGCTTGCAATCTAAAAAGACAAAGGACACACAAAGAAGGGAGCAGGAGGGAAAGCAGTTTTTCAAAGACAAAACAAAGTGGTGAGCTCAAAGCAAGTCCTTTTGTCAAGCTTAGGTCAGGCAGGTCTTCTCTGCCGTTCTACCTGGAATAGGAGTGGATGGCTCTTGTTCCTTTGGTCCTATTAAGAACACAATGGGACAAATGTGGGGACAATTTGCAGATCAGAAAGGAGGTGGTGTACTTATTTGGATAATGGTCCTGAGGTTCCAAGTTACTGTTTTAGAGTATTTATTCGTCCTGAAAATGACAGCTCCACATATAGTTCAGGGGAAGTTTGTTTTCATACCTTCTGTCCTTCAATACAAAGAAGAACTGGTGTACAGACACTTCAAAATTTGTCGGTGGGGTCCAATTCTGTAAAAAAACCCAAACCCATAAAATTCCCGCCAGGAGTAAGAACACAAGCCTAACTACGTCAACTCTGAAGTAAATTATATTGAATTCAATGGGGTTTACTCCCAGCTAATTTGAGATTAGGATTGCAGCCTACGTCAGTAAATTAAAAATACATATTGCCTTTGGAAATGCAGGCTTTGTTATCTCTAAACTTCAGTTTTGAAAATACTGGCATTTCGGTCTGACAAGCCGCTACAACAGAGTAGGATGACATTTACCGCCCTGCGGGAGCCTTTAACACTTCCCAATTTTTTGACTGGTGAATCTTGATACCAACCTTCCTTTCCCCTGGCAAATCGAGAACGCTATCTTGCGTCAGACTTCTTCCGGCAGAAGAGCTTGACCGAGCATAGAGCGCCCGATATACGCCTCTTGCTTCACGTTGACTGGCTATTCCTCTTAAAGAACGTGAGACGCACCAATGAGAATCTCCCATTTGTTCTCCCTAGCGAACCTACTCTTATCTTCCGCCTCTTCCTCGAGGATTCTCCGCCCATTAGAGGCGCCGACCGGTCACCTGGTGGTCAGATGCAGGAAATGGGCAACTTGAATCCCTCTTGCGCGTTGTCTCTGGTGTCTTTTTTTGTCTCCTCCGAAGCTTCTCCTTCAGCGTCTGCATCTTGATTTATACTTGTCGCATCCTAGATCTTCTTGCTATATTGCATAATGGAGGGACAGCATATAATGGCTCAGGTGCATATACAGACCCCAACGTCCTCCTCCTCGTCGTCATCGTCTGTGGCTGGGGAAGAATCCAGGAGGCTGAGGGTGGCAGCCCGCGAAAGGATGGCTGGAGGCCGTTTGTTGGACAGTCATAGCCTGGATGGGATAAGCCAAGTGTATGGAGCATCCAAGGCTCAGGAAGGTAGGAGGGCTACCATATCCAGCGCTTTGGAGCTAGAAGGGACAGTGAGCCATGACGGGGACCTGACACACTTTGTGGCCAACAACCTGCAGATGAAGATCAAGATGAGCTCCCGGGGCAGTCTGGATGACACAGAACCCACCTCCTCATCATCAGTGTCGTCGCAGTTGTCTGTTAGGGGCAAAACTGCAGATATACCTCCCATTGACCCACAGGTGATTAGGGATCTGGAAAGGCTCACTAGGGATGTGGCACAGAAGGTGGACCAGATGCTAAGAGCCTTGAACAGCGCTATCCAGAACATGACAGCCCTCAGCGTTGGGTACATCCAGACTTACCGGGATGCTGTAGACAGCTTGGGTGAATCTGTGGACATGAGCATCAAAGGGATGTACACTCTGATGGCAAGGTGTGAGGAGTTGGACCGCTCCATGCAACCTGTCCATACCCTCGCTAAACAAATCCGGGAGATTAAGAGGACTCTGGAAATCTTTGAGGCACTTTGCAAGTAGTGCCTCTTTCAAAAAAACTAATTAACTTGTTCACTGGTGGGGCATGGAGCGGGCTGATACCTGATCTACTGTGATTCATACTCAAAAAGGGAAAACTATGTGGCTGTGTTCTTGCACTATAATAAATGAAGTATGGCAGTGTTTCTCAAACTTTATAAAATATTGTCCCTAGATAATGTTACTAGATCAAACTCTAGAAACCTCATTAGGGCCTGCCTGTGCTTCTTTAAACAATCCTTGAGCCCCTCTTTCCTCACCCACCGAGATTCCAACATCCACCTGTGCTGATTCAAGCCCATATAAGACCCTAACACCTCCTCTCCTAGTGCTGCTTTCTTTTCAGCCTAAGGTATTTAATGGGACCTGCAACCCTGATTCTCTCATCAGTCCCAGAGTGACGACCCACACACTGGAAAAACAGACTGAACTATGTGTGGGCCAGCTACTAGTGGGTGCACAGCTTTTTTGCAGCTAAAAAACAGGAAATTATGTTCATGTGTCGTTCAAGCTGACTTCATTGATGTTGGGTTTCAAAAATTTCTGTTTCAAAAAGCTCAAGTTGTTGGACCTGAATTTCCACAAAATGTGTTTTATAGAATTTGTGTCTCATCTATACAGGGCAATAGTAGAGGGTCTTGACTTGCTAATGCATCTTGGATTGAGGGCATGGTTGTGATTTTAAGGAAGCTGTGAACCCCATGCTTGTTACCATTGTTTCTTATTATATTCTTAAATGTTCATCTATGTAAGCTTCCCAGATAATGATCAACAAACCTGAAAGAATGTTCCATGTTGTCTCAAATGCCGGTTCTAGCATTTAATAAGCCAGGGGTGGGAAATCTTTTTTCTATCCAGGGCCAATGACCCACAGGGGAAAAAATTCAGGGGACATACACAATCATAAATTGTGCAGTGAATACAATAAATGAATAAGTATATTGAAACACTCAAAAAGTTAGTGTTTGGGTGTTACCATCTCCTGAAACTCCTGGCTACGTAGGTTGGGATCTACTTACTAACATGAATAATACTATAACTGAAAATACTATAAATGCTTTCTTCTTGCAGGGATTCTTCCAGTGGAACAAGAAAGGTAGGTGGGACAAGGCTTTTAAACTACCTTTGCAAGATACTAGCAGCATAACTAGCCGTTCTTCACGCCACCTTTCTCTTTGTAAAGGAGAGAGGGTGTTGTGCACTGCTGTTAGATTATGCTTGGAGCACCGGCTGTTAACAGTGCCCAAGTGACTACTTTCCTTGCTGACCCATCGGGGAGATGGTGGTGGGTAGCAGTAAAGAGCCTACTGGTAAAGCCCAGGGACTGGATGAAATTAAAAGGTGGCATCTGCACTTGACAAACCATAGATAAGCAGTTATACTAGCAGAAGAAAGATGGAAACACAGTGCCACATAAGACTTCTGACTTGTTTCAAAATTTTTGAACAAGAGACTCCAAAGACAAAAAATAAATAAATAAGTGATCATTAGCATCAACGCCATCAGTCAAAACAGGACATCCTGCCCACCAACAGTGATAGAGTGGTTTAGTTAATTCTGCCTTGTGGGCTATTTCAGTCTGGGCAGTGTCAAGGAAGACGTTGTATCTCACCTCAAAATCTTTGGGAGGCCCCCTGTCACACATCCATAACTTAGCAACTACATAGTTTTCCTTGCTGACAAGCTATATTTGCACATGGACAAAACTGTCCCCACTGAGACTGATTTTAAACATACATACAGTGGTACCTCAGGTTACAGATGCTTCAGGTTACAGACGCTTCAGGTTACAGACTCCACTAACCCAGAAATAGTACCTTGTGTTAAGAACTTTGCTTCAGGATGAGAACAGAAATCGGGCGGTGGTGGCACAGCAGCAGTGGGGGCCCCATTAGCCAAAGTGGTACCTCAGGTTAAGAACAGTTTCAGGTTAAGAATGGACCTCCAGAACAAATTAAGTTCTTAACCCGAAGTACCACTGTACTTGGTAAAGATCTGGTTTAGACAGTGATTAGGCGATGCAAGTTTGCTCAGGAACAAATATTGTTGCCTAGCTACCAGTGAGCTGAATAATTTATTTGGTGATCTAGTTTTGTCTTTGTAAACACTTTTAATTAAACCCAATTTCTGAACCCTCATAAAGTATACTACCAAAAAATCAGTATTCTAATGATACAGAGAAAGAAGAGATGTTTCACCAAGTGAGAGTCTAGCAGAATACAAGAAACTGGTGCTGTCCATTGCTGGATATGACAAGGGAGCACCAACTGCTCTCATCTCTATCATCTGGCTGCTTGAAGGCTAATATCTGCTTACCTTCTACAACCCTGCACTATAATCAGGAAGGGCTTCTTCTCTGGGCAATGCAGTGTTTTATTTGTTTATTTGACTAATTTGTAAATTATCCTTCATCAGTTAAGATATCAGCAATTCCCAAACTACATTCAATAAAACTATTTTAAAACATTAATTCCTACTTTAAAATAATATTCAAACCATCACACCACTATAGCAGAAAGCAGCATCCTTGCCTCTGACCTAAAACCCACCATTATTTCCCAAAGGCCTGAGTGAAAACAGATCTATGTGTCTCAAGATGGCATTGGAAACTTAGGAATGAAAGTGACGACACAATCTCTAAGGCAGGGATAAGAATCTGTGACTCTCCAGATGTTGCTGGACTCCACTCATGCCGTCCCCAACTATCTACCAAACTTGCTGGGGCTGATGGGAGTTAGAGTCTGATGACATCTGGAGGGTCACAAGCTCATTGTCCCTACCCTCAGGGAGGGCATTTTGCAGGGTGCCACCACTCGGAAGGCCCTGTCACCAGATGACGGTTGGCTTACCTGTCAATGGGAGAGACCGCAAGCAGCATCTCCCCAGCAGATCTCAAAGCCCAGACCAGTGGATATAGGAAGAGGTGCTCTTACACCTCTTTGGGACCTAAGTCACTCAGGGCTTTATGTTTGCATTCAAACCTTGAATCTGACCTAGTAAGCATGTTGGTAGTGCATTCTGTGTAAAATCAGATTTATATGATTCCAGCCGGATACACTGATCACAAATCTGTTGGCTGTGTTCTGCACCAGCTGCAACTTCTAAACTGACTCAAAAGCACAGTCCCATGTGGATTACAGTAATCTGTTTGCAAGTGTACTAGAATTTGGAGTGCTGCGGCAAGGCTATCACAGTACAGTAGCTGGAAACAAGCCTTGCTGACCACTGAAGTCACTTGGGCCTCCAGTGACACTATTGGATTCAGGAGGACTCCCAAACAAGCTATGGATCTGCTCCTTCAGCTGGAGACTGAAGTGCAACACCATCTAGAACATACAGTCTCCCCAATACCCGAACATGAGAACCACTCACCAACACCTCTGTCCGCCTCATCAGGATTCAGCTTCAGTTGATTGGGCCTCATCCACCAGCCCATTACTGTCTCCAGACATTGGCCCAGCACTTGCACAGCCTCATTTGGTTCAGATGGTGTGGAAGATGGTGAAGATGATCTTCCTTGGGAGGGATCTGGTTGGGTTTTTGAATCACTGACTTGTTATTGGTATGGCTTGCATGGTATATATTGATGAGTAGCAAATTAAATTATTTATACTCCATTGTGGATATTTTGGTATGAAGAGTGCTGCGAGCATGTTCTCATCTTCAGTATTGAATCTTAATAAAGGAGATAGTTAAACATGCAAAGCGCATCAGATCTTGGTCGCACATCCTAAGATACATTGGGAGATGGTATGCAGACTACACCCACAAAATCCTTTTAAGATGTGTAGGCTACATGGAATAAGCCACATAATTGTAAAAAGTGAGATTCACTTCCAGCTAAACAGAGGTTAAGATATAACTACATTCAGGGTGTTAACACAGTGAGTGGATTTCCACTAGCACCCTTTTTTCTTTTTGCATTGAACCAGACAGGGCTTTATTTGAGAAGGGGTTGAGCCCCAAAATCTGTTTTGAGAAGGGCTCAGGCAGCAGCGAAACATACAGTACCTTTAACGAGAGTGAATCTGAGCCCAGCGCATTTCTTCCACATTCCAGAGGAAAATATCTATGTTCCAGCAAATACGAATTTTGTGGCCACCTTAAAAGACTTGACAGGTTTATTGCTGTGACTTTTTTTCCATGGACGATGACGATGATTCACCAGAACAACCTATTCACGCAGAACTGGGATTTCTGAGCCATTTCTGTGTTTAAAAATGAAGCACGGGAGGGTAACAGTTGCTCCGGATTAGCTACTTCGGAGTACAACTGGGGACGTGAGCCCGTTAAACGTGGAACATATACGTTCAACCGTCAACCCAGATCAAGTGTCAAGAAGCGAGACGCTCACAAGAAGCGAGAGAAACTACCCTCCGTTAAGAATGAGGTAATAATAACTGGTCGTTTAAAACAGTTCGGTCAACCGCCTCGAGTAGGCAGCGCGCGACACCCGCACCGACAGTTTGCTTTAAGGCGGGAAAATCAACCAAACTGCCTGAATAGGGGGCGGAGTTAATCCGGGCGGGCGGAGCGCCCGCCGCAGCCGTTGAGGGGGCGGGGTGGGTGTGAGGCGAGATGCTGCTGCTCCCCGCCCCCCCCCCCCCCGTTTCTCGTTCTTCCCCGCTCCACTTTTTCTTCTCAAACATTAAAGTGGGCGAGGTGGAAAGGCGCATTGTGGGTGCGCGCGGGGGTGGGGTGAGGATTGTTCTCTAGCAACCAAAGTATTCTCCGGCTTTACCAAAACCGATAGAAGTTCATATATATATGTGGGATTAAAATGCATTATCTATCTCTATATATATTGATATCTAATGCATATCTAAAGATATCAATATATATAGAGATAGATAATGCATTTTAACCCCACACTTAATCCCCCAAAGGCTGGAGCTTCCAAATACCAGTTACGATTTTTGCAGAGCCGTGCTGGGGTCTCTCTCAACAGTCCCTGGCCCTCAGCTGACGGTCTCAAAGACACGACACCAAAGGAAATGAGTTTTTGGAGGGAGGAGGGGGAAAAAATAGTTCAATGGCCTGCAAAGTAAAAACATTCCTGGAAATGGAAGGGAACTTTCAGTCGCCTTTAGTGGTGGCGACAATAATTTTATTATTGTTGTCATTATCTTATTATTCAAGTCACACGTTCAGTCCTTGGCACCTCCAGGTAGAATTGGAAGAGATGTCTGAAAACCTGGAGAGATGCTGCCAGCCAGTGTTGACGATGCTGAGCTGGATGGAGCAAGGGTGGAAGGCAACTTCCTATGTACATCTCAACGCTCGTAACAGGTTAGCTTCATTATGCAAGGAAGAATATGGCTCAGTTTCCCGTGGGGTGCAGAGACAGTTTTCATGGGACACATGACATTGACAGAGGACACAGCGCGTTCAGCATGTAGAACAAATTCCACGCTGACTCAGAATTGGATGTGGCATATGCCAGGATATGCAGAGCAGATTTTACAGGAGGAGTTTAGGGCACTTGTCATATCTCACAGAACACAGTGCAAGGATTGTCATAAACCTTTTGTTGGTCCCAGAACACCACTCCACCCCCATCCCCACCCGTTTTTGCGCTTGGAATTGCATTGCTATTGGCAGCTTTTAAAACCTTAGCTTCTGTAAATGAGATATTGTACCAGATTTGGGGGAGAATAGATGGACAGAGAGTTGACATTTGTTGGATGTGTAGTGATGTATAACAGTAGTAGCGGGACTCGGGAACGTAAGTACTGTATGGGGATTGGCATGCACTCCCATCTTCTACCCTAAGTGTTCAGGTCAGTTTCCCCTCTTACAGTTTTAACACTTTTTACACGAATCGTCATAGAATCATAAAATCATGGAATGTTAGAGTTGGAAGGGACCCCGGGGGTCATCCAGTCCAACCCCCTGCAATGCAGGAATCTCAGCTAAAGCATCTATGACAGATCCTTGACCATCCAACCTCTCCTTAACAACCTCCAAGGAAGGAAAGTCCACCACTTCTCGTGGGAGTCTGTTCCACTGCTGAACAGCTCTTACTGTCAGAAAGTTTTCCGAATGTTTAGTCGGAATCTCCTTTCTTGCAACTTGAAACCATTGGTTCGAGTCCTACCCTCCAGTGCAGGAGAAAACAAGCATGCTCCTCCTTCACGTGACAGTCCTTAAGATATCTGAAGATGACTATCTCCTTCCAGTCGCCTCTTTTCCAGGCTAAACACACCTAAGCCCTTCAAGCGCTCCTCATAAGGCTTAGTTTCCAGACCCTTGATCCTCTTGCTTTCCCTCCTCTGCACACGTTGCAGCTGTCATGCCAGGAAAGTGGAGTTCAGAAGGGGAATCTGGGTTGACTATGGAAAAGCAAGCAGTTGCTTAGCGTATGTGGGAAGCAACGGGATTTACTCAAAATCTCAAAAGCAGAAATCAGTTCCTAAACTTTGGTCTCGTATAAAGGGCATGTATTATAATCCAACTGGGCTGCAATGTACTCTAGCCGTTTGCTTAAACGAGGGTCGTATGACAGCTCTAACTTCGGGAAGTGACTGAGTTAAAACCGTAGAGCTTCTACTGTCTCCGACGCCTAGAAAGGACTCAGAAGGAAGTACCGTTGTTGAGGGGGCTTAATCATGAAGGGACCTTCCTGTTGCAAGCGGATCTCCATAGCTAGACACCTAGCAGCATCCCCATGCCCACTAATGAAAACAAAGCCTGCAGGGGACCCATAAGGGAGACAACGCCAAAGAACAAGGTTCGATGTGGCTGCAATTGCAGCATCTCGCTGGATCGTACGAGCAGATGATGAAAGGAAAGGGGCTGGGGAAGGGGTGGGAGTGAAAACAGCAATGGAGTCAGGAAACTGTCATGGTGACAGGAATGCAAGAACTGGGCTGGGGAAAGTTAAGGAGAAACGACCCCCCCCCCCGCTTCCAACTCAGCTTTGGCAGCTTTCCTTTAATTGTGCAAAATATCCTTAAATTTGAGAGGAATATTTCTGATGTGAGAGGTGTTGGGCGGGTTTGGTTTTCTTTTTTCTTTTTCTTTTTAAATAACTGTCATATGGGGAACTTACGACTGTTCTAGTAGGCTCCATAGAAAGAAGGGTATAGATGTCTCTACTTATATGGACTTGTGGGGAATGTCTGTTCTGTAAGATGCTAGGGAATTTGTGATATAGGATGATCTAAAATATGTGTACAGGGGTTGCTCTTTTATGAGCCTCAATAGGGAACTGGGGCATGGTTACACATGTGAGCATTGCATGTCTTAATGGTGTAGACATCTTTGCATGCTCTCACCCTATACAAATCTATTTCTTTCCCCGCAATCAGAATTCCCCAGTACTAATGCTGCTGTGACTTCTCTTATGGAACGTGAAAAAGAAACATGTATCCTGGATCTCCAGGACTCCAGTGAAGAAGAGACACTAAGAGGTGAGGAATGAATGGAAGCTCTGCAGCTTAATGACTTAATGAATCAGGAAATCTCCCCTCCCCCTTCCACAAAGTTATAGGGATGTTTTTAGACAAGCCATCACCTCTTAACAGCTTTCTTTAAACATATAAAGGGAAAGGGAAAAAAACAGAGATTTCCAGGTTTACCAGAAGGAACCTTGAAATTAGACTTGATTTGGATTATTGTAATGAGATGTCTTACCTCCTTATTTAGAACCCTGCTTTCCTGTTCCTGTTTTCTTGATCCACCACCAAAATTACGCAAGAGTCAGTTTCACCCCTTATCATTTTGCTGAGGTTTCAAAGATATGCCATCAACCTTCTCTCTCAATTTGTGGGAGAGATTCTATAGATCTGTTTTAACATTTTTGTTAAACTATGCAGGCAATGAAATTAGTTTTGCAATCCGCTTTAGTCTAATCACCCACAAGTGTGGGATTGGTGCTGATGGAACACAAGACTAACAGGAGGCAGGTGTTCAGACAAGACATGGTAAACTGTGATTAGCTTCAAAAAGGGTTGAATAGCTGCAGAAAGTAAGACCCTATGCAGCAAACTCCCCATAGCTTTTATGTGATCACCCTTGAAAGTTGAGCTAATTCATCGCACATACTACAGAAATACATCAAGGTTTTAACAAAAATTCATATATTTCTATATAATGAGAAAATCTATTACGTTCTCTTTCAATGCTCTAATTTTACCCACAATTCTGTCAATTCCTTGTGATGAGAGAATTGTGAGTAAATAAGTTTTTTTGATTTCCAAAATAGCCTCCATGATTGACTTTTTTTTTGCAAGCTTTGTGGCAGCAGGAGGGGATTTGTATCAATTTCCTTTGTGTTAGGGCTGGGCGTTATCAGCTTTTCAACACTGCAGTGTATCGGCAGCCAAACATCGTGGTTTGGTGACATACTGTGAAGTTGAAAAAACAAGATGCATTGGCCTCTGCCTGTGAGACACTGGGTGAAACTGCCCCAGCTCTCACCTCCGAGAGCTGAGGCAGTTTCTCCCAGGCTTGCAGGCTGGGACAATGCAGCTTGTTTGTATCGCTCAGCCCCGGTGCAAGCAGGCAGAGCACCAAGGCTCCTTTAACTGCTCGCTGTGGGGAACGGCAACCATGCTCCCCTCAGCTGAGCAGTTTCACAGTCCCCACCCCACCACAGCTTGCAGGAGCCAGTGCCGGGCTGGGGGCTCCTTTAACTGCTTGACTGAGGCAAGGGCAACTGCACATTCCTCAGTCAAGCAGTTTAAAGATGCAGAGGGAGGAGCCGATACAGCTTGTTTCTCCCTTTGCGTCATATGAGGGCAGAGTGGGATGGCGGTTTCACTCAGCAATATATTCTTGGTGAAACCACCACCACTCCTGAGTCCCTCTGCTAGCAGTGCCCACTGGAGGAAGGAACTCTTAACTCCCTTCAGTGGATGCTGCTAGCAGAGGGACCCAGGAGCGGTGGCGGTTTCGTTTGTCATTGTTATTTATTTTAAAATGTATAGTGTGCTTTCCCAAGGTTCAAAGCAGTGTAGAAAACGAAGTTAAGAGTTCAGCTGCCAACAGTGAGGTAAAAATCTTTGGTATGATTATTCCGACAGAAGACATTGAGATAATAAATGAAAATAAGGAAGAGGAAGCAGAACAACAGAGCATACAGAAAGAAGACAAGTGGATTCATGACAAGGCAAAGAGCCAGCAAGAAATCTTCCAGGAAAAAGGAATCACAGCACAAGGCCATCTAATGGAAACTACCCAGCATGTGGCCAGTAATGGTGAATCTGTCATATCTGTGGAACAAGAATCTACGGACATTTTTTCCGACAATGACAAGGTGCCCAAAGCCACCATCTGCCCTGACTGTGGGAAGAGCTTCAGTAACAGCTCCCACCTAGTCCGGCATCGTCGTGTACATACGGGAGAGAAACCCTACAAATGCCCCCACTGTGACAAGAGCTACCGCCAAGACTCCCACCTGGTCCAGCACATGCGTTCTCACACAGGGGAGAAGCCATACCGCTGTACTCACTGTGGCAAGGGCTTCTCCCAGAGCTCCAACCTTATCATCCACCAGCGGACTCATACGGGTGAGCGGCCCTTCACCTGTCCCGAGTGTGGGCGGAGCTTCAGCCACAGCTCTGATCTCATCCAGCACAAGCGGATCCACACGGGCGAGAAGCCCTACGTCTGCTCCATCTGCGGGAAGTGCTTCTCGCAGAGCTCCAAGGTCACCCAGCACAAGCGCTTCCACTCTGGGGAACGGCCGTTTTCCTGCGGAGAATGCACCAAGACGTTTCGTCTCCGTGCTGACTTGGTCCGCCACCTCCGTGCCCACACCGGCGAGCGGCCCTTTGGGTGCCCAGAATGCGGGAAGCACTTTGCTGAGAGCTCCCACCTTATCCGACACCAAAGGATCCACATGAGCGAACGGCCCTTTCGCTGCCCAGACTGTGGGAAAGGGTTCAACCAGAGCTCCAACCTGCAGCAGCACCAGCGGGTGCACCGAGGCCAGAAACCCTTCAAATGCGATGAGTGCGGGAAAGGTTTCGGCGTAAGCTCAGCACTCCTGCAGCACCAGCGCACGCACACAGGCGAACGGCCCTACTGCTGCAGCCAGTGTGGGAAGAGCTTCAGCGTCAGCTCCACCTATCACATACACCAGCGTATCCATGCTGGTCAAAAGCCCTACTCATGCGCCAATTGTGGGAAAGGCTTCGTGCGCAGCTCCGCCCTCCTTCAGCACCAAGCCACCCACACTGGCGAAAAGCCCTTCCGCTGCCCATACTGCGGGAGAGGCTTTGGACAGAAGTCGGCACTCTCCCAGCACCGGCGAGCCCACGTGAGGAGAGGAGAGACGTTGGCTTTGGTGGAGGGCTGGGATGCTGCTGGGATGGAAGGTGTTGGGGACCAGGGGGTGGAAGGAGGAGTGGACAGCCTGTGGCAAGGCAACGGGATAGGGATTATGGAGCAGGAGTGGCAGAGCGAAGGGGACGAGAGCATGAGGCGGGAATGGGAGGACGACGGGGATGAGACGATGCGGGTGGAGTGGCAGGACGATGCAGACGAGAGCGTGGTGCAGCGGTTGCAGGAAGACGGCAGAGAGGGCATGAGGCAGGAGTGGAAGGATGGTGTGGATGACGAAACAGAGAGGACAGAGTGGCAGGATGACGAGGACGAGTGTGTGGAGCCGGGCTCGCAGGACGACTGCACCGAAAGCATGAGGCTAGAATGCCAGGACGACCCCGACGACGAGGCCGACGAGAGGGTGGAGGTGGGGTTGCAGGATGATGGGGACGAGAGCATGAGGCTGGAATGTCAGGATGATGAAAGCGAGGAGGAGGATTTCCAAGACCATGAGGATCAAAGCCTGAGGGGGAAGTGTCTGGATGAGATTGTGGAGCCAGACTGGCAGGATGACAGAGAGGAGAGCCTAAGGGAGGAGTGGGAGAACGCTGTAGGTGAGAACTTCAGGCAGAAGCACAGCAGCGAGGGACAGGAGTGGCACGGCAGTGAAGACGGTAGCGAGAGGCAAAGCTGGCTGGGAGAAGGGGAGGATAGCTTGGAGGGGGAAGGCGAGGAGATTGGAAGGCAGAGTTGCCAGGATGAAAATGAGGAGATTGTGGTATTAAAGTGATTGGTTGGGATGCAGCGGAGAAAAGAATGGGAGTGGGATGCTTGGGGAACTCATTCTATAGCCCAACCAGCAAGCCATCAATATGTAGTGGACAGAAATGGCAGGACTATCCACTGGTGCAAAGTGGTCTTGTTCACCTGCAGCAAATATGGCCGTGTTTGTGTTGTGTGGGAGATTCTGCTTGGGCTGCTCTCCACTTGAAAAATGTTCCTCACCCTCAGTACCTGCATGCCTGTACTAGATATCTCCACATGGCTGCCTCATGGTCAAGCTGTATGATGATCCAGCTCCCTGTGTTGTCCCAAGTCTTGTGCCATTTGCTGGTCAAATTAATTCCAAATCGGGTGATTTTATTCAATCAGCTTTTAAATCTTACCCTACATCTGTATATGGTGTGCCACACTTCTCAAAGTGAACTATGTAATGTTAAAAACCCATAAAGCTACCCGAGGCAGGTGCCTTTTCATAAAGAGGTGGGTGACTGTGCCTTTCCTTACTGCTGTAAGCAATTCTTGCTACACTCCTTGAATCAGTTTGGTAGGAAGGACACCTCACCTCAGTCTGGAAGCTTTGAAATCATTGGCTTAAAAAGGTACTGTGTGAGCAACAAAAAAACCCCATTAACTTTGTTGTTTTATTTTCACTGGTATTATTTAGGAGCCCAGGCAAATCTGGGAACATATGTAAGACTCCAGTATTTAACTAGAACAGCTTTTTAAACTCTTATTGCATGCTCCAGACCCTTTACCCTTCCTAACTGAAGTTATTTTTGTAATGTTTTGATTTCTGCTATTATCCATGTCTCCCTCTTATGAACTAATAAATGCTCTTTTTAATTCCCACTCAAGTACCCTGAATTCTTTTAACTTTGACCCCAGGGCTAATAATCAGGCTAAACATTTTTTCAAATCCATTTCAAGACAATTGATTTTACATAACCTATGCATTTTGGATATTCTGATCTGTGTCTATTCTTTGGAAGAAGAATGCATTTACACTTACAATTGCCAATTAAATCTAGACAGCTGAGCTGATCAAAACTTGCTGGCCTTGATCCAGAGAACAGAAGGAGTTATTCTGCATACCTAAAGGTGGTTTGAATTTGTGTTTCTCAAACAGCCACATAGCAAACCATTTGAAGCTGATGGGAGTTTCATTAGCAGTTTGGGATATGGTATGGGGCTGAGCCCTTCCAAGAGAAAATATACACAGGGGGTACTCCAAGAATTAATTCCCTTTTACAGTCATTAAAATGATCTCTGACTTCCGGCAAGACAAGATGGCAAGAGCCATGGCCGCATGGTGCTCCTGAGAACCGCCAGCACCAACTGCGCTGCCTGACTGGTCCCCACGCCGCCGCCACCGTCGCGATCGAAGGGGGGAACTAGGGGTGCCCAACGTGACAAGCAGAAAGGTCGCACAGAGCCCCCATCGGCCTTGACCCTGCTGGGACCAGGAGCACCCCATTGACAGCCCAGCGAAGCTCCTAGGCCTGGAGGTCTCTGGAGCCGAACAGAAAGCAAAAAGGACCCCCACCCAGCCAAGCACAAGCTTACTACTGCCACTGCCACCAAGGGAGAGAGATAGGAGGGTACTGGGAGGGCCAGGGAGGCCATGAGAAATAATGCGGCCTAGCCCAGGTCTGACCCTGAGCCTACCTCCCCGGCAGCTAGTGTGAAAAGAGTAGGTTGGGACCCGGTGTGTGGGTGTGTGGGTGTGAAACCATGTGCCATAGACCACCCCAGGGAAAAACAAACGCAGCACAGGACATCCCCTTCTGGAAAGTTGTTGTTGTTTGTTGCTGTTTATTTTTTTAGTATTTTTTATTTTTATTATTTTTATTATTAATATTATTATTATCTTTGGATGTAATGGCATCCATGCAGGAGGCCTGAACCATTGAAGGCTCCTCCCTGGGACTGCCAAAGTCGCAGAAAAAACTACACTCATTTATTTTCTCACACAAAAAGTCAAGAATAAGCCCCAAATATCTGCACCTCCCCTCCTCAGAAGGAGGATGGGGAATCCCCAACATAGAATCATATTACATTGCCAACCAAGTATGCCACATAATCCACATATATTCTAGAAGATGAGGCAAAAGTGTTGGGATACTGCCAGGGAGACAAAGGCCATCATGCCCCCAAGCCGTCTCCGTTGCGATCCATCGACCTCCCGTAGATAACTCAGTATCAGTCAATTAGCGACACGAGCTCCAGAAATAGCTTTCCACATTCCAGAGCTGGTGCACGCCCTTTGCAGAGCTCGTACAGCGAAAGATGCACTCAGGAGAGCATTATTTACAATTTTATTCAGCGTTGGTCAGAACAAAGAAAACATGACTGCCTGTGTTGATGTCTCAGGCACACAGAGAGAAAACGAAAGCATAGACAAAACATAAACTTCCTGTGAACAGGAAATACGCAGACTCTGTGACTCACAAAGCCTGCTCCCTTTTAAGGTGGAACGGAAATATCCTAACAGAAACAATGGGTCCACTTGGAGAGAGACACCATCGAAAACATCCCCACAACAGCATACCCATGTCTCCAAAACAAACTAAAGAAAATCCCCACAACACTGAACAGGTTCACACAATCCATGCTTAAGGCATGGAAGGGAAAAATAGGCATACTATCCCCATCCCCACTAACCCCCCGGCCTATCACCCATAATTCCAACACGCAGCACAAAACCTCCAGATAAAAACCTGGCAAGCCAAAGGCCTACACTGTCTAAAAGACTTATTCAAAAACAACAAACCCATACCAACACAAGAAATACTAGGGAACACACAAATACCACACAATCCAGCAGTAAAATCAGCAGCCACTAGGCCCTTGACTACCTTTGAAAATCTCCTGACAGCAGAGAGACATGGCAAAGGGATGGTATCCACAGTATACAAAACACTGCTCCAGAATCTCACAAACCCCCTTGACACTGAAACTCACCTACAGGTGGTACTTAACACTATGGAAACTGATGCTGAGGAACCTCACCAAGAGGTTGGAAAGGTTGCACTTCCACAGGCACATACCTTCACATGTCATGGGAATGCCCTAAAATCCAACCCTTCTGGACAGCAGTCCTACAAGAGATATACAAAATAACTAAACAGGTATAAGAACTCACCCCAGAACATGCCCTAATGAACATCTTCCTAGATCATAACGACCACTCACATTATACAGAGCTTATAACCCACCTGCTCTCAGCAACCAGAAGCCTCATAGCCAGACACTGGAGAGACCTGTCAGGAGTAAACATGGACCAATGGTATCAAATTGTATGGGAAACGGCCTTAATATAAAAGCTAACCAATAAACTGAAACTGACACAAGGACAAATAGAAGAGGATGCTTTCACCCCAGTATGGCTCCCCTTTTTCACCAACAAGACAACAACAAGAATCCACCGACAGCATACGAATCAATCTGGTTTACCTGACCCAACAAGCCTTCATCCCCTCACAAATGCAAACAAACCCCACTGCATCCAACCACAGACAACCAATACCTCTCACTACCAAGGAAATGTATGAAACGAATAGAAAGAGAACCTACCTAGCTGACGCTGACACGAAAACCCACATATACACTATACAAAAAAATATAAGCCTCACCATCCCACCCTTCATCTCCCCCCTCTTCTTCCCCAACATTGTACTGTACTCAACACTAATGTCTCACAACAAATGTAACTGATTTGTAAGAAAGACTGTACAACCTGAAAAAAGAAACAAGGCGTGTACTTTTGTAAACCAAGAAAATGTTTAATAAAAATATTTTTAAAAAAGAGGATCTCTGACAGCTTTGTATTCTGGCTCATTTACTTTAAAGCTGCCTAACTAACTTACTGGTAGTTGAATTTCATCTTTCCACACTGCCTTTTGCTGTATAGATCTTCTAAAAATAGTTACACTGTGGCAGACATGATTACATTGTTAAAAGTTGTTAAGGTTTTTTAAAAGGCCCTTTGGGTTGTATCTTGCAATATAGGAAGATGTGGTGAATAACTTAAGGAGGAAAAGGGAGGAAGATACCAATGACTAATAGTTTTAATTTAAACACAATTCATCAAAACTGGTTAATGTGAGTACAAAAGTAACCTGTTGACAAACGATACGATACGATCTCTTTATTGTCATTGTCCCTTGCGGAACAATGAAATTGAAAACCTAGAGTATCACAGAGGTTGAAGAAATTGGGTGCCACATAAACAATCCATCATTTCTTGTAAACTGAATTCTGACTTACTGGACTTCTTAAAACCTTTGGCTGCAATCCTGTGTATACTTACTTGGGAATATGAGCCACGAAACACAGTGGGATTTACTTCTGAGTAAACAAGCATAGGTATACATTACATCTAAAAACGGAGGAAAAACTAAGTTGATTTGCACAGTTGCCACTTCATAGAGTCTCTAAAAGTCTGGAAAAGGCCAGTGTCTGTCCCTTTTCATTAAGGGGCATTAGGGAAGTACACTAATGCAATTCCTGCTTTCAACTCCTTTTCTCTGTCCACTTCATCATATACACCTGTGATCAGCAGCCCCAATGCATACAGATGAGTATCATTCCAAGGAGACACAGCTCTATTTCCCAAAACAGGACCTTTGCAAACAGTTTGACTTCATCCCCTGGAGGTAAACTCTGTTGTCTCTTGAGACAGATGGATGCCAACACACACAAAAAACACATATGCAAATTTTAAGAAGGTGAGTATAAGTCCTTGTTGGCAACAGACAAGTCACTCTTTCCTTCCCTGCACATTTAGACCAGTTATCTTGACTGCAGTTTGTGGGGAGGAGACTGATCTATTCATTTGGTATCAGCTTCTCCATTCAACAGGTCTGTTTTTTCTTTGGCTTCTTTTTCACTGTCGCTCCCTTCACTGCTGTCTGGTTTGGCTTCTTTCTCTGCATCACCTCCCGGATTGTCTTCTAAATCTACTGCATTATTATTTTCTTGAAGGTCCATCATCTCTTTATAATTACGTTTGAAGAATCCACACTATAAACAAAAGGGAGGGGGAAACTGTTAGCAGTAGCTTGAGTAAGATGCTTGATCTGGATATGGGAGACCTAACTTCAAAACCCAATGTAAAGTTTTTGTGATGGCCATCCCAGTGGTCTTCAACTTTGTGGGGGGGGGGACCCCCCAAAATCTACCACCTTTCTAAATATCAACCTTTATCCCTCTATTTTTCCCAGTTTCTTCTCATCAGGTACCTTGAATGAGCAAATAATTTTTAAAAATGGGGGATGGGGTTTTTTTTGCCATTGATGTGATTCAGTTTAGTCCAGACCCTAACCCAGTTAAATATATTTATTAATTATTATTATTATTATAAAATATTTAAAACATCTCTAACCGGCACAAAGAAAATTTAAGCAATAACAGACAACTTAAACAAAATATTACAAAAACACCCAGTTACATATAAAAATGTTATATTAATACTGTACAAAGTCACTAATATATAAAAATCAACATCGTTTTCCTTCTGACACCCTCTCAGCCTCCATGTTCTTGCTCAGGATCCAAACAAACTGGCAGCTCACCCACAAAAGTCTCACATTCAGAAGAGTTCCTGGAAACAGCAGACATCAGCCTAGTCTCTCACTCCAGAATTGCTTTTTATGGTTTCTCTCTCCTGCATGGATTTTCTTATGTGAGGTTAGCCTGGTCATGTGATTGAAGCTTGTTCCACATTCCAAGCATTTAAAATGACCTAGTATGTCCCACAGGGTTGTTGTAAAGTACTTAGTACACTTACAAATGAGATGTGGCAATAACAGCACAATCTAGCTCATGTTAAGTTTAATTGATTGGAAGGATCAGTTAAGCACTCTCTGCCATTCATATCTATGGAGCATAAAAATGGCTTAACTTTGGCTGGACCACATAGATGATCATTTTAAAAAGGAGGTAGTTGTTCAACAGCCATGATACAATACAGTCTCTTCAGGCTGAATAGGTATGGAATCTATGTTCTGGAAGCAGAAAAGCCCAAACCATGATATCAAAATGTATTATGCCAATTTATTTACTCAAGCCCCAGGAGGCATAAAGTTAAGTTTATTCTGCCACGGGATTTATTTATTTATTTAGAATTGAGCTGCCAAAGCTCACCGAAAATATCCATGCATTTTTTTATCCTTCCTTTCCCGTAAGAAGTCTTGTGATAAGAAGTCTAAAGACAACCAAAGCAGGCACATATAACACATACATCAGTTAGAAAATGTGTGCTAGTCTACCTAATAAAACTGTTTCCAAAACATTACAATATTTTTTTTATAAAACACCTGAATAGATTGATAACACTTTTAAAAACTGGACCACAGAGTTGTTGGTGTGCTGTGAGCCGCTCCCTGGACCACCATCCCCATGACTGGAGATGGCCAGGACTTCATGCATGACATTCTAGGACCACCAGCAAAATGGCTGTGCTGCCAAATACAGCAGTTCTTTCCAAGGATATCAGGACAAAAGAATGAGGAGGTGGAAGGGGAACCAAAATCAGTTTTATTAACAAATAAACAGCAGGCATGCAAAGCATAAAATAAAACATACCTGACAGGGGCTACCCAACCTCCCCTTCAGCTGCCCGGAGCCCCAGGTAGAGCAGCAGGAGAAAGACCCTGACCTTAGGTCTCCCAGCATCAGGTCCTTTGATCTGGGTAGAAGCTCCCCAGGCCCCTCCCACCTATGGCTTTTATAGCCTGCCTTGATGTAATCAAGTGCACCTGACATTACTCATGATTAGCCCAGGACCCTGAGATGGCATTAATACAGAGAGGCTGAGAGTCTCCCACTATCTGCAGCTGGGCACTTGCAACACAGAAGAACCCAAGAAACTCCCAACAAGTGTGTGAAACACAAGTATCCAGCAGACCTCAAACTGGGGATGTTAAAGGGAAAGGGACATGCCACCTAACTCCTCAAAATACAATTGTCTTCCACATTTCCACTACAATGGCACTAGAATTCTGTGTAACTTACCAAATCCTACAGGAATCTAACTTGGTATAAGAATGGTATAAATGCAGAATCTGATTCCCACCCCCATGCTGAGGACAACTATCCAAGTTTCGATAGAGCCAAATTTAGAAAAGAACCATTGCTCAGCGGTAGAGCACATGCTTTAAATACAGAATGTCCTAGGTTCAAACTCTTCCATCTCCAGGCAGCACAGAGAAAATGTCCTGGGATGGCTGGGGGTCACTGCCAGCCAACATAAGCACCACTTAGCTAAAAACGGACCAGCAGTCTGACATAATAGAAGACAGCTTTGCTGTGACTTCAAGATGAACATGTGGATCTCAACAGAAGCAGATTTAAACTACTGATAAAACCGTTGCTGCTAAATTGCCTAAAAAATGAGCTGAGCTCTCAGCTACTCCTACTAACCCAGGATTCCCGATGTACATCGAGTCTTACCTTGTAAAGTGATACAATGATGAGAATTAGCAAGAACAAGCCTCCGACAGCACTGCCTATTATAACAGGGAGATAGTTCATCACATGAATCATCTCCACCTCAGCAACCTGGGGAGCAGGGAGAGAAAAAACACACAGAGCATGACTGGTCGCAGTGGGTCTGAGACAGACAGCCTAGTTCTGAAGGAGCCAAATCAGCAGGGGAAAGGTCTTCACTCAAGACTGGCATGCCAGTCCAGTCCTATATTTTCTCCAGCAAAGGCCTGTCTCTTGCCCAGAATATACCAGATAACGTTTGCTGCTTCTAAAATAGAAGTCCAGCTATTACGCAGTCAAGGTTAAGAACAAAGGCAACTAAAGCAAGATGCCCTGATACAGCAAAGGCGACATGAAGCTGTATCTGTGAAGCTAGCTAGTGATCATTGCACACCTGCAATCTTTTCGAAAGGGTATCATACACAGTAGCTAAAGAAGATTTAGGCAGGGAAAGAGGTAGCTTTAAAAACACAATGAATCTAATAGAAAGGAAGCTATACAGCTCAAGATGCACAGATGCTTCAACACTCTAGAAAGCATTTTGTTCTCAAAATTGGATTGACTTAAGGATTGGTTAAAAGAAAAAGGATAGAATATACACTTAAGGTGACTGAACAAATTTGACTGTTCTAATTTATGGGGATCCTCTCCAGTTTGATTAATTAAAAAAATTAAAAGTGGGTTAAATATTGTTCTCAGAAACATATGCAATAAGAAAAATCTACCCTTTATATTTTGGGAGCTTCTAGACATCCCTCCTGGTATGCTTGCAGAGAGGTGATAACAGTATAGCCAGCATTGGGTTGGTAGCTCACACTTTCCAGTGCAATTTAGAAAAGTGACAAGATAATTACACTAGAAAGTGTGGGTTAATGATCACATTTTTGTGAATAAGCAGCCTGTCTGAAAGTGCCTATAATGTACTTCCAGAGGACAAAAAGGCTTTTAATTATGAAATAATATAGGGTAAGGGAGCAATCTTGTAAACAGTTCTGTAAGGAAATCACTTGGACGGAGAAGATTATGGTAGAAGTAATGCTATGAAACCCTGCAAGCAAAACAGGTAAATCTGCAGAAAGGGAGGAAAAGAAGCAATTCCTGCAGCATGCACTACCTGAAACTGGGCAAATTCAGCCGGGTAGAAATTTGTATATCTTGTAGTATCAAACGTAAACCACAAGGCTGTGCAAAACTTGAACTGAGATGTCTTCTGCAAGGTAAGACAAACAGACAATTCATTTTAGACCATACTGGGCAGGATCATTCACGTGCAGAAAATCCCACCTTTAAAGAACGAATAATATTTTCAAGCACTTATTGCTGCACCAACTAAATTGAAGTCATATTATCTTGGGGAGTGACTTGGGAGGTATAAGGAGGCCACTCAAAAGATTTCCACGTGTGCCATGGTAACAATAAATCTATAATAAGGACACCACAGCAGGAATGCAACATGTCTGTCTGGAAGGAATGGATGTCATGCCGTTTGCATGATTTATGTTAAATTTAATTGAAAACAAAAGTACAGAGGGGCTGGTGGAGCTCAGTGACTGAGCACATAGTTTGCTTGCAGGCAGTCCCCTGTTCAAGACCCTTCATCTCTAGAGAGGGCTGAGAAAATACCTCTATCCAAACCCCTGGAGGGTGGCTGCTAATCACTGATGCCAATACTCAGCTTAGAGTGGCTAGATGTAAAAAGAGGACAGAGCTCCTACACCTTTAATTGCCCAGTCGCTGGTACACACTGCAGAAGGCAAAAAGGAGAACCAGCTCCGGTGCTCACTGGTGAAAAACTTACTGTAACTCAATACATTTCAGAGCAGAAGCACCCCTTCAAGAGCTTGAAAAACTTGAGAATTCTTAAAATTCAAAAGCACCCTGTAGCAGTGCAAATAATTCTTCTTCTTCTTCTCATAATGAGCTTATTATGTCTTTCCTTTATTATCGCTGTGTTGACTGTATTGCCCCCACCCCAGCGTCAATATTAGTACTTTGAATAAACTGGAATGAGGGACTCACTATACAAGGAAAGGATCCCATTCTCTTACCTTCCACCTCTAAAAACCCATGCCCCAGGTCCCAATGTGGACAGGAGTTGACATTTGCTGCAAGTAACCCTTTACGGATCATTCCAAGCCTTTACCTTAATTTCGCTTTGGGTATACATCAACCCAGTGATATGGATTATGGAGGAATTGATCTGTCCAAGATCACACTTGTAGGTGAGATAAGTGCCAGTCGCACATTGCTAGGAAGAAAGCAGAAGTTTTAAAAAGCGCCCATCCACACTTAAGAAACCTTAGTTTTCAAGAGTTCTCTAGAAGTGAACAGTACCACATTATTCTCCTAATATGCAATTCCATGCAGAATTTCTTGCAAAACAATTATTCCTAATATAAAGCATTTTTATAAGTCATCACTAAAACATATGCATTCCTATACACACTTTACCCCAGTGTGTGCATTTTTGTAAACATCACTGGGTCAGAAAACTGCACGGCAAAATTCGGAGAAGTGCAAATGGCCATGTTTCAGTTTGCTTATTGTTTCAGAAGTGCAAATTAGGCAAGTTTTCCTTTAAATGTGAACTAAACTGAATCCCTCCCCCGCCCCCCACTTGCAGCAGGCTTTGAGACATAATCCTTAGTAAGTGCTCTTGTGCGGAGACAATCTACCTCAGTCAACTTGACTTGGACCTTTGTGCTTTTCTGCATTTCCATGGGTTCGCACACTGCAGAGGGTACCTAGGAATTGGAGAAAAATCTGTGTTTGCTACCACCGGAAAAAAATATGGAAGTTTAAAGTTACTGGACCCGTCTTTTCAATGCATTGATTGATCATCCTTCACTTCCCCAATGGTGAACTATGTGGGCGACCCCCACCCATTGCTTAGCCACCCAAAAGCTAGCACTAGGGGGTGCTGAGCTTCCACCTTTTACACCTGCTAGCTGCCCTTGCCCTGTTGTTTTATATCGTACTTACTGTTCGGATGTTATCCACCACCCAGGTCAGCCCAGCAGGTAAGGCGGTCGGCACCTTCACGATCACTGACAGTGCAGGAGGTGTGAAAGCACCCAAGGGCCGGTTTGTTAGCTGCGGGAAGGGGAGAGGGAAAAAGGAGAGAGTGACTAAGGCAAGGAGACTCAACAAATTAAACTTCAGGGAATCATGAATCATTGCATTGCAGAGTTGGAAGGGAGCCTAAGGATCCTCTAGCCCAGTGGTTCCCAATTGGTGGGGTCCCTCGCACCATTCACATTAACAAAAACCACCATAGAGATATAAAATTTTTCAAAAGTAGGGGGTTCCACAGTACTTAGCTAATTGGGAGCCACTGTTCTAGTCCAAACCCCTGCAATTTAGGAATATGCAGCTGTCCCATACAGGGATCAAACCTGCAACCTTGGCATTATCAGCACCTGTTCTGATCAGTTGAGCTATCCAGGCCCAGTGAGCTGGGATGGTGATTGCTGGCAATAAGGATACAGAAGGGAGCAGTGGTGAATGCAGTATAAGGCAACTCCTTCTATCCAAGTCAGACTAAGGGACCCTCTAGATCAGCACCGTCTACTTCAATTAACAGATTCAGTTTAGGGAAGCGTCATACGTAGCTCAGTGGTAGAGCATCTTCCTTGCAGGCAAGTCTAATCGCCAGCATCTCCGTGTAGCGCTGAGACTGAACACTGCCTGAAATCCTGGAGAGCTGCTGCCAGTCAGTGCAGACAATATCAAGTAAGATGGGTCAGTGGTCTGATTCAGTAAAAGGCAGAATCCCATGCTCCTTTGTTCCAGAGACCCTCTAGGTCCCAGCAGGGCTGCCCAGGTGAGGGCCAAAAAGCCGTTAGTCTCTTGCAGCAAAAATGACATCTGTCTGTACATTGCACATTTAAAGTACATGGCTTCCATGCAAAGAATCCCGTGAACTGTAGTTCGTTAAGAGTGCTGAGAACTGTAGCTCAGTGAGGGGTAAACCACAGTTCCCAGGATTCTTTGGGGAAGCCACATACTTTAAGTGTATTGTGTGTACCCACTCACAAATGTATTATGGCATGAGCTTTTGTGAACTCTTTTTTGTGTAATTAGTAGTCTCTCACTCACTTCATACGAGTGTGTCACAGTCTTATTTTCTTGACGTTGGGAAGTGAAGTTCACATAGTGGCTGGATGTTTCTAACCTGCATGGGATAAAAAGTAGAGATGAGGGAGGTGAAGAACGGAGGCAGGGAGCCCAACCCCAAAGAGCATAATTGCTGCAGCCAGTGACCCTACAATGGTGGCAGCGAACTCAGCAATGCGCCACCGGGTGTTTCTCATTGTTACCACAACCCCTCTGCGCCCACATTGCTGCCCCCACAAAAGTCTCAGTCCACCTACACTACTAGCTAGGGGGCAGAAAAGGAGCCTGGTCTTCTTGTTACCAAGAAGAGATGTTTTATCTTCAGCTGTCATAGTGGACAGACACGGTGCGAATGCAGTTTAATGTGCATATTTTTGTGACGTAAATCACAGCTGTGTGAGCAGCCCTGGAAGGGGAATTTAAATATGGAGAAATAAACAAACTGAGGAAGTAGATGAAATTATTTGGATTGGGAAGATGGTGTGGGAGAAAAGAGCAAAAATAACTCTTTCCTCTAAACACACGTACATACTCATCTGAAAAATCTTGGGAGTCTCCTGTGGCTTCATTTAAAATTGCCAGTTCTATTCATAGATTCCTTGTGTATTGTGTACTTTATACCTCTTAGACCTTGCATTCACAGAGGCAGCAAAGGATGTAATACTTAAGTGTCTGGGCCACCACCACCAAATCCCCCCACATAAAAAAAAACTTATGATGTCAGAGAGGAAGAATCCGGCCAAGCCTTCTACAAAGCACAGCTTTCTATGTGGAGGGATTTCCCCCCTCCCATATAGAAACACACACACACACACCCCACACACAAACCTGGAATGTTCAGGATGCTGGATTCTGCACCCAGTACCAAATTCTAGGCTTGCACATCACTGACATGGAATCACAGCATCCCCCCAGCCCTGGTTACAATTCTCAAGCTCTACCCTGAGCCTGAGCAGTCAGAGAAGAAGGGAAAACAACAGCTTGTCTCTTACTCCTTGACAATGATGTTGATGGGGTACAGGACAGGGATGGTGTGACTGGCCCCGGTGTCAAGAGTCTCATTCACGTTGTTGTCACTACAAGACAGAGACAGACGTCAAGAAAATGCAAAATATCCTTTCACCTGCCACCCCAGAAATGGCCCTGACTTCTGCACCCATACCCAGGCAGGAAATTCTGTAACAAAAACTTGCAAATAACTATTCATTTAGACACCTATGGGTTGCGTTCAAGTATGACTAACTTAGGTGCATTAATTTCAGTGGGTCTACTCTGAGAAAAAAGTGAGTGGACAGGGAGCCTACGCCTTTAACAGTTAGGTAGCAGAGGAGAAAGCAGCAGAGGTGTTTTGCATGACATGCTCCCCCTGCTGAAATCCCTTCTTCTACACATCTATTAAATGGTAGAAGGGAGGATACACCTACCTTGTGACATTTGCCTTCATCTCCAAGTAATCTCCCCAGGAGCTGTTGCTGAGGATGCTAAACCTGAGCTGAATTAACGCCTGCAATGGAGGAGGGAGGAGATCAAAAGTGAGACAATTCATGGTACTTGCTGCCTACTTGCCTGGCTTCCTTCCTTCCTTCCTTCCTTCCTTCCTTCCTTCCTTCCTTCCTTCCTTCCTCCCTCCCTCCCTCCCTCCCTCCCTCCCTCCCTCTAGAGTGCTGACCCCATCCCCTTTCATCCCCCTCATGCAGAATAAAGGATCCTCATTGCATCTTGAAATGAAAACTCTAGTAAGAATCAACAGCTTTCTTTTCTTTTCTTTTCTTTTCTTTTCTTTTCTTTTCTTTTCTTTTCTTTTCAATCCTATGTTGGTGGATGTCTTAAAGAGGCAGTGTGCTGACAAAATGCAGCCGTGAAAGAGAAAACTGCAAAAATTGTGAAGAAAGGAAGCTAAAAAATGTGCTTCCTTTCTGATTGGAAGCCACTGCCTGTGCCTTCTCAGCTTTCCCCTTCCCTACCTTCGTTGCAAATGATCTCCCTGAAGCACTCACACACGGGGCATCTGCTGCAGCCAGCATCTCCTGCTCTCAAAGTCTCCCCCTTTCCTCCTGCTGTCCTGGCAGGATCCCCCTGAACTCACCGTGCTTCTGCTTGTTATCCTCAGCCCCCATCCTCACACATGCCAAAAAGATTCAAGTTTCTAAAAAGTCATATATATATCCTTCAAGGCACAACAGAAAACTAATTACACTTCTTAAAACTGACAATAAACTACCAACAATATCCTCTTTTCTCACTTTTTATTAAGCAAACAAAAAACTTCTCGTTGTAATTTCTCTAGTTATTGTTTAATTATTTGTTAAGCCAATTCATTGTTCCTAAACTGCAATCTTTACTATAGTACTGAAAAAGCTATCCAGAGAGCGTATGTTAACCCTCTTTCCTCTTTCCACCACCCTTTGAGGTCGGTTAGGCTGAGGGACTGTGACTGGCCCAAGGTCGCCCAGGGAGTTTCATGGCTGAGCAGGCAAGGAGTGCCAGCTGCCAGTGTCACCACATGCTCACCTTAGTATTGCTCTTGAAGACAGGATGGCTAATGTTGCAAGAGAGACCCTTGAGGTGCTGGCTATCCAGTAGCCCATCGCAACTCATGACAAGCAGAGTGTTGGACTGCGAGAAGAGAAAGGGTGGAGCAAGTTCAGGGTTGATGTCAACATCTGGCAGCCTTGGGTTGCTAACACCTGGCCTAGTCAGCATCCCTTTTGTTGTTCTTGTTGTTGAAAAAATGGCCCAGCATGCTGAGCCCAGCTGTCATATTAATTTCTCAACTTAGCATCATTCCAGGGACTTCTGATAAGTCAAAGCTAGCCTTAGCCACCAGGTGCTGCTTGTAGCAGAGCTCAGAGTACTGCTGCCTGTGAAGTCAAAGCGGGGGGACACCAGAGGACCCTTTGCCTCCAGTGGGACAGGCTCTTTTAGTCTGTGGCCCTCAAGGCCTTTTTGGGTGGCTCTCTGCAACATTTGAAACCCCCAAGCCCTTGCACTGCCTTCCCAAAGTGGGTAAGCAAGGGTAAGGGTCCAGCCTCCTTCTCAAAGCCTAGTTAGTGCTTTGTCAGCTTTGGAAGGAGTTGGGAGGGCTCTAAGAACCTGCCAGAGCCTCACACCTCCTTCCCAAAGCCTGGCGCCTTGGTTAGGTGGCTTTGGGAAGGCAGCGCAAAGGCGGGGTGTGTGTGTCAATTTTTGGCTTCGCTCCTCTCCCCGCATGTGCAACAAGGCAGCGTGTGGCCTATGGGTTCCATTTTGAAGTTCTCTTGCAGCTCGCTTGGTGTGAAAAGTTGAGGACTCTCCTTGGGAGGGAGCTAAGTGCATTTCCATTAAGGTCCTGGACTGGGAAGAGAGCGATTTAAGCATCTGTGCCCACCATAGCACTGCACCTTCTTGCTCCATTCTTTTCATCACTGCTGCCAAAAATGCGGGAGAAAGGGTTTGGGTGTGTGATCAGACCAGGCTCCAGGAAGCCTTCAAATCTGAAGCCAGCCCCAATCCAGTTCCAATGCCCCTTTTGCGGAGGGAATACCTACCACCCAAGCTTTGCGAAAGGAGAGGCCTGGTATGTGAGGCACGTGGAGGGTCACGGAGTAGGCATCCTCTTTGCGGTTCTCCAGCTCCAAGCTCATGTCCAAGTCTCTTCCAGGGAACACAACCAGCTCCTGAGACCTGATCAAGAGGATGTTGGGTAGACAAGCTGATTAGCAGGCCTCGGTTCCTGAGTCTGGGAGGTGGGACTGTTGAATGTGATAGGAAACTGGTGTAGCCTTTGAGTCTTACAACAGAATCGCAAGGCCGCCTTCACCATCCAGCTACCCACTAAACAGTTACAGTCAAAAGCATTGAGAGGAAGCTGGGTTGGTGAAGGCCGCCATAGGGCATACCTACATACAGCTGACTCAAAGCAGGGAATCTTGGGAGGTGTAATACTATGATGGGGAAAAGACTAAAGATCTCCAAAAGACCGTTCTTAGCAGCCTCACCAAATTAAGTCCCAGAATTCTTTGGCAGAAGCCACAGTGTTCATGTAGCATAAAATCAAGGTAAGCTTTATATTCACTGCTGTAAGCTTTGTAAAATAATATTGTTGGAAACTAAAGCAGGTGGCAAAGTTCACAGAACACCGTGCAAGTCTTGCTACAGTTTAAGTCTAAATGGCCACTGCTCTAGATTTAAATGGTGTTCTCCAGAATGGCTTCCTTCCCTGCAACACAGTCAGGGAACACTTTGGTTCCCAGAGACATTACAATGTTGTAGTCTAGCTATACCAAGCACAGTACGCTCTCAACCTCAGCCCCTATCTACAATCCTTTAAAGCAGAAGTGACCAATCTGTTGCCCTCCAAGTGTTGTTGGACTCCTATTCCCATCAGTCCCCAGCTAGGACAGCCAATGCTCAATGCTGACAGGAGAACCACTATTGGAAGGACTGCTGTTATAATGTATATGAATTTAAAACTCTCAGCATTTAAAATATGCTGGCATATATGCTAAGACTTATTATTGCAAAAATTCAGACCTGTCCTCCCTCTACCACTTTTAATTTGTTTTCCTACACTACAAGCATCAGTGACTGTTAGCACCAAGGATGTTCAACATACCCTGAATTGTGAAAGGAGAGTTTCAGGTCAGCATGACACACCTGATCTTCCCCGCAGTGCTTGTCAAAAGGAATCTAACATGTGAGCCAAGAATATTAGAATAGTTAATATGCAACATCTTCTGAACAAGCTACCTCTTCCTGCTGAAAACAGCTAGGCTCTGCCCCGTTCCCAGATCTCCTGCCTGCCTGCTCCAAACCATGGGATCACATACATTCCCCTCCCCCTTTAGCTCTAGCTACTGGGAACAGATAAAGCTGTTTTCACGAGTGTGCTTATGCAGAAGAGTTTGTACTTCATTCTGCACATCCCAAAGAACAGCCTCCACTGCATGCTGCAGGCGTCAGTCTCAATTTTGCTTTATGTGCCCAGTTCCTTTGCCCAAACCATTAAATCCCATTTCCTTCCCTGAGAATCTGGGGTCAAGACAAGACTTGCCCACCCCACCCCGTGGTCTATTGGTCCTTTCACACTGGTTTTTTGTTTCGTTTCATCACCAACATGTCACTGGTTGTGTGCAGCCAGCTTAAAATGAAGCTACGGCTGTGTACACACACCACCATTGGCTTTGGCTCCTGTGCACTCTCACTACAGATGTCTGAAGCTGAGTGCCCATGACATTAGCCACTATCCCTCTGTATCCTGTAGCTTCTTGGGAAATACTGCTGTTTGGTGCATGTTCCCCTCAAGCCAGCTCCCATCCAATTTGAAAACTGTAAGCAGCGGTTAGGCTGGGGCATGAGCACTTCAGACAGCTGTTGCACATGTGCAAATGACAACACATGCGCAGATGGCAGCTTCATTGGATTGGAGCCAGGAGGCTGCAGGCACAGTGAAAGCCATCAGCTAATGTGCATCAGGTAAGGACATCACTGTCCCCTGTTTGCTGTACACAGCAGCATAAAAATAGGGACTTGAAGCACTGTGGGTGGGGGGAAATGGCTCCACCGTGTTTCAAACAGCTAATGCGTACCCAGCCGACGTTGTTCTTTTTCCCAATTTGGACCTGAGTATCCATGATGGATGGCCACAAAACCTCCCGAGGGAGTCTGTCCCACTGTCAAACAACTCTTACACACCATTCCACTTTATTAAGTTTTCTGCAATGCTTCCCGAATGGAATTGCATTATTGCCATTTGGAGGGGCACTCTTGTGTAACAGAAGCAGGACGACGACGACAACAACACCCTGAAAACATTTGCGGCATAAAAAGTTACAGGATTTCAGCTGGATTCCACAGGATTCCATGCGCTGACTGGAAATGAAAAACCTATCCCAATTTTTTTTGTAGGCGTAAACCAGGATGGTGTCTAACCGCCCCATTACGATCATGACCACAAATCATCGTGAATGCAGAGTAAAAAGGCCACCTGGATGGTCCCTGTAATCCTACTTTCAAGGTATCAGGAGTCCTCTCACCTCCACCGTCACTGCGTTACTTAGGGGGCTCAGAACAGGTCTAGGGTGTCCATTGCTAGGGTTGTTGTCACGCCCAAGAGAGAAGTTCATAAAGAGCTTGATAGGCGATATGTAATCCTCAATGCAGCTCTGAAAAGGAATGGAGGCAGCTGGCAGATAACTTCATGCACCACCCTTACAGATATTGAAGCCAGAACTCTCATAAGAGGGGTTCTTGGGCACCCACCCCAGAAGCAGCCGCATCTTCAGCAACACACAATAGATGACTGTGTAGACAGCTGCCATATCTCACCCCAGGTGAAGCTTCATGAAAGTGAGGACAACCCTCTGTTTACCTTGAAGAGAATGCTCTCCTGTATGCACACTTCTCCCAGAGAGAGTTCCTTCACCCCATCTGTGACTTTTGTGCCATTCTTAAACACTCCTCGGTGCCTCATCCTGTTCCGGTCGATCTCGAAGCGGAAGGAGAGCTTGGGAGAGAGGGGTCCTGGAGGGAAAGCGGGAGAGAGATTATGCATATAAAGGGATGATGCACTGATGACAAAAGACAGCCAACACTCTTGAGTGGAAGGATAGCAGGATGAAGACCACATGGAGGAAATATTGGGGGAGATGGGGTAGGGTGCTATTTTATGCCAAGATCCTTGTTTTGTCAGAAGTAATTCCTGTCCAGCAAGAACCCACCGAAATGTTAATTAGTAGCTGCCTCCTTACCGCTGTTGCCTCTTTCTGTTTCTTGTTTGGTACTGTAGCATCATTGCTTATTAATTGACCTTTGATTGTTTTGTAATAATTCAGTTCCTGATCCAAATAGTGTGGTTCCCCCACCCCCAATCCCCTTCATATTTTTCTTATTTTCATTTTTCTTTCAGAGGGAAATAGTGCTATTTCAAAAATAAAAACAATCAGTGTACCAGTAATTGAAGACCCCCGCTGAAAGGAACTGCAAATCCAGTTATGGGGCTATTCATCAAGAATGCTCCTGTTGCACTAAACAGAAAGCACTGAAAAGAGCACAAGCAGCGAAGAGGATGCTTTGAAATCAAGGCACAGCAGTTCTTAAAGGCCTTGCAGTGCTCTGCCAGTCAAACAGCCGAGCAAACTGGTCCTTTTTTTTATGACACTTGTTTGTCTCAAGAGACAATGGAGTGGGCATCCGGGGATGAAGTCCATTGCATAAATAGCATCAAAGTGACCTCCCTGGAGCATAAGTCTGGGCAGTATGTATGGAGGTCCTGGGCTGCCCAGACAACAAGACCCCCTCTTGGCCTCGCTTATGTGGTCCAAAGGAAAGCACAGCAAGATGTTTGGCACCAGCTTGGCAGCAGGAGTTGCCAGAAGGAGGTATACAAGGTGCTGTCTGTTTTAGGGACTCCACTCTGGATTTGTGTAGGGTTTACTCCTTAGCCTTAGGCTCAGTGTTTTCCTTCTCCTAATTGGGCTACCTTCCCAGGTTGATGAGTCCCATCTGCCCCTCACTTCCCTCCACAGCACATGCAGAAACCGCCTTCCTGACAACAGGACCCACTGTTAGTCTCATCCTCTCCATCCGCTGGAGCCTGTCTTTGCATGCAAGGGAAGTAAACTGGTACTGCAGTTACAAATTTTAAGTGGAACAATAATCACTACCAATTGGTCTGGAAAAAATGAGAGGACAGCACAGAAAATGCTGGGATGCAGTGGCTTGGCGAGGCCGTTGTCTGAATTTTGTATAAAAGGTGAGGGAGGTGAACAAAAGGTACCAATTTCAGACAGAACAGGTAGTGTGGAATATGTGGGATACTTTTTGGGGAAAGACAGCTACTGTGGGAACAGGTTATGCCTCAGCCCCCAGGTCAGTCCTCTATGCTGCAGATGTGGGTGACAGCAGGATTAGGCTCAAGGCAAGGTCCACGATTCCCTGGTAACCCTCACCTTGGTAGTGCTTGGTGGCCAAGCTAGTGCTGAAGCAGATGCTGAGGTCGACCACCAGATTCTTCCAGGTGCTGGCATCACCCAGACACTCCACATCTTCCCGTGGGATTTCCTTGGGCGAGGAGTGCACCTTTGTCACCACGGTAATGATGGGTCTGGAGCTGCAGGAACCAGAGACGGCAACTTGGGTTGTTGTTTTATTTAAGAGAAATGTTTATGTTCTGGCTTTGGGGCCCCCAAGGTGAGGACAGTCGTTAGATTTGGAGCAAGGGGTCACCAGCATGCTGATGATAAACCCCCGCCAGCTCTATTTCTCTGCAACATCTGAATCAGGGTAGATGGTGCATGTCCTAAACTGGTACCTGGATGGGGGTAAATAAACTGCAAATGAATTCAGTGGGGACTGAGCCCTATTTTCCTCATAGAGCAACAGTTGCCAGAGTGGTTTTAACAATCAATTCCTCTTCCGAGGGAACTCTGATAATTGTAGCTTTGTGAAGGGACTAGGAGTCTCCTAACAAATCTCAGAACCCTTAACAAACTACATTTCCCAGGGTTCTCTGGCTCTGACATGGTGTTAGGTTGAAGGCAACAGGTTGCCTCTGACAGAAAATGAAAAAGCTGAACTGATTACTGATTGGATGCCCTAACCACAAACTCATTAGACTCCCCAGCTGCCCTCTGGGAGAGCGCAAGAGTCTTGGTTCTCGCAGAGCCACTCACCGAAGCACCACAACCTTCCCCAGAGCTCCCACGGCAATGTCGGTGAGGCCATCTCCATTGAGGTCCCTCTTTCCATGGATAGACTGTCCAAAGAAGACCAAGCCAGGAGAAATTCTGGCTCCTGAAATTCTCTGTGGGAGAGAAATGCTACTGGCTAGAATGATGCAAAGAGGCAATGTGACCATTCAGGAGGACGAACAGATCAAATACAAGCCAAAAGAAATTGCGCTTCTTCCTACAGCTTAATGACTGGTGCTAATTTTTATGAGTTTTTGGCATCAGCTAAAGCAGGGCTGGGAGAATCTGGATCTCCCACACCCTGCGCAGCTGAAGTTTGACAGTTCAATAACCTGGCATTGCAATATGCCAAATGACTTACTGTGATCGACAGGTGGACAAATTCAAAGAGGCTCCCCAACCCCGATATTGAGTGCCGCAGGCTTCCCCACCCCAACTCTTAAGGCTCCCAAGATTCCACACTCTTTCCCCTCCCAATTAAAACCAAGGGCACACATTGCCATTATGTGTGCGCGCACACACCCTCCCCCCAAAGTTTATTTTTAGAATGTGAACCTTTAAGAATTACCCCACCTCCATGGTTCTGTGCGAGTCCCTGTTCTGAGCAAGACTCAGAGCATGTAGTGAAAGTAGGAGGAAGGCTCCTTGGTGGGCAGAGGAGCATTTCATTACTAACATTCCTTCATTTCCTGTAGTGGTTCTTCCACCCTCACGGCACATGGGCAGGCCAGTTAGTGCTGTAGCCCTATTTGGTTACCTGGCTGTACTGCATCTGCAGGGTTTTCTCGTGTCCGTTGTAGATGTAGACAGCTCCTCTCTCTTCGTCTTCCGAGGGGGCTCCAACGGCCACATCCATCAGTCCATCCCCACTGATATCTGACAGGTCTGCGATGGCAGCTCCAAACCTGCCCAAGGGGTATCCTGGATCCCCAGTCAGCTCCCCCTGGCGAACAAGTGTACCCTGGAAAGAGAGGTGCCCTTGAAAGGCTGCTGTCTTTCAAAACCACTGATTCTGTGAGACAACGCGGGATTCCTGCACAGGTGCACAGGACACACACAGCTCTGCTCACCTGCTTCCAGGTGTACACGTAAACCCGGCCCCCTCTCATCTCTGTGAAATACTGAGGGGCTCCAACAAGGAGGAGGTCTGTTTCCTTATCGCCATCTACGTCCACAGAGCAGAGCGCTGCCCCAAAATATGATCCAATCTGCAAAAGAAATATTTAAACATCCGGGGTGAAAGGGGTGGCCCTTGCACAAAGGTTGCCTCAAGATGTGCTTTATAATGCTTAAGATTTATACAGCCCGTTCAGAGCACTTTATTTGCATTCTCTAGCTGCAATCCTTTCAACAACCCTGTAAGGGAAGTCAGTATTGTCATCCTCAAACATACACACATCTTGCAGATCCGGGGCCTCAGAGCCTGAGCCTGAGTGCTGCTTGCCTAAGGCCAACTAGTGACCTAGGTGGCTCTCCCCATATGACCTGACCCAGACCATGTGATCATCACCTGAGGCCCTTCTGTGTGTGTGTGTCCACCACGAGAGGTCTGGAGGGTGGCAACATGAGACTGGGCCTTTTCCGCAGCAGCTCCCTATTTGTAGAATGCTCTCCCCAGGGAGGTTCATCTGGCACCTTCATTATACATCTTTAGGCCCCAAATGAAGATGTTCCTCTTCAACCAGGCGTTTGGCTGATTAATATTCTACAGGCTTTTAAATGTGTTCGTGGGAGGGGGAGGGGTTATTATTTTGTTTTGTTTAAACTATTTATTTTGTGCATTTCTCCTATATTTTTATCCTGTGAACTGCCCTAAGATCTTTGGATGAAGGGCAGCATAAATTTAAATTTTATAACAACAACAGAAATGCACTTGCTGCCACTTAGCTGACATACAAGGTACAAGGTGCTGCTATTTGGTGTACAAAGCCCTATGCAGCTTGGAACCAAAATATAACTGGAACTAAAATATTCTCTCTACCCCCCCCACCCCACCCCTCTCTCTCACACACAATTTCCAATCGTTGTGTATTGCAAGATGGGGTATCCTGCAAATACCACCCAGCCTTTAGTGTGGCAGCTGCTACCCTTTGGCTCTCGCTGCTGCTGGGGCTGTGAACACATTACTGGCTTAAAACCTAACCAAGTCACTTCCGGGGTGGCGCCATCGGTAATGGCGGATTCCCTCTGACTCGGAGGGGACCGGCTCTGTGGAAATCAGGTCTGTACCGCTACAGCGAAGCGGGGACCCTCCAAAAATCACAGGCGGGTGAAGCCTGTGACCGTGGGACTCGGCGGGCACCTTTTGCGCCCCCCCAATTTGCAAAGGAGCCCGATTACGGGTTCCGGAGTGAAGCGGGGAAGCGGCGCGGTGCTGTGAGTCAACTGCTTCTTCCGTGGAGCGAAGCCGCACAGCCGTTACCGGAGAGCGCTACCTTTTTCCTGTGACAATTTGGCTACAAAACAACGATCCGTGAGTAGGCTAATTTGGGAATTAAAGAGAACTAAGAATAAAGAAGTAATTTGATACCGAAGCGGAGAGGCACAAACAGGAAGTCTGCCTCCCGTTCCTTGTAAATAGAGTAAAGCAATGAACTGGCAAGCTAAAACCTTGAAAGACGTTTGAAAAGGACTATAATTCTATCATCAAAACAAGCGATTTCCCCCCTTGTTTGCAGGAAAGGAGGGGGAAGGTGTGAACTGTATTTCCCTGCAAAAAGAGAGAAAAGGAAGCTAAAATCCACCGCTTAAACCCTGGGAACGGGCTGCCAATGACAATAAGAATGCCGTACTGTGAAATGCGCTATTGGTGAAAGTACTTTCTGACAGCTAACTCTGCAAGTGAGATACAAGTGGGATACAATATTTTTGGCCGGCTTCTCCTGGTTTCAAAGTAACTGGAAAATAACTGAAAATTGAAACTGTCGTCTATTTTGTGAACTGAGGGGATTAAAAGAAAAAAGGTTATTTATTTTAAGGTAACAACTTTGGACTGCTACTGTGTCCCCCTAGAGGAAGTTTGAAACTGTTACAACAATAACTGGGCCAGGGGAATTTTCCACTTCAAAACAAATTCTGGTCGTGGGATTGACCTTGGGCCTTATCTAGAGTGTTATGGCAAATGGAAAAGAGAAAATAGATTTGCTTCAGGAAAAAACAACGAGGTCTGGTAGATCATTTCGCCCAGACGTTGGGCTGCAGCAAAGAGCATCAACATCTGGCCCTTCTGGCCCTTCTGGCTTACCAACAGGGGCTGCATTGGTACAATCTAAACCCAAAGGAATGGCATCCGAAGATGCTTTAGCTCAGGCACTAGGCAAAATTAATGAATCTCTGGAAAAAATAAGTAAACAAGTAGCTGAAGCATCAGTTAAAATTGATCAAAATACCACAAGTATTAACAATTTGGGACAGAAGGTAAATACTAACACAGAAACTATTGAGAAATTGCTACAGGAATCTACTTCGACCCGAAAGACAGATGAAAAAGCAAAGGAAATAGCAGTTGCTGTAGAAGAGAAGATACCGCTGATACACAAGCAACTTGAAGACCACAGGTTAATACTGTCTACGATTGAATTGAAGGAGAAACAAATGAATTTGAGGATCAGGGCCGTACCTGAACTTGAGAAAGACAACTTGACTGATTTTCTTACCCAGGAATTTGCAGACTTTTGGAATCCAGACTTGGAGAAGGACAACTTTAAGATAGTGAGCGCTTTCAGGCTTGGAAGAGGAGGGAAGAAGAACAGGGTGAGAGACTGTTTGATCACCCTCCGAACAAAAGAGGAGAGAGACAAAATCTTGAGTCTGCACTTCAAGAAGACTTTGGAAATACATCAGTCAAAGGTGGAGATATTTAAGGACATTCCGAAATATCTTTTGGACCTTAGATCCAACTATAGAGACTTGGTTGCCCTGCTGAGAAGCAACAAAATTATCTTTAGGTGGGAATTCCCCCAAGGCCTTTCCTTTAGTTTCAAAGGAAGAAAGACAAAAATAAGATCAGAGGACGACAAAGAAAGATTTCTGAGAGACCACGGAGAAGACCTGCAGAAAGGAGCTGGAGATGAGTCAAGAATACTAGAAAGAGGAACTTTAGACATACCAAGACTACCTTTTGAATTAAAAGACCGCCTGGAGAAGGTGATACCACCGACAGAACAGGAACAGGCACTTGGTGCAGTTGGAGGAGAAGTAAAGTAACTACATCATGGCACTGCAACTATTAAGTTGGAATTGTAATGGTCTCAACTCCCCTCAGAGAAGGAAATCTGTGTTTCATTTATTAAAAAAGGAACAATTGGACTTGATTTGCTTACAGGAAACACATGTAACAAGGTTACATAGGAAAGTATTGATTAACGAAAGACTGGGCCAGGAATTTATTTCTTCGGATAAAGTTAAAAAAAGAGGAGTAGTGATTTATGCAAAGGAGAGACTATTACCGAAATTTACCTTCAAAGATGATCAAGGAAGATTTGTGGCAATTGAAATTCAAATACAAGGAGAGAAATTCTTAATAGTAGGAGTTTATGCACCAAATGAGGGGAAATCTGAATTCTTTAAAAAGTTGCATGAGACCTTAATGGATTATTTGGACTATAATGTAATTTTGATGGGAGATATGAATGGAGTGGTATCTACACATATGGACAAGGCACAAAGACAGGTAGTCACTAAGGATGGTAGACTACCGAAAACCTTTTTTTGAGATGACAGACAACTTGGACTTAGTTGATATCTGGAGAACAAAGAATCCCCTGGCCAGAGAGGGAACCTTCTTTTCTGAAGCCAAACTGACATGGACAAGAATTGACCAAATATGGTTAACTAGAGGAATGGCACCAAAGACAAGAAAAGCGGAAATCTGCCCAAAAACCTGCTCCGACCATAATGCTGTTAAGATGGAGATGAAACTAACACCAACTGGCTCCTTCAGATGGAGGATGAATGATGCCTTATTTAGAGATGAAGAAGTCATTAAGAAGGCCCAAAAAACCTTGAGAGACTATTTTGAGATAAATATGAACACCAATGTTGAAAAAAGAGTAATCTGGGACGCAAGCAAAGCTGTTATGAGAGGGTTCTTGATACAACAGAATGCATTAAAGAAGAGAATCCAAAATGAGAAGAAGGATAAACTATTGGAGAAAATAAAGGAAAGTGAAAAGAAATTGAGAGCAAAACCAAAGTCGCAAGAGATTTTGAGAGAAATAAAGTTATATCAAGTACAATACATGAAAATGATGAATCAGGAGATAGAATGGAAAATTAAACAAATGAGACAAAAGACATTTGAGTCGGCTAATAAATGTGGGAAATTGTTGGCTTGGCAAATGAAAAAAAGACAAAAACTAAATACTGTCACAAATTTAGAAGTGGAAGGAAGGAATATACAGAACCCAGTTGAGATTAGAAATTGTTTCCAGAGGTATTTTAAACAACTATATACACAAGGGCCACAGAAAGAAATTGATGTAGACCGATTTTTGAAAACAAATGGATTACAAAAAATCTCTCAAGAAAATAAATTAATGCTGAACTATAAAATAACTGAACAGGAGGTAGAAGGTGCCATTCAGAATATGCAACTAAGTAAATCTCCAGGACCGGATGGACTGACTTCTAGATACTACAGATCCTTGAAGGAATGGTTAGTACAACCTTTAAAGGAAGTCTGTAACGAAATAATGGGTGGGAAAAGGGCACCAGAGTCATGGAAAGAAGCGTATATTACACTTGTACCGAAAATAGAGGCTGAAAAGACCCAACTTAAGAACTACCGCCCCATATCACTGCTCAATGTGGATTACAAAATCTTTGCAGACATTTTGGCTAAAAGACTAAAAAGAGTCCTAATGGAAGAGATACATAAAGATCAAGCAGGCTTTCTCCCGGGTAGACATTTGTCTGACAATGTGAGAAACATAATCAATATTTTAGAAAAACTACAAGTGAATATAAATACCAAGGCAGTTTTGATATTTGTGGACGCGGAGAAAGCCTCTGACAATATTTCTTGGAGTTTCATGAAGAAGAACCTACAGGGGATGGGGGTAGGCCAAGGCTTTGAAAACGGTATAAGTGCAATTTACTCAGAACAAAAGGCTAAATTAATTGTAAATAATGTGGTGACGGAGGAATTTAAGATAGAAAAAGGGACACGACAAGGTTGCCCAATCTCCCCGTTGCTATTTATATCGGTCCTGGAGGTCCTGCTGAATATGATTAGAAGGACCAATTGGTTAAAGGTATACAAGTCGGAGCTAAACAGTACAAACTGAGAGCATCTGCAGATGACTTAGTATTGACATTGCAGGAGCCAGAACCTAGTACTAAAAGGGTTTTGGAACTGATTCAAGAATTTGGTCAGGTTGCAGGATTTAAATTGAATAAGTTAAAAACAAAGGTCTTAGAGAAAAACTTAACTGTGATTGAGAAAGAGAGGTTTCAGAATGAGACAGGTTTAACAGTGGTTAAGAAAGTGAAATACCTGGGGATTAACATGACAGCAAAAAATGGGAATCTATTCAAAGACAATTATGAAAAATGCTGGGCTGAAGTGAAAAAAGACTTAGAAATTTAGTCAAATTAGAAGCTTTCACTGCTAGGCCGTATTGCTGCGATAAAAATGAATGTATTGCCTAGAATGTTGTTTTTGTTTCAAACATTGCAAGTTTTGGACAAAGTGGATTGCTTCAAGAAGTGGCAGAGAGATATTTCTAGATTTGTCTGGCAGGGCAAGAAGCCTAGAATAAAATTTAAAATACTAACGGATGCAAAGGAAAGAGGTGGATTTGCCCTGCCAGACCTTAAACTTTATTATGAATCAGCAGCTTTTTGCTGGCTGAAAGAATGGCTGCTTCTTGAAAACACAGACATTTTGGACTTAGAAGGTTTTGACAATGTATTTGGATGGCATGCATATTTGTGGTATGATAAGGTCAAAGCACATAAAGCATTTAAAAATCATATTGTCAGGAAAGCATTGTTTAATGTCTGGATAAGATATAAAGACCTACTGGAAAATAAAACCCCAAGGTGGCTGTCACCGATGGAAGCGAAAGCTCTGAAAAAGCTCAATAAGGAGGCCAAATGGCCAAAATATTGGGAAATTCTGGAACAAGAGGGAGACAGATTGAAACTGCAGAGTTTTGAAAAACTAAAAAATAAAGTGCGAGATTGACTTCATTATTATCAGATAATGGAGGCATATAATTTGGACAAGAAAATTGGCTTCCAGGTGGAAAAATCAAAATTAGAAACAGAACTGTTAGAACCCAAAACGAAGATCTTGTCAAAGATGTATAACTTGCTGTTGAAATGGAATACTCAGGATGAAACAGTTAAATCTGCTATGATTAAATGGGCACAAGATGTTGGACATAACATAATGATGGCTGACTGGGAACAGTTATGGACCACAGGTATGAAGTTTACGGCATGTAATGCCTTAAGAGAGAATATTATGAAAATGATATATAGGTGGTACATGACACCAGTCAAGCTTGCAAAAATCTATCATTTGCCCGATAATAAATGTTGGAAATGTGAAGAAACTGAAGGTACATTCTTTCACCTTTGGTGGACGTGCCCAAGGATTAAGGCTTTCTGGGAGATGATCTATAATGAAATGAAAAAGGTACAGTGGTGCCTCGCAAGATGAAAAGAATCCGTTCCGCGAGTCTCTTCGTCTTGCGGGTTTTTTCGTCTTGCGAAGCAAGCCCATTAGCAGTTTAGCGGATTAGTGCTACAGTATTAGCGGCTTAGCAGGCTTAGTGGATCAGCTGATAAGCGGCTTAACGATAAGCTGATAAGCGGCTTAAGGATCAGCTGATAAGCGGCTTAACGATAAGCTGATAAGCGGCTTAACGATCAGCTGATAAGCGGCTTACCATCAGCTGTTAAGCGGCTTAGCCATCAGCTGATAAGCGGTTTAGCGGCTTGGGAAAAAGGGAAAAAGGAAAAAAACCCTGCAGGAACTCGCAAGACATTTTCGTCTTGCGAAGCAAGCACATAGGAAATTCGTTTTGCGAAGCACCTCCAAAACGGAAAACCCTTTCGTCTAGCGGGTTTTCCGTCTTGCGAGGCATTCGTCTTGCGGGGCACCACTGTATTTAAATATACCTTTCTGAAGAAACCAGAGGCCTTTCTCCTGGGCATAGTCGGCCAATTGGTGCCAAAGAAGGACAGAACTTTCTTTATGTATGCTACAACAGCAGCAAGAATACTTATTGCAAAGTATTGGATGACACAAGATTTACCCACTCTGGAAGAATGGCAGATGAAGGTGATGGACTATATGGAACTGGCGGAAATGACTGGCAGAATCCGAGACCAGGGAGAAGAGTCGGTGGAAGAAGATTGGAAGAAATTCAAAGATTATCCACAGAAATACTGCAAAATTAATGAATGTTAGAATGATGTCAGAATGAAATTAAGTGGTCTTAGCAGCGATGTTATAAAGGTGTATGCACAAATGGATTGTTAACAGATGAGAATCTAAAGTTATAATATGTTAAGTTAAAGGACTAAGATAAAAACAAAGAGGGAAAGGAATTGCTGAATTAACTAATAGAACTGAAATACAAAAAAGGGAGGTGTGAGGAAGTCAGGGAAGTAAGGAAATGAAATGTAAGTTATGGAAAGATCGATGTGTTTTGTTTTTTTTAAGTGTTTTTTATCTTTTTTCTGTATTTTGTAATTTTTTCTTTTTTATTTTTTTCCCTTTTTCTTTTCTGTTTATCTATGTAATCTTTTCTTTGAAACTTTAATAAATATCATTAAAAAAAAACAAAACCTAACCAAGTTGTTCTTTTTCTCAATTCAGGCTGAGGTTGCTTTGGGAATTACTCATCGAAATGTATTATTTCATAAGAAACAACAGGATAGATAAAGATTGTGGCTAATGCATGTATACCAGTGGTAAAAGCACAAGGGGCGCAGGGTGTGTGTATGCAGCCTCATCAGCTCTGCAAAATGAGGGGACTCTTTTGGTCCTACTGGGCCATAATCATCCTTTTGCCTCGTTCCTGGCATCAAAGTTGACCAGAATGTCCAGACCCTCCCAGCTCTAGGAGCCCTGTTTTCTTCACCTGCTGCCCTGGAATGTCCTGCTTTAATGTCCAATTGGTTGTGCTGGAGTTGACCTCAAATATGAGGACTCTTCCCACATGTTGATATCGAGGGGCACCAGCAGCATAGAGCTCTCTCTGTTGATGGTGTAGAAATTTCAGTGCATACCCTGAAAAAAAAAGAAAAGAAAAGAAAAGAAAAGAAAAGAAAAGAAAAGAAAAGAAAAGAAAAAAGAACCATCAGGTGGCGATACCAAAGGAAAAGGTTAGACTAGGGGCATTTCTACACAACACACACACTTTGCCCTGCGTTTTGCAACACAGAGATCTATAAAATTGCTAAGAGCTCTCAGAAACTTAAGTTCAGAGCAAGCCCAGCATCTCTAACCACCCCAACTCTGGGTGGTCAAGTCCTGCTTTCAACGTGCAAAAAGGCAATGAAGCTTTCTCCCCTATCAGATCCATGAATCTTGTGAAAGATGGGAGAAAGCGAGCTTCTTTAGGCCCCCTGTGATCAGAGAGGGGGCCAAGAGCCTCAGAGAAAAAGGAACCTGTTGTCAAAAGGCACTTCCCCCACAGCTGAGGCCAAAAGGCACTCAAAGTCTGCCCCACCCACCCCACTTCCTCACAACAAAACAATTACCAGGTATGTATTCCTTTCTCCCTTCCTCCTCCATTTGCCCAAGATCCCCTTGGCTTTTCGTTAATTTGAGATTAACCTAGGAGTCAGCAAACTTTTTCAGCAGGGGGCCGGTCCACTGTCCCTCAGACCTTGTGGAGGGCCAGACTATATTTGGGGGAGGGGATATGAACAAATTCCTATGCCCCACAAATAACCCAGAGATGCATTTTAAATAAAAGCACACATTCTACTCATGTAAAAACATGCTGATTCCCGTACCATCAGCGGGCTGGATTTAGAAGGCGACTGGGCCAGATCCGGCCCCCAGGCCTTAGTTTGCCTACCCATGGATTAACCCTTAGGTATTGGTAAAAGCCCGAGGCATCCTACTATTATGAGTTAGGGTGGGGTGGGGTCAGTCTGCAGCAAGTTCAGTGGGAGAGTTACTGCTGTGAGCCCCTCCACCCTTCCTTCAAGTTGTATACACATGTAAATAAAGTCATATATCTTAAAGACACCACCGTCTCTACTGAGCTTCATTCCAAGGAAACCAAACCCTGGGTAAATTCTGGGAACCTCTAGAGTCTCTTACTGCTTAGCGATCAGGGTGGTGCGTAACACTGCAGTGACGTGCAAGTTACGCATAGCTGTCAACTTACAGAAGCTGTCAACTTTGAAAATAAGGGACCAGCAGCCTTGAAAATAAGGGACCAGCAGCCAAAATAAGGGACCTGCAGCCTCACCTGTTCCAGGCACTCCAGTCTTCCTGTCCTCCTGCAGTCTGGTCAAACTCATGCTGGTAGCTTCGAGAACACTGTCCAACCAACTTTGTAACCAGAGGTTCAACTGAATAGAATCTGAATCCCATGCACCACAAGGCCTATGCAGCCTCAACTTAAGATGGCTCCCCGGCCTGGCTTTGCACTGCAAAGTTTGCAGCAGCACGTGCAACAAAATGGCATCCAGCATTCAAAACCCCCTCAGCTTGCATTAACTAGCCACACACAAGGCATGCAAGCTCCACCCCCCAGTCGTCCTTAGACTTCTTATTGGGTGAGCAACGCAGCCAAGCAACACAGTTGGAGCCTCCCTCCTCCCTGGCCGGCAGGGAGGGAGAGGAGCTGCTTCCTTTGAAATTTAAGGGACATCATTTAAGGGACATCCATCATAAGGGACAGCAGCAGGACATGGCGCTGGAATAAGGGACTGTCCCTTCAAATAAGGGACACTTGACAGCTATGAAGTTACGCTGTCACTGTTGTAACTGCATTTCGCGTTTCTGGTCTTAATTGATAATTTTACAAATACCAAAACCCGCAATTGTCTACAACAGGGAGGGGAAATCTCTGGCCTCCACAGGCTTAATTAGGCCTGGTAGGAGCCCTAATTTGGCCCGTGCGGCAGTTCCCCCACCCCAAACCCCCTCTCCTGCCCTGCTCCATCACATGTGACATCAGCTGGGAGGCAGATGAAGGCGTGGCCTTCACTTTCATGTGTGTTTCAATAAGAAACGCACTTAGAAGGCACCGCTGGAAGGTTGGCGGCCTTCTCTTTCCCCCACTGCTGGACTACCTTGGAGGAAGGTCAGTATGGCTGCCAACTCTATGTAGGAAAAATAACTGTCCATAGGAAAGATAGCTATATACAGCCCTGTTCAGACAAACAAACAAAAAACCCCAAACAACACATATGTGCTCAGTGCACAGAGCTGGAAAATAAAGGCCCAGTTAATGGGGGAGATGGTGCAGAGGCCCAGAGAAAGGAAGGCCTTCTCTACTCACCCAAGTAGGCACCTTCCATCTCCTTCCTGACTGAGGGAGTCGTGATGAACTTTTCACCGGCCAAACCCTTCTGCTGTTCTAGCAGGCCCCCTGCCCAGTTGTCAGCACCCACAGCACCCAAAACCACCCGGCCCTGCCATAGGGGAGAGAGACATGGAGAGAAAAAGGAAGAAAGAAACAATTTCAATATCAATGCTTAGGAGACAAGTTTTCAGCAAGGCTTCTAAGCAGAGATTTTTTTATCCCATTCATCATCTGTACTGGATTTAGCATATGCCGCTCTTTTTAATTGTTAATATATAAGCAACTGTTTTGTTTTATGCTTTTTAACATATTGCAAAATGGCTTTGCAGGAAGCCATTCAGAAATGGAAATGGAAATAAATAATGGCACCGGACATTACCCTGCAGGCTGCAATCCCTACATGCGTTTGCCAGGGAGTGATCTCCCAATGAGCTCAGTAGGACCTACTGCTGAGCAGGTACCTACAAAAAGATTTCTTTTAATTTATTTGTTCCAGAAGTTTACGCTCTGCTTTTCAAAGCAGATTGCACCAAGAGGCACTGAGTTCCACAGTTCTGGCTCACCTGGGATATGTCAGCACTGAGTCCACTCGATGACAACTCCAGGTGGAACGAGCCAGTATCACTGGTACCTGTAATGTACACAGATTGGGTGGGGTAGGTGGGGGAGAGAGAGAGATGTATTTGTATAAACCTCCCACCGCAGATGAGGCTGAGATTCAGCTGCTTCAGCTGAGGATCTGTAAACAATTCTGCTTGTCCCATGCTTTCTAAGAACAGGTTTTCCCTTTCCCTCCCTGCTTCCTCCCATAAAACCCACTCTTTAGTGCTAAATCAGTACAAACAGCAATCTGCCAAAAAACCCACCAATGGCCATTTGTTCCAATTCAGTACTAAACTGTGGGTTTTCCTTGGGGAAAGTGGCAGGGCAAACGGAAGTGTGGATGAGCGCTGAGAAAGTACAACTATGGAGTACAGGAAACTGAGTCGTGAAATTGTGAACAGGTGACCAAATTTAGTAGATAATGATTGAACTTCACCATTGCTGCATGCAGATGGTGAGTGTGGCCCTCTGAGCATGGCCAGGGTGCACTCACCTTACTGCCAGGTTACCCCCAGCAAGTGCGCAAGCAAAATGAGTGGACAGGGTGGCTTCTAGTTCAGAGGGTCCATCTGTCTTTTGGACAAGTTGGTGGCCTGCAACCTCACTTCCCAAAATTAATCTCTGCCACCAGGTGATGCCCACAGGATCTTTTCCACAGATATGCCCATATGGTTCATGGGACCACCTGAACCAATCCCTGAGGGTATGTGCTGGACAGCTGTACCACAGGGGGCGGCCCCAAGAGACAGTTCTGGGTTTACACACAAGCAAAGTAAATTACAGATCAGGGCTTCAGACATGTGGCCTCTAAATACCAAAACAAAAAACAAAAAATCTGCATTTCAAGTCGTACATAATTGGTTAAAAATAAAAGAATAAAACCCATTTCTTTTTGGTAATGCTAAAGAGCCTTTTAAATTTGATACGGGCCGCAGCGTGTCTTAATCTGGCCCTGCCCACAAAAGTTCCAGATTGACCAGTACTCTGCTGGTGAGCTTTGGGTGCTTGTTAAGATATCGTTTTGAAAGACAGGGTTCCCTACCATTCCCTCTTCTCCATCCCATCCCATCCAACCCAACCCAGCCAAACCAGTGACTAATCCATGAACCCAAATAAACACCTTCAATCGCATAGATCTTAGACTGGAGGTCGTTGAAACTGCCTCTGAGCTCCTCAAAAGTGGCCAGCACCTTCACAAACTGGTCTGTGGGTTCTGAGGCAATTTCCCGGAGATTATCCTGAGCTTCTTCGGTGTTAAAATAATGCCCAATCTGGAGAGACAAGGAAGGACCAGATGAGGCAAACCAAGGTAGGACTTGGCAGTGGGGAGTCTATACAGGTGTCCGCCCCCCCCACTTATGCTTAGTGATCGACTCACGTGCGGCCACATATACGTGCAGCGCTGGGAATTAAATAATTTAATTCAAATGCAGAAATGGTGGGAATGTGATAGAGAGTCCTTGGGACTGGTGAGAAGACCCTCCCCGGAGCCCGAACAGGATGTCAGTGAGGGCGGATGAAGCCCCAAATAGACTGGAGGCACAGCAAGGCTCTGTTTGCGCTGCTCAGCCTCCCCACCGAACAGCTGATGTGTGGGGTAGCGCAGCCGCCACAGCCACTTTCCTGCACCTCCTCCAGCCTCCTGCCGGCTGTTTTCTGTTTGGGCCTTGGAGAACTTAAGCACTATCCTGCAAAGCTGAGACACAACTCCTAGGTACTTTACCCCAATGGCAAGGCGCAAGATGCCTTTTTTCTTGGCAGAGGCTATGACCCCATTGTCACTATCTGTGGCAACTCCATCGGTGATGATGATTATCACTTTGTTAGATCCTTTCCGCATGCCGCGCTCGGGAATGAAAACTTGATCCCTGCCATCAGTAAACAAGGGAATAGTTATTTTCTGGACCAAGGCAAATCCTTTGAAAACATGGATTCCCAAACTGTGGTCTGTAAGGTTCACCCAGGTGGTCCATGGCATGTCCACATTAAGTATTCATATTGATTTTTAACTGAGTTGTTGCTGCTTTTATTTATCTTATAAGGAACTTTTACTGATTTTCAACAAGGTATAAGCAAAACACAGAGTTTCCCCTGCTTCTCTCTAACTCCCTCCAGAACAGAAGACTAATTTCTCAAATTTTGCCACAAGCTTTCTTGTGGGTGCCAGTCATCAGAATATTCATTTGAGTGTCTTATAAAGCTTCTTTTATTTCTCACGCTGCACTGTATTGTACTACGATTTGAATCCTATGGAATCAGAATGCAGGAGAAGATGGGCATATTGGGTGACTTACATCCAGGCCTCTTTTTATAAAAGTCAAAAGCGGTCCCCACCCTCCAAACCCAAGACAGCGTTCTGAGAACACACTGTAAACACCAAGAACATAAAACAGGGATAAGTCCTGAGAATGCAAATAAAATTTAAAATATTCGTTTAGTTTAAAATTTCCCTTAATGATTAGCACTAATATAAGTCAGGACTCTCCTGAGTTTTGTTTTGTTTTTTTGCCACTAGTGTAAATAAAGCTACCCTAGAGCTGAAGGACTTAATCCAGCAGCCAGCAGCCAGCAGCCATCTTGTCTTATAATCCTCTGGGTGTCCTTGTAAGGAGGCCTGAAGGGGAAGAATACACTTAATCCTTGGTGAATTATATGAAGGACAGTATAAAATATAGTGCACGGCATCTTCTGCTGGGCCTCTTCTGCATTCGCAAAAATGTTCCTTTACTTGCCTACTATAAAGTCTACCAGCCAAATATTCAATAGACATAGTCTGAAATCTAAGCTGGGTAAAAGCATGCCCTGCAGCAGGAATAAGGCTGATTCCTGTATGCATTTTATGTTTATGGCTGCAAAGAACAGTAAAATCTGAACCTGAAACAGCCTATAGTTAGTGGCGGCACTTCTCTGCTACTGCTATGCCTTATGATGGTACTCTACAACCGATGGTATCTGCTCACTGTCATGATAGAGTTGGGGGGCTAGGCTCCAAGGCAGGTTCTTAGCTTATGTATCTCTTGTCAAAGGACACATAATCCCATGATCCGTTAGAGCCCACTCCCTCCTTCCCAAAGGGCCCCATTCCTGACTTTGCCACCCACTGAAAGCAACGCTACTCACACCACACATCTGATGGCCTTGAAGGTGTTCGTAATGCCTTTCATATGTGTCACTCCTTTCAAGAGTGCTCGAGGGTTGGGATTTCTTGTATAATCATTGAAATCAAACTCAATTTTGGGTGAGCTCGAAAACTGCACAGCAGCAAACTGGAAGGGGAGAGCAGAAAGAGTGCATCATTGTGGCAAAACAGTAACACAAAACAAGCTAACCCTTTTTGCCCAGGCTGAAGGATGAAGGTGTACTACTAAGGACCACGGACAATGACCTGGTTCACAAGTAACACTAAACCATGGTTAGCTTAAGACAGCCTTTCTCAACCTGTGGGTCCCCAGATGTTGTTGAATTACAACTTCCATCACCCCTAGCTAGCAAGGCCAGAGCTCAGGGATGATGGGAGTTGTAGTCCAACAACATCTGGGGACCCACAGGTTGAGAACCGCTGGCTTAAGACATTGCTTGTTTAACAAACCACAAGTTAACTGTGAGTTGTCCCACGGTTGATCAAACAAAACTGTGGCTCACTTCTCCAAAGTTTGCTTTGTTTTTCCAGCTGCTCAAAGCCCTGGGCTGTGACCCTCTGATGTCCGACAAGTATATCTTACATGTACAGTGCTGTTGTATAGTCCGTCCATCACATCAATCATAAATTCCGTAATGTTGCTGAAATCCTTATTTTTCATGCTTTCTGACCCGTCAAAGAGAAACACCAGGTCCACATTCCCTTTCAAGCACTCTGTGGGACGAATGGGGAGCTTGGTTATAGTCTAGATGGAAATATGGGCAGGGAAGGAATGGTTTATTAAACTATGGGAACTGCCAACTTCAAGTAAAATTACCTGGATGCTTTGGGTTCAACCAGGGAAAAAGAAAATAAATTGATTTCAAGCAAGAATGGGCAATGTTTAAAGAACTACTGTTCCAAAGTTGGTTGGTTATATCTTATTGCAATTTTATAATATATGAATATAATTCTTCATAAATAGAATATTATAAATATATAAATAAAATGACCCAGTTAATACCTTCTCCTTATTAGCTATATTAAATACATGAAGTAAGTTGGTTTTCCTTTTTCTCTCTCTTTATTGTTTATGCTTTGATACTCAGGAATTATAGTATTTAAAATTTACTCATAACCTCATGGTATTTGTAAAGAGTGTAATTCTTTGTTTGCTTGTTTCCATTTCAATACTTGCATTTTCAATCTATTGGGATATGCATATCTATATACAAACAAAGAATCAAGCAAATAAACAAGAGGGAAGTTGCAAGTAAGTGTTGGGACTCTGGCTTGCCTGGCAAGAGAGCTGGCAATTGGGTGAGGAGATTTCCTGTGTCCAAACAGGAATATTAAGAAACAAGAAACTGCTTCTTAACAGTCCATTGAGGAAAGGCTAGGAAGAGGTTGAGGTATTGTTTCACCTTTTAACCTAGCTCTTCTCTGGAAGGAACTTTGCAAGTTGCATTCCTATGAAACAGTGCTCACATTTTAGAAGTTGTTCTCTAAAGACGGAACCAATGGCTAAAGAACAAAAGACGGAACTATTTTATTTAAAAATAAAATAACAGAAGCTTCTTCTGAGTTTCCAACCTTTGCTTAACATGAGAATTTTCTGGGTGAAGGTTTCATAGGCTGCACCCTCCCCCACTGTGAGATCTGCTCAGGGTGAAGGGACATTTTCTCCTTACTTTGGTATCCGGTCTTTATGCTCTCTGGGTTGCGCAGTTTGGCATCAAACAAATAGCAGATCCCGCTCAGGTAAAGATTTTTGTCACAATGCTCTGCGAGTCCCGGCCCACATGCCTGCAGGGGAGGAAGTTTCAAGTAACAGGTGAAAAATAAATATTAAAAAGAGTAAGCGATTAGATGGCATTACATAGGGACAAGGGAAGTTCTGGAACAAGGGAACTCCACAGCCGGATGAATGGAGAAGAGGGGTTCAGGAACTCTCCGGAAGTAACCGAATAGAGCAGAACTCTGTGGCCACCAAAGATTGAAGGGGTTTCCCAGGTGGAAGATTATGGACAGCAGAGATGAAGTCTGAGCTGATTCCCAGAGAAATTCTCCTACACAGGTCTTAAGTGACACAAACAGGAGTTGCATAAAAGCACTTCCCATTGCAATTTGGAGTTTGCGCCTAAGGCACCAAAATGTCTCTGGGGGCAACCCTGGTCTCCTTTGGGAGGGAAGTAAATTTAATAAACAGTAAGGATTCTTGAGACTCTCATCATAAGAGTCAAATGAATCTTGGAAACACAGGGCTGTACTCAACTAACATTTTTCCTCAGAGCAGGCTCACTAAAATGAATTGTCATTACTAGCTTGGGACAATTAATTTTAACGGGCCATGCCTAGCTTGGGTCAATTAATTTTAACGGGCCGACTCTGAATAAAAGTGAGTTGAATACGACCCAAAGACTCTGTGCCGTTTATGTTGCTCAAATTCACCCCCCCCAAGCAATTCCAGCCCAGACTCACAATCATCTTCGACCCTCGCACGTCGCTAGCCAGGGTCATGCCAAGGTGAGACACCCCAGAGCCCCCTGCAAAGAGACATCGAGGTCAGATGGATCCGTGCCAAATGAGACACACTCAATGTAGACCCTGCAGATCTGTAGCCATTCTCCCTGCCCCCTAGATAGCTGAACAGGCCTAAAAGCCAGTCAGGACACACACCCCCCCACACACACACCAAGGCAAAATGGCTGCCATTTGAACAGGCCACCAGGGACAGTTAGGGAATCTCCCTAGAACCACCTCTGACATGGAGATTCTGGAGCGCTTCCTCAATTCTTGTGGCATAATTCTTGTCAAGTTGTGGAAGCTCTCTGAGGACTTTCTATTCAGGGTCTGCAACAGGTGTGGGGAACCTCAGGGTTGGGTGCCAAATGCAGCCCCCCAAGATACTCTTTCTGACCCTCAGGAGGACTCTCCTCAGGCCACAACCGCTTCTCAGCCACACCTCCTACTGGCCCTGCGCCACATCTGACTTGAGCTTTTTTGCCTGGCTGGAATATGCCCTTCAACTCTGACCTGGCCTCATGCTTGCCTGTATGGTGGATCGAGAGAGGAGGTAAAACGCACATTAATCACTCTGGAATGAGCCTGCATCCTAGTGTCCCACAACTCACCGTCAAGCGGGACGTTTTCACATGTGTCGCTCTGCATGTTACACTGGTATACTTTGCCTGTGGAGTTCTGCTCACCGGGGGCTCCCACAATGATCCTGACAACAATTAATAGCACGGGTTATGTAAAGATTTAAGCTTTAAGCTGCAGTTCCCAAAGTATGCCTTTAACAGCATAATGACAGGCAGAAATCAGGCAGACAAACTGGGTTTGTGGCAATGAAACAATGCAGGGAAGCTGCACCATCTGAATTTCTGCCTGCCGCACAGCTCTTAGGGAGGTTCCTATCCATTAAAAAAGGGACCAGCCCTTCCCTTCCCTCCCCTCCTCTTCCCTCCCACCCCCTGCTACAACTTTTCATTCTCACTTCTTGAAAACACTGTGCAAAAGATAACACAGAGTTCAAAAAAAGGGGAACAGGTTGGGAGTGCCCCCCCTCAAAAAAACCCCCAACGAAACCAAACAGGATGTGAACTTTCCACTCAGTCACAGAATATAAATCCAGAATAGTGAAAGTCGAAGACACATGTATGGGATTCCTCTTTTCCCAGGCAAAAATGTTGTAGTGTGCTTTGTGCCGTGCTGTCAGTGGGGGTTTCTCACTTTGGGCAACTAAGGCACCACCCTAGATGAATCCTGTGCCCCCTTGGTCCTCCACAATGCTTCCATGTTCAGTTGCAGAGAGTGGAGGCTTCACTCTCCAGCTTTTCCCCATCAATATTCTCAAATCAGCCAATCCGCTCTTTTAAATTCCTAGCCAAAAGGAAACTATCACTATAGCCGGGGTCCCACCTACTGTCTCCGTGGAAGAAACAGAGCAAATGCATCAGTAAAATATGTGATATTCTACCATTTTGCTAGGACATCTGGTCCCCAAGAACTTGAAAGTTTTGCCTCCCCACCCTATTTTCCCAGTTTAGGTAGTTGTGACACTTGAATATACATAGGGAAGCAGTTCAAATTGACAGAGAAGACAGGGCAACGGCAACCCATAGCCAATCACAATGCTTTAAAATTCCTTCCCTTCAATAAAAAAGGATTCGCACGAGGGTGTCCTAAAGTATGGAATGCCTTTCGCTAAGATACCAGCTTAGGCCATACCTGAAATTGACAATTGTGTGGACATAGACTGCATCACTATATAATTTAGTTAGCAGGGGACACCAGACTTGGTTGCATCTGGGTGGTACGAGGAGTTTCTTGCTACTGTTTTGTACTTATCACAGATAGACAATTAAGTTTTTGTTCGGCTTCCTGACTGATTCCTCCCTTTAAGCAAGTGTTCTACAACCTTAGGTCCCCAGATGTTCGTTACGACTACAACTCCCATAATCCCCAGCCAGCTTAGTCAATGGTCAGGGATGATGGGAGTTGTAGTCCAACAACATACAGAGGCCACAGGGTTGAATAATGCTTCTGCAAGGCATCCACAGCACCAGCTTTCTTTTGCCTTTCACAACAGCTTGATATTTGGACATTTAGCAGATGGAGCTTCCTGATGTTGGGATTTTTGTCTGGCAGGTGTTTAAAGCATTAAAAAAAACTATGGGGCGGGACACCAACTGTAACCACTCATTTCCCACAGTTAGGAGAAACCCAACACAAAAATCATTTCCCACAGTTAGGAGAAACCCAATACAAAAATCTTTCACACACATCCCCTGGCACATGGACTGGGGGATTACCTAGTATCAGGGCCTTCTCCAAACTGCAGGACCTGATATCCAAACTGCTTGCTGACATTGGAGGAGAACAGGGCTACTGGAGAGGTGTCAATATTGTCTCCCAGCGATGATGATGGACCTGTGGAAAGAGGAGGTGCCATGTTTATTCAGAGTGGATGGAGTAAGAAGAAGCAGACCAGAAGTCATCTTCCTGTCATTTCCTACTGCACCTAAGTTTGCCAGCTAGTCAGGGGGAAAAGAGACCTAGATTGTCCCTGTGCCATAGATAGCAGTTGGATTTGAATATCAGAAGGCAAAGTATTTCATGGCATGGAGATAAACATTGTTACCTAGTAATATCAGCAGGTCATGCTCCTGTTGAATGCACAAGAGCAGAGCAGAGTTGGTCAACTGACAACCCTAAACCACAGTTCAATTTCCTCCACAGGTCTGTGGGAAGAAGAGGTTGCACAATTGAAGTGGGTTTGGTGCTCTTGTGCAATAAACCCGTTTATTGTTATTATTGAGGTAAGGGAAGCAACAATAAAGTGCACTGTGAAGTGTGGAATGACAGTGATGTCATACAACCCGTGGAAACAAATCTGAATGCTCAATAAACAGCAATTCTCCATGCAAATTTTGTGCAAATAAATCAAGACAAATGCTTAAAAAAACAACAACAGGTTATCTGGAAGATGGAGTCAATTCTAAGCTTGACAACCTGACTGAGTCCATCAGACAGCAGCTGAATACACTGCAAGAAAAAGCTAGACCCCTTCTGCACTATACATTTAAAGCAGTATCGTACCACTTTAAAGAGTTAGGGCTACCCCCAAAGAACCCTGGGAACTGTGATCTGTTAAGGGTACTGAGGAGATTCCTGTTCCCCTCACAGAATTCCCTTGGGAGAGAGATTGATGGTTAAACCACTCTGAGACTTACAGTTCTGCGATGGGAGAATAGAACCTCTCAGAACCCTTAACAAACTACAGTTCCCAGGATTCTTAGGGGGGGCACCATGACTATTTAAAGCGGTATGATACTGCTTTAACTGCATAGTGCAGATGGGGCCCCAGATACAACAAGGCAGCCGCAAGGACTTAGGTACATTTAATTCCTTTCCATTCCCATTCGTTTCCCATTTCTGCTCCATTCACAAACTGAGCGGGAAGCGGTGGCCTATTTTTATCTGAAATGGAATGTGTCTGAGAAAGGTGGAAGCTCAACGGTGGAGCATTTGCTTTGCATGTACAAAGTCCCAGGCATCATCAGATAAGGCTGAGAGAGACTCCCTACCTGAAACCTTGGGAAACTGCTGTCAGTCAGTATAATTAATACAGTGGTACCTCTGGTTAAGAACTTAATTAATTCTGGAGGTCCGTTCTTAACCTGAAATTGTTCTTAACCTGAGGTACCACTTTAGCTAATGGGGCCTCCCGCCGCTGCCGTGCTGCTGCCGCCGCTCAATTTCTGTTCTCATCCTGAAGTAAAGTTCTTAACCCGAGGTACTATTTCTGGGTTAGCGGAGTCTGTAACCTGAAGCGTCTGTAACCCAAGGTACCACTATACTGAGATAGGTGGACCAACGGTCTGGCTGTGTGTATAGCAGTGCTGTGTGTGTGTGGCCAAATCCTGCCCTCCCCTCCACACTGCTTTTTGTGTTTTTTAAAAAAAAATGCACCCCACTTGGGTTGTGCTTTCATTTTAAAAACACAGCTCACTTGTTACATTCATTTTGATTATATAACCAAACGGAACTTCAAATGAATGAATTCATTTACAGTACTTTGCAACCAGGCCACTCATTTCTCACTCCTTTCTTTTGAGATGAAAAACTGAAACAGCGTGTACCAGGTCGCAGAAAGGTTACGGGTGTTGGAGTTGGTATATGCAAATATGTCTGGTTGGCCTTTATATTTTCTGTCGAAAGTTAGGCGAAACCGAATCTTTTGGAAATGCAATAGTATGTGTGAAAATGTCACACTATTTGGATGGAAAACAAAGAAGTTACAAGCAGGAGAAGAGCTGCCCTCTCACTGAAAGCAATAAGAAGGAGGGTGTTTTAAAATTGCCTTTGTGGCAAGGGATCTTTCTAATCCACCTGGAAGCTGGCATGTGATGTCTGGTGCCTTGAAGCAGCTGTAGACTACCCAAAATGTTGCACCGTTTGCATGGAAATGGCTGAAGTCACAGGGCACAGAAATAATCTTTGTTGCTGGGGCCTCCCCGCAAACGTGAAGGGCTCCCATGTGGAAATTTTCCCTACATACTGGCTAAGTCACCTTGTGAATCTGAAGGAGGGAGTAGCCCCAGCAACAGAATGAGAACATACCGCATTTACACTCTCAAGAAGAAACCAAGATTCCCAACCACAACTACGGGTGCATCATAAAACCACAATATGAATTGAAACTAGAGATTGGTGCCTGCCCTTTTGTGGGGGCTGGTTCAATTCAAATGTGCCAAAATGTTACAGTGCAGGCAGCAGCTAATTGTAGTACATACTGGAGATCACGCAAAGGTTGGCTGCATGCGACAAAGGAACTTGAGCCAGCCTTACCATGAGACACAGTAAGGCAACTGCCTCAGGCAGCAGCAGTGGGAGCAGCAGCCCTCCAGCTGTTCGCCCTGAGGACCCTAGCTGATCCCTTCCACTGGAGGACAGAGCTGTGTGTGCCCCCTACACTAGGCTTCTGCCCTTAGGTGCAGTGGGGGAAGCTAACGTCACCAGTGTTGAAGCAAGATTAAACTCTCAGTCCAGTGGGTTTCTGTACATGGATTGGGGATGGAGAACATGCAGGTGGAACGCACCATCTTATCCTCTGCCTCAGGCAGCAAAATGTCTTGGACCAGCCCTAACAAGGAAAAAAAAATTATCTGGGCTTTGAAACAGCAGCTGATCCTTGATGCAAACTAATGTGGAAATGTAGAGAAGTGAACTTAAATGAGAGACAAGGAGATGACACAATTGACACTTTTGCCCATGACCTTCTTCCAACAAGGGAACCAGACTGCACCCTTGGGAATTCTCCCCACTTGGAGCATTGGGGCTGCGTTAAAAAAAACAAAAAACTGTTTGGCTACAATGTATTTCCAGTATAATCCAACAGAGAAGTGGGCAGGGGTAACATTATTGTGGAGGATAGGCTTCTGCGAAGTAAATGAATCGTGCAGACAAGAGACCCTTTTAGATGTGCATCTGTGTGCACATGGTTTCTCCTGGGTGAACAGCCCAGCACATGTTTTGCATCATAGGCACTGGATCCTAGAGGCCAAAGCACTTTTGGGGTGTGTGTGTGTGGAGGGTCATTTTTGAGGAGTCTGGGCCCACGCAATGTTTGTGGACGTTCAGCTCTGCCCCCTGGCTCCTCCCAACATTGGTCACGCAACACCAGGACCCCCTTAATCATGCTAAGAAGCTGATGCCTCTGTTTTGCATACAGAGAATTCAAGGTCCAGACTCTATCTTCTCCAACTAAAAGGATCTTGGGTAGCAGAACTAGGAAAGACCTCTGGCCGAAGCAATGGGGAGCTGCTTGTACTGGGCTAGATGGATCAACAGGTCAGCTTCCTATATCCCAAAGTCACCACGCTTCTTTGAAGAGCTCAGTCCAAAGCCTTGGTCCCACTGCAAAGAAGGCCCCGCTCTGTAGCTTCCGAGCCTTCTGTTTGAAGGTCTTAAGAGGCGGTGTGCAGGAAGAAGCGCTCTCTGATCTTATCTTTCCATCTTTCGCACGGAAATTAATAGGAACTCACACTTCTTTAAAAAGACATAGCTATTTCACACTCTTTCTAATTATAAGCGAACAGCATTATGTGAGTCCTACAAAGGTTTCACACTCAAATATCCTTACCCTGTAGGGGGATTTATATTTTTGAAACCCCTCTCAGATAGGCCTCTCTTTTTCTGTTTACTTATCAATACATTTCCCTTTGTCCCAAAGTAATTGTGCAGAGGATTACAGCCTCAGAACTCTTTAAATCACACAACAGTCCAAATTTGGGGGTGGTTTTTTCACATGCTAACAAAAAAACCTGCTGCTTTCTTTGTTTACCAGCTAACTGGAATCAGGAGATATATAATGAAAGAGGAAGGATTGCCTTCTGTGTTGAAATATTTGCAGATAAACGAAAGTGCAAAGGCTGCAGCCTGCCAGGAATGAGGGCTTTAACATCAGGATGGATCAGATTTCAGTATTTCCCCTTCCCACAGGGTTGTTAACTTTTAAATACTGGCCCTGCTCCTGTGTGGCCTAATTTAGCAATCTGTGGTTTACCTGAGATGGAGATGATCTGACAGGAAAATCTTCCTGTGCTACTGTTTTGGCATATCTGGCTGCTGTAGTGGCCCCCAGGTTTTGGAATGAGCAGAGCCAGTGAGAAAGTTGGCGTCAAATGTTCTTCAAACAAGAAGAACCAATAGAGTCAATTCCAAAAACATTAACTTACATCACACTTATACCGAAAACAGAGACTGAAAAGACACAACTCAAGAACTACCGCCCCATATCATTGCTTAATGTGGATTATAAAATTTTTGCAGACATTTTGGCTAAAAGACTAAAAAAGGTGTTAACAGAAGAAATTCACAAAGATCAAGCGGGCTTTCTCCCGGGCAGACACTTGTCTGACAATACGAGGAATATAATTAATATTTTAGAAAAATTACAAGTGAAGATTAATACTAAAGCAGTTTTGATATTTGTGGACGCGGAGAAAGCTTTTGACAATATTTCCTGGAGTTTTATGAAGAAGAATTTATTGGGGATGGGGGTGGGTCAAAGTTTTGGAAACGGTATAGGTGCAATTTATTCAGAACAGAAGGCCAAATTAATTGTGAACAATGTAGTGACGGAAGAATTTAAGATTGAGAAAGGAACACGACAAGGTTGCCCAATCTCTCCATTGCTTTTTATATCAGTCTTGGAGGTTTTGTTAAATATGATTAGAAGGGACCAATTGGTAAAAGGTATACAAGTGGGAGCCAAACAGTACAAATTGAAAGCATTTGCTGACGATTTAGTATTGACTTTACAGGAGCCAGAATCTAGCACTGAAAGAGTATTAGAACTAATTCAAGAATTTGGTCAGGTAGCAGGTTTTAAGTTGAATAAGACGAAAACTAAGGTTTTAGAGAAGAATCTAACAGAGATGGAGAGAGATAAGTTTCAGAAGGAGACAAGACTGACACTGGTTAAGAAAGTGAAATATTTAGGGGTTAACATGACTGCTAAGAATGTGAATTTATTTAAGGATAACTATGAAAAATGTTGGACTGAAGTGAAAAAAGATTTAGAAATATGGTCAAATTAGAAGCTATCGCTGTTAGGCCGAATTGCTGTGATAAAAATGAATGTATTGCCAAGAATGCTGTTTTTGTTTCAAACACTGCAAATTTTGGACAAAATGGACTGTTTCAAGAAGTGGCAGAGAGATATCTCTAGATTTGTCTGGCAGGGCAAGAAGCCTCATATAAAATTTAAGATATTAACTGATGCTAAAGAAAGAGGTGGATTTGCCCTGCCAGACTTAAAACTTTATTATGAATCAGCCGCTTTTTGTTGGCTGAGAGAATGGATGCTTCTTGAAAACACGGATGTTTTGGATTTGGAAGGTTTCAATAATGTATTTGGTTGGCATGCATATCTGTGGTATGATAAGGTTAAAGCACACAAAGCGTTCAAAAACCATATTGTAAGAAAAGCACTGTTTAATGTTTGGATAAGATATAAGGACTTGTTAGAAAATAAAACCCCAAGATGGTTGTCACCAATGGAAGCAAAGTCTCAGAAAAAACTCAATATGGAGGCCAAATGGCCGAAGTATTGGGAAATTTTGGAACAAGAGGGTGACAGATTAAAACTGCAGAGCTTTGAATAATTAAAAAACAGAGTATGAGATTGGCTCCATTATTATCAAATAATGGAGGCATATAACTTGGATACAAAACTAGGCTTCCAGGTGGAAAAATCAAAGTTGGAAACAGAATTGTTAGACTCTAAAGTTAAGAATTTGTCAAGAATGTATAACTTGCTGTTGAAATGGAATACTCAAGGTGAAATGGTGAAATCTGCTATGATTAAATGGGCACAAGATGTTGGACATAATATTATGATGGCTGACTGGGAACAGTTATGGACCACTGGTATGAAGTTTACGGCATGTAATGCCTTAAAAGAGAATTTAATGAAAATGATTTATAGGTGGTACATAACACCAGTCAAGCTTGCAAAAATCTACCATCTGCCCGATAACAAATGTTGGAAATGTAATGAAACTGAAGGTACATTCTTTCACCTTTGGTGGACATGCCCAAAGATTAAGGCATTCTGGGAGATGATCTATAATGAAATGAAAAAGGTATTTAAATATACCTTTCTGAAGAAACCAGAGGCCTTTCTCCTGGGCATGGTCGGCCAATTGGTGCCAAAGAAGGATAGAACTTTCTTTATGTATGCTACAACAGCAGCAAGAATACTTATTGCAAAGCACTGGAGACACAAGATCTACCCACCAGGGAAGAATGGCAGATGAAGCTGATGGACTACATGGAACTGGCGGAAATGACTGGTAGAATCCGAGACCAGGGAGAAGAGTCGGTGGAAGAAGATTGGAAAAAATTTAAAGTATACTTACAGAAACATTGTAAAATTAATGAGTGTTAGAAGGATGCTGGAATGAAGCTATATGGTTTTAGTAGAAATGTAACAAAGAATTAAGTAAAAGCTGATTGATAATGGGCCAAAATGGAAAAATTTAAGGTTAAACTGTTAAGATAAATTATAGAACAAAAATTGAGAAAGATGGAAAGAATTTGCTGAAATAGTGAATTGAACTAGAATACAAAAAAAGGGAGGTGTGAGGAGGTCGATGAAACAAGTAAAGGAATGGTAAAGATATGGAATATTGGATGTGCGTTTTAGTTTTTTTTGTTTCTTTTTGTTGTATTGCTTTTCTATGGTTTTTTTTCTTTTTTATTGTTGTCTTTTTTCCTTTTTTGTAATTTTTAAACTTTTAATAAATATCATTTAAAAAAAAAACAATTCCAAAAACATTAGAAGTGATTTTTAAAAATGGTGAAATAGCAGATCTTAAAATTAACAAAGATAAAACCAAACTCCTGGTAAAAAATATGACTGATGAGAGTAAAAATAAATTACAAAATATATCAGGTCTAAAGATCGTAAAGAAGGTTAAGTATTTAGGTATATATTTAACAGCAAAGAATATGAATCTACATAAATATAACTATTTGAAAACCTGGGGGGATATTAAAAGAAATTTGCAAATATGGGGTAGAATGAAACTTTCATTGCTGGGCAGAGTGTCAACCACAAAGATGAATGTATTACCAATAATGTTCCCCCCCAATCAATACCAGTGATCAGCAAGTCAGATTGCTTCAACAAATAGCAAAAAATATATTTATAAATATATCTGGCAAGGGCGGGGGGGAACCAAGAATAAAATATAAAATACCGATAGACATGAAAGATAGAGGATGTTTCTCCCTGTCGGATATGAGATTATATTATGAAGCATCTTGTCTGTGCTGTTTGAAGGAATGGTTGCTATTGAAGAATCCACATATTTTACATTTGGAAGGTCACAATAATATTTTTGGTTGGCACACTTATCATCTGTGGTATGAAAAGGTGAAACCATATAATTAGGAAAAAAATATATAGAATATGGGACAAATATAAAAAAAAAATTGGAAACTAAAACACCACTTTGGCTTTCACCTTTGGAAGCAATAGCAGTGAAAAAGAAAACTATGATGGGAAGTTGGGCGACTTATAGAAATTTATTAAGAGAGGAGGGTGGAGAATTTAAATTAAAAGTTTAAGGATTTACCAGGAATGTTAACAACATGGGTACAATATCATCAACAGCAGCTCTCCAGGATTTCAGTCTGGGGACAATCCCTAGAGATGCCGGGAACTGAACCTGCAAAAGATGCTTTGCCACTCAGCTCTGACCCTTTCCCAAATATAGCTGCACGGAGTGCTCCTGGTCAGGATTCCAGCTGCTCCATTTCCCCCCGCCACCCTATTTTATGTCCCACCATCATAGTCAGGCAGCATTCCAGTAAAGGGTTGGGTTTTTGGAAGACGCCTGTGCGTGAATTTGTTTTATGTGTGTAGATCAGTGCACACTGACCACCGCACAGTCTTCGCAGTAGGGCTCTGTTCTGATGGCATGAAGTAGTCACCACAAACCGGTAGATTCCTATCTGCTGCAGCCTTCATCTGCCTTCACAGCCTTTGTAACATCCCACTTGTTCTGCTGTTCTGCTGTTGAGGACTTCTTGGATTATTCTTTGTCTGGCCCCTTCCCTTTGACCTTACCGCCTTGGGTGACCCTGCTGGGAGTACGAGATTCCCGACGGCTTCGCTCACAAGGGTCATAGGAACATGCAAGCCCACTCACCACAACAAGGTGATGATCCAGCGAGTAAACCAGCAATGTAAAATCACACAAAAGCCAATGAAAGTGAACAAAGCAAAAATAAAATAAAAAATCCAGGGGATTCAAACATAAAACAAGGTCCAATATTATGGGCTTGAGAAAGCCTGGGTGAAAAGATCAGCCTTATCACAAGAGAACTGATGTAATGGACGGTTACTGCTTCAGGTATGGCAGAGGGAAGGGCATTGCACAGAACAGGGGAAACAACAGAAAATGCCCATTTTCAGGTCACTACTCAGGGATCATATTCTTCAGGGTGCGGTGCCATGGGTAGAATTTGCCCATATGATCTAAGTTAGTGAGGGCCAAATGTGGCCCTCCAGCTGTTTTGGGACTACAACTCCCATCATCCCTAGCTAACAGGACCAATGGTCAGGGATGATGGGAACTGTAGCCCCAAAACAGCTGGAGGGCCAAGTTTGGCCATCACTGATCTAAGTGATCTTACAGTACTCTTTCAGATCACCTCCTCCTGAGTTGTTCAGGGCTGATCAGCAGCCAGTGCAGTTTCCCCAGCACAGGTATGATATGTTCCACTCTGCAATCTGGCCTGCTGCGTTGATTCTGCCCCAGCTGCAGGTGTGCAAGCCTTGTGCTGTTGCACTTCTGCAAACCTTGGAGTTTCCCTGAGTCAGCCAATCGCTCCTTCTTATGTGTGGGCGCTGCCAAGCTGGCTTCCGAGGCAATCGGGGCCTGCGTGCACATCTTATTTCAAAACAGAAACGTCCCTTCCAAGAAGCCCCAGCTAAGGACTGCCATTCGTTGTAATGCAAATCCTGAGATTACTTAATACTAAGATTCGTGTGCCAAGAAAACAGTGTGGACTAGGCGGCTGTTATGCTTTTAATGGTCGCAGACTGCAAAATCAACAGCAACAGGAAGTGATGCTTTTCACAGTCCTTGTCTGCTAATCTCTGCAGATCATTCTTTTGGGCCAGGAAACAAACACAAAACATGCAACTTTTTAACCACCCTAATGATCTTTTACTTATCTATCATCACAGTGTTTTCTTTCTAACAGGAGTCTTGCTACATGTCATTTCCATTCCATGAAAATATGTAATTTCCATTTCAATAAAAATGACTGTACTCTGCCTGGCAAGGCACACTCACAAAGGCCGGAGTGACCCCCCCTCCCAGCAGTGGTGCTGTGGGGTGATGCAAAACATCTTGTCATTTCAGGTTATTTTACACCTTGGACTCTATGGTCTTATGGAGGAGCCCCTCTTTAGATGGTAAAGTTGCATTTCCCCCCACTTACATAGAAACGTGGTCAGCCAGTGTAGGAGTGCACATATCCAGAGTGTGGAGGTCAGGTGGGATTACTATGAGGAATTATAAAATATGCATCAAGCCATTGTGTCCACTATGAAAGCATGGCGTTGATTGGGTTCGATTCATTGACAATAATTTCTGATCAAATCCCACAAGCCTCTGCATTTCTGGCAATTTTCTCTACTGTTCACTTCTACACCTGACAGGCACGTATCAGCATTCTAAATACACAGGCCAGCTGCTTCATCAGGCAACCTGAGCCATAAAAGATAGTAGGTAGCTTCTTTGATGTAGCTTGTTAATCTTTAGATAGATCTTAAGGACCAGGAAGAGTGTTCACAATGAGATAGTAAATACTACCCAGCCTTCCTTCCTTTATTGCTGTTTATGACCTCTGGGTTTGCTGAATGCATTCTTCCTTTTTAGTTCTGTTTTATTTACCCCAGAAGTATGCATGCTTAAATTAGTTTTGTAGTGTAACTTTGTCCCCACGTGGGGTTTTTTGAAATGCTCAGAGGAAATCTGATTGGTTCTTACGAACACTGGGTAAAAAGTTCTTTTGTGAATAAAACGACCTGGGCCGGAGGGTGGACAGGAATTATTATTATACGCACTCCTCCCAGAGTCTTGCTGGTCAAGCCTGTGCGTATTTTATCAGTCCAATCCTTCCTTTGCTTTGGGAATGCCACAGCCAGCAAATGTCAGGGGGTGCCCTGTGCATTCAGCTGAGTGGAAGCCCCCTGGACATCTGCCCCCAAGTCCTGCCCTGATGATGCCACTGCCAGCCAGGAAGAGAGCCAGCAGCCTTTCTGCCTTGGCAACAGATGTCACTCACCTATCAGGCTGCATACAAACCGTGCATTTTTAAACCACTCCTCCCTATTGCCGCCACCACAGAATCCTGGAAACTGCAGTTTGTTAAGGGTTCTGGGAAGTGTAGGGCTGCAAGAGGCAAATGTTGGTCCCCAGGATTATTATGGGGGGTGGAGTCATGTGCTTTAAATGTATGGAGTTTATGCAAATCTACACACACACACACACATCATTCTGGTAAGAGGACTATTTGCAACATTTCCTTATTCTGACCCCTTCTTTCTCCCCAGCCACAGATGAAGGGCGTACCCCTGCGTTCTCACACCCTGAGGGTTGCCAGCTTCTCAAGTGGTCGCTGTAGCTGCCTCTGCCTTTAATGATGACACCCTGCTGTACAAACAGACGCAAAATGGTTCTCAGAGGGTGTGGTGGGCCACACTTGGTGTGGAAGGAGAGGATGGCAAGTGTGGCAAGAAGATTCAATAAACATTTAAAGATTTCAGTACAGTATAGTACAGTATAGCATAGCTTGTGTGTATACACACAACAACAACAACAGAAACAGAAACAGCACCCATGCCTCCCTTCAAGAGCACTGGCTATTCTTCTAAACTTTTCCACAACATATTGTTGTCAACAGGGTTTTTCAACTTTGCCCAATATGAAAGGTCAGAAAAGTGAAGCTTCTTTGAGTTGATGAGATGAAAGTTTGCTTGTCTCAAATTAGACCGAATATAAATGAAATTTCCTGGCAAAAGCAAGCTCACACCTCTCATTCAGTTTGTATACATGCTTAAGGTACATAAGGCTTCTGTAAAATTAAATTTGGGGGAAGATTCACGTTCTTACATAGCTGCCTTGTTTTATACTTTATGGATGTCCTGTGATTATATTATAAAGTAGTTGTGTCGCGTGTTATAAATCAAGCGCTGTCAGGAGTTGTTTTCCAGTGTATTTCTTATCAAAGAAAAATTTGGTGCAGCATGAGCACATTTTTATTCTGAAGTGTGGCCCAGAGAAACTTTTCTGAGAACCACTACACTAACTGAAAATGTTTTATCTCCATAATTCAACCTTTTGACTGCCAGTTCCTCCATATATTAAGGCTGGTGGGACCTTCTGTGTGGCAAGCAAGCACTCTGCTTGCGGCTCTTTTGCACAATAAGCTGTTAGAAGCACAGGAGCGGGGGGTGGGTGGGTGTGCACACGCGTGACTTGTGTCAGCTGGAAGCCATTCTTCTTAACCAGGGAGATTCTGGGTGAGAGGTTGGAATGGAAGGATCTCTCAGTTTTGTTCCTCTGAAGTTTCTCATTTTTCTAGTCAGAAATTCAGTTCTCCACATTTTGCAGCAATCTACTTTTTAAAAAATTCCTATGAAAATTCACCTGCATTTTAATATGGCTTTCTTCTCAGAATCAGTGTTTTTGTTTTTTTGCAGTTGTGACTAATGCACTCATTTATGGACGCAATTCCCCACAATATTATGCATTTTTGCATGTTATTTTCACAAACATCTTAATTTGTACGCACGCTTTCTCCTAATATATGCATTTTTGTAAACGTTTGCTTGGAGAAGCGCATCACAACACCCAGAGAGGTGTGCGCTGTGAAGGATAGATCCATTTCAGTTCTCCTACTGTTCTGGAATGTGAGAATCTGATAGGTTCGGTTTTAAATGTGAACCGAATCGAATTTCTCCACCCTTGCTGGGAGATGGTGAAGCAGTGACTAGTCAGTTTAAATTTATAGTACGATAAACTCACAAACAGGATTTGAGCTATGAGAAACAGAAGTAATTAGATTATAATATCGTTATGATTTAATAGAAGACAGGGTGCAGCAGAAGGGGAGAAACAACATGGAAAATGGGGTGCAAAAATAAAAGACAAAATTGTGTTTTGATTGTACATGTTAAAAATGTTGAAACTTAATAAAACATAATTGGGGGGAAAAGAAGAAAGGCAGAAGCAGATTAATATCTCTCCCTCTCTCTCTCTGCCTCTCCAAAACACTGATGACAAGTTTTGCAGGCAACATTCCTGTACTCTGGGCTGTTGCTAACACAACAGCAGCACCTGTAAAGTATCTGGCAGCTCTTAAGCTGCTGACAGTAGCAGATCACACCAAGATACCGACAGAATGACTTGATGTGCGTTCAGCCGACTTCCTCCCTGTGGCAGCAGCCCAGGCTTTTAAGACCCACACTGGTTTGCCTGAAAGTAGGCTTGCGGCTTTGTTACCGCCGCCACCAACACTGCTGTGAGAGTGGTTCTCACACTCTTGCTGAAGAAGCAGAAGTGGAGTAGGGACAGCTGAAAAATGACTGTAGGCCAGTGGCAGGGCATCTGCTTGGCATGCAGATGTTGCCAGGTTCGATTCCTGGCATCTCCCGGTAGGGCCGGGAGAAGCCTCTGCCTGGAAGCCTGGAGAGTTTCCTATACCTTGGTTATCAAACGCATTGGTACTCAAACAACTTGCAACCCAAACACTGCAAACCTGGAAGTAAGTGTTCCGGGTTGCGAACATTTTTCAGAAGCCGAATGTGCCCCGTTTTGAGTGCCACACTTCCGATTTGAGTGCCACAATTACATTTTGAGTGTTACGCTGATGTCTGTCTGCTTTTGCTACTTATTCTCTGTTTTTGTGGCTCTTTTTTTGTGTGACTGTGTGGAACTCAGTTCAGCTACTGATTGATTGATTGATTGATTGATTGATTGTGTGACTGCAGTACAGTGGTACCTCGGGTTAAGTACTTAACTTGTTCCAGAGGTCCGTTCTTAACCTGAAACTGTTCTTAACCTGAAGCACCACTTTAGCTAATGGGGCCTCCTGCTGCCGCTGGAGCACGATTTCTGTTCTTATCCTGAAGCAAAGTTCTTAATCCGAGGTATTATTTCTGTGTTAGTGGAGTCTGTAACCTGAAGCGTATGTAACCCGAAGTACCACTGTACATTATTTATTGCTTTAATTTTCAATGGTCTCGTTAGATAGTAAAATTCATTTAAATTGCTATTTTAGGGGTTGTTTTTAAAAGTCTGGAACGGATTAATCCATTCTGCATTACTTTCTATGGGAAAGCATGCCTTGGTTTTGGAGCGCTTTGGTTTTGGAACGGACTTCCAGAACGTATTAAGTTTGAGAACCAAGGTACCACTGTATTTCTATGAAACATGATGTGATGATGGCAATGAAGACAGCTAGGGGATAGTGTAGAGTATTGTGTGTGTTGGTGTGTTGTTGTGGTGTGATATAAATGAGGATGATCTTAGTCGCGAGGCAAAACCTTGGTTTTACGAAAACATTAACCCTATTTCTACAGGGTTGCTTTGGCTGTTTTCCTGGTTATCATTCAATCGCTCACTGCTGTCGCTGTTGTTGTTTTGCATTTTGGACATGTATCATTCTCTCATTTTGTGGTTTTGTAAGATGTGGCTAAGGGACATGGGGGGTGCTGTGGGTTAAGCCACAGAGCCTAGGACTTGCCGTTCAGAAGGTCGGCGATTCAAATCCCCGTGACAGGGTGAGCTCCCATTGCTCAGTCCCTGCTCCTGCCAACCTAGCAGTTTGAAAGCACCTCAAGTACAAGTAGATAAATAGGTACCGCTCTGGCGGGAAGGTAAATGGCGTTTCCGTGAGCTGCTCTGGTTCACCAGAAGCAGCTTAGTCATGCTGGCCACGTGACCCGGAAGCTGTACGCCGGCTCCCTCGGCCAATAAAGCGAGATGAGCACTGCAACCCCAGAGTCGGCCACGACTGGACCTAATGGTCATGGGTCCCTTTACCTTTACCTTTAAGATGAAGCTATGTTTTACATTTTGTCTTTTAACTTTTCTCCTTAAGCGCCCAGAGTTTATAAAGAAAAGCAGCACACAATTTTTTCAACATCCATGAGATGAGAGCATCTAGATGGCGGAGTGAGTGAATTGGCCGGAGCTTCGTTGCACAGCTGGGATCTGAACTTGCATTTCTCACTGAAACGCTCTTCGGGCCAAACTGCATGTGATGTTAAACGTGCGTTTTAACATTGTGTAGATCTTTTAAAAAATGAAACAAAAAGTTGCAAATGTAACAGAAAGACAAAAGTAAGAACGTTGGCTCACAATAATAAGAATAATCCATCAAATCTAATTTAAGCATACATATTAATATAAGCCATCCATTTGTCCAAAAAAATATATCCAAATAAGACCAATGATAACAAAATTCTGTATATGTTCAAATGTAGAAAGGACAGTAAAGGTATTCAGACCACTGAATAATGGACACAGAGTATCCTTCTGATATTCACTCCATGCATTTAAAGCCTGCTTGTAGCACTGTAACAGTCATGGCTTCCTCCAAAGAATCCTGGGAACTGTAGTTTGTTAAGAGTGCTCAAAGTTGTTAAGAGACCCTTCATTGAGATACAATTCCCAGCCATCCCCCCGGCCCTTGCCAGAAATTGACAGCTCTGCTACAGATCAGAGTAGGATGGGAACACGCGGTAACCCCATCTGGGGGTTCTCCACACCTCTGAAGGTAAGTGGAAGCAAACCTCAGGGAACAAGTAACTCCAGAAAAAACCCAGCCTCTCCAAATGCATACTGTCAAGAAATAGATACCGCTGAAAGCAGGAAGTCTCAATGGACATTCTGGCAAATCTGTAACTTGCACAATTATTAAAGTTGGCTGCTAATTCGGTTAGCAGAAGGAGGAACTAGGAAATCAAGACTATTAGGCCATCTAGCTAAGTATTGTCAGTACCTCAGGGGCAGGGAGCCTGTAGCTCTCCGGAGGCCCTTGGTCTAAATTTCCATCATCCACCCTCATTATTGACCAAGGTGCCTGGGCCAAGGGGCACTGCAGTCCTAGCAGGACTACAAATTAACTGCCTGTAGCTTAACATGGATTAGCAGCAGAGCTCCAGAATTTCAGACAGGTGTCTCCCCAAGTCCTTCCCAAAGATGCCAGAGATTGGATCTGGAAGCAAAGTGTGAGCTCTGCCCCTGAGCAAGCCTGACGAAGCACTAGATCACCTGTCTCCTTTAAAACCTTTGTGCCTCCTTTTTATTTCTTCTCATACATTCACATCCTGCCTTTCTTCTGTCAAGGAACCCAGAGCATTGCCCGTGTGGTTCCTAGGCGGTCTCCCATCCAGGCACTGACCAGAGCTAAACCTGCTTAGCTTTACCAAGGTATCAGCCTCATGTAACTACACACCATGCCCTGGAACTCTCCAAAAAAACTCTCACACATACACGCAACATGCAGCAAGCAATTCACCCCAGCAATTCCCAAACCTGCAAAGGTCCAATCTGCCCATCCTACCTAAACATGGTATCTGTGCCAGCAGACTTTCTCTCCAGTCTCAGTCAAGACAGAGAATTCCGTTTGAGCCAATTCCGACCTACCTCGAAGAGCCAAGCTGATCAGCAGTGTCAGAAAGTAGACTGGAAGGTGTAGGCCAGGCATCCTGGGTGGTGGAAGCAGCAGCAGCAGCAGCAGCAGCAGCAGCAGCAGCTGCAGCGGCTTAAACGGTTCAAGAGCTTATTTTCTGGAGGACATGACTGGCAGGAAGGCACCAGATGAATAGTTTGATCAAGCCAAGAGACAGATTCAAGAGGAGCAAGCGGCTATGGCAGAAGATGAAGGAGAGTGGGGAAGAGGGGAGACTCTCAAGCTTCCAAATCTCAAAACCGTACTGCTACTTTCGCTCCCCCACGTGGTACAAAAAGCAAAGGGTATGATGTGGGCAGGAGAGGAAACGTGGGTGATGAAAGACTCTGAATATGCATATGCGCAAGGGGTGGCACCTGCGCAATGAGGGAAGGAGTTACACCAATGCAACTACACACACACACACACACACACACACACACTGCTGTGACATTGGCATTTGATCACACTGTGAATGGACCTGTAAGACTGGCCAGATAGGAATCATGGACTTGAGCAAAGAACTCCCAAACGTTTAATGTTCATTTCAAGGCTATAGATGCTTCCTGAATGACAAATCATCTACAGAGACAAGTCTTACAACAGTGCTACACACTGCTGTGTGTGTGTGTGTGTGTGTGTGTGTGAGTGAGAGAGAGAGCGCATGGGGGAAACGGAAGTTGGCAATTTGTTTCAAAAATACATGTAAGAGTGAGTGGAGGAAAAGGCAATGTGGTTGTGGGTGGAAGACTTTTCAGCAGAAAAACTGCCAGAGGGGGAAAGGTTGAAAGTTCCTCCTCCTCTAAAAGTCTTCTGAGGTTGAGTGCAGCCTCTGTGGCCGTAATGTGTTAAAAAACAAAAATAAAACACATTAGGGGGAAATAAGAACTTATGGGAATTGCGATCAGGTGGCAAACGGGTCAGGGTCTTTGCAGTCATGGTTTACTCGAGTAAAGGAAAAAATCCCACCAACTCACTTGCTCCTTTGCCTCATGTCAAGGCAGCCCCACTCACCTGCCAAAGCCACTGGTAAGTTTACATCCCTGGCAGGGGCTTATGGGTGTAGCTGGGCAGAGGGCAATAATATCCACAAATATTATTGAAAAGCACTGAAATTACTCAATTATCTGAGGCTCTAACCCCCCAGCCAAAGCCTGCCTCTCCCAGTAGAAGCCTGCCCCCCATAATGTCGTCTTCATGGGATGATTTCCTAAAAGCTAAACAACTTTGGCTGCCCCCCCCCAAACAAAATTCCTGGCTAGGCGTCCATGCATAGGCTGATGAGAGTGGTTTGTGTATAGTACGTATGCCCTGCCCCTTTAGCCAAAATAGTTTTCGGAGCAGTTTGCAATACAGTGGTACCTCGGGTTAAGTACTTAATTCGTTCCGGAGGTCCATACTTAACCTGAAACTGTTCTTAACCTGAAGCACCACTTTAGCTAACGGGGCCTCTTACTGCTGCCACGCCGCCGGAGCACGATTTCTGTTCTCATCCTGAAGCAAAGTTCTTAACCTGAAGCACTATTTCTGGGTTAGCGGAGTCTGTAACCTGAAGCATATGTAACCCGAGGTACCACTGTAATTGGATCTAAGAGAGTTTTGGCTCTGAGGCTCCCCCCCCCCCCCAGTTTAAACTTTAGAATGAGAAGACCGTGTTAAATTAGTGAAATTAGCACCGGTTACCAATAATGGCCCAAGGATGAAGGCACATGTTATTAAAGATCTGGTGAATACATTGTCCTAACAAAATAAAAAAGATTTCCTTCCAGTAGCACCTTAGAGACCAACTAAGTTAGTTATTGGTGCTACTGGAAGGATTTTTTGTTTTGTTTTTGTTTTGACTAGGGCAGACCAACATGGCTACCTACCTGTAACTAGAGCATTGTCCTAACTTTCATGACAGAAGAAAGGACAACAGCGATGGAAGAAAATAAATAAATAAATGAGATTATAGGTACAGTATTTCGGGTGCAGGAGTCCCCTGTTTACTAAGCGTTCAACCCGATCTGTTTGTAGGGAGCTCAGGCGACTGCATCCAAGAAAGGGCTTTCCAACCCTTCCCAGTGCACTTTCCCATCACTTTCCTTATCGCAGGAAATCTGATCTTTTGGGTTTGCTGTGCAAAACTCTCCAGGCAAACTATAATGGCAAAACCTGAACTTACTAGCACATTAACTTGAGTCCTGCCTGGAAATCGCAACAGTCTGGAAGGCCCCATTTACACGTGCTTTAGTTTCATCCAGAGCTGAATAGTGGCAGACACTCTGCGTGGTGGGTCTGCCTTCAGAAATGAAAAAAAAAAAGGTAGGGTGGAGGAGCAGCAGGAATTCAGCTGGTGCAAAATCTGTGGATTCCACCAATCACACACAGACACAGCACGGAAGCAACTAAGCAGATATATGGCTTGCTTGCCTGTTTCCTGTGTTCTGCATTAGTACAGGGAGAGCAGGAGCCCCCTAGAGGCTGGGTGGGGAACAGACACAATACAGAAGGAAGCTGCGAGAGAGCCAATGCAGAGGCTCAAAGGCTTTTTCTTTTCTTTTCTGGGCCACACTTTCAGAATCAAAATTGCTCACAACACACAGGTTTATTTTTATTGATAAGAAATATATTGGAAAACAAAAAGAATCGCCTCCTAGCAGGGCTTGCTTTATAGCACAGAAAGAGCTGTTTTATAATATGATCATGGCAGGGCCGGATTTAGGTTTGATGAGATCCTAAACTACTGAAGGGGTAATGGGGCCCTTTATACGCCAAGCTGTCCTTGGTCAACAACAAACTGTAGCTGTTTTTTATGTTGAATATACGCTATATGGTAATTTATCGATGTACTAGGTATCTAAAGCCATTTGCACATAATAAAATATGTATTTTACCAGTGATGTTTTAAGGAGTAGGCTCGCAGGCGGGGCCCATTACTTACATCATAGGAGCCTACACAACACAAAACACTGTTGTTGTATGTAGGTGGTGTTGTTTAATATTTTGGAAATGTACATCCAGTTGTTTTTTCCTTTTAAATTTTTTGGGGCCCCCAAGAGTGTGGGGCCCTAAGCTATAGCTTGTTTACCTTATACGTAAATCCAGCACTAGATCACGGGACATCCAGAAAGTATAAAACAACACATAAGAACATGAATCATTCCCAAAATATAATTACAAACGAGCCTCTTACATATGTACCTTAAGTACGTATACAAACTCAATGAGAGGTGTGAGCTTGCTTTCACTGGGTAATCTCCTTTATACAGTGGTACCTTGGGTTAAGTACTTAATTCGTTCCGGAAGTCCGTTCTTAACCTGAAACTGTTCTTAACCTGAAGCACCACTTTAGCTAATGGGGCCTCCTGCTGCTGCCGCGCTGCCGGAGCACGATTTCTGTTCTCATCCTGAAGCAAAGTTCTTAACCCGAGGTAATATTTCTGGGCTAGCGGAGTCTGTAACCTGAAACGTATGTAAGCTGAAGAGTATGTAACCTGAGGTACCACTGTATTAGGTCTAACTCTCCTCATCCACACAAAAAATGTGTTCTCTTGATTTGATTATGATTTCAATAATGATTTTATTTCTTCTTCGTGAAGTTGTCACCTGTGCATGCATGCTCGTCTGCGCATGCATGATGCCTGTCTCAAATGTCCACACCATTTTTAAGTACAAAGTGAATGTGGCTTAAGTTTTCTAGTTGGACTGAACCTGGTTAGAGGGGAAAACGCACCAAACAGCAGTATTTGCCAAGAAACTACAGGTCTGATACGGCTTGTGGCTAAACAGCATGCGAATGCAGCTTCAAAAACCGGCACAGGGAGCCCACTGAATGCAGAGTTAGTGGCAATGTGAATGCACCCAAAGCCTCTCTTCTGTGTGTGCTTGTTTCATAAGCCCCCTTGAGCACTGTTTTTTTGTGAGGAAATGGGTCGCAACAAGGGGGCGAGAAGTGACCTCAGTCACCATGTACAAGCTTGTCCCATGAGCATAAGAGCTGAGGAAAAAGGCGGTGCGTCAGTCAGCTCCCACACAACCTTCCAAGCAGTGATATTTTAACTTGAAATGTGTGCTACCCACAGGTGGAAGGAAAGGAGGGAAACGAAAATAGGCCAGCCAATGGGAGATGACGATGCTCTGATACGGGTGCAGATCTGGCTTCCTGTTTCATTGCCACAGGAAGTTGGTGTTTGAGCCAACAAGGTGCACACTGACACCCCTGCAGCGTCTCCTCCGTACAACTAGAGACCAATTATGGTAAGAAACCCGTAAGAGGGACTCTCTTTTGCCTTTATTCCTTTGAGTTGTTTTCTTTTGGGTCTCTCTCTGAACACCTTGGAAGGACCAGACAGTGGGACGCCTCCTCCTGACGCTATCTTTCTTGTCTGCCTCAGGACAAAGATTACGTTGGATTTGCAACTCTGCCCACCCAAGTCCACAGAAAGTCCGTAAAGAAGGGGTTCGATTTCACTCTGATGGTTGCAGGTAACGTGTTGAGAAGACCCACTTTCTCCATCCTCACCAGCTCCAACACCCCTGAATGCACCCAGACACACTCCCTGCGGCTCTCTTTCCTTTCCATGCTACTGCAGACCTGCTGTTTTGTCTTGGAAAATGAAGAGGTGCCCTTAAGTGTTGCATTTTGCATGGTTCAGACCAGGTTGTGGAAGAGACTCTGGCTTGCGCACCAAGTGCAGCCATTCAGGCCTCTCTGCCTGGTCCTCAGGGCACTGTGTAGGGCACAACCCTCTCCTCCCCGTCCCTGACTGGGCTTTGAACACCACACATTCTTTTTATTTGACCAAAGGTGGATTTAGGGGAGAACGACTGGTTCCCCCACACTGGGTGCCGAGCTGAGGGGGTGCCGCAGGGCACTCTGCAACAGTGACAAAAAACGGAAGGCAAGTTGGGGGGGGGGAGGGCACTGAAATTTGGTGTCGCACAAGGCGCTGCTGAAGTTTGTTTTTGTTTATTAATTTTCAAAAATTCAAAACAAACAAACAGACAGACAAACATACATACATACATCCTGTTTAAATCTTGGTAACATTATTAAGTGACTTCCTCAAATCCCCTTGGTTGAATTTCATTATATATCATTTTAAGAGTTTTCCAAAATCGATTTTCTCAAAAAATTTACTTGATCACTTAACCTCTTTCATTCTTTCTAATTTAGCTTTAAACATCTTAAGTCTTATCCTTACATATTTAAATCCTAAGCCTATCTATTATTTGCAAGCTTTTCCAATTAAGTTATCTTAACATATTTAGCTAAATAGTCTTTAAATTTCATCCATTCTTCCTGATACTCCTCCTCCTTTTGGTGGCGCTGCTGAAATTTTAAAGCCCAAGGTCTGCCATTGCTTTGACCTGTGATCGAGCCTTTTGGCTTTCTGGATAGAGAAGAGTGGGTGAGTGTGGTTGTGTAGAAGCTAACCTACTATACAGTGGTAGAATTCACATGAATGGCTCGGCCCACTTTTGTCTCTGGCCTGCCCACCATTGGCTGGTGGACCCTGAAAGTGTGACCAGAAGCGATTGCCCTGAAAAAAGGTGCCCAACTCCCTGGTCAAAGCACTGATGGCGACTGATCAGTGGGCAATTTGGCTGCCTTTTGTTCCAAGCCACACTAGAATGTATCTTGAGACACATCCACTTCTTAGTGTCATAGGAGAGGCGAGTCTCTCAGGCCTGCTCCTCGAACCCACTAGGACAGGCTTCCTCAACCTCAGCCCTCCAGATGTTTTTGGGCTACAACTCCAATGATCCCTAGCTAGCAAGACCAGTGGTCAAGGACGCTGGGAATTGTAGTCTCAAAACATCTGGAGGGCCGAGGTTGAGGAAGCCTGCACTAGGATATATTATGCTTCCAGAGGTAGGGACAGAAATCAGAATCCTGACTAGAGCTGGACGGACCAGTCTGTTTCCAGACCATGTTAAATTACTATGTTTATTCATAAATTCATTTTTGTACCACTGCTGCATTAATCTACATTTAGAAAAAACAACAACACCCGTATGATTTGTTTAAATGATAAGTAAATTTGTACTTTATCTCACTGTAAGCATTTCTAAACTGTCTTATTTTTTAAAAATATGCATTTTCAAGTTGGTGCATTTTTTGAGCCAAGGACTGTATTGCAAAATTTGGAGACATAACTGAAAGATGATCAGTACAGGAGGCATCCATTGAGGTCAGGTTTGCATCGGAATTCATAGAAATAAAATCCCTCAAGCATCTCCAGACCTGAAAACCAGAAAACTAGTCTCTCAGGCTTATTCCTGTCTTAATCAAGTTCCTCCAAGTTCAAGGATCATCAGCTGATACCTTCACGTTCATTCATCCAATAGGAGAATCTGGGCTGGGAAAATCCACTCTTGTCAATAGCCTCTTCTTGACAGATCTATATAAGGACCGGATACTTCCGGATGCACAAGGTAAGGACTGCTGGCAGCTCCAGTCTGCAATGTTTTTGGATGGGGTGGGGAGAGCTGAGAGTGTGACCCCAGTGCTATTACTGCCCTGCCTCCCCCACTTCACAGGCAGGATCCCCCAGACTTTGGAAATTGTCAAGCATGCAGTAGACATTGAAGAAAGGGGAGTGAAAGTGAAATTGACGGTGATCGATACCCCAGGATTTGGAGATGCAGTGGACAACACTGAGTGGTAAGAGGCCAGCTGGATGTATTCCTGTGCCCCAGCTCTGAAGAAGCAAAGGGATGAATAAGGTGCTATGGCAGGGAAGGTGGGATCTGGGAACCAGATCTGGGGGATCAAGGATTCATGGAAGTGGGTCCAAAATTAGGGGTGCTGAAAGCCAGTATTTATTGGGTCTTTGAGAGTAAAGTGAAGAAAGCATATCTTGTCTACTTTTGAAAGCCCAAAGGATGGGGGATGAGGAAAGAGTTCATACATGCATGTTCAGCACCCAGTTATAACATCTAGTGCAGAAGTGGGCAAGTGGCCGGAGGAGGGAAAGCAGTATATGAAAGAGAAATAAGAGGAGGGCAGCGAGGAAGAGAAAAGACAGGTCCCACCCACTTCTTGTATATAATCCTTGGCAAGATTATCCTGGAGGACATGTGGCCGTTGACCAAAAAAAAGGATTGCCCACCCTATTCCAATAACTGGTTTTCACTATAGAGCGAGCACCACAGACGGTTGGTTTGCATTGAGACCTCAAACCATGGCTTACGTTAACCTTTTCAGATGTTACAAGCAAATAACAGTGTGCGCCCCTACTTTCTTCCCTGCCTTATCTTGAGAACCCCCAGATTCTGTTGTAAGCAGTGGCCTTTGAGAGCGAAGCAATGGGCCAAACCATAGCTTTCGGATTCATACGTGATGCCAACCAAACTGGGCTTAAGATCCTGGCTTGGTGGACAAACTATAGCTCACACGCCACAGGAAACCATGGTTTGTTGCTATGTCTCAGATAGAACTTTGATGCCCTATGACATTCCCTCAGACAACAGGCAAGTGATATGTGTCTATGTGGAAGTAGCTGATCTTCCTCCTGGCCTTTAAAGACCAATCCAGGCTGTAGTCCCCCTCATTACGTAAATGTAGCTAAGGAAACTAGGATTTGGTGGGGTGGGTGTGTATGATTCTGACTAGCAATGGGGCCTTCTCACCACCTCATCCCCCTTTCTTCTCCTACCTGGTTTCTACTGCAGCTGGAAGCCAATTGCCCACTACATTGATTCCCAGTTTGAGCAGTACTTTCGAGATGAGAGCGGCTTGGACCGCAAGAACATTCAGGATGGGCGTGTCCACTGCTGTCTCTATGTCCTGTCACCCTTTGGACACGGGTAAGATGTGTGCAGCTTTAGGGTGTGGCCATAGGGAGTCAGGATCATGTCTTTCAGTGCTTGAAAGGATAGCAGCTCTCCATGGTTTTTATTTCCAGCACCTAGTTCATTGCTGAGAGCCAGTGTGGTGTAGTGGTTAAGAGTGGTAGTCTTGTAATCTGGGGAACTGGGTTTGTGTCTCCGCTCCTCCACATGCAACTGCTGGGTGACCTTGGGCCAGTCATACTTCTTTGAAGTCTCTCAGCCCCACTCACCTCACAGAGTGTTTGTTGTGGGGCAGGAAGGGAAAGGAGAATGTTAGCCACTTTGAGACTCCTTTGGGTAGTGATAAAGCGGGATATCAAATCCAAACTCTTCCTCTTCTTCTCCTCCTCCTCCTTCTTCTTGGATGAGTGGCAGCATAATAAAGTGCCACTGAGCATGTGCCAACTTCCTTTACTGCTGACGGCCCAGCTTATCAGCACAAACCTGGCAGCCAGATCTTAAGTGGACTGGAATCCTGATTGTTTTTTCATTTTTTTATTAAAAAATGAAATGAATGGCGAGAGGGGGCAATCACAGTTCAACACAAATTGTGAAAACAAGCCCAGCTTCGAGACTCCAAGGGTTAGTGGGGGTAGGAGGCAGAACTGCCAGGGGCTCTGAAAACAGGGGTCAAGGATTTTGATCCCGCCACTCTACCACAGGCTCCGCCCCCTGGACATTGTATTCCTCCGAGCCATCCACGACAAAGTCAATATTGTGCCGGTGATTGGAAAGGCGGACAGCTTGACTCCAACAGAGGTGAAACACAAGAAAGAGAAGGTGAGAAAGGGGAAGGGCCACCGTAGCTCAGCTGGAAGAGCATCTGCTTTGCATGCAGAAGGTCCCAGGTTCAATCCCCAGCCTCTCCAGGTAGACTCCCTACCTGAAACCCTGGAGAGTCTCTGTCAATCAATGTAGACGATACTGAGCTGGATGGACCAATGGCCTGGCACCATGTGGGGCAGCCCCCGATGTTCCTGTGGGAGGCGTCTGAAAGGGGTGTTGCAGGGGAAGCTCATATATGCTGGGTTGGAACAGATGAATGCAGCAAGTAGCTCACTTGTCTGAAGTAAACACCTCACTGTAAGGATATGGAGCCTCCAGTACTCTCTACAGGAAATCTCATTGCAATACCTGCACCTCTGGAGCCAATTTCTTCACACACCCCACTGCTAGTCCTGTCCTCTGCACAGCTACATTTCATGGCTATTTTAGCTCCACATTTTGATTCCTTTGGACATACAGATCCGGCAGGAGTTAGAGGAAAACGGGATCAATATCTATGAGTTTCCTGACTGTGACTCGGATGAAGACGAAGAGTTCAAAGCTCAGGATGCGGAGATGAAGGTGAGGAACTCTGGTCTTCCCTCTGTGGGGGAGAAGTGTCGGGTGGGATGGAAAAGGTGGAGCAATAATAGGCCTCATTGGCGTTCTTCCTGCAGCAAAGCATCCCCTTTGCTGTAATTGGATCCAGTCAGGTGGTCAAGGAGTTGAAGGACAAAGTGTTCCGGGGACGGCAATATCCTTGGGGGACAGTGGAAGGTAAGTTGCATTAAGAGGGCACTCAGCAGAGGGCGCTGTGTCAAAGGAAGTTACTGATCTCGACTTCCTATTTCCCCCACCCCACCCCCTAGTGGAAAATGCGGCTCACTGCGACTTCCTCAAACTTCGGAACATGCTGATTCAAACCCATATGCAGGACTTAAAGGATGTGACCCACGAAGTCCATTACGAAAACTACCGCGCGCAATGCATTCAGAGTCTGACCAGACCTGGGGCACGAGACCGCAGCAGCCGCGCGTAAGCAGATTCTGTTTTCTGTAAGGGAAGAGGATTTGGACAGGCCAGGGCAGAGGGCTCAGTTGTGAGATGAACAAAGAAGTTGGAGGGAGTCTGGTTAATTTAAGACAAGAAAATGATCATAAAACGGAACTGCGCACACTCCACACTGATATATCCTTTAAAAAGACGAAGTTTTATCCAGCAAATACCAAGGAGTAAGTTGGCAGTTCCCAGTTCCTTAACTCCCTACTGGCAATTTAACAAATTGCTTTTAAGGCAGATGTGGGGAACCTTTGCCCATCCAGATGTTGCTGAACTACAGCTCCCGTCATCCCAGGTCCTACCTTGCTAGGCTTGATGGGAGTCTTAGTTCAGCAACATCTGGAGGGCCAAAGGTTCCCTACATCCTGGCTTAAGGACTGGGGGAAAGAGCTGCGAGGGGACGTGTTAGTTATGCTTCAGGTAGGGGTACATATGTAGCCCACTCCCTGCTTGCAGGCAGGGCGGAATGTGCTGCATACACTAGCATGCTGTTTGTTCATAACCAGGAATCCTGCCTTACACCCATTATCTTCCTGCCATGCTACACTCACTCTTTGCCGCTATGCTGCACTGCTTTAGTGGTATGATCCAGTGAACATAGCAAGCTCCCTTGCGCAGAGTCCAGCCATTTGTCCGTCTAGCTCAGCAATGCCCTGCACCCATTGTTCTTCAGCCTGGGGTCCCCAGATATTGTTGGACTGCAACTCCCATCACTCCCAGTCAGCTTAGCCAGTGGTCAGGGCTGATGGGAATTGTTGTCCAGCTAAGAATGCTGGTCTACACTGCCTGGGAGCAGCTTTCCAGAGTTTCAGGCAGGGTTCTCCGCCAGCATTACCTGGAGACGCCGGGGATTGAACCCGGGACCTTCCACATGCAAGGCAGGTGTGCTCTACCCCTGGGCTACAGCCTGCCCCCAGAGCTAATGTACAAGCAGGAGCCAGGATCTTCCTGTACTCTATCACCAACTCTCTTTCGCCTCCCTAGGAAACTGTCACGTCAAAGTGCCACTGAGCTGCCACTCCTGCCTCTGGCCGAGACGGAGAAATTAATTCGCGAGAAAGACGAGGAGGTGAGTCTTTGCACGTTTTAAGGCTTTGTGTTTGTGTTAGATCTGAGTCCCTCAGCAGATGCATCTTAGCACTCGGCAAGCGATACAAAAAAGGTGGGTCCACCCCAAAGGCAAGTGCAACCTCAGCATCTCTTGTCTCTCTTTGTCCAGCTCCGTCGGATGCAGGAAATGCTGCAGAAGATGCAGGCACAGATGCTGCAGAGCAAAGGGGAGCAGTGTGACAACCTCTGAAAGGCAGCAGAGCTCCTTTCCCACACTGCTATGAGAATCCCAATGGAAAGAGACTTAATTCTGCTTCTATGTGGCCAAAGCAGGGGGCCACACTGGTAATGGAAATGGAAGAGTTAAGTGTTGGTGGGTATGCTATGTATTTGAGAGAGAAAACCCCTGTGGACCTCCAGATGTTACTGGACTACAACTCCCAACATCCCTGATCTTTGCCCATGCTAGTTGAGGCTGATGGGAGTTGGAGTCCCCACAATATGCAGAGGGCCACAGGTCCCCCAACCCTGGCTTAAGAAATTATCACACTGGATAACCTGTCTATCATATATATGTGCATATATATATCCCTTCTTTCTCCAACCCCCCAGCCCTCACCCCACCATTGTCCACTGACTGTTTTAGTATCTTTCAATAAGACACAATGACTGACTGCTCAATGGAAATAAAATGTATTTTACAAGGCTGAAGACTGGCTCCCTAACAGATCTCCAAATCATTTGTATGCATCTACTTTCCCACAAACTATCATGCACAAAATATGTATCTCCAAAGAAGCCTGTCATCAAACAGATGCTCCTCTACGGATTCCTATTTTCACTTCCACTTGATATATTTATTCAGGATTATTTCTCCAGAGAAATTTAACTGTGACAGACAAAAGTACTCAGCAACAAAAGTGCTGCACTATTATTTGAAATGAGGGTCATGAGGTCACGTGGATAGCTGAAAAACTGGGCAGCGGATGAGGCCTCAAGGAGACAATACTAAAATAAGTCATTTTTTTCAGAATGGAAAAATTGTAACGCTTAAGCTCTCAATGTAATGCTGTAACCAAGAAAGCCAATATGGTTGTTGATTGGACATACAATGACGCAGCCTGAAAAAGATATAGTCTCTCAGGAGCTGAAGGCCATGTACGTATTAAAATGAAAACAGCCACGGGAGACTGCCAGTTTGAGCAGAGGAAGGACCCTGGTGAGGGTCCCTACTCCAACCATTTCCCTGCTTAAAGGGGCTTCTCAAGCTGCTCTTACACCCATGGGGGAAATGCATCTCTTCCACACACACCAATGGACAGTGGGGAAAAAGCTTGAGGAAAAATTCAGATGCAAAGCAGCCCTAACCTCCCATTAGTCAGTTCAAACAGGCAGCTTCCCACAGCTTCTTTTCTTAAAAAACAAAAACTAAGATGGAGGCATCTAACTGGGCCCTAGTCAGGAGGCGAAGTGTGTAGAAGGCCCTTGTCAGTTTCACATCTGAGGTAAAGTCATAATGCCTGTGTAGAGTGAAGGGCCTTCCCCCACAGACTAGTCACTTTCAATTCCCCTGCCAGAAACAGCTCCCTTCCTCACTGGAGTGAGCATCATCTAAACCTTCAAAAACATAAAAGGAGAGGGAGGAAATAATGGCAGCATCCTTCCCTCCCCACATCGCTCCCTTTGCATTAGCGCTTTTTAGACTCCTCTCACAAAAGACTACGACGAAGTAGAGGCCTGTTTTGAGGCGCTGCCCTGCCTGAGCCCTGAAGCCCCAGCGCCATTTGAGCCCTCGCAGCTTGTGTCCGGAGGACGGGAGGCTCCCAAAGCCACACAAAAGTTTTCTCCCCTCGCTGCTCCGGAAGAAACAGCAGCACCGTCCTGTTGTTTCTCATATTCGGTGTATTTCTTGGACGACCCATAAACTCGCTCAGCTGGGTATTTGAGGCGGTTCTTCCCTATCTTGCGGAGGGCGGCCGAGGGAAGGTCCACGCGGCACTTGTCCGCCAGAGCCACCAGGTAGATGAGGACATCACTGAGCTCGTCGGAGAGGGCTTCACGCTCAGGCACCGTCCAGCCCGGGAGGCCTTCGGGGGCTTCTTCCCGCCACTGGCTAAAGGGCAACAGGAGAGAAACGATGGCGTAAGGAGGGGAAGGCGCTAAGAAGGGATTCGAAGCTTCCAAAGGGAAGTCATGGTGGTTTGTTGCAGCAAAGCCAGCAAAGGCTCTTGGGACACCTTAAAGCAGGAGGGAGGCACCTGAGGGCTGACTGCACCCACTAGGCCTCTCTGCCTCGCTCTTGGAACTCTGCTTAGGCCTCACCCTCTCCCCCCAGAGACATTTTGCCTGGCTGAAATGTGTCTTTGAACACCAACCATGCCTCTTGAAGGGCAGAGAAAGATGCGTGTAGACATTAACCTACGTTACGAAGATAAAATTTAGACTGATTGCTCTGCCCACTTTTGTCTCCAGGAAAGGGGAATGCGGCTCTAGGGCTGAAAAGGGGTCCATCCCGCCACCATCTTAAAGGCTAACAACTTTATTGTGGCATAAGCTTTCGTCAACTGCAGACCACTCCCTCAGATGCATGAAGTGTTCCCCTGAGTGCCCAGTTCTGGGCAATGCCACTTAAGAATGATACTGACAATCTGGAACATGTGCAGAGGACAACCAAGATGATCAAGGGCCTGGAAACCAAGCCTTATGAGGAACAGTTGAAGGAGCTGGGTATGTTTAGCCTGGAAAAGAATCATAGAACTTTAAGGTTGGAAGAGACCCTGAGGGTCATCTAGTTCAATGCAGGAATCTCAACTAAAGCATCCATGACAGAAGGCCACCCAACCTCTCCTTAAAAGCCTCCAAGGAAGGAGTGTCCACAACCTCCAGAGGGAAACCGTTCAATTGAGACTGAGAGGAGATACGATAGCCATCTTCAAATATCTCAAGGGCTGTCCCATGGAAGACGGAGCAAATTTGTTCTCTCCTGCTCTGGAGGACAGGCCTCGAACCAATGGATTCAAGTTACAAGAAAGATTCTGACTAAACATCAGAAAGAACTTTCTGACAGTAAGAGCTGTTTGACAGTGGAACAGACTACCTCAGGAGGTGGTGCCAGCTGATGGGAGTTGTAGTCCAACAACCTCTGGAGGCCACCAGGTTGGCAAAGGCTGGATCAGATGATTGCCAAGGACCCTTCTGATTCTATGAAAGCATCTTTAGGCCTACATCCTCTCCTTCCCTTCACTCCCCAAAATACTTCCCGTGGAGGGAGGCCTATTCTGCAATCCCGTCACCCGTACTCACAAGAGCTCCGCCAGCTCCCCAACCTCCCCAACAAGGGCAAGCAGCAGATTCCGAGGTTGGTGGTACTTCCCCCAGCCACGCTCAGCTGTGAAACCAGACTGGAGTCTTCGGCTGTGGGAGAGACAGAGAGGTGAAGAGAGGTTGATGTTGTGTTCAGCAGAGGCTGGTCCATTAGGGCAAAGGGGGCACTGCCACAGCAGCTTCAGACTTGCTCTTGACTAGTCTCCACTTCCCTGCCACTTACAACCAGCCAGGGGATGGCTCCGCCTACAGTGGCTCTGGCGCCACCTACTGTTAGTCTCCCCACCTTCTGCCCTACCAGTCCCAAATGGCACCAATGACCCCTGCACATTGGTTCAGATTTGGGGGTGGGAAGGAGGAGAGGGTGAAGTTATAATCAACCATAAATGTGGGGCCTGTGAGGTGGGAAGAGAGAAAGGAAGGTGTCTCACATGTCTTCCAAGGTAGGCTCAGCGCTGAACTGAAACACCTCTGCTGAATTTCCGTTCCTGTTCCTCACCAACGCCTCATCCATTTCTTCCTCTTTTGCCTTTGGTGAACTGGCCGATGGGAACAATGCCTGGCGAAGGAAGTCACGGTAACTGTGTGCCTTCATTCCAACCAACTAGTAAGGATTTTTTCCATCAGTTTGCTATTAAAAATTGTTGAGATTGGGAGTTGCGAGCTAAACCTGGCAGCTATTTTAAGTCAAGCACTAATCTATTCCCTGCTGGCCAAAAGCCCCACTTGTCCCCAAAAAGTATAGGCTAAATAAATAATAATAATAATAATAATAATAATAATAATAATAGAATATGCTATACCGTACTTATATACTTCTATGTATATCCATAGGATATTTCTATCCACAGGATATTCTGAAGGTACATATATACACAATACCGATAAGATATTCTGGATATGCTTCCAGAAACCCTGGAATTACAACTCACACAGAGACACAACCCACTCATGGGACATCTCCCGTTTGTTACCTCCGTCCTCCTGGGAATGGTGGCTCCACTACCAGAATGCTTCAGGTCACCAAGCCCCTCATCAGCCGAAGGCACAGAACAACCTGGAGGCAAATGCTTCTGATGCTCAGCCGTGGCCATGTGCAGCCGAAGGTCAGAGTAGCCAGCAGGCATTGTACCCTTGCAGAACCTGCAGGCTGCTTTGCCATGGTCTCCTGCCACGGGGCAAAGCCAGACCTTCAGATCCTCCTCTTCCTCCCAGTCTCTGCAATACTTTCCCTCACTGGCCGCCCTCTTTGATGATGCCATGACTGACCAGGCCTGAAAGAGATGCAGGGAGAGAAGCTTGCTGAACAAAGTGGTTGTTAGCAGCAAAGGATAAAGAATTTAGCCGAAGCTTCATTCACACCATACATTTAAAGCCTTGTGATACCACTTTAAGCGGTCATGGCTTCCCCCAAAGAATTATGGGAGCTGTAGTTTGTGAAGGGTGCTGAGAGTTGTTAGGAGACCCCTATTTTCCTCCAAGTGTTACAATTTCCAGGGTAGTTTAAAGACCAATCCCTCTTCACAGGGAACTCAGAATGGCAACTCCTGTGCCTTTTCCAACATGTGAACACTGTCTGCAGGTTGTATCCAACCAAATTATACTCAGAGTAGACCCAATGAAATTAACAGACCTAAGTCAGTTATGTCTATTCATTTCAATGGGTCTTCACAGAATATGACTGATGTTGGCTAAATCTCTGGCTGCATTATGCACTGTACATGTAAAACACTTTCCTCCAAAGAATCCTGAGAACTTGTAGCTTAATCCTCGCCGAGCAACAATTCCATGCACCCTTAACAAACTACACTTCCCAGGATGATTTGGGAGAAGTCACGTGCTTCAAACGTACGCCACCTACACAAGACTCTGCGGCTTCTCTGCTGCAGGCACATAGGGAGTTGTGGATGCATCACATCTGTGCGTGTCCCCCACCCAGAATTAGAAATTTTTCTAAGCCAATACTCTCCAGTGCTGAGCTGCATAAAGTCTGCTTTCAGTACCACGGCTCACGCCCTGAAAAAATAGAAGTGAGCGCACATCACTTGAGCATGTGCAGAAGGCTCTTTCCCTCGCCCTTAAGAAACCACAGGAACCCCCCCCCCCGTAACACACACAAACACACACACACACACACACACACAGACCTCTCCCTGGGTATTCGCTGCAACTCTCATGCCTGGCTCTCAACGAAAGCAAAGCAACATACAGAGCCTACCTGGACTCCAAAGGACAACAGAGGAGGCAGGATCCGTCCCTTCTAACAAACCACGCGCGTTTTCCCGGGTTCAGCGCAGGGAAGCCAACCCACCATCGCCACTGAGCTGGGCTCTGGTAGGGTACAAAGGGTATGACGAACGCACCTGCGGCCCAATCAAAGGTTGCTGGTGGAAGGCGAGCGGAACACAGCAACCAATCAAAAAGAGCAGAAGGTCGCGCCCAGAGGAGAGGCAACAAATAGCGAGTATAGAAGGAAAAGGCGCCGGCATAGAGTCATAAATGTGCAAAGAAGCGGCCGGCTCTAGGAGTTACAGGAAAAGAAAAATCCGGATTGACTTTATATATATCTCCTATATATCGACCACAACAATATCATAAAATATCATAAACTAATACTAAATAAGCAAAAATAATATAAATATAAGAAATATAATAGGTTCAATATTGTGCACGAATACAGGCATATATATGGGAGGAAACTGCGTGAAAGGCGCGGTTTCTTCTCGCAGGAATTCCCCAATCAGGGAAGATGCAAAAATCCATAAAACTTGCAGCTGGTCCTTTCTTGCACATTCTCCTCTCAAATCTGCGTTTTCATTTTAAGGGTTGTTGCGCTGGCCTTATCCCTAGAAAAATAGAAGTTCCAGCAATTTAAGGTGCTTCCAGTTGAGAGGTTTTTTTTCTGCACAGTTCATGTGAGCTGTCTGGATTTTTACAGGGAGCACGGATGATGACCAGGGCCGGATTTAGGTTTGATGAGGCCCTAAACTACTGAAGGTAATGGGGCCCTTTATATGTCCAGCTGTCCTTTGTCAACAACAAATTGTCGCTGTTTTTTGTGCTGAATACTGTATATGCTATATGGTAATTTATGGACCTAATAGGTATCTAAAGCCATTTGCACATAACAAAATATGTATTTTATCATAGTAATTGTTGAACTAAAATACAATTAATAAGAAAGAGAGAGAAATGAGCAAACCAGTGATATTTTAGGGAGCAGGCTAGCAGGCAGAGTTCATTACTTACATCATAGGAGGCTACACAACACAAAACACTGTTGCTGTATGTAGGTTTTATTTTATTTGTTTTTTATCTTATATTTTGGATATCTGTACACCCAGGTTTTTTTCCTTTAAATTTTTTGGGGCCCCCCAATAGAGTGGGGCCCTAAACTATTGCTTGTTTAGCTTATACGTAAATCCGGCACGGATGATGACGATAATGCACCTGTCATCCCATAACTACCCCTCCCTATTCTGTTTTCTTTTTAACAAATGCTGGAAATAGTATTTTAATGAAAAGACCGTCACTATGTTGCCAGTGGTGCAGATGTTCTGTTGCGCTATTTTCCAATACTTCTAAAAGGCTGCTCATGCGATTGCTGATCCTCTGGATGGAGCTTTGCCTACTTTGGCCCCGATACGATACAGCTGTGCAAGAGAGGTTATTTATACAAGGGAAAAACAAGGGTCCAAAGTGCCAAAAGCAATCATCGTGGTCCTAATCCCACCCCTCATTGTACAGCCTCCCACCCCTCAGGAATTCAGGAAATTTCTCTTGTGCAACCAGTTAGACAAGAGAAAAAGTTGCAGAGAGACATTTTGGAGCCTGGCTAGTCAGGTAAGCAACCAACATTGCCTCTTTTAAACTAGCTACATCTGGGATGCCCACAGGACTTTAGGGGTGGAAGGGGCAATCCTAGAACTGCCTTGTCTGGTCTAGTTACTGTGGCTTAACAGTTGGTATTTTCTTTATTGGTTCACATTTTGTTGGGTTTGGGGAGAAATGTATTGCTTTAATATGTTGCTTCTTTAAAAGATCCCTTTTAATGCTCTTGGCTTTAAATGCTGGACTCTCACCCCCCCCTTCTCTCTCTCTCTCTCTCTCTCTCTCTCACACACACACACACACACACAAACCTCTATACTAGCAGCAGGTAAAAGTTAGAATAACCACATCCAGTGCTTTTTTTCTTAAAAAAATGTTTAGGGGTACTCTCATTTTCCTACTCATATTGAAATACTGCCCCTCAATGAGGCCAAATTTAGATTCACAAAATGTTTAGGGGTATGCGTACCCCTGCATCCTCCTGAAAAAAAGCACTGACCACATCCTTCCATTAAAAAATAAGTGAGCCTAATGAGAAAAAGTTGGATTTTAGCCTCTGTTCTGCAGGACTCTTTGCTTAGGCAAAGTTTTTTTCTCCCCACACCCATCTCACTCTCTCACCCACACCCACACACCCCTGCCCTAGTACACAGTATTTTTTAGAGGTAACCTCATCTGGGACTTTGGGCAAAATGATGCAACCACTCTGAATGCCTCAAGGCTGTTGTCAGTATTTTGCAGAAAGGATTCACACAACAAAATGACTTTAATAATAATAAAGAAAAACCTGGGCTGCTTGAGGTTTGGAGAGTAATGGGGAAATGTGTTGCAAAATGTGGGCTGAATGAATGATTACAGGAAAGAAATGGAAATACCCTGCAAATAACTTTGGGGTGAATGTAAGATGAATGGTCCTTGTCAGAGAACGTCTGCATAGTAAACAAATCAGAACAGATGCTCACAAAAGATTGGCCATAGTTTAACCACTGTGTAAACTTTGTGTACAGATCAGCAGGAGAGCTGGACTGGTTGTTAAATAAGAAAGAAGGCAGGCAGGTGGGGGCTGGCAATGTCCCACTCCCCCTGAAAAACCAGGGCAGGGGTGCCAACTTGAATAAAATATTGTGGGGAGCAGGTAAGCCCTGACCCACATAATCACAAGAAGCAGCATACACACATCACTTGAATGCCAATTCCCATTAACTTTTGGGCAGCTGGCCCCCTCAAATATTCTATTGGGGGACCCCTAGGAGTTTGCTGCTATGAACCAGGGTGAGCCTCGCTTCCTTTCCTTTTACTAACAGCATAGCATGAGTAAAAAAACAAGGGGGTGAGTATAACAATCCCAAAAAACAGTTCAATGAGAACTGAATATGCTTGGCAGCCTCAGAATGTTGGGAAACGTTTGCAAGGGTGGGACAGAATGCTGGTTGGGGGCAGCGCAGAGAATACACTGGCATATCTTGCAAAAGGGTGTTGCTGGCTAGCATCCTGTACAAGAGGACTCTACCCTGAAGGTCCCATTAGCATTTCTTCCTTTTTTCACGATGTTTTTTAATTCAATCCATTATATTACTATACTAACATAAAAAATGAAAAGGGGGGGGAATAAACCTTGTCCAGTTTACTGATGTGATATTGTTGTCTCTTCTGGTGTAGAGGGGAAAAATTGGGGCGCAGAAGCTGGAGTTAGCTTATAGGTGAGTCCCACTTCAAATAATCTGAAAAGCACCTATATATAGAAAATGGTCAGCTGTCAGACTGTGGCCCCTTTGTCCAAGCAGAGAGATGGTCATTTGCAGTCACCAGCAACACAGGGACCCAAACATTATCACATTCCAGATTTTCTGAGGTTTTAGGTAGTCATAGGAAGATAACTGTTATGTACATAACAATAACCAAAGTTAGCATCCTTCTCCTCCCGCTAGGAAGAGCTGCCATCAGGCAAAGGGTAGCAATTCCCACCCCTCATTCCTACCCCTAGGTGACACCATTAGTTTATTGGGCTTTGTCTGGTATGCCTTTGCCGATATCTCTATGGTTTCTTCTTCCTAGTCTTCATGGCCTCCCAGCCAAATCTTTCACACCTTTTGCCTGCTGCCCGCTTGCGTCAACTGGCCTGTGACTGGCTGCGGGAAGATGCTCCTGCCTTTGACTACGGTGGCTATGCTGTCGGTGACCGTCAGGAATGTGCCGTGCTCCTCTGCAAGTCCCCAGGAGTCTTAGCCGGCTTCCCTTTCTTTGAGGCCATCTTTGCTGAAGTTGGCTGCTCTGTGGAGTGGCTCCAGTCGGAGGGAGCCTGGGCAGAACCAATCAGCCGGGTGGCGGAAGTGCGTGGGCCAGCCAAAGATATCTTGCTGGGCGAACGGGTGGCTCTGAACTGTATTGGGCGATGCAGTGGTATTGCTACGTCAGCAGCCAAGGCGTGTCAAGCAGCACGGGAATCTGGCTGGCATGGAGAGGTGGCTGGGACGAGGAAGACCACGCCAGGCTTCCGCTTGCCTGAGAAGTATGCTCTCCTGGTGGGAGGGGCTTCTTGCCACCGCTACGACCTGGGGAGCCTCATCATGTTGAAAGACAACCATGTGTGGGCATCAGGCGGCATCACACAGGTGGGTGTTGCTTTGCCAGTCTCTCCTTCCCTCCATCACCGTGTGACACATATGGCGGTAGAACAAGGCCACATCTGAACCTTGCATCGTAAGAAACATGGATTGCCCCAAAGACTCATGGGAACTGTGGTTTGCGATAGGTGCCAAGAGTTATTAGTAAACGATTCCCCTCACTAGCACTGGGCGATATCTGGTTTTCAAGATCGCAATAGAGCACCAGCTAAACATCACGAAATATACCAATATATCATGATGTCTGAAATAAGCAGTTCCAGCCCCTTTGTGGTGAGTTCTGGCGCCTCTTTGGAGGCAGCAGGCAATCTGGGCAGGGCGGCGGCATCGATGGTGCCGTAAGCAGCTGTGGCGTTGGCACTCCCTAAAAAAAGCTGCACAATTTTGGCACTCCCTTAAAAAAAGCTCAACCACTTGTCCGTCTCAAAAAGGTGGGAGTTCCTGCACCTATTTTTCTAGGGAGGGAAAGCACTGGAAATAAGGATGGAGTTAAGTAGAGGCACTGGCTGGCTTCACGGTTTTCCCCCACATTGTGATTTATGCATAGCACACACACATCTTAATTCGTGATCTATTTATTGCCAAGTCAAAAATTATGAAACTGAAAGCATGATATGGACTTCAAACCGGTTTTGGACGATATATCGCCAAGCTCTACCCCTCACAAGGTAACAATTCCCAGGGTGGTTTAACGATCAATCCCTCTTCCTGGGGAACTCTGGAAATTGTAGTCGTGCGAGGGCAGTAGAGGTCTTCTAACAATTCTGCCTAGGATTCTTAAAGTAACAAATGCTGCTTTAAATATACAGTACAGAAGAGGCTAAAGTCTCGCTGTTACATTAGAAGTGAATAAGTGGGATTCTTCAAATTGTTTTTAGTACATTTTGAACTCTACAATAACCAGGAATAGGGTTTTTTTATAAAAAAAACAAAAACAAAAACCCAAACCTTGCCTTTTCTGCACTGTGCATTAGCTTGCTTCATACCTGTTTTTTAAATGTTACCATCCCACAGGCTATCCGGAGTGCCCGGCGTGTTGGAGGCTTCGCCCTGAAGGTGGAGGTTGAGTGCCGTTCATTGGAAGAGGCTCTCGAGGCAGGAGAATGTGGTGCAGATATTATTATGTTGGATAACTTTGCTCCGCAGGTAAACTTGGCTGGGCCAAGATGGGGACAGGTGCTGAAGCTGAAATTGCTGTCTGTGCCTTTTTATTGCTTTGTAAACGGCTTGACTTTTGAATTTTTTGGAACTATGAAGTGAAAGCACCACAATCTTTAAAGGTGCTGTCAAACAGCGTTGCGTTAATGGCACCCAGTCCCTTCAGGAACTGATCCATTTTGATTTTTACTGCTGTGGTCCCCCAGTCCTCATCTGACTCCAGCATGGATTTGTGCCTCCACCTCACTCAGCCTTGGGCAGGCTTTAGTGTTTGTTAAAAAACCCACAGTTCTACCACCCCAAGCACTGTGTCCTTTTTGTACTGTGTAGCTAGCCTACAGTACAAAAGTAAAATTGACATTAGTTGCCCTGCTGACTTTTCCCTCTGGCTCCACCCACCAGCTTGTGGCCCTTGAAAGTTGCCTAAGAAGGCAATGTGGCCCTCTGGGTGAGAACCAGTTTCAACAGCAACTATCCCTCAAAGGCAACCTGAGAATTAGGCCTCAGTTATGACACTGAGGGCTTACCCACACCTACCTTTCCTCCACTCTTTCCAGACATGGTACATGCTTTAAACCTTCAAGCACCCTTTCTTTCTGCATTCCCCACGGAAACCCACTCCTTAAAGCTTAATCGGAGCAAACCCGAATTGATGTTTGCTCCAATTGAGCACTAAAGAGCAGGTTTCTGTGGGGAAAGCTCAGGGGCAAAAAAACCAAAAAACAAATCCAACCCACCATGCTCGGACATGGAGCTTGAAACATGCACCTGTGCCTGGAAAGAGTGAGGCAACAAAGTATGAATAAGCCCTGAGATTTTTGAGTGGACTCTGCCTCTGTTCCCGTTAACCTCCACTCCCCAATTCTCCTCCTACACAGGACCTGCACCCCACAGCCAGTACGGTGAAGGCCTCTTTCCCTCGGGCGACAGTGGAAGCCAGCGGGGGGATCACTGAGGATAACGTGGCCCAGTTTGTGGGGCCCAACATTGACGTGGTCTCCCTCGGTTGCCTCACCCAGTCAGCAAGAGCTGTGGATTTCTCTCTCAAGATCTGCCGGGATCCGGCCTCCAAGCCACCACTGCGGAATTTTGTCTTCTGAGTCCTTAGGATGGGAGACCCAGACAAGCGGCCTTGCCAGGTGGCGGGAGGTTTGGTGTTGGTGGGAATGTGATAGAGGGTGGATAGCACCAATTGTGTACAGTGGTACCTCAGGTTAAGAACTTAATTTGTTCCGGAGGTCTGTTCTTAACCTGAAATTGTTCTTAACCTGAGGTACCACTTTAGCTAATGGGGCCTCCTGCTGCCACCGCGCTGCTGGAGCACTATTTCTGTTCTCATCCTGAAGCAAAGTTCTTAACCCGAGGTAATATTTCTGGGTTAGCAGAGTCTGTAACCTGAAGCGTATGTAATCCGAGGTACCACTGTACAAGGTTTGCCAGGTACAAACCTGTGCCATATCTGTGCCAAACCTGTGCCTGCAGGATGGCTCAGTTGGTTAGAGTTTGGTGCTGATAATGCCAAGGTTGCAGGTTCGATCCCTATATGGGACATCTGCATATTCCTGCATTGCAGGGGGTTGGACTAGATGATCCTCAGGGTCCCTTCCAATTCTGTGATTCTATTCTATATCTGCACTTTTGGAAGGTCCAAAATTACAGGCACAGGGTGCTTTGTTCCAATGTGTTGAGCACAGTGGCTGCATCTGCTCTTGCAGAAGGATCCCAGGAGGTGATCTCTAGGAGTTCTGCTGTGACGCTCCCTAAAGAAATAATGGGTGGGATCTTTTCCTGTTGTGTTTGCTCAGCTCCTGCTGCAGGCCGTTTTGGTAAGCTAGCAAGTAAACGCTCATCTTTTTTAAAAGCCAGGGCGTGGAAGCCTGAGGCCTTCCAGGTGATGTTAGGACTCAAACTCCCATCACCCCTGATCATTTGCCATACTGGCTGGGGTTGATGGGATTTGGAGTCCAAGAACAGCTGCAGGGCAACAGGTTCCCCAACTCCTTCAATATTTCTGTTCCTTGAATGTCTTCAGGATGCTCCTGCCCCCTCAAGCAGCACCACATCTATTGCAAGAGACCATTCCCCCCTCCAAACTCTCTGGATTTAAATTTGTCTATGGGTGAAAGCCATTGCCCTGAAGCAAGAAGCAGACCGTTATTGGCTTAAAATCCTTTGTGTGTGGATTCGTGTAGTGTAGCTACGGGTGGACTTCTCCTTCCCCCACCCTCTTAGCTAGGGAGGAATGCTCAATTTTAAGGCAATGCTGGCCACCTGCAGTTTTTATACATTAAGAGATGAGGAAATGGCAGTTGTTGTATCTGTTGGATGCCTTCTCTTCCCTTGAGGCCTTGATTCAACTTGACACCTGCACAGCCCCTCCCCAACCAAAAAGCCTCCTTTGAATATGTTATGTACTGAGTTGAATAGGATCCAAACTGCAGCAGTCTGATTGGTCCTAGAACAATAGAATCCAAAACGCAGCAGTCTGATTGGTCCTAGAACAATAGGATTCAGAATGCAGCAGTCTGATTGGTCCTAGAACAATGCAGCAGTATGATTGGTTGGCAGGAACCACCCAATCATTCTCCAGATAGAAGCGAATCCACAACCTGATTGGCTTACAGTAGAATTCGGAATTAGCCAATCATGCGCAGCCCATTGTGTAAATAATGTATATAAAGCAGATACTTTGAGGGGACATTCATTCATTCCTCCTCACCACTATGAGCTGAATAAAGAGCATGAAATCACTTTGCGACTCTGAGTATATTTCAGAATAGCTGCTGCCTCTTCCCACATTCCATCTTTTAAGATTCTTCCCAGAGGCAGGCAGCATGGCTGCACCCAGCCTCCCTTGCTTAGCTTACTCCATCGCCCCAAAGAGTTCTAAGAAACTCAAAAGCTTCCTCTTTGCTTTGTGACATGTTGCTTGACCTAATAATGGTAACCCCCTGCCCCCCGGTATGGATTCTAGAAAGTATTAAAAAATATTGGGCGGTATTCAGCTGAGTGTTGCTCACAATAGACAGCCTCTGAAATTTACAAACCCGAGGCAACAATCTTCATCACATTTACCCTGGAACTGGCCCCACTAAATTCAATAGGACTTACTTCTGAGTAGACCGGGTTAGGATTACACTGTTAGCTAATGTTCATTAAGTCCAGTGGATCTGCTATGAGTAAAATGTCATTGAATACCACCCATTATATTTATATCTGCTGCTCAATGAATTAAGTGGTTTTTATTGATTTAGGCCTAATCTGTTATTTTTCATCAAACTTGTTATATAATGTCCACCACTCCTGTTTTTATATTGTGATGGCCTATGGTTAAATGCAATAAATATGGAACACATACTTAATAATTAACTTTTTTTTAGTGTGTTAATCTAATGGACTGACTAAACCCAGCATCCCTAACATGAGCAGAAATATAAATTGGTTTTTTAAAAAAGAAGAAGATGTACCCACTGCATGAATCCATTCCAGGAGTATTTGAATTTCAAACTGAGAGAAGTCAAAGAGACTGTAACAACAGGGGCGTTAGAAACAGAGGTGTCCTCATCTTTATTAAGACATTTTACGGAGGAAGGTCCCGGTTAGGTTAAGACAAGTTGAAGTGGGCACGGCTTTGGCTTTGGGGGGTATAATTTTCCTCCCCAGATAATAATACTAATAAATAACAGGTTTGACGTGTGTATTGCTGGGTTACAAAAGTGTGTGGATCATCTGGGACCAGTGTAAGGTAAACTCCCCGGCCTGGGGGTGTTTGGGTGGATTCCCCCCACAAAGCAAGGGTGGGAAAACCAGGGCTTATTCCCCTTCCTTGTCCTCTCCGTGTGTGATGACGTAGCAAATGTTCTTGTAGTCAACGTTGCCAGCTACATCTGGAGGGAAGGCGTGCCACATGTTCTTGATCTGAAAGAGGCAGAGAGGCCAAAATGAGAAGTTGCCCGATTCCTGATTCGGTTTCCCTTCCCAGGAAGCTAAAAAAGGGTATACTCCCAAGTCAGTAAATGCACTGGTGTTATTTTCAATACAGATGTCTGAAAAGTTGGAGGGGGAGGGTGGGCATTCAGAAGCAGAGAAGCTGCTTGATGTCAATAACAGATTCGCGATTTTACAAAGTTTTCCGCAGAACTGCAATGGCTGCTTCCATTTCCCCTCTGCCAACCTCACCACCTCACTTTCAACTTAGTTCTGTCCTGCAATGGAACTGTAGCATTTAAACCATTGAATCACAGCACTAGGAGAGCCAGCATTTAACAATCCAGTGGCTGAGTATTTCCCTTCCTATCCAGATGAACATGAAGGCTACGACCCTAAATCCAGAAAGGACAGATAAACAGGATTCAACAGGAGTCAAGGGCATGTCTATATAAAAGCTGCACTTTCTGGCTAGGCGGTGTGTGGATGTGGGCTGTGAGATTATTTCGCAATGACAGGAAAACTCACTGCAAATTCTCAGAAGCCTTTCACGATGCCTTGATGTATTAAGCATTAGCTTGGCAGATGAGTGGAGTGCGCAGAAGTGCACCCTTTCGTGTTTTTTGGGAAAGAGTAGCTCACAGCGAAGAAAAATGGGTATGAAGAGGACAAGGGGGTGGGGAGCATAAAGGTGAGAAAAAGGACTGGATGTTCTGCATGATGCAGGGAAGTTCTCTTACCTCTTCTGGGGTGAACCGGTCGCACTGAGTGGTCAGGAGTTCTTCCAAGCTGCAATGAAGCAAAGAGAGTAAGATGTTTGAGTGGGATCCCCAGGTAACTGTGAGTCCTTTTTTAGATGGTCTTCAAGAGCTCCAGCCTCTTATTATGGAGAACATCTGCTCCCCTGTCCCCTCCCAGTTTCACATAAGCTGAAAGCCCTCCCTGGTGGAAATAATTTTGCTTGGAAGAATGCTTTGTTCTACACACACACACACACACACACACACAGGCAAAAGGCAACTGTTTCATAGGCAACAGAACCCTACATTTGAATTCCAGCTTTGGAAGAACTTTAACCCTACAACAGCATGCATTTAAAATTGCTATAACTCTTCCCAGGGCACTGTCATTTTATGAAAAAGGCCATGAAGCACTAAGAAAAATCTCAAAGTCATCAGCAACGGTAGTTGCTGCCAGAATGATTTCTGAAAGGAAGTCATGACATTTAAACTAGTGTAAAATGAATTATATAAGTTTGTAGGATAGACAGAGCCAACATATCATCATCATCTGAGATGCAGCAGGATGGTTCAGACATAACAGCCTATACATGATTCAGCTGTCAGGTCCAAGTCTCAAGAGTGCATACTTCTTCCTCTCCAACCACAACTTGCTTTCAAATCTGAACAGACAAACTATGGTTTGCATTTGCCTTCTAAACCACAACTGGAAATCTACTTCAGAATGTGGTTTCTAATTTGTCTGGAGGGCAAACACAAAACTTAATCAAACTGGGGTTTGTTTGATCAGGTGAGTTGGGAAGGAAATGTGAGTGTGTTGGGGAGCACATGAACCCAGTGACAGCCAAGCAATGGTTTGGTGTCGTGTGTTAACCAGCGCAGCACATCTAATGAAAGTGATTTGCGGGGCAGATACTCACAACTGCTTCTTGACAGTGCCCTTGCCCTCAGGGTCCAGGATTTTGAAGGCGCCAATGATTACGTCCTCAGGATCAGCACCTGGTGGGAGAAGAGGAGCAACAGTGAGATCTTGACATCAAGCAGTGAAGAAGGAGAGATAGAACAGGGAAATAACTTACCCTTCAGCTTCTCACCAAACATGGTGAGGAAGACAGTGAAGTTGATGGGGCCGCTGGCCTCCTTGATCATGGCATCCAGCTCCTCATTCTTCACGTTCAGGCGCCCTGCAGAGATGGGAAGGGCAGGATTATCAGCTGGGGGTGGCTTTTGAGAGTTCCTTCAACAGCCAAGCTTTGCTTTCCTTCCTGCCCACCCTGCCACGCTCTTTCAAGACTCCCTTTTTTCTTACCCATAGCAGCGAATGTATCTCTCAGGTCTTCCTTGTCAATGATGCCATCTCTGTTCTGGTCAATGACAGTGAAGGCCTAGAAAGTGAGAGAGAAGCAAACATTGTGGGATTGCAGGCAATTCACCTCCAGCATTCCACCCTACCTCCCGGCAAAAATGAATGTAGGATTTGTAGGGTAACTCTCCTTTGTAACAACTGTTGGATCTCGAATCTGTCCGCTCTCAAAAGGATTTCTAGAATGCGCGAACACACAGATCTGCACTGAAATTTCCAGTTCTGAAACTATATATAATACCTGCATGTAACTCAGCTTTCCTTTAAATAGTGATATTTTGCTGGTCCTCTAAAGAAAGACCTGTTTGCACATGCATGTTCAGCGCTTGATTCCTGCTACCTCAACTGACAGTTCTGCAGTTCTGAATAAAACACTACAGTTCAACCACCAGAAAAGAAAATGCCATACCACCTCAGAACCTGAAACACTAAACTTTTCAGGGATTCGATTCATAACACTCTGCTGCTAGTGACCATGTCACAAGACATGAACTTGTTTGTGTGACTGGGTTATAAGTTCATCAGTGGATGTGAGTGCAGTAGTTTTTACTGGAACCACAGATTGCTTTGTTGCTACACGATACCTATCCATTAGCAAGAGGGAGATGGCACACACTCATGCCTGTGTTGACAGTACACATTTCAAGACCTTGGTTTCATTCATGACAAGGTGAACATACACCAGCCTTGAATGAACTTCCTCTGAAGGTTAATTTTGACTTCTAGAAAGAATATTAAAAGGAGCATTCTGACTTATGATTTCTGCTTGAATCCAAAGTTGTGGCTATGGGATAAACAAGACCCTCTTGGAGTGTCAATGCTGTGAACCTCTCCATTGTAGGCTCAGGTTGTATATATGTGTAAATAAACCATAAATCCTAAAAACACCACCATCTCTGCTGTGCCGCATTTCCAAAAGGAAACCTGAACCCTGGGTGAGCTGCCTGGAACCCCTGGAATCTCACACTGCTCCGAGATTGGGGTGGCGTCTAACAAAACGTTGGCTGTGGCTGATGGGAGTTGTACACCATAGCCTATGGAGGGCACAAGGTTGCTGGCCAACAGAACGGAATATGTTTGTGGCTTCTAACTATCGAAAAAGCTGCTGCAACGCAAGGGAGAATCAAATCCAGTCTTTATTGTTACAATCAATGGCCAGCATTGTTCAAAGAAGAATGAAACATTAACCTGGGGTCATCAAGCATTGGGCAAAAAACAGTAGTTATAGCCGCCCACTATATAATTTACTCAAGGAGGTTGCCAGGCGTCTTATCTCTGGAATTTTAATGAGCTGACAGGACAGTTAAAGTTAAAGGAGTTCCAGAAAACGTGACCCAGGTTGGACCCCAAATCCCTTCACCCTCTTCCAGTCTTCTTCTATTGATGCTTATATCTAGCAATGCATTGTGGGATTGGAGAAAGACCAGCTTCCAGCACAGCACGGTCCCTGTTGGGCCTCTCCTCCCCCTCCCCACTTCTCTGCAGCTGTGCCCTAGAGACACCTGTCACTTGATACCCCTCCGAGTCTCTACCAGGAATGGGAACAATCTTCTTCTGTCTCATATTAAACCCAGGGCCCCTCCCTAAGGGGACAGATGGAACATTCCAGAGGAGCTGTTGATGAGATCTCCGGAGGATAGCGGGGAGGGGAGGGGAGCTCACTCCTTCCTTGGCTCAGTCACTATTATCCTTTGGGGCTGTGTGGCGTGTCTCTTTCCCGTAAAAAAACACGGAACAACTCCCACGCCACCCGAGCTACAGTGAATGCAGAATGGAGAGGCAGAGGAGCTCCCAACACTCTCTTCACTTTAAAGGCAATAATTACAATTGTGTGGTGGTAGTAATTGCTTCATCTCAGCACCTCAGCTTTGTCACTTGAGTGCTGGGGGTGAACAATCTTTTTGTATAAAAGCTGAACATGCAGTCCTCCAAAATGGTACTCACTGAGGGGAGAAACCTTTAGCTACTCTTGGGCAGGTGTGGAGAGAGACAACGTAGCTGCCACTGCCAAGGGACAATGGAACCCAAAAAATACACCATAGCATAGGGCTGGATATATAATTTTCCCTTATAGCAAGTCAGGCCATTGAGCCACCTTAGCCAAGAGTTGCTGTTCCAGCTGGAGGTGTTCCCAGACAACCTGTTTATTGAGCATTCATCTCTGATTTGTTTACAGGGAGATTGGACAAAGGCAACTATTTAAGAAGCATTTGTTCTGATTTGTTTGTGGGGAAGTTAGAGGACGTTGAGCTGAAGCAAATGTCACCTTATACCTTCCAGCCCAGCCTCCCACCACAGTCACAGGGTTGTTTTGAGGATAAACTGGGAGATGGAGGAGGGTTGGGGAACAGCCATTATCGCTACCCCAAGCTGCTTAGAGGGAGGTGGTCTAGAAAGGTCATTGACAATAAATTGCCCGGCGGCCAAGGATCTGTTCTTTTCACCAAATGTATTGATTGAAAGTGGGTTGTCATCAAAAAAGTTAAAAAGCTGAAAATGCTCATTGACCAGGACGGAGGAAAGAGAAAGGAACAAGACTGATGGAACTCTCCTCAGATAGCTGGAATGGTAATTATTTTCCTATTGTTCATTTGATTTCTTTTCTCCAAATGTGAGATCTAGATGAAGGGTTTTCAGCCTTTGCAACACCGGCCCAATTTTTGCTTTCGTTGAGTCTGGAGCCCCACAGCTCCTCTTTCAGGCCAGTCACCCAGAATCCATCTCCAAAGATTTCCTTGTAAGGAGCTGCCGCCTGCTTCTCTGTCCAAGCGCAGATGTCACCTACCTTCTTGGTCCTCCCTCACCCAAAATAGACACTGCTGCGTCTCAAGGGTCTCAGAAAGGAAACACCGCCATTCTTGGGGGTGGGGTGTCGAGGGGCAGCAGTGACGGCTGCGAAAGGGCAAGGGAGATCCTCTTCAAAATGGAGGGGAAGAATCTCATGCATGGGGGAGGGCGAGCTTCACATGGAAAGCTCTCGCCACCACAACCACACCAGCTTCCCAAGTGGAATGAACCTGGCTGGCTACTAGGAGACAGAGGGCTACTTAAATGGTGTGTAGAGGGAGAGGAAGGGGATAGATCCACCTCAAAAAGGGAGGTGTTGAACACCTTCCAAGGCTGCAACCCTGCGCATGCTTACTTGCTCGCTGTGCAAAGTGGGGCTTCCTTCTGAATAAACATGCCTAGGGTTTTACTGCACAACTAACTAGGTGGTGTTTGACAGTTTCACCTCCTCTGAGGTTCTGTATCCTACAGACACAAAGGAACTTGCTTAGGATAATTTGGCCAAATTATAGCACCCATGGATTCCTTCTCCTGTTCTCTCTCCTTTAGGAAACCCTCTAGAACTTGTAGATGTCCGCCGTTCTCAACATCTGATGAATCCTGAACAGTGAAAGGGCTAAAGTGAAGTTTGAGAAGGGAAATTAGTGAGGTCTGGGCCTCCATGTGTGAAACTGGGTGGACAGAAGCTGCTCCATTTTAAAAGGTTTGATTCTATCCAATCAATCTGCCACAGATGTGTTACTTTTAAATAACCCACAGATGAAAATTCCGGACTCTGTAGATTTCTTATGGTCAGAACATCCTTCCGCATAGCTTACTTAGGTTATTTTCCCAATCGGGTGGTCCTCAAAATTAAATTTCTATCCTGTTCCAAGGAGGTGATCTATAGATTTGAGTCTGTTATTATGAGGATTATTAATAACTTCTGTATCCTTCTGATTTCTGGACGAGACTTACATGCCTACAATAAAGCAGCTTCTCTCCAAACACTGAGTCTGTAATCCCACTTTACCTTGGAGTTCAGTCCCATTAAACTCTATAGGACTTACTTCTGAGTAGATATATATAGGATTACACCGTAGCTGCGTACACACCATACATTTAAATCACATTTAAAGCATGCCCCACCCAATGAATCCTGGGAACTGTAGTCACCTTCATTTCTAGTACTTTGAAAAAAACATCCTTTCTGTCAATGACTTTCTCAAACATCTTCAATGAATAGTTCCAGGTAAGCTTTAAGAGCACCATACATTACATTTCCCAGCAAGTTGCACATTTCCCATTTTCTCCTCCTCCATCTCTTCTTAGTTTCTTACCTCTTTGAACTCCTGGATTTGTGTTTGGTCAAACATGGAGAATACATTGGAGCTTCCTCCTTCGGCTGCTGCCCTTCTCTTTGCCTTCTTGGGTGCCTGTAATGGGTTAAAATGGGAAATCAGACCACTATGTACATTACCACCCGAAATGCTTATTAAGGATGGGGGACAGGGGCAGCACTTTCCAGGTTTCTAGAGTGTGAAATGTTGTGAGCTTGCTGAACATAGTTAAGGGGGTGGGGAGGGAAATGAAATAATTTTATACATTTCTGTCCCGGGTAGGAGGGAAATGTCTGGAAGCAGTTTCTGCTCATTTTTAAATAATTGTTTTATTGGGGTGGGGTGGGGTTTAAGTTATTTTTTCAGATTCAAAACCGGATGCTACCAAACTTTTCAGAGACATGGGGAACAGGATGAAGGTTCGGGAGATTCCAAAATGCTTGGTTATGGTAGCAAAGGTTTTAAAAACCGGGAGGAAAAGAAGATCCTTTGACGAACAAACTCAGAACTTTAGTGTTCAGAAATGGCAGGAACAACAAATGCTGTGTCAAGGAGCTGTAATATATCATATTCAAGGTATTTCCTCAAAATCTTCAACGTATTAGTCTGAGATGCGTTTATGAGAGTGAGTGACAGAGAGATGTGTTCAGCAAATGTAAACTAGCCTTGTGTGTCCTGCAGAAATTGCCTACATATTCTAGCTTCCAAAAATGCTTTTTATAGGCTTTGACGACTAAATAAATGAACGCTGATGAGGTTCTGGAAGTTTCCACAGATGTGGGAGAAACCGCAAAGGCCCCAGTGAAAGAGGGTTCCAGTTATTGGAATTTATCAAAGTTCACAAACTAGGCCTCCTCCTTGGAGGTTGGCTTGGAGGATGAGGTTAAATGGAGCTCTAAGGAATATTGGCAAGGCGTACACAATTCCTTCTGAACCCTCCTGCAATATATTGGTCTGGTTGATCGGATATGAACAGGGTGCACTTTGGCCTCATAAGAGATAAGGCAGCAAAGGAGTTTGAACAATAGTTCAAGTGAGCTGGGTGGCAGGGTTGAAGTTTACCTAGGTAAGTGTATATGTCAAAGGATTCGGGAAATCTCTCTAACATACCACAGAAGATGGAGCACACACACACACACACACACACACACACACACACACACTGACAATTAAGTTGTATCTCTTCGACTGCCACCCTATATACAATTACTTGGGTGTAAGCCCCACTGAAATCACTGGGGCTTACTTCTGAGCAGTTATACATAGGATTTACCAATAGATACACCATTGATGGATTGAACAGCCAAGGGCGGCAATGGGTTACTGTATTTTTTGCACCATAACACTCACTTTTCTCCTCCTTGAAAGTAAGGGGAAATGTCTGTGTGTGTTATGGAGGGAATGCCTATGGGTGGCATGCCTATGGATTTTCCTCCTCTAAAAACTACGTGTGTGTTATGGTCGGGTGCGTGTTATAGAGCGAAAAATACGGTATTTTTGCCTGCAATGTGTGTGAGAGGTTGCTTGGCTCGCTTGCCTGAGCAATCTGGAGTGATTGCTTCCTAAGCAGGTTTTGCAGTACACTGGCTCTCTTGCGCTAGTGGCAGCCTGTGACTTGGATCTCAAAATATGAGGGGGTGTGTGTGTGTGTATCGGTGAAGTGACAAACCACACAAGAGACTCTGAGGGCAAAAAGAAGAAAAAGCGCACTCCTTGTGCTTCTTTGTTCCCAAAACAAAATTGCTCCACGGTATCCCTTGATTCCAGCTCCTTTGCTTTGGATTTTTTGGTGCCGCCAGGAATATGACTCCCGAAGCTTTTGTCTGCTCAGCAACCGCTCAGCTGCCCTTTACTCTCTCTCTCTCTCTATTCAATATGGGGTCCAACTAATTCCCAGCTGAGTAAACTGTTCTACTGCATTATTCAAGAAAAAAAGAGCATGATATGGCTATTCAGGGCCTGAAAGGATTCCCTGGTGAATTTTAAGGTGCATAGCTCAGCGAAGGAAATAGGATCTTAAGGAAGGCTAGCTAGAAAGCAAGGAAGGATGTGAAATAATCCTATTTAACATGACATTCTGCATGCGGTTTAGGCTTCATCTTTCCCTTCCCCTCGTCAAAAGCTGTTCTTCCCAGCTGCTATCTGGCATCCCACCTCATTCAACTACCCCCAATCTCTCCTCAGTTGCTCCGAGGTATTCCCTGAACACACACATCTCTTCTGCACAGACAATAAAATGTTTAAGTGGAAAGAAACTGAAACGGAGAGATGAGACAGAGAAAGAGAGTAATGGAGAAACTGATGAAAGGAGAAATAGGTAAGAGAAAGTCCTGCATTGCACTGTTTTGGCAATGAAATAAAATTTTAGAAAATTGTTAAGGTGATTCCTCTGCCCCCCCCTCTCCAACACCCAACCTCTTGGGTGTTCAATTATGTATTTCATCTACATAACCTGAATGGTCTCCTAGTCTTCCCCTCCTATTTGAAAGAAAAGAGCTGCAGATTGATCAACCAACGTTCCGTTTTCTTTCCACTTTGTACATTTCCACTAGATTGAACCAGGGCACCTGCGCCCCACTTACCATTTTGGTTTCTCAGCGGACAGGCAGGTGGGCAAACAGCAGCTGTGGGTGCGGTGGGGATGTCCCAAGGGCCAGAAGGATGGGCAGCCTAGACACAGGCTGCAAATTCCCCTGGGGTTATATAGACTCCCCTGGCGGGAGGCGGGGCAGCTAACTATAGCCACATCTTCAAGTTTGGCTCCAGGGCTGGGGGTGGGGGGTAACCAAAGTCCAGAAATAGACTCCAGAGGAACGCAAACGGGCCAACTCCTTTCTTGGAGAAGGGAAAAAGCATACTGGGTTTTTGACAGTTCCTGCCCCAGAAATCTTGCTATCACAGGGGTTCCTGGTAGTACCCCACCTTCTCCCAGAGTAGGTCCTACGTCTACCCAGTTTGGTGTCAGGGTGAACCTCTGGCTCTGGCTTAGGGCTCCACTGATCTTTTGCCAGGACTCAAAAGCTTCAACTGGGGTTATTTGTGACTTGCATCATCAATTTGCATTATAAAGTATGAGAGGGCAGGTCGCCGCCACGAGGTGTTTACAACCTAAAGTGTGACTCGGGGGAGACAACCGAGGAAATGGAGGGAAGGGGATTGTGGGGGAAGACAAAGAAGAGAACCGTGCATTTATTTCACCTGCACACGGTACGTCGGTATAGTTAAGGTGAAGTTATGCATGCCAAAGCCTTTGCAGGAAATGTGTTTGTTTTTTTAATTCCTTGTATGGGATTCAGGGATCAGGGGCTAACTATTTTGTCAGACTTGATACACAAGGATGGCCAATGTGGTACCCTCCAGATATTGTTGGACTTCAACTCCCATAATCCCTAGTCACTGGAAATTGTAGTTAAAACATCTGGAAGGTACCACACTGGAAGGCACCCACAGTAAGATTTGCACTATCCCATGGGCCTTGAGCTTGGCAGCTACTCTTAAGAGCTCAGCCCCACTCCCTAGCCCCAGAGGTTCTCTGTGGGACTTCTGCTACCTGGCCACCATCGTGGGCTGAGAAAATTTCAGCTCCTCACTCCCATTTCCTTGCCTCAGAGGTCCTCAATATCCGCCTTCTTCCCTTCGGCCCTCTCCCTACCCTTCCTCCCAGCCAAGGGTATCCAATGTCCCTGAGAAAATTTCCTTTTTGGGATTGTGGGACCCAGCTGTCGCTTGCAAGGCACCCAGGCTGGAGTAGAGGCTCCTAAAGATAGCAGTCTTGAGCTTCCTCCCCACTCCACTGCGGACAAAGCTATGGGAGGCCCTGTCCATTCATCCCCCTACTTCACCCACTTATTCCTAGTTATTTCCCCTCAAAAGAGCCCCAGTTATAGACCCAGCATGTGCTGTAAGGGCAGAGAGAATGTGAGAGAAGGAAAATGGAAGGGTGAAAGCCATGAGTACCTGCAACTCTTCAAAGATCAGATTGATTGCTAAAACAGGGACTGGGAACTAGAGATCCCAAGGGCGAAATGCAGACCTTAGGTACCACAGCTGCACATTTAGAGGCAAGGGGTGTGTGAAGAGGGTGCTGTAACCACAGAAACAACTTGGAGACAGGTTTTTTTTTAGGAGGGGGATCCCTTCCTTAGCAGCCCTCCTGTCAACAAATTGGTGACCATGGAGACCTTCTGATTTAAAAGTGGACAGAATAATTGACCAGATTTCCAACATCAGTAGGGACATAGGCCCATGTAATGTTACCTTCCCACCTCTCACTGCAAACTTACAGAACACAGCATGAAGTAAGGAAAAGGAACAACTCAGCAGCAAAGTGATGGAATACAGTGATAGAGCACTAGTATCTTCCCAATTCCTGAGAAAGGTGCACATGGATGAGAAAGACAGAGGGCCTCTCCAGATGTCTTTTCAAAAGTTGTAAATTCATGATTATTTGAGCTCGCAATAGTAGTGGGGAGGTTCTGCATGATCCCACTTTCAATACTATTTATGCCTACAAAAGTTTTGGGGCGGACATGCTGTTTTCCTTCCAATCAGTGAGTGTCCTGTAGACTCCTGCCGAAAAGGGTAACTTTTCATACCAGAAATATTCCAGGGTGGATGGAAGGCTGCTTGCCCCACTTTTTTGTACTACAGCACAAGAAAGCCCTCCCAGATGGCAATGATGAGGTCTCTTTCAGGAAGCATTGCAAAACTAATACAGTGGAATAGTGTGCAGACTGTCTAGCAGATTAGGGTATGAATTTGCCTCTCTCTTTCGGGACCTTTCCAGACTGGTGGTTTGTTTTTCCCATTCCAAAACATGTCATGTAAACTCATCGCTAACACAATTATTGCATCAATGACGTGTTTCAGAATGCAACAGACAGTCTGGAAGGGTCCTGAAAGAGAGAGCGGTAAATGGGGGTGGCACAAGGGGAGAGACATAAAAACGCAGAAAAACACGGAGAGAAGGAACAAAGACATAAGAAAGAAAAGGAGGTGGTGGCAGGGAAGATTTGAGTGAGACATACCAATGGGTCAAGTGGGAGGAGGGTGAGAATTGACATTTTTGCTAAGGTGTAGAAAAGTGCAAGAAGGGAAGAGCCCATCAGCTCAGCTCAGGGTAACCTGACCTACTAAGGCCTTTTGCAGCTATCCGTGCTGAGCTGACACATCCTCCTCCTGGACACATACCCAAAATGGAAGGTGATATTCTGTTAGCTTGGAGTCATACCTTCTGTACTTCCAGCCTGGAAATAAAGCGCAAGGGTCCTGGCACCCTGGGGTGTAAGAAGCTGTCTTATTCCAAACCAGACTATTGGGCCATCTAGCTCAGGGTCATCCACACGAATTGGCAGCAGCTCTCCAGGGTTTGAGGCAGGAAGTCTTTTCTCAGACTGACTCAAGAGATGCTGGGGACTGAACCTGGGACCTTCTGAATGCAAAGCACATGCTCTACCACTGAGCTACAGCCCTTCCCTTGAGCACACCTGCCACCTGAAGACTCCTGTAATTTACAGCGGCAAGGCCTGCCTGCAATTGGTGCAGCTTTTCCTAACAATGTGGAAATTGATACCGTGGCCTGTGGAATTCTTTCCTAGCACACAGCTGTTGAAAGGTAATGAAACTTGCCAGGGAAAAAGGATAAACTTTATAACTGGGTTAATGTAAATCTGTACATATCTAAAATCAGTCTGATTGTATTAAAAATCGTGGGGAGGAGACCAACACTGATCTGTTATTTTAAAAAATTATCTTGTTTGTCAGATAAGGTGGCCATGTGTCTTTCTTTGCAGAGGATAGTCCTCTGTAGAGCTGCCTGATCAAAATCCAGTTTAAATATAAAAGAAGCCCAAGAAAGGAGAAGAGGGCTCTTAAAGTTGCTCATGAACAGTTAGCACCTGAAGAACAAGGCACAGGTCACCTGGTCAGTCTTCCCCACTATGGTGAGATGCATCAGACATGTATTTAAATTATAAAACTTCCTAAATTTGCATCTCTATAAAGTAGTATATGCAGATTTTAATGTAAATCTTTGCCTTCTTTTCGTGATGCATTTCCTCTTTTTAAATTAACTTGTAGGTGGCTACTTTCTATTCAGCTTAAAAAGGCTCCCAGTACAGATAAGACCTGGGAATCCTTGCCTCTAGCAAAAGGTAAAGGACCCCTGGACAGTCCAGTCCAGTCAAAGGCAACTTTGGGGTTGCGGCACTCATCTTGCTTTCCGGCTGAGGGAGCCGGCATTTGTCCGCAGACAGCTTTCCAGGTCATGTGGCCAGCATGACTAAACCACTTCTGGCACAACGGAACACCGTGACAGAAGCCAGAGCGCATGGAAATGCTGTTTACCTTCCCGTCGCAGAGGTACCTATTTATCTGCTTGCACTGGTGTGCTTAGGAACTGCTAGGTTGGCAGAAGCTGGGACAGAGCGCCCAGGATTCGAACCGCCAACCTTCTTATCGGCAAGCCCAAGAGGCTCAGTGGTTTAGACCACAGTGCCACCCGCATCATCTAGTACATCAGGGGTTGCCATCATTTTCAGACCCCAGGGCACATCTGGACTTTTGATCACTCACTTTGGATTTGGGTACAAGTCAGATCCAGTGTAAAGGCTGAAAGAGAAAGTGGGAAAGGGTGTCTGTCGCTTCCAGCTGCCTCTTTCAGCCCAATGTGCTTTCCCAAGGAATGCAGGCTCACCACAGGGGCAGCAATTCTTTTTTTGAAGTCAGTCCAAATCCATGCCTATCCTGTCATGTCTTGTGCAGTGAGGTATTTCGATGCCCTTCTCCTCAAAACCAGCTTCAATCCGAATTAAGAAGAATAATGAATGACCTCACTGCGTTTCAAGCCGGCACAGGGTGCACAACTATCACGTGAGTGCAAAGGATGCTGGGACTTTGGTCAAGTTCTTGGAAAGGCCGGTCGAGGCAGCATCTCTTGAAATTCTATTCCCGTTAGGGCCCCTCCTTGCCTTTCATTTGACAATCTGGGCTCCAATCATAACCCTCGTAGCCCCATCAATCACTCTCTTCCCCGCCCTCACAATTCATTTCGTTCTTGGTCGTTGGCTCTGACTCTCGCCTGTCTAACTCAATTTTTAAATGTGACTGGCCTAGGGAAATGTCAATTAAAAATCGAAACACCATTCTTATTGGCTACTCTGGTAACACCTCACAAGCCGACAAGAAAGGTCTCTTGCCTTTCGCTGGACTGGGCAACGTCAGAAACGTTCGCGCCCACATTTTCACATCCTGGAGTTCCATTGGTTCAGGATCACGCTACTCAAAAAAGCTGACACCTTCGGCTGCCGCTTTATTTGACGACAGCCGCCGCTTTTACTTCCCCGTTAGCCGCCTATAAACATCACGTGCGTTCGTCTTTGCAGGGTTAATTTCCGCTCTCGCTGGTGATTGGACAATCCTTGCCGGTTCTTCTTCCTGTTGGCTGGTGGGCTCTTTAAGCACGCCTCTTTCCTACAAATACTTAGCCAGCTCTGTCCCGATTGGTTGAGCTTCGCCGGCCTCCCGGCTAAGAAAACGGATTTCTGGTTTTGGTCTGTGTCTCTGATTGGCAAGTACTCCCCCGCCCTTCCTCATTTTGATCGACATCTCCTACTTCCCTTTAAGGATTGGCTGCGCACCATAGCCCGCTCTATTCGATTGGTTTGCCCTTCGAGGAGCCCCTCCCTCATCTCCAGGCCCTCCCCACCCCTTTCTGTTCCACTTGTGCTCCATTTCAGTGATTGGCTAAAGTCGTTTTCCTCCTTGACTCTCATTGGCTGAACTCCGGCCTAGGCTGTCTGGAGATGCGCGCGCAGCCTGGGGTGGTTGCCTCTCCTACTGCTGCTGCTACTACCAGGGCAGGGGGGAGCGCGAGGCTCTGTGCTTCCTCCTTCTCCTTCCCCACCCTCCCCTTACCACATCTCAGGCTTTGGCTGGGTGACTAGGCCGCATTCCCCCCCCGTTGGGGGGGAGGGGGCCATTGTTGTTATGGAGACTGGTTCTGGGGACCCCCCATCACCCCCACCGAGGTATAATGCTCCTCACTCAGTGCTCCATGCCCTCAAGAAGGTGAGCCCGGCTCCTGGGGCTGTAGGGGTGCCTGCAGACAACATGACAGCTTCGCCCCTGGCAACAGACAATGCAGTAACAATGGAAGCCGTGGAAGCAGACCTGCCAACCAGCGCTACAACAGCAGCACCTTGCATTCCTACAGAAGCAACTTTAACCAAGATCACCGTAGAGATGTCTCTCATGGCTGTGGCCAATGATAACGGGACCATGGCCTTTCCTGCACAGGTGGCATCGGATGCCGTAGCTACGGACATAATTCCGGTGGGCGACAAATCTTCCGCAGAGACGGTACCTGTGACCAATTCGGTGGATCCCGTGCCAGCCGTGGCAACAGTAAATGGAATGTCTGTAACGTCGTCTGATGATGTTGGGATGGTGTCGCCAGCTGTGGCTTTGCCTAAAGAGACCATGGTGAAATCTCTCCCGGTTCCACCAGAATCGCCCACAGTGGTAGTGGTAGCGCCTAGCCCCGTGACGCCTCCCGAGAAGACTCCACCGACCACGCCAGAGGGCTTGGCGCCTCACGATCTCTCCACTCCACAACCGCCCCAGGACATGGGTTCCCAGTCCAGTCTCGGAACCCCGGCACCCAGGGCTCCTCCAGCTCCTGACACATTGAGCTACTTGGATTCTGTCAGCCTCATGTCAGGCACCATGGAGTCACTGCCCGGCTCTGGATTCCTTGATGATGCTAGCTCCATGGGTTCAGATTCTGAGATCAATGGATTGGCATACCGCAGGACCGACAAATATGGCTTCCTAGGGGGCAGCCAATATGTTGGTTCAGTGTAAGTATTGGCACCAAGGTGATGAGTTTCCCATGCTGCGGGGAAGGGAGGGAGGGGAGATGTTAGTCTTTTATACAGGACAAACAAGTTCAGCAAGATATCCAGTGATGACCACAATTCCAACTCTGGCTAGGGTGCTGGGAAAAGAATATATGATGTTCTTCCCCTAGGGGGCGCAAGCTGTCATCTTGGAAAAGTTGGGTTATGGGGAGAATCCTAGGGATGAGAGGGATCCTTGCCCAGATTGGTACCCTGACAGCATAAGTATAACCTAAGGCATCGCCCACAGATGCTCGTTCATCAGACTTTGTGAATGGTATCTTGCAAGTTTGGGGAGTGCTTGCTCTAATCTTTGACTTTTGGGGAATATGAGATTTTGGTTTTATTGGTTGACGTTTGGAACAGAATGTGCAGTCATTCCTCTTTAAGAAAAATCCTTATTTTTCCCCTCTAAACCTACTTCATCATCCTGTGCTTGGCATACAGCAAAGGAACAAAAAGCACTTGAGTTTTTGAAAAGAGGTGAAATACATTGATTCCCCTCTAGGCAGGAGGACAGTGTGGAGTTCTGACGCTTTCTGATGCTCTGTAAAACAGTTGTATGAATTGGGGTGGGTGGGCTGCTGATCATGACTGTTTTGGAACTGCCTTAATTGTCTTCCTAAACCCTAGAGCTATCTCTTCAGCACAGTCCTTCAATTAGATCAAGTGACTCATTTCTCCATCCAAATATGACTGGGATTTAATCTCTGCCCTTTCCACCATAACTCTGTTTTTTCTCTTCAGCTTGGATGCTGCCCTCATTGGCCTGAAATTCAAACCATCTCTCTGGATGTGTTGTTTCACTACATGCTCTTTTGTCTTGTGACTGACCACCTTTCTTTCGTGCATGCCGGTCAGTCTTTGTCCCAAACACGGGAAGTGGTGTTGTAACATTAGTCTCAGTAGTGTGAATTCAGACTATCACGGCTATTATATTTCAGTTGTGTATTACTCTATATCCCCCAAATCCTTGGTTTGCCTCTTACTCCAGTTGCCATCGCCTCTAAATGGCCATTCCATGCATTTGTGGTGTGGTGGGAGACAAAGTTGCTCAGGGAATTCACTGTCCCAGGATGTGAGCAGGTCAAAGGTTAGACATTTTCATATAGGATCTCTACATCTGTAGTTGCTAACTACAGCCAAAGGAAACAATCACCTGCTCATTTGTCCGTCTTCTAACAGTTAGGAGGGAATGAGATGATGAATTGACTGATTACTGCCTTGTTGCTTTCTGGCAGTGTTAGAAATTAGCCAGGCAGGCACTAGGCATGTTTTGCAACTGACATGGGCCCAGTTGCGACCACATGGAGATCTCTGGATGCCAGATGAGCGACTGACATCTCCATCTGGCTGGCCCCTCCACCTTTCTTAAGCAGGTAAGCAGAACAGCTTCTTTATTGCATTTATATCTTGCCTTTTTCTCCAAGGAGTACATGGTTCACCCACCTCCTCTGTCAATCCCTATAACAACCCTGTGAGGTAGGTTAAGAGGCTGTGACTGGCCCTAGGTCACCTAGGAAGCTTCATGACTGAGTGGGGTTTTGAACCCTGATCTTCCAGGTCCTAGCCCAACACTCTTAACCACTACACTGCACTGGCTTCCGAGTGTACTTCTGCTATTGGGCAGCTATATAAATTAAATAGGTAAATAAATATGGGGAAAGCAAAATGTCACTTAGAGAAGGATATGAAATATTTCCCCTGAAGCTTGAATTTGTTTATTCTGTATTGTTTTATTTGATGTTTTAATGTGCCGTAAACCACTTTGAGATTTTCTCTTTAAAATATAAAGTGGTGTAGAAATGAAATTAATAGTAATAATAATCATAAAGACTTCTGGGGGGGGTTGGGAATGGTGCCTAGACATACCATTGTGGCAACTGCAACCCAGGTTTAAGATGCCATTTGGCGATTAGCTTATATATCTGAGTTTCTAACACCGCTTCCTTGCTCCTCCTGGAGATGAGATGCAGGAATGGATGGACCATGTTCAACTTGCCCTGTGTGCTCTTAATTGTCTTCAGACTCTCAATAAAGTGTATACAGCTGTGGCTGTTGAAGAGATATTCTGGGAAGAGTGCTTGGCTTTTGTTTCCTTATTTTGAAGAGCACCATTCCCCCAGTCCTCAGTTACAAGCAGCAGCTTCTAAAAGCAGTTTGTCATCTACATGGGGCGAGGAAAGAAAGTGAATTAGTGCTCATGTGATTTGTGCCGCGTGGACTGACCGATATGCTGTTACTTTTGAAGAGCTTTTGAGCTGTTATCTATTGGAAGGTGTTTCCCCTCATCCTCTCCATGCCAGTGTATCACTCTACCCAGACTTGTTGCCTGTTCTGGCTCTGAAAAGCTGGGAGATTCTGGGTGGGTTCAAAAGCTGACCTTTCAGGACCTGTAACTGTACAGCGGCAGTTGCCTGTGGCCTTCAGTCATGCAGTTAAGCACACTGGAAGTTTGTCTCACTACCCTGGATTCCTGAGCATAGTAATGCCAAGTGCCACTGACTGATGGATGTCTAGGGAGGTCTTTTAGCTCAAAGACTTACCTAGGCCCCATATCAGGTGCCACTAAAGGGTGTGGAGGAGGAAGCGCTGCCTCTCCCCGGTTGCCCTGGTTTCACATGGGAGTGTGGAATAGTGTGTATGGCATGTGGAACATTGTGTATGTGTGTATTTAGAAAGTGACGTACCTGTAAACGGCCACTAACACAGGATTTGGCAGCCACCCCTAATCCTAAGAATTTTAGTTTTCTTTTAAAGAGAAAGGAAGTCTGCTGAACTCATGTTTGATGAGGAAGACCTCATCGGAGGCCAGCCCTCTTCTCCCCCGCTAGTTTTCAACATGGTATTAGACTTCGCACAAGCATCTGTTTGGCCACTATGAGAATAGGACGCTGAATTAGAGGAGCCTTTGGCCAGATCCTTTTTTACATAGCACCTAAGGCCCTTTGTTTCCAATAGCTGGCTGGTAAAATACCCCCAGAGGGCAAGGTGGTGCTGACAGCTTTCTCCCTATTGTTTGTCTCTAGCAATTGGAAGTATTCACTTTCTGAAAATGGGGGCGGGGCTTGGGGAGGTTCTGTTGTAAGCTGTCTAATCGCTGGAATTTTCAGCAATGCGTTGGATCCATTTTTAAGGTCTTCTTACAAGATGCAAGGATGTGGCAGGAAGAAAGAGTTCCCAGTTTTGCCCACAAGAAAAGTTAGATGCAAATTAAATATGAAAACTAGTTTATGCTGGCAGTCCTAATTTGCAGGATTGATTTCAGTTGTGGAATGCCCTTTTTAGTTGATAGTTCTGACAAGTGCAAATTCCTAGTGGTTTTGCAGTCTGCTGACCGTCAGCTTGTTCGTCTGCAGAATATGAGTTCCTAACGAGGCCTGTCTGTGTTAAGGATTAGTGGGGTGTTGTTTTGTTTCAGCTGGCGAATGCATGTAGGTGGCAGCAGCCTGGGGGGTTGCTTTCTTTGCTTGGCGGGTGTGGGACCAATTGCCTGAAGTTTCTCTTATTGGATGTGGATAAGCTGCTGTTCCTGCTCAGCCATCTGTACCACCTTCTGTCATCTTTTGGCCGATGCTGGAACCTGTAAGGAAAGCCAGTTATTGAGGAAGAACGACTGACAAAGTAAACAGTAGTCAATAGAAACAGAACTATGGGTATCGGCAGCCAACAGGGTGAGAGCAGAAAAAAATGGAACCTGGGATATTGGGAGCTGAGCCGAGACAGTATTCAGGATTTGTTGTTTTGTGTTTGGTTTTCTTCCCTGCCTTATCCACATTGGTTAAAATATATCTCTTTTGATTTGTCTTTGGCTATGAAATGCAGGTTCCTCTAGCAAATTTTGGGGAGAAGTAGAGCTTTTGACTCATGGCTTGAGTACAGGGTGTGTAGGCAGCTCTGGTTCAAACTGCTGCTCAGCCACAACACTCCCCTGGGTGACCTTGGACAAGTCACTCACAAAATTCTGAAGATCAAATAAACCCCACATGTGCTGCTCTAAGTTCCGTGGAAGGAAGACCAGGATAGAAATGGGGCATAGGGATGTTGGCTAAGCCCAGGGCTGCACCCACCCCAATGCGCTGTAGGAAGTGAGTGGAGGTTCCTGGCTTCTCTGCGCGTGGGCTAAAGCCTTATAGTGCTGGAGGCTTGTAGGTTGCCTTGCAGAGAAGTGGAGCCCCACAAAAGCACCAGCCACTGGTTTCCTCCGATGGGTGTGGCCATGGGAGAAAACTGCTGTTCCTTCCCCACCAAACTCCTTCCCTGGCTTTTTTCAATTAAGCAGCCCCACCACTTCCTGTTTGGCAAACCACATTTCCTGTTTCTTGCTGGGTTCTGTTAAAGGGAGCCCTGCCCAGATCCTACTGTATGTTCGCCTTCCCTAAGGCCTCTTGACTGAAACTGATGCGGGGTAAGGGGTGGAAGCAAGTGAAATTAGCACCTCACTCTTCTCGCCCCGCCAATAAAAGGACAAGCTTGAGTTGTCTTTTCTTTCTTTCTTTCTTTCTTTCTTTCTTTCTTTCTTTCTTTTGTGTGTTTATATTTTGAAAATGTATTTAAAAAAAAGAGGACAAGTTTGAATTGCCTGTTGCCCCGCGGCCCAGCTAACTGTGAATCACATCACGACTAGCTGAAGGGCTTCTTACTTTCATTCATGCTTATCGGAGTTATCCCTGGATACTCTTTGAAGTTTTCTTTTGTGGGGGAGGAGTGAGGAAAGCTGAATACATTGTGAATCTTGCATGTGCTTGTAGTCATGTAGTACACGGTTGGTGAGCCCGGAGGCAGGAATGGATAGTGGGAAACCACAGACGCTCTGACTGGAACCTTACCCTATAACATTTTCTCAGGTTACGCAGGAGGAAACTGCTCCATTTCTCAATGCCCTCCCACAATCTCCTTGGCGGCCACAAACCAAGAGCAATGAGTTTGACGGAACGAAAGCTCAGTCTAGGATTTTCCCATGTGTTGAGTAGAAATTACAAAGATGGTATGTTCAGGGTAGCAAGTAGAGGGTGGCTGGCTCAAAAAGTGTTTGTTATCTGCCTGGAGGGCTTGTCCTGCCAATCCCTTTTCCTAGAAGGGTCTGGAAGAGGGGGACTCGCAGGGACCATGAAGCTGGGGAGCAAGAGAAGGACACTGGGCTGGGGGAGTTTGGTGCTGTCCCAGTGGTCCCACCTCCCCAGTGCAGCTGAATAATTTGCATTTTTCAAAAAAGGAATTTGTAGTTGTGTCCTTTTGAAAGCTCAGAAGCTGGCCAAGAGGCTGAGGGTACCAGTATATTGCATAGCCCTTTAGCTCTTTCCATGAATGTTGTGTACTTCTTGCAAAATGAGCATAATAGGCATGTATGAAACTCACTTGGCACTGAGTAGAACTGACAACCTTTTTCTCCTTAGCTCAGTATCTGCTTCCTTATCCTTTCTTCTTCTTCTTCTTCTTTCCCCGCAGTGAAAGCGCCATCCCAGTGGACGTGGCCAGGCAGAGGGAACTCAAATGGCTGGACATGTTTTCCCACTGGGACAAATGGCTGTCACGCAGATTCCAAAAGGTAAGCAGAGATCAGCTTCTGGGTACCACCTTCCCGACTGTGTAGAGGGAAAGACTCCAACTGGGATCTGAGCTTTCCTTTCTTACTGAATTTTTTAATTCCTCCATCTCATTTGTAGGTTAAATTGCGCTGCCGGAAGGGGATCCCTTCTTCTCTCCGTGCCAAAGCGTGGCAACTTCTCTCAAACAGCAAGGAGCTTCTGGATCAAAATCCAGGGAAATTTGAGGTATTTCCAAGTACCTTGTCTTGGCTGCTATGCTGATGGGAGAGCGACGTCAGGCTCTCTGTTGGGAAAAGAAGAGAGAACAAGTTTTCAGCCTTTCTCCCTCTCCATTTTGTTTTGTTTTGTTTCTTGTCTGCTTTTTTCTTAGGAATTGGAACGCCAGCCTGGAGATCCCAAATGGCTAGATGTGATTGAAAAAGACCTACACAGGCAATTCCCTTTCCACGAGATGTTTGCAGCTCGGGGAGGCCACGGGTGAGAGAATGGAAGACGGGTGGCAGGGAATGGTTTTGCTACAGTGGCCAAAAGGAGTGTCATCTAGGGTTGGGAGGTCTCCATGCTTCCCTTGTGCACCTCCAACTCTTAGGATTGCGCTTCCTCCCTGTGTACTTGAATAATTTGCCCTCTAAGGAGCCTTAGAGGTATTGCTTCATCCCTTCCTCTCCAGCTCCCTGTGCTGGGTGCGGATGATGGGAGTTGTAGCCCACCAGGTTGGGAAAGACTGTCAGCACTCACTCACGTTCCAGCATTCTTCCTTCTCCTGCATCCCTTCCATCTCCCACCAGAAGTAGCACAGCCCATTGGTGGTCAGACACTCATGTCTCCCACTCTCTTTTGCCTGTCCCAGGAGCATTATAGCCTGTGCTTTCCATTGGAGGCCCAGCCCTTATTTGCGGCCTAGTCTTGAGTTAGCAGTGGCACTGCCTAGAGGCCAAAGACCTACGTCACACCTTCCAATCCTTCCCTGAGCTGCTGGGTCCCATTTTGAATCTGATGCCCCTTCAAGGCTAGGAGAGAGGTTCTGGATCCCTGGTCCTCACCCTTCTCTTCCGTCGCAGGCAGCAGGACCTCTACCGCATTCTGAAGGCCTACACCATCTACCGGCCAGAAGAAGGCTACTGCCAGGCACAGGCACCCGTGGCCGCGGTTTTGCTGATGCATATGCCTGCAGAGGTGAGGAGCTCCTTCATGACACTGTGTGGCAGAGGGAGGGACAGCGGACACCTTGAGAATGTGGGTTCTCTGAAAAAGAAAAGGATGGGATGTGGTGGATGAGGTTTGGGAGGAGCCGAAGTTTGTATATGCTGGGAAGAATCTTCAGCAGGGTAAGTGGGAGAGTGGAGAGCGTCCTGACTCCAAAACTCTTGGGGTCTTGGTGTTGGTAAGGAGAGGGTCTTTTACACCAGGCCTACCCAGTGGTTCCTTCTCTGCTAGAAACTGTTCTTTGTGCTGCTGAGGCAGTGGGCAGGGGAGCCGGCACCTTGCTCCATGCTCTCAGAGACACCTGAGAAGAGCCCTGCTGGGTCAGACCAGAGGCTTGTCTGGCTGGCCCAGAATGCTGTTCTCAGCTGCAGCCTTTTTTTCTATATGACACTGAGCATGTGCAGTGGGCTTGTTTGTTAAATTGATTATTACATCCACATCCCTTCTTTTCCCCAAGGAGCACAAGCCGATGGGGAGGCTTCCTCCCACTCCTCATTTTATCCTCACAACAAGTAGGCTAGGCCGAGGTCACCCGGCTGAGTGGGGATTTGAACCCTGGACTCCCAGGTTCTTGCCCAGCATTTTAATTACCAAACCAAACAGATGTCTCAGAGCCTCCAAACTCAAACTCTAGTCTTGCAGCAGTCTTTATGACTGCGCACAGGCCCTCAAGGCATGTCTACCAGGAGATAAGGGTCTGTTGGGCACTCTCTCAACCCCACCCCCCTCTGGCAACCTGCCACTTTTCGGCCCTGTTACTTAGTCTCAGGCCAGTTGTCAACACCCTTACATTGCCCAACGTAGAAATATAGCCATGGTATTTCAGCAGAATTTATAAGGCCCACAGCAATCCATCGGTAGTGCCTTGTTTATTCATCTCCAGTGGAAGTCAAGGGCTGTAGCTCAGCAGCTGAGCACCTGCTTTGCATGCAGAAGGTCGCAGGTTGAATCCTTGACTCCTCAAGGTAGGCCTGGGAAATACTCCCTTCCTGCAGCCATGCAGAGCCACTGCCGGTCAGCGTAGATAATGCTGTGCTAGATAGACCAATGTTCCGACCCGATATAATGCAGCTTCCTTTGTTCTTCTTTTTGGACGTTGGTTGCTTGTGTGCCACCTGCACAGTACTGCAAAGGATATACGGCAGCCAGAACAGAGGAGGTAACTCTCTGGGCTGTCCTTCCTGAATGCACTAGTAGGGGTTTATTGCATGCAATTGGGCAGTGAACTAGTGGAAGGACTGCCTTAGCCTGGAGGGTATGACTGCCCAGATTATCAGTGTTGAGAGTTTCTCTTTCTCTGTCTCTTCAGCAAGCTTTCTGGTGCCTGGTGCAAATCTGTGAGAAATACCTCCCTGGCTATTACAGCGCTGGACTGGTGAGTACGGCTGTGGTCCTGTGAGGAAGGGCAGTAAGCCCTGGGCATTTCCACAGGGCTTCTTTATGGGGAAATGTTTTCTGCACTCTTTAAAAAAAACCACTCTAATGAATAGAGGTTTCCCCCCACTACAACTTCACTGGAATATCTATGCTTAGCAGTGTCCTGCAAGAACCGCCCAGTATCTTCCTGTTCTCTACTTTTCTGGAGAGGAATGAGACTTACCCTCCTGGGAAAGGACGGGAGGCTTGTAGTCTGGTAACATGCAGCAGCAGCAGGGACACACATAATTATACACCTGCCTGCTCTTTCCTCACTTTCATTTCTCTGTTAGGGCCAGTTTATCGGACTAGCTTTTTAAGGGTTTGTTTTCCAACCTGTTTCACTTCTCCCTTCATCCTTCCTCCAGTCAAACCTGGAACTTGCCCTCCCACCCCCTGCCACCACGGATGACTGGTCCGGAGAGTGAGCTCGCCTTGGGCTCAAGTTGCCGACTTCTTTTCCCAGCCCATTATAATGGACTGAATTATAATTGTATCTGGGCAGCGAGTGCCGTTTTAGAAGAGGTGTTCCCTTCAGTGGTGGAAATATGACTTCTCTGATCTTGCCTGTCGTGATGTGTGTGCATCCTCTCAAAACAAAGGAAAGATGCCCTTTTCCCTTTGGAACTGTTTTTTTAATTTTTTATTCAGCTGCATATATGCAGGGATAGTTGCTTTTTTAAAATGTGTGCAATTAAGCGACACATTTCTTTAAACCAGGTGACTGCTTAAAAGTGGAAAAAATATCAGGGTGAAAGAGAGTTAAAAGTGAATTAAATCATATGAACAACAGAGCTAAAGAGGAATCAGTGGCTACCTGTATGTCTTGAGTCTTTCGTTACCCCATCCCACTAGAGCAGGGGTGACTAACCCCAGGCGCTCTAGCTTGCTGTTGGACTACATCTCCCATCTCTCCTGACCATTGGCCATGTTGACTGGTGCTGATGGGAACTGGATCTCCAGCAGCATCTTGGGGGGGGGCACAGATTTCCCATCCCTGTTTTATATGGACAGAGACTGTGCTTTTAAACAACTGCCAAGCAGGCAAAAATCAACAGGTGAAGGGCCCTGGCTTGGTGGTAGAACACCTTCTTTGCTAGCAGAAGGTCCCAGGTATAATCCCCTGGTATCTCCAGGTGGGGCTGGGAGGGACCCCTGCTTGAATCCTGGCAACCTACTGTAGGCAGTACTAAGCCAGATGGGCTCAGTTAAAGGCAGATTCCTATGTTTGTTTCATGCTGGGGGAAGCTTTATTTCTGCCTTATATACAGCCATTAGTCACAGAACCTTTATCCATTAAAAATATGGCAATTCTTCTAGCTCCATGCAGCCTTAAGCTGTGGTCCATGGGACCACTTCAGGCCTGCCTAGTTACTGTCTCTGACTTTCCTGTCCCTCTGTACTTCTCTGCTGCTTTCAGACCTGATAACTGCTTTCAGGGTCTGAAATCAGGCTTCTCAGGCTGCTTTTTGGCTTCTTTGTTCTCCCATGTGTGTTGAATCAAAGGTGAACTGTTCCAGAAGCTCTGCAGACACCATCTTGGTAGTCAAGATAATCCTGCAAATAATTGGTAGTTGTTGTAGCAGCAGCAGTGAGGTCATATATGTATATATTCATTTGCTTCGATACAGGCTAATTGGCTTCATTATCTGTGGGCTTGGGGTTCTGGGCTCTGAGCCCAGAAAGGGGAACCAGCTGTGAGATTTTGGTATTTGCCATGATGGACCCACGATGGGAAGTCATGGCCAGAGTGACAAATGCTGCTTTGTGTATAAAGGTTGTATAAACCTTTGCTTTGGTGTGGACAAGCCATCTCCTTCCTGCCGTGTCTGCATCTGTAAAGGCTGGGAGACCTGGCTAGCTGATTTGCTGAAGTCTACACCTTTCTTTTAATAAAGCACTCTGGGATCTTTTACATCCTTCTTTGGTATTCCTCAGGGTGGATTTGATTTAAATCAAATAGATTTAAATCATGATTTAAATCACTAGTCAGTAAGATTTGATTTAAATCACTAGTTAGTAAGACTTGATTTAAATCATTATTTATTTTTACAGAAAGACTCATTCTTGCTGGTATGATCTTAATATTTACAACCAGATGAAAGTTTCATTTTTGGAATAATAAATTTTCAGAGTAGTTTTTACAGTTCTATCAAAATTTACTGATTTGGTTATACTAGTAGAAATACGTTGACAGATAATTATGAAATTATTGTGAGATTTAATAAGTTAACTGTTTATATTTGGACAACTTTTCTGCTGTACTTTATTGGAAGGAGAAAATCATTTCCTTAATAACAATTTAAACAATTTTTTTAACTAAACAATAACATTATAGCATAAGTATCCATGTTTGTTAACTGATGTGGTTAAACGGGTTTTTTTTTAAACACCTTAGACTGAGTTTTAGCACGCATGAAAAACTTAAAACAAATCCTTATTTCCTGATGAATAGCCTTTGGACTATAATGTAACTTAAATAGAAAACTATCTTTAGAAGGATTTTTCCTCCAAAAGCAATTTATTTTAAAAATACAATTTAAATAAATTTAAATTTTAAAAATACAATTTAAATTAAAAAAAACCCCATGATTTTCAATGATTTTTATCCACCTTGGTATTCCTGCACCCAGCCACTCCCACAAGCCCTCCTTTGGGCTGGTACAGCAGGATACAATGAAAAGGAGAAAGGTGAAAGTAGTGGGGAGGGGAAATACAGGGTTGGTGATTCCCCTTCCTCCCAGTGCTCCTCTCATCCCAGAGGTTTCTTGTGCTTCCTGCGCAGGAGGCGATTCAGCTGGACGGGGAGATCTTCTTTGCCCTGCTGCGCCGAGCGTCTCCCATTGCCTACCGCCACCTGAAAAGGTACAAGGTCGACCCCATCTTGTACATGACGGAGTGGTTCATGTGCATCTTCTCCCGGACCTTGCCCTGGTGCTCTGTACTGCGCGTCTGGGACATGTTCTTCTGTGAAGGTGAGGCTTCTTCCTTGGTCCTCACTCGCTTTCTCTCTGCCAGGCCTTGGGTGTCTTGATTACGTAGTGTCTGCATCCCACCCCTTACGCCGACCCAATCAGGAGGGAAAGATACAAGAACAACGGCACTTTCTGCTATAAATTGGATCCTATCCTTTGGCTTTTCTTTTGAACTGCCTTTCCATCACTGAATCAGAAGGGTGACTCCTGAGCCCTTGCTTACTTGGTTGTTACAAACTCCACTTGTGTAGTCTCCTTTTTTAAAAAGCTTATCCCCATCTCGCAGAGGATGATGGGATTCCCGGCCTCATACGACAGGCATCCCCAAACACGGCCCTCCAGATGTTTTGGGACGACAACTCCCATCATCCCTAGCTAACAGGACCAGTGGTCAGGGATGATGGGAATTGTAGTCCCAAAACATCTGGAGGGCTGAGTTTGGGGGTGCCTGTCATACAATGTGTCAAACTCCTTCCTTCCCCCACACCCCCAACCCCTGAGTGATCCTTCTCTCCCACCTGCAGGGGTGAAGATAATCTTCCGTGTGGGCCTAGTGCTGCTCCGGAACACGCTGGGCTCAGTAGACAAGCTGCGCTCCTGCCAAGGCATGTACGAGACGATGGAGAAACTAAGGAACCTGCCTGTTGAGACCATGCAAGAGAACTTCCTTGTCCAGGAGGTGAGAAACAGGTCGTAAGGGCAGAGTTCTAAGCGGGGAACAAGGAGCCTTGGATTCTGCACCAAGGATGAGTTACTGCATGATATCTGTCAGGCAGAAAGCCAGTTGGGAAAGTAGTCAGGATGCACAGGGCAGGGGAAGGCAGAAGGCAGATTGGGGTCAATTGTTTGATTTCTAGATGATCTGCAAATCTGCCCTCCTCTGGTGTAGAGAATGCAAATTATCAAAGGGATATCAGATTTAAAGAAGGGACGATCCACAGTGTCCATATTTATTCAAATAAACATGAACTGAAGATACAAATGCACTCAAAATCCTAAAGTAAGATAATTGAGGAAGGGAGCTTAAATGAGCTAATAAAAGTAGAGTTGGTGGAAAGTGCTTTAAGAAATCTGCTAATCATATGCTTCCAGTGACAAATTACATGGAGTTCAGGTGTTGGGGGGGGGGGGGGAAGGCTGCTTCTCCCTCAACTTTTAAAATGGTTTTGATTTTATTTTTTTCATACAACCAAAATCTGCCTGGGCAGGCTGTGAGTTGGGAGTGGAGGAAGGGCAAACGGGGAGGTTCTGCCTAACCCTTCCCCTTCATGTTTGTCAGTACCTAATCGCCCTCCACCAGGCCCTTTTTTGCCTGCACATGGATGAAGTCCCGGATCCTGGTATTCCCCCAAATGCAGATTATAAGGTGGCATGGCGGAAGTTGATTGGACCATAGCGGAAAAGGTTAAGCAGCCTTCCTCTGCTTGCCCAGGCTGATTTGAAAGTGAGAGAGAGAGAAACCACAGAGGGAAGAAACCAGGAACTCCACATGGCAAGTGGTTTCCATTGCAGGTGTGACGTAGCCTTGCCCAGGCACTGCCTTTGTTTTGTGTGGACCGGGAGATGTTACACATACGAGGGGGCTGCTGAGACAGGGGTGGAAGTGTGGCGGATATTGGTGAAAGATGCCACATGGCTATTCCTCTTGCGTTTCTTTTGTCCCGTCCCCCCCACCTTGCCCAGGTGATTAACCTCCCGGTGACGGAAGCCCTTGTGGAGCGGGAGAACGCCACGCAGCTGAAGAAATGGCGGGAGACGCGGGGAGAGCTGCAGTACAAGCCCTCCCGCCGGTTGCATGGCTCGCGGGCCATCCACGAGGAAAGCCACCGCATGAACCCGCCCTTGAGCGCCAGCGCCAGCCTTTTGAGCCTCACCGGCCTGAGGCAGAGGGTTGCCATTGGCAGTACCGGCGGCCCTTCCTTCTCCCCAGCGCACACGGTGGGCTCCTTGGCTGTGTCGGCTGTCCCCACTCCGGCTCCTCCCGCCGCCCAGAGCCAGGTGGTGGTGTCCGAAGGCCTCCACCCGGCCTTGCCGTCCCCGACCGGAAACAACATGCCGCTCGGTGGGCCCCCCAGGAAAGCGGGCGGCAGCAGCAAGGAGGAGAGGCGGAAAGAGAAGGAGCGCGAGAGGCAGGAGAAGCTGGAGAAGGAGCGGCAGAAGCAGGAGAAGGAGCGCGAGCGGAAGCTGCAGAAGGAGCGGGAGAAGCAGGAGAAGGAGCGGGAGAAGAAGCAGCAGAGGGAGCGAGCCAAAGAGGAGGCCAAGCTAAAGAAGGAGAGGAAGTTGTCGCTGAGGAAAAAGGAACCCAAGTCAGCCCCTCCGCCGCCCGCTGAGGAGGGGAAGGAAGGGGGATCCTCAGGGGCGTCCGTGGTACAAAGCACACACTTTTGAGTAGGGCTGGGGGGCCACACGGGCCCCGACGACTCCCTCCCGTCAGCTAAGGACCAAGGTGGTGGCTGCCACCCAGAGACTTGTTGTGGTAGGGGGACCCAGAGGGCAGGAGGAGCTGTGCCAAGGCGAGGGATAGCTGCCATGCACTGAACCACACAACTTAGGGCCGCGGTTGGGTAGTGGAATACTTAACGGAGGTCCATGTTTTTACCTCCCTTTGCGTGCCTGAGGTGGATGTGGCTCCCTTCCCCCTCCCCTTCCCCTCTCGTTAATGAATAGGGCCAAAACAAGATGGCGGCTGTGCTCTGCGTGGCTACAGAAAATGGCCGCCCACTGCTGTTTTTGTCGCAGCCGACAGGAGCAGCTGCATCACTCTGCTCCCCTACCAAAAGGTTGGGAATCTTAACCTAGGAGGTAACCGTATTAATAATAATAACTCCTGACATCCCAATTTCAAGTACTGTATATAGAATCCTCTCTCCTTAAAGCTATTTAACCACTCCAGGCTTACAAACACCACCTCCAGAGAGGCTGGTTTCGAGAACAAGGTATTGTCTTCCCGCCAATATATTAACAAATGTTTCTTCCATTGTGGGTTGGCCCTCATAACATTGCTATATATATATATATTTCCCTCGGCTCCACCCCAGACCTGACTTTCTCCCATATAAGAAATCCCTCCTTCCTTTGGCTACCTGCCCCCATGCATGGTTACCCACAGGCTACGATAGTTGCCTTATTTGCTGGCGGTGTCTCTGTTCTTTGAAAGCTGCATGGCAGCCTGAAATTTAATCATGGTGGCTTTAGCCAACATGGACCTGCAGCAAAGAGGAAAGCTGAACCTGTTGGATTGCTCCCTCGCATACCGTGAATTGAGACAGGAAGCCTTTCTGTGAATGCGAGTCTGAGTGTGTGTATGTGTACGTGTATTGGGGGTGGGGAGCTGGCTGCCCTGCTACCCAGAAACTCAGCCATTTGGCTGCTCCTATGCAAAGATTTCTTAGCAGTGGTCAGGAAAAAAAAAAGTTGGTGCCTATATGTGTCTGTTGAGATTTCTTGAGCAGAAAGGAGAAAAGAGATTGGAGCAGAGAGGGGGCCGTACGTTGAGATTCCCCCTTCCCCCTTTGGCGATATGCACTTGAGAAAGGTTTTTGCTCTTCAGCAATTTCTTGTCCTTCAGTATTTACCTTCTGGCACAAACATTCCCATTTGCTGCCTCCAGACAGTGAGGGAAGCAGCCAGGTTTCTAGGGAGCTTCTGCCAACAAGGTGGGGGACGGGACTGTGTTGTACACTGTTCCTCTCCAAGCACCGGTAGCCATATCAGTCCTTTAACAACATATTTGGAAATCTTTGCCCTTGTTTTATTAGCATACACCCAGCACCAGTCATTTGCTGGATACAAAGGACGCGTCTCCGCAACACATTTAAGCCAGTGGACCATTAGTTTTGACTTCTCTGGGCTCTCTTGAAGAGCCCTTTCCCAAGTTCCCAGGTGTTTGGTATGAAAACTCCCATGATCCCCAGCCCAGCATGGCAGTCAGAGGCGGTACAGTACCCTAACATTTATTGAGAGACCAGCAGCAGGAAGAAGGCTGGCCTAGGGTCAGGTTAAGGAATTGTCATTTGGGGAACAGGCTGAGAATGCTTTCATATTTTGAACCCCCACAGTCCCTTCATAAAATTTGAGGCACGGCGGTTTAAAACAGGTTTTAAAATGCTTTTAGTTTGTTAATATAGTACATGCCCCCGAGTTGCATGCTTTATTCCTCTGTCCCTCAGCAGAAAGCAAATTGGTTCCTTTAAAATACTGTAACTCGAATGATTTTTCTCGATGTGTTTTCGTTATGCAACCACAAACCCTTTTAACGTTCCTACACACTGGCATTAGCTAGCTAGGCCTTCCTTTGATAGCAGTGCAGAATGCAGCCGGTCAGATCCTTGGCTTTTATTCCATGCAGCTTAGCGAGACCTGGGATGCTGATATCTACAGTACCTTAGCAAAGCCTGGGCGGGTCAGAATTTTAGAACTGTTGTGGGAAGAAGGGTCTCTGCAACAGGGAGAGAGAACTCTTGCTGCCTTGGAGGTCAGGCTGGGTTGGAAGTGGACTGAATGGATTTGGGCAACTTTGGACTTGTGCATCTTCATAACTCTCCCTGTTGCCCCTTCTGCTTTCACCTTCCGCAACATCGCTCTCCGCCTTAGGTCACATTTTTCTGCAGTTGTGAATAGCTTGAAAATCATGAACCTGTTTCAGAATCTCACTTCCCAGAACACGCCTGCCCTAAATGGCAGCTTCTAGACTCCACGATCCCATCTACGAGCCAGCAAAAAAGCTCCATTAGTCCATCCTCATTTCTGTATATAACTTTTCTCTATAACACATATATTATATATATGTTTCAGTATTGTAATTATGTATACAGAACCTTGAGGTTATTATTTTTTTGACCTTGTGCTCTTATTTAATGGGACAGACACTGGAAAAATTAGGAATTCATTTTCTCCCCTTGCCTTTTAATTTTTTATTAGGTTTTTTTTTACCACCACTGCTAATCAGGAAGAGAAGAAAATTGGAAGTTTACAGCTGACATCTCTTTAATGTCCTCCTTGTTAATAATGTCTTTCTTTTTGTTCGTGCCTCGTTCTTACTGGATTTCTCCCCCCATTGCTTTGTTTAAAAATGTTAACAAAACAAAATGACAGTCCAGTTTGTCAAGCGTCTTCATTGATTTTTGATGGTTTGGGCTGTCTTCGGTGGGATTAGAGTATCTGCATCCTTGGAGTGGGGGAAAGTTTTCTTTGCTGAAGGGTACACACAGTGTGTGGGTGCTACCTGCGAATCTGATTTAGTTCCTGCCTAAACACAGAACTACACATTTATCTCTGTTGAAATTTAATTCTGTGAGTTTTGGCCCAGGTCTCCTTCCTATCAAGATAATCTCTGTCTTCTAAGGCATTGGTTATCTCTCACAGTTTGGTGTCATCTTCAGATTTAATGAGTACCTCCCCCCCCCCAGCCTTCATCAAATCATTTATTGTTGAACAACACTGGGCCCAAACACAACTGTATAGTACCCAGCTTGTCATTTTGGCTCCATCTGAACTATACGTTTAAAGCAGTGCCATACAGCTTTAAAAAGTCATGTCTTCCTCACAAAGAATTCTGGAACTTGTAGTCTGATAAGGATACTGAGAATTTTTAAGAGGTCCCTATTCCCCTCACAGAGCCAGCATTCCCACAGTGGTTTAATGACCAACCCCTTTTCCCAGGGGACTGTGGGAATTGTAGCTCTGTGAGAGGAATAGGGGTCTTCTAACAACTCTCATTATGTTAAAACAAACTACAGGATCCTTTGAGGAGAAGAGAGGACTCTTTGAAGTGATATCACCATAGTACTTAAAAGATAAGTGCAGATAGGACATTTTCTCTTTAAGGTTGACCAGGAGCCACTGATGAGCACTCCTTGGATGCAATCCCTCACTAGCTACAACTCTTATGTCATGGTAGCTCCATCTAGCCCACATTTTACTAGCTTGCCAACATGAATTCTGTAGGGGGACCTTGTTCAGGGAAGAGGAATCTCCAGTTGTTGTTGGATTCCAGCTCTCATCAGCTCCACTTTGCACAGTCCACAGTAAGGGATGATGGGAAGATGTATTCCAGCATCAGCTGCCAGGTCAAATAGTCTCTGTCCCAAAACTCTGTGACTTCTGACGTCCCTCTCAATTCTGCCATGATTGGGGAAGGCTGTTGGTGGTTTTAAGATCAATATGTTTGCCACCTATTGCAACCTTTCTCCAAGAAACTTATGGATGACATACATGGAGCAGTCCTGCGTAATAGATGGGGCTGAGACAGAGCTTGGACAATGGTTACTTTAGTGGACTTCATGGTGGAATGGAGATTTGAATACCGTCCCCCACCCAACCAGCCACTGCCCTGGCTCTCTTGAATCTTCGTTGTTGATCTGTGTATGGGAAAATCAGTGGGCTTGTGTAGCCGGAGGTGGACCAGTGCCATGTTGAACCAGGGAGCAAGTGAACATAAAGTAAAATTACACATGGATACTTTAAGGGTGTGAGAGCAGAACTGGAAAATCGAAATACAGAAAATTCAGAATATTATTGGGAACAAAGATCCTTTTAGGTTTTAAAGTCGTGCTGGAGGAATGATTTTATGATGAGTCACGTAGGCAACTACCTGGAAATCATTGATAAATAGTGAGTGTGTGTGTGTGTGTGTGTGTGTGTGTGTGTGTGTGTGTGTTATGGTGGGTTGGGGAAGATGACGCCATTGGAAGGACCATAGTTTAGAGGTAGAGGCACACTTTGTGTTCAGAAGGGCCCGTCTCTCCCAGTTAACAAGGATCTCTTTACAGTTAATCTGAGGGAAACTTCTGCTTGTGGCCTCTGCTGAGCCACCACTCTCCAGGCTTTGATCCTGGCTTTGATAGCAGTCAACTTTTAGGCCAGACATGGTGGATACCTGCTGCTTCATTTTTATTGTTACTTTACCATATCGCGATAGTGCTGTTGTGGCACTGCATCCTTAAGGCTAAGGCAAGGGTCCTGGCCATAGCTGTCAACCTTCCCGTTTTTTGCGGGAAATTCCCTTATTCCAGCGCTGTTTCCCGCTGCTATTGTTAGATATCCCGTAGACTGTCCCCAGGACAGGTGAGGCTGCTGATCCCTTATTTTCAAGGCTGCTGATCCCTTATTTTCAAATCTGAAAGTTGACAGCTATGGTCCTGACCCACCAGTCAAAGACCAGAGAGTAGGCCAATGCTGTTTTCATCGCACCACTGAATGCATGGGCCGGACCAAATAATGTCAAAGAAACCAAGATTTCACTTTGGGGAATGGTTCTGATTCCACACTCGGGAGGTTGGCACAGCTGAAGACTCCACCCACAATAAACGCTCACCAAAATATACCATTATTGAGCTCAACCTCCTTTCTCACTATATCAGGTATGGCAGCTGCTACTATGGTAAACAAAACAATTCTCAAGGCTGGTAGGTTTCTTTGTTTAAAAATAAACATTTATTAAAATCTCTTGTAGCATGTAAAAGTCAATGTCAATGTGCTGACATATGTTTCGAAGGCATTAATCAGATACTGGCTCTGCGTGACTTTCTTGCCTGAAACTTCATAGATTCTAGACTTCCCAAAGCTCACTAGGCATGGTCCAAACGTTTGGCATGGGCTGAATAGCCCTACTCAAAATCAATCAAGGACTCATTCTCTGGCTGCTGCTCGCCTTGCTTCTCCTGCCACTTCCGCCTCAGCCTCAAAATATCTTCTCCAAATTGCTGATGGAGCTGGACAAAACCCATGCTGAAGGGACCAGCTTCCACCGCTGGTTTTGTAGTGGGGTGTTTCAAGTCTCTTGCCAAGTGTCTCGGTTGTCCTTCACATTTGGGAGGTTGCTGGTGCTTCAGCATCTGAAACTGTCCCTCCAGCTCCGTCACCAAAGCTCGGAGGTAACAGAAGCCTGCCGTACTGAGAGCTCGCACCCAACCCTCCATGGTTTCTTGGCTCTCGGCCGCCATTTTGTAGGATCGGGCGCCGGGTACGCCATTGGGGTAGGAAATCTCAAAGGTGTGCGGTTCAGATGCAGACTCCTGCAGCTCCACGGTGCAGCCTTCCAGGATGATGAGCCGAAGAGGACCCCGATCTCCCGATTGGTCTCGACAGAAGAGGATATTGCCCCAGAGCTCGCACCAGCATGGCCGGTAGGAGGCTGTGCGGATGCTCTTCTTGTACAGCAATCCCTGCCGGTCTGGGAGATGCCTCAGGTGGGAAGATGCGAGAGCACTGGAGAGGTGGAGTTTCATGGCGGACAGAACCCTGAAAAATGAGGGGTGAAATAATGATGGACGACTGGTGGCAGTGAATGAAACAGGTGGGCATGTCAGGAAAGTACAGGTGATAATGGGCCCAGATATAGAATTGGGGGGGGGGGTAAAAAAAAGAGAGAAATGAGGGAGAGTGTGGAATAACTTAGGGATGGGGTGAAAGGGAATAAGAAAAAATGAAGCAAAGCACATGAAAAAAGGGATCACGCTTTTGAAGGGGAGATGAAAGATCTCTGGCTGTGTACACATCTTACATTTAAAGCACACGCACACCCACCCACACCCACACCCCCCCCCGAAATAGAAAGAATCCTAGGAAATGTAGCTGGTTAAAGGTGCTGGGAAGTATAGCTCCCTGCGGGTAAACTACAGTTGCCAGGATTATTGGGTTGCTTTAAATGTGTGGTGTTTATCCAGCTGGGAGAGATTCTAATTTGGGATGGATTTTTTATTTTATTTTTAAGAAAACTGAACAGGATCTAGAGTAGGATGTTGCAACAAAAGTGGAAATAACTTAATGAAGGAGCAAACCAATTGTGCTATACTGTATAAGCATAACAGGACAGGAGAACATAAACAAATTGAAATAATGGTTTTAGAAGGAGTGAGGACAAAAGGTGGTGAAGGAATAAAAATAATGAAATGATAGGATGAAGGGCGCCAGAAGAAAAAAGGAGAGGACGAATCTATGCATAATTAAAGAAAATACAGGGAAAGGGGGGAAGCTGGAGAAGAACTGGAGTGAGAGGGAAGGAGCAAGAACTTGCCCAGTTTGTCTTTAAATAAATGTAACTATAGCAAGTGTCCCAAGCAAACATGAGGATATTGTAAAAAAGGGAAACAAATACCCCTGAATGCCCTTACCTTTGGTGTCAGATACGTCTGAGTTCCCCCTTTTGGTTTTCCTTCATGGCAGTTTCTCCTCCTTCCACTCTTCAAGAGAAAACATTTCCCAGGTGAAGGGGCGGGACTAGAGCTCACCTGGCGATTCACAAGTCACTTGATCCAGGAAGAGAAGGTAGCTATGGGAGAAGCTTGCCTCCCCTTTGATCATGGTCCCTTGCTTTCCCCACCCACAATTTCTCTCCCAAGATCAAGAAGAACAAGCAACTAGAAAGAGGAAGTAAGGAACCCACAACCAATTACTGAAACTTAACCTCAAAGGAAAGTTCTCTCTGGTCCTAAAGAGAGTTGTCTTAGAATGGATTTGTTTCAGGAAGAAATAGCTGTGAGGAATGGAGGGTAGGATAATAGAACTGTTGGAAGGGGCCGGAGGGTCATCTAGTCCAACCCCCTGCAATGCAGGAATCTCAATTGTTGGGATCTAAATTCTAGTTGCTACAGTTCCCTATAAAGTGCCCCCTTTTCTGAGCTTGCCTGTCCCGCTCCCCATGCACCCACCCTGGAATATCATATACTTACTTGTCCATTATTAGTTAAGAAAATATGGTGGTTTCTAGGGATCGGGTATTGTCAGTAATGGCACTGCTGGGGGAAACCAGCAATTTTCATCTCTTGCAGTCTTTAGATGTATTACAAAGATTTTTTCTTTCCTCATGAGGCTTTTGATGAGCAAGTTGTATTCTCTCTCTGCTTACTCTTGGACTCTGTTTTAAAACTTTTCCTTGGAGATGGATACGTTGCATTTCAGCCTGTCATTCATCTGTGAGAGGCCCAGCATCAACTCTGTATATAATGAGCCAAGTGGAAGGGCTACGAGAGTATAATTATTCCGTCAATAATTCTCAAAGGGTGGAACCCCAAAGACTTGAGTAGCTGGATGCTCCCTGGCAAGGGATCTTTACAGTCTCATTTGACTTGTTGGGGGTGAATGTCCCTCCACTTTTAATTATCACCACCTAATAGTGAGGAAAGGCAGCTCAGGAAAAGTTGTGGCTTTCCTTGATGATGGTTCCCTTCATTTTGTTTTAGGAGGGAGGGCAACACTGCCATGTTATATTTATTTTCTAATGCCTGTGTCTGGGGACTATGAGGGTCATCTAGTCCAACCTCTGCAGTGCAGGAATCCTTTGTCCCAATATCAACCCTGAGATTAAGAGTCTCATGCTCTGCCAACTGAACTATCCCAGCAGCTTGGAATAGCTGGGAGTAAGTCTGTATGCCACCCTGGCCTGCACGGCTGTCTTAAGCATATCCTGCGCTGTGGTGCAAAGATCCCTCTGCCTAAGCCTCTGCAAGGGGTCGCTCTCCTCCCACGAAGACTTGGGAGGCAAGCTGCACACCCACAAGCCATGTGGTTGGCGGGGTGCAGCTGGAGGGGGTGCAGGGAAAGGGGAGGCCACTGGCAAAGCCGCACAGCTCCCCCACTCACTGGGGTGCCCCTGAGAGGCCGGCGCCCTGGCACAACGCACCACTAAGCCCAAAGGGAAAGACAGCTCTGTTGGCCTGTCCATGCCCTAAGATCTTTGAGTGAGGTCCTTTTTCAAGTGCTCTTTCTAGTGAAAGTACATTACGTATCGAACAGAGAAGATTTTTACTGTCATGGTACCCTAACTTTTCAATGTAGAAAATATAATTATCGGTGCCAGGCCAAGGCATTTTTCTTTGCCCAGATATTTTAAATGGTTTGTTGCCTCAGTCTCCCTTATCATTTTATAGTTCTTCCTCTCCTCAGTTTATTGTTCATATGAAGTTGTTGCTGTTGTTATTTGGAATAAATATTGTTTATGTTTATTGCACACAACCCTGACATCAGTCTGAATGAAAGTTGGCCTAGAAGTACAGTAAAGTAAATTGTAGCCCAACCCAACAACTGTATTGTGGCATAAGCCCGCTTTGTCTACAATATTAAGAAACAAGCTACTGCTTGTGGCATGGTAAATGTGTTGGTGCCGCAAGACTCTCTCACTGCAACAAACTAATAGGGCTAAAGACATCTTAAAGGCTGGATTAGTACCCTAATCCACAGATTCTTGCAGGCAACGGCAGCCTCTGCCCTAACTAAACATGGGAATCTCTGCATGCTGTGTCTGGTGGGACATAAAGCCAATAAATAATAATATGTGGGGTTGCTTTTTGGGGGGGTGTTATTGGGTTGTTGTTTTTATTTTGATCATTTATTTCATGGTTTTATATTTTGATTTTGTTCTGTGAACCGCCCTGATACCTCTGGGTGTGGGTGTGGATATATATATATATATATATAAAACAATATATATATATTGTTTGGTGGCAAGGTAAAGAAGAGGCTTTCTGCATCAGGCTTAAACAAAAGGTTCATCTGCCCTATGATTTGAAAGGGCCAAGGAGATGCTTGTATCTCCTGCAGCTGTTATTCAGGGATACAGTGCCTTGAACCATGGAGGTTCAGTTTAACCATTATGGCTGAGGGTTGTTGCTTGACCTGTTTCAGGAACGTGTGTGGTTCCCTTTTAATTCCACCTGCAGTATTTGCGCCATTAAAACCACATCAGTTTAAAGAACTACTCATTCCTAAGGTCGAAGTCCTATACAGGAGGAAGTCCAGTGCGCGTGGCTTTGCACCCAGGCAACCCAAGATACACTGGAGCTGAGCAATAAACTGCACAATTCCTGTGGGCTGCACATGCTTGGAATGATATACAACTTCCGCCCGAGGAGGAGGAGGTCCAAAATTAGGAAATTACCCGCACCGCGCGCGCGCGCGCAGGCTTTGCCCACACTCTTCGTGCTAGTCGGCGCGAACGAAGCCGGCGCTTGCCAATACTTTGCGGTCACTTCCGGAGCGCGTGCGCCGCCGCCTGCTTAGCGTCACGTCCTCGTCGAATGGCGCGGCGGGACCCGGATGTTGATTGCCTCGCCGCGGTGGTTTGAGAGTTGGGCAGCGGGGGCGGCGTGAGGACTCAGGTGGGAGTCGCATTCCGTCGCGCGGGGGGGGGAGGATGCGAGTGACGTAATGCGCACATTCTAATAGCTCCCGCCCCGCCTGAACGTCTGACTGCGGGGGGTGGGGGGTGGCGGCGGCGTACCTGCCCAGGTGCGCTCCCAGGTCAATGACCCCCCCATGCTCACACCTGCAAAGCGCGGGGCGGCCTCCGAGCCGTGCGAAAGGCTTCTTTGGAGTTTGGGAGGCCTCTCCCTCAATTAGTTAGCGTGGTTAATTTAGGAACGTAATTGGTGTCGGGATTTCTTTTTAATAATAATAATAATAATAATATAGAAAACCACCCACATTTTGCCTGGAGTTCATTTGCGTTTTAGTCCTCTGGAGATGATGAAGAGCAGCGAAGCTTGACTACGTTTGGATTATTTCCAGCAGCCAAAGTACAGAGGAGGAGGAGGAGGAATTGTAGAAGAGTTGGAAAGGAACCACGAGGGTCATTTGGTCCGGCCCTTTGCAATGCCGAAATCTTTCACCCAACGTGGGGCTCGAACCCATGGTCCTGGGATTAAGTCTGCCAACTAATTGGAGCATTTTACCTTTCTCCCAAGGCTGCTGTTAACTTTAGTGGTCAGAGCTCAGGTGTTGCACTCCTTGCTCTTTAGAGGCTTATTAGCCTGCACACACACATCCCTTTTTGTGGCCCCCAAATAAAACCTGAGCTATGTGATAAAAATCCTTTTGGAAGCTGAGTAAATTATGTATACAAAACTTAAATGTGCCATTCTTACTAAGAAATTTGGGGTTTCTTAGTGCAGCTATTTCTAAATCAAAGCATTGTGATAGAATACGCAAGGAGTTCTTATTTGCTATCTTTTGTTCATTGAGTTTACATAACAGGTTGAGATGTATTGTGACAGGATTTGCTTTTGTAGAGGGTAAAACGATGTGTATAAAACACATCTCTGTACCAGTATATGCAGGAAAGATGGAGCCTACAGTTACTTTGTTTACAAACCCTCCCCAGAGACCTGCATGGTGGAGATAAGGCCCCTTCCCCTGAGACCTGCATGGTAGAGATAAGGGTCTTATCAGCAGTGGAAGCAGCATTATGCAAATTCTGGTTAACCAAACCCATCAGAACAGCCAAGCCCCTCTCCTGTGTACCCACAGATAGCTCTCTTGGGTGTCTTGCATCCCCTCTGCCATCTTTTGAATCTGGTTTGCTTTTCGTAGAGCCATAATGTCAAAACGCAAGGTGACCTTTGAGGACCAAGGCGATGAGGATGAGGAGGAAATGAACTTGCCAAAAAAGAAGGTGAGCTATTCTCCAATATCTTCATATTCAGGGGATAAAGTGAAGGATGAACTGTGCGTTTAAAACATATAAAATCTGGGAGCTTGACTTGAGAATGCACAGTGGCTTATCCTGAAGATTTAGGGGAGCTTAAAAGAGGGATAAGCTGCTGATTTGGAAAAAAAATCCCTCTAAACTAGTGATGCTGGGGAATACAGGCAGATTCTTCAGTTTCTGAATGGATAATTTCTACATTCTTTACCAACTCCCAACCCCCTTTAACAGCTGGTGGAACCTGCAGTTGGAGGACCAGGCAGCCGCTTTAAGGGCAAGCACTCATTGGACAGTGATGAGGAGGATGACGAGGAGGAAGGGCGAGGCAGCAAATATGACATCCTTGCATCAGATGATGTAGAAGGTAAGTATGGAACTGGAACCATGGTATGTGTACATATTTGGATAATGAGATTCTGTATTCTGTGATATTTCTACTTTCTGAAACCCCAAAAAACAGCAAGCCAGCCACTAGACCTTTTAAAGATAAGAGGGGCTACTTTTGCTTGGAATTGCAGTGGTATGGATGTGGCAGACCTAAAGGAAATGGAGCCATTGAGTATCTATTTCAGTACGTAAGGGGGGACATCTGCATGAAAACTAAGGCTGCAATCCAGGGACACCTGGGAGTAAATCCCACTGAATTTAATAGGATTTAATTCTGAGTAGATATGCGTGGGATTGGGCCGTATGTGTTCAAAGCCCTTTGGATACATTATTTCATTAAGCCTTACAGCATCCTTTTAAAGTAGGTTGTGTTTAGGTATTCACAAATTTTAGAAGGTCTTGGAAGTGAAGACAATATTTTGGGTTGTTGGGACCCTTTAAGAGGCCTTAGGCAAGTTTTGTTCAGAGGTAAGCCCACTGTGTTCATTGGCACTTACTCCCAGGTAAGTGTGCATAGGATTGTAGCCCCTGATCTCATAACTACACCTCTATGGAAGATCAGCGCTCCCCAGTTCCTCTGTGGAAGATGAATACTCCCCAATTCAGCTCCATATATTTGGAGCTTGTATGGGGTGGGGGGGAATAGGAGCTCATTGGGAGGCTGGCCATTGGAGTGGCTGGAGTATCTTGGCCATCCACCACTGGTCATCCCCAGCCGCAACCCCAGAGTCGGCCACGACTGGACCTAATGGTCAGGGGTCCCTTTACCTATAAACACTATTGGATGTACTAGGGCTAGCAGAATTACAATTGCAGAGCAGAAGGATTCATAGGGGATAGGGCTATCGATGCCCACGGACCATGATGGCTGTGCTCTGCTTCCACAGCTGGAGGCAGCAATGGTTCAGAATACCAGTTGCTGGAAACCACAGGCGGGGAGAGGGCTCTAGTGCTCAAATCTAGCTGGCTTTCTACAGGCAACTGAGTGGCCACTGTGAGAATGCGGGACTACATGGGCCACTGGCCTGATCCAGCAGACTCTTCTCAAGGTGTTGGTGTTGAAATATACCGTATTTTTCGCCCTATAGGACGCATTTTTCCCCTCCAAAAATGAAGGGGAAATGTGTGTGTGTCCTATGGGGCGAATGCAGGCTTTCGCTGAAGCCTGGAGAGCGAGAGGGGTCGGTGTGCACCGACCCCTCTCGCTCTCCAGCTTCAGGAAGCTCTCCGCAAGCCTTGGGAGCTCCGCGGGAGTTCCCGTCGGGCTCCCAAGGCTTGCGGATAGCAGCCTGCTTCCCGAAGCCTGGGGCCCCGGGCTTCGGGCAGATATCGGGCAGCCCCACAAGCTCAGGGGACAGCAGGAAGGCGCAGCGCCGCCATCCCGCTGTTCCCTGACCTGGTTTTGGGGGGGAAATAAAGGAAAAGTTTTTTTCCTTTATTTCCCCCCAAAAAAACTAGGTGCGCCCTATGGGGCGAAAAATACGGTATATAAAATTTTTTTAAAAATGCCCAGTAGCACCTTAGAGACAAACTAAGTTTGTTCTTGGTATAAGTTTTCATGTGCATGTACACTTCTTCAGTGTTGGTGTTAATTAAGTTTATATACCACCCTATACCCAGAGGTCTCTGGGCGGTTCACAGAAAAGATTGCGACATATATAATCAGAATAAAAACGGCAACTCAGTAACACCGCCCCCCCCCCCCGAAAAGAGCCACATTTTAAAAGGGTATAGGATGTTCTTACGGTTTCGTATCAGCCCTGCTCTAGTGATTTATTAAAGTTAACTGTCATTTTATTCTAGTATTATGAGAGGCTGTTCCATCATAATTTGATTCCCCCCCCTTCTTATTTACCCTCGTAGGGCAGGAATCTGCAACTATTGACTATGAAGATGGGGTCCGGATCACTCCATTCAATTTGCAGGAGGAGATGGAAGAAGGCCATTTTGATTCAGAAGGCAACTACTTCTTGAAGAAAGAGGCGATGATTCGGGATAACTGGTTGGACAACATAGATTGGGTAAGGTTGCCTGTCTGGGCTGAGCAGAAGACAGTCTGTGCAAACAGGGAGCTGATAACCTTGGCTGTTCCTACAGTGTGTAGAGAGAGGGGCTGGGTTGATTCCCCAGTTGCACTGTAGCAGGAAGCAAAGCATCAGTTTTTGTGCTTGCATTGTACAATCATAAATACAGAGATTCCGGGAAGTAATTCTGAAATGTCTGCAAGAGGGAACAGCAGTAGGGGGAATGGGCTATAGTTCTGCGGCCAGGACAGGAGTGAACTGGGTTCATGGCTCAAATCTGGGTACCATAAGTAGTCAGAAATAAATCAGGTTGATTGTAATAACTAAGCTGCTTTCCTGCATGGTCCTAAGGACTTACTGCTCTTGGAGTAATTCTGAGACAAGATAGCCTTGGAGACAGCAGCTCTCCCAAACCCCAGTGAGCTAGTAAGTGGGAATAATGTTGCTCTCTTCCTTCCATGGCTTTTTACTACAAAAATTGGGGAACCAGTGAATTAATGTTGCATCAAACAAGGCTGATATGATTCTTGGGAATATCTAATAGGAACAGGGAGTGCAAATAACAAAAAAGGATATTATTTCTGGCTTGCGGCACCTGCTAGAGTTCTTTGACTGGATCTGAAGCCCATACATTGGGATAGTAGAGTAGGGACCCTGAGGACCATGTCGTCCAACCCCCTGCCATCCAGGAATTTGCAGCTGCCCTATTACGGGGATCGAACCTGCAACCTTGGCGTCATCAGCACCATGCTCTAACAAGCTGAGCTCATCCGCATTTTGTAATGGTCTGCCACTTGCCTCTTACGGCTTTCCTGTCCCTTTCGCTTCCCAACCAGGTCAGGATAAAGGAGCAGCGTCCTGGTCAGAAGAAGCCGCCGCTAGATTCTGCCGATGAAGACGAGGAAGAGGATCTTGAAGTGGGACGGGCACCTTTGGACAAGAAGGCGCTGCTGGAAGGGATGGTGGCCTTGGTGCTGCCTGGCGAGACGGTGGCCAGGGCCATCCAGAGGCTGGGAGACAAGGGCGGGCCCAAGAACAGCGGGCGTCAGAGGAGGCCCTGGAGCCGCCTCAAGGCAGAGGAAGCAGAGCCAGCCGAGGAGGGAGAGCCCCAGAAGCCCGGGTCGCCAGAACGGAAAGAGCAGCTGGAGCGCCTCTCGGGGCTGGCTGACCAAATGGTGGCGCGAGGCGTGTATGAGATCTACCAGGAGACTCGGGAGAAGCTGGCACTGAGGCTCCGGGCGCTGGAGCAGCCTCCTGCAGCAGTATCCGCAGCCGAACCGGAGCTCGATATGTTTGCTGAGGATATTGATGAAGCGAAACTGGGGGAGAAGACACCAGCGGGTGAGTCCTTTTGTTGGGAACTGCGTTGCTGTTTTGGGAAGACCAAAAATGCATGATTTGCAAATAATAATAATAATAATTTAGCAACTCTGTGATCCCCTGATCAGCCAGGGGCACCCAGGATGATAACTCAACAAGGATCCTACCCAAACTTCCCCTCAGGCCGCTCCAAGTTGCATAAGGGCATATGGAAATATTACGCGAATGCCTTTTGTTCCCTTTAACCTTCCGCATTCAAAATTTGACGTTGTGAAATTTGAAGTTAATTGCTGTTGAGCTAATTAGCACATAGGAGATCCCGATGATAAGTAAATGGATGAGAGACTTCATGCATCGACGTGGGCTGGTGCCGATCTAAGACAATTGTTCTGCCTTAGATAAGCTGGCACAGCCTAGAAGTGCAAAATCTGGACTATTCTTGCACACCACCATTCATTGGGAACTGTGTTGCTGTTTTGGGAAGACCAAAAATGCATGATTTGCTAATAATAATAATAATAATCCCCTGGCGCAGCTGCTTGCTTAGATTTACGGCTGCAAATAGAGGAAGGTGTGTTGTGCTCATTTTCTGCCTGCAGAGAAAAGTATTACCTCTTGGGAAAAGGCTTCTGCTCTTAAGATTCTCTCCAATACTTGAGCTTTCAGCATGCAGGGTGTTTCTGTGGGGAAGCATTCAAATGTGGGATCACCCACCGGTCCCCCAGAATCCTGATGTTTGAAGTAGTACAGCTGTACTACACGACTGTCCTGATTGTATTTCGGATCTTAGCCGTTGGGTTATTGTTGGAATTGGCAACCTGACACAAGTTCTAACATTCTTCCGGCAGTGGGAAGTGAGGAGCAAAAGCAGGGCGATGACGATGCTCTCTCTGAGGTCATGTGGGAATACAAATGGGAGAACACAAACACGTCCGAACTCTATGGCCCCTTTAGCAGCTCCCAGATGCAGGTAAGAGACAATGTGGGGCAGTCAAACCGCTGTTATTTCTCTCAGATATTTCTTCATGTCTCTCTCTTGTCTTAGGTCTTGTTTTCATCATTCAGTCTTCATTCTTTCCGCCTATACCAGTGGCCTTTCGTTGATAATTTTTTGTTTTTCCATCCTTTCAGTAGCCTTTGGTTTTTTCCTCCCTCTTTTCTTTTTTATGTTCATTTCTTCCCCTAAATCTTCGATCTTCATGTCCATCTCTATCCATTTATTGTTCCTGGGTGTATAAGTCTTGTCCGTAGTTGCAAGTGCACTTCTCTGTGGCTTGCCTGCTGAGGTGAGTGAGCAGCTGTGGGCATATTGGAGAAGCAATGTGTTAGATTTCTTACCTGCTCTTTACCATGTGGTCCCAGGTGTGTTGCAGCAATAAAATATAAATCATAAAAACAAATAAAACATTGGTAACTGTAAAACAAGAAAAGTTTAAAAACAATTAAAAGCAGTTCCATATGTAAAAATAATGCAGACATTTAATGAAAGTATATGCAAAGACAGTGAAGAATAATTCCTGTACACTGGGATTATGAACTCCACTTAAGCAAGGAAATCATATTGCTAAAGAAGTTGTTTCGATTTGTAGTGACAGCTGTCAAGCTGCATCAAGGATTTTTTAACACTAATGTAATCAGTTGCTACAGAGATCATTTTGATTACATTTACCACTGCAATTCTTTGTTCTGAAAGATGATGTCCTTCAGTTTGTTAAACCTCCTCTTTCTGTGCTCCTCCTGATGGAAATACGCAGATGGGGACAGATATATCCCTACTTTAAGTCGTTTATGTACTGTCTTATATATTATTTACTACAAAGCTCGATGACTAATCAACAAAATGTCTGATTACTGGAACGGCGTCCGAGCACTGAACCACTGGTATATCACAAATGGACTCCTTATTACTGCATTTGCAATTGTTCAAGATAAAATCTATTTTGGAAAGAGAAGAAATGAGCATTTCACCACTGATATATTACGAGTGAACTGTTTATTTACTGTGTTGGCAATTGTTTAAGATAATACCTCTGAGTAGGCTGCCTAGAAGTGCAAAATCTGGACTATTCTTGCACACCACCATTCATTTTCTCTGAAAATATTGCCAGCAATGTGCGTTGTGCAATATCTCAGTTACAAAACTGAGCATTGGGTGCAGAATTCGGGTTCTGCAGAATCTCCGGTTTCATCTTTAAAGCCAAGTTTCTAGCCTTTCACAACCTTCATTTCCATGCCTGTTTTTGAGTGAAAACCACCTAACACATTTTAGTTTGTAGGACCCCCACGTCCATTAGGTGCACCAACTTTTTTGGGGGGGCTCTCCATGTATGCAGATTTTGTTGGTCCCCTTGATATGGTAACGTCAGTCGTGTTTGAATTTGCTGGTTATGTTGATAATTTCCCCCCAGTGCTTGTTTGTTCACTTCATCCCTTGGCTCCAACCAGTTTGCCAGCTCCATCTCTTCTTTCTCTCAGCAATTCCCTTTCTCCTTCAACACTTTCCTCTTGTGTATCCCTCCAGGACTGGGTATCCCAAGGCTATTTCCCTGATGGGGTCTACTGCCGGAAGGTGGAGAATTCCGAGGGCCAGTTCTACAATTCCAAGCGCATTGATTTTGACCTCTACACGTGATCGGAACCCGCCTCCTGCCCCACAGAGCACAAGAGATGCAACTCAACACAGCGGCGGACTGAAAGAACTTGCCGGACTTTAGGGGGTGGGGGCCAGGGAAGGAGAGGCGTGTGTGTGTTTGTGTGCGTGTGTTTGCAGAGGGAAAGAGGGAGAGGTTTGATTTGCCGTCTCATTCTGAGGTTGCTTCGCATTTTGCGAGAAATAAAAAGAATCAACCTTAAATTGGCTGGGTTGGTTACTGTTTCCCTACTGATGATTCCCGTGTGTTGGGCATAGGTTAGGGATTGGCATGCAGCCTTCTAGCTGCCAGTTCTTGTCTGCTCCTCAATGCTTCCAGTAGCATCTTAAGTGATGGGGAGGAGAGACTGTCATACACAAGCAAATAGAAGATTTGGTGGGAGGTAGAGGGTAAAACTAGTTGCCATTCAGTGACATAGTTCACTGCTCTACCATCTTGCACAATATTTGGTGGAGAAATTGTGGTTTACTTTGTGTCTATTACTATTTTCATCTGTAGGGATCGACTTAAAGGGGGCCTTTTTTTACCCAAACTTACTCATGACTCAAATTTTATTCATTGCTCTTCAGCTCCTTTATACTACCCCACTCCTTGTTACGAACCTCATGAGAAGGCCATGCTTTTAAGTGTGCTCCTCCCCCTTTCATCTACACCCATTCCTCTTAGGTCTTACAGGGTAGAGTGTTTAGGCAAATCAGATGGTGGCTTCCCTTTGTAATACACACTAGTCCAGAGCCCTTAAAACAAGACAGGTATTTTTGGTACATGCACAGATTTTTTTAAACGGACAATTGCAGAAATTAAAGCCAACAGCAAAATAAAAACAACTTCTAGATATTGGCCGCATACAGATATTTTGGTGTTCTGAAAGGGCAGCAAGTTAATTAGTTATTACAGTATTTTTTATTGTCGGGGAGAGGTGATCACGAGATTTCCTGCCACAAGCGCAGAAAATAATTTCATGAGCTTTGGAAACTATGCAACTTGACTTGGGGGTGGCGTGGAGATATTTCTGCTCCGCCTGAGGCAACAAAATGCTTTGGGCTGTTCCTGTTCATAACGAAGAAACCTCATTTTCAAAGAGGATGCTAGGAAAGGGGTTGCCTTTAGTTTCTGTGATGCTGGTCCAGTCGGTTATCCAGTAGATCAGAGCTCATTTAAGATCTTATAAGTCGGCCATCCAGCACAACTGTCCCACACTCAAGTAAATAGTCACATTACTTCCTCAGAAGCTAGAATTTCCACAATATATTTATTGTGGGTTCTTATCTTTAAAAGATGAAAACATCCCGCTAGCAGGCTCAGACGTATGGATAATGGGTTAATGTTCTGGCGGTGAGAAACAAGCCACTGATGTACAGACCAAAATAGAGGTTTGGTAGTCTGAAGTCCACATTTCCTCCGTATGGGGAATCTAGTGCTCTGGATAGTATACTGCCCCATCATTCCTGGTGATTTTGTCATTCTGGCTGGGGCTGATGGGATTTGGGAGTCCAGCACCACACGTTCTAACCCCTTCCTTTAAGATGTCTTACTGGAATACACTGGAAAACATCCCTAGCACAGTTTTCTGCGTCTATTGATGGGTCGCCCTCTAGGAAGCACATCCTGAAAGTGACGACGACCCTGTGTTTGCCCCCAGCACCTGATATGCAGGGGTATACTTTTGCTGAACATTGGACATTCAGTGGCGAGAAAAACTTTGTTAGGTTTTGTCTGTCCCATGCAACCAAAATGGAATGGAAGAAAGCCTCTGGGAAAAGAGGCAGGCCTACTCTGTTAATATTGTCTAGCATTTAATGTTGGGCGTGGTTTGTAGGTGGCGCAAATCAGAGATTCATGCTGAAACTGAGGGGGGAACGGATACTGGTGTGGCAATAATAGGAAATGAGATGCCAGACTTTGCAGCAGCGCAGTCTCCATGCAAGTTGGCCGCAGAGGACTGGATGAAGCAACAGCATGGAGCCTGCCGTCGAAACGAAGTGGATCCTCAAAGCTGCTTTCTTTCTCTGCCTTGGCTGGTGTACGTACTGCAGCTTGACTTTGGCTTGTGGGGCAGGTGTAGGGTTGCCAACTGATCCCAAAGGAACTGGCTTTGGCTTGTTCCTGTGTCTTCAACAGCAAGTTGATCTGCAGCAATCGGCAGGTGAATCTGTTCTCAGCTTGGAGAAAAGTAGTGCCACCTGCTTACAGCTGTTTAAAAGGCACAGGAGCAGGGGTTGGGGTTTTTTTTTTTGGTTAAAGTTGGAGCCATCAGGAGTGGGGCAGCTGGTTGGGTTGCAGGTAAACTGAATCAGGGCTAATGGGGGGCAGGGAGGGGGTTGCAGTGTTTTAGACAGTGACTTTAAAAAAGGAACAAAAACTTACCGTGCGTGGGAAGGCTTGCTCAGTCAAGCACTGAAATGGGGATTTTTAAAAACCAAAAAATGTTTCTACAGGTCTAGTGGTATTAAGTGCTTACTAAATAATAACCCCACTTTGCATTTATTTTGCCTGTGTTTAAAGCCTGTTGCACTAATCCATTGTATTGTTACAACAGCCCTGTAAGGTAGGTTAATATTCATCTCTCCATATTGTTTGGGGCGGTGCATCGAGTTGTTGAAAGCTACCTTGAGAGTTTGGGGCTAAAATCTGAGACCTTCCTCCCTCGCACAACCAATATGAGGCTAATTAATACTGCCCCACTGTGCAGGGCGGTTACCAGGATTACAGAGGTTGGCTCAAGATGTTCAGCAGACAGCCACTTTATAGACTACTGCAGTGTGTAACGTGGGGCTACCCTTGAAGGCTACCCAGCATCTTCAGTTTGTTCCAAAACAGGGCAGTGGGTTTGAAAACGAGAGATGTGTGGTCTTGCAAAACATGTCGCTGCTCTTCAGTGATGTTCACTGGCTTTCCAAATTCACCCAGGCTTTTAGTAAACAGAAATGTTGAGTCTTTAGTGATGCCTATTGTTTTTAACTTTCGTGTCCTCTTTTTTTGTCGCTACTTCATCTGGCTGCTTTTACTGTATATCTTTTTTTAAATAACCTGTTTTCCCTCCTATTATTTGAGATTTGATTCTAAGCCACCTTTGACATTTCTTCAGAATTGAAAAGTGGGATAGAAACGCTTACATAAACAAATGAGATAGTAGACTCCTGAGGTGGTCGAGTGGACTGTACCACTTGAGACCGCAAGTATAATGCTGTATTATTATTATTTTTTTAAAGCAGCCCTCCATCTGGACAAACACAAAACTAGAACTGCAGGGAAAAGCATGAGTTTCGGCTCCTTCTCCGTAATGCAAGGGTGGGAAAGCTCAGCCCGTGGACGCCAGGCCAAATTTTCCCCAAATCACACCAGATGTCATATGTAACACCAGGTGTGGGGCAGGAAGAGGCATGGCACATCCTATCCCTGCAGCAAACAGGACTGAACTCTCTGTGCATCAGATGAAGGGTGGAAAACTCAATCCTGCTTGGTGGAAGTACCTGAGAAGGCTCCTTGCACGTGAGGGTACATCATGCACCTGAACCCTGCAGAAAGCGGGACTCAACTCCCCTTGTCAAAGGCGGCTGGAAGAACAGGGGGCTAGGGGAGAGAGAAAGAGCTGGGACCCTTGTCCCCAAAAGCTCTAGTAGACTGGCAGCTTTCATTTTAGTCCAACACTGGTGGCGGAAGAGTATCCTTTGCCCCACCTGAGGGCAGCAGACTACCGTATGTTCCGGCATATAAGATGACTTTTTAACCCAGGAAAATCTTCTCAAAAGTTGGGGGTCATCTTATACGGCCAGTCGTCTTATACGTGGGAAAATACGGTAGATTGGAGCTGCAGGGCAGCAGATGACATGGTACAGACACCTCTGCTTCCCACCATCCTGTAGCTGCTTGGTACACACACACACACACACACACACACACACACACACACCAAGCATCTTATGTCTGAAGCTGTTTCCTCGGCCTACCAAATGGTAGGACCACCTCCGCCTTGGCATCAAGCCAATGTTTAAGGGCATCTGGGCTGCCTGCCACTTCCCCAGTGGGGTCACTGAGGGCATCTTGCACAAGGGAGATGACACGGCTTCCTGGCCTCTGGTTGCTAGAGTTACTTCAGGGAGCAAAAAGGCCTCCTTGCCGCCACAAACCCTTCCCTTTCTTTTTCCACTGTGTGCATTCTGACACATTCTGTGAAGAAATAACATGCACCCACTGGCACGCTAAGAAAACTCATGGGGATTCAGGGCATTGCAAAGGTGTGGAAGAGGCCATAAGAATGGGAAGGAGAATAAGGGTCAAATGACTCATCTAGCCATCTCTTTGTCAACGGAGAAGCCGCGTGTTGGGGAATGTCCAAATGTGGCCAACTTCCTCCCGGCCAGACATGTGGGTCAAGAGCCAAATGTATGCATGAGGAAATAAAATATTAAAACTCATACGCTAAAAGCAGTGGCGCCTGCGATGGGGGTGGGCTTGCATCCTGCTGCAGCCAGGCTATCCCTAGGAATATTGGGCATTTTTGTAGCATTTTTGAGCACTCTGAGCCCATTTACATATGCTGTTTTGTTGTAAAACTTATGCAGAGAGCTTGGAAAGTAGGTCAGCAGCACTATTATTTCTGCCCCCATCATCACTGCAGAGCAGGGGTTGCTGCTGGGAGAGAATGATTGCCTGAGGGAGCTTTCTGCATGTGCAAGATTTGAACGACTTGTAGAATCAAATAATTTGTAGCGTTGGAAGAGACCCAGAGAGTCATCTAGTCCAACCCCCCTGCAATGCAGGAATCTCAAGTAAAGCGTCCATAACAGACGGCCACCCAACCTCTGCTTAAAAACCCCCAAGGAAGGAGAGTCTACAACCTCCTGAGGGGGCCTCTTTCACTGTGGAACAGCTCTTACGATCAGAAAAAAATCTTCCTGATCCATAGTTCAGCCATTAGGTTACGCCAGCTCCATGTAGCTCTCTTGGAAAGTGCCAACCACAGACTTTCCACCCCAGCATTTGGAAAGCGCAGACTTCATCCAAGCAGTCAGAGGTTGTCTTGTTTCCAAAGAGCAGCATGTGAACTTCAGCTTCCTCAGCTGCTGGCTGTTTGTGTTTCTCTTCTCTGGCATTTCCCCCTCCTTCCTTGAACCTTCCCTTACTGTTTGCCCCTTCCACCCACTTGCAAGCTTCTCAGGCCTCCTGTCTCCTTTTCCTAGACACCTGTTGCTTCTACCTGTGGCCACTTGTCCACATTTCCTAGAGACAAGATGTGTCCATTCCCCAGCCAAAGATTTACCGTATTTTTTGCTCTATAAGACGCACCAGACCACAAGACGCACCTAGTTTTGGGAGGAGGAAAACAAGAAAAAAAATATTCTGAATCTCAGAAGCCAGAACAGCAAGAGGGATTGCTGCGTAGTGAAAGCAGCAATCCCTCTTGCTGTTCTGGCTTCTGGGATAGCTGCGCAGCCTGCATTCGCTCCATAAGACGCGCACACATTTCCCCTTACTTTTTAGGAGGGAAAAAGTGAGTCTTATAGAGCAAAAAATACGGTAACTGCCAGAGACCCCTGGGAAGAAAACAGAACCATGTGCTGGCTCCAGGGGTTTTTTTTGGGGGTGAGGCATCTGATCAAAATCTGCTTTGAGCTTAAAAAATTATATTTGTAAATATATTTTTCTCTCATGCAAGGGAGAAGAGCAGCTGAATACTTTGGCAGCTGTTCAAGGGCCCCACTGCTATAAATAGCAGTATTTCAAGGTTGTAAAAGGAAATTAGAGCCAGAGAGCAAAAGGTCACACTGACCAGAATACAATCAAGCTGTAAAAACACAATTAAGAACTGGTAAATAGTGAAATTTATTGTTTAACAGAAGACTCGAGCCATAAGGTTAAAGGTTAAATGGAAGAGGTTGCTCTTAGAAACAGCTGCTGGTTAGGGAAAAGGCCTCTCTCCAAACTGTTTTGAAGCTTCAGAGAATTTACTAAGTTCCTTCTAATTTGAAAAGGCCTTTCCTTCTAAAAATCTATCTATGTTATGTATGAAATATATTGGCTTAAATGTGATTATGCAAAGGATTTAGAAAGTAAGAAATGTTAGATTCTTATGTTAGATTCCTATTATGGTGGGTGAGAAGGTGAACTCAAGATCTCTTTAAGATAAAAAAATTAGAAACCATGCACCATCTGCTTTAGCCATCTGGTTTGCGGTGAATAGGGCAACAGGGGCCAAAGGTTATCTGGTAATTGAGGTGCCTGGTCGAGGTAAATGTAAGATATATGGCTACTTGTCTGCCATTTATGGATACAAGGAAATATAGCTTTTTGTCTCCCATAAAAGGGAATAGGAAATGGGTGTATCTTTTATGATTGGTTCTAGCAAACAACCAATAGGAATTTCAACCAGGCTGATTGGACAGAGGCAGCCAAAGGAGGAGCAAGGGGGCTGGGCTGAGGAAATATAAGTGCTGGCCATCAGGGCTGGAGTAGGCAGAGCTTTGGTATCCATATACCACTGTGTCTCTCATTTATTTGTCTGACAAATAAATTATTATTTTAATTTCTCTATTGCTGCGTTGAATATTTCATTCCAGCTAAGCGTTAACCACAAGCAGGGTGCTACATTTTATGGTGCCTCTGTGACTCGGATAAGTGGTCTGCTGGAACGCAGCCCCTTCGCCCTAGCGGGCAGGGTACAAGAGGGAGGACCACTGACCGCTTACCCAGCGCGCACTGGAACATTTTTCCAGGGGAACGCAGAAGTCTCGTCTGTCTGATACCCTGCTCACTGGCGGCGACGGACCGGGGGTAACCAGAGAAATAAACAGGGAACCAGCTAAGGGTAAGTGCACAAAGGGGTTGTGGCCCTCCAATTAATTGGGAGGAAGAGAAGTCTTGATCAAACTTCTGCGTCTCAGTAAGGGGGAACTGAGTACGCTAGGTGGTTGGGTACATCAGATGGTGGTCTGGTGGAGGGAAAAGGGAAAGATTGGGAGGTAGAGTGTGGTGAAGTATCCAGCGCATTGTATGTGTGAGAAAGTACAATCTGTAGCTGACCTGAGTGTGGAGTGGGTAGTACTTCGGTTCCTAGTAAGGCGACTTCACTAGGCAAGGATCCCCACGAAGCGTGTGTGTGAGTGACTGAGTGGATACTTCACAGGGCCATACAATGGGAGTTGGAGGTTCAAAGGGGGAAAATACACCTCTTGAATGTATGTTAAATAATTTTAAGAAAGCCTTCTCAGGAGCATATGGAGTCAAAATGACGCCAGAGCGCTTGAGAACGTTATGTGAATTAGACTGGCCAAAACAAAATACTGGATGGCCACCTCAGGGAAGTTTTGATATAAATTTAGCAAGCAAACTTTGGTCTAACATCACCAAAGAAACTGGAGGGTGCCCAGAACAATTTTCATATATAGATTCTTGGCTGAGCACATTAAATAATAATCCTCCATGGATAAGGGAATGCAAAGTCCAACAATGCAAATTATTGGCAGTAAAAGCCGAAGCTAGGAAAGGAATCTTGCCAAATAAACTCAAACCCATTTTTGAGGGACCAGAGGAAGAGGTGCTTCCACCTCCACCCTATGCTCCACATCGAGGGGAGCCTAATCCAAACACTCCACCAGTTGTAACCCCAAGGCAAGAAAGTGGAAGGAATAATGGGGCTGGAGTCACAGAGCTTGATTCCTTGATAGATTATGATAAATATCTTCAGGAGGCATTGGAGTCCTATAATAAAGCCCAAGCAGAAGTGGTTATTCCACCTGTGAGTCCCAGTAGAACTCCATCTACAGTCTCCTTTAGTGGAACAACTGATTGCCCACCCCAAACCCCTGTACATCCAAGTCCTAGAGAACTATTACAGGAGTTACAGGGAGACTTTGATCGGTCAGTAAGCAATACAGCCAGGCGTATAAAGCTGTTAAAAGAACGCCTTGGGACAAATACTATCCCCTATGATTTGAGGCCCCTAAAGCAAAGCGAAGAGAAAGGTCACGTAGTAGCCCCTCTCAGAAGAGTATTTGATGCACTTGAGGAGCCTGTGCTGGTTAACGGGCAACTCGGACCACGGCCACCTCGAACTTCGACCCTCCAGTACATTCCATTCACAACTACGGATCTGATGAATTGGAAAACACACACCCCGTCTTTCGCAGAAAAACCTCAGGCTATGATGGACTTGGTGACTTCAATAGTAAATACTCATAGTCCTACTTGGACAGATTGCCGCCAGCTCCTGAATACTCTGTTCACCACTGAGGAAAGAAGAGACATAATTGAAAAGGCACAGATATATTTGCGTGAGCAGGCCAGAGTGGGAAATATTCTTAATGTTGACCGTCATCTCCAGGACAATTTTCCCTTGGAGGATCCTAATTGGGATCCAAACAATGCAATTCACCTGGCCAGGCTTACCACCTACCGCCAGACGCTTGTGCAAGGTATCCGCAGGGCATGCCAGAAGCCCACTAATATGACTAAAGTCTCAGAAGTAGAACAGAAACCGAATGAGAGTCCGGGAGACTTTTTAGAGAGGCTGCAGGAAGCCTATCGTATATGGACTCCTTTTGACCCTGAAGCCCCTGCAAACAGCAGAATGATTACTGCTACTTTTGTGGCTCAGTGCGCTTCTGACATTCGTAAGAAAATTCAGAAGTCAGAAGGCTGGGAAGGGATGCTGATGAGCCAAATTATGGCCATTGCACGCCGAGTTTATCGGAATAGGGATGAGGCTGAGAAACAAGAGAAGAAGAAGTGGCAGAAGGAAAAGATGGTGATGCTAGCCACAGCAGTGAAGCAAGACTACCGCCCTTTAAATGGAGGGAGAGGGCGGGGAAGGAATCCACCACTGGGAAGGAATCAATGTGCGAATTGCAAGAAGGAGGGTCATTGGAAGCGGGAGTGTCCTGAACCCCTGAGGTTGGAAGAAGTACGCCCAGGCCCAGGCCCAGGCTCCGGCCCAAGAAACCAGGGACGGGGACGGGGAATGATCCGAGATGGAAGATATCAGAGACCTGGACAAGGACGGAGTAGAGACAATTTCATTGGACTGGCAGAGGAGGATTTTACCCAAGACTAGGAACGACCGGACTCCATAAAGTTAGGCTTCCAGGAGCCCACGGTCAAAATTCAATTAGGGAGCCATTTAATAGACTTTATGATAGATACTGGCGCTGAATACTCAGTACTCCCAGAACTTTTGCAGAAAAAGGCATCCAAAAGTGTAGTCATTAAAAGTGCCACTGGTCAGTCAGCTAAGAGGTCTTTCCTCCAACCTTTAGAATGCCAGATTGGGGGACATCATTTAACCCATCAGTTTTTGTATATACCTGAGTGTCCAATGCCTCTCTTAGGTAGAGATATGCTGTCCAAATTGCAGGCCCAAATCACCTTCACTCCTCGAGGTCCAGAAATGAAACTGCCATCAAAGGCAGCAGGAATAATTTCCCTCTCAGTACCTAAGGAACAATCATGGCGCCTAATGTCAGCCCTGCAAGTCCAACCCACATTGGATACAGAATTAAACAAGCTCCTCCGAACCCTACAAGTGCCACCAGGAGTATGGGCCGAAAATAGCCCACCAGGAATGGCTAAGAATATAGCTCCAATTGTAGTAACCCTAAAACCTATGGCTACCCCTGTATCTGTAAAGCAATATCCTTTACCCCGGCGAGCAGCAGAGGGCATCCAGAAACATTTGGACCGCCTATTAAAATATGGTCTGCTTAAGCCCTGCCAATCAGAATGGAACACACCCCTTTTGCCTGTTCGGAAGCCTGGGACAGATGAATACAGGCCAGTACAGGACTTGAGGCTCGTAAACCAGGCTATCGAGACCTTGCACCCAAATGTACCAAACCCATATACCTTGCTGAGTTTGATCCCACCAGAAGCAACATTTTTACTGTATTGGACTTGAAAGATGCATTCTTCTGTTGCCGGCTGGCACCACAGAGCCAACCTATATTTGCCTTCCAGTGGGAAGACCCTTTGACAGGAACAAAAGGCCAGCTAACCTGGACAAGATTGCCCCAGGGATTCAAAAATTCCCCAACTTTATTTGGCACTGCCTTGGCGAAGGATCTAACAAGTTACCCCTCAATACCTGGAAAAAGGTGGTTCTGCAATATGTAGATGACCTTATACTAGCGGCAAAGGATTTTGATACCTGTAAAGAAGGGACAGAGGAACTGCTCCACTTGCTCTGGGAAGCTGGCTACCGAGTTTCCCAGAAAAAGGCACAGTTATGTTTAGAAAAGGTCAAATATTTGGGCTTTGACATCTCACACCAACAACGAGCATTGAGACCAGAGAGGAAAGAAGCTATTTGCCTTATCAAGGAACCTACCACAAGGAAACAACTCAGAGGATTCCTGGGAACAGCAGGGTTTTGTAGACTATGGATACCTGATTTCAGCAGTCTGGCCAAGCCCTTACATGAAAGCACTCGAGGTGCAGAAAAGGACCCATTCGTATGGGGACCTGAGCAGCAACAAGCCTTTTTAGTTATCAAACAACGACTTATGGAGGCCCCAGCCCTGGGACTGCCTAATTCGGAAAAACCCTTTCAGCTGTATGTACATGAACAGAATGGGATTGCAGCAGCAGTCCTGACCCAGAGATTAGGAAGTTGGAACCGTCCAGTAGCTTATTTGTCAAAACAATTGGACTCAGTAGCAAAAGGATGGCCTCCATGCCTAAGGGCAGTAGCGGCCACTGCAAGCCTTGTCAAAGAAGCTGATAAATTTACCTTTGGCCAGACGATGTATGTGAATGTACCTCATGCTGTTCTGACACTCATGGAATATAAGGGTAGTTATTGGCTAACGAATCCAAGGATGGCTAGATACCAAGGCCTATTGTGTGAAAATCCCAGGATTCATCTACGAGTAGTGAATATGCTCAATCCAGCAACTTTGCTGCCCCTACCAGAGGTAGATGATGAAGAATCACATGATTGTCTCCAAATAATGGATGAAGTGTATTCCAGTAGACCCGATCTGAAAGATGAACCATTGAAAAATCCAGATGTTGTATATTATACTGATGGTAGCAGTTACCTGCATGAAGGTGCCAGACGAGCAGGATATGCTGTGGTCACCAATGAGGAAGTTGTGGAAGCTGAAGCTTTGCCTGCTGGCACCTCAGCACAAAAGGCTGAACTTATAGGTTTAACTAGAGCTCTGCAATTGGCAGCCGGATGTAAGGCAAACATCTATACTGATTCTAAATATGCCTTCTTAACCCTGCATGCACATGGAGCTCTATGGAAAGAAAGAGGTCTAATCGGAGCCCATGGGAAGGCCTTGAAATATGGACCTGAAGTAGAAATCCTGTTGGAAGCAGTATGGGCTCCAGAACAGATTGCTGTAATGCACTGCAAAGGTCATGGACGTGGAAGGGATCCAATAACCAGAGGAAATCATGCTGCTGACAAAGCAGCCCGAGAGGCAGCCCAGAAGCCTGTGGGAGGATTTATAGCAGCCCTCATACCAGAGGTAGTTCCAGAAGAAATTAAACCTCACTATACCCCAGAAGAGAGGAAGTGGGCTGAACAGGAAGGAGCGGTTGTGAAGGACGGTTGGATGATCCTGCCGGACAATAGGATTTATGTACCTCATCACCTAGCAGGCACAATTGTAAGAAATTATCATGAATCTACTCACCTTGGCGGTACTGCAACCAGAGAGAGTCTCAGTCGGAAGTTGTATATTATTAACCTATCACAATTAGCAACTTGCATTTCACAGAAATGTGTTCTTTGTGCTAAAAACAATCCCAGGCAGGGACCGGTACAACCTCCTGGAATCCAACATGTGGGATACGTCCCCATGGAAAGCCTAATTGTGGACTTCACAGAGCTGGTCCCTTCTAAGGGATTCAAGTACCTCCTTGTGTTTGTAGATACCCTTACCGGATGGGTTGAAGCTTTTCCCACCAGGACTGAAAAGGCACGAGAGGTAACTAAGAGACTCCTCACTGAATTGATCCCGAGGTTTGGATTACCTAGATGCATTGGAAGTGATAATGGGCCAGCGTTCATTGATCAAGTAGTACAAGAAGTATGTCGAGTCCTACAAGTGAAATGGAGACTGCATGCAGCATATAGGCCTCAAAGTTCGGGGAAACTGAAAGAATGAATCGGACTCTGAAAACCCAATTGGCAAAATTAACCCAGGAAACAGGATTGGGATGGGTAGATGTGTTACCCATAACACTGTTTCGTGTTCGGTGTGCACCCACAAAAAGACTTAAGTTGTCACCTTTTGAGCTCCTGTATGGGAGGCCACCCTCCTTTGTTCAGGATATTCCAGCTGACCTCAAACAAATAGGAGACCATGTGACACAGGGACAAGTGCAATCTCTCTCCCGTGTTTTTGTTTCTCTTAACAGGTGGGCCCTCGAGCGCACGCCGTGCAGCATTGCCGAGCCGATTCATCAGTTCCAGGCTGGCGATAGCGTATGGGTGAAAGAGTGGAAACGTGATCCACTTGCACCTAAGTGGCGTGGGCCTTACACCGTCTTGCTCTCTACTCCAACAGCGGTGAAGGTAGCTGAGGTGACCCCTGGATTCATCACTCCCGTTTGAAGAAGTCCGAAGGCAGTTGGACGTGCAAAGGTGACCCCTCTAATCCTTTTAAACTGACTCTCTCCAAAACCCCTGTATCTAGCCCTACGGGGAACGGGCTAGGTCACGGGCAACATTAGACGACCGGCCTGCTGCAGCCACAACCTGGAAGCTGGCTGACCTGCGCACGCCTGAAGCTTGAGGAGCGTCTGAACCAGCGATTGTGAACAGGAAGATTCTCTTATACAATTGATTGACTGCACCCCATGTGGAACAATTATCAGGGATATTACTCATTGGGGATCCTCGGGATATATGTTTTGGTCTTGGTGGTTCCCCATTTCTGTCATTGGGGGAATTATATTGGGCCTAATATTTTTTTGTTATCACAATAAGGTAATCTTTTGTGGAAGAAATGCATATACTAGACATCAACATGATTTTATTATTAATCCTGATCCCTTGGGAAGGGGAAGGGTCCTTGAATCTGACCAAATTTGCTAAATATGGATTCCGCCATGACCACAATATGTGGGTAGGCTTAGCTGAGATGGTAGCCAATGTTACAAATAGGACCAATTGCCTTGTTTGCTCTCTTGGACCAGATGATTCAGAGGGAGGTATGCCCTTATTACCGATACCATTAAATGCCATTGGTATGGTAAGCGAAATGCCACACCAAACAGAAGTACAGAATTTCCCCGGATGGAACTCAACTAAACCAATACGAGTTATACCTGTGCAAGGGGAATTCTGTGTACATAAATTATCAGCTGCAGCTGATTCTATCATGATAGGCTCTTCTCATTGCCACTATACTTGGGATTATATTAAGAATAGTCAAACCTGGGCAAACGGTACTACCTATCGAACTCGGAATACCTTGCCCTGTGCACCTCCTTTTATTCATGCATGGAAACTGGTGTGGAACATAACTGTGACAGAAAAAGGCAATCTAACATACTGCACTGTGAACTCTATGCCCCTTTTGATATTTCGCCTTATGCACTCCACGTACCAAAACCTCAGACCCGATGGTTGTGGTGGATATGTGGAGAATGGGCATACAAGCAACTCCCTCCCAAATGGAGTGGGACTTGTTTCCTGGGATGGGTATTACCACCAATGTGGATTATGCCCACTAGTTCGGCAAAGCGTACACGAAGAAACGCTGATATTTCTCATATAGCAGGAGGAAGTACCCAAAGTTGGAGTGATACTGATGATTGGCCACCAGAGCGCATTATAGCCTATTATGAGCCTGCCTCCTGGAATCCTGATGAGCTCATACAAGGGGCACGGGATCCTATTTATAATCTAAACAGAATAATTCGATTGCAAGCAGTAGTGGAACTTGTAACCAATGCAACGGCCCAGAGTTTGAGACTTATTGCACAACAGTTGGATGAAAGTAGAGCCGCCATTTTGCAGCTGAAAATGGGAATGGATTATGTACTTGCCAGGCAGGGAGGCCTATGTGGAGTCTTAAACTTGACAGGGAATGCCTGTTGCTTTAACATTTCTGATAATGGTGAGGCAATCCGTGTGTTGGCCACAAAGATGGAGAGTATAGCACATGTCCCAGTACAAATATGGGAAGGATGGGATATGGGATGGCTCACCAATTGGTTACCTAATGTTGCGGGACTCAAAGGGATACTATTGTCTTGCTTGTTTTTCTTGACGGTAGTAGTAATGGTTTTATGTACGGTGCCATGTATCATTTCATGTTTTAGAAGTACAATTAGCAAGATGATTTCAAATGAAACTTTACCTCATATTATGGCCCTATACAGAGCTTTACCTCAGGAATATGACGAAGGTCAAGCTATCAAGGACACTTGGGATGAAGGTCCTTGAGCTTGAAAGGGGGGAATGAGGCATCTGATCAAAATCTGCTTTGAGCTTAAAAAATTATATTTGTAAATATATTTTTCTCTCATGCAAGGGAGAAGAGCAGCTGAATACTCTGGCAGCTGTTCAAGGGCCCCACTGCTATAAATAGCAGTATTTCAAGGTTGTAAAAGGAAATTAGAGCCAGAGAGCAAAAGGTCACACTGACCAGAATACAATCAAGCTGTAAAAACACAATTAAGAACTGGTAAATAGTGAAATTTATTGTTTAACAGAAGACTCGAGCCATAAGGTTAAAGGTTAAATGGAAGAGGTTGCTCTTAGAAACAGCTGCTGGTTAGGGAAAAGGGCCTCTCTCCAAACTGTTTTGAAGCTTCAGAGAATTTACTAAGTTCCTTCTAATTTGAAAAGGCCTTTCCTTCTAAAAATCTATCTATGTTATGTATGAAATATATTGGCTTAAATGTGATTATGCAAAGGATTTAGAAAGTAAGAAATGTTAGATTCTTATGTTAGATTCCTATTATGGTGGGTGAGAAGGTGAACTCAAGATCTCTTTAAGATAAAAAAATTAGAAACCATGCACCATCTGCTTTAGCCATCTGGTTTGCGGTGAATAGGGCAACAGGGGCCAAAGGTTATCTGGTAATTGAGGTGCCTGGTCGAGGTAAATGTAAGATATATGGCTACTTGTCTGCCATTTATGGATACAAGGAAATATAGCTTTTTGTCTCCCATAAAAGGGAATAGGAAATGGGTGTATCTTTTATGATTGGTTCTAGCAAACAACCAATAGGAATTTCAACCAGGCTGATTGGACAGAGGCAGCCAAAGGAGGAGCAAGGGGGCTGGGCTGAGGAAATATAAGTGCTGGCCATCAGGGCTGGAGTAGGCAGAGCTTTGGTATCCATATACCACTGTGTCTCTCATTTATTTGTCTGACAAATAAATTATTATTTTAATTTCTCTATTGCTGCGTTGAATATTTCATTCCAGCTAAGCGTTAACCACAAGCAGGGTGCTACAGGGGGGGGCTACAGGCAAAATATCCCGAACAGGCCTCCTCCCTGCCCATTCACTTGCTTTTGGGCCCAGTCTGTATAACTATCCAGCATATAACTCTAGCCACCTATAGTAACAAGATGTAAACAAGGTTTCTCCCCTCTCCCCAAAGGAACAATGATTTACCACGGACTGGGGTGAGTCAATAGGGACAGCTGGAGCACAGGCATAATATACAATATTCACGGTGGTAAAATGTGTAATAATATATGGACACTTGGGCCTGTTTATTCAATTGGTAGCCTCTCCAGTTGCTCCCCCACCCCCCAACCCAAGGCTGCTTTCAGGTGGGGCTTTTAACAAAAATTGTTTTAAGCTCAAATTGGAACTTGGACATCTTCCACATCTGGAAGAGCCCCTGGCAGCTTGTGAAAAGGAAATGTTTTCTTAGCAGTGTTGATGTGCCGAACTCTCTGTGCCACAGCATTCTGCTACCATTTTCCACTCTAGGTTCTGCAGTCTCTTCAGATTTCAACATCATTGATACAGAGACTCCGGTGTTTTTCCGAGGTGACCAGGCCTCTCAGTTTGGCTACCGTGTCGTCCAGACGAGAGCGGACGACGGCACGTCCTGGTGAGAACCAAACTGTTGCCAGTTTATTTTGTTCAGGTTTCCAGCTGTACAGGTTTCCAGCTGTACAGGTTAAAGTTATTGATAGACTAAGATTAAAGATTAGGATTAAAGATGTTTAAGGAAATGGAAATTTGGTACTTAAGAGGTAAAATTTTAATGCTATATTATATTAAGATTAAAGATTAGGATTAAAGAAGTTTAAGTGTTATATTATATTAAGATTAAAGATTGGGATTAAAAAAGTGGAAAAGAAATTGCTGGACAAACAATTTGGACTGGAATACAAAGAGGGAGGTATGAGGAAGTCCAGAAAATAAGTAAATTCAAAAACGGAAATGAAAAAGTGATATTGTTTTTAATTGCTCTGTTTCTTTTTTGTATTTTGTTTTCTGTGTTTTCCTTCTTTTTGGATTATGTATTGTGTATTTGTGTACTTCTTTTTTATGTTTTTCTGTCTAACTTTTTATTGAAACCTTAATAAAAATCATTAATATATATATATATATATATATATATATATATATATATATATATTGTTCAGAGCAGCCACATGCCTGTAAACAGTCGTTTTCTAAAACTTGCTCCCCTCGTGCAGGTTGGTAGTGAGTGCCCCCATGTCAGGCAACCGGACGGGATCGCTTTTCCGCTGCTCGTATGATACAGAGAAGTGCCAGCCAGTGGTTCTCCACCACAACAGTAAGCTAAAAATTTGTGTGCCTCCATTCTTCTGAAGGTGAGAGTGTCGCATCTGATCATTTTATCTCCTGAGAAGAGAGGGAACTCTTGAGGGCATATGTGCACTACAGACTGATACGGATTTTACAATTCCCTATTTTTGTCAGTTAAATTTTGGAGGGTATGCAGAATAGCTAGGAACTGTGTGTGTGTATTAATATCCATGAGACATGGGGACAAAGTCTCTTTATATATTATAATTATATATGATAAGTCTCACTTACATGTCTGTCTCTTTTTTCCACATGCCATCTCTCCTTGTCTGAAACAAAGATACCTCTGGAATATCTCTGGGACTTTCGCTGGCGGCCGATAAATCAGACTCAAAAATAATAGTAAGTAAAACCAGAGTGGAATCAAATAGCAAAATAGTGCAAATCCATGGGTGGGCCTGCGTTTGCAGGGTCTGTCACTCAGAAAGGAGGTGAAATAGAGGCAGCCCTGTCATTAGTGAGAATGAGGCAGCCGCCTCAAGCAGCTGATTCAGGGCGTAATTAAAGGAGAATAAAATATTTTAAAATTTATTAATATTGTATTTTTACTGTCAGGGATGGGAAGAGGGGCTTGTGGGATTTTCTGCTTCAGGTGACAGAATAACTTGACCAGCTGTGGGTGCCTTGCAACTTGGCTTTGGAGAGAAAATATTGAGCTCAAGCAGAAAATGCCCTGACCTGGCCTTGAGGAGGAATTTCTCTCAATTTGGCTGAGACAATCTAGAGTCACATCTATAGCATACATTTAAAGCACAGTTATGTCACTTTAACAGCCTTTGCTCCCCTGAAAGAATCATGGGAAATGTAGTTTAAGGATGCTTGGAATTGTAGCTCTGTGGGGAGTCTCCTAACAACTCTCAGCACCCTTACCAAACTACAGTTCCCAGGATTCTTTGGGGGAAGCCATGGTACAAGAGTGCTTTAAACATTTCAATAAATAAGTCTATGGTGTGGATATGACCCAGGTGAATGAGCTTAAGAGACAGGGACCCCATGGCTGTTTTCATCCTTCCTGTCCACACAGGCCTGTGGCCCAACATGGGAGCGTCGATGTGGGGACTTTGATTATCTGAATGGTGTCTGCTATATCATGAGCAATTTTAACCAACCTGCCAAAGAGATCCATCCAGCTTTCCAAGGTAAGATTTGGAGAAAATTAGCTTCACATGCCTCATAGCATATTGCATTAATAAGCTAGGTTGGGGAGCATCGGTTTGGTAAAGGGAAAGAGGAGACAGTCATGCGCATGAAGTTGGACCAAGGTTGTCACACATATTGTGTCCTTTTAAGTGCTGCAGCACAGTTAGAAATTCAATATGTGCAGCTTTTCACCATTGCTGCATCTGCATGCCAGGTGAGAGTTATTCTGCAGTTCTAGCATCCCAAGATAAGCTTTGGCCTACCCCATATTGTATTTATCAGGCTATCCCCTTTGAGTTCCATGGCAATTCTCTCCAGTCAAACCATTCTTTTTGTACATTGCTCTGTAATACACAGTGACCCAATATGTCAATTACAAATAAGGAATTTTGACCGCTGCAAATCATACTTGCACACCTCCAGAATGGTATCTTCTACCTGCATCGTGTCTCTCAGAGGTCACTCTCCTGAAGGTGTGGATGTTTGATTTGGGGTGACTCACAGCTTAGTTTGGGGTACATGTCCTTGGTTCCTTGTTCATTTTGTTTTTGACAATTATTGATGTGGGCTTGTACACCTGGCAATGTCATGTACTAAAACCAAATACTCGGTTGGACATAATTCTGGAACATCTCATGTTCCCTTGGAGGTGTGGCTCTGTGATTTGTAGCAGCCCAAAGTTTAATTTGGGATGTTCAGACCCAATTCCTCATTTGCAGTTGTTACCTGAGATTATCATGTGTTAAAGACCGTTGTGCAAAGGGTTCTGACTGGAGAGAAATGTTGTGGCTCTTGAATGGGACAATCCCCACATTATGGAGACCTGCAAAGTTTATTTTAGGATGCTGGGGCATATCGGCTTCCGTTCCTCGTTGAGGCTATTCATTTGTCTTTGTTTTGGGATGTCGTGGGAATGCAATCCATTTTCCACACCCATCCTGCCTCTTCTCCACTCAGAGTGCACTGTTGGCGTGGATGCTGTGATTTTATTTGACGACTCTGGGAGCATTTCTGATGGTTCCTTTCTCACAGTGAAGAACTTCACCCTTCAGCTAATGGCTTCTGTTTCTGAGGCAGATGTGCAGGTGAGAGCAATAAGGAGCTTGTTGGCGCTGCATGTGGGAAGTGACTGGGTGGGTGGGTGTCACTGGGCTTTGCTTCTTAGGTCACACCCCCTCCATAGTTTCAAAGCACTCTTATAGCATTTAAGCAGTCATGGCTTCCCTCAAAGAACACCAGCTTGTTAAGGGTGTTGAGACTCATAATTCCCCTTTCTCAGATTTCTGAGAGGGTTCTTTCCCAGCCCCACCTGGAGATGCTGAGGATTAAACCTGGACTTTTTGCATGCAAAGCAGATGCTCTACCACTGAGTTTGAGTTTCACCTGGTCACAGGCCCTGCCAAGTTTGAAAGGAACCCCCATGTGGCACCGGTCATTCTTCATCTGCTGCCCTTAATTCTGTACTCCTTCCCCGTCACTGCCATTGCTGAGCTTTTGGGCTGGGCTGCCCTTCTCATGCCCTCTTGTTACTACTGCTTGCTTTAGAAAAATATATTGAATGGTTGGGCATCAGGTGCTGTGAAGTGAACCACTGTGTCAGCTAGACTTATTTACCCAGAATGCTTCTGGGCAGCACACGACAGGCAGCTCAAGGCTGGCAGATGTGGTGGTATGCAGCACACACCACAGTTTCCCACCACTCTAACAATTGACACTCACCATTTGGTGTCATTTGCCAGAGAGGAGCTCCTGGGCTTCAAAGTCCTGAATGTTGACTAACGGTGCCGAAGTGTGGGGTGTGCTCGCTGTATTTTCATTGATGACATAAGCCATTCTCCAAATGATATTGATTCTTCACATGTGCATCCGAACTCCCCACTGCATGGGGAAAGAGGAGCAGTGCAACTTTCCGTTGTCATGTCTTCCAGTTTGCTATGGTCCAGTTTTCCACTGAAGTCAACCTGGTTTTTGATTTTAACTACTACAATGCATTTAAAAGCAAGGTGAAGGAAATAGTCGACGCAATTCAACAGACCAAAGGAAATACTCACACCCCGACTGCCATCCGCTATGTGGCGTGAGTACCAGGGAAATGAATTTTTGGGTTGGAGGAAGAGCCAGGTGCCTTTTGCCCCTTCAGACCCAAGCCAAATGCTGCCTTCTTTGCAGGGATAAAGTCTTCTTACCCAAGCTTGGCATGCGACCTCACAGCAAGAAACTCCTCATTGTCTTGACCGATGGCGTATCCAATGACGGGAAAACCACATTTGATGTCGCTATACAGGCTGCAGATAAGAAAGGCATCATCCGTTATGCCATTGGGGTATGGAGTTCAAAACCATCATTGAGGTTGCAATGTGTGGATTCTGTGGCTGCACCATGCAAGCAGACAAGTGCAGGATCAGTACCTTGGGGAACCAAGTGCTGAGGTTATATGTGGCAGGGACCCATTAGTAACGGGGGGGACAAGACGTCTTTATAGAAATTCCCTGTTGCTTGTTCCAGGTTGGCAGACAAACTAGAACAGATGAGCTGAACACAATTGCTTCGTCACCTAATAATGTTTTCGAAGTCGACAGCTTTGATGCGCTCAGTAGCATTCAGAACCAGCTGAAGGACAAGATATTTGCCATTGAAGGTCAGTGTCGCAAGGTGATGGAGCATCTTTGCCGATGCTCAGTTTTGTCCAAGAACTATAGGCGTGGTACAGTAAAGGGGGGGCCCAGGCTGTAAATAACTGAAGTACCTAACAAGGGAATGAAGTTTAAGTTTCAGAATTCACAAAATGACATGGGCACTGTGGAACAGGGTGAGTCGTTGTGTCAATCATTATTGCTAATGCTGAGGCGTCCAAGAGATTCACCGACACTGTGCAACCTGACTCTGCCCAGCCGTTTGCAAAGGCGGTGCAAATGTGGGGGTGCCATCTATGCTGAAGCCCCACAACAAAAGTACTTCTTGTACGAAAGATTACTCTTCTCCCAACCCTGGAAAACTGAATTTGTTCTGCTCTAAGATGACCATTTAGAAAGGGCAGATTTTGAGGCCAACCTTCCTCCTCTCTTTGCCCCCCCTCCTTCCATTCTCTGCCTCTTGCCTGTCTTAATTATCTTTTGTTTCCCAAAAAGGGACCTCTGGAATCTCTGCTGGCAATTCATTTCAAAAAGAACTTTCTCAGGGCGGATTCAGTGCCCTCCTCACCCCAGTGAGTAGAAACTCCTGTCATAAGAACATATGCTTTGTTTGGGGTATTTATATCCCGCTTTTTAGGCAGACCTCACAGAGTGGTTTACAAAGGACCATCCGAACAATAAGTGTTTGTGTGTGTGTGTGTACAGTGCTTTTTTCTAAAAAAATGTTTGGGGTACACTCATTTTGACTCAAGAAATTCACCATTTTATAGTTCAAATTGGGGAAAATAAATACAGTAAATGGACAAAAGTACAAAGATTCACAAAATGTTTAGGGGTATGCATACCCCTGCGTCCCCCCCATAAAAATGCACGTGTGTGTGTGTGTGTGTGTGTGTGTGTGTGTAAAATAAAAGGGAACAATAACTTTGTTTTAGAAGAAGCTATAATTTGCTTCCACTCCCTTCAGAACTCTGGCTTCCAATGTTATGAGAGACGGTGAAAAAGTAATCCAATTCTATTTTCCCACTCAGTTATGCATCTCAGTCGGTTCCTCTTAATCTTTCATTCATGAGTTCTGAAAACAATTCCTACCACCAGCCCTATTTAAAGGGAAGTCTCTCCTCATGGGCTGCCACAACTAGCAATACAACACTGTGTGGGATGGATTTGTCTTTTTGCCGTGCAGCCTTCCCCCCCTCCCCCGCCCCCCAAAATTTTCCTTTGGGGAGACTTACTCATGAATGTTCTCTGCTGATGCACAGAGTCTGATCACCATATATAGAGAAGGACTCAGTTTCTCCCCCTCCCTATTGGTTCGCACCCTGGGAATGTTGTTCCCTTTGTGTGTATGTAGTTTGACTGTTTGGTTCAAGGCATTTGCAGCTCTGTGCTCTGCAGGTACCTTCCTGTAGTTCAGCTGTTCCTATTTGTAAACTGATCTGGATTTAAATCTGTATACTGGCCTATAAGGGATAGGACTGGTAAGAGAATAGCTTTGAACTAGATGATCATTGAATAAATTTGTGTTGTTTTTTTAAACACCACAATAATTCTATGATTACATGTAGAAAACCCTGTTATTTTGTTATGCAGAGTGGGGAAATGCTTGACTTGGCTGTGGTTTGGTCATTAATTGGAGGAGAACTGAGAGGTGCAATTTGACTACTCGTGTCTAAAACAGAGAGGGCTGGGGAGTAGAGCGCAGTTACTGATGTTGTTGTTGTTGTTAATTCAATTGTTATATCACCCTTTATCAAAATGTCCCAGGGTGGTGCATAACATTAACACATTTTACGGAGCACAACAAAACACACACAATAAAAAACATAATAATAGACAGCATAATAATAATATAATCCCACAGCTTTAACAAGCCATAGATTATTAAATGACCAAAGGGTAAAGAGGAATGGTTTTGCCTGGTGCCTAAAGACATGTAACCATGGCGCCAGCCGAGCTTCTCTGGGGAGAGTATTCCTCAGTCAGGGAGCCACCACAGAAAAGGCCCATTCTTGTGTTTCCACCCTCCGAACCTCTCGGGGAGCAAAGACATAAAAAACAGCCTTGGATGACAAGTGCAGGGGCCAAGCCAGTTCCTATGGGAAAAGGCAGTCCTTCAACACCAAGAAACCACCACCACACCTGGGACTGCAGTCTGTACTCCCCTCACCTCCCTATCTTTCTTCACGCCTCCATCCTCTTGCAGGGACATGTGGTAACTGGAGCTGTTGGTGCTCACACTTGGTCTGGGGGTCTGGAGGAACAGTCTTTGGGAGACCCTCCCCAAATCAAATTCCTGAACATTCCCTTCAATGTCTCATATCTGGGTGAGTGAGGCAGCTTCTCCTTTGCTTCCATATCTAATGGCCTGCCAGGAGCTAACTCATCCAACCCAACGTCCACAACCTCCTCTTTCTTTGTCTCTGACAGGCTATTCGGTGGCTGTAGCTCAGCGTGGAAAGAAGCAGTTCTACATAGCTGGGGCTCCGCGATACCAGCATGTTGGAGCTGTCGCGGTCTTTGAAAGCCGGAGTAAGCGCTTGGTGGTATTCCCTGAAGGGGATCAGGTAAGAGGCAGAAACCGGGGTGCAGATCAGTCTCCCATTCACTTCATCTTGGGTGTGAAAGTTGTAAGCTGCCCTGGAAGTTGAGTTTTAAAGCAAGGCAGGCTACCTTAACTAATCTAGAACCAGCAGAGAGATAGGAGAGCAGGAGTCAGTCTCTTGGCCCATGTAGTTTGGTACTGTCTGCACTGACTCGGCAGCAGTCAGCTTCAGGCAGCGGATGTTCCCATCCCTGCCTAGAGATGCTGAGGATGGAAACCTGGGACCTTCTGCATGCCAAGCAGGTGTCCTACAGCCTTTCCCCTCTTTCTCTTAGAAAGTTTACTTCAAACACATGGAAGAGACAGAGGGAGTTGATAATCGAACAGCTTGTCAAAAATCACTGAGCAGCTGCTAAACAATAAGCAGACATCATATTGATAGTGGCTAGGAGTAAATCCTGCAACTACAGTGGTACCTCGGGTTACATGCACTTCACGTTACAGACGCTTCAGGTTACAGACTCTGCTAACCCAGAAATAGTACCTCGGGTTAAGAACTTTGCTTCAAGATGAGAACAGAAATTGTCTTCCAGTGGCACGGCGGCAGCGGGAGGCCTCATTAGCTAAAGTGGTGCTTCAGGTTAAGAACAGTTTCAGGTTACGAACGGACCTCCGGAACGAATTAAGTACTTAACCCGAGGTACCACTGTATTAAAATCTGAAAAGGCTCTATTCCTGTGTTTCTCCTTTTTCTTGTGCCCCTTCTGACTGACCTTTATTTGATCACAGATTCCAGTTGACTATCTGATTAATTCTGCCATGGGATACTCCTGTCAGTCTCAAACTGCTTCACATCAATATTCCAAGAGGGTTTTGGGCCTACATCTTCTCTCTCTCTCTCAGGGCCAAGCTAGACATGAAACTAAAGTTATGGGTGCCATTAGCCTGCCCTGTTCTTAAAATCTAAATAATTGGTGGTAAATCTATGGACCTCATTAAACCAGCTAGACCTTTTGACATGAGCGTAGCCAGGCTTTTTGTTGGGGAGGGCCTTTTGCTAGGGAAGGCATAACCTCAGTTAGCTATGTATTTTTTTTATGGGGGGGGAGCTGCCCCACCCTGTCCCCCCTTGGCTACACCCATGCCTCTCAGTTTGGCCCATGAGTCTGTTTTGGCAAAGATTAAGCCCACTAGTCTAATTGGTCATCTTCACTTCTGCCAGTCACCTCCATATTGTATTTCTATTTCTTTCCAGTTGGGTTCGTACTATGGGGCTGAAGTCTGCTCCGTTGACCTAGATGAAGACAACAATACCGACCTTGTTCTGATTGGGGCTCCCCATTATTACAGTAAGAACCAAGGTGGGCTTGTTGATGTCCGCTCTATGAATGACCAGGTGAGGAAACACACCAGTGGTAGGGTTGGGAAGGGTGGGTGGGTGGGAAGAAGGGGCAAGGAGGAGGATGGACCAGACTTGCTCACATCTGGAAGAATAATAATAATAATAATAATAATAATAATAATTTATTTATACCCCGCCCATCTGGCTGGGTTTCCCCAGCCACTCTGGACGGCTTCCAACAGAACACTAAAATACAATAACCTATTAAACATTAAAAGCTTCCCTAAACAAGGGCTGCCTCCAGATGTCTTCTAAATGTTTGGTAGTTATTTTTCTCTTTGACATCTGGTGGGAGGGTGTTCCACAGGGCGGGGGCCACTACCGAGAAGGCCCTCTGCCTGGTTCCCTGTAACCTGGCTTCTCATAGCAAGGGAACTGCCAGAAGGCCCTCGGTGCTGGACCTCAGCGTCCAGGCAGAACAATGGAGGTGGAGACGCTCCTTCAGGTATACTGGACCAAGGCCGTTTAGGGCTTTAAAGGTCAGCACCAACACTTTGAATTGTGCTCGGAAACGTACTGGGAGCCAGTGTAGGTCTTTCAAGACCGGTGTTAAATGGTCTCGGCGGCCGCTCCCAGTCACCAGTCTAGCTGCCGCATTCTGGATTAGTTGTAGTTTCTGGGTCACCTTCAAAGGTAGCCCCACGTAGAGCGCATTGCAGTAGTCCAAGCGAGAGATAACTAGAGCATGCACCACTCTGGCAAGACAGTCTGCGGGCAGGTAGGGTCTCAGCCTGCATACCAGATGGAGCTGATAAACAGCTGCCCTGAACTTCGGGAAAAACTGAACTTCTGCTCCATCCAGCTTTCATGGGAAATGTTGGGATGCAGCTCAGCTTGATGAGTGGTTAATGCAGATAGAGAGGGGAATTTTTAAAGATTCCCAAACTTTCTCACTGTCCTTGGATCTCTGTGCTGAACTTTCCTTTGATGTTAGACTGATAAAGCTGATCAAATTTCCTTCTTTGCACTCTTGCTTCTGAAGCTGATGGGGAAAGGACATCTTTGGCAGTATCTCTGCTGAATGTGAGGGGGATGTAATAGAATAGGGCTGAATAGTAGAGTTGGAAGGGACCATGAGGGTCATTTGTCCAACCCACCGCAATATTTTGTGCAACGTGGGGCTCGAACTCATGACCCTTGAGATTAAGAGTCTCATGCTCTACCAACTGAGCTATCCCAGGAGCCAAGCATGGCTCTGCTGCACCTCCAGATTTAGTTAGAACTAAGAGCTCTTTTCTACCCAAGTATGTCTTGCCTATAAAAAAACCACACCACCCAGGCCCTTTTTATTTTCCATACCAAGTGTCTCTGTGTGCGACTGCAACCAAGGTGAGCTTGCTCTCCTAGCAAGGACTTGGTATGCAGTCAGTTTCCAAGCTGTGTGCTAACTCAGAGTAAATCAACACATTTTATTTTCAAGAAGCATTTGAAGGCCGCTCTCTTTACTTCCTCCTGTGATTGGTGTTATGTACTGATGTTCTCACCCTGGGCCAGCAGGGGGATACTGTAGATAGTTTTCACTCAGGTCCACATATGCAAATAAGGAATTGAAAGTGACGTTCAGTTTTTGGATAGTTACAGAAAGTTGTTACTGTTGCTTGTAGTTGAGCTCTGTATAAGCAGGCTGGCTGAACCCTTTAGCCCAGTTCAGTTCTGGCCTGTGAATAAACAAGAGCTGTTTGAAGAATCGCTGTGTCGTCTGATATGTTCACCCACAACTTAACAATTGGCTTCCGTTATGCCCTTTCCCTGTGCACAGTCTCTTATTGGGGCCAAGCTAGATGTGATATTGTGTGAAAGCAATTAACGCATACATTAAAAAATGAATAAATAGCCACCTGGGAGGGAGGGAGGGAGAGGAGGAATAGAACCACAGCCACACTCTGCCACAGTGATCCCTGTCTGAAGCTGCTCTTAGCCCTGATGCTGTCAGTGGACACGTCTCTCTCAGGATTAGTAGCAGCTCTGAGAGGTGATTTTTCATTGGGGTCACAGCAGGGGATTGAAAGGATTAACCCTTCCCACTGCAGAGCTGTTTCAAAGTGTTGAAGTCGTCATGGGTTGTATCCAGCTAAGTTCTAGTCAGTGTAGAAATGGATGGATCCAAGTAAGGATTAGATTGCACAACCTCCGCCCGCCCCTCCAAATTTTAATTGTTTCCTTACAAGTCAACCATGGTACAAAACTGGACCTTAAATTGTAACACCAAGGCAGAGACTGCCATCTTGAGCTCATAGATGAAATAAGATTTAACTGGGGGACTCATGTTCACTAGGACAGTAAACATCATTGTCAGGCCCCAGGAGGTTGATTGAGGTCCGTTTAATTCAGGATATGTGTTTTGGTTGAATTGCCTCATTGCTTTTAGAGAATGGTCTTAGCTCATCTTCCCACTGTGTCTATTTTTTTAAAAAAATAATGTCATACTTATGCTGCTTTAAATGCTGTTCCTTCTTCCGGTTATTGATTGTTAAATGTTGGAGCCGTTTTAATGCCAAATATATTTGCTGCCTTGAAATTTGGTTAAGGGAAGTTGGAGAGGGTATAACTGTGTTAATAAGTCACACACTTCCTGGCAGGGTCACCTTGTTTCCCTCCAAACGCTTCGTGGGGAGCCTGGCAGCAGCTTTGGCCGTTTTGGGGCAGCACTCTGCGCTTTAGGGGACATAAGCGGGGATGGCTTTGCAGATGTGGCGATCGGAGCCCCCATGGAGGATGAAGATCGTGGGGCCATTTACATCTTCCTGGGAGAAGCAGGCAGGCTGAAAAAACACCACAGCCAGGTGAGCCTGAGAGTCAAAAGTGCATATATTGTCTGTTTGTGTGTGGCAAGGTGGTCCAATGGTTAAAGAGCTAGGCCAGGGATGGGGAATGTGTGACCCTCCTGATACGGGACTACAACTCCCATCGTCTCTGACCAATGGCCATGCTGGCTGGGTGGCGGGGGGAGCACAGGTTTCCTATTCCTGATGCAGGCAGTACAGATTCAGTCCCTCCACATCTCTCCATTGAATTCTTATGAGCCGATTCCTGAATCAGTCTCCACTGATCATTGATGAAATGGGAAGAGTAAAGCAACAGAGTTGTTGGAAAGCAATTGCAGCCAGGTCTGGATAGAAGCCCAGTTCAATACATAATCTCAATAACCGCTCCCTTTTTGGATGACAGATGTGATCCCTGCCTCCCTAATATTGGGCCCAGATCATCTTTGCACAGATTAATGCAGAATCTGTACTTCTATAATTAAAAAACAACAACAACAATAATAATAGATGTGACAACTTGCATCCAGTAACTAAACAGCACATTTTATAAATTCTGGCTGTTGTGAGACACACACACACAAAGAAAGTGTGTGTCCTTTTTCAAAACTATTATAGTTTGCCCTATTCAGATTTAATTAATCATTTAAAAGACTTAAAATGGAATTGATTAATTGGCTAATATTTTCTTAATTGGGTCTAAAACAAAGGCATTGGAGAAATGGGCAGGCGGAATAGCTGAACTGAGGGTGTGTCTACCTCATCTGCTGAGGATCCCTAACCTTCCTTGTTCCCCTATTTTCTCTTTCTTTCCCCCTCAAAATATTTAGCGGATTACTGCCAAGTCTCTCTCTCTGGTGCTTCATTATTTCGGACAGTCCATCCAAGGTAGAATGGATCTGAGCGAGGATGGACTGACTGACCTGGCTGTTGGGGCGCTAGGAAGTGCAGTGCTGCTTCGGTGAGCATGGGCAAGCGCAGTAATGGGTGTGGATTGTGGGTAGGCCACAAAGGGCGGGACATAATTGCAATGTGTGTTCCCCAACTGCCTCGAAATTCTGCATCCTGAACTAGATTTTAAAAACCTGCACAAACCTGTTGCGTGTACTCTGGCCAACTAGCCGTCAGTTTGGTGCACCCTAATTGCCTGCCTTTTTCTGAGCATGGCTTGGGCCTGCTGTGGCAATTGCTACACCTTCCTGCCAGTTGTGATGCTGCCCCCATGTGGTGGGGAAGAAGAAGGCTCTTAATATATCAGGCTGCTGGGAGTGTGGATACGCTAGCTCAGGGGTCAGCAAACTAAGGTCTGGGGGTCGGATGTGGCCCACCAGGCTCATAAATCCGGCCCGCGGACCCTGCCACCCACTCGGTCAGTCCTCTCGTGCTGTGGACGCCTTGCCGCGGAGGGACTGACTTCTGCGACGCTGGCACGGCTTCTGGGTGGGAAGTTCCTGCAGCCAATCCGAAACCTCTTCGCCTGCGGCTGAGGTAAACCCAGCGCGGCCATGGACAGAGAAGCATTGTGAAGGGTGCGTCGTGGGGCTTCAGCCAGAGCTTGGCGCACCTGCTGGCCCTGCGCCTGGCGCCCGGCTCGGTGCTGCTGCTGATGGTACGCTCGGTGGCCACGCTGGAGCAGGTGGAGGGCGAGCTGCGCACCGCCTGCCCGGTGCTCCGAGTGCGCGGCCTGCCCGCCAACCTGGCCTCAGACAATGGACCGCAGCGCGTGGTGCAGACCTTCTGGGAGCTCTGCAGGGATGGGCTGATGGAGCAGCTGCAGCTCATCAACAACGCCGTTGAAGGGGCAGAGCAGAGAAGTGCTCCTGAGCACGTGCAGAGTGTGTTCCTCCTCCAGGTCCGGAGGCAGCTGCGGGACCGGCTTGCAGGGTATTTATATTTTTCAAAATATAGCCCGGCCGCCCACAAGGTCTGAGGGACAGTGGACCGGCCCCCTGATGAAAAAGGTTAGCTGCGTTAGCTGGAGTCTGTAGATGTTGAAAGACCAAGTGTGCTGAATATGAAGCACAGAGACCTATGTGGAGTCTGAGTGGGGCACTTCCTGCTCCAGGAAGTTAATGTGGGACTGGGTTCCAGAATGGGCCTGATCCAGGACTGCTGGCAATTTGGACAGCTGCTGGTTTGAACAGGCCTCCCCTTTTATCCCCTGCCTCCCAGATCTCGGCCTGTTTTCACAATCAACTCTTTGCTGACTTTCTCGCATCGCTGGATCCCCTTGGATGACCCTAAGTGTGGAAGCGGGAATGTTTCAGGAATTGCCCCCCGTGGGAAAGCCAGTCTTTGCTTCACCCTAAAACTCATCAGCACAAAATGGACCCACGGTAAAGGCACCGTCTCAGTTCTCCTTTTGCTTAGTTATTTTTCTCATTCTTTTATGAGTCCTCTCAGTGTTATTTATTTTTTGTGGACTTGTTTGTTCCTTTCCCCTCACTTATTCTCTCTGCAGCTGCTCATTATCTTATCATTTTTCTTTAGATCCCATTCTCATAGCCTGACTCTTGTTGCTTATTTTCTCACTTGTTTTTCTTATCTATTCCCTCTTGCGTTAAAAATTATGTTTAAGATCAACAATTCTTTCTGTCTTTCATTTTCTCAGTGATTCACTCCTTAAATTCATAGTGACTCCAGAGACCCGCTTAGCGCAGGAATGGGGAGCTCCTGGCCCTCCAGATGTTGCTGAACTACAACTCCCGTCAGCCCTAGCAAGCATGGCTATGGGTCAGGAATGATGAGAGCTGGAGTTCAGTACATCTTGGACAGCCAAAATGTTTAGTTCGTTCTGCTCCTGTGATCCAATTTGTTTGTATGTTTTGGAAAGAAAATAGGTGCCCTGCAAGCTGCGATCTCATTTACTCTCCGGTCTGATGCTAAGCAGTCTCCATCACGCCTGACGCTAGAAAATGAGGCTTCCACGTTCTCAGACACCATCCTGGTTGGAACTGAGCCAGTCTGCGTTGGAAAGATTCTCCATGCTCCAGTAGGTTGAAATATGGCACCCTGGGTAATTGTAGTTGTGTGTGTGTGTGGCGGTGCTAGGAATATGTAATGCAGAATTATCTCAGCACCTCACCAGACTTCGGCTCCCAGAATCCTTTGGTAGAAGCCATGACAGCTACATTGGTCTAAAAGTGATACAGTGGTACCTCAGGTTAAGTACTTAATTCGTTCTGGAGGTCCGTTCTTAACCTGAAACTGTTCTTAACCTGAAGCACCACTTTAGCTAATGGGGCCTCCTGCTGCTGCCGCACCGCCGGAGCACGATTTCTGCTCTCATCCTGAAGCAAAGTTCTTAACCCGAGGTATTATTTCTGGGTTAGCGGAGTCTGTAACCTGAAGCGTATGTAACCTGAAGCGCATGTAACCCGAGGTACCACTGTACAGTAAATGACCTACCTGTTGGAGAAACACTGATTTTTGGAAGCTCACAGTATTTTAAAACATTACTGTGGGAATGATCACTTCATTTTCAGGGAGAAATGTATTGGCTGGGTGGAAACTTGTGATTTCCTTTTTTTTTTTTTTACTGTCTTCCAGCTCTGCCTGGATGATTCCTTCTCTCCACTTGTGCTGCGGGCAGATGTAACGGCCGAGGGGGAACCAGATGCCTCTGCAAGGAACCTACGCCCTGTCCTGGACCCTGGAACTAATTTGTCCACTGAGATCAAGGTCTTATTTCCTGGCCATTTCCCTTCAAGCCCATCTCCTAGGACCTAGGCCAAGGCTCCTCCATCAAAGGAACGGCTCATCCCAGAGTACTTAGTACAGAGGGATTTGTTGACTGGGCAACCCTAAATTGTTCTAAATAAAGGAACCTTGCTTAATCTAAGGAGATCTAGGCCTGGTCAGTGCCTGGGTGGTGGAACCTTGTGCATGCCACAGGGAAAGTATTATAAATGTAATAATAAATACTGAATGCACAGTGGAAATAGAAATCAGCAACTTTGTTGCCTTAGTTTGTTTAACAATGATGACCAAAAGAAATACAGTGGTACCTTGGTTCTCAAACACCTTGGTACTCAAACAACTTGGAACCCAAACACTGCAAACCTGGAAGTAAGTGTTCCGGTTTGCGAACTTTTTTCAGGAGCCGAACTTGCTCCATTTTGAGTTCCACACTTCCGTTTTGAGAGTTACGCTGAGTTCTGTCTGTTTTTGCTATTTATTTTGTGTTTTTGTTTTTGTGGCTCTTTTTTTGTTTTTGTGACTGCGTGGAACCCAGTTCAGCTACTGATTGACTGATTAATTGATTGTGTGACTGCAATACATTGTTTACTGCTTTCATTTTATGGATCAGTGGTCTTGTTAGATAGTAAAATTCTTGTTAAATTGCTGTTTTAGGGGTTGTTTTTAAAAGTCTGGAACGACTTAATCCATTTTGCTTTACTTTCTATGGGAAAGCGCGCCTTGATTTTGGAGCGCTTTGATTTCGGAACGGACCAGCGGAACGGATTAAGTTTGAGAACCCAAGGTACCACTGTAGATGAAAGGATAAGGGGAAAAACATTCTCACAGAGTACTTGTATGCTTCTGTAGACTTTACCGAAATATTTATTTATTAATTAAAGCGTCTCAACCATGCTTCATTCAAATATATCTCAGCACAAAAACACAAAATGCAATAAAAGCAAAACATGACCCTGGTCTGGCCCAAGCAGTGACCCCAGCCAGGAGGTGTCTGTTGGCCACAGAGGCCTGGGGTCCCAGGGTCAAGTACTGGTAATCCCATTTCAATAATTAGTCAGGAAAGTCAGACCAAGGAGAAGCCACATTCCAGCAGGAGCAAAGCTAAACAACCAGAGCTTGGAGTCCAGGGGGCAGGGGCAGGCCAAGCAGAGTTATGGTTGCAATGAGGTCAGCCAAGCAAACCAAGAGGGTAGATCCAGATAAGCAAACTCGTACAAGCTAGAAGAGGTTCCAGCAATCTAAGCAGGTAGCACCATGGATAGCTCCAAGTAGCCTCCCGGTGGGAAACCAGACAAGACCTTGGAACACCCTCGGATGCTCATTTCCTTTTATATTTCCAGGTTCCCTTCAAGCAAGACTGCGGCCTCGATAAAATTTGTGTAGCTGATCTTCGAATCTCCTTTAACTTTTCAGGGTGAGTAGCCTATTTTGTGCCTACGAGGGCCATCCCAATATTTTTTTGCTGCCCTTAGATGCTGTGCCTCCGGACCCCTTCCCGGTTGGTTGGAGCACAGTGCCGATAGTGCCGAGGTTGCAGGTTCAATCCCCGTATGGGGCAGCTGCATCTTCCTGCATCGCAGGGCCAACTCTGCAATGCTGTGATTCCAGTGGTGCCCTGGCGATGACCTTCACCCAGGCAGCAATGCTTCTGAACATCGCAGGAGGGGAGAGTAGTGCTGTTGTGCTCAGGCAGTGCTTGTGGGCTTCCCCCAGGCATCTGGTTGGCCACTGAGAAAAGGATGCTGGATGTGGAGGGTGACTGGCCTGATCCAACAGGATCCTTCCTATGCTCTTACTCGGAAACAGGAGCCAAGATGTGCAACCCTGCCATTCTCTTGGAGGTTGCATGGGATGTTGGGTTGTGGCTCTCGGCGAGTATAGAGCAGTGTACGAGCCAAGAAATAATAAAATAATGATGATGATGATGATAATAATAATAATAATAATAATAATTTATTATTTCTACTCCGCCCATCTGGCTGGATTTCCCCAGCCACTCTGGGCGGCTTCCAACAGAATATTAAAATACAATACACCAGAACATGTGGGGGTGAACCTCTTTAATCATGTGCTTGCCATTTACTTTAATGTGCAACCTGAGTGTTTCTCCCAGAATTGCCCATACACCAGGGATCCCGAGAGCCCCTCTTGGCTCACACAGATTATTGGCTTTCTTCAGGCACCTTGAGCTGAGGAGTGGGAGTCAGGTGATCTGCTTCACCAGCTAGAACATTGATCATTAGGTCAAATTCTTTACCATCGTTTTCTTACAACTCTAGTGGTGTGACTGTGCCCATTTTACAGAGTGAGAAACAGAGGTGAAGAGACAGAGAGACTTGGGAACATAGGAAGCTACCTTATATTGAGTCAGGCCATTGGTCCATCCAGATAAGAATTGTCTACACTGACAAGGCAGTGTTTCTCCAGGGTTTTGGACAGGGTTTTGTTTCAGCCCTACTTGGGGATTGAACTTAGGAACTTCTGCATGCAAGGCAGATGCTTTTACCACTGAGCCATGTTGCCCAAAGGGAACTTCCAGCTTGCCCAGCGTCTAACCAGTGAGTTCCTGGAGACTGAGCAAATGTTTCTCTTAATAAATTTCAGGTCAAATGGTCTTAAACTGAGTCCAAATTTCATACTGAACTTAACACTGACACTAGAAAACGTGGGAGAAGCAGCGTACAACCCACACCTTTCATTTTACTACTCTTCTGTTTTGTCCTTCCGAGGGCATTCCGTTCTTCAGGTGAGTTGGATGAATAATTAGGGGGTGGGGGAAAGTAGAAGATTGGGGAAGGTTGGAGGCAGAGGATGCCAGGGATTCTGGAAGACAACTGAAGACTTGTGGATAAGGAGATGAGTGTCTGATAATAATAATAAGATATAGGCCCAGCTACCAATTTGTTGTTTATAAACCCCTCCTCCAATATATGAAACCAAAAATAGTTTCTGGAGACTTAAGCCCTGAGCATATTATCTGGAGATAAAGCAGAGGTTTGGTGGCCAGCTGTCATGTATGATCTAGTTGACATTCCTGCATTGCAGGGGCTGGGATGAGATAACCTTTGCGGTCCCTTCCAACTCTACAATTCTATGAAAGTTACAGAGACTTGTATCTTTTCCAAGGGAGGGGAAAGGAGCTTGTGAGGGGCAATTCTGAAGGGTGGGAGGGGAGTTGACCCAAGGAGGAAAGGCTAAGCGGTCCCCTTGGTCCCTGGTTGAAGACTGCAGCCTCCCTTGGCTGCTGTTCGTTTAAACAACCAAGACCCCTTTAAAAAATGTGCATGTGGCCCCATGCAGTTCTGCCAAAGATGGAGGTGGTGGGGAGCCTCACCTGTCTTAAGCCTTCTTGCCTGTTCATTCTGTTTTCTGCTACTTTGTGGTAAACAACAGAAATCTCTATTCCTCCTTTGTAATCGGCTTGTGATTTTATTTATGATGATTCATACACCCCCTCCACCCCTCATTCAAGTCCAATTGGCGTCTCTCCCCGGCCTGCCAAATGCATGGACCCCAAGGAAATGCGTCAGTCCGTCACAGCTCCTGCCGCTTCAACCCACCAGTCCTCAAGGGAGGCACCCAGGTAATGAGTGGAAGTGGAAGCCTGAGAAAATCACTGTGCGAGTGAAATGGAATTATTCGGCTATGAGTGAGACATTGAAAGAGAGAGAGAGAGAAAGTTTTAAGAATGTGAAAAAGGTACAGGAAAGAGAACAGAGTGTTAGATTGTTGTATGTGATGCATTTATAGGCAGGGCAGCTGGTGTTCCCCAAAAGCACAGAATTCAGCGTTGCTCTTTCTATTTTGGTTCTTAACCCACCCCCACCCCCCATTTCTCGTCCATATGCCGGGGTGGGGGGATCATGACACTGGATGGCGTGTGTGGTGACATCTCAGAAGACAGAGGGGGCTGTCAGATTTGAATAGTATGAGTAGTCTTTTGCCATTCCCTGTGACTGGTAAAAGCCAAATCAGTTATGTAAAATAAGCCAAAGGGAGCAGATCTGCTGTACCTGTGCAATTCATACAGGTTGCGGATTTGGGGTTTCCGCCAGGGCCAACTCAATAGGGTGGTGAGGTCAGATGTTTGCTGGCACTCCAAGACCAGCAAGGGCTCAGCTCCCCAACAGCCCCTCCAGTCTCTTCACTTTGCACAGGGAATTGAAGAAGCTCAGGAGCAGCACTGAGAGAATATTTGCACACCATGCGTCTTCCAAGTTAAAGGGAGGCCTGGAAATCGTGGAACTGGTTACCTGGCTTAACACAACATTTAATTTGGGGGTGCTGGGATGGTGGGACGCAGAGAGCACACTTTCCTGTTGATATCAGATGCTTTTGACTCTGAACCAATGGCTTCATTGGGATTTTGAACTGTCTCCCCCTCATTCTAGCCAACTCTCAAGACTTAAATGATCCAACACTGGTTCGATTCTACTGAGAAATTATCAGTTTTAAGATGAGAATAAATATATCTAGAGGTCTGGCATCTTCTAACCTTCTGGACCTCTGTGATCTATCAGCTGTGCCACCTATATCGAAAATGGGCATTCGGTCTTGCTTTTATTTAAAAGTTTAAGAAAGAATGATGAGGGTGGGTAACAGAGCCGAAATGGAAAACTGTGTGTCTACAGACTCAACCGTTTCTGCCTTTTGTTCTCTCAAGGCCATACTCCAGATTTCCCTCCAGTCCTCAAAAGGCGACTCCTGGAATGACACTTTTGCTTACTTCGACATCCGAGCCCACAGGTAGGGGAAGGCACAGCATGTCTCTGTCTGCCTCTGCGACTTCTCCTTGCCCATCACTAACTCTCCTTTCGCTTGTGGCCTTCCAGTGAGAACGAGAACGACACACTGAGCGACAACGAGGCCACAGGCCGGCTGCCTGTGCTGCACCGAGTCAACATCATTGTGAAGGGGTAATTGAACACCCACACACCCTTGTCCCCCACGGAGAGCCATGAGGGAGGGTCAAAAGGAGGCTGTACATTTTGGACCTTACACAACAAACGGCCTCACATATCAGGAAGGAACCATAGCATCTCCATTTGAACAGCAGTGGGGAACTTTAGGCCTGGGAGCCAAATGCTTCTCTGTCTGGCCCTTGGAGGCACACTAACCTCCTTTGCACCCTGTGTGGTTTTGATTGGCTGAAATCTTGAACCCTGATAATGCCTCTTGTTTGTCTGGACGAAGGATAGAGACGAGGGTGTGAGTGTCTGTAGAAACTAGCCAATATGCTATTGATAAAATTTACCCCTGTTGCCCTGCCCACTTTTGTCTAAGGCCCTTCCCACTATTGACATGGGGCCTTTGGGAGGTTCCTCAGAAGGGAATGTGGCCCCCAGGATGAGTAGACCCCCCCACCCTCGAGTTAAAGGGGTGCCATACACATGCGTCACGAAACCTCTTGATTCCTCTTGGGAGCAAGAAAATTGATCATGTGTTCTAGCTCTCGGGGAAAAAATTGCCAGGGGTGGGAAATGCCACAGAGAGAGTGAAAAATTCAGAGTTTCCTACAGCCTGAAAAGTCCCACGATTCGTCATGATTTTTAGCAAATCCAGAGTGCCTTTGCTCTATCCCTGGCATCTCCCTGATAATTTTGGGAAAATGTTCCGTTTAATACTGGACGTGATCTCGATGTCCTACATAAACATTTGTCTTTCCCCAGGCTGGCGTCCACGGCGTACCTCAATTTCTCCACCAAGATGCCGCAGAAGAAGACTCTCACGCATGCCTTTGAGGTAATGTGTCTTCTTCTCCCTTCTGTAGACAACCACACAGTCCAAACACCTGTCCACCCTCCTGTCGTTTCTCCCTGTGTCCCTATTTTAGAGCAAGAATGGGGAACCTGTGGCCTCGAGATGTTGGTAGATAACACTTCCCACCTTCCATGACAGATGGTCATTCTGACTAGGACTGATGGGAACTGGTGTCCAACTCTAGCCGGAGGACCACTGGTTCCCCAGTCCTGCTTTGCAGGAACAAATCTCTTTTAGGCTCATCTCCCAGCCACCTGGCCCTCTAAGATCTGAGGGAGAGGCCTCAATTTCAGTTCCTTCCATTTACGACCTGACGGAAAATGTTTTGGGTTTTTTTACAACAGTTTTTGACCACCTGATTGATAATTTCTATCATCTTTCCGCTGATCTTCCAATGGCGGCGCCCCCCCCAATTTCCTCTTCTGTTCTGGCAGGTTAGAAATTTGGACTCGACTGCTACTCCAGTCAACGTGACCTTTGAACTCCCCTTCAACACTGAAGTCGGATTCTCCTGGAATGTAACCCCATCCCACAGGGATGTGGTGAGTAAAAGAGGAAGGGGGCGCTCCAGAGGGGGTGCCTTATAAATTCAAAGTTGTGTGAGGTGGGATTTTTGGACAATTGGGGGTGGGTGGGAAAGGGGATAATGGAATGAGAGTTGAATAGATTTGGAGGGGAGGGTGCTTTGGAGATACATCTTGTTTGTAGTATATATAATTATTACTATTATTATTTAAATGTTTATAATCTGCACTTACATAAGCTATGTGAGAATGGCCTTCAGCATATAAAACAGAAGAAAAGTCAGTCCATATATATCCGCAAAACCTAATTAACATCAGTAATACTGGCTGGTTAAAAAGAGATGCCCACTTTATGAAGGCCTGTCTAAATAGTACAGTTTTTGGAAGACGTCTAAAAGAGGGCAGCGACAGTTCCTGACGAAGTGGTGGGGAGTTCCACAGGGCACTAGAGTTCCACACTAAAGGCTCAGCTCCTAAGAAAGGCTGTCTGGACCTCAGGGGGATGAGGAACCACCAGAGAATGAAGTGCCCCCTCAGGTGGTCTCCGTGATCAAGGTGGAGTATGAGGGATCAGGCAGTTCTTAAAGTACTTTGGGCCCAAGTTAAATCAGGGCTTTGTGGATTAACACAAGAAATGTGGAGCTGGCAAATCAGCAACAAGCGCAAAGTCTCTCAACAGTGGAATAACATGTTGCCAATAATTGCCCCTGTGAGGTATTTGGCCTCTGCGTTCTGCACACCTTCTGGACCAGATACAAGGGCAGCCCCACAGAAAGCAAGTTACAGTGATCAAATAAAAACCAGCAGTGAACTCAGACAAAATGCTACAGTCCACATACAAGTGGTATCAGCATCTTGGGTGACCTGCAAGCACTTCTGCAAACAACGGCAGCAACAAAACCTCAAGTGGGGACCGGAAACCCCCAGAGGCAGCCCAGGGAGAGCTGGACCAGCTCAGCGGATGTGAAATGATGACCTACCGTTGAGTGAGAGTTGGGGGGCAGAATATCCTGGGAGAGGGCACGGCTGGCTGGCTGGAATACAGGAGTACAACCTTTACCCTTAAAGAGTATTGCCTGTTTTCTTCCAGATAAACCCGTCCTCATGTCCGATAATGCCCTTGCCCAGAACAAGTCCCAAGACTGAAGACCTCAAAGGACCCATCACAGTAAGAACCTGGTGGAAAATGCAGGGTTGGCCGGTGGTTCATAGAAGGGTGTCTCTCTTGCCCAGGACAGACACACAGCTGCCTCTGAAGTGGAAAGGACATTTAGTAACCCCAAGGTTCTCTGTATTTCTTGTTTTGACAGAGAGGGTGCCTGGGGGCCACTGTCTGCTCCAAGTTTCAGTGCCTGATCGCCAATCTCTCACGGGGAGAGTGGGTCAAGTTCAAATTTTCATGGAATTTTAGCATAGACGACATCGCTAGCAAGGTGAGTGGTGCTCCCTTCAAACAGTAAGGAATATGGTTGGACGGGAAGTTTCCATTGGAAGCTTGGAAAAATAGGACTTTTTTATTTTAAAGATTACTTTTCCTAGATCAACCTCCACACCTGACCATTTATTTATCATTTGTATTTCTTTTAAAACATTTATATACTGTTGTATAGTTGTATATCAGACAGATTGAAAGCGCTGCACAAAACAGTAAAACAATAAATTAAATCGGACACTCTGAAGCAGCACCTCGCTTTTAGAACCTCCCTGCTGTTGATATTTGGCAAATGTCCTCCTTTTATTGCTGTTCTTTTAATTGATTGCAACAAGTTTACCCAGACATATAATTCAGTTGCCTATATCGGTTTAAAAAGTTTAATTGGTTTTGTGTTTTAATGCTAATTATTGTATGTATTGTATGTATGGGACGCGGGTGGCGCTGTGGGTAAAACCTCAGCGCCTAGGACTTGCCGATCGCATGGTCGGCGGTTCGAATCCCCGCGGTGGGGTGAGCTCCCGTCTTTCGGTCCCAGCTCCTGCCCACCTAGCAGTTTGAAAGCACCACTAAGTGCAAGTAGATAAATAGGCACCGCTTTATAGCGGGAAGGTAAACGGCGTGTCCGTGTGCTGCGCTGGTGCCGGCTCGCCAGAGCAGCTTCGTCACGCTGGCCATGTGACCCGGAAGTGTCTCCGGACAGCGCCGGCTCCCGGCCTCTTAAGTGAGATGAGCGCACAACCCTAGAGTCGGACACGACTGGCCCGTACGGGCAGGGGTCCCTTTACCTTTACCTATTGTATGTATATTAGGTTGTTGTTGTTTTTTTGAAAAATTGCTTTATGGGTTATAGCTGTGTTTCTAGGCATTGTTTTATATGTATCCCGCTTAGAGAGTTCTTTGAGTAAGCAGTGTGTACATTTTTAGAAATAAAACAAAACAATAATATACAATCCATCATAATATTAAAGTTCTAATAATACAGTAATCACAATCATGGACAATACACAGACCAATATTAGCAGCCTGTGTAAAGTGCTAAGTTTTTGGAATCTTAAAGAATGCATAAACATTCTTGTGGGGTGGAAAATAATGAAAGAGCCCTCATTTGTATTTAGCTGGCTTTGGGTGTCTCCCTGTAGCAGGTAGAGAAGCTTTGGCCCTCCAGATGTTGCTGAAGTCTTGGCCAGGTTTGCTAAGGCTGATGGGAGCTGGAGTTCAGCAACATCTGGAGGGCCTGAAGAGTCCTCACTCTTGTCCTACAGAGTTGTGCCAGGGAGAGGGGAGACGTGGAGGACCAAATGTTATTGATCTGTTTAATTTGCTTTTTGATCCTACAGCTGACGGCCCAGAAGCTCCATCTTCGGAGCCAAGCCTCTGCGGTGGTTGATGAGACCAGGTTTTTTCAGCCAGAAGAGTTTCAGTTCAGTCAGGTAAACTTGCAGGGCGTGGTTATGTCATGGACGCTGGACGCGCTGTGTGTGCCTCACCGTGCAAATAGTGGAGCTGGTTACTGAGCACAGAATTCAGTTGCATTGAATCATAGAAATGTAGACTCAAAAGAACTGGTGTTTGAAGGGATCTCCAAGGTCATATCTAGTCCAATCCCTTGCAATGCAGGAATCAGAGCCAAATAATCCCCAACAAATGGCCACCCAACTTTTAAAAACCTCTAATGAAGAAAAATGCACCACCTTGTGGGCCTCAAAAACCTGTTTTCAGTGCCCTGGAATGTATGAAGTAACATTAGGGGTGCCTCTGAGGATGTGCAGAGTTCTTACTCGGCACAATCAGCCTTCCCAAAGGCCACACAATAAGGTATTGCTTTCCCTGATATGCTTTGCTGTCATTTAAACACCTGAACATATTAGCAAATTTCTTTTGGGGCGGGGAATCAAGTCTGGCCCAGAGGATTTGAGGGGCACTGCTTATCGTTATGGGCAAGAACTCTGAGTGCCTTTCCTCTCCTTTGCAGATTAGCACTGAAGTTGAGCTGATTTCGCCATTCAATCCCATCCCCATCATCGTTGGCAGCACCATCGGAGGAATCCTGCTCTTAGCCATCATTGTGGCAGTCCTGTTTAAGGTAGGCATCTCTCACTTTTGCCATCAGACAGACCTCAGAAGAGATATGGGATGCCCTGACAAGACTTAAACCAGTTTTCCTCCCTCTCTCTTCCCCCTTTCCAGATTGGATTCTTCAAACGCAATCGAGTGTCCCTAGCAGATGAAATTGCGTCAGAACCAGCTGGGCCCAGTGAACAAACTCCTCAAGCAACCAACTAGCTTACAAGGGAAGGAGGAATCATGTGGATCTGGGAGGCAGGACCTAAGGATTCCCTGGGGGAGAGGAATGGGATTTGAGAGGAGTTGTCTGCGGTCCAGGTAGAATGCTAAACTTAAGAAATGTTTTGAAGGAAAAGCAAGAAGTCTGCCTGGGTACACCCTAGCAATTTTGGCTGCTTCCAGACAGATGGCTCCTAGCACTAATAAATCGTTGCTGTTCTGCTGTAATCTACAAGAGGAGTTGCGAACTGTTTTCTACTTTAATTGAGTTGTTTCAAGTCGCCCAAGTCGCCATTTAAAAACAAGAATTCTGAGTGTTCCTTAAAAACAACACAAATAAAAATGACTTATTTATTTATATAGCACTAAAGTTTGTTTATAGGCGTGATTGCTCATTGCTACTCACGTGAATTGTCAGAAATTAAAAGGTCGTGTTCCTCATTAGCCATGCTTTGGAGTAGACCCGTTGAAGTTAATTAATATGACTAACTTGGGTCCATTGATCTCAGCGGGTTTACTCTGTGTGAACCTTAGTTGGACGTGTTTAATGTTTGTGTTGGATCAGAAGCGTTTGATAAGAGAAAACAATGTTGCTAAAACACTAGTGAGTGGAAAGTTTAGGGTTTTTGGGGGGCGGGGATATCAGCATAGTGCTAGAGCACTTGTTAATTTAAGCAGTACTTAAATTAGGGGGGAAAGATGGGAGACAGCTTTGGGAAAACCCTTATTACAATATGCAGATTCCCAGTGGAATGTGTTCGACAGAATGGGTTAGGTGCAAGTATCTGGAAATATTTTGTTCTCTCTGTACCAAGACATGTTGCTTCTGCCGTTTTGAAACAGAGGAAGTTGAGGCACAGTGAGCTCAGCAGAATGTCCCCATAAATTAAAAGGAATATGATTCAGTCTTGTGTTGACATCTTCCTGTAATTTTCACCCTGTGCACCAAACAGCTGCCGTTTTCATAGAATTTCAGAGGAACCTGCTTTTCCTTCCGGCCTACCAAATTTCAAAATAGTTTAATTAATGTATAATTTTCTAAGGACTCCTGAGCTTAAGAGAGCCAGCAGTGGCTTAAGTGTTGGACTAAGACCAAGGAGACTCGGCTTCTGTTTGGCCACAAACCTTACTCTGCTTCTAGCTAGCCAACTTTGCACGGTTGTTGTGAGGCTAAAGGGTAGGCAGGCCACGTATGCAACTTTTGGCTTCCTTGGATAGGGTAAAAATAATTTTGAAAATTAATGTATTGTTAGGTGGTAGCTGTTCCCTGCTCTCAAGCTCCCCAGGGGGAATAAAGGAAAGGAAACCAGCAGGTTTCTCTCCTATGATGATTCTGGAAGTTAACTTGGCTCCCTGCAACCCCCCTGATTTAGATCAGGGGTGCCCTCCAAATGTTATGTTCTTTCAATCACAGGCGTATAAAAATAAGAGAGTCAGGTGCGTGTTTTAAAGATTTTATTATAAAAATAGAGGCCAAGGCACACCTGTTTACATGACCCCTCCTCACCAATTCCAAATTTTAAATCACCCAATAACTTAATCACCCTTGTTATATTTTCTTGGCATCGGCTCTGAGAAGGGAGAGGGAGGTTTTTCGAATGCGTACATTGCTGCTCTGATTTGTGTTTTGCACCACAAGTTTGCACGTGGCTATTGTCACAGTGTGGGCAAGCGCCACCCAGAAAGCAAGCCACCTTTGGTGATGTATTTGCAGGGAAAAAGCCACATCTCTCCCCACCCCCCTCCGGCCTTGTAACAAAGCGCATCTTCTCACTAATCCCACTCACCTATCTCTATGTGCATGAAAACACCTTAAGTGCCAGGTCTGCGCTTAAGCCCTGATTCAAGATGATGATTAAGCCCTCCGTATGTCTCCCACTGGGAGAAAGGCAAGGAAGGGGCATCGCCAGATCAATGGGGATAACTGAGGCTAGATGGAGGATTTGAACTGGGCAGGGCTTGATCCCCAATCCAGGCTTGCGCTGTGTGAAGTAATGATTTTTAAAAAGGATAGTGCCTCTGAACAGGTACAGAGTGCATTTCCTTCACCCCTGAGAAATCAGACCGTCGCCACATACCTGGGACTAGGGGGAAGAGTTTTCAGGTCAGTGGGTGTGGCCTGCAAGCAGTCTTAGCACCTATTTTTTAATATAACAAACCAACAACTAAGCATGAAATTGAGGGGTGTGGGGAGGAGTAGAGAGGGGCCAAGCAGGTTGGAAGGGGTGAGAGCACCTTCGAAGGCGGGGGGGGGGGGGAGGAAGGGAAAGCTTTGGCTCTGAGACTGTTCCTGGGGAGGGACACCACACATTCCCTTCCCAGCAGGTCCCTTCCTTTGGGTATTATAAAGTGCATTAGTCTTTCAATACTTTTGTAGCTGCCCAAGGTAGGTCAGCAGGCCACAGCCCAAAGGAAGGCCAGGATCCCAAAGGCCAAGACGGGGGCTGCCTTTGGGGCTGCTGCCCCACAGATGCACATCCCCTTCTCTGGCCCCTGCCTTGGGGAGGGAGGGGGGGACGTGGCAGAGCCCTCGCAGTGCAGCCAGTGATGGGAAATGAAACGTGGGTAGCCGGCGTCGGACTCCACGCTGCCACCAGTGAACTTCCAGAACTGGGTGTCCTTGAAGAAGTAAGTGTCGCCTGCAGGTGAAGAGAGAGAGACAAAGGCAAAGCTGAGAATGGAGGGAACAGGTTGAGACGCAAGCAGAGAGTTATGCCTATGGCCAGCTGGGGGAGCCAGAGAGGCGCCGTCTGCACTTATATACAGGCATGATGCTGGAATGGTCATGGCTCCCCCCACAAAGAATTCTGGGAACTGTAGTTTGTAAAGGGGGCTGAGAGTTGTTAGGAGACTGCCTATTCACCTCAGAGACATAGCTGTCAACGTTTCCCTTTTTTAAGGGAAATTCCCTTATTCTGAATAGGATTCCTCGCAAGAAAAGGGAAAAGTTGACAGCTATGCTCACAGTTCCCAAAGTGGTTTTCTTTTTTTAATTAATAAATTTTATTTAAGATTTGACAATAACAAGAAATCAACAATAACTAACGCATCAACTAGTCTCTCTTCTCAGTGAAATGCAGCTCTGCCAGTTCAATAGGGGACTCCTAATGATTTTTTTAAAATATAAAATTTAATTAAACAACTTTAAATGTATCAGACTTCCCATATGTAAGTGCTGGCTGCTCTGGTTTTTGCGTTTCCTCTCTGCACACACAAAACAATATACTCCCAAGGCCTCCATTTCCATAACATTTCTGGCTACAGGCCTATTGGGCATATGGGTCACACAACAGCCTCTTTTAGAACTGGTTACATTAGAATGGTAGGCTTTCCTTCATTACCCTGGAAAGTTAAGAGTTCCCCATTACCACAACCATTTCCTTCTGTTAGTGACAGTCAGGGCAGTTAAGAAACTGTCGTCTAATTTTTATTTGCAAAGCTGTCCAACGAAAAAAGTATATCTTCCTCACCCCTGCAATTATTGTCAGGGAAAGCACAGCCAGGAACGGACACATTTGATACTTTCCGAAAGGGAGTCAGTTTCAACGGAAACATACCCTCGTTCCAGCTTGTGATATCATCCAGGTCATTAGGTACTCCTTTCCAAAGGCTGACAGGCTTGGGGTATCCCTGTTCCACCCGACCCATCCGATCATCATAGCGCCAGTACTGGTCCTTTTCGAAGAGGTACGTCTTGCCATTGTGAGGCCACACAAAAACAGCACCCACGACAGTGCGGGGAGGGAGGCCAAGATCGGACACAGGACGGGGGTAGCCCGGGTTCACCTGAGTATTAGTGAAAACCCAGAAGTGGGACCCTGCAGAGAAGGAAGAATGAATGAGGAAGAAAAAGGATCCATTACCAGAAGAGATTCTAGCAGCCTTATGTGAAGGATTTCCACAGAGCACAGACTATTTGTATCCTACACTCCCACCTTCCTCTCTAGTCCAGACACCCCAAAGTATTGCTTACATCACAGTCAGACACAGTGAATTAACTGGATCTAATAGTCAAGGCTAAATAGACATTCATATTATTTACAAATTGAATTCTGCTCGGAAGCATCTGAGGTTGGGGGTGTGTATTAAAAACACAGTCGCTTTTGATTTATAGTTTTCAACAGTGTAAAAGCAAGGACCGCTAAAAGTGTAAGTATGTCAGACCTTACGGCCTAGCGCACATTTTAATACATACGCAATGTTCAAATAAAATTAGAAATGGTTTGAAAAGGGAAGCTTCTTCACAAGATTTCAGCTCCCAGGATGTTGTACATTTGCACCCTAGAGTGGTTGTTATTAGTCTGCACATATATGCCACCACTCTGAATTGCAAGCTCAGCCTCCTCGCTGCTGCAGGTGAATACTTAAGATTTCACATTGCTTGGATTCCTGCAGCTGGATCCAGGAAACCTCCCAATTCCCAGGGTTCCAGAAAAAAATCCTAAAGGGAAGTTCATTCTCCCAGTTATCACCCTTCTTTAAATATTCGACTGCACTCTACTTCCAAAGAGACCAGAAGCCCCGTCTTCGATTGTCAGTGCGTCACACTCACCAATGAAGAACACAATTTGGCTGTCATTGGCCCGTTCATAGGCAGCATCAATGGCCTTGAAATCCTGGGGAAGCCCGTTCCAAAACCGCAGCGTCTGTGCCGGCTCTAGGGAAACCAGGTGCTGGCTTGGTTGCAGCCTCCAGAAATGTTTTTCTGTGAAAGGGGTTATATAGGGTGCTATTAGCCAGCTCAGAAACCAAATAACAGTTGCCTCTCCTAAACCCACTGTTTGAAAACTCCAGAAGGCAAACAACATGCCACAGAAAACTTTACAAATGCCAATCAGAGAATTGTTCTTTTGCAAGGAGGTGGCACAGGGGAAAGTGTGTTCAAAGAGCACAATTATATGATCATTGGAGCACCAGAAGCTCCCTTCTGGGGCTGAGTCAGACCAAGGGGGTCTATCTAGCTGTCTACACTGGCTGGCAGCAGCTGTCCAGAATTTCCGGTGGGGTTCTCTACCTGGAGACTGCACCGGGGACCACTTGCCAAGCAGATCATAGAGATATGGCTCTTCTCAAAGTAACCTGTGCAACCATTCGCTGCGTTTAAAAAGTCATTATTATAGGTGGCTGCTGGAAAAGGATCCCACCTCCCATCAAACTAGCAGGAAATGGTCGCACCGCAATTCTTATGCACATGGAGTCCTTTGGATAAGAGAAGGATATGTTGCCCTGCAGGTCCAGTGGGCCAAATTACGTGTGAGTCTGGAAATCAAAGATTTGTTCTCCCAGCAAAAGGTTCGGGTGCCCCCTGCCCGCTCCCAAGCCAGCTAATCTGGAGTATGGGGGGGGGGGGTTTGCTTTACTTACTCTTGAAGAAGAAAACTTCCCCACGGATGTTGGCGATAGCATCAAACCGGGCCTCACAGCGATCAGGTGATGGTGGACGTGGCCTGAAAGAGAGGGGGGCGCGCGCTCAGGATTGCTGCTAACAGGATTTGTGAGATCAAGATCTGGCTGGTTCTTACCCTATATTATTCTACACATTCATCGCTTGTGTAGAACAAAGAGTCTCAAAGCAACTTTAAAGTACCCAACTGGTTATTTAACTCTGCAGCCCACACCCAAACAGTACAGACAACTCTTCCTGTTCCCCTCGCAGCCTCTCCTTGATTTTTTGCCCATGTGTCTGCTCAAGTCTGAGTCCCAAGTCTGGCTCCCAGCTTCGTGCAGCTCCTCTTGTTCCTGGGACCAGTTTGAGGTTCCCCCATTGAGCAGACTGACCCCAGTCTAGCAGATCACAGTGTGTGAAACACCTGCCTACAACAGACCTTTGTGTTTCACAACTCGGCTATCAGGAAGTGCTCTGGCATTTCAGTTTCTTTCAGCTCTCCCCATTTCCCAGTTTACCTTTGTATCCCCTGAAGCCCCTCCTTGCATGATGCCCACTTACCACTTTAGCAAAAGTGGACTGTACAAATAGGCTAGCTGGCCTTGAAGGTACTAATAGATTCTTTGTTTCTCACCCACCCCACCCGCCCCTGGAACTAACATGACTATTCTGGAATTTCAAGCGGACCTGTTGTGACATCACAGAAGTTCGGCCAATGATTATAGAGGGTCACCAATAAGCAACACTGCAGTGTTTAGGTTCCCTTTTCCTCTTATGAACCTTGTCAGCTAGGTTGTTCATATGCTCCCAAATACACAAAAAGGGGAACTGAAAACAAGAGAAAAACAAAACAGCTTCCTCAAGGCAAGTTAAGCCTAGAGAGACCCAGATTAAGGTGCACCAGTGTAGCTGTTGGCCTATGTTGGATCTCATCAGGAAGTACTGATGGGATACTGGGCTCTGGGGGCCTGAAAGAATCCAGCCAAGTTTCCCCCATCTCCTGTTTTCAGTCATCAGATCCCATCTTCACTCTCTGACCTGACTGGCCAGGGCTGCTCATTTCCTGTCAGTTGCCCTGGTGTATCCAAAGCTACCAGCCAGTATGCTAAGACAACCCAAAGAAAACTTTGCTGTTGACTAGGTTTTTTGGTTTTTCTGGGTTTCTGTGCCATAGCTAGTCCGTATTCCCTCACAGTTAATTTAGCTCCAACGCCTACAGCAGGGGTAGCCTAGGTAGTACCTTCCAGATGTTTTGGACTATGACTCCCATCAACCCCACTCTGTATAGCTCATGGGGTCCTGGATGCTGTGGGCTATAGGTCAGCAACATCTGAAAATACCCACTTCTTGTGGGGTTTCCATATGATAAGGAAGGATACTCACCCTTGCGTGGGTCTGTCGGGTGGCAGGTCAGGGATTGGAAGGTCTGTGGGGACTGGAAATTTTGGGATATCGGAATCTGGGTATGAACCTGATGGACGCTTACCTGCAGGGAATTTTTAAAAAACAACAACGGGGGGGGGGAAACGAGTCAGAAAAAAACATGAAACATGCATTCAAGCACAAGGTGTTCTCTGACATGGGAGAAAACGGAAGAGAGAATACGTATGTATTCAGAAGGATGATGGAACAGAGAAATTGAGATACTCTCTAGAGGCAAAGTATAGATGGCCTTGCCTCACCTTATGCAACTCTATGACAGGATGTCAAAAATAGACGCTTACAAGAAAATGAAGCAAGCAGTGACATTATGAAAGAAAAAGCAGAAACTGAGATGGAAGAAAGAGGACAACCCGAAAGGGGCGGCGTGTGCAGAGATGCAGAGAAATCTATGCCCAAGACACACCTGCTGTGCTATCTGAGGTCACCTTTGTGCCTGAACTCAGTGGATGATGTAGGCCTCCCCGTCTCCGCTTTGGAAGGGGCCCAGATTCTTGTGGCGGCTGGAGAAGTTTGCTAGGTCAGCCTTGGATTTCAGCAGTCGCCTGGTCAGTATAGGCAGCTAGGAATTCTATGCAGGTGAGTGAGCTGGCTTGGCAGAGGAGGGGCGAAGTGCTCCTTCCCTCCTCTGCTAAGCTCGCTCACTTACAAGGCTGATCTAGGTCTTTAACCAGCCAGTGTGGAATTTACAGCTCCTGCTCTCTTAGTAGGTTATTTGGGGCAGGGTGTTGGCAAATTGCACTGGGTGTATTTTACTGCACCCTGGTTGCCAACGGTGTGTCTATGTGTGTGTTGGGCGTGTTATAAAAGGATACAGAAAGGAAGGAAGGAAGGGACAGGATGTGATTGGAGGAAGGAGAAGAAACACTGGCCATCGAGATGGGAAGACAGCAGATGAAAACAGGAGGGGACTGGCTAGTCTCTCACCATAGAGTTGTTCAATCCCCATGGCATCATCCTGCGGCAGCTGGTAGAGCTCAGGCGACCCAACAGGTCCCTGGTAATAGGGCATCATGATAGATTCCTTGATGGAAGAATGAGACAGCCCCAAGGCATGGCCAAATTCGTGAACTGCTACAGCAAAGAGATCTGTGCCTCGACCTGATATCAGGAGAAAAGGGAAAGGTTACCCATGGGCTTGGCTTCTTCTCCCTGCCAGCCTCTCCAATCAGGTGTTTTATTGTGGTGTATTCCTCAGCATGTTCTCGACACAACAACAGCACATCAGCGAAGGGTTTGTTCTGCATTAGTTTGCGCTGCGATGTATCCCCAATGCTTCCCCATTCTTGCTATCCAAAGGGAGCTACAGTGCAACAAAAGCGGGGGCAAAAATATACGCCAAAGCATTTGCGGTGTGATTTCAGCAGGAAGGTACTGGAATGAAAGGAAGCGGGTGCAACAGTCCCAGAACATTTGCGGGTGCAAATGGTATCGAAAGCCGGAATAGTGTCTGACTTCCTAGCAGGGCCGTCTTAAGCATATCTGGTGCCGTGGTGCAAAACTCCCTCCGGCGCCCCCCCCCCCGTTTCCCAGAGTTGCCCACCTTTTTTTAGGGAGGACGGCGCTGCTGGCGGGGCTGGAGGAGGGCGGCTCCTCCGGCGGGAAAGAGACAGAGGCTGGACACGGCGCCTCCCGCCTCAGCCGGCAGCTTCATGCCGTGGTGGCCACGGCAAACGAAGGCTCTGGGCGTGGCGCTGCTTTGGTGCAGCATGGCGGAGGCGGGTGAGGGCGGCAAGCTGATGCCAGGAGGTACTGTGTCCAGCCTCCACCTCTTCCCTGGTGCCCTCCAGAACTTGGCGCCCTGGCGCCCCGCGCCACTAGCCTGTATGGGTAAGACGCCCCTGCCTCCTAGATCGCAACACAAGTGCAAATCATCATGAAAACACACAACTAAAAGGATGTCTGGAGGGACCCTGATTCTGAAGGTACCTGGATACTTGTTGTCCGGGTCATGTATCCATGTCTCTTCATCATCGAAATGAGTGTCGCCAGAAATGGGGTGTTCCCCGGGGAAAAAGGCGTGGGCCAGGGTGCCTCCCGGCCCATCGAAAGGGTAGCTGTCTTCGTGATAGGAGCGGCTGAAGTCCACCACGATGTCAGCTTGCCCAGAAGTCTCCTCTCGGAAGGTCAAAGCTGAGGAACGGCTCCAGGCCCGGAAGGCAAGGGAAATAAGTTCCCGGACTTTATAGGAGGACAACTGGGAGGTGCGGGGGAAGGAACGGATGCTGCAGTGGGAAAATGAAAAACGAGGGAATAAGGGAGAGGAAGGCAACAGACTGACAGGGTTGTGAGCAAAAAGATGGAACCCTGGGTTCTATCCAATGTTGTACCTACCCAGAAGAGATCCATTGGAAATGAGAGGTATGACGAACTTAGGCCCATTAATTTCAGAGGGCCTTCTCTTAGTTGGATGCAACCCATAAAGTGAGGGTGAAGAGTCTTTGGCCTTCCAGCTGTTGCTGAACTACAACTCCCATCAGCCCTAGCAAGCATGGCCAAGGGGTAAAGAGGATGGGAATTGTAGTTCGGCATCTTCTAGCGGGCCAAAGATTCCTGACACCTGCCCAAAAAAGGTAAGAAAACGACAGGATGTCTAGAATAAATTAAAAATAGTGGGAAATGGAAACAAATCATTTATAGCGACGCAAACCGACACCATTAAAATATTTTAGTGCAAAACCACAGGAAGAAAAGAGTAACAGGAAGTGAGATGTGGTTTTACCCACTCAACCCCACCCTCTGCTTACTGCCATGTCAAGCTGGTCTTCGTCCAGACACTGTCGCTGAGAGCATAGCGTCTCCTCCTGCGCCGGCGACGCATCAACTCCGAGGTGCCAATAATGTCAGGAAGGGAACAGCGAGGGTGGCTCATCATGTCCAAGGTCTTCTGGTCTGCAAAGGAGAGGAACATAGGCCACATCCACACCATGCTCTTAAAGCAAGCACGGGACAAGCAGAAAACGTCTCGGACCTGCGCTTTCTTAGCACACAACAAGCAGAAGTGTGGACGAGCCCCAAGACTCAGCTAAGATTTTATGATTGCTGGATCGGTTTCCCCCAAACCTTTCTTGTCCCACCACTTGGAGCTCTCCAGGGTGCTGCCCACCTCTCTTGCTTGCTTTGGAGGTTGTGTATCTGGACGTGGGCTATGCCTTGCCTTCCAGAACCTGGCATGACTTTGCTTCCTGGATCTGCAACTAGTGGCCTGTCGTCCCTGGATTCTGGGCCTAGCACATGCCCCCACTGAAGCTAGAGCCCTGCCCTCCAGCTGAGACCAGCTGTGCTCCAGAATTCAACTTGGAGCACCAGGCGTACTCCTGAGGAGCCCTGCTAAGGTCCCAAACACATCTTTTCTGCAGGTGACTACATTGACTACACAGCTCTGGGCCCAACGTCCTGTAGATGATGATGATGATGATGATGATGATAATAATTTATTTCTATCCCACCCTCCCCAGCCAAAGCCGGGCTCAGGGCAGCTAACAACAGTAAAGTAATACAGCATTCTAAAATCAATTCATTCTAAAATCAGTTCAAAATCAAATTAATGGCAACCATTGGGCCAGAGTTCTGTGTGGATTACCAAAGGGGTGGGGGTGGGGGTCAGGCTGTGCCTTGGCCAAAGGCCTGGTGGAACAGCTCTGTCTTGCAGGCCCTGCAGAAACATGTCAAGTCCCGCAGGGCCCTAGTCACTTGTGACAGAGCGTTCCACCAGATCGGAGCCACAGCCGAAAAAACCCTGGTTCTGGTTGAGGCCAGCCTAACCTCCCTGTGGCCCAGGACCTCCAAGATGTTTTTGTTTGAAGACCGTAAGGTCCTCCGTGGGACGTGCCAGTTGGCTCCTTACCTCTCTCGCCCTGACCCAGCCACTGTGATCCACGCGACGGTCACCTCCAGACTCGGTTATTGTACCTCACTCTACGTGGGGCTGCCCTTGAGACTGACCCAGAAACTCCAGCGGATGCAGAATGCCGCGGCGAGACTCCTTATGGGGTCCTCGCTGCAGGATCACATTCGCCCAGTGCTATACCAGCTGCACTGGCTCCCGGTGGAGTACAGGATCAGGTTTAAGGTGCTGGTTTTAACCTTTAAAGCCCTATACAGCCTAGGACCCTCGTACCTACGGGACCACCTCTCCTGGGTGAGGAACCTTTTCAGCCTGACAGGCCTGATCTTTAGACACATGCTCCTGTCAAACTTTAAGAGGTGCATATGGGCTCCGACCACATAGATCATAATGGAAAACATGACAGACAGCTGTGAACTGGCTACGTGTCGTATGAGACAGGCCCTCATTGCGCAGGCAAGAGCAATCTACACACGCTTAGAGACGTTTTTACTTACACTTTCCCTGGTGTGAAAGGCTGAGATCTGACACCCAAGAGACCTGCCGGAAAGAGAGACGGCAACACATCCCAACCAACACTGGGGGTGGGGAGAAGGTGTAACCAGATTGACGTTCTCCCAGTACATACCCATCGTCCCGGTCACAGGCAGTCCTGCAAATCTTTGCATTGTTCTGATGGCGCTTTTCAGTTCCTCTGGGCTTTGAAGGCGAGCTGCCCTTGGGTCCGGTTGAGGGAGGTAGCCGTAGCGGGTTAACCACTCCTGCGAGGACATAATTAGTGGGGGTTTGTTAGTCAGTACAAGGAATTCCTGGGAACTCTTGGAACTGTGACTCTGTGAGAGGAATTGAGGAACTCTCAACATCCTTGACAAACTGCACTTCCCATGATCCTCTGGGGGAAACCATGACTGTACAAAGTGCTATGATACCTGTTTTGATGTATAGTGCAGATGGGGCAATACTTGGAACACTCCATTTTAAAAAAACTCTTGCTTCCTTTTTGCAGCTGTTTGGTAGATTTGGGGGTTTGAGTGAAAAGAGCAAAGTTAATCAAACAAACCTGAAGTCTTGTATGACCCTGCTCAGGGTTTTTCCTAAAAACACAAGTGCACACATGAGACCTGGGCAAGCAGCCTGCTCTTTGGGCTGTTGTGCAAAGATCTGCAGGAGGTTCCTAAGTGCCTTCTGCTCAGCATGCTTAGGAACCTCCCCGTGCCTCATAAGACATAACTCTCTTAGAAATCCTTTGCAGACCTTGGTGTTCAATGTGACCATGATCTAAAGAGGAGTCTGCACACCTGTGGCTGCTGGAGGATGGGACTTGAGTGTGTATCCCTGACCCCATCTGCGATTTTCAGCCGTCTGTATTCAAGTGAATGCAGGATCAGAGCTAAAAAAACCCCATCACATTCTATTCTGATTTTAGCATGGATGAGGGGGACTCCCCCCCCCCAATTATTTCAGTCCATGTTTGGTCTTCTAATTATTTTTTGTGACTGAGGAGGACAGATATTCATGAGGGGATTCCCAACTTCCCCTTCCTTTCCCCTGAAGTGAGTGGTGCCTTTCTTGCTACTTGAGGGGAATTGAGAGCAAGGAAAAAGAACTTTTTATGCCTGCAGAGGCTTGGACTCTCTGAAGGGAAACAAACAAACATGCACACACAAACCCCGCAACACCCCTGTATCTTTCTTAGCTAAATAAAGAGGAAATGGCTTTTCCTTTTTAAAAGATAAAATCATCTCGGGAAATTAGCATGCAGATAGTAGGAGTCCGATATATAGCCCCCCACCCCCAAGCCATCCGACTCCTCCAACTATCACCAAATTGGAAAGCACCTTCTGCATGCTTTAAAACCACAATTTCCCCAGGGTTCTAAATCACGTGGGGGGAGGGCAGCCTTCTTGCTGCCTTGCAAGGTGCTCCGCTCAGAAGTTGTCCCCACAATTTCTGCATTGCAGGGGGTTGGACTAGATGACACTTGGGGTCCCTTCCGAATCTATGATTCTGTGGCAACAGTGGGATAGGGCTAAAGCACAGCCCTGCAGCTCCTCTCACCGCACCTGATTCCTTCACCTATTCTGAATAAAGGCGCCAAGCTTTCCTTCCTCTTCTGGCATATCTGAACTACAAAGATATGTATTAGTCTGGGACCAGCTTCATGCCCAAGGCTTTGCCCAAAGTATCTTGGAAATGGCAGCATGTGATTAATGAGCTGCAGGAAGAAGGCAGTTTCAGCAAACGCCGGCATGCACCTTAAATCAGCCAGCCAGGTAGGCACTCCAAAGTGCCCTTTATTTTACAGGCAGTCGGTGAAGGATGGAGAGAGAGAGAGAGAGAGAGAGAGAGAGAGAGAGAGAGAAAGGAAGGGATGAACACAAGAGCTGGTGAAAGAGTGGAAGAAATGAGCTAGCCAATGAAACCAACTGCCAGGAGATCCCAAACAGACAAAAGGACAGTTCTTCTTTCCCCAGGTCATTATTATATTTACTATTTTTGGAACTTGCTGTCACAAGATTGTGGTGATGACCCCTTTCAAAGAGGACTAAACAAACTCACAGAAGATAGATTTATAAATGGCTACTAGTCATGATGGCTAGGTACATGGGGCCAGCCTGGTGCCCAGAGGCACCCACGAGGCTCAGAGATAGTGTGACTCTGAGTATGAATTGCTGGGGCTTAACAGGGCAAGAGGTCTGCTCTCTTGCTTGTGGGGATACTGGGCTAGACACTTTGCCCCCTTGTTGCACCTCCTCAGAGCAGACACACTGAAATCAATGGACTGAGGATGTCTGTGCCCTTTGATTTAAATGACCCTTCTCTGAGAAGAACTATGACACAGACCCACAGTCTGCTCCAGTAAGGTTGTTCTTCAATTCTCAAAGAAAATTGTGAAAATGACAGGCGTGAGACAGGGAGCTAGACACTTGACCAGCTTCCAAACTCTTGCAGCTTCCTAAAGGTAAAGGTAAAGGACCCCTGGACGGTTAAGTCCAGTCAAAGGTGACTCTGGGGTTGCGGCAATCATTTGGCTTTCAGGCCGAGGGGGCCGGCGTTTGTCCACAGACAGCTTTCTGGGTCATGTGGCCAGCACAACGGAACACTGTGATGGAAACCAGAGCACACGGTAATGCCATTTACCTTCCTGCCACAGTGGTACCTATTTATCTACTTGCGCTGGCATGCTTTCGATCAGCTGCGTTGGCAGGAGCTGGGACAGAGCAACGGGCGCTCACTCTGTCACGGGGATTCAAACCGCCGACCTTCCGATCAGCAAGCTCAAGAGGCTCAGTGGTTTAGACCACAGCACCACCCACGTCCCATGCAGCTTCCTGGGCTGTGTACACACTGTACCTTTAAAGTACATTTGAGGTATGTTCTTTGTCCTCAAAGAATTCTGGGCACCTGTGGTTAACCCCTCGCAGCCTTGCAGTTCCCAGAAACCCTCAACAAACTACAGTGCCCAGGATGCTTTGGGGTAAAGAATGTGCCTTAAAGGCATACACTTGTGTATGTAGCCTGTGTTCTCGAGGTTTCCCTGAGGAAACGGAGGACTCAAGGGGCCCTCAAGCCTCTATATGAATGCATGTGTATAAACTTTGTGAATCTGCCAAGAGGGTCCCTTGAGGAAGCTTTCCACTGCGGCTCTCAGAGTTCAAAACAAACTTTTAATCGCATAATTTGTCTCGTGGGCCTCTAAGAATGGATTCAGCTGAAGGTGTTGAGAGTTTCTATTATGCTTTGCATGTTTATAAGGACTCTAATGCTTTGTATCCAAACTGGCTTTTGATGAAGTTTTCCTACAATGGGCTTCATGATCTGCCAAGCTTGTCTAAGTCTGTGCATACACACACACTCTGCTATATACAGTATATATATATATATATAACAAGGGAAGGCTGGAGCCACACTGTAGTTTGTGTGATTGCCAAACTCCATCACGATGGGAGAACGGCAGGCATGTGAGCGAGCGAACAGCACGGGCTGCAGATGGTCCAGGCAAGCTGTTTAATGGAGGGGAGAGGCACTTTGCAGAGCGCTTTGCCAAACCTCTCTGTCGAGTGTGTCCCCATCTCTGTTAAATGCTGCTGCCGTGAGGTTTAATGAAGGAGGGAGGTGCTTCAGAAAACCTGCTCTCTGAAAGTGGCTCTGCTCATCCTTAAAAAAGGCTCGAGGCCAGCAATATCAACAGTCCATTGTCTTGCTCTTTCCTGGCATGGTCCTGAGCAGCTTCTCCCAGAAAACCTGCTCTTTAGTGCTAAATCAGAACAAACAGCAATCCATGGGAAACGATTTGTTTCCATTCAGCGCTAAACCGCAGGTTTCCCAGGGAGAAAGCAGCACAGCAAACAGGGGTGTGGATAAGCCCTTGGTATAAATTCAACACCTGACATGGGTTTTCTGGGGCAAGACTGCACAGAAAGCCTAAATTAATGGTGATGGCTTGCTGAACCCGTGCCCCTTGTTCACACAAGGAGCAAGCGATGTGATAACTGCTCTGGAATTGCACACCACTTCAGCCTGCTGTGGGACAGGGAGAGGATTCGTGGATACAAACAACAGAATGAAGCTTTCTTTTGTTTTCAGTTTGAAAGATTGGGGCTTTTTTTTACTGTATTGTGCATGCAAGGTTTATACAAGCTTTTGCTGCCTTTCAGTATTAGCTGCCTACCCCATGGAAAGGTAATCTAGAAATATCAATATGCATAAACAAATCACAAGCAAGCAAACTCTGTCCTGTCCACAATGACATGTCCGCCAACATGTCACTGTGGAAAACAGGGATGTGTGTCTCCTTGTGCAAGTCACATGACCTGCGCAAGATTGCGGCCCCAAAATGGGATGTCCCCATTTAATCAGGGCAGTTGAGGGCAGCGGCTCTCTAGGGCAGGGGTCAGCAAACTAAGGCCCGGGGGCCGGATCCGGCCCCATCGCCTTCTCAATCCGGCCCTTGGATGGTCTGGGAATCAGCGTGTTTTTACATGAGTAGAATGTGTCCTTTTATTTAAAATGCATCTCTGGGTTATTTGTGGGGCATAGGAATTGGTTCATTTCCCCCCTCAAAATATAGTCTGGCCCCCCACAAGGGCTGAGGGACAGTGGACCGGTCCCCTGCTGAAAAAGTTTGCTGACCCCTGCTCTAGGGTATCAGACATGGGTCTCTCCTGGAGATATCAGGGGTTGAACCTTGGATATTTTGGAAGGCGGATGCTCTGTCACTGAGCTCCAGCCCTTGGAGGAAGAGTGATGGGAAAGCCTTCTCTGCTCAACACTCTGCTGTCAGTCTGAGCTGACAGCACAAGGCTAAATGGATGGACAGCCTGCCTGGCTTGGTGTAAGGCTGTTTCCTATGTAGTCCTAGAAGGGGATGCTGCAAAGACCGAGCGCTGATCTCATGGGGGAGCTCCCAGCAACATCCTCTGGGCTGGAGGGTTGGCCTGAGTGAGCTTCACAGATTCCCGATTCACCACAGCCCCCTGCCCTGCTCAAAGGCCCCTTTGTTTTGTTCCCTGAAGGCTGCTGTGGAATCCAAGAGCCGCCCCCTAGTTTCTCTGGACCCCCATGACCTCCCCACAACCAGCCCTTTTGCACCAGTTTCCAGGATGGACCTTTCTCCTTCTGTGTATCTATCTATCTGCACAGAGGCGCGAACACACGCCCTGCTGTTTCCAGCTGGTGGGATATGGGTGAGTTGCCATTTTCTCTTAGAAAGGTCAAGCGGCTGGCGGAAATCATCTTCCCAGAGGAAGCACAAAATAGGTAGCCATGGGAACCAGTGGAAGGAGTCCAAATCAAGAGCGCCTAGATCCCCAGATCTACTAGTTGGAAGGGATCTCCCCTCTCCAAAGAAGTGGGGTGAGCATAAAAAAAATGGTGCAAAGAGGAGGGAGGGTCTTATTGCCGCATCCCGCAACACCGCAAAACCTGCCTGAAAGTGTATTATGAATCATTTATAATAAAAGCACTTTTGAAAATGTGCCGAACACTCTGCAATATTAATTGCGTTCATCGTCACTAATGGAGCCCACAAGCAGGGAAAGGAGGAAATTGTTCCCCAGCAACCGGTACTGTTCAGTGATACACTGTCTCTGAACATGGATGCTCCATTGAGCCACAGCTGTTAGACCTGCCCTTTGCAAATTTTTCTGCTCCCCTTTTGAAGCCATCGAAACCAGCAACCATCATCACATTTTGCAGCAGTTAATTCCACACGCCAATTATGCGCTGTGTAAAGAAGCAAAAGAATCGTGGAGGAGGAAGAGAACATAGCCCACATAGTCTGGTTTGGTGTGTAAAGCTCTACTGCTAATCTAGAATATGATCCCACACAGCCAGAGATTGTTGGAAGTGCAAACAGCAGAGATCATTCCGTTTGTGACTTAAGTGTTAATCCTGTTAATGTTAAAGTCAAATGGTGTTGCTTAGCAACTATACAGGCATGATCCTTCCTTGGCTGTTTAGTTTTGAGGGAATTTTCCTCTATATGTGTTGTACAAGATCTGAACCAGGAAAGACAAAATCTCTTTGTTCTTTTTATTATACACTATTTTTCTTTATTCTGCTCAGCAAACTGTTATCATAACTTTTCTCTCTGGACTCTGTTTGCATTATTTAAGTGGCTTTGCTAAGAGGGATTAGGCACACTGCAAAATGTAGTTGTCTGAGGAAAGGATAGCAGGAGGTTACTCAAGGAAGTGAGCCAAGCTGCATGTTGCAGGTATTAGCAGTAAAAATCCAGAGTCTCTAGCAAGTTTGATTTGGGGGAAATGGGGGAAGGGAAGTCTATTTCAATGGTCAGTTATGGCAATCACGCTCAGAACATGAGAGGCATGAGCATCCAACGGGTGCATTTTTATGTGGCCCTCAATTTTAGTTTCAGTTTTGAGTGTCTCGTGTGCTGCTTGAATGCCACAAAAAGTATTTTGAGAAAAGCACTCCTCCACAATCTATTTAATGTGGTTTGTTCATCTGATTCATAGATACAGGAAACCTAAATGTTGCTGTTTGGGGGCGTCTAAAGAAAAACGCCCCAAGTATGCCCAAAGGAAATGAATGGATATGGTGCACACAGCCCCATGCCTGCCACTATTATTTTATTATTTATTTATAAATTTACAAACTGCCCTATACCCCGGAGGTCTCAGGGAGGTTCACAGAAAAGATCCAACATTAAAACCACTATATATACATATACATATACATATACATATACACATACACATACACATACACATATACATATACAATCAAAATAAAAACAACAACCCAATAACACCCCTCCCCCAGAAAAAAAAGATGCCACTAGCATCTTAATGGTTCACAATCCTACAGATACAAGCTTGTCTGTGCACTTGGCTCCCCCTGGCACTACTCTTGGAAAAGAGGCTGACGCAGGAGAAAGATATTAAGACGGCACTGGACTTCTGAACTGATCCTGGCAGCTAGAGCCACGGCTGAGATGTTTCCACTTCGTTAAAAGCCACAGAGACTTTCAAGTTTATGTCCCACTTTTCCTGGCAAGGATCTTGTATCTTTAACAATTTACTTGGTTGAAGGGTTCTGCCTGGCACCGATCTATTCAAAATGCAGGAGTCCTGCCCCCCAAATTTTGGTGGCAAATGCTTTCAATGAGCTAAACCCTGGGAAAAACTGGGCCCTGGTTTTCTGTTCCAGGAAGAACAGGTGCACATAGTGATAGTGGTGCGTTCAGGGTAGGACTTTAGGGCACAGAGGCAATGAGCAGGAACTTAGTACAACAAGCAGGAAGACACTTCCCAAATTGCAAATCTGGCTTGTATTTTGGAGTAGCTCCTGGGAAAGAGACATAGCTTAGTGGCAGAGCATCTGCCTTGCTGGGGATTGAACTTCTGCTTGCATCTGCAGGTAGAGCTGCCTGAAACCCTGGGGAGCTTCTGCCAGTCCGAGTAGACAGTACTGAGCTAGATGGACCAATGAGATGACTCAGGATAAGGCACCTTCCTCCACCCCTAAGTGACACTCAACAAAGGATATGTCCTTGAAGTTTGGAGAGTGAACGGCAATCCCACTCGTGCCTTAACAGCAGAAGAACAATTGTCTGGCAGCACGAGGAGACCTATGTCTGGAAGCAACACCCTAAGGCACACTGCCAGCTAAAGGGAGACCCCCTGCTCCAAATAATAAGTGCATTGCTGAACTGCAGCCCGGGGCCACAATGGTATACTGATTCATTCTAAGCAAAGCCTTCCATCCTGGAAGCAGACCATCCTTTATCTAAGACAGGGGTAGGCAACCTAAGGCCCGTGGGCTGGATGCAGCCCAATTGCCTTCTCAATCCGGCCTGCGGACGGTCCGGGAATCAGTGTGTTTTTACATGAGTAGAATGTGTCCTTTTATTTAAAATGCATCTCTGGGTTACTTGTGGGGCATAGGAATTCGTTCATTCCCCCCCCCAAAAAAAAACATAGTCCGGCCCACCACATGGTCTGAGGGACGGCGGACCAGCCCACGGCTGAAAATGGTTGCTGACCCCTGATCTAAGAGGATGCTAGCATTTTTTAGTCAGGTTTCTTCCAGGTGTGGGATTATTACTGTAAAAACAGGTCATTGTAATATTGAAAACAGGTCATTTGCAAAAGAGCTGGCTTTTAAAATAAAAGCTTGCCAGCTTTTTCCTGGAAAGGGTCAATCCAGATTAAATGAGGCTGGGCAGTAAGAGAGGTTGGCATTTTGATGCCGTTGTGCATGGAGAAGCATCCATCCCATAATTACCACCCATCTGAAAGCACCCTTGCGCAGAAGCCTCTTTCGATGTGTTAGCACAGAAGCATGCATGTGTCTCTGACAGTTCCTCTATCTGATTATATTATCAATTTTGCACCCCCCGCTGGATTTAGGAGTGTGAAGGGTGGGTGGCGATATCCTATCCTGCAACAGGAGCAGCGACAAGGAAATGTGATGGGCAGCTTCAGCCACCAGGACTCCTTGACTTTGTTAAGTGAGCTGATCAAGTCACAGGGACTTGGGGGTGAATCTGTGGGATGCAAAGTTAGAAAAATCTGCAGGATCCGAATGCGAAGACTTATTGAGACACAGTCTGAGCTCAGCAAGTGTACAGGCTCAAAGCTACAGAGGATAGCTACTCTTTGAACTTGCCTTGCATATTCAGAAAATGATTCAAAAATAAGCAGATTCGAGGGGTTTGTCCCCCCACCCGGGGCAAAGGATGGTATTGGGAGGTGGGGACCACTCAAAAAGGACAATTAAAGGCATCAAATGAGAAAGGACAGACAGATGGTGGCAGATCTGTCAGTTTTTCTCCAACAGAGGACAGAGGACAGAATATACCCTTTTCCATGGCTATAGATAAGGGGTGGGGGGACAGGATACGAAGGTCAGATTGCACATTACCAAGAGGCGAAAAATTATCCCTAGAGAACTGAGGCAGGGGGGCAGGAGGAAGAAAACAGGGACTAACTAAAGGGATCAATTATTTCCCAACAGCAGGCAATTTGAAACATGAAACCTCAAGGAAATGGATCGATTTTATCCCTCTTTCAGGGGCAAGAGGTGAAGAGATAGGAGCTCCTCCTTCACCCCACTCCCAGAGACTTTGGGACAGAGTCCAGCTCCCACTTATTACTAACTCCTGGGCATATTTATTTTTTTCACAAGCATCGACAAATCCTTCCACAGCCCCCTCTAATTCCAGGCACCAGCTTCTTCCCAAGGGGGTCCTGGCCTGCAGAACTCCTCCCCACCCCTGAACCCTAATGATCTCCTAGAGAATCTGCTGTCCCAACTCCTCTCTCCCCATAAACACTAGATCCCCCCCCCAAAAAACCCTCAGGAGTCCTGACTCCTAGCACCCTTACCCTAAACCCCCAGACCCCGCTCTTTCCTGAGAACCCAGGCATCTTGGACTCACCAATCCTCTGGTCATCTCCTGGGTGCTAGATGGTGCTGCCCTGGTCTGGGGGAAAGTCCAGAGGCAGAGAGATGCCAAGAGGAGCAGCATCTTTGCTTTCCTGTTGAGGCACTGATGCCTCCAGCTGCAGCTCTGGCCCTATACAGCAGCTCCTGTTTCCCCCGCCCCCTTCCTCTCTCAGTTCTCTTTCTCTGCTCCTGCTGAGAAAATCCATCCCAGTCACAGAGCATCCCAGTTTCCCCCCAGGGGAAGCAGATTCAGAGGGGGATATGGAGGGAGGGGGGACAGGAACTCCTGGGTTTCCTAGAAGGGGGAGCAGGATGGGAAGTGGGGCTCTGTGGTTCTTGCAAGGTGAGTGTAAGCTACTCCGAAGAGTTACAGCATAACAGGGTTGGAGTTAAGCAACTCTGCAGTCCTAAATACTCTGGGTCAAGGGTATAGTTGTCACCCCACTGGGAACAAGCCCCACTGAAATCAATAGGAGTAGGCATGGTTACGATTGCAATGTCCGTCTTCTGTGGGTCTTCCTTCTCAGTCAACATGGGACTTAAGGCTTTTCCAGCCTGGTTTTGGGGGTTGTTGTTCACAGAGAGGTTTCTGCAACATATCATTGACACAGTAACAGTGCATAAGTGCTGGGTTTATACAGTGGTACCTCGGGTTACATATGCTTCAGGTTACAGACTCCACTAACCCAGAAAAAGTGCTTCAGGTTAAGAACTTTGCTTCAGGATGAGAACAGAAATTGTGGTCCGGTGCCGCGGCAGCAGCAGGAGGCCCCATTAGCTAAAGTGGTGCTTCAGTTTAAGAACAGTTTCAGGTTAAGTACGGACCACTGTCCTGGACTGTCTACACATCATTCTGCTTTATTACTTGTTCTGACAGCTGCATATTCCCTCATTGCAGCTCTATGATTCCATGATCTAGGACAGGCATGTCCAACAGGTAGATCACTGGACCTCCCCTAAGAAACAGGCCTTCCTTGTTCCTAAAAAAGCTCAACAACATTGACCTTCACCCCTAAAAACAGGGCTTTCCTTCCTAAAAAAGCTTGACAAATTTGACCTGAACCCCCAGAAAGGAGGCAGATCACTGCCAGTTTTTAACTCTGTGAGTAGATCGCAGTCTCTTGGGAGTTGGCCACCCCTGATCTAGGACTTTTGATGCCTCCCAAAAGATACAGCATTATTGCTGTCCAGAGGGGCAATCTTGTGCTTTTGCACAAAAAATGCAAAACCCTCATGTGCACATCTGTGGTATGAAAGTTACAGGATTTCAGCAGAAAGCTATGGGGCATGCCCCAGTTTTGAAAAGTATGCTATACCTCCGGTTTGAAACTTTTGCTGGCGCAAAACAATATGGAAAGCAGGGGCATGATTTACTACATTTATACCCAAGCCCTTCCTCCTGAAGGAAAACAGACACATTTAAAAACATTCAGCTGACCTGACACCACCATGAGCACAAATAATCATAAATGCAGAATAATAACAATAATAATAAGCCTGGAGGGGGCCTTATACTAAATGTTGGTTTGGTTAAACAAAAGTCAGGACACCTGGGTTCTGTTGTAGAGGAGGGGAGGAAACCGTCTAGACCAGCCTTTCGCCAACTGAGTCAGATAACCAATTCACAAATTCCTGATTTCTTCCCCCACCCTCATTATCACGCCCCCCCTTTCGCTTTGCATAGGTTTTGCAGAGGAAACTAACACATCACACTCTCACCTCCCTTTGCTCAATTTCTTCCTAAACTCGCTGTTTAATTTCCTGCTTCACACCTGGCTACCTCCTGATGGGACTCTAGGGCATCCTAATGGAGATAAGCTCAGAGATGGGGGAGGAAGGCCGGGTCTGCAAGAATGGAAGCTGCAAGGGGTGAATGGGTCTGTGTACAAACACCGGATTTGAAAGGCAGGTGAGTCAAAAGTTGCAGGAGTTTGATCCAGCATCAGCAACTGCCCTCCAGTGACAAATATATTTTAGCACAAAGCAAAAAAGTCTTTACAAAATACTCACGTGGAAGGTTGCAGGAAGAACATTTAGAAGAACTGATTTCACCCCAGAAACAGCCGCGTCGCACTATTTGGGGAGAGGTCTCCGTATACACAGACGCCCCGCAGATTCACACGTGCATGCAAATCGTTTTATCTTAGGGGCCGAAAACGCATAAACGGCCCGCAGGGAGAAGTATGTACTGCGGTCTTGGAAGTTATAGAAACGCCCAGTCTGTCACCTCCTTTGGCTCTTCCCTACATTTCACGTTGCCTCCCTCGTGTAATTGAACGTGTGCACGGGGCCACTTTCCCTTTAGTAGGTCCTGGTAAGGCAACCTTTTCCTGAAACGCTCTCGCCTCCTGAAGGGCTGCATACGTGGTCTGTTCTGTCCTTATAGGACTTGTCCAGTCCCACCCCCCACTCCCAGTTTCACATGCTGTATTGGGGCTTAGCTTTAGAAGCTAGGAAAGAGATGATGAGAAGCATGTGCAAAGTGCATTAGGGCACCCCCGCGTGGAATTATGGGGCAGGGCTCTCAAGAAAGCTCCATCTCCGGCTGCTTTGTTTTGACTTTGGATAGGCTGCAGCCTGACAGGTCAAGTGCAAGGAGGAGTAAGCTGACGTTGCTCGGGTTACGAGGCAAAGGGGAGCCAAGCAATGGCGTCTTAGTCAAACATTAACAATGGCATTAAAAAAAAGAAAAGAAATCTAATCTTGACAAAGCAAGGCAAATGAGTAAGCTAACTGCTTCCTCTTGCTCGGATGAGCCTCTTGTGTTTCCCAAAAGACATTCAGCATTCAGCATGTGGCCTTGGTTGTTTGTTGTTTAGGCTCCTTAGCCCTATTCAGGCATTATTCTCTCCTCATGAAAATGCTGCTCTGGTGAGAGAGCATATGCTGGTCTTTCCCCTGTTTGGGACTCTCCTATAGAGATGTCTTCTGGGGCAGCACGCCCTGTTCAAACTCTTTCCAGGGTTTGAAGGTGTGGTGGTGGCCCAGGTATTTTTGGCTTACAACAAAGGGACTCGTGGCAAAGATGAGCCAATGACCGGCCTCTCTACTCCCTAATTGGCACAAGGGCAGCTGGGGAAATTCCCCACAATGCCCTGGAGCAACATTATGTCAGGGGCATTGTGGGAAATCAATGTGGCAGCTCCCAGGCTCTGCCACCTCTGTAAGCGCCAGTGGTCAGCTGAGCTTAACGGCTGAGTCCCTGCAGGACAAACTCCACGGGTGTTGCTTACTCTAGAAAGAGAAAGTTTCACTTGTTGAGCTTTTGCCTCACAAACCAGCGAAAGGCAAAAGGAGTTTTGACAGAACAGAAAAGGTCATCGTAACGCAGGAGCCTTTTCTTACAGTCCATCTCTCCAGAGGCGGGTTTAGGGGAGTGTAACCAATTCTGCCGTGCTGTAGGGGGAGCCACAAAAAGGCAGTAGAATGGAGTGTAAGAGGGGGCGCGTGCCAGATTTTTGCATCGCACGGGTCACTGCTGAAATTTGAGAGCCCAACATCCACCACTGCTCTCACTTTGCCTGCTGCCAACCCAGGTGCCCTGCTGCCACCTATTTTAGAAACAACTGCTTTTGCTTCTGGGTTAGAACTAGTTCTGAGGTATTTTGCATAATTTCCTTCCAGTTAAAGCATTTCATTTCTGAAACCGGATGTGGGGCAGGAAAACAGCGCCTGCTTTCCCCATCACCTGAAAAGCTATCGTAGATGTTGCGGCAGCGTTCTGTGGAGTCGGATGCGATTGCAAAATGAATCAAATCCATAGTGATAATGCCATTGTCTACTTTGCCATAGTGCACTGCTCAAAACTGTCGCAGGCTTCGAATCCTACCTGCCTGCCCGCCCCCCGCAAGCTGCCCAATGCTGAGTCCATCTAGCTCAGTATTTACACTGAATGGCAGCAAATCTCCAGGGTTTCGGAGAAGGGACATTCCCACCCCTACTTGGAAATGCTGAAGATTGAACCTGTGTGCAAGGCAGGTGAAGTACCATTGAGCTACAGCTGGCACAGTATAAAATCCAAAAGGCAACAAGTGGTGCAGCCAGCAGTGGTGATGCTATTGACTACTTCCCTGTAGCTGCGGGTTCTAACTATTGCTGTACAAACAACTGCATATTTGTTGCACTGTAAAATAGAGAAGCTCAGATACTTGCGTATAAAGTAAATATCTTCTTGTTGTATATAGAGGAGAAGCAGAAACAGGAAGGAGCTTATAGCGAATACCTAAATATGTGTATGATTAACCCACAAAAATATTGACTACCTGACTTACCAGCATGCACCTGTTTTGTGGCCTACAAAGGAGAGAAAAACAACACCACCCAGTTTTTGTAACTACCCATCGCATGTTTGGTTGCTGATGTGAAAGAGAGGGCAAGGCTCTTACAGCTTTTACTAGTTGTAGAAGAGGGAATTTCAGTTTGTCATGGAAGGTCCAGCTCCCACTTCTATATAACTGGTAAGCTGCAGGAGACCTTGCCATATTGGCCAATGAGGCATCCTTCAGATGTTGTCAGACTACAACTCACACCATCCCTTACCATTGGCCATGCTGGTGGGGCAGATGAGAGCTGTAGTCCAACAACATCTAGAGGGCACTGTGTTGGCTACCCCGACCTAGTCCTTTGGGGGACAGTCCTCATTCACTATCTGCGACACCCAGGGCAGCAGTTCATCAATGTACTGTAATTTTTGCTTGCTTCTGTATATAGCTGTTCAGACAGTAAAACTTTTTTGGGGGTGGGGGGGGTTGTATGCAACCAAGTTTTTCTTAGGGTCGACCTACTGAAATTAAAGGCCCTAACTTTGGCTGCATATGCACTATGCCTTTAAAGCATATTTCTCTGCCTCAAAGAATTCTGGGCTCTGTAACCTGTTAAGGGTTGCTGGGACCTGCCGCTTTGTGAGAGACTACAATGCCCAGAATTCTTTGAGGGGAAAGAATGTGTATGCAGCCTCGGCCATGTTCATTAATTTCAGTGGAGCTACTCTGAGTAAAGCTCATTTAAATACCACCCTTTTTGGGGACGGACGAACCAAAAACTATTAAAAATAACAGTCTTCCCCGTTCCTGCCAATAGACAGACCATATGCCTCCAGTTCTTTTACAGATCTGAAAAGCATATAGAATTATTTTCTGTTAAGTTTCCTTGATACCCCAAAAGAACTCAAGGTGGCATGTGAGGTTCTCTCCCCTGCACAATTGCTGGACTGAGAGATGACTCTGGCTGAGCCAAGATCACCCAGTCAGCTTCATGGCTGAGGGGCGACTTGAGTGCTTGCACTCCTAGGTGCTAGCCTAACACTCTGACCACTGCACCCCGCTGCCTTTCATTGCGAAGGAAAGCGGGCGGCACTGTGGGAAGTTGTTTATGGCAAGTGCACGTAGACTGCGGCCAGACCTTTCTCTGACTAAGTTGATGCTCTCTGGCATTTGCTTGCCTGTCTTTCACCCTAAGGTCCCAGTATTAAAAAAGAGTTTAAAACAAATTGCAATCCCCTGAAGAGGGTGGCGACCAATGAAGTACACAAGAGTAGGAATGGACCATTGAAAACTGGAGGGCACCATGTTGAGAGGCCCTGGTTTAAACATCTGTAAAGTACGTTGTGCTCTTGTCTGTATTGCAGCAAATGAGTGCAGTAAGATGGTCTCCATTCGTACCTCCTACACACACATTTTGAAATGTGTCTGTCCCAGAGACTTCCCAGTAGGCAATGTGAGTGGCGGGAACAGGGTCTAGGAAAGGAACCGGCCCTCTTCCTGCATTGCAAAAACCTAATTACTGAAGCAGGCCTTGTCTGGTCAGTCAATGCAGCAGATTCCGGAGCTTGAGCTCCCCCTACAGACTTATTCAGCTGCTTATGTTTTTCTTCAGATCATTTAAAAAAGGGGAAAAGAATATACTGCATCATTTTATGGCTTCTTATGTTTATTGTATTGTTGTACACCGCCTTGGTATTTCATATGAGTGGGCAGTTTATGAATATTTTTTATTAATAAGTAATGAGCAGACAGGTGGTTCTCCAGGCCTCTTCTCAAAGACTTCCAGTATGGGATGTAATATGAATCTGGGAGAATTTTTTTGTTTGTTTTTTAAAAATATATTTATAACAATTTGGTATGCAGGAAAACACGCCCATCCCCAGATCTGAGCGTGTTTCACTGAGTGTGTGTTCTAGGATCGCCAGTTGATCAGAAAAGAATACGCATACCCTCCAAAATATCTCCGATGAAAATAGGGACGCCCCATTCCTTAATGATAATTTTACTATTTTACTATTTTACTATTTTACTATTTATACCCCCCACATCTTAATGGGTTGCCCCAGCATTCTGGGTATCTTCCAACATATATAAAAACATAATAATACATTAAACATTTTTTTAAAAACTTCCCTATACAGGATTGCTTTTACATACAGGTGTGAAAGCCATGATTAAAATGTATTATTTAAACATAGTTCTAATTTGTTGGCAACCCTAATAAAGCAGAAGCACAAGGGACAACTTGTGTATCTGGCAAATTAGTGAGTCAGTGCTGGTTAGAGACATTTAGGCTTAGGATATATCCATCCTCGGGTGATAATGCTTATCTCCATGCCACAAAAAAGACTCACTTGCAGAAGAGGGGCCCCCTTTCCCCCCACCCTAGCTGGTTGGAAAACCCACAGGGGGAAGTAAGTTTACCAGCATTTGTTGCCCTAGAAGAGAGCAGATCCCACTAAAATCCCTGCTTGCTGTCAAATTGATCTGAATAAAAAATTGGAAGGGCTTGTAAACATCTCGCACTGTAGCACGTATCTATCTTGGCAATGCATTCACGGAAATTATTTCTCTCATTCCCATCTTCTCCCTGGAGGAGGTGAAGTGGAAAGCCTGGAGCCATGACTATCGATCTATCTAGTGTGTGTGTTTTACTGAGGTTTTTTTTCTTTTTTAATACATCTTACATCTTGTTAAAGCTCTGGTGCCTTGAGCAAAATGGAAGGCCTGATGGAAATGTGCATTTTGCCTCTAGGGGGCGCTGTGTCAGGGGGGGCTGGAGCAGGTGCTTCTATTCCATATGCACTATAAGCCGGACCTCCTGTCATAGGGGGAGCAAGGGTATGATTGCCGGCGCAAGGCTAAGCCTGTTTGCACTTCCTAGCAGTGTGTTTTTGTCTGCAGCCTTAGGCTGCAATCCGATGCACACTTCCTAGGAATTTAACACAGTAAGGCTTACTCTAAAGTAAACATGCACAGGATTCCGCTGTTCGTGGGTTAGGAAAAGAACGGTGATTGCTGGTTTCTCTGGGAAGGAAGTGAGAACTAGTGGGCTATGCATTTATTTTATTCACTCATTAATTCACCATCTGAACAATTATAATACCCAAAACATTCTATGGCCTTTTCAACGTGTTTGTGGGAGCAGGGAGGATGTTATTGGTTTGTTTTTATTTTGTATTTTCTGTTCGTATTATGTTCTTCAAAGTTGTGAACTGCCTCGTGATCTTCGGTGTACAAATAAAATAAATAAGTGAAAAGCTAGAGCCATTTCCTGAGCCCTGGCAGAGGGTGGGAATCAGCAAGGTTTGCTGTTGGATGTGGTCAAGATTAGATAGCCTCTTAAAAAGGATTTGCTGTGGCTGACTTTGAATAGCTCATAATTGCTCTAGTGGTGTGTTCAACACAGGTCAGCCCTTCATGCATGCACACGCACACATTTTTTCTAATCCAAAGGATTTGTGCCTTGCCGAGAAGTAATAGCACCTCTCTGTTCTGTGGTTGTCCACTTCTGGTTTCCATATCACACTGATATTGAGAGAGGAGAGTGATTTGGATGGTGACAGATCTGGAAGCCAGCTCCTATGAGGAATGGCTTCAAGGAGTTGGGTATGTTTAGACTGGTGATTAACGGGAAACATTATCGCCATATTGAAATACCTGAAGAGCTGTCGTGCGGAAGAAGCAGGCAAGCTGGTGCTCTGCTGCTGCAGAAGGCAGAACCAATTTTGGTGGAAATGGCAGGGAAGCAGGTTTTTGCTAAACGCCAGGAGAAACTTCCTAGTGGTTAAGCATTGTTGGGCAGTGGAACGGATTGGCTAGGGAGCGGGTGGGCTGTCCTTCGTTGGTGGTATTTAAGCTGCAGGGTGCATGGCGTGTTAGGGGAGGGGTAGTATCTCTGGTGGGGGACGCATTGTGCTCCTTCTGGGGTGGTTTGGCCACCTTTGGTCCTCACCCTGCACTCCGCTCTCTCACCTGTGGCTCCTCCAAGCTGTCAGCATGCGACAGTGGCCACACCCTGGAAGCAGTTTCGACTGGCCGGCTAAACCAGGTGAGAGCAGCCGATGGGTCTCAAGTTAGGGACTTCCCCTGCACTCAAAGACCGGCTCCGGTGGATCGGGCGGACGAGACAGATAGTGGGTCTAAGAGTCAAGAAGGCGGTTTCTGCACATGCGGTGTAGAGGGAAATAAGGGGCAGATTGAGCTCATCAGCCTGGGAAAGTAGCCCATCTAGCAGAAGGAAAACTCTGATCCTACACCTCTGCTGCCTTGCAGGATATCTCTGGGAGAAGAAAGGGTTTTGGAGTGAGCTCTACTATACAAATCCGGAGTGGAGTCCCTAAGATGGTTAGATGGCACCTTATATGCCTCCTTCTGGCAACTCCTGCAGCCAAACGTATTGCTCTGCTTTCCTTCGGACCACATCCATGACTACAACTCCCATGCTTCATGGCTATTGGCCACGCTTGCTGGTGTTGATGGGAGTTGAGGTTCAGCCACAATCTGGAGAGCCATAGGTTCTTCCCCACACCTGCTCCAGAGGAAGAATGGCATGTGGTCTGAAACCTGAGGGAGATGCTCCTAGGCTCCGGGGTTCTGCAGAGACTTCTGTGGAGTTCTTGGCTGAATTAAATATATGGCATTTGTCTGCTGTTTGCTACTGAAGGTCTGTCCCTTGTTCCTGATGACTGAGCTTCTGTTCTAGCAGCATCACATTGTCCCAGCACTCAAGCAACCATGTTTTTGTGTCTGGGAAAATGCAACCATATTTTCCCAGCCAAGATGATATTATTATTATTATTATTATTATTATTATTATTATTATTATATACGACCACCCTTCATCAAAAGACCTCAGAACAGTTCACAAGATACTGTAAAATATTCCTTGAGATTGCTGGAGTGAGGAGACAGGTGTAGCTGCCCAAGTGTCACAGGCGTCTTTTATTTCCCTCTTTTTCTTTTAAAACGTATTTAGTTATGAACAATGGAACTCTTCCCCTTCAACCTGACTGATCACCGATGTGTGTGTGTGTGTGATTTTGCCCACTTTATTTTTTCACTCAGGAAAAAACTATTCCAAGGCTATGCATTTATTTCTTTTTTCAACCTGCTTTATTATAATTATTGTATATTAAATAGAGAAGGGTTTTTTGGGAAAGGGAAAATTTGAAGCTGGGATTGCTGGGTTTATACAGAAGACAATAGAGACGGCTTGTTTTGAGAGCCAAAGCAGTCAACCTCACAAGCCCTTTAGCCTCAGAGTTCAAATCCTAGTTTTGCTGTAAATATACAGGTGCCTTGAAGCATTCGCTTGAATTCTCTCATCCTCAGCCTCCAGCCTGGAGCATAAAACTAGTAACGCTGCTCTCCCTTGCCGGGCTGCTGTAAGGATCACAGTTCCCCGGGATTTCAGAGAGGGTTTTCTCTCAGCCCCACCTGGAGATGCCAAGGATTGAACCGGGAACCTTCTGCATGCCAAGCAGGTGCTCTGACAGCCACTGCTAGTCACAAAGCAGAATAGTGAGACAATCCAATAATCTGATTCAGAGCAAGCTAACTTTGTACGTTCATTTGTGATGGTGGGTGATCACTTAGGAAACAGGCTATATAAAGACACTGAGGCTTTCTCTTCTTTGTATCTGACTAGGAAGGGTTTGTAAGGGAGGCAGGAGGATTCCTGGACCAGGTCCCTGCTGGCCCTGTAAGCACAAGTCACTGAGTAGTTGGAAATTTCCCAGAGCGGAGGAGGAGGAGGGAACAGGACAGGTGAGGGCGTGAATGAGAGAAGGAGGAGCCAGTGGAGTGGAAAACCTCACCTGTCACAACCTCTGGGAGGGTGGAGGCAGGAATCGGGAAATAAACAGCGAAACCCAACCGGGAGTCGAAGGAAGGAGGAGGAGGAGGAGAAGAAGAAGAAGAAGCGGAGAACCCAGGGCAAGCTTGTTGCTTCTTCCCTTCCCTCAGGAGCAGTTCAGGTTGCCTCTTCATACCTGGATACCTGGAGGAAACGACCTACCTGCTTCCCCCCCTCCCCCAGAAGGCATCTTCTCTCATGGGAGAAACTGGGCCCTGGTGCCCTGGTTGCTGACTGCCTTTCTCCCCTTCCTATTAACCTCCTCGAAGCCACAGCCCTGCCAGCGAAGGTTGGCATCCTGGCTCCCCACTTCTCCCCACTCTAACCCTCTGGATCCCGCCCCCCTTTCCCTCCTCTTTCTCCCCAGCCCCACTCCATGGCAACCACCACAGCTCCCTCCATGTTCCCTGAGGAAGAGGCCGCCCTCCGGACCCCTTTCCCTCTGACCCCACCTGCCCTGGGGGACGAGTTCTATCCCTTTGGGGGTGAGCGGCAACAGACGTTTGGGGGCGATGTGGCTGCTGGGGACGGGGACCCCGAAGAGGCGGACTTGGAGGTGCTGCTGCAGAGGAAGGAGCAGGACTTACTGCTGGCAGCTGAGCTGGGGAAGATGCTCCTGGAGCGCAATGAGGAGCTGGAAAGGCGCTTTGAGGAACTGGCCAAGGAGCACATGGAGACCAAAGAGGTGAGGGGGCACAGTGGAGGGTGTGATTTGGCGGGGAGAAGGTCAGGCCTGGGCTGGGGATTCCCTTCTCTGTCAGAAACCTTCCTGCTTGGCCTTGGGCTCCTCTCTTTCGCTCAACCTAGCCTACCTTTCAGGGTTGCTGTAAGGAGAAAATGGGATTGCCGCTGTTTATGTCACTGCGAGTTCCCTAGAAGGAATAGTGGCACCTGAGGTGGCGACACCTGGCAGCTGTTGAACTCCAGCAGCTCTCTGCCCAAAGTACAGTGGTACCTCGGGTTACATACGCTTCAGGTTACAGACTCCGCTAACCCAGAAATAGTGCTTCAGGTTAAGAACTTTGCTTCAGAATGAGAACAGAAATTGCGCGGTGGTGGCGCAGCGGCAGCAGGAGGCCCCATTCGTGAAAGTGGTGCTTCAGGTTAAGCACAGTTTCAGGTTAAGAACGGACCTCCGGAACGAATTAAGTACTTAACCTGAGGTACCACTGTAGTTCTGTAGTTCTGGCTTTCATTTTTTCTGTGGGTGTCCTGTCCTCTTTCCAAAGCAACACTGCTGCTGTTATAACATCTCTCGAAACCCAAACTTGGGGTTTCCTGACTCCCTTGCTTTACACATCACGTACTGCTGGCCCGTGTAGGAAATCTCGCATATCTCGTCTAGAGCTTGGGGCAATCCTACATGCATGTGGGGACTGCTGTTGTGTGAACCCGCCACGGCATGCTGTTTATTACATAGAAGCTCTTTCGTAACATGAACCCTAGAGACAGAGGAAGCAGACTTGTACCAGGTTGGGCCATGGCACCATGTAGCTCAGCGTTGCCCACACTGACTGGCAGCAGCTCTCCAAAGTTTCTGGCAGGGGGCCTTCCCATTCCTACCTGCCCAGGACTGAGCCTGAGACCTTCTCTGCCAGAGATCTTTCCATTCTCTGGATTGCTGAGAAATTCCAGAGTTCAGTTTCATCCACCTCGCTCTAAACCCGTTTCGCCCCTCAAGTAATCCCCAAGGTCCTGGCCTAGGGTGAAGTTGGCACAGGCAACCTCTGGGCATGATACTTGTGGCAGCTGGTCGAACCAGTCTGGCACAGAGCAGGAGGGCACTGAGGAGGCGAGGTGGAGTTTGTGGTGACAGAGTGGGTATAATTAGCCAGCTAGAGGGAAGGAAGAACAGAGAGTGACCAAATGGAACTGAGGAGGAGGAGGAAGAGGAGGAATAGAAAGCGCACAGCATGAATCACCCACAAAGAACCTCACCCACCAGCTGTACCCTCCCGAGGCCCGTATATTTCTGTGTTGCTTATAGAAACTGGGTGGAAGGATGCCAGCCACTTGCATTTATTTATTTATTTTGCCTCAAGGGTGGAGGCCCAGGGTTGAAATTGGGCAATTGGGCTGAAAAGCGAAGCCAGAAATTGTCCCAAGCTTGTTAACACGACCCTGTCATTAATACGAGTTGCCATCCAAATCCGCAGAGGAATCCAAGGTGTGTCCAAATGGAAAGGAATCCATTGAAAAGCTTTCCCTTTTTTGGGTGTAGCCACCTGTCCTTGCTGTCACTGGGGGCACTTTCTCTAGGAACTTTCTCAAGCAGGACTGGCTTGCTCCAGGAGGGGAGTTTGCGCACAGGGCTTGTGGATTGTGAACATGTGAATTGCCTTGGCTTTCTGGATCAGACCAGACTGTTCTGTTTACAGTATCAATCTGCAAGAGGTCTCTGGGTTCCCTCAAGCAAGATATGCAGGTGCCTTCCCCTAGTGCCTGGTGCCCAGAGGTAGACTGCACCTGAACACTGAAGCTCCATTTAGTTACCTTGCATCAAGGATTAGGGTCTGAGGTTTGAGGTCAGAGGGGTGTGGATTCCAGGAAGCCGTGAGCCTAGGCAACACTCTTTTCTTAAGACTTTACTGTGTCATCTGTTCATGCATATGACTGTAGGCGTCCTTATGTCTTATATGGATAGCCTTTGGTATATGGATAGCCTTTAAATACTGAGGGAAATGCAATTAAGGATTTGGATTGTCAGGTAAACAATATGCAAGAGATGAAATAATAGTTATACTTTCCTTCATAATAGGCAGCTCGGGGGTGGGAGTGGTGGCATACAATCTTATTTGCATGTGGATGTTACAGAAGCAAATAAGCTGGAGCAGAATAGTTACCACCAGAACCAGGAGTTTCAAAAAGGTACTTGAAATCATTGGAGGGGGCCTGCACACTGTCTCAATCAATATCCACCTGGGTAAATGCAGAGCTAGAAAGTCTACCAGCAGTGGCTGCATCCAGTTGTTGGTCCCTTCTAAGGGACACTGTTTGTGACTCACGTCTTGGCTGGTGGTGGAGAGAGGGTTTTGTATGGAAGCAGAGCTTCCAGTTTATTTTTATTGTTCAGCCATCACGGCATACAATGCATCACAAATATCTTCTTCTTCTTCTTCTTCTTCTTCTTCTTCTTCTTCTGGAATTTCTAATCCAGATTTATATTTTAGCCATTAGTTACAATACAGCACATAGTTGCTGTTATGTAATTTAAAATATTGTTGCAGGCCACCCCCATCTCCAAGCGACATTCTAGGGGTTCTGTGCACTTATCCAGGGTTCGTGTTTCATTTGGGAATGAGGCACAGCGGAGACTGTGGTATTTTTATGATATGTGGTTTATTTCCGCATATATACAACCTGAGCCTACAGTGGAGGGGCCCACAGCATCAACACCCCAAAAGGGTCTTGTTTCTCCCATAGCCCTGGCCTTGGATTTAAGCAGAAATCAAACAGCATGTTCTCTTTCTGCTTTTTCCAGCCTACAGCCTTTCCCCCCCAGGTCACATCACAGCCAACCCTAAAAACTCTGGCTTTTGTCCTTCCAACTATCTTAAGAGTTGAAGGAGGGGCCCCACCCTCTCTTTGCTTTCTTAACGGCTCATCGCCTTTCATTTGTTTTCTTAATGGCTCCTCTCCCAGGCGATTACCTGAGGGCGAAACTAGCCCGGTTCAGCTTTTAACACTTGTTGGGTCCAGGAATTTAGGGGAGTTCTGGACCTACAAACCCATATAGAGATCTTTAGACTACCTTTAAGGGCCCAATTCCTCTCCAGGTGGCTTACAAGATAAAAACAGAGTACAGTATAGCACGATGTATTTTATAAATAAAACCAGCGATAAAGTATGAAGCAACAATCGGTCCCAAAATGTTAAACCCAGTAACAAGATATGCCTTTCAATCCAGCAAGTACACTCTGTGAGAAGGCCAAAGAAAACAGATGGATCTTCAGAGCTTTCCAAAAAGTCCTGCACTGAAGGGGTCTGTGGGACCCCAAAACCACCTCCAGACACCATTTCAAGAGCTTTCCTGGGATTAGCAGAAGGAAAAGCAAAGTAAAGCTGAGTGTCCTCTGGATAGTGACTTCAGCCAAAGTCCTGGGTAACTTTCCTTAGCCTTTTCATGCAAAAAAAGCATACAGATCAAGATAGAACCTTGTGACACTCCAAAGTATTGGCCTTATATTGGCCAATCACCCCTCTAAAAGTAGAACACACTAAATTTCTATATCACCACTTATATAATGTGATGGCAAGCAAATAAAGCCTCAGTTAAATATATTGCTAAAGCCAGGAGAAATATAGCCAACTTTATGAGTTACGTCAATGTTACTGCTAGCAATTAAAAATGTTGTAAAGGTAAATCAGTATTTTTAGTTCTTCAGTTTGCTTGGGAGAGATTCTCCCCTCTCCTTCCATGACCTGTGGAGCAAGGGAGGTTTTCAGTTGATGGTTCCCACAAGAGCAGAAGTGAGACTTCTCTGGTATCTTTCAAAACTTGGCTTTCTCACCAAAGATAGCATCAGTTGGCATCGAGCCAAGAAGGGTGGAGGAACCTGTCTGTTTCAAGTTCTTTCCATTTCTCATCCCTGCCACAATCTTAAATTCAGTTCTTCGCATCTCTACATTAAAAAATTAAAAAATCCAAATGAAAATTCATCTGAATTTTACATGTGACCTGAAGAAGGATTGATGGTGAAACCAGTCTGGGAATTGTAGCTCTGTGAGGAGAATAGGAGTTCTCCCAAAAAACTCTCAGCATCCTTAACAAACTACAGTTCCCAGGATCCTTTGGAGGAAGCCGTGACTATTTAAAGTGGTGTGATACTGCTTTGCGCATACAATTTAGCTGTGGCCACTGTGTTTTTATTGCATATGAATAATTTTATCCCTGCTTTTTGGACGCTGCCCTGGGGCCCTTGCAGGAAAGGCATTTTAGAAATGTTTGCACTCAATAATAAATTCACAGCTCCCTGTTACATTTGGCCCTAACTCTTCTCTCTGGCCTCTCCCAGCGACTGGAGCAAGAGAAGCACGAACTCCGCCTGCACCTTGAATCCAGAAGTGCTGAATTTGAGACTCGCGTGGCTGAGCTGGAGACTGACCTGGTCACGGTCCGAGCCCAGCTGGGGCAGAAGCGCATGGAGCAGCAGGACACTAGCCGGGAGAGTTCGCAGGCCGTCCTAGACCTCTCGGAGCAGAACCAGCGCCTGGTGGAGCAGCTCAGTCAGGTAAGGGGAAAGGAGACGCAGCTCACAGAGATTCCTCAAGTCTGTGAGGGAAAGAGAGGCAAGAGGGATCGGCTGGGATGTCGGCCACTACTTCCCCTTTTCCTTACCTAAGGGAAACCGGTGCTTTTTAACATTTGTGTGACGGGCAGGAATTCCGCAGGTGTAGCTCTCGTCAACTGCTTCCCCGTGCTGGGAAGTGCTGTGTCTGTTGAATTCACATAGCATACCCTCCAACATTTCTCCGATGAAAATAGGGATGTCCTATTCCATAATAATTTTATTATTTAAACCCCACCCATCTGGCCTCCACATGCAACTGCTGGGTGACCTTGGGCTAGTCACACTTCTCTGAAGTCTCTCAGCCCCGCTCACCTCACAGAGTGTTTGTTGTGGGGGAGGAAGGGAAAGGAGAATGTTAGCCGCTTTGAGACTCCTTCGGGTAGTGATAAAGCGGGATATTAAATCCAAACTCCTCCTCCTCCTTCTGCTTCTGTGTTGCCCCAGTCACTCTGGGTGGCTTCCAACATATATAAAAACATAATTAAACATTAGGAAAAAACCGTCCTTGTACAGTGCTGCTTTCAGGTGTCTTCTAAAGATTTTCTAGTTACTTATCTCCTTGGCCTAGGGGTCGCATAACTCCATACCCTCCAACAGTAATCCAAAGAAAATAGGGGTGTCCTCCTCGCGACGGGGTGAGCTCCCGTTGCTCGGTCCCTGCTCCTGCCAACCTAGCAGTTCGAAAGCACATCAAAGTGCAAGTAGATAAATAGGTACCACTCTGGCGGGAAGGTAAACGGCATTTCCGTGCGCTGCTCTGGTTCGCCAGAAGCGGCTTAGTCATGCTGGCCACATGACCCAGAAGCTGTACTCGGCCAGTAAAGCGAGATGAGCGCCGCAACCCCAGAGTCGGCCACGACTGGACCTAACGGTCAGGGGTCCCTTTACCTTTAAGGAAAAGCAGGACATTCCGGGATCAAATCAGAAACTGAGGCGGCTTCTGTAAATCCGGGGCTGCCCCTGGAAAATAGGGACACTTGGAGGGTCTGACATCGCACAGCATACCTTAGCCAACCTGGTGCCTTCTGGATATTTGGAACAGGACTTCCATGGGAGTCATAGTTCAAGACACCCGCAGGGCACTGGGTTAGCAGAAGCTGATTTGGCAGTTACAGTGGTACCTCAGGTTACAGACGCTTCAGGTTACATATGCTTCAGGTTACAGACTCCGCTAACCCAGAAATAGTACCTCAGGTTAAGAACTTTGCTTCAGGATGAGAACAGGAATCGTGCTCCGGCGGCGCGGCAGCAGCAGGAGGCCCCATTAGCTAAAGTGGTGCTTCAGGTTAAGAACAGCTTCAGGTTAAGAACAGACCTCTGGAATGAATTAAGTACTTAACCCGAGGTACCACTGTACGTTGAATGCTTCACCCAACATGCCACTGATAAAAGCTTGGGAACAAGGTCACCGGTCCAGATTTATGGCTGCAGTTTGTGTGAGCGCAGTCTTATATGCAAATTACTAGTGGGGATGGAAGCCAAATATTTGTGGGGGCCTGGAATATGTTTGAGTGTGTGAGGTGGTGGTCCTGTGAAAAGCTGGGGCAGACGGGAGGCTGGATTGCCATCTTGTGTACATTCAGAAAAAAGCATGTGTGTCAGCCTTACCGGGAGCTGCACAATCTCAGCAGGCAGGCAGGTGTTTTTGTGTGTGTATGTGGTGCAGATTGGACACTTCTGCAAAACGATGACTCCCTTCCTGCAGAGAGCTAGTCTGTGAGGAAGAAGTGGTCTGTCTTAGCATTGTACGCTTCCTGCTATTGCTGATGTTCTGTGCGCAGAGAGGGGTTCTTTTGTTATTGTTTCGGAGGGGGTGAGAATATAAGGCAGCTTCCTGCTTCCATGCAAATACTAGCTCACCAGCGCCACAGAAGGAGGGACAGAGGCGCACGCCATGCTTGAACTCCGAAAATAGAACAAGGAATTCATTGAGTCAAACAAGCCATGTGGGCTGAGATCACAGTGCCATAGCATCATCACCCAGACTGGCAGGTTTCCAGGAATGTAGGAAACTAATTGCGGGGAGGAGCTGCTAATGAGGTCAAATAAATTAGACAAACCTTACGAAGTGTTCCGTTTGCTGCAAAAGTCGGATACGTGCATAATAATGAATCAGATTAGACTTTTTAAACTGGAACAGTCCCCTAAAAGGATGTTCCCTTCTGCCCTTATGGGCTCTGGATTGGTCACTCTCTTGACTTTGATGGTTCCTGGAACTTGTAGAACCAGTTAGGGCACCTACAGACAGGTGTTTGTGGTGGGGTGTCTGTTCCTCAGGTATGCAGGGCTATTTTTTTCCCATGGTCCACATGACTTAATTGGCACCAAAGCACCTCACCCCCCAGCCCTCAGTTAATTTGCTGTTGAGCCAAGTTGCATTAATTTACAAAACCCTGAACAACTTGGGTCCAGGGTACCTCAGGGACCAACTGAACTCTTTCACACCAGCCTAATGCCTGATGCAGACAGGACTAATCTGGATTGACCACTGGTCTGACTCAGCGTGAGGCAGCTTCTGGCGTTCTATTTCCTGCTGTGTGAAACAGACAATTAACAGCACAATACTAACTATATCTGATCAGAAGTTAGTCCAAATGAATGCAACCGAGGCTTATTCCCAGGTGTGTAGGGTTAGGGTAGCAGCCTACATTGTTCTGGAAACTGGCTCCCAGAAACATCATCACCAAATCTGGTGGCTCTTCTTTGTTTTTAAAGGTATATTCTACGTTTCTCATACCCTCCAACACTTTGAAGCCAAAATCCCTGACTCCATCTTCCTGGACACCATCTTCCGTTTTTTATCATGAGAGCACAGCTGCCATTTTGGTTGCTGTGATCTCGCGTGATTTTGTGCCCAAGTTTCCCCTTTTAAAAAGCGCTTTTGGGGGGCACTGCACCCAAAATCGTGCATTTTGGGACACTGCACAGTAAAAAAGGGATGTCTCAGTTTTTCCCAGGACACTTGTGGGGTATGCTTTCTGCCATCGTTGGCATCTAAGGCAGCTTGCAAAATACCAGAAAACTTCATTATAATAAAATACATTACTACAACTTCAAGGATGTGTTTTCGTTTAAACTTCAGGTCTCTCATCCTCAGCACGCTTAGGGGAGCCTGGGCAGGGGAGAATATAGTGCACAGATCACAGAGGTGTGGGGCTTTGCTGCAAACTTCATACCAGAGGAAAAAGAGCTCTTAGCCCGAAGGGAAGGCACTCTGCATATGTTCGGTGGCATCCTCTTCTCTCATGTCACATACCACTCAGACTGAATATTTGGTGAAGGTGAATGTGCGCCATACATATGCTCAGATGCAGATTTTACTTCATCACAGCCGAGGACTGAGGTCTAGTGCAGAAAAACTGGTTGAAGTGTCAATTTTTTGCCAAACCAAAACCTAACACCTGTCAACCACCCCAAAGGTCACACACCTGGAGCAGCGGCTGCAGGAAGAACTGGCCTTGTTACGCGGGGAGCATCGGACTTTGTCCCTTAGCAGCGCTGAACACGCGGCCCGGGCACAAAGCCTGCAGGCAGAGGTAAGACAGGAGATCTTCAAACTGGCAGATGGGGCAAGGAAGGCACTGGGGAACAGGGAAATACTACGTTTCCCCCTCTAGCCCTCTTCAAGAAGCTGCCTCTGAAGCTGAGACTTGGGCTTTACCATGGAATAAGACAATGGTGGCCAAAAGCCCAGTCCTTAGTTTTTGAAGTGATGCTGGGCCTTGTTGTTCACAGAAGCCCTCCTCAATTTCCCACACCTGAGTCTTAGTTGTGCAGGGGGTTAGCTGTGGCTGCTTGTGGCTACTTGGGTCACCTGAGCAAAAGGACGTTCTGCATACACTCACAGAAAGCGGGTGGCATCCAACTAAATTGACCCATTGAAACTAATGGGCAGTTACCTCCATGTGTTTCAATGGATCTGCTCAGCGTACCATTAATGCTAGAGGCAACCCCTTGCTGTGGAGTTACATGCTGCCACCCAGCCTCACGCTGCCATTAGGATAGCAAAATGGCTGCCTTGAGATGTGGGCCATTTTGTGTGCCATTAAAGGGTGGCATTTATACGATTTGCTGTTGTTATTATTATGTGTTTTTTTCTAAGGATAGGGAGTGGGATGGATAGATAGCTCAGTCGGTAAAACATGAAACTCTTAATCCCAGAGCTGTGGGTTCGAGCCCCACATTGGGTGAAATATTCCCTCATTGCAGGGGGCTAGACTAGATGACCCTTGTGGTCCCTTCCAGCTCCACAAATCTTTTATTTTTATATCCCTCCTTTGGCAGGAAAATGCCCTGTTTACCTGGCCCAACAGAATAGGACACGGGAACCCCCTGGGAGGTGCTAGCTCTGAACCACAACCACTTGGTGGATCTGGGAATGAAGATCTGGGGCGTAGCTCCGACCATTTTATTTGCTTTCATGCACATTCCTTTCCCCTAGAACCTTATGTTACAAGAGCGGAAGCGAGATCTGGAGAAGCAGACCCATCAGCTGCGGGAGGAGAACGAATCCATCCAGGCGCTGGTAGACACACTGCACAACAACCTCCTCCTCCTCCGTAACGAGAGCCGAGAGAAGGAGCTGCGGGTAACTACTAAGCAAGGGGCTCATTGAGGCTCAAGGGTGAAAATGGGAGGTGTGGGGCAGGGGTGGCCCCTGGAATGCTCCTCAAACCACACCCTGATGGTTTCCACCCTATGCATGCCCTGGTAATGCCTCTCGCTTGTCTGGATGGAGGCTAGAGAGAGACATGTGAGCCGAAAAAATCCTAGTGCACAAAGGTTGACGTAGACATTCATTGCCCCACCGACTTTTGCTCCAGGCCCCTCGTCCTCCGCTGGCCTGTGGCCCTCAGGAGATTGCCTAAAAAGGAAACGCGGCTTCCTGGCTGGGGAAATTTCCTCACCCTTGGGGACAGTCAACTGAAAACAAAGACGAGGGACACGTGGCTTGTGTGTAAGAGAATGAGGAAGGCGTTTTTGTGGTTAATGCAGAGAATGAGGAAGGGGAGGACTCATTGGTCGGTGCCCCTCACAGAGGCACGTTCGTGCTCCTCCATACCCACTTCCTGTTTCTCCTCCCAAGATGCAGCAGGTTGAAGTGGAAGCTGAGGAGCTCCGGGCCTCCAACCGTCGCCTCCAGCATCAGGTCAAGGAGATGAAGGAGGAGATCCGCCTGCACGATTTAGACACTTCAGTCACTTCTATCCAGTCTGAGATTGAAAGTAGCTTGGAGGATGCTCCTGGAGCACCTGGGAAGGCCCCTAAGGTACGGGAGAAAGGAAGCGGTGATGGAGGGCATCTAAGTTCACCTGTTTGTGTCATGGGCAAAGCTTCCAATGCCAAAATAAGATTGATGTCCATGTCCCAATTTGGGAAATGTACACTGCTGGGCATACTGATTCTCCACCAGTCTTTCCCACACAGCGCAAATTCAAAAATATGTCTGTTTGGAAAGACTGAAGCATACTATCTTTTCTTTTTCTTTTTTTTACTAAGTTGTGTGGGGGGGGGGGATAATGCTTGCAATCCAGAACGAAGCTGAGTTGTTGTTTTTTAAGTGGGTGGGAGGAGGAATTCACATTTAAGTGCAAATTATATCCTCCCCCTCCACTCCAAAATGCTTAGTTAAGGATGCTGTTAGATTTATAAGCTGTGTTTTCATAGCATGATAATACACAGTTTATGGGCTCAGCGGAACATATACAGAATTACACTGCGCAATATCTTTTAAAAAGACGAGAGTTGTAGCTAGTGCTGGTTCTCCTCAAAGCAGACCCATTAAAACCGGTGACTCTAGGTTAGCCATGTTCATTAACTTGTGTTCTAGTAGGACTAGCAGTGGACACAGCCCCATCTCTCTGAAGACCAATTTCTGGAAACTGCAGGAGGGGAGAGAGGGGGCTCTTGCGCTCAAGTCCTGCTTATGACTACTTACCTGGGAGTAAGTCCTGTTGAATTCAGTGAGATTGAATTCAATGAATAGACATGTATAGAACTGTGCTGCACAATGCACTTCAAAAACATTTCTCAATTCTAAATATGTACATGGCTTCTGTTTTGCAGTGCTGCAATTAAGCTCAGTTACACTGCAATCCAGCGAACATGTGTACAATGGGACTTACTCTCAGGGAAACCTGCATAGGTTTGCAACCTTAAGTCACATGTCCAAAGTCACACAGATGGGAGGTTTGTGCTATATGAAGAATTCCCATGAAAATATGTTCTGGGCATTTGAAGACTTACTGTCCTGTATAAGCAACTGCTGTGACTCACCTTAGAGTCAGCTGCGTCTTAGTGTCATTGAGATCTCGTTGGTTTATGGGTATGTGTTTGGATTTCTTTGTCTGCTTTAGCTGAAGGCCAACGGCACCTGCAATGGCTCCTGTCATACCCCCACAGCGGCAAAACACCCCTCAAAGAGGCTGGAAGAGGAAGGAATTGACTATGCCAAACGGGTGTCAGCTCTGAGTCACCAGGAACAGGATCTGCTGAGACAGAAAGAAGTGGAGATCATGAAACTTCAGGATCAGGTAGTGTGTGCTGTGCTTTCCCCACCAGAGGATGCTATATTGTGGAGTGGCATGATTTTCCTTCTAAAAAGCATTTAAAAAAATTATTTTCCCATTTTCAGATTACACTACAGTATGTAGAACTCTGCAATTTAAAGACTGAGATTGAGAGCCAGAGGCGCCTGTATCAAGAGAGCAACAGGGACGAAGCACTGAAATTAGCCATAGTAGATCGAGATGAGGCTATAATAAAGTGAGTTGATTGCATATTTATTCTTTCTCTCTGTGTGTATAAATGTATATATGGACATACACATATACATGCCTACTAGGCGCTGTGCCCCTGCTCACTTTGCCCCTCATCCTGCCCCACTTGCCAATCTCCCCCATCACTTAAATCTTGCCAAAACTACCTCCCTCCGTTTATGCCTGCTTGCTTCCATCTCCCTCCATCACGGGCCCAGCAACTCTCAGAAGTCTGTCATCAGATCGCAGTGCTACCTGTTGGCAGACACGTGAACTGCCATGTGACGACAGCCTTACCTTTTTATTATATGTAAGATATATATTTATCTCTGCTGCTTTTTTGAACCACAGTACCAGCCACAGAACATCTTATTCATAATGGCTTCTTCCTTCATCAGTGATCAAATTACTCTCCAGTTTCTGTCAAATTGTCTCTCCCAAACACTCAGTTCTCTTCTAAAAACCTTTAAAGGGATGGTCACAAAAAATAAGAAAACCGGACAAGTTACCCTATAATTCAAAGTAGCATAGGAAGCTGTTTTCTATTGAGTCAGACCACAGGCTCATCTAGTTCAGTATCATCTACTTCAGGGCCTCCAGCTGTTTTTGGACTACAACTCCCATCATCCCTAGTTAGCAGGACCACTGGTCAGGGATGATAGGAATTGTAGTCCTAAAACAGCTGGAGACCCAAATTTGGGAAACCTTGGTCTACTATGACTGTCAGAAGCCCTCTGTCTAGAGGAATTAGATATTGCCTTCTGCACACAAGGCAGATGCTCAGTCTTTCAAGCACCGCCACCTGTTTTTTGGGCAATGTAATTCAGGGCGTTTCCAGACTGGTGCTATTGATTTGGTGCTCTTGCACAGCAAACCTGCTTCGCTATAAATTTGGATTTTTTTTGTGATAAAGGAAGTGATGGGAAATTGCACTCGAAAGTGTGGGATAACAACACAACATCGCATAACCTCCCTGCAAACAAATCAGAGCAGCAGTTTCGGTCCCGGAGTAAACCTGCCGCCTTTGTTAAATATCCTCAAAATACCTACTGTTGTTTGAGAGGCTGCAATGTTTACTCCCGCAGGTTAATGAGTAACCTTAAAGGCAGGGAATTAACTCAAATGATCTTAATCGGTTCACAGCTGTATGCATTTCTCTTCTGCAGTGTTTTAAAGCGAATGTTCTAGCTCCAGGAAACCCTTTCTTCAGAGGAAAACCCTCTATGTCTGCTATTGTAACCCCTGTGAACCAGAGAGGATTCTGGGAACCTCCTAGAACACTCATTCCGTTTATGCAGGGTCCCTCCATTCCTCGTGTAATTTGAGACTCTGCCTTGGAGCACTAAGAACACTCCTTTACAGCTGCCCAGTTTAAGGGCTGATCGTAAATGGCGGCAGAGTCAGGAAAGTCCAGTCCGGCAGCCATTGATGAAGGGCTCCATGGATTACCCCCACCCCCTCTGCAGGCAACAGGGAAGGGGGAAGTTTTTAAACCATGGAATTGTGACATCTTCAGGCTGAACTGGGAACTGCATGTAAAACTGTTCCTTAATTACTGAGCCTTCATCCTGATTTGCTTGCACAAAGCTTGCGCAGAGGTTCGATAGTATATCCAGTCCTTATTGAGCATTTATCCTGATTTGTTTATGGGGTGATTATTCGACAATGAACGTGCTTTCTGGTTTGCTTGTGGGATGTTTACACGTCTTCCCACACTTCTCAGTGCATTTCTCTGTCACTTTCCAAACAGCAAAAAGTGTAATTCTTATTTTAAACTGGATTGCTTGTGCTGTGGGTGGCGAGGTCCTTTAACCCACTTTAGCTAGGCAGATGTATGGTATGTGCTTGAATCCCTCCCATGGGACAGGGACAACCTGGAGGACCTTGTAATGTACGAGGCTGTGATCCTAACCCCACTTACCTGGGAGTAAGGGCATTTCCAGACTGTCACTATTTTGGGGTGGGATTCAATCACTTAACTGGGAAATTCCAAGGGCTTACACAACAAACTCACTTCCCAAAAATGTCAGGGCTTTTGCAATAGGGTAAGCGAAGGGAAAATGAGCTGGAAATTGTGGATTAACACTTGCTGTGATTCAACATCATCTAACCTCCCCCAAACCAAATCAGAATGAATGATCAGTAAACAGACCATCTGAAAGCACCCAGTGAATTCACTGAGTAGACGTGGTCAGGCTTGCAGCCTTATTTATCTTTTTGTGTATGTCTCTATCTGCTGTCTTATCAGGAAAGGCGAGATGGAGTTGGAACTGGCAAAAGTCTCCCTGGAACGGGATTCCATGAGCCAGCAGCTATTGCGTGTCATTCGCCAGAAGATGGCCCTTTCCCAGGAGCTGGAAGCTTGGCAAGTGAGTAAGAAAAAACACCAGAATGTGTGTGTGTGTGTGTGTGTGTGTGTGTGTGTGTATACACAGTGGTGCCCCGCAAGACGAATGCCTCGCAAGATGAAAAACTCGCTAGACGAAAGGGTTTTGGGTTTTTTGAGTCGTTCCGCAAGACGAATTTCCCTATGGGCTTGTTTTGTCTTGCGAGTTTGTTTCCTTTTTCTTAAAGCCGCTAAGCCGTTAATAGCCGCTAAGCCGCTAAGCCGTTAATAGCCGCTAAGCCGTTAATAGCCGCTAAGCCGCTAATAGCCGTGCTTCGCAAGACGAAAAAACCGCAAGACGAAGAGACTCGCGGAACGGATTAATTTCGTCTTGCGAGGCACCACTGTATATATATATGAAATTTAGCCCAGAACATTTTAAACTGCACCAATTGTCCTTCCAGTTTATATGCTGGAAGCCGAAGGAAGCAGCCAAAAGGGCCCAGGGAACTTCATAGTAGCAAACGCAACATTTTTAAAATCCCAAACTGCAAGTCAGACAACAGCTTTTTGGCTCCTGCCGTGCTTAATAAATTCCAGATCTGCGCAGTGACACAAATGGGATGAGCGTGAGAATTTCTGATTCTCTCCCTGCATTCACAATTTGTTCCAAGTTTGCTTTATGGATTCATTCCAGTTCTGAACAGGGACTGAAAAGAAAGGAAGGGAAAGAGACCATGACAGGGTAAGAAGAGGAGGAGAAGTAGCAGCAGCAGCTGGGAGATGACGAATAAGAAGAACAGGGTAGCAAACACAAAAATGTATTTATTTATTTGTTTATGGGGTCTTTGTCCCATTTTTTCAGACAACGATTGTTTCCCAAAGCAGCTCACATCAATTAAAAGAGGGGAAGAGCCTCTACTGCCATCAGGCTCACAAACCTGATCACCTTGCCTCAAAAAGGATATTGTAGAGCCGGAAAAGGGCAACCGAGGGGCTGAAGCCACTGCCCCCATGAGGAAAAGTTAAAACGTATGGGGCTCTTTAAGCTTAGAAGAAAGGAGAGGTGTTTTTCTTCCTCTCTCATAATGTTAGAACTTGAGGCCATCCGATGAGGCTGCACAGTAGGAGATTCAGGGCAGGAAAAAGGAAGCATTTCTTCACACAGCACCTAGTGAAACTGTGGAACGATGTAAGGAAGGCCACCAATTTGGATGGCTTTAAAAGAGGAATAGACAAATTCACAATTTAGGAGAGCTGTTGTGGTTACATCCGCTTTTCTTTCCTGCCACACAGGATGATATTCAGTATATCATTCACCAGCAACTGCTGCAGAAGCACCAGGAAGAGACCCACCCCATCACTTCGTCGCCTAGAAGCCCGGCGGAAGGCAAGAACCCTCCTTTCTATCGCCGTGGCACCAGCATCCCCAACGGCACTGGCTTCTTCTCACTCTTCCGGAAAAGCTGAGGAGCTGGACAGGTGGTGGAGGGAATATCAACGCCAGAACTCATTGGTGGCGGAAGTGGCAGCTGTCGATGAGACCAAGGCTTGAGGTGGCCGGGGCTGAAATGGCTTCTGGGCCTCTTAGCAGCTTGTCAACTAACTCCAGGCCAAAGGAATTTGTTCTCTGGTTCCATTACATTGCTCATATCTGATCCCCTGTTCACACTCTATACACACAGAGGATACTCACATGTGTTGTAATAGGAGCAGAGCCACACTGCCGGTCCCAATAGCAGAGCGTTGAGTGCGGAGATCTGTGAGTGTAAAGGAACAGGCATGCAAGACACACAGGGGTCTATGCTCCTTGCACGGATCTTGTGGGCGGGGCTAGCCCGGAACAGGATGTCAGGGGCAGGCCCAGGAGTTTGGTTTACAGGTATCCGCACTCAATGTGTGGATATCACATGCGTATGGCTAGCCTGGGGCCACGATGTCAGCGGTAGGGTCAGGGGGTCCCTTTGTACTGGAGATGCGCTTTACAGGTGAGAGAAAGGGAGAGAGAAAGACAGGGAGATTGGAATGTCCATTGCAGTAGGGCAGAAAGCCCTATGTACAGCCGATTCAGGTTGCGTCTTTTCGGGTTGCAGACCGCTGAATCCCGGAAGTACCGGAACGGGTTACTTCCGGGTTTCGGCGGTTGCGCATGCGCAGAAGCGCCGAATCGCAACCTGCAGACACGGGTTGCGAGCGCTGTGGGTTGCGAGCGTGCATCCTGCATGGATCACGTTCGCAACCTGAGCGTCCACTGTATTAGGAAGGAAGGGGAGAGAAAGAGAATAAGGAATATGGGGTGCTGGCGGTGGAAGGGAGTAAGAAAGAAAGTTGGTAAGAGTAAGTTGATAAGAAGGAAGGGGTGGAAAGGAATAAAAGGTAATAATAATTGCAAGACGTTTGGGGTTCTGCTACACCCCACATTTGCCCTTTGGGCATGCCCACTTTGACATGTGGCCCCGGAGTGCTGGCCTTTGGGCAATGTGGCCCTCAGCCAGAAAAAGGTCAGCTGCCTCCGTTTTACAGACTTCTGTGCTCAGTGCGCAGGCAGGAGGTGCAGGAAATGATGCTGGGAGCTGGCCCAGCGGTGCAACTCTGTTCCTATTGCAACATGTGAGTTGGGTTCCCAAGAACATCGGAAGAGCTCTGCTGGATCAGGCCAAAGGCCCCTGTTGCCCAATGTTTTGTTTTCCCGACAGCCAGCCAGATGCCTGTGGGAAGCGTGCAAGTACTACTACTCTCCCTCCTTGAGGATGTGGTATTCAGAGGCCTCCTGTCTCCAGCAATGGAGGGAGGTTTCATGGCATTTCTCCGTCAGCGAGACTGACACGCTGAGCTGTCCATCTGAGTTCTAATGATAGACCAATTTGAGCACTAATGTGACTAATGCGGTGACAAGATATTTCCTTGCATTTTAATAGTCTGCTTGGAACAACTGCGGGTTCCAAGTTACACCCTCAGATCAGCCGGTCCTGTCAGTCAGGGCCCCAAGTACCTAACAAAATGATTCATCTGAAATGGGGGCACTTGTATCCAACTGGCGATAAAAGTTACCACAGGCTACCACCACCGATTGGGTGGCATCAGCCGGCCACATAGCTACTGTGGGGCAACTAAAAACAATCACATGGTTGGATGCAGTTTCCAGTGCCAGTGGAATTACTCACCATATAAATAAACTAGCTTATTTTGCACCTCTCTTCTTTTTTAAAAAATACCTTTAGCCTTCCAATGCCAGCTGGCCTGTCTGTGTTCCAGCAAATGTTCCAAGTTTGCCCAGCAAGAGCCATGATTCAGCTAAGTGGATTTTTCTAGAGGATGTTGCAGATGCAAACCTGCAATGTCAACATCGTCCAAATTTCCCTATAAAAAATAAAATAAATCACTGGTCTTTTACTCCCTTTCATACTTAAAAGCTGTGGGGCTGGCTAGAATAATAATCTTTCCCTCCGTAGTAAGTGGGGAAGAATTTATGCTGACTTCTTAGAAGTCTGGGGAGAAATGGCTGACAAACTGTTAGCCATGGGAGATTAGCGGTACTTGATGACCCCTCTGAAGGTTCTAACTGTACTAGCACTTTACTTCCCTGCGAAACCCTGGTTTGCTGTTTTGGGGGCAGCTTCCCATGCTTTCCCGTGCACTGACAGCAAGTCCACACCCACCCCATACATTTAAAGCACATGGCACCCCCCAGAGAATCCTGGGATCTCAGTTTGTTAAGGGAGCTGGGTAGTGTAGTTCTGCCTGTGGGTGGGCAAACTACAATTCCCAGGATTCTTTGGGGGAAAGCTCAGTCAGTCGAGCTTAATCTCAGGGTCGTCAGTTCGAGTCCCACATTAGGCAAACGATTCCTGCATTGCAGAGGGTTGGACTAAATGACCCTCCGGGGTGTCTTCTAACTCTAACAATTCTCTGTTTCTATAATTAAAATGTTCTTTAAATGTATATTCTGAACATGACTGAAAATGAGAGTTTCTGAAGGCGTGCCTTCCTCTGAGCTTGGGCTTTGCTAAGTGTGGGGCACCCTCTGTATTGGGTAGTGGAGCCAGTTGCTATGAGGAGGAGGCATAAGGTGGAGCCTTGCAAATACTCCTTACGAACTTTGCACACCAGCAGGGGCAGAATGACCCCCTTCAGTAGGCGGCAGTATTACTACCCACGGAGCATTAGGGGCCTCGCTTTATCTAGATTTTCCTTGCTGTTCATCTGCTCGGTAGTGGGTGACTTGTGCATACATTTATGCAAATGAACAATGATTACTTTGTCACATGGGCACCGCCAGCAGAGGGTACTGCTGTACTTTCATCTCCTTCCACCCTTTCCCCTTACTGTTGCAAAAACTGGGGGGAACCCCCAAAACCGATACTATTTTGCCAGTGTGTCACTTTTCAGCTGCTTAGGACAGGCAACAATTTGCAAAGCCAAGCCGCTGGGAAGAGCCAAGACAGAGAAAATATTTATCTACGAAGCAGAAGATGTATATTGTTATAGAATATTTTTGGTTGTATATTTTGTTAATACAGATTTAATACTATTCTGTTTATTAAATAAAGAAGTATGGTTCTTAAACCTCACGCCTCCCTCACTGTCTGATCTAGGGAAGCAGGTTCTTTGGGAGGGAGGTTGCGGCCTACTCACACAGAGCAGGGAATGCTGGGAAGGTTGGGCACCTCTTAGTGGAACCAATAATTCTAGGAAATTCTACGGAAACAGTGCTTAAGTTTGCAAAATTTTGTCTCAGCCAACTTGCAATCAGGGCCTTGGATGGTGCCTGGAAGCTGCACATGCTCAAAGTTGTGAGCTGGTGACACGCTGCAACATTTTGTTATGGGGGGGGGAGCCCTCACTTGCACCTTCTGAAAGCCAACCTGGAGAGATTAACAAAAATGCTGTTTCTGTTTTAATAGGCAGACTGCTTTTTCCATCACCCCTCAGCAGTGGGGGTGGGGAATAACTATATTTCCTGTTACCATCAGATCAAATTTTAAACCAATCTGATCAGAGTATTATTCTTTGGCGGTCACTCAAAGCCGAGAAAGTTTGTCTTCCATGAACATGGTCTTAACAGTGAATCTGTAAGTGGATCTACATGTCCTTCCACAGTGGGGACATAGGTTTCTGGATGGGAGTTGATCATGGTGAGGGTTTGTAAAACGTACCTTCCTCTTAGCACATTTCTCCCTTTCATCCTGACTTTGAGTGTCCAAAGGCTATTCTCCAACTGGAGCGCTCGCATGCCAGTGTTTCCCAGTTGTCGATGTTTATACTACATTTGCCTTGAGAGTGTCTTTAAACTTCTTTTGTTGACCACCAGCATTACGCTTTCCATTTTAAAGTTTGGAATAGAGTAGTTGCTTTGGAAGATGGTAATCAGGCATCCGAACAACATGACCAGTCCAACAAAGTTTATGTTGAAGAATCATTGCTTCTTCCAGTACACTGGCATTAGTTCGCCTATCTTCCCAGGGGATGTGAAAAATTTTTGGAGACACTTTTGATGGAATGTTTCGAAGAGTTGGAGGTGGCATTTATAAGTGGTCCGTGTTCCACAAGCATACAGTAAGGTTGGTAGTAGAATAACTTTGTAAACAAGCATTTTTTAAATTAAAATGTCCCGGTCTTCAAACACTCTGCACTTCAATCGGGAAAAGGCTGCACTCGCAGAGCTCAGGCGATGCTGGATTTCGGCATCAGTGTTGCCTTTGTGGAAAGATAACTGCCCAGGTAGGAGAAGTCATTGACACTTTCCAACGTTGCAGCATTGAGTTGGATTTGTGGCACTGCAGAGGGGTTGTTTTGATCAGAGTATACTTTCATTTTAATAGGACTTGAACCCTGGGTCATGGACTATTTTAATTTGCATTCACTTAAACTAACATGAGCAAAGTTGTTTTTTTTTTATTCTGCCAGGGAGAGATGGTGCCCCTTGTTCTAGCAAAGAGGATCCCTGGGCCTTTTCCGTTCATGCCCTCCCCACTGCACACCAGCCGTGCCCATCTGGGTGGCATTTTTCTACCCGCAAGTGGGCCTAACAAGAGAACAATATGAGCATTTCTTGCAGCGCTGAGGGGGTGGCTGCAGTTGGCATCTCAACCCTGCAGAGAGGAATGCAGAACAGACAAATGAGGCAGATGGACAAAGTAAACAGAGGACGCAGCTGCCAATCTTCCAGCCTCCCCCCTCCCCAGTGGTGGAACAGCAGTTTGCAATGGAGTCCTGGGCCCTCTGAGGGGCGGTGTGGTTAACTAGTGGGCAAGAAGAAGTGGCTGGAAGCTTAAGAGTCCTCCCAAGACCATTACTCCAAAAGAGCAGAGCACCAATCTCCCAGTCACTTCTCCCAAGGAAGTGGAGAGAGTTGCATCACTGCATCACCATGCAAGGAAAAGCTGCACCTGTTGAATTTCTGCCTGCTGTGTAGCTGCTTTTAAACATAGGGGCCTTGTAAGAAAAAGAGAAACCACAACAAGCAAACAGAAGCACCACCCCAATTCCAATCCTACTTTTCCATTCCTACCTGATGCCCCTCCTACTGGACTTCAACCCCTCCACACACACACCCTTTATCCTCCTCACTGTGCTTTGTTTCCCATCAGCGCCGGCATTATTTAAGCCATATATTATTTGTATCGGACTGGCTTTATTTATATGCACAGGGGTGTTGCTGGTGTGAACATTAAATTTATTAGACTTGTTCGTTGCTTGTTGCACGGAGGTCTCCCAGCTGCATATTACCAAGTCGTCGTCGTGAATTGAATCATGAATTGAAATTAATTTAAATCACTGAGTTAATTATCATTAACTTAGTAATCGCCTCCCCCCGTCTCCTTTGATCCGTAGTGCTAAATGCAGCACAGCTCTTGGCACTTTTCTGCTCGGAATTTAGCCCCCCTGCTTCGTTAGGTCTTTATTTCCCGGGGGGGGGGCGTGGAGTTGAACGTGCCCATTCCCTGGCAAGCCGATCCTATGCCCGATCGGCGATTGCTAGAAATAAATATGCATTCCGCGGGATTTGCTTCCCCGAGTACACCGGGCTGCAGCCTTCACGGACTATTTTCAGGCTGTAATCCTGTTGGGGCACTCGCCTCCGCAGAAACGGGCCCTAATTAAATTATGCCCGGCTTACTCCCGAGTATACCTGCGGAAGGCTCTTGGGCTGCTGCACTGACCCACCCACGTATATTTACATTTTTGCTTTACGTCTAGCCGCATTTCAGCATAAATGTCCTTAACCCCGAGGATTGAGTTAAATTCTAATATAATAATGAGAATAAATAAAAATAATAATAAAGATTGCTTAAATTGGCTTCGATGCAACTCAGATCCCCAGCCCAGCCCTGTCGCGTTTAAGCCCCGCCCATTCTTTATTGCCGCCTCTCCCCACTTGGAAGCCCCGCCCACCCGCCCGGCACCGCCCATTATAAGCCGGGCCCCGCCCCTGCCCCGCCCCCTCCCGGCTGATTCCAATCTCGCCCTGGCGTTCCATCGGCCCGAGCGGGCGCGAGAGGCGGCGGCTGCTGCGCCTGGGAAGGAGGCGGAGGAAGCGGCAGCGGCAGCAGCAGGAGCAGCAGGAGGGGAGAGGCAGGAAGGAAGCGGCCGCCTGCGAGCTCCGTGGTCATCTGATCGCAGCCCAGCGTCCGGCCGGGAGAGGGACGGAGGGCGACAGCCGCACAGCCGCGAGACCCGCCTGGCCTCCCTCCCCTTGCAGATGCGCCCTGCGCCCCTTCCCCAGCCTGAGCCTCCCCTTCCCCCGATCCTTCATTGATTCCCGAGATCCGGGGTTTCCTCGTGCTTCCAGACCCGGCACATCTCTCCCTCCCTTTCTCGCCTGTTTTCGTGGCTCTCCTCCTCTCTCTCTCTCTCTCTCTCTCTCCCCGCCCCAGCGAATGTTAGGAAAAGAAAAGGCTGCCAGGTCATTTGGAGAGAAACTTTAAGGTCCTTCCGATTGGCTTAGATCCCTTAGGTGGGGGCGAAACTCCCTGCTTTATTTGACCCTCGTTCTCCCCCCCACCCCTTTCTCTTATTTCACTAACCACCTCTCTCTTCTTCCCACCCCAATTGAAAGTATCGGTCAATGTCTGGTTGTCACCCCTCTGTTTTACCATTTATTTTTGGATACAGGAAGGCTTTTGGAAGGACCTAAATTCCCCTTCTTTTCTGGATATATATATTTTAAAATAATTTCTCTGGTCCTTAATCAGTTCATTCCTTTTTCCTTTTTTTGGCAGAACCACAAATTTTGGTCTGAGGATTTGTATTTTCCCCTCTGGGTTTCCTTTTTTTTAATTTTAAAAGCCACCTTTTGGAATAAATCTTCTGTCCTGTATTATTATTTTTTTGGAAAGTTCTGAATTACTTATTTCCTTTGGAGACCTCAGCGTCAAGCTCTTTGTAAACTGCAACACCCTTTGGCACCCTGCATCTGAATGTGGGAAAAACAGCTCCTTTGGAAAAATATATATATATTCTGTCATTTCCTGGTGCTTTTTTCACCTTCCTAATCTTTTTGCTCTGTCCCATCCCATCAGAGGAAGCCTGAGGTCTGAATAAACTGTGGATCTGTGCTACATCTGTGGACTGCCCTCTCTTTTAAAAATCCAAAAACGGCGGATACGCTTTCGACACTGCATTCTACAGATTGTTGACATAGGAAGAAACTCTCTTGGCAGGCTCCAGCGGGTTCCTTTTTGTCATTTGACTTTAAGGAAGCAAAGATCTGGAAAGAGAAGTTTGTAACATCTGCGCTCCAGAAAAAAACAACCCTGGAGGGACTTTTGGCAGAAAGACAGCCTTAAACTTTCTCATTTCCGAGGAAACAACTGCGTTGTCAAATCGACCTGATCTTGCATTTGGAAGTTTTTCAGGATCTTCTGGACACGGGAGGAAAAGAGACTGGCATGCTCAACACCCTGTCCTGATTAACTGCAATGGGGCATTGAGGCAGAACAAATTTCCCACTGGAAAGTGTGGGAGTGAGTGGAGAATCCCTGCAGGGAGCGTGAAAGACACAGGAGGAGGAGCTGACCCAGCACATGAATGGCTGCCAAGGATTATGACCACTTGTTCAAGCTACTCATCATTGGGGACTCTGGTAAGCCTTGGCTCGCTTTCCCTTGTTCCCCAAGTCTTCCATTTTCTCTTCTCTTCCCCCCAAACCCACTTTTTCATCTTATTATATTTGGCTGTTCTGTCTCCTGCTGTCTTTTTCATTCCTCTTTAACTATGCTCCTCTCTCTAAACTCATCTCATTCTTTTCAGTTTTCATTCCACACTCTTCTTTTAACATGTTTCTCCTTATCTGTTTGTTTAAATAGTCTTGGTTTCTTGCATCTTTTCCCTCCTTTGGTCTTCCACCTTGTTTCATATATTCCAATTGGTTATCGGTTCAGCATCCCCTCCGCCCCCACTTAAGCCTATTCCTTGTCATTCTTCCTCTTTGTACTCTTGTTTTTTGTTGTTATTCCCACAGCTCTTTCCTTGTTTCTCTTTCATACCTGCAAACATCCTCATGCAATATAAATGTGCACAAGGTAATAAAAAGGTTACTTTTTAATGAATTTGGAAGTAACTGTGATAGGACTGATAGCGCTCTCTTGCCTTGTAACTTTACCCCGTTAGTATCTGGCTTTATATTGCCTTCTCTCACTATTTTAGCATCCCATAATCCCATGGAGACTTATCTTGTGGGAAGCTTACTCACAGTGTACCAAGAGCTTATTCTGGCTGCATGGCAAGCGTGCAGAAGCAGTTTTTTCCACGAGTCTCCCTTGTGCTAATTTCTAGGATTCCCAGCATCCTTTGGGGCCTAGTTGCGCTAACCTGTGAGGGTTGCCACCTAGAAACATTCACACATAGTTTTTTTCGGGGGGGGGAGGAGAAAAACAAGGTGTATGAGTTTGCCTGAGCTGCTACTTGGTAGGAGGAAATTATAGTACTTATACTAAAGCTAACCAAGAATGATGCTTCTCAAAATGGCTTCCCAGAATGCTCCTGACTAAGTCATTCTATATACCTGGGTATGTTTCCAATACTCTTCACATTCATTCAAATTTAGCCTGCTATACTTCAGGCCCTGGTCAGCAACTTGCTCTCTTTGCATCTTTCTTAAGACTTCCAACTTGGGCACATTCATACATTTAAAGCACTGTGAGACCACTTTAAACAGTTATGGCTTCCCCCAGAGAATTCTGGGAGCGGTAGTTTGTTAAGCATGCTGAGAGTTACAAGTCCCAGAGTTCCATGGGAAGAGGCATTAAAACACTCCTGAGAATTATAGCCCTGGGAGGGGAATAGGGGGCCTCCTAACAACTCTTGGCATGCTTAACAGAGACCCTCTATTCCAGGCATCCCCAACCTCCAGCCCTCCAGATGTTTTGGACTACAATTCCCATCATCCTTGACCACTGGTCCTGTTAGCTAGGGATCATGGGAGTTGTAGGCCAAAACATCTGGAGGGCCGCAGGTTGGGGATGCCTGCTCTATTCCCTGGGGGGTACGATTCTCAGAGTGGTTTAACAGGCAATGCCTCTTCCCAAGGAACTCTGGGAATTTTAATTTGGGGGAGAGGAATAAAAGGTCTCCTAACAACTCTCAGCAGCCTTAAACTACAGATCCCAGAATTCTCTGGGGGAAGCCATGGCTGTTTAAAGTGGCATCACAGCCTTTTAAATGATAGACTCATAGAATTGGAAGGGACCACAAGGGTCATATAGTCCAACCCCCTACAATGCAGGAATCTTTCACCCAATGTGGGGCTTGAACCCACAACCCCGAGATTGTCAACTGAGCTATTGCAGCCCAAGTTGGAATACACCCCCATTAAAAGAATGGACCTCAGTTAGTCTTTCCATACTCTTAGTATACGACTGGATACAACCCTTAGTAGCTTGGGGAAGGGAGGGCTCCTAGTTGCTAAGCCATTGTTTAAAATGGGGGTGGGAAGCCTGTGTCCTCCCCAGATATGGTTGGACTCCATCTCCCATAAGCCAGAGCTTTCATGGCCAATGGTCAGGAATGATGGGAGTTGTAGTCCAGCAACATATGAAGGCCCTCAGGTTAGCCAGCCATGGTTTTAAAGCAGTACCTATTCACCAAATGCATACACAACATGGTTAAGAAAGGTCTTTTAGACTTCAGTGCTACACCTACATATCTAGGAGTAAGCCCAACGTGATTCATGGGACTGACTTCTGAGAAATGTTACCTTACTTTTTAAATCCCCTCCAAAAAAAGGTGGCAAACCATTCTGTTCAACCCATTGCAGTTCCCCTGCAGTGTTCTTGAGCCCTGATCTCCTGCCATCAGTTCCAAAAAAATAATTGGAACCAAAACTCATAAACTTTGCTACCGAGTCCTGTGTGTCTCATATCACATTTTTTGAGGCGGTCTTGTGAATGCCGACTTCTTCCACAGAAATGGAAACAGCTACTAGCAAATAATATCTATATTTCTAGTTCCCCAAGCGGCTTGCTGTCACTCAAATTCAACACACGAGGTTGCTTGTGGGTGTTTTGTACACCGATGAAAATGAGAGACAAGCCCTGTCCTCGGGGTTACAAGACTTTGGTGAGGGAAGTGGAAGAAAAAAGTGGAAGAGGAAGGGGATCAGTTTGACAGTGAGCGAAGAGATGAATTACGATCAGGCTGGGGCTTGGCTGATCCCCCCCCCCCCCCATTGACGGTATTCTTTGCTTGGAAAGGAGTTGTGCAACTGACCCGGCAGTCCTTGTTCCTTGAATGGGGTGAGGTGGAGAGGGCGCCTCCCCCTTTGCCTCTGCAGTCACAGGTCCACTGATAGCTGGAACAGAGCTCTTTCTGAGGCACCGGGTTGGGGGAAGAGAAGCCAGCTCCTTGCAGCTGTTCTCTGATGGCTGGAGCCAGGCCTGTCTCCTTGCTGTGGTGGTTTTCCTGCAAAGGGGTGGATGCAATTCTCTTCTCGCTGGTAGCAAAGCAGCTTCCCCCTTCTGATCTCGCCTCCCCAGCCTTCTCTCCTTCAGGTTGCACACAAAGAGCTCCGCCAATCATTCCTATGCAGCTTCTTGGCATTTAAAGTCCTCTATTGCTTCCTGCTGCGAGGCCTTGTCTCGTTTGATATTTATCTTTGTTTCATTTTTCATGCAGTTCCAGACTGGATGTGAATACGCATGTGGGAAGCTGCCTTTCCCTGCCTCTGGCAGTGCTGGCTCTCAGTCAGTATTGGTTGCACTGGCTGGCAGCGGCTTTTTGGGGTTTCAGGCGGGAGCCCTTCCCAGCCCTGTGTGTTTCAGGGTTGAGCCTAGGGCTTCCCAAATTCCAAGCGCGTGCTGAGATTTAAAATGCATCAAAAGCCCAAAGCGGTTGAAGGAAAGAAGCAAGGAGGTGGCGGCTCTGGAAGGAATCCTGTTGTTGTAGCAGTTTGCTGTGCAGAGGGAAAAAAGGATTTGCACGATTCCCTGCCCCAGCCTGCTTACAGTCACACGTGGTAGGAGGTAGAAGTGACTTGGAATTAAACCAGCACCTCTGTCTACTGGTTCGTTAAGGCAGACATAATTTACTAGCCATAGCATCTGGCTGTACAACTGGCAGGTCTGGTTGCTTGGGAGGGGGCTTCCCCCCACGGAATAAATTCGGAAATCAGGTGAAATTCTGGGGCTCAGAAATAGGGTTAAAAGGGGTTAGTGTGGCACCTGCATTCTTGAGGCCTTTATGTCTCATGCGTGCACCTGCTGATGTAATTAAATACCTGAAGGTAGTTAGAGCTTTCCCAGCTGACCAGGGCTGGCAGGCAGAAGGCCTGATTCGATCAGAAAGGGGGAAAGGGATTCACCAGCCAGGAGTGTTCCCATGTATGCGTGGTACTTCTGAGGTATCCTGATGGAACCAGAGAAGTAAAATTCCAGTCTCTGGAAAATGTTCTGGATTTTTCCCGGAAGTCCCAAATTGCAATCTGGTTTAGTAAACAAAAGCCATGGGGCTCACTTGCAGAGAGCTATTCACAACATGGAAGCTGCCTTGGACTGGCGTTCTACCCCATTCCTTAGGCTCCTACTTTTTTCTTTTTCAGTGAAACAATGATTTTAATTAACGACACTTTTCCGGGGACGGAAATACCCAATAGGTAATTTTCTACCCCACATGGTGATGTCAGTATTGACGGACAACCACCGAGGGGGGTCAGGGGGAATGTGTCACTTTTTGCCTCTAGCAAGAGCCTGGCTACTCTCATTACACGAATTGCATGAAAAGTAAGCCTGCTTTGGTTTGATCATGAGCATCTTTGAGAATCGCTTGGAGAAATGGGGGGAAGGATGAAAGAGGGGTTAGTACAGCTTCTTTGTTTCCCATCTTCTCCTGCTCCAAATCCCTAGGAAAATCCTCCTCTGAAGGTGATGAGAATACAAGTGCATAGATGCTGAGCAGTGGCTCTGATCCCCTCCAGCTTTCTCTGGGGAACCTTTGGAGCCTGCCTTTGGAGACACACAACTGGTAGCTGCTTCTCTCTCCCCCTCCTCCTGCCCCAGTTTCTATTCCCTTCTACACATAGTCAGTGTGAGCACTGAGCATGCTCTGTCCCTATTGGGTTGCCTTTGTAGGTGTTTTCCCCTAAATGGCTGGTGTTCTAATTTTGGTACTTCTGCAAACTTTTGAATTCTCCTTTACCTGCTGATACATCATTTTTTAAATGGCCTTGTTTTGGCTACAGCCCTGTCGGCACCCACCAGCCAAGTTTGCCACTCAGTGATGCTTCCCAAGTGATCTCCATCACCTACTGATGCTAACCCTGGGTTAACTACGCATTCTTCCCTTGCTCACCTCCATCTCCTCCTCCTTTCTCTGTGGCCACTTCTTTGCCAAATTGCAAATTTTAAGCTTCTCTGGGCAAAGACTTCCTGTTTTGTGTTTCTTTGTAGAACGCTAGGTGCAGGGATGGCAGTATAACAAGCCCACCGTAGAAGCCTTAAAAGCCTCCGGGCCGTCTCCTCCCATACAAGCATGTTTATGGGTTAATATAGGGATACCTTTAAAGCCCTAAATGGCCTCGGTCCAGTATACCTGAAGGAGCGTCTCCACCCCCATCGTTCTGCCCGGACACTGAGGTCCAGCGCCGAGGGCCTTCTGGCGGTTCCCTCATTGCGAGAAGTGAGGTTACAGGGAAGCAGGCAGAGGGCCTTCTCTGTAGTGGCGCCCGCCCTGTGGAACGCTTTCCCATCAGATGTCAAGGAAATAAACAACTATCTGACATTTAGAAGACATCTGAAGGCAGCCCTGTTCAGGGAAGTTTTTAATGTGTGACATTTTAATGTATTTTTTAATCTTTGTTGGAAGCCGCCCAGAGTAGCAGGGGAAACTCAGCCAGATGGGCAGGGTACAAATAATAATTATCTCCAGGTCTTCTCTGTTTCATCTTTAGAGGTGCATTTGGCAGGACAATACTTTTAAAGCTCTCTTATACCACTTTGACAGTCATGGAGGATCCTGGGAACTGTAGTTTAAGGGTGCTCTGAATTGTAGGTCTCTGGGGGAAGCCATGACTGTTATGGTGTAAGAGTTTAAATGAATGGTGTGGATGTGACCTGATATTTTCGTCTCATGAAGATCTTTTTGTAAAAAAAGAATTGGGAACCTTTTGGTTTTGGGCATTCCCTAATGGTTGGTGCAGAGTTTAGGATTCTTGGGCTGTTTCTAGGCAGGTGTTCCTTGTGGGATCGGTGCTCCTCATTGCAGCATCCATACATCAAAATGCCAGTCCGTATTTCTCCCCTTTAAATTTTGGATTAGAAAGGTTCAGAAAAGGGCAGTCAAAATGATTGGGGGGAATAGAACAACTCTCCAACAAAGAAAGGTTGCAGCATTTCAGACTTTTTGGTTTAGAGAAACAGTGCGTAAGAGTTGACAGAAGTTGACGAAATTATGCATAGCATGAAGAAAAAGGATAGACAAATGTTTTTCTCAGTCTCTCCACACTAGAATTTGTGGACATTCAGTGAAACTAATGTTGGAAGATTCAGGACAGAGAAGAGAAAGCACTGAGTTACTTTGTAAAGCACAATGTGTATTTGTATGAGAGAAACAAAGGTAGGGATATATATTTTCTAGATAAAAATGTGTAACATGTAACCAGGCACAAAATAGTTTAAAAGTTATTTGTATGCAGTAATGGCAAGCCAAAAAAGAAAAGAAAAAAGACAGAACACCAGGTGCTAGAAATAAGATTTACTCCAGGTCTGATGTATTTTATAAAAAACAAAAACAAAACCAAAAACCTTCCTCAGGAGCGCTGTAAATATATGAGTAACATAACACAGGAAATCAGCTATTAAGTACTGTACAAAATACTGTATAATAATGGGTTCCAGCTGATATAAATGGTTTGTTAATGGGGGTTTTTTTGCTTACTTCTGAGCCTCACTAATGGGAATTTTTGGTAGTTCTCGATATTTAGGAGTTGCCTCATTTGTATGTTTTCTGCTTTCAGCAAGGTTTTGTTATACATTTTGTTTACACACCTTCAATTCCTCCACTAACTTTTTCTTTTTACAAGAGTTAGATTGAAAACTTTTGTCTGGTAATATATTCAATACAGTGGTCCCTCTGGTTACATACTTAATTCATTCCGGAGGTCCCTTCTTAACCTGAAACTGTCCTTAACCTGAAGTACTACTTTAGCTAATGGGGCCTCCTGCTGCTGCTGCGCCACTGCTCCGCAATTTCTGTTCTCATCCTGAAGCAAAGTTCTTAACCCGAGGTACTATTTCTGGGTTAGCGGAGTCTGTAACCTGAAGTGTATGTAACCTGAAGCGTATGTAACCTGAGGTACCACTGTATGTGATTGTGTGAATGGAGGTCTCTTCAGGCATTCAGCTGAACATGCGAGTGCCAAACTATGTAGGGTGTGTGCGCACGCATTCATGCCAGGTCTGACTCCGGTATGGTTGTGCTTGCTCTCCCCTTGCTCAGCCACCGTGTTCTGCTTTGTAAGTCTCTTTGAGCTGCTTTTGTGGGTGGGGGGGGAGTTAAGTAAAATTAATTGATGATAATGTTTCATGGGGAACTCTGCATAGGGATTCAATTTGCATTTGCTCAAATGCGAGGAAAACTCTGCGTGGTCGAGAACTCTGATAATGGCACCTGAATAAGTGTTACGCATTATATTTTGGACTTGCTATCCCATTTCTTACATGTATTGTTTGTATATTTATACTGCCCTGAGGAAGTATTCCTTCCCCCAAAACACTTTGGGCCTGGAATAAATTTCTGGCACTTGGGATTCTTTCCTCTCTTACTGCCTGCTGTTGGTGCCACCTGGCCTTTGCGCGTAGCAAAATGGCAACCGCGAGGGCGTCCTTCCATTTTGGAGTGGCGCAGGGAGGCCTCTGTATCTCCTCGAGGGCCCAAAGGCGTCACTCTGTGTACGAAGGGGGCCTGTTGAATTTGCAACCACTTTGCAGGGAGGCCGGCGTGCATCAGGAGCTTTAAAGTATTGCTGTAACTCCGCTGAAGAAAGGGTGGCGGCAGAGTGGGCTTGCAAAGCTGAGGGGACAAGACACTCTTTCAGGGTCAGGTCAACAGGTGACATCATGCATTAGAAGGGTTGAGTTTGTCACGTGGACACCTGTGGAGGTGGCTCTGCCCAGTTATGCCGCATGAGGTAATATTGACACGGTTACAACTGCAGCCTTGAGAGACGCCTCCCTGTCATCCAGTTTCCTCCTCGGAGCACTCCCTCCTGCTCCATATCCCATTTATGAATGGTGCAGTGTGCTCAGTGACTCCCCACAAATAAATTCACTTGTATATATCCCATTTTCTCTCTCTGCCCCACCTCCCCCCAATGCAGATTGTGTTCCCCGAAGTCATGTGAGCTAATCCAGAGTCCTCATGCCTCCCCACCCCCCATAATCCCGTGCTGCTCTCTGCCCTTGAATGGGATACAATAGCTTTGGGTGGGAGTGGCCGTCTTGAGCAAATACGCCGGTCAGGTGTGTTTGCTTTGGGTGGGGAGCTGGCAACCTTTGCTGAGGTGATTATGTTTGCATCAGAGGCTGTCGAAAACAAAGCTGGGAGGATGTTAAAGATCCATCCTATATAAAGTTTGTGCAACCTGTTTCTTTTTTTCTTTTCCTGTCCAGGGGTGGGGAAAAGCAGTCTTCTACTTCGCTTTGCGGACAACACCTTCTCTGGTAAGTGCTGCCCTCTGTTCTCACTCATTAGATAGCCGGTGTGGGACTCGGACCCAAGAGTGACCAGGGTTCGAATCCCCGCTCAGCTACGAAACTCAATCTGCACCATCAGAATGAAGTTCAGGAGCCAAAAAGTTGTATTGAAAAAGATGACTTTTGAACTGTCTGCTCCCAAAATGGCAACTAGGCACTCCATTTTTGCGACTGTAACCCTGGTTTAAGCAGCCATTTGGCACCTAGCTTATTGATATGAGTTTCTAACGCTGGAGCCACATATGCCGCCTTGAGCGCTTTGGAAGAAAATGGGATAAATAAAGAGCTGTTCTCAACACAGAGATCAGGTAGGAGCCAAGACTGCCAACCTATCAATCATATTGCAACAGCGGCCATATTCGCTCATTCTTTCAGCCTCTGCCTCAGGTCTTATGAAAGGGAGAGCAGGGACGAGCCCATTGTCCCCACTGCCTCTTGCACGTTTCCCATTCATGCAGCCCCTTTCCATGTGTTGGGGGGCTGAATGCCAGCAGAAGGGGCTACGGGAAAAGGCTCCCTATGTAATGTAGAACCCAGATCTTCCTGCAGTCTTAAACCATGCAGAGTCTGCTTGAGTAGAGCAGAGTCCTCGCTGCAGGTATTCAGATGAAGATGAGACACTTGCCCAAAGCCACCCTGTGAATCCGTGGCTAAAGGTGGGATTATCCCCTAGACCCAACCTGCATCTCAGCCCAGTTTTATCCACTGTGATGACTGCAATGTCCTTTGGTGTTTCAGCCACCACATCGTAAGCGCCCTTTGACTCCAAGAATTATGAGTTGCCTGTTTTATGGTCACCTGTTTCTATCTCTGTGTTCTACATATTTTTATCTTCCTGTTATCTGTAGTTCCCCATATGTGTGTGTGTGTGTGTGTGTGTGTGTGTGTATATATATATATATATATATATATATATCGAAATATATATATATTTCGGGGGGGGGGGGAGTGTGATTTCCCACTGGAAAATTTCTAATTTTGTTAAATCTCCCTGCCAGTATTTTTCTCCTCCTGTCCTCTGACTTCCCTTCCGCATGTCTCTCTCCCAGGCAGCTATATCACAACCATTGGGGTCGATTTCAAGATACGGACGCTAGTGATAAATGGAGAGCGAGTGAAACTGCAGATCTGGGACACGGCTGGACAGGAACGGTTCCGAACCATCACTTCCACGTAAGCATGGCACAGATGTGGGGTATGCCTGGGTATTCTAGGGGCAGGATGGAGGGTGGAGGTGATGTGGATTGGCTCTGATGCACGTATGTGGGGAGCAAGCCACCTTGAAACTTAGTTAACAGGTGGGATATAAATCCACAATGAAAAGATGTGGAAGGTTTGGGATTTCTGGTTTCAGAGCAAATAACCCTTTTTTCATGTTTTCTGGGAGAGGCGCAGAGGTTTATTCTAGGATAGGGAACCCATTTTACGGTCTTTCTTTCTCCTGTGACAGGTATTACCGTAACACGCATGGTGTCATCATCGTCTATGATGTGACGAACGCTGAGTCCTTTGTTAATGTCAAGCGTTGGCTGCACGAGATTGGGCAGAACTGTGACAGCGTCTGCAAGATCTTGGGTGAGTGAATCAGAGTTGAAATCCTAGCTTCCCACATTCAGTCGTCTAGTGTTTAACGGACATGTGTTCACAGTATACTGAAACCTAGTTATCTATGCTGAAGGCCAAAAGATTTTCCCAAGATGCAGTGCTCTTATTCATGCCAGGTCAGGTGGAAGCAGATAAGTATGACTTGTATTTTAACTTTGGGATGTACCAGTGGGTTTGGGGAACAGGAAGCCTAAGCCCTGCGGTTTAGGCTAGAATCACACAGAATCTCATAGTGCATTCTGGTTAATCTAGGAGCAAATATGCACTTCTGAGCCATCAGTGGAAGTTCTTTCTGGACTGCTGTGGCTTCATTTGTGGATGGAACAGGCTGTGGAGGTGATGATTTAACCCCCTTTAGAAATATTAGAAATTGCCTAACATTTTCTAAGCGTTGCACGTATATTAAGAGGCAAGATGCTCTGCCCGCAGGCTCACAAGCAAATAGACGTGATACAAAAGAGAAAGGAATGGAGATCAAAGCAAATGCTGGCACAGCCAAAGGATGGTCTCCCCGCCCCCAGTGTTCTTTCTGGGAGGCAGCAGGGGGTATAGCCTTCATGCAGCCCTAAGTCACCTGTCTGGTGGTGCACTGTGTTCCTTCATGCCGGGAGAAGGGAAGCACTGCATCCTGTGTGCAGTTGCTTGGAGTGGGGTTCAGACCATGTGCACTTAATGGGTAGCAGGGTCTTGTGCAGATAATTTTCCCCCCATCACCTCCTTTCTGATCCTTAAAAAAAACAAAAAACTTAAGGTACCAGGGCTTGACCTTGGACTTTCCATGTGAGAAGCATGTGCTGTACAACTGAGCTAACGTCACAGGTGGCTTTAAAGCTTTTTCTAGGGAAAGTTGTTCCTATCAACTTAAATTGGTGCAATAAATGGCTCTCTGATCTAACCTGACAATCTGGTTTCTGTTGAGCGGTTGTACTGCCTTGGCTTGGTAGCTTATGGGGCAATTTTCCTTTGAATACTCTGGTTTGGGAATTAGCTGCACTCTTTTTGTCTATACTGCTGGTACTCTTACAGTATTTCCTCTGGTAATAATTAAGGCTGCTGGATGCCTCTTTGTTGCATTTGATTCCGCTTCTGATTCCTCCTCCTTCCTCTCCCCCAAATTGTCATCAGTGGGTAACAAATGCGAGGACCCATCGCGGAAGCAAGTGGAGACAGCTGACGCCCGGCGGTTCAGTGAGCAAATGGGAGTCCGCCTCTTTGAAACCAGCGCCAAGGAAAACCTCAATGTGGAAGAGGTATTGGACCGGGGTGTGGGTGAGGGTGGAGACGGGAAGAATGAAAACACACAGTACCTATAGAGCAGGGATGGGGAACCAATTTGGCCCCCCAAACCACGCCCCCTTGCCCCTCAGTGAGGTCAACTGGTGGGTAGGAGGATAGGGTTTAATCCTGCATTGGTTGTGAACAGGACTGCATAGCCTAGTCGGCAGGATTTAATTTTGAGTCATCAGTGAATTAAATATCGGAACCTTAAATGGGAAGTGGGGTGGGCCTCTTCCTTTTCAAGTTCCTGATCTTGGGGACTTGAAAGAGAAGAGGGAGGTTTGCAAAAAGCCTTTGCAAGCCTCTTTGCTTGCCTTTCAGCTCCAGAGCTTGTTCTGATCTTGAGCGTGTGGGAGAAGAGGCTTGCAAAAGGGGTTTTGATTGGTGGGTGCCCTTGCTGCATGTCAGTCACGAGGCACAATAATGTGATTGACAGGTAGGTGCTCTCTCAGCCACCCATCCACTTTATCCTGCGAGGCAGATCCTGATAAGGATTTGGCCTGTGGAGCCAAGAATATCCCCCACTCCCTATTAGAGAAATGCCACTGTGCCTAATGGGTGTGTGTGTGTGTGTATGCGCGCGCGTTGTTGGTAGGGAAAGGCAGGCTCATCACTCTGTATTTTTCCTCCGCTACAGATGTTCAATGCCATCACAGCCATGGTGCTCCGGACTAAACAGGAAAATCTGGCACGGCTCCAGCAGCAGAATGAGGTTGTCAAAATCAACAAACCCAAAAAGAAACCCTCCGTCAAGAAATGCTGCTGAAGGGACAGCCCCTGTGTTCTCCTCTTCCTCCCCGCCCCAAAATCCTGAGAATGACTGACTGGACTGTGGAAGGGCTGGTTGGGTGGGTAAAAATAGCTGCCGTTATGTGTGCATGTGTGGTGGGGGAAGGGGGGGGCCTGGAATCCTGGCGGGAGGGCACGGGGGTCTGTGTGAAATAATGCCCACAGCACTGGAATGGCACTCCCCTCCCCACAACCCTTGGAGAGGTTGAGTTGCTGGAATGGAAAAATCTATATACTGGCGCTGAAATCCCTTCTTGCGTTGGGGATAGAGGCAGGGGAACATTGAAGAGCATTAAAAACAAACAATGCTGAAACAAATTGCATAAAGGTGATGAATAGGAGGATGAGGGGCATTTTCTACTTCCAGAAAACAAAAATAACCTCTGCAGTGTTGCCTATAAACTCTCTTCTCATGTATTTTACTTCTCGTCTTCCTCTGCCCTCCATTCCCACCCTGTGTTGCCATGGCGCAGTGCAGCTCGAGTATCCATTGTTGGGTCACTGTGATACGTGTGTGTGTGTTGCGGGAGAAAGATGTGTATTTCTTTTTAAGGGGGGAGGACAATACAGCTGTACCTGTGACTAATGAGGGGTAGGATGAAACTGGGGGAATCCAGTGCCTCAATTCACAATACTTCACCTAGCAATAGTGGGGATTGCCCCAATTTTCTTCTTGGCTTGCGTTTGCTAAGAAATGTGGTCAGAATACTGTCCTGAGGCCTGGGTTAAAAACCAGGGTGCAAACCTCTCCCACTGGGTCTGGAATAGGATTGTTCATCTCTTCCCCATAACCCCTTCTCCAGTCTCATGTATATTCATATTCAAAACAAGGCTGGGGTTGGAAAGGTCTCTTTGAAACCTCCCTGCCTTGTATTAGCAATTGGGGTACCATCCTGTCAGCCCAGCCTCCCTCCTGAAACCGAGGAACTAATCAGAAGGTGTGTATATGCCAAACTTGGAATATGAAACACTCTTTGGATCTGGGAGGTGGGTCTCCACCCCGCAACTCCAAAATGGTGGGTACAACAGGGTTGAAATTGTATCTGCCCTCCCACCTCTGTCTTTAAATATGGGGACCTTCTGACTGTGCAATACGTCTGCTTCATGAATTATTTTATATACACAAAAATGAATTATGTACATAATTAAAACATCTTGTGTTAACCCACTGCTAATGGCATTAAACCTGTCAAGGAGACACCACTGTTCAATAAAGAAATTTAGATATGAAACCACCTCTTATTCTTTTATTTCTCCAAAGCGTGGCTACCCATCCTTTGGTGCCAAGAGGGATTTTTTTTGTCATATTTCCATCTGTTGGTACCCTCTGGAGTAACATCTTGTTTTCAGCTCTCTGGAAGTAAAAGGTCAAGATGCTGCTCCCGCAAGGAAAGAGAAAATGATAGTTGATCTTCACACAAACATTTTTTTTTTGTAGGGTGGGGTATCAGCTCTCTGATAAAATAAAAAGGAGAAGTTCAGAAAGCTCATTTTGAAATTGCTTCTAAATAGCAATATTAACATTCTAAGTCATAGCACCTTGAGACACCACAGTTGCACTTTTTCCTAAGTACTGGCATCTTTCCTATTGGAAAAGAAAATAGTAATATGCACACACACCAGAAATGACCACTCACACATTTTTACATCTAGTAGAGGGGAGAGGATCAGATCATTGCAGTTGGTTGAAAAATGATGGGTGTTCCTATGTTGCTGTAAAAAAAATTGCAATCAAATGTGTTGATGCTGGATAATGATGTCATTTGTTGAAAGTCTGACAGGCCAACCGGAAAAAGAGAGTTTTGGCTTTAGACCAAGATGGGTGAAAGCTCATATTTCCATTTCCTCTTGTATTGTTGCTGCTTCTTGCTGAGGCTGTGCAGGAGAGCTGAGGGCAGATGGGATAGCCATCAATGTCCGGATACTGTGAAAGCCTGAGTTACTAGGAGGGCTCCAAAGGACCACTTCTGTACAAGGATTCCTGTAAGAATGAGGGAGGATGCTAGTTACTGATGCAAATGATTTTGCTTTCCAGTGTTCCTCTTTTCTTCCCAAGTCTTGTGCTATACTTACAGAGAAAGAAATACCTCTTCAGGCACAAGGCTGACTCCTCCAACGGGCTCTTGTAGGAAGGAAGGATGTGCCAGTATGGGGCAATCTGCCATAATGAATTCCCCATCCACAAGCACACTGTTGTGCTCATCCTCATCTGAACTAGCTTCTTCACTTGCTCCATCTTGGGACAGCCTAAGAGAGAGAAAATCTCACACAATGAAGCCTTGTTATTCTGCTTCTCTGACTGCCCCCCCTCACAAAGCAGTGGTCCCCAGTACCTCTGCTGCAGTTCTTTCAAGCGTGCATATGCCTCCTGCCACTTGGGATCTTCATCGTAGAGAGGGAAACCATTGGAGCTGTAGACATGGTCATTGTCCAGGCTAAGAGAGTTGAAGCGGGCAGCCATCTTGTCCTCTGAGAGGAAGTGTTTGGAACTGGGTTCCCTGTTGGGGCACAGAGAGCAATGGCAAGGAGTCCAGGGTCCAGTGACACCAATCCTGTCCTGTACCAATTCATGCCAAGCTCGCTTTCCCCACTCTGCCCTTCAGCATGGCCCATCATGCACTGTAGCACATTAAAAGTTCATTTGGCATTTTTAGTGTCGGATACAAAAAGCACACACTTACTTAAATGAAAATTGCATGTTCAATAGTTTATTCATTGTTCTCAGAAAACTACAATGGAATATATTTAATCAGCAAAAAAAAAAACAACAACCCCAAAGCTTTTAAGAAAAAAACATGATGCAATTGTAACCTGTATATGGAAGAAGAAAGTGGAATATGAATATGGAAGTTTCTAGCCCCAATCGCTTCATGCACCAGCCATAACTCCTCATCTTATGTCACACTTACTGATCTCTATGCTCCAGATGGCGTTTGAAAGCGAAGGATGTTGACCGGCACCTAAAACAAAAAGCTACAGTTGTACTTGAGACCCAAAGATCCCCCCACGCTAGTTGCTCTTCTCCCACTGGCCTACTCTTTTACCATAATTATAAAAGCTGTGCTTCTTCCTCTTTGCAGACCCCAAAGTCCATGGATTTGCAGGACCCCTCCTTCCTTCCCCACAGCACTGAATTAGGTTTTTTCTCTTCTCCCCACCCACACCCACCCAGGGCCATAGCTAGGGAGTGGTGAGGTGGGGCCCAGCCAGGGGCGCAGGCAAGGAGGGGGAGCAAAATTGGCTAAAAATATGTACATAAATAGGTCTATAAATAAAAGGTTTTAAATAGGAGTGTGAATTGAATTGGTTGGGGGCGGGGTTGGAGGAGAGGCGGAAAGAGGAGCTAATTTGTCCATGGCTAGGGGGCGCAATCTGGACGGTTCTGCCAGGGGCGCAAGATCACCTAGCTACAGCTTTAAGGCCCTTTACAGAACCAGAATGCTTGAAGGACTGCGTACTTCTATTTATACCTTAAGATATTTAGCCAATAATCTTCTACAAGTGTACCTGCCATCTGAGACAAGGTATGAGACAGCAGGAGTGAAATACCTCCCCCAGAGAGGCTTGCCTAGTGCCTACTTTGTTATTTTGCTGGGAAGTAAATACATTTAAAATGTTTTACACTGCTGAGTTTCACTGTCTTGTTACAGTTATTTTACCTAAATTGTGTGTGAACTGTATTGTAAAGTGCCTTCAGAATATATAAAGTCCTGTAATCAATTAAGTTCCCTGAAAGTTTATGACTGTAGCCCACTGTCTGCCCTTTTGCCTCTTTCCTTCAGAACTAAGCTGCAAAATAAAAAGCCCAACAAAATGACTGCATTTTCCTTCTCTGGCATGTTTTTTAAAGCTTCCAGCAGGTCGGTCACCTTTTTGCCTGTGAATAAATGCCAGAGAGGTGGGCGCTATCAAAATCCACTTTTCTCTCCCTCAGCCCATCCTCAAAATGTATCCTTTCCTCTTCACCCAAGCAAAAAGCCTCATTGTGCACATGCTTACCGGGACTGCTGTATTTTACTGAAGTTCACCAAGCCCTGGCTTTGCCTTATCCATGGCATTCTGCGTGCTGTGTGCCGCTGCCTGCTGGAGGGCATGGTGTGGCTCCAACCCCTGCTCCCAGCCAAGAAGGAGCAGCACGTGGATGGGCTGGATGGAATAATTGTTGGCGATTGCTGGCCAGTTGTCTGATCCATCTGTGAGGTAAAACATAAAGGGGGTTAAACTGAGACTCTCCTCTGTAGCGCTAATCCTGCCCTGTTAGTGCAAGGGAGCTCCTGAATCACACTAACCTGTGAAAAAGCTGTCTATTTTTAAAGGATTGTTCTGGAGCCTTCAGCCCAATGCAAAGTGGAGCTAGTATACTGATGGAAGTGGGTCGTTGAAAAGGATTTGAGAGCATCTTAGGGTTTATACTTGGTTCAGGCAGAACACTGACCAGGCCTGAAGAGCCTTCCCATTACCCTGTATATGACTGAGCATGGCCGATGATCCTCTGAAGCTGTGCACTTTAGGGGGCAATTGATATGAGCAAGGAAGCTGGTCTCACGTGATCTTTTTATTAAGTGGGCCCTTTGCATACTGTTTAATTCTATTTGTTCCTATTTTGTCTGTAAGCCGCCTCAAGTCTCTGCCGGGGAAAAGGGGTGGTGCATGCATGCATAAATTCCTTTGAAAAGCCACTGCATTAGATATTGCACCTGTTGTCTTCAGGCGCTTTTCCAGCTGCTCATTTTGAGACGTAAGGCTGAGTCCCACATACAAAGCTCCTTCCTGTTTCTTATCAGGTAAGGTCTTTATCAGAGGGGTCTCTGCAGATGCTCTTTAGGTTTCCAACACCTTAATTAAGCAAAGTGTTTCCATCAGATAGTGGTGGTCTTTACACTGGATAACTCTTGGAAGTTGTGCATAAATCTAGAACACAGTGTGTCTGTTCAAAGTAATACCTGATGTAAGGTTACCAGATGTCCCTGTTTCCGGGGGACAGTCCCTGCATTTACAAATCAGTCCCCTGACAAATTCCATCTATTTAGTAGGAAGTTGAAAAGTGTCCCTGGATTCATTGAAAAAAAATCTGGTAACCTTAACCTGATGGTTGTGTAGGATTCAGTTCTACCATCCTTAAAAGTGTTATGTGTGTTTTTGATTTTGAGGTTGCTAATGTGTTAGTGATAAATCTGCAACTGCCCCTTTTTGTCCTAAAGGCTCATGATATAAAAAGGACAGCAGGTCGCTCTCCCGTGATCCTTAAGGCCACTTCAGGATAAAGGAAGTTTGCCTTGACCCGACTAGCGCTTAGCTCTGCCTGCCAAGGTTTGGGAATCCCAGCAGCCTTTGCGCTCACAGGCAGCCATTTAAAGGCGCTCCCATGATGCCTTGCTACAGGGCTAACCGAAATAACGGAATCCCAAGATGCTTTGCGCTCGCGGAGCTTTGCCACAACCTGGTGGGCGTGTCCACTCCACAGGAAAGGGCGTGGTTATATTCAAGGTGGGGCAGGGCGCCCCTTGATTCTCTGAGGCACGTGCGGCTAACGCTGTGCGGTGGAAGGAACGTGACGCCAGTAACGGTCGGTGCAGACAGGCACGCGCGAGGGGGAGGCGGGTTAGAATGCGGGTCTGGAGATAGCGTCTGCGCATGCGCCGTTAATATAGCGGCAGGGGATTCAAAAATAGATCTCTCTTACCGGTCGGAGTGTGTTCCTCACGCTGCTCTTCACAATGGCGGCGCTTCTACAGCAGCCTGGGGAACCAGCAGGGTGTAAACCAGCCACCAAATTTCGTTTTCACGTGACGAGCGAGGAGGGGGGGAAACCCTCCGATACTCGCGCGAAGTGTGCCGGGAAACGTAGTTCCTTTTTACACTCTCGGTCCATGTTGCTTTGACCGCGCAGCCTCCGAATCCCGTCGTGCCTTGCGCTTTCTCGTCGCTCCGGCTCTTTGTAATCATAGAGACGAGACAAAGTCTCAAGGGCTCGTGCGCGCGCCCCCTAGTGTCCGACTTTGGCATTGGCCTCGTTAAGTGAAGGATAAAGGAAAGCGCGTCGCTTCTGCACCGAATGAATGGAGCGCGGGCGCGTCTGGCTCCCATTGACCGGGGCGGGTTTGCATGAGCAATTTAACATCGCGGTCGTTTGCGTGCTTACTCAGAAGTAAGTCCCACTGTGTTCAATGGGCTTACTCCTCGGACAGTGTGCATAGAGTGTGCGCTTTGCCTGGACCAACGTTTGCTGCAATGCGGCTCCTCTTTTTGCTCCGCGCTCAGCATTATCAAGTGGTTTTTTAATTTTATTTTAAAGGGAACTCTGCATTTCTGTTAAGCTGCTTTTCTTATAAATCAAACTCAAGGTAGCTTGATAGAGAAAAACATATAAGCATCGCAGCAAAATTAAAACTCAAAACCAAGGCAGCTTACCATCAAAATATAAATCGTGACCAAATTAAACAAGCAGTAGCAAAACAAAAGCGTTATGTTGACCCATGGGGCATTTTAAAAACTCACATTAGATGCAGTGTTTACATCTCCTTTTGTCGAGGGAGCCATATGATTTGCAGCGTGTAGTGGGGGTAGGGAACTGGTGGCCGTGCTGATATTTCTGGACTACAATTCCCATCATCTCTGATCGTTGGTCATACTCACTGGAGCTGATGGGAGCTGGAATCAGCCCCCCCCCCCCAATCTGGTGAGCCACAGGCTCCCTACTCCTGATGTACCCTATTTTGCCTTGCTGGAAACCCCACATGCTTTGGGATCATTTGTCGCACCCCTGTGTGAGGCTCATTGGACATGGGGAGCGTGTAACATGGCAGCCTGTTCTGTGGTTCCATGTACTGCACTGGGATGCTGGTGAGACCAGTGTGTCATACTGGAGAGATCTTGCTCCCATCTTACCTATTGACATCTAAGGCCAGGCTGCCTAGATCTACACTTTGGTATATTGCAGGAATTAGCTTTACAAAAAATTGAGCTTGGTCAAGCTCCGCAGCAGGTAAATCAACTACATAGGTGGGATTTTCTTTTGCCAAGGATGGAATCTGCTTATACTGTAGTGCAATCAGGGCTTGGGGTGGGACATGCCTGGGCAAATAAAACAGTATTTCCTAGGAAAGCTAGAACCAGCATCCATCCAGGCAGCACTTGCTTCCTTGACTTCTCCTGCTTGTTCCTCTTGCCAGATGGATATTCAGCGATCCCTGGAACTCTTGCACATGACTGTCTACTCCCAGAGCGTCTCACCATGTGGCAAGTACTTGGCAGCCGGGAACAACTATGGAGAGATTGCCATCTTCAGGTAATTGGGCGCCTCTTAACACAGACTGTGCTCTATTGGGAGAGGAAGGAAGTGTCTCTGCATTTCCTCACACCTCTGTGTTTCTTCCTCTCCAGCCTTTCTGCAGCACTGAGTTCAGAGGCTAAGGAGGAGAGCAAGAAGCCAGTGGTGTCCTTTGTAGGTAGGTGAAAAATACAGCCTCTACTGGAATTGTTTTTAAGTTGCTTTTATCGTTATGTTGCCTGTTGTTGCTGCCCTGGGCTCTTTCGGGAAGGCTAACGGGATATAAACAAATAACAACAACTGCAAGGAGTCCAGGAACTCCCAAGATGCATTGAGCATTCATTCCCATGCCAACCTGCTTGTTTATTACGGTTGGCCGTTTGTGGCAATGCCAGGAGTTCCCATAAAGCAGATCCCCAGGCCCAGCGTCAGCATGCAGCATTGGCTGGGCTCCAGGAGAGCCTGTGTGGCTAATGCTGGCATCAATCAATCAATCAATCAATCAATCAATCAAGGGCCTGGCCCTGAGATGAGAAGCACTGGGCTGGGTGGCTCCACCTTCCACCCCAAAAATGCCCCCAGCCTTTGGGCCCTTACATGGGGCCTCTCCATGTGTCATATTTATTGTACATTCATGATTATTTGTGCTTATGATGGTATCGGGACAGTTATTCGCAGTCCTGCTTTCAATAATAATAATAATTTATTATTTATACCCCACCCATCTGGCTAGGTTTCCCCAGCCACTCTGGGTGGCTTCCAACAGAATATTAAAAAACACAAGAAATCATCAAACATTAAAAATTTTCCTAAACAAGGCTGCCTTCAGATTTTTTCTAAAAGTCAGATAGTTTATTTCCTTGACATCTGAAGGGAGGACATTCCACAGGGCAGGCGCCACTACCGAGAAGGCCCTCTGCCTGGTTCCCTGTAACCTCACTTCTCGCAGGGAGGGAACTGCCAGAAGGCCCTCGGAGCTGGACCTCAGTGTCCAGGCTGAACGATGGGGGTGGAGACGCTCCTTCAGGTATTCTGGGCTGAGGCCTTCTGTGAGGCATCACAGAGGAACTAATAAAGCAGAATGATGTGTGGATGATTGTATAAACCAACCACCAACACACTATTATTGCGCCAATGATGCATTGCAGGCTACACCTGAAAAAAACCCAACACCTCAGTCTGGAGGGGCCTGTGCATCAGTGCCATTATTCAGTGCCACCGCCTGCCCCTGCCATCCCTCTAAAGTGCCAATCTGGAGACCCTGCCCCCACCTTAGCTGGGTGCCTGTGTGATGATTTGCCGTGTTGACATACCTAACACGACTCCTTTAATTTTAAGGGCCCTTCACTGAGTGGAGCAGTGGGCCGAGTGGTCACAGTGGCCTCTCCTTCTCACAGTCCTGCCCCTGCTGATTGGTAAGCTAACCAAGGGAGGGGGCTCTCCCAGGACTGTCCTTGCCCCCAAGGCCCCCTTGAATCTGGCCACGGGCTTGCAAGCCCTCTGCAAATGAGATGGAAATAAAATGCATTCCTGGCAAGGTTAAACTTCAGGGTGGCAAGCTGGGGATTTCCCAGAATGCACTTCACCACTGCCATGCCAAAATCCATCCATTTCAGGTGCTTCTTCTTCCCACAGCTCACGAAGGTCCCGTCTATGCCCTGGTTTCCACAGACCGGCAGCTGCTCAGTGCTGGCAATGGGGAAGTCAAGGCCTGGAACTGGAGTGAGATTGTGAAGAAGGTAAGGGCGGCTGGCTCATCGGTTCCCCTCCCACGTTTCTCCCGACTTCCTTTTGACTGTGTTCCTCTTAACCTTCTTCTGCCCTCTGCCGCAGGGTTGCAAAGAAGCCTGGAGCAGGAGGCCGCCTTATGGGTATAACTTTGATTTCCCCCTTTCACCATTGCCATCTTTTCTTCCTCTTTATGCATGTACAGATGGCAAAAATTCTCTCTTTGCTTTTCTGCTCAGGAGCAGCTTGGAGGTGCCAGAAATCAACAGCCTTCAGCTGAACCTCAAGGTACAGGCGCAGCGCAATATGGGGAGGGTTTGGCATGGTTCACTCATCTGCCTCGGCCTCATTCTTGCTGCTTCTCCCCCTTCCTCCTTCAGGATAATAGTCTTCTAATGGCTGGGGGAGACTGTTCCATTCACATGATGGATCTGGAATCTGGCGCCTTCACGGTGAGTCGTGCCTCTAGCATCATGGGGCTGATGAAATGCAGGGAGAGAGGAGGTTTATTTAAGGCAACTCCTTCTCATCTCCTACAGGGGCTTCTCTGCATTAGAGTATCCCAAAATTGTTATTATAAACTGGAAATAAATCCTCTTAATCTGTCAGATTCTCAATTTCCAAACTCCAAGGCTTTCCCCCTTGTTTATGGTTATTGAAAACTTAATAAAAATAGCTTTTCAGGATTCTGTGTTGTTCTGCAACAGCAATAGAGTATCATAATATAATTTCTCAGTTATTCTGTAGCATATCTCTGCAGCCTCCAGAATGTGTCCTACCTCCATCCACTGCAAGTCATACTCTGTTTCGTCTCTCTCTGTCACAGCATGAATATCAAGGCCACACCGATTATATCCACTGCCTGGCCCTTCGAGACCAGCTCAGAGAGTGCCTGTCAGGGAGTGAGGATGGCACCGTGCGCCTTTGGGGTGAGGATCTGCAGCCTCCTTGCCGCCTGCTGTTTCTCTGAGAGATCGTCTCCCCATATAATCCCTGCCCCGTGCTTTAAAATCAGTTGGGCAGATCCCATCTGCATGTCCCATCTCTGAAGGAAGCCAAATCTGAACCCTGTCAGGGTAGGGCCTTCTCAGTGGTGGTGACCCCGCAGTCCTGAAACAGGCGTCTTGGTTACTTATGTTCGCTGATTTGAATATGACTCGGGCAACATCCACACCATACATTTAAAGCGCTATGATACCTTTAACAGATATAAAAAACCCTGTGAACTGTAGTTGGTCAACAGTGCAGGAAACTGTAGCTATGTGAAGTCAGCACTCTGAGCAAACCACAGTTCGCAGGATTCTCCGTGACTGTTAAAAGTGGTATCATCCTGCTTTAAATGTATGCTGTGGATGTAAGCCATCTTTGGGTATCAATCTGTGCCTTTTAAACTTCTGTTCTCTGTTATATGGCTAATGGTCGTAAGGTTTGTTTTAACTCTTGGATTATATCTTAGATTCCATATTTGTTTGCTCTTAGCAGTTTCTTGAAAAGCAGGGCGGATGCCACTTACTTAAAGGTGATTCAGGGAATATCTTCAGAATGTTTGGGGACGAGCCAATGCCACAGGGATCCCACTGCTCCATTTTCTTCCAATCTCTTTAGATGATCAGTTGCTGACACCCCCTTTGGCTTGTTTTCTAGGACTGGGATGGTGTATATGCAACATAGTAAGCTGCCTATACTGAGGCCTGTGGTCCATCTAGCAACATGTTGTCTATGGTTAATGGCAGGGGTTTCAGGTGGGGTCCCTCCCACCCCTTAGTAGAGATGCTGAGGATTGAACCAGGGTCTTTCTGAATGCAAACAGATGATCTGCCACTGAGCTACAGTTGACTAGACAAACCATGGACTTTATTTCTCTCTCTTTGCAGATTTACGTACTGGAGGTCAGGTTCAATCAATTGAAGTACATAAATATGAGGTAATGTAATCATCATCATCAACAACTTTATTTTTAATGTAAGAAGGCATCAAACAATAATCATAAAGGAAAACAAACAATAAAAGATTAGTTATAATAAAGCAAAATTAAGTATATGACTGGATATTTTCCTGAGGTTTGTCATTCCAAAACATCATAAACAAACTGTTGTTCCATAGATTAGGTTGGCTGTTGTTATTTATGCATTCTCCTGTAATATGTCAGTTTAGATAATGGAGCTATTATATTCCACGTTTTATGAAACCACTCAGATAAATAGTGGTCTAATTGACCACTATACTGATCTTAGCAGCAATGAGAAAGATTAATAGCCCATTTCAAAATCACCATCCAGGATTAAACCCTTTTAGATAACCTTATGAGGTATTGCAGTTTTATCCCATTTCCCTCTGCCCCAGGGAACACAGTGCCTTCCTATCCCTCCACATTCTTCCATTCTCCATCTATCCAGAAATTTTAAAAATAATTTACAAAGTAGAGAAAAATATGCAAACTAAGCTGCTGTTATTATCAAAGTGTTTGCAACTCCTCAAAACAACCCCTAATAAAAACTAGGAACCTATATTAACGGGAGACAACCTCACACTTGCGATCTCATATTTTATTGAAGAAAAACCTTTGAGGAAATGGAGCCCTTACTCATTTTCGATAACCAGCTTCACCACTTAACCATTGCTTCCTTCGGCCACCTTCCCCTAATGCTCCCCTCAACTCCCTTAGGAATGCAACAGGCCGCAGAACGGGAAGTGGATCCGTTGCCTGGCAACCGAGTCCGACTGGATGGTGAGTTCATTGACTCTTGGCTGCAGAAAGAGAACAGCTTAAATATCCCAAAATTTATTGAGCTGGAGTGCAGCAGTCTGGGAGGGAAGGAGGAGGTTGTTCACTGAGCCTTGCTGTTCTCGAATGTCGCATGGGACGTCCAGAGACGTTGGCTTCCCCTTTCTTTGGAGCTCCCTGTTCTGCCCCTATTTTCTGAAACTGGCCTTGGAAGCAAGGGGGGCTGCTGACATTTGCAATGGACAAGTGTTTGGTGCACTGGGTCAGCAAAAGGGCTCTTGCAGAGAGCTTTTGTCATCGGCAGGTTGTGGGTTCCCTAAGGCAGTCTTCCACTTTTTCAGATCTGGGATGGCCCTTTAACGTGAATTTGAGGGACCCATTTCTTAATGTTTCCCTTAGGTTTGCATGGTGGCTGCTGTTGTGACTCACCTTAGACCAGGCCCTGGCCCTAGTATGGAGCGCCCTGACTTCCTGGTTTAAGATCTCTCCAACCCTTTTCCTGTTTCTCCTTCCACAGGTGTGTGGTGGAGGCCCAGCGCTCACTCTGTGGCACCTGCGGTCCGTCACACCTACCACGATATTCCCCGTGCCCCAGTGTCAGCAACAAGTCATGTTCTACCAGGACTTGGTGAGTCATCCCCCCAGGGGTTGAGGGCCACATAGCCTCCCATCTCACTGGCTTCCTCATTCCCTTGATTCCTGCATCTCTTCCCCCTGCTCCTTTGTTGTTATTCCTTCATCCAACCAGTCTTATTTCCCCTTCCTTTGCTCTTCCCTTTTGTGCCAAATTTTTTATTCTTCATAAAAATGGTTTCATTGCCACCCGCCATAGCTGTCAACTTTCAGATTTGAAAATAAGGGATCAGCATCCTCGAAAATAAGGGACCAGCAGCCTCAGCTATCCCGGGGACAGTCTACGGGATATCTAACAATCCGGGATAGCAGCGGGAAATGGCTCTGGAATAAGGGAATTTCCTGCAAAAAAAGGGAAGGTTGACAGCTATTCAACCCGCCCTTTCACTCAGCGCCCTCTTTCCCTGATGATCTGTCTTCCGCAGATTCTCTCGGCTGGCCACAGCCCCACCATTAACCATTTACAGATCAGTGGGGAAGTGAAGGCACAAATCCCTTGCATCCCACGTTGCATCCACTCTCTTTCCATCAACGAACACTCGCCAGAGCACAAGGTAAGCTCCTGGGCGGCAGGAGGGAGGTAGGAGGGTGTCTGGCCTGCAAAGGGAGGCGGCTGGAATTCTGCTTGGAAGGGGCAGGGCTTAGCTTTGGCAAGTAGGACTGTGGACGTGGGGGAGGGGGCTGAAATAAGAATGTGCCAAGCTTCCAAGGAGCAAGAGGGGGCTTGGTGAATGAGAGGTGGGTTGTCACTTGGGGTTGGACCTGCAGAAGTAGTGAATTTGGGCTTCAGTTTGTAGAAACCCAGAGGTCTGGACCGCCAAATGGCGAGTTTGTGGGACCCTCGCCCCCGGCAAATGAAAACAACTATATCCCTACAAAGTGGAAATCTCTCAAGGCAGCTGACAAACCAAATTTAAAACACGGCTATGAGTAAACGGCAAATTATCTTGGGAAAAGTATGTTAAAAAACAAACCCCCAAACCTGAAGTGATATCCGTGGCACAGAAACCAAAACCACACTGGAGAACCAGACAATAATAAGGGGGTGGGCCATAGGCCCATTGAACCTAAGAGGTTGAACGGAGGTGTTGAAATAGCAGCAGAAAGGGAGCCATATGTGCTCCACAAGAGAGGGAGTTCTCCAGTCTGGGTGCCACAACCCAGAAGGCCCTGCCCTGCATACTTGCCAGTTCTGCGTTCCTCGGCCTCCGTCAGAGATCTGACTGGGGGTAGGCAGAGGCATGTGGGAGAAGATGTTCTTTTATTAGGACTGGGGTGGGAACCTTTTGCAATCCAGGGGTCCCTTCTAAGCAACATTCTGAGGGTCATATGCAGGGGCAGGACTAGAGACAAAAAGTTGGGGTGGGGGCAAGGAATGTAAACCTTACCTTAGCACCCTAGGCTAATTCCTACACGCACTCACACTCCCCTCCAGGCAAACGAGGCTTTGTCAGAATTCCCAGCCAGGCAATAAAATAAAATAAAACAAATCACTCAGGGAAGGGTGCAAAGCAGGACCCACTGAGGGCCTGGCCTGGGAAGGAGGTGTGTGGCTGGAGAAGGAATGTGGCCCAGGGAGAATCCCAAGGATCAGAGACCTGGAGGACTGGATGTGGTCCCTGGCCCTGAGGTTCCTCATCCCTGGGCTTGAGTACTTGCTGTTTTCTGCTGGACAGAACAATGGTTTTGTTTCCGTGGCTGGTGGTGGTAGAGAGCAAAGCAAGAAAGAGGGGGTGGGCAAGGTTAGAAGCAGAGCAGGTGGGGCAGTGGGTGGGCCTTCCGCCGCCCCATACCTGATAAACCTCTTCCCTCTCATCTTCCCTTCCTCTTCGCCATCAGGTGCTGACAGCTGCCGGAAGCAGCCACCGCATCGACGTCTTCACCAACTTTGGTTACCGGGCCTTTTCCCTCACCTTCTCTTAAGGCTCGGACGATTCCGTTTCCATAAACTGGTGCTGTTCAAGGAGTGCCTGGGCAGGACAGGCAGCCCCACTCGACAGGCTGCTACGTTCAGGGATGCGTGAGCCACAGCTAGCTGGACTGTCAGTTGGGAAAAGGAGGCTCTTCACTAAGGAAAAAGAAACCCCTGGACCTGCTTGGGCATGAACTTCATGGGTTTTAAAGTTGTGGTAAAAAATGAAAGGAATTGGGAACTGTGTTTATTGTAACTAGCAACCCCCAATTCCACAGTCAGGATAAACCTTACATCACAGGCAAGAAGCTGTTAAATCTATTTCGAGTTAAATGCATTAAAACAATTTTTTTAAGACTGAAATATGGATGCCCTCGGAATGTTTGTTGCTATGTCTTCGTCCTGTCCTTCATTTGAGGAAGCATACAGAGTTCCCTTCTTCTCTCAAAAATCTTGTGTAAGGTGGGTGAATCCAAGAGGCGATGGCTGACACAATGTTCAGCTTTGTGGCAGAACTTGAACTTGGGTCTCTCCAGTCCAGCACTCAAGCCTGGGGACAGGGATTCAAGGGCCCTCCAGCCAGGTGGACTACAACTCCCATCATCCCTGACCATTGGCAGTGCTGGCCTGGAGTGCTGGAAGTTTTAGTCCCACAGCATATGGAAGGCTATAGGTTCCTCATCCTGGCAAGCCATCACACCGCAATGACTCATATGGAGCTGATGGGAGCAGGTGGGCAAAAATGTCAAGGAGCGGTTCAGATGTCCTCCCTGTATGGCACCCTTCTGTGATCTTTCGTCTGACTTTGCCCAAATACTATTCAGTTTTTTACCTCTGTGGTCATGAGGTCTGGAATCTGGTATTGTGGGAAAGCTATGGCAGAATGGCCAGTTCTATGCTGCGTGGAACAACGCTTTTCTGGATTTCTAGTCCTTCACACAGGACTTGGCCTTTACGCTTCAGATATTTCCACCTCCTCATACATATGCTCATCCTGCATTCTTTTCAGCTCCTTCAGATCTTCCCGGTGACTTTCTTTAAACTCCCGGAGGTCCGCCATCTTCTCCTCAAACTCTCTGCTGGCGCAGTGGTCCTGCCGTTCAGGATCCGGCAGAAGGTATCCCATGGGGTCAGCCAGCATCGCTTCGACCTCACGGCACAGGACCTCCAAGGCCAAGGGGCCATAGGTGGAGCTGCTGGATTTGTAGCGCCTGCTGAAGAGGTTGACGGACTGCAGGAAGTAGTGCGGGAGGTTTCTCTTGGCAAGGGTATGGCGTAGGAGCCTCAGGAGGGCTTCCAGGGAGGACAGTAGAGTCTCCCACTGTTCCTTCTGCGGGTAGATTTCACAGCACCACAGCAAAACGGTCTGCAAGAGGAAGAGAGGAGGGAAATGTTAGGTCTTTGTGGCTCTTAGAGGTTCAACAGTATGGGCAGTTCTGGTGTGCTTCAGGAGATTGGGAAAAAGGAATGTGGAGGGCATCATATTGCTGACTCCTTGGCTACGTTTTCCTCCATTTTGACTAGAAGCAAATATAAGGGCCTTGATAACAGGTTCCAAGTGTGTGAAAGAGGCCCCTGAGGGGATGGTAAACACTGGCCTGGCAATAGATAGCACTGATTGCATTTCGCTTATTTTACCTCACCAGTCAGTGCAGAATTTAATAGGGAGGTTCACCTTGAGATGGTAGGAAGTCAAGATTTTGCCGTACTCTGGCGTCCATTTTGTCACGTTGACAAACTTAAGCAGTCTCAAAGCTGCCGCCCTCTGCCCGCCATCAGCGTCAACGTCCTCAAGAATCACAGTCTCGGCATGGCTGAAAGAGAGTCTGGGCCCAGAGAGAGAATGGCTACATTAGAACACCGTGTTTATGGGAAAGCAAACAGTTCCTTAGTTGGATGAACTCTTAATAGCCCTCTTAGCTCCTATTGTTACTGCAGGAGACAGAAATAAGATGGTATTAAAAAGAAAGGTTTATATTAGAAAGAAAGGTTTGATATTTCAGTGGAAGCTTAACATATCTTGCCTTAAGACAAAAGGCCTTTTGTGGGGGGAAACCCCTTTTCTGAATTCATCCCAAGCTCTGCTTTCCCACCAGAGGGTAACTATTCCTTTGCTCCTTCTCGGCTGCTAAGTTTGTTTACTTTTTTTTACCTCCAAAATCCTCCCTTGGCTATCAGCTCTGGTCCAACTTCCTGAACGACGGCTGCTTTCCGGAGAAAGCTTTTCTTTTCGTTGGCCAGGTCCCCATCCCACCATTCGGAAAGGTGGGCCAGGTCTTCTCTCAGCCACTGGTTGGAGAGCTTGAAGGCTCCCTGGATGGCAGGCACCAGCTTCACTGGGACAGTTTCCGTCCCTTCAAGGAAAACCAGCTGGATGGCAGGACTCTCCAAATTCAGGGCCTCCAGTGTGATGTTCTCTGCATAGGGCACAGACAAAGCATGATTGCCCCCAGGAATCAAGGGGAAGGAACAATAAAGTTATTGCATTTTTCATTTCTTCAGTGCCTTTCTTTAGGGTTTTGGGAATACCTACAGCAGTGTGCAGCCTATAAATCTTAATGGTAAACCAGTCATGGCATTACAACAGTAATAGAAACACAAGCAAACATAAATAATAGCAAGGCAGTCTTGTTACTCTCCCAAGAATCTAAAAGGCTAGGTGATCAGAAATATTTTTATTTAAGTATAAAGTCTGTCCCTTATACAGAAGGATAGGTGGCAGATCTGCGATCTGGTTACCTGCCTCCACTCCAGAAGAGGTCATATTCTGTCCACAGAGCTCTTGCAATGGAATTTTAAAATATATTCATATCTGACCGGTTAATTATTGAAGGAAGGTGTTGGCAAGGACAGAACTCACTCTGATGTTTTTACATTTGAGGGAATTGGCAATAAACATACGTCTCAAAAATAGACTCACGTCTCATCCAGTTGTCTATCTTGGGTACACGGGAACGGAAGAGTTTTTGCCGGAAAACAGGATCTAATGGTCAAGGGGGAAATTCAAGGAATGCTGCTAAGTATTTGGAAATAAACAACCGTAGGCCAAATCCAGCCCCCCTTGCAAATGGCTTCTCCCAATGGGAAAATAATTTCTACATGTTTTTGGGCTTACCATTTTGCCGGGGATGGGTGCACTCTGGGAAGGCAGGAAAGAAAAGTTCGAGAAAATAAGTTAATGGAGAATTGCGAATGGCCTGACATTCAGGCTCCCAAACCCCTACTCAATCATTGTTTCCTAAAAAGGATTGCTCTGCTTTTAATTACATGACAAGTGGAAATTCATTATAACAGGTGCAGCTTATCTCAGTGTGGTGATATGATATTAAGCCTGTTGCATAAATATAGGGTACGTGTTCAGAACAAAGGCGGCAACCTGAATTTCTTTAGGATGGCTGCCAGGTCTCCTTAGAGGAAAAGCACCTGTAAGTCCAGGTATCTGAGGAATCGGATTATGAGGTTTACAGAATAGCATGCTATAACGGGGGGGAGGGTGTGTGTGTGTGTGTGTGTGTGTGTGTGTGTGTGTGTGTGTGACTAACTAACTAACTACAGGTTTGGGAGTTCAATTTGCCCCTCTCTCAAGCAACCCTCGGACCAAAGGAAATGTTAGCACACCACCTGCGCTGCCATGGCTGTACCTGGGTCCAAAGCGATTTCTATATGTCGGTGAAAGTCCTCCAAGATTTGGACAGGGTCCAGGTGGTGGTGGCTGAGGCTCTCCTGGACAAAGAGAAAACAAAGCGGGTCACTGGATTTTGCATCCTCTTGAGTTGGAGAATGGAAACCCCAGATCCACCAGGAGGATGAGGTGTGGATTCAGCGGGTCTTAGCTGAGCTGGGGGCTACACCAGTGTAAAACCCACACTCCCTGGCTGTGCTCACGCCAGCATAAAGCACAACCTCAGACTACACCCGCCTAACTTAAGCTGGCATCATTTAAGACAGTAGAAATTTTACCAGCTTCCCATAGCTTGGATTGTTCTGCCCGTCTCTAGGTGGCTTCACAGTATAAAAGGCACAATACCAATAAATCAAGTTAAACAATCAAATCAGAAAACTGACTTAAAATGTGCACTGAACATTCAGGTCTCAGAAGTTCCACCAAGTTAATGATAATGTATGATAGTAGTTCTAGTTCATATTGATTTTCATGAGGATTTTACTTAATTGTTTTGTACCACATCAAAATGCTTATTTTTAGTTCACTTTTTTTTTGTACTTATGTGTGATACTTTTCTAATGTCCTAAACTGCTTTAAAGTCTTTTTTGAAGTAGAAGTAGTATATAAACTACCTAATCATCATCATCAAAATAACCATGGTGATGATGCCGCTCTGTCGAAATCTACCTTGCACTCATCTAAGAAATCCAGGTCTTCCTCGTCGTCCTCGTCCGCCAGGCGCTCCGCTTGCCGGTGGCAGTGGACTTCCACGTACATCTCCCCGAAAGCCTCGAGGTCCACAAGGACTTTGGTGCCCCAGCGAAACACGGGCAGCCCTTGCTCGCGGAAAATGTAGGTGGGCAGCTTCTTTTCATAGCTGCCAGGCTCCTTGGCGATGCCCCCACTTGCGAGCGCCAGCTTGGGGTTATACCTCGCGGGGATGAGGAAGTCGAAACCGTTGGAACTCCCCTCCACTTGAAGGTGCAGCCCTTCCCTGTGGCTGCCGACCGGGATGGGGTCGTTGGGGTAGAGCCCGGTGCTGGATTCATAGGCCCATTTTACCATCTTCTCCACCATGCTTTTTACCACGAAGAAATTCTTCCCGACCCTCCAGCCTTTGTCTCCGGACAGGAAGACTCTGTCGGCGTAGAACTGCTGCAGGATCCCCTCTCGCTGGCCGGAAGGATCCCCCTCCCCGCTCATTGCCATGGTGGATCCCTCTGAAATCCTTCTCCTGCTGCGGTTGTATCGGCTGCCTCCCCTCCCCAATCAGCTTTCACTTTCCCTTCCTGCCGAGGTCTGTTCATTCACAGAGACTTTTGCCCCTGGCTGTGTCAGAGATGGGAAGGGGGTGGGACGCAAAAACCAGCTTTTAAACTTTCCTGCAAAGTGAAAGTGAACAGAGATCTCCCCTCCTCCTCCTCTGATAAACATTTTATGCAGATATTATTAGCCGAGACAACCAATAAACTGCTGGGAGCTCCCACTCATTTTCCTTCCTGGGAGGGGAAATGACAAGTGGGAAGAGTTAGAAGCCACACCAAAATTTCCTGGCTGGAAGCGATTCTCTAACATAGGAAACAGGCATCATGCCAGTGGATCTTCTACCCATTTTGCTGCCTGAGGTGACAGATTACTTGATTCGTTCCCTCTTCCATCTTCCTGACCCATTCCAGACTGGCAAGGGGACAGCATGCCTGAGGGTAGCAGGCTCCGCTTAGGGGCAGAGGGCAGGTTTTGTGGCACACAACAGCTCCATCATCATTCTGCCCCCCACCCATATCACCCAGCCCAGACCCTTAGGGCCTTCTGGTGGTTCCCTCATGGCAAGATGTGAAGTCGCAGGGAACCAGGCAGAGGGCCTTCTCGGTAGTTGCTCCTGCCCTGTGGGACGCCTTCCCAGCAGAAGTCAAAGATCTGGAAGTGGGGGGCAGGGAGTGTTCCTACTACAGGCATGGAGCACTGCACCCCCTCACAAAATGGGAGGAGAAACCCACCCATGGCTGCCTGGCAAGTGAGACACTTTTTTTGCCCCTTGCCATCATCCCACCTGGACTCTGGTCTTCCCTGTCAATCATGTTCAGTTACCTCCCCCCCCCAAACAATGAGCTTGGAGATGCTCCTTCAGGTATACAGGGCCAAGGCTGTTTAGGGCTTCAAAGGTCAACACTAACACTTGAGATTGTGTTTGGGACCGTACCGGGAGCCAATGTAGATCTTTGAGGACTGGTGTAATATGAAATACAAACCACCCTAGCAAATTCAGACTTTAAGTAAAACCGTTAAAACAAAGGACACATTCTGCAACTGTTGGAAATATTTTATTGTGTACATAACTGATAAGGAACATGACTGGCAACCGCTATCAATGCATGGACACAATGGGATGAGACAAAAAACAGGGACCGTTATTTACCACAATATGCTCCATAATGGATAGGATACTAATGTTGAATATTATGGTCCTATTATAAGAAGGGAGAAATACCATATGTACAGTAGTACCTCAGGTTACAGACGCTTCAGTTTACAGACTCTGCTAACCCAGAAATAGTACCTCAGGTTAAGAACTTTGCTTCAGGATAAGAACAGAAATCGCGCAGTGGCAGCGTGGCAGCAGCAGGAGGCCCCATTAGCTAAAGTGGTGCTTCAGATTAAGATCAGTTTCAGGTTAAGAACGGACTTCCAGAACGAATTAAGTACTTAACCCAAGGTAGCACTGTATTGTGGTACCTCTCTTTCCTTCTTCTTTTTTGGTTGATGCGTTCTACACATTTATATAGATAGATAAAGCATGAACCTCCCTGCCACTTCACTTCCAATTCTCTTGACTTCCAGCTTTACCTTCTCCCATAATCCCTCGGCTGCTTTTATTGATATCCAAGGAGACGTTGAAAGCAGATGGATCAGAGTTCTGTCCTATGGGCTGTTATTCTTGGTGTGTGGAGAGCCAGTGGATTGATCCCACCCTCCAATTCCTTCTTCTTTGTCCCAGTGGAACCCGACAGCGCTGACCAAAGGCCCTGAGCGGCCGCTGATGTAGCGCAGGACGGTGTTTGGGAACAAAGGCTCAGCGTCGAAGGCGACCCCCAAACCGGAGCCAGCCCCGTAGTCAAAGACACGGCCGAGGTTGGTGCGGAAGGCAATATATTCCACAAAGCTTCCGAAGCGGCCCAAGACTTGCACGATGCCTTCTCCAGGAAACAGCGGCATCACAGATTGGCTCCCTGAGGGGTTCCCTTCAATCCTGGACCACATGCCGCCGTAGCGAACCTGGATGCTGCAGTGACAAGGGATGGATTGTGGTTAGTGAAGGCTGCCACCTTCTGAGGGACAGTGTTTAACAGCTGCATCTCAGATAGAAACCAACGGACAACCACTTTTAATTACCACCCAGGTTTCACCACCATATCAGGCAATTTGTACATCATCAGTTCTCAGTCAGCAGGGAAATCGCACAGGAATTTCTGGGCCCAGTTCCACTAGATGAGAGCCAGGGGCTTGCATAAGTCTGTGTGTCGCACTTCGCAAATCCTGACAACCAGGTGAATGGGTCACCTGATGTCACTGTGATCTGAAGTCAGGTGACTGACAGCTCAGTGGCCCCCCACAAGGAGGTGGGGGAGATAAGTGTCCCGCCCACCGGCTGGATGCAGTACCCCCTGCGCTTCAGGGAGTTATGAGAATCCTGATAATCAACTGATCTTCTAGGTGAGTAGAAACAGGTCCCCTGACATCATTGTGATATCAAGCGATTGACAAGTCGGTAGCCCCCACCTCCCTGTAAAACTTGGCTGGATCAAATTCCCCATTCCTGCAGTTTGTGGCTTGGGTCCTCTGCTCAACCCAAATCTAGTGGCAAGAACTACTCCTCTTCCCGTACAGCCTTTGCCCTATCACCACCCAACAACCCAAAGAACTGAGCCTGGGTCAGATGTAAATATTTGCCAAAAGCTGCTGTATATCCTGTGGGTTTATCCACATGTGGGTTTATCCACCCTTATCCAGCCATCATCATCATCATCATCATTATTATTATTATTTGCTGTATATACAGATGAGGCATTACTTGTGAGCCCTGATCCTACCCATGCTATTTACTCAGAAATGTGCGCCACTGGTTTCAGTGACATTGTGGCTCCCCAGTCACTGAAGATCCCCTCTGCTAACCTTGCTGAATCTGCCACACACAGGTAGCACCCCAAAAGACATACAAACCTCAGTATATACTTGTTGTTTGCCTGTATCCTCAGAGCTGTTATGGGACCATCCAGCTGATTCCTGGACTGGTCAAAATGTTCCCCACTGCTGCCGCCATATTCTCCGGAGTAAGACGAGGAACTTGCCTGGGCTGGATCCACAAAGGGGGATGAGCAACAGGTTCACGAATTAAAAGGCAGGTTGATTTAAAACATTATTGACCCTTTTCTCTAAACTCAAAAGTCCCAGAAGCTACAACCTTTCACTTCATCCCCTGGATAAATTTGCTTGCTGTTTTCTGAATCTTTTCCAACCTAGCGGCACAGGCTGTTGCTTCTTTTAAGCTGTGTGCATGCTATCCCTTGGAAGCCCATTCTTTGCCTCAAAGAATTCTGGGTCCTGTAGTTTGTTAAGGGTTGCTTGGAATTGCATTGCTGTGAGGGATAAACTACAGGGCCCAGAATTCTTTGAAGGAAAGAATGGGCTTCAAATGAGATTTAAAGGCATACGCACAGCCTTAGTCCAGCCTTGCAGCCAACACACACACACACACACACACACACACACACACACACACACACTCACTCACTCACTCTCTCTCTATCTCTCTGCTCCTCCTCCTTGCAAATTATCACAACATTTCTTTTAATTCTCCAGATGCAAAATGCAGTAACAGCTAGCCCCTTTTGTGACCTTACCTGGACTACCAGATACAACATCACGGAGGAGGAGGCTCAGGAGAATGAATACTGGCATCTTGGAAGCTGAAAAGGGGAAGGTCTGGAGGTTTAAAAGAGACAAGGTTACAGCTCACATAGGCTTATCAATTTTTAACCAGATAGCAAAATGACTCGGCTGTCACCTCTTCTCATGGCAATGGTAGCCTGTGAGAATCTGTGGCAGGGAATATAGAATTTATGCAAGTCAAATCCAGATTTTTTATTTTAGGGGAGGGGACGAGGCGGAAGCCATTGAAGGAGGGAATCATTCGCTCCAAGAATAGTATTGAAAATAGCAAATACAATCCTCCAAGGTGTTTTTTTTTGTTTTTTTTAATGCTCTCAAGCCACACTATTCTTTTAGAATCAAATTCTCTGCTTTCGGATGACTAAGCTCTGAATACAGCCTTGGGTATATTTAACTTCTATTTTAGATGCAAATGTCAGAGTTTTCAAAGAAAAAAATCACCTGAAGCTAAAGAATAAAACACCATGTTAACAACAATGTATTAAAACACACTTTTTAAAAAAAGCACTCTAGGGTCTTTAGGCTGCAATCCTTACCTGGGAGCAAGTCCCACTGATGTTAATGGGGCTTACTTTTGAGTAGAGCTGTATTGGCTTTCGCTGTTACCCTTGCTTCCATAGCCATTAAAAAAGAGATATTTATTTATCCCATATTTTTCCCCCTCGAAAAATATTGAGAGATGCTGCCTTATGTATAGCTTCAGCCTTACAATTTGTCGCTTTGGTGAGCCTACTTACAGCAATACTCGTTTCTCCAGCAAAACTCCAGCAAATTACCTTGTTCAGGCAAGCGTAAGTGGGGTGGACCCCTCCTTGTGCCTCTGCTACATTAATGCCAAGAAGGCATTACAAGTTCTTGAAACTGTCATTCCTGCAGAAAACACAACCTTCTCTTTGAGAAAAGTGGTTCCTATTGGTTTGGCACCAGGTTAACTTACTCTGGGAGTTTCATTTTACCTGCTTGTAGGCACCTGGGCTACCAAACAGATCCTCTATTGTGATCTAATATTTCCTCCTACCTGTTCAATGCTCAGAGAGCGAAGCTGGATTCCAGAAATCAGAACAGAAATGTAATCAAAGGCTTCAACATTCTTTTTAAAAACTCCTGCAACAAATAAAGATATGGGCATCTCCTTGCTGCCTAGGGTTAAAAACAAAATCTATTGCCGTGACATATTAGAAAATAAAGAGTCTTAAGATTTCCATGCATGCAACTTAAATAGCAATAAAGGCAACATAAATAATGGCACTCGTCTCTGAACTATGGAAACAGAAGGAATAATTTGCAATGAAATTTGCCAAATCTAAGGTTACCAATTTATCAAGAAGAACAAAGTGGTCTGGCCTGTTCGTGTGCTTTTAACAGCAGTTTGGGGCAGCACAAAACAAGCCGCTGGGAGTTTTTCAAGGCATGCAGAAATGCACTTAAGCCCTTCTTAACTACTGAGCAGGTCCTTTTCCAGAGAGCCAAAGGACGGGGATTTGAAAACTGGCACCAACATCTGGCATCTCTCCTCCAAATCTATAAAGACAAAACAAGTACAGTCTTCATCCGTGAAATGTCTCTAGGTCTGGTTCAGAGGCGTAGGAAGGTCAGGTGGTACCTGGTGCGGAAAATTTCTTGTCACCCCCACCCCACATTGATTTTTTTTATTATTTTTTTGCCTGCAAAATTGGTGTTACATTATTTCATATTTTCTTACAAAGGAATGTGGATTCTGGGCCTCTGGTAACAAGTAGGCGATTATGGAGAGATACTTAAATCTACAGGATGGATTGTGTTCCTGCCTTTCTACTACTTTAGCAACTCCTCCGCAAATATGGCAATATTTGGTCCTTTAAAAAAAAAAATTATTATTCAGTTTTTAACAATATATAACAACGCATAACACCATAGTTCTGAGTATGGGAGTTGGCTTGAATTTGCATCTCTACATATAAACTGACACATGTACATTTACATCAACATTCACAGCCAGAGCCTTTCTACTACTTAGCAACTCCTCCGCAAATATGGCAATATTTGGTCCTTTAAAAAAATAAAAAGAAATAATTATTCAGTTTTTAACAATATATAACAACGCATAACACTTATACATTCTTACCTATATAATACAGAAACAATTAAACATTTCTGATTGAGATACAGTGGTACCTCGGGTTACATACGCTTCAGGTTACAGACTCCGTTAACCCAGAAATAGTGCTTCAGGTTAAGAACTTTGCTTCAGGATGAGAGCAGAAATCGTGTGGCGGCAGCAGGAGGCCCCATTAGCTAAAGTGGTGCTTCAGGTTAAGAACAGTTTCAGGTTAAGAACAGACCTCCGGAACGAATTAAGTACTTAACCCGAGGTACCACTGTATTATAATACTATAGAAATTTAAGTATCAACAAGAAAATAAAACCTAAAAGGGGGGGGAGAGAAAATAGTGGGGGAATGGGGAAGGGGATGTGTTTTTTGAAAGCTGTACAGCATTTCTTAGATACATCAATTAACAATATTTGAGTGGCAGTGGTTTTCCAGTTATAAAAACATAGCGACTCCAATGAGTGTGGATCAGGGATGATTGGTCTCCCTCATCTACCCATCAGGAAGGGGTCAAGCCTCACCCAGGTTTTCAGTGTGAGAAGCTGAAGCAGCACCTTAGCCTCTCTTCAGGCAGGTGGAATTTGCAGTCTAGTAACCATCCCTCCCTGGCCTAGAAGACAGTATATACAGCATTAAACCCAACACAGATCTCAGTGACACTTTTCTGCAGAGGCACAGAAATGCCACAAGGTGGCAGCAGACACTGCAGAGCTGCCATATAACCTGGATGGCAGAGCCTGTGTCTATATTAGTTATATTAGCTACTTCATAGACATAATACCTGAATTGCAGCCTTTTAAGAACTTGAAACTACCTTATGGTGACTTTACCACCACCACAACCCCCAAGCTGATTTACATCACGTGGGTTGATTTACAGTTAAGTCATCTTCTGCTGTAGAAATGATAACAATTCCCTCCAGACTGGAACGTTAACAGGTAATATTTGGAAATATTTTTATCCTGTCATTCCTTTAAGAAACTCAAGGCCCTTTTATCCTCACAAGGAGCCTGCGAGGTGGAAACACACCATAAAGTTAAAGCACAAAGAATCCTGGGAACTGTAGTTTACGAAGGGCGCTGGGAACTGTTGCTAACTACATTGCCCAGAATTCTTTGGGAAGAGGTGGAGGAAATATGCCTTAAATTAGCTTTAAATGTATGAGTCTGCTAGGCCCCACCAAGAGAGGAGGTGGACCACCAGAGGATGCTTTGCCCAGGGACTCCTCAAATCTAGAGCTGGTCAGGGAACAAGAATCTGAACTCGGGTCCGACATGTGGTGTCATCTGGGCTGCACCATGTGGGCTGTCACCTTGAGCTGCTTTGCCCCAGGAGAATCATTCCCAGAGGTTGTGAAGGAAATAATTTCACGGGTTGAATTTCTGCCTCTTAAGCACCAATACCGGCATCTTGCCGGAAGGAAATGTGACTTGGTCTGTAGCTGTTGTCTGTAAGAAAAAAAATGCCAACCTCATGCACACTATTTATGTGCATTTCCTCATTTTAAACCACACAGAGAAGCATGTTTTGTGACGTCGCTGGAGGACAGGGAGAGGGGAATCACAGAGTGTTTTGGCTTTGAACGGAGGTCCCCTGTGAAATAATAGAGTCTCTGCCACAGAGAGGGAGTTATGAAACAAAATCTGGTCAGTGGGCTGGATCCTGACCTCTCCCATCCCCTGCAGGTGGTTTTGACCAGTGTGTGGTATAGGGATTCCCAAACCTAGCTTCATCCAGGCGGTCTGTGGCATGTTTGCAAAAATGCAATTAAAAATAATCCAGCACGTTACAATTGCTACAGTAAGCAGAAAAAAATAAGTGGTCTGTCGTGACCCTCAGCAATTTTAAAATCTGTGTGGGACAAAAGTTTGGGAACCAGTGAAAGAAAAGGAGCACGACTGTAGCAGTTAAGGTTGCCAACTGACCTATGGCTTGGAATTTAGATTTGCTTTTCAATACAGGAAAAAGCAGATCAAGCTTTTTTTGTGCTGCATAACAGTCACCTGCTAACCTGCAGGTGAATATGATACGGCACAGGAGCAGGGTGCAGTAAAAAAGTTGGCAACCTGGTGCTAATGCTCTTACGGGAAAAAGCCATCAGGGAGTAGCAGTCTGTGTTTTTTTAAAATAGGAGACCATCCCTTCTGTGTCTTCTCCCTTTGCCTCTTTACCTGTGAAGCAGAACTGCGCTTTTAAAAGTGCGGTTATTTTTGTGTGAAAGTGGAGTTGCTGAAAAGTATCCATGCCACCACTTTTTCTGCTGGGACTCCCATGCCTCCAGCCTTTGTGCAGCAGGCAAAACACAAAACATAATGTGCATATTTTCTTCCTGGCATGGAGACACAAAGCTAAGAAACTCTTAACTAGCTGAATATTTCCCTTTTTCAAGCAGTTCCCTGAGGGTTCAAGTGCCCTGCCAGGAAATAAAAGGGGCCATCTTTGTAGCTTTCTGAACTTCCAAGAAATTAAATCAGAGCAACGAAACACTTGTTATTAGTTTTTTCCTTTAGGCGCTGCTTGTCGTATTATCAAGCAGATTTTCACAACAGCCCTGCAAAGTAGGTCTTTGTTGCTAGGTAAAGGTAAAAAGGGATGCGGGTGGCGCTGTGGTCTAAAACCACCAAGCCTCTTGGGGTTGCTGATCGGAAAGTTGGCAGTTCGAATCCCCGCGACGGAGTGAGCTCCTGTTGTTCTGTCCCAGCTTCTGCCAACCTAGCAGTTCGAAAGCATGTCAAAGTGCAAGTAGATAAATAGGTACCACTGCGGCGGGAAGGTAAACAGCGTTTCCGTGCGCTCTGGCTTCCGTCATGGTGTTCTGTTGCGCCAGAAGCGATTTAGTCATGCTGGCCACATGACCCGGAAAGCTGTCTGCGGACAAATGCCGGCTCCCTTGGCCTGAAAAGCGAGATGAGTGCCGCAACCCCAGTTGCCTTTGACTGGACTTACAGTAACCGTCCAAGGGTCCTTTACCTTTTTACCTTTACCTTGTTGCTGCCGGCTGGGGCACGGTGAAGTTGAGAGACACACACAGGCTTGCTTGTTGGCAAAAGCACGGCCGAACCAAGCTGTAAGGGGGGGGGGAGCTTCACCTGTTGAATTTCTGCCTGCAGCGCAACAGTTAAGGCCACAGGAGCACTGCAGGATTAAAAGCCCACCTCCCCACCCTGCTTCCGCTCCGGAACTGGACTGCCTGACTCATCCGCCTCTTCAAAGGAGCCTCGCTCCCTTTTCTTTCTTTTTGGCTCAA